TTAAATTCTTAAAGATATTACTAAATTAATAAGTAATATATCTAATTCTAAATTATCTGATTATCTTGATAAACTAATTAAGAAAGAATTAGAGAAGTTATATAATTATAATAACTAATTTTTTATATAAATAAACTTTAAACCTAAATATCAAGATAAAATTCTTAGAAATTAACTAATAATTTCTATGAATTTAAAAGAGTTAGATTTAGAATTTATTAAGGATAAAATTAAGTAAATTCCTTTACTACTAATAATAGTAAATAATAATTCTTAATATTATAAAACTAAGTATAATTAGTCTGAATTACTTATTTATAACTACTTATTTAATTATAAAAATATATTAAAAATATATCAAGCTTTTTATTTAGCTTTATTAAATATATTATTCAATAATTAAAAGAAGATTTACTAAAGTAAATTATTATTTTTATTAATAAACTAGAAAAAAATAATAAGTTACCTCTTTTTAAAAGGATTCCTATAAGTTATAGATATTAAATTTTAATAATTATTTAAAATAAAAATCTTTATTTTAATTAAAAAAGACTTACTTTCTTTTAATTAAGAAATATTATTATTAAAATAAATATTTACTTATAAATTTAATAAGCAGGATTATCTAAGTAAGTTTAAAGCTTGAATTTATATTAAAAATAAATTATAAATTATAAATAATTAAGAAACTAGAATTATCACTTTAATTATTTAAATCTTATAAATAATTCTTGCTTTAATAATTATTTTTAATCTTAAAACTTATTAATATAATATAATAAATATATTCTTAAATAATTACTTAACTAAATTAGTTTATATTTATTACTTAATTAAATATAATTAAAATATTAAATTCTTCTTTTAAAACAAGCTTTATATAAACTTTCATAATTATTATATTTATAATAAGATAAGATTACTAAAACTTTAAATATATTTAATAAAGAATATAAGTAAATTAAATTAATTTCTTAATATAAAAGTAATCAGGAATTACTTAAATAAGAAAATCTAGATTTATTGAATACTTATATTAAGAAAATTATATATAAATTTTATATTTATAAAAAATTATTAAAAATATCTTTATCTAGTAAAAATATTTATTTACTAGTAAACAATAAATTACTTGAATTAATAAATAAAAAATAAGATTAGTTTTATACCCTGTAATTATCTCTTAATTAAATATATTAAAAATAACTTAAATTATTTTAGAATTTTTATATAAATCTTATAAAAAATATATAAGATTTATTAAATATATAATTTCTTACTTAGATAATACTAAAAACTATATAATTAAATATTTAGCTAATCAGGATTCTATAATTCTAGTATTTATATTAATAAGTAATATAAGTTTTATAAATAATTACTAAAGAAAAAGTACTAAAGCTTACTTATATAAGCTATTTAATAATTTTATTAATTAATTAATAAGAAAGTAAAAAATAATTATTATTTTTATTACTAAAGCTAAATTATTTAGCTTATTTAATATTATTAAACAGATTTATTAATAAAGATAACTTTTTAGAATTATTTAATTTAACTTTGAATAAAAGCTAATTATTTTATATAATAATAATCAGATTATTAACCTGCTTACTAAACAAAATTTAGTTTATATTACTAAGTTAAAATATATTAATATCTACTATTACTAGATTTAATAAGAGATTAAAAAAGGGAATATTAAAATTAAATAGATTTTAACTAATTAGATACCTATAAATAGTCTTACTAAGCTTATAACTTATTAAAATTATTAAAAATTTCTAAAATACCTCAATATAATAGATATTACTAAAAAGCTTATTTAATTATAAATATATATATATATTCAAGATTAAGAGGGTATATTAGAATAATTCTCTTATTATTCCATAGAAAGGGACTAAAAGTTTTTATTTATAATATTATTTTATTTGCCCCAAATTATTTTATATATTCTTGTTTATTCTATATAACAAAAAAAGTAAAGATTCTAGAATAATAAATTATATATAAATATAGTAATAAAGTCTACTTAAGATCTTTTACTTAATTATCCTTCTATGTTATTAAGAATATCATTATTTAATTATTCACTATAGTTTGATTATTTTTATATATATATATAAGCTTATATATATATATCTTATTCTTCTTCTTCTTCTTAATCACATGATCTCTTTATGTGATTTGATTCTTCATTCACTATATCTGAATTAGTGAATATATTCAGTGAATATAAGCTTATTCACTATTCCTTGAACTGCCGAGTTCAACAGATAAAGATATTATTATAATATAATAAGAGTAAGACAGGCAGGAGGACAGGTAGGAAGACAGGCAGGGAGACAGGTAGGGAGGCAAGCAGGATAATTAAGATATTATTATATTATATATAGAGTTCTATTCATAATACTCAGTTAGCAGTGTAATAAAAAGGCTTAAAAATTGGGGGAAAAAGGGTTGAATTAATATATTTATCTAATATTTAATAGTAGTAGAGATGATGGTTGCTCTGAAAAGATATCATATAATTTATATAGTAATCATTTTACAAGCACTGCTGGCCAAGCGTTTTAGCGGGTTCAGGCACTTTTGGGCCACACCTCTGTAGTCTCTTTCTAATTAGAGCTAGCTAGCTAGATGACAGTTGACAAATCAAAACAACTGCACGCTCTATCTAGTAATCAATAGCTATGACCCGCATTTATTCCGATGCCAAGCCTAGATCAACCGCACTGAGCTTTCCCATAACATACATGCCAAGCTGTAAGTTTTGAAAAGTGCATAATTGTTCTTTCTACTCCGCCAAAGTCTTCCTTCCTAGCGCCTCCCACACCAGATAGTCCGATTCTAGCTCACTACGGTGTGTAGTAGCGACAGCGGGCGCTTTATCTTTCCCGCAATACATCTTATTAGCAACTCTTGCAGGTTCCTCAAGCTATCAGATCGCACACCCAAAGGTCGCACCTCCTGCCGGAGGTGCGAAGTGCCCTGATACACCATGGTTTACGATTGGGATGGAAAGCGGGAGATATGCTATCAGATGTACATCACGGACAAGAAGGCACTGGAGGAAATTATGGAATACATGAAGAATGTATATCAATTCGCACCGAGGTGAGCTTGTTTTTAATATATCAGCCTCCACCAAATCCTTCTAGTATTGCCTCAAATTTATGTCCCACCGTTAACAGCGTATATTATCTTGCAGTAAACGTGCATTTCAAACACAGTTTAAGCGGTGGGGATTTCCTTCAAAGCAGAATCCAGCACATAAGAATAGAAAACTCGTTTCCCGAGTGAAAGAGTTGTGGGAGAAAAACACTAGCCAACGTGAAATGCTTCAGATATTAAACCAAGAAGGATTCGAAATCAAAGAAAGGGAGCTTATGCGTGTCCGTGCAAAAAACCGCTGGTTGCTTCGGGTTCCCAATGGAATGAAAACACAGTCAAATTTGCAGACATTAGGTCAGCTGCCAGATGATGATAGTTTTCTTGCTTTGCAACAGGAAGTATTCACAAGCTCAACTCCATTTGATGACAACGAACACCCAGCTACTGACACAGGTCTATCACAAATATCGCCTCCCGACTTATCCCCGGAGACATTGCTGAGGCGTAAAGAAAGACTCGACCGACTGAAGGCCGAGAGTGCTGAACGCTGGGCTACTCGGAAACGTCGTCGCCGCACTCGTGGATGGGCAGGGTTGCCGGCCGACCCTCCTGGCCCACCTCGTTTCCCCTCTGAGACCACTATCGACGAGAGTAAAAGTTACCTCAACTTGGACAACACCATGTACCGTCACATCAGAGATCAGTTTCAAAGAATCTGTGAAGACGCTGGTTTTATCAAGAAAACAGTTGCTGGACCAGAGCGATGGCAAGAAGCCAAAAAAAAGCTGATACAAGAATCACGCCATCTCCAACATGTCTTTTGGGATGACGCCACCCAACTTGACGCGAAGGCACTTGCTCTTGATGTCGTTTGCACTGATGTTACCAAGCGGATGAGGACATTGGAAAGACGAATGACAATTGCTGAGGCTAAGAATGCACTTGGAATCAATCCGGAAGAAAGTCGCCAGATACGGAACGCATTCTACCATACTCTAAAGGCTGACCATTTCACGAGCAAGCTGGAGGCCGGCGATGAGCATTGGAATGATTTGAAGGAGCAGTGGGTTATGAACTCCGAACTTCTTCAGCGAATCCTTGCACCAGGCCCGGAGGATTCTGATTATCCTACCAAAATGAAGGCAATCGAGGTGCTTTGTCGGGATGTTATGAAGCGACTTCGCGATGATCAGACTAAAAGGGATGCATCCCGTAAAAATTCTGCTTCTCGTATTCAGATACAGAGCCCTGAAACGGCGAGCTCTCAAATTGGCGGCACGTATTCCAATGGAATTAGCACCCTTGCTTCACAGGCGCTCGCCAGTGCCTCTGCAGCTTCTAGTGATTTTGGTGAAATCCAGATAGATCCGTCGCTACTCCAAGCTGCTAACAATCCTTCATTCGCCATGTCCATCCGCCAGGATAATTCCGAAAACCCATGAGAATTTGCTGATGTTATGCTTCGTTGGATCCCATACCCATTTGGATACATTTTTCGTTCAGTATTACGCGTCTTTTCACCACTGGGGTAGGACCTTATGGGGGTCAGTGACCCAAGTAAAAGCGCGCATCGTTCATCGCTTCCTTCTGTAACGGCTGGCTGCTTTACTATTATGGTTTGAATCGTTCCATAGGTGTTTTGTGGGCTGGAGGATATAGTGGCTGTAATATAGCCTGGAAGTTAGCTATTGACCATGACTATGAAGTTTGAACTTTCTAACGAATACCCACGCGGCCGATGTATGTGCAGGCAGTCAAAAGAACCGTGTTATGTGGAGCAATTCAATTGCTAGTCAAAAAGTGCAAGATAACATTGCGGAACCAGTTGCGGAGTATTGACAATGCTTTTACTATCTGTTTTATGAAGACTTAAACACATTCTGCTGTACTACTGTATTACATGAAGCGGTAATAGGCCATTGGGTAATATTGCGAGGCGACAGGATACCCTCCATTCCACTCCGCAAGTGTATGGTTTCCTGCCAATCTCCATAAAACAAAAAACCTCTGGAACAATGTAAAGCGAAGGCACACTTCCATATACGAGTGTCTATCAAGGACATATGCTGTACATGCAAAAAGGCCGAACTTGATTGATAAATCATGAAATAAAAGGTCGACTGACCAATTCAGCTAGCAAGGGCTTGTACAACATCCTGGAAAAGGATATTTGCGGGAGGTTGAACGAAAGAAGGCACATCACCGAAAACAGTAGCCAGCCCTTGAGTGTTCGATAAGGCGTGGTCCGTCGACGTAGTAGCAACTGAGCGTGAGGTGCGATCGCGACCCTGACCGAACAAATTTGCGAGCCCTGAATTGAGATGGATGTCCAGGTCTCGAGTCCCAGTAGCTTGAATTGTTGTACCATTACAAGCCAGGCGCGAGACATGAGATGCTGAATCTATGATAACATAATCGCTTGAATGTTGGGCCGAAAGAAGTGCCAGCGGGCAATTTGGCAGTGCCATTTGTGCAATGAGGCGTAATGAGTAGGCATCGAAGATTTTGGCATAATATTGTGCTTTGTGGGCCTTCTTAGATGTCGAAGAGGCCGGCAAAGTCTGTGGCGCCACAGCAAAAGTACCTGTATTGAAGTTCGCAGCTAAAAGCTGTGACCCGCCAATAGCAGTATCACCATGTAGATCAATGGTCTTTACACGGTCGTTGACAGTATCCCAAACCGAGACTGAATGGCTCGAGGCAACGAGGAGGCGGCTTTCAAAGAACGCAACCGCGCAAGGTGTACCTGAGTACACACTCGTTTTGCTATGTCGCACGACACAATTCTGTACATCAATGAGGACCGTGAGACCCGGATTTGTAGAATGACCTGAGTGCAAGCAAATAGCAAGAACCGAGCCATCCTGCGAAAAACCTAAAGAAGCTGCAGTCAAGCAATCAGACCCATCGCTCTTGAGGTAGTTTTTCAAATCGATAACATTGCGACATTTCCAGAATTCTGATGGTTGTCCCACATTGTCATTTTGCTTTAGTCCACTGCGCTGTCTGGTACCAGGGAACCAGAGGCGTAGTACAGCATCGGACCCAATAGTCGCAAACTCATGACTTCGGGGCCGGGGAGCTAAGTCCAAAACGGATGCTGCGCCTTCAACGGAGAAGTGAGGAGTATCAACCCTGGTTACTAGTTCCCACATCCCGGACGAGCTGCCCCGCTTCCAGAACTTCAGGAAGACTTCGGAGAGTGGGCTTGTGCTGCCTGTCCTGGGACTGACGATCCCAAAAGATTCGAGATCTTGTGGATAAGGATTCCATGTGTCAACCGTAGCCATCCATATTCCGTCATGGGATAGCTGCAGGTGCTTGATATCGGACGCCGCTATGTATGAGCCCTCCGGGCTTACATTCAAAGTTGTTGCATTGGTACGTGCGAGAGCTTGGCGGGAGATATGACTGCTCGTGCGAAGGTCATAGGTTTGCAGAACAGAATTGGACGAATGGTCGGTGGCTCGGTGAGAAGCCGGCACGGCAATGAGAAGTTGATCCGGTCTCTGGGGGTCCAACACAGCAACAGCTGGGATGATGGAAGGAGAACGCGCCGAGACTGTTTGATGCCTAGGCTTATTGACCTTGGGGATTATTTGTAGGCCAGTGATGGTGATAAAGGGTTGCAACTCCCTTGCCGACAGCAACACGATACTATTGTCAGCCAATTTGACAATGTAAGAGTTCCCATTCGGAGAAACCACAATATTGCAAATGGAGGAAGAAAGGTGGGGTAAAAATTGCTTTCTTCCCGAATCCAGTTGCCATAAAACCATGACAGACTCGTGTCCTCCCGAGAGTATATAATTACCTGTCGTCCCATTAGCAATTCCCTTCCGATGCTTTTCCTGTGTTTGAGGCGAATACGTACCATCTTTGGACCAACGAGTTGCGCAAACAGCCTCTCGATGCCAATGTAGTTTCCTTGGCGCCATGCCCTTTCCACCCTCCAATGCACCCTCCTTGTTGAGGGAGTTCAAAACATCATGGTAAACCAATATAGAACCATTTGCTTCTCCCAAAGCAAGATCAAGGGTCTCCCAATGCCTGCTCCTATTCGAGGTTCCCGCCTTGGGTTGAGATGAGGACACTTTGGAACGAATATCCATCGAGGTAATTTTAACGGGCAATGTCAACTCCCTCCAGGTGTACTGCGAAGTAGTAGGACTCGCTTCATCAAGATCCATAGTCCCGAGTAGAAGATGATTATCATGATACGCAATGATAGCCCGACTTTGTCCTGCACATCTGATATGAGAGATTCGAATGCTCGTTTCGAAGATTAGCTTTTCCTGCGATTTTCCATCACGAAGATCCACAGCTGTAATCGCTCTCTTCCCGTCATTGCGCTCACAGAGACAAAGCAGTTGAAACTGTGTGTCATCCTCGTTCTGGTCGAAGAATACCTCGATGGAAAGAGTTTTGCGATTGGTTTCCCAATGGGATACTTGTCGCCCAGACTGCCAGTCCCATTTGTTCACAGCGCCAGTTGACGTGAAGATATAAAGATAATCTCCTTTTCCAGGCGAAATACGACATCCAACTATTGTTTGACCTGGCGCTGGCTGAAATGAGCGCACGACACGAGCAGTTGAGATAGAATACAGATGAATGGATGTCTCGAGTCCTAGAAAAAGATAACTGATAGGGTTTAGTACAGATCGATAAGTGTGCGCAAATATAAGGAGATCCAAATACTGACTTTTCATCCGCGGTAAAGATAGGATCTAGGTTATTATATCTTCCAGCAAGAGGTTCTGACAGAGTCCAAGATTCAGTTCGTGAAGTATTTTGCTGATCGGCGTCATGTGAGGACTTGATAGTTGATATATGGCGAGAGGTAGGAAGCTTATTTGATGCGACAAGTGACTTCATGTCTTCTGTATCTTGAGGATTGCATCGTGACTTCACTTGTTTCTGACCAATTCGTGTTGCCTTGTTAGGAGCAGCTGTGTCACTAACCCGCGGCCTTTTCGCATGTCGATTTGAATATTCCACCATTATCAGGGTTGGAACAGATACCTTCAATATACCAGAAGGAAAAAAAGACTATTCTGATAACAGGATAGAATTCTTTATCTCTGGATATTTTGGTTGTGATCAAAAACGCAATACCAAAAAGCTGGACAGCCAGTGGTCAAATTGTATATCAGTCAGTGAGTTCTCAATCTTTTTTTTTTTTTTTTTCTTCATGATGTTTCTATCTCACCCAATGATGTTCACTTCTCGGATACCGGACCTGCGCTAGTACATATACGGTTAGCGTGTCATTAAGCCTACATCTTTAGACTCCCGGAGTGATAAGTGGACCCTGCTGAGTCCTCTGAAAATCTGCGCCGTGATACTCTGTATCATCAAATCCTTGCTCGTTAGGATTGTACATTATCTACTCATAAGAGTCTTTGTGATCATCTAAGAAGAATTACACTATTTTCATTTCCTTTGACCAACCCTCCTATATCCAGGGATTCCTTCAAACCAGTCATCTGTTATCTGGAGTTAACAGATAAAGAAATCTAGCCAAATGATTATTCCCGTGCGATGTTTTTCTTGTGGAAAGGTGTGTACAATCTATTAGTTTCTTATCCTACAGTCTTACTGATACATGGCTGGCTAGGTGGTCGGAGATTTATGGGAACGCTACCTACAACTTCTTGATGAGGGGATCGCAGATGGGTAAGATAGTCAGTCTCTCCTTCACGCAATCTCTGACCGATGCCATATAGTGATGCCATGGACCAGCTGGGTTGCAAGCGGTACTGCTGCCGTCGAATGATAATGACTCATGTTGATTTAATCGAAAAACTTCTTCGGTTAGTACTGATTTCGGTCACTGCTACTAATAACAGCTAACCCGTGATAGATATAATCCCGCGGAAAGAGACCGTGCTAAGGCACAAATCTGAGAAGCATCCAATACAGATAAGATTTATACTCTTGTGGCCTGACTCCTACCTTCACTCGGCCAACCCATAAATACCATCTGCCCTTGTATCAGCACTTGAGGGTTCTTGCGACTGGATATTGAATTCTGTGCGACGCAGTTGTTTTCTTGCCTAGAAAGTCTTCTGCTCCCAGATTGTACAAGACTTGGTCAGCGGCGCAGATGATTGATACTCCAGGAGTGCTTGTCATTTGTTTCAACCCCATGGTGACGAATCCATTTGCGATCGTCATAATTATTGCTAGGATCTGGATCGCGAATAAAGACTATGGCGAAGGGCGCAAAGGGAGACAGATCGATTATTTCATGAGGCAGCATGTGTTTCTGATGATCAGGAGTTGTCTGGGTCTATAAAATTCCTCAAGTCACTTTCCATGCCAAGGATTTACCGTCCAACTATCATTCCAGGTTCACATGAATAGCATCAATAATCAAATTCCGAGCCATTTAGTTGAATTCCTTCTTGCAATGGGTTATATAAACATCCTGGTCTATGGCACTATCCTGTCCGCTTCGCTGAGAATTTTGGAATTGACTTTACCAAAGATTATCACTTCCAACATAACTCTGACGAGATAACCACGGCGACGGCAGGCGGAAAAATTGAGGTATGCCTTAGAAGATACTATTTCATCTTTCTATTGCCTTTGGTAAACATGTATCGGAGCTGCATACATTCCTATTTGGGTTCCTCAGATGGTCTGTTGGAAAGTCCCAGATGGTTGCCCCAAATACCTAGCAATGATGTGCATGTGTAATGGTCGAAGTACTGCAGCAAGTTATCAAGAAGTGATGGTTCATTCCTTCGTGACTGCTTTGAGACTACCATTCTTAACGACATGATGACCGCCATATCATGCTTGATATTTATGTGTTTATTATTTGTAGTTCTTTTTATCATTTTTCTTATAGTTGAGATTGAGGCTAATATTTAGAATAAGATCCTCAGTAGATGGTATTTTTAGATGAGCCTGAATGATGACAAGGCGACACTGTACAAAGAGCTGGATCATAAGGTAGGATGGTCAACAGCAATGATACGGTGTCTGAACAGCCACTCCAAGCCGAGTGATCTAGGCTGTGCTACTTGTAGTAAAGTACCTAAGCTCTGAGGCGGGGAAGGGGGGGTCTCAAAGAAAAGTAAATAGTCTTGCATATCAGCTAGGCAATCGCACTTCCTAGTCATCAAACTTTCCCCGAAGGATACTCCAGCGTGCATGATCTTTATCCCCACGGCAGAGTTTACTGGGACATGATGGTAGAAATACATAACTTCTGATTATATCGTCTCCATTTTTAGCGGTTGGACTTCGGGCACTTGTCACTGTAGTCCACTTCACAGCTCCCGCAACATGTAAGAGCTCACGCTGTGTTTGCAGCTGATACATGAACATGCTAAGAAGCGCAGGTCTATCGGTTCTCCAAATTCCAGATTATCAACTAATCCTGGATCGCCCTTGGTGTTTGCACGAGACTGGTGGGCCAAATCTACTGAGATCGACGAACTCGATCTCGACAAGCGTGATACCCCCATGAGGAACGCTTCCGAGGCTGCAGCCCATTACATGCGCCCTTCAAGTGATGCACAACTTGATATTATGGTGGGTGCGAGATACAATTGAATAAATGTCAATTCGGGCAAACTCAAGCATTTCCCAATGGATTTTCATTGACTTGTGTTTCATCAGAGACAGACACCAAGAGCCAACTTGCATGGGGTCAGGGATCAGGTCGATGACGACGAGGGGTCTTCACAGTCTGGGATACCCGCATGGCGTGGACCCGGTGGTCTAGTGGGTATTCCTCGCTCATTTGACATATGTTTTTCTAAAGCTAGTGTACTTCAGACAGTACATGCTCAGCAACATTCGGACAATCGATTTGCCTCAAATCCAGGTGGCATACACCCGAGTATCGCCGTGCCTGTGAATATTTCCACCAGTGAAAGGCAAAGCAGGCAGCAGGACAGAGAGGTAACCGGAAAGGCATAGCAATATCACCCTAAACACACCCACCGTTGGCTTACAAGGCATAGGGAACTCCGAGCTTACCCTTAAGAACCGCCGTTGAACCTGCAAGCGACTGGTCTCAGCATGCAACTCCGCGCGCCCAGACGAAGCACGATTTTGAAGACAACGATCTAACATCGCGCCTGAGAAACCATGATGGTAAGGCATACCTCAAAATCTGATATCTTTGTGGTTAAATTTGTGGGGGTGAAAGTGGTATTGTGGGGTGTATTACTTATACCGTTCATCAGGTGTTCCCGAAGGCTCCGACATCGAGAGAACCAACCAGACACTCGACGAGTCATCTGGTGTGGTTAGCTTTAAAACTGCGCATCTGAACGATGGAGAAGCCGAAATCCATGCCTTGAAATCCGCACTCTCTGAATGCTGGTCACTATGTAATACACTAGCCAGCCTAAGCCATATCCACCAAAGAAGTACAGAATACAGCAGCAGTGTTTCAGAACCGTGGAAATCCTGCTGGCGGCTTTGTCAGGAGCTATATGCCTATCAGGGTGGCGATTTCCCATCCCATATCGATCCAACGCTTGATACTTGTCGCGACTTCTGCCAGACATTATTCGAAGCCAGGGCACGAGATGATGAGCTTGTCGACTCGGTGCTACGCGTAAGCTTTGAGCTCAATAATCATCTGTACAATACCCGTGACCGAAACTTGCCAGATGCTTTTAGGGAAAGGACATTGGAGTTCTATATAACGCTATGTCATCGCCTCATGAAGCAAAGAATGCGACTATCCAGGACAGAATCCCTCTTGAGTGCCTGCTGGTCATTGGCGGAAATCCTATTTAATATGCGGCAAAATTTTAAAGAGAGGAGACAGCTAGATGAGGGCTTGGTTGGTGCCGCCGTCCAGGCTTGTTGGGAACTTTGCGATATTTTCAGACAAGGATGGACGCAACGCAGTTTACGCAGCCCCGACCGTGGCACACCTCGGCCGAGCCAGGCGATAGTCACAAGCGTCATCCCACACACCGAGCAAGACGAGTTTGATTTTAGTGATAAACAAGACGACGATCAATTCGTTCAGAACCCCGAGACACCGACAACTATCTTTGAGGACATTGCTACCGCATCATCTGAAGAAGCGCCCATCCAGAATATCTTTATATTGGGCCAAAGCAGAAATAAAGACCCGCATCCAACATGGTCTTCCAATTCGTCAAGCATTTCTGACCAAACGCAGTCATCCGGGCAAACTTCCTCGACGAACACCGTGACTAATACTCCCATTCAGATATCTCCAACCTGCAGATCCTGGTGACGAAGGCTGCAGTAGACAGCTGATTTTGAGCCGAAGTAACTCTCAGAATCCCCAATTATTTGTGGGGCTACTCTCATCTGATGCTTCCATGACCATGGCGAGTGTCTCCGGTTGAGAGGTACAAAAGCCTGGTCGCGTTCCACCCAACTTCCCGGAAGCCCGCGGCCTCATAAAGGGAGGCGCAGTCAGTATAGCAAGCGCCGGACAGGCGATATTTCAGAGCGGATGGCACCTTTGGCTAGGGGACCTTTTTCGCTTTATGTGTGGATTGTGCATTGAGGAGGCAATGGGCAGCCAAAGTCCAGTATTAATTGAGTATTGATTTCAAGGGATTGAGATCACACTACTTGGCGCCATAGGAAAGCTCGGCCCGGCAATGGTTGGTGTGGCCTGTTTACGAGCACTTGAGATAGACTCAAAATCAACTCCATGTGTATCAATCGACCAGGAACGAGCCTATGTAAACTTGAATCCCTCATAACCTGTATAGCAGTGTGCCAATGGAAACTTTGTATCGGCATTCGAGTATGGACCACATAGTTACTGCTCTTAGCACCTTAAGGTTCACGAGACGCAATTTCTCGCTCCAGTATCCAGTGAACGCCCCGGGTAGTCGATCTGTAGCCCCTTGATCAAGCTGATAAGAGTCCAAACGGAGTCCAATACTGCGCCATGTGTATAGTAGCACTGCAAAGTACATAGCACGTCACTCGCTGGGCTGATAAATCCGCCGATCGAATCCAGCACCTGTTAACAGTTCCGTCGACGAATTTGCTGCGACCAAGGAGTTTGCGTCCATCGCCATATGAACGAAAGCATGAGGAGAGGAGCGGTGAAATATGTGCACCAAGTCAAAATACAGGATATGATACATGGTCAGGCAGTGGCAGCTCTAACATGAACAAATAGGTATCACACTAGACTTTTCATCCTCCGCTGTAACTTGAATAGTTTCGTTCGCAGCCACGTTAAAAAGTGCATCCACATATCTCGAGGACTCTTGCAATTCCCTGAATTGGGCTCGTGCTGTGATGGCAAAGGCCGGGTCTCGAGTGTAGGATGGGGTTCTAAATTTTCCTTCTCCGGAGTAGGTTCTCCTATGTCATCATCCTTCAAGGGTGTGCGCCAGTATTGCTTTTCCATCCTTCTTAAGTGTTTTTCTTCTGCTTTGATCTGTTGTGCTTCAAGCTTCCGTGTTTTGGCGGCTTCTTTTTCTTCAAATGCTTGCCGCGCTGCTTGCACCGTTGCTGCTCGAGAGATCGGATCGGTACTCGTCCGTGTCTTGGATCGAAACACGAAATCTAACGATGTTCGAGAAGCAGGAGAGGCTGTATCCAATGTACTTGCAGGTTCGCGCGAGTAGCCGAAAGATCGGCGAGTGGCCACATTCGTTTGGGACGTGCCCGGTAATTTTGTGAATGAACCATCATAGGTCTGCAGCGACAAACGCGGCCTCTGCCCAGGAGTTGCGCGAGTCGAGGGGCTGAGAGCATCGGTTCCGGGATGAAATGATGTTTCCCCTCCGCGGTTTCTTTTATCGACATCATCGCTTTCGGATGCAGATCTTCCATGGATTGGGTTCGAGGTGACGGGAGACTGGCCAATCGGTTGCGCGTATCGCGAGGCCGGTGTGTTGGCACTTGCATGACTTGCAGCGGAAATCTGCGAGGTCCCACTTGTCGACCTATGATGAAACCCGGGGGAGGACTTCTCGATTGCTCCGTGGGGCAACGGATTGTTTCTGTTTCTCTCCGCGGGTGTTGTGTAAATTCCGAGGCCGTCCCGTCTAAGAGATAGAGAGGACCGGTCGGCGGCATAAGATTGTGAACGATTCTGAGACGGCATCTCGGGCGGGGGCATGGCGGGCGCCAGCGATTATGAATTTCTTTATTCAACTCAATAGAACTCCCAATTTTGTTTTCATTTGAGGGCTCGTTTAAGACGGATGGGCCTCCCCAGGCGCGCGAAACTGTTTCGCACCTTCTTCCCGCCAAGCGAATTATCCTAGGCAGGAGTCGAGGTTCTTTCGAAGATGAAGTGTTTCTCAACCTTATCCAGGTGGCTTAGAAAATATCCCAAATGGTAAGATTCGTCAATCGGGTGGCTTGGTACTTGGACGTCGTTGGCGAAGAATTTAGTCGGAGTCTGTCGGCAATAGCGGTTTCCAGACAGTCATAGGCAGCATTATCTCTGGGAAGTAGGACGGTCACCGCGGTATTCTCAGTAGTATGATTCGGATGATCGATTTGCATTTGATCACGATTGACACGATTCTCGGATCGCAGCGGCCGTGCTAGTCGTCCCTCGGGGCTTTTTACTGCAGCGTGATAGTAGACATCGTTGCGACGGCCTCGATTTGACTGTGGATTATGGATTCCCAGGTGTTCTCGCGAAAAAGCGTACTGTCTGAGATCTCGCCCACCAAGAGTGAGTCTTCATGTGAGGTTGGCTTTAACAACACCGACTGTAGCCACGAGGATGATGTTATCTCCGTGGGGTATTGGTCAATTCTTGGACTTGGAATCAGATTTAGAGTCGGCAATATGGAGTGTACGTGAGAGAATGGCAGTTGTTCTTATAAGCAGGCATATTCTGAGAAGGGTCCAGAATAAAGAAGATAACCCCAAGGACGGAGAACGATACAATATCTATACAGAACGAACGAGGAACCGATTCGCTTCCTGCTGAAGGATCAGCCGGGGGGAAGGAAGGGGGGTGGAGCAAAGATGAATCGGAGGCGGCGGACGGCGGGCAAGGCGCAGCAGCGGTGTAGTGATCATGAAAGTAACCTGAGGGGCGCGGAGAGCCACGGGACTCAAATGGACGAATTGGTTGCTGATTTGGTGGACGGATGCGGGGCCGCTAGCCCTAGATAATACCACCACTTTCCCCTCGCCCACGCCCATGTCCATGTTCAGCCATAGATGGAACCTGCTAGTCACGATTTGGGATTAGCTACTCGGTAGTTATTTACAGAATCCGCAATACAATCTATGAATTGGACAGCGGACTTATGGGGAGGTAATGAACTAAAAAAATGTCATATGGTTGTTAGTGTCCCCGAGTTGTGCTGCTCAGGGGTTGAGTTAGTGATAGTTATACACATGTATGCCATGATATGCTATGCACATTGTATGCTGTGCTGAGCAAGTCATCGAGGTTGGTTTATACAACCCTCCTATACATTGCCTGCCGCCAACCTCATCTCCGAGCAAACCTGTTGATCAAATATTGGCAGATGATCCTGTTTATACTTGTGATCAATGGGATTCTCTCTCCATGATTTCCTGAATATTCTAGAAACTCCAGACCTCAAATAGAGCATCCCACCGTGTAGATCAAGACAATATTACGTTACTAGCTTGAAGTTATGCACTCACCGCCGCCTATCATCTATGGGGATCATCACAACAACAGAGGTACCCAGCGCCGGAGTAGGCGTCTTAAGAGCGACAAGCATTACGGGGTTTATGTAGCTCTTGCCTAGATTGATCCACGAAACCTAGTAGTCGCAGGAGGGGGACAAAATACGCAGTACCACACAGCATACGTATAGAATACTCTCTGTATTATTCCATATCCCTCACTTAGAGCAATGGAGAGAGACAGACCCCACAAACCAGTCCAGCTGAGCCAACCGCACCCATCGATTTGTTGCACGAAAGACACTCGGAGAGGGTACGTGCAGATGGTAGCGGGGTATATTCGAATCCCCTCTTTTCCCTTCCCACACCTTGCTTCGGCCCTATTAAATTTTTAAATAGTCTCTGGTCCTGTATGCACGAGAGGATCTGACACTGCACTGAACACAGGCCGCCCAAGAAACCAGGAACCAAAAAGGTTAAATTATCTCTTGATTTACACGGCGAGGCAGTGAGAACCATGGCTCTTTCATTCAAAGCCGTCGTCGTGCTCTTTGTCCTCATTGCCTTCTCCAGCAAAGTCCATGCATTTGGCGCAGGCAACATTGCATCGATTGCTCGCATTGAAGGCCAGAACTGGCGCCATGGTGATATTGAAGACACCCTGTTGACCTTGACCTTGGCTCGTATTGCGGGTGGTCGCAAATTCAGCAAGCTGGATGTGCAGCGTGTATATTTCGGAAATTGGCTGCGAGACTATAGCCAGGCTGTCGATGTCGGTACTTTGAAATACGTTAGCACCGAGGCTATCCGCATCCTTATCTGGGTGCTGGGCTTTTTGAGCTTTGGGTAAGCTGCCTAGATCATTCTTGCATGGGTATATATCACTGATGTCAATCCCACCCTAGTTATGGCACGAAGGAGTTCGAGGTCACCACAGAGCGCCTGCGTTGCTATGAGCCCACAGAGCATATCGATAACCCGATGGGCTACGCCGAAGGCGACGATGCTCGGAACTACGATGATCGACTGAGAGGGCCCGTCGACGAGGAACGTGAACTTTCAATCGACCCCCGCACTGGTGAGTTGTCTTGAACCAACATGACCATTCTGCCGACGTTCGTGGCTAATATTTCTTGCTTGACCTATATAGGCCTCAAGAACTACATTGCCTCAGAGGATCTTGGTATTGCGACATCTGCAGGGTTAGTTCGACGGGTTTTGCTTCGTTGCATCCAATTTGGCCGTCGGTACGCCAGCTCGGAGAATGAGGAGGACTTGCATGAAGCTCTGCGATTGCTCGGAACGGGGCTGCATTGTCTCGAAGACTATGCTGCGCATTCCAACTATACTGAACTGAGCTTGATCGAACTCGGAGAATCCGATGTCTTTCCCCACGTGGGCCGCAACGCCAAGGTTGAGATCGAGGGAGCCCAGGATGAAGTCTACCCAATTGTTACCGGCACCTTTGGCGGCGTGGACTTTTTTCACTCTGTGCTTGGCGAGATTTCTGACAAGGCCACCCAGTCTGAAGTCCAGTCCCTGGAAAACGTGATTACAGAGTCCCAAGATGGCCCCCCGTCCGATAGTTTCATTCAAGACCTGCTAAACAAGATCCCAGAGGGCTTGATCGGTGACAGCGATAACCAGAAGGACAAGATGGACGAGTTCAAAGCGCAGTCGCAATCTGCCAAGGAAAACTCAGCAAACGTTTCACCGCGCGAACCCGAGGAGTGGACCCGTTATCTAGACGACGTACACCAACAGATGTATCCGATCCTTGAGTGGCACGACGATCTGATCAAGTCGATCAACAAGGCTATCGAGCAGATTCCCGTGTTGCCGGAGTTGGTGGAGCAGATTCAGGAGCAGATCACAATCTTTGTCTTCTCCATTCTTGCACCCTACGTTGCCCCCATTATCGGACAGGTCAAGGCCGAGCTGCAGACTGGCTCCTCTGAAGTCATCCAGAGCAGTAGAACGCAGCAGCACATTGTGTTCGATGATGATGACTGTTCGAACCCGACCCATTCGATGCTTTCGAAAGACCATTTCTCAAACATCCTCAACGAACCAGCAGGAAAGATCGCATCCCAGACCATCAAATGGACTGTGCCGCAGATCATGGAGTGCTGGGACAATGAAGATGTTGATCCCGAGAGGACCCTGGACCGGATCATTTCGGGCGTGTTCCACCACCCGGTTCTTCGCGACTATGGCGAAGATGGTGCCGTTGACATGCGCCGAATCATGTTTGGCACTGTCCAAGAGTGGTGGGAACAAAAGTCCGGGGATGAACAGGATGCCCTCCGGGGGCAACTTTCCCGCGATGGTGTCCGCGAAGGACTCAACCATAAAGAAGGTGTCAATGACTGCGGTCATGGTTGCGGCAAGCCACTGACGCTGCACAAGGAGGGCAGAAGCAGCTCGGGCGAGACCTCCGACCCAAGCACCGACGCATTTGGAAAGGCCGCAGGAGACGCCGCCGGCGGCGGTGCAATCGGTGGCCTAGTCGAGGGTCTCGTGAGTGGCGTTGGTGATATGCTACGGGGTGACTCCGACTCTCGTCCCGAAAGAGAAAGCAGCGAAGGGTATGCGCAGGGAAACCAGTATAGTGGCGGGTCTGGTGAACAGAATTACGAGTATGGTAGTTACGAGAATAGCGGTCGCCCGCAGCGGTAAGCAGACCCAGCCCACGCTCTCTCCACAATTCATTGGCCACTGACAAAAACCAGTGACGATGTGCCCCGTTACGACGGATACCAGAATGAAAACCGTGAACGATATGGCGGAGATGAGTACAGCTCTCGGGGAGAGGAGTATAGCTCTCGCGGAGAAGAGTATGGCTCCCGGGGGGGGAGTACGGGTCTCGTGTAGAGGAGTACGGGTCTCGTGGAGATGAGTACGGGTCCCGTGGAGATGAGTACAGCTCTCGGGGAGGGGAGTACGGCTCGCGGGGAGACTACGAAGGAGAGCGTTATGGCCGAAACGAGTCCAGTGAGGGCCAATATGGCTATGAGAGGCGTTACTAATCCGGGTCCAGGAATTACGAGTACTAGTCATACATAGCGCTTCTTGCAGCAGTACACAACATGATCATGTTATGCGTTTATATATTGGATAGCTAAACTATCCAATGATTTATCTAACAGACCATCTTGCGCTACAAGAGATATACATTTATAAAGGCCCGTAATAAATCTTTGTTGGTGCTCTTTGTTGGCTAGATGCCGGTATCTCACAATGTTATATATGTACTTGATTTCACTCTTCGAACGTCAGACCACTTGTTCTGAGACACCACACTGAACGGATTTTGCATTTAAGTAATCACCACTCCTTAATCTCCCCCGGATTAGGCCGCTGGACCCGAACAACCTTGTCGGAATTGAGCAAGCAAAGCGGATCCAAGGCCAATTTGAGCTGCGGAGCGGTAATTAGAATCGTTAGCGGTCCAGCTGCTTAAACACTAGTATGGGAGTTATGGGACTTACTCGGCGCATCGCATCTACTGTTGACTCCCCGAGTTCATGTTGAAGGTAATCACGTTTGATGAGACCGACTCCGTGTTCCCCTGTCACTGTGCCCTCCAGTTCCACCGCACGTTTCACCATCCGGTGGATGACGGCTTCGGCGGTTTTCCGTTCCTGGTCATTGAACAAGATGATCGCTGGTTGCACGGAGCGCAGGGTTAGCAACTGTAAATCTTCTTTCCTCTCTCTCTCTCTCCCTCTCTTTCTTTGCTTTATACTTCAGGAAGGTTGGGCATTCTTACCGTGGAAATTGCCATCGCCGACATGGCCACAGATACCTGCTAATAAACCGCTTTGGGTCATGTCTTTCTTGGTTGCCTCGATGATCTCAGGCAACTTGGTCATCGGGACCGCCACGTCCGTAGTCCAGACGTGATCCTCAGGGCCGCGTCTCATGGCCATGACGCTCCAAAGCGCTTCTTTCCGAGCGCTCCAGAGTTCCCGCATCTCCTCGCTTCCGCGGGCAAATTCAAATGAGCGGCCGGATGTAGAAGAAACAATGCTTTGGACCATGCTGATTTGCTCCTTAACTCCGACTGGTGTTCCGGAGAACTTGAAGAAGAGGGTAGGCGACTCCTTCCATTGTCGGCTCGTAGTGTGGCTGTCGTTGATGCATTTCATTTGCACATCGTCGAGGATCTCGACACCGGCCACAGGAATGCCCTGCTCGACCACACGTGTTACGCATTCTGCGGCATTTTGGATCGTGGGGAAGCTTGCAACAGCAACATTTTGGCTCTTGGGCTGCACAGTCAACTTCAATGTCGCCTCGGTGACCAGGCCGAGTGTTCCTTCGCTTCCGATGAAGAGTCTAGTCAGGTCATAGCCAGCGCTTGACTTGCGGGGTCGCTGCCTCGTCTTGATTACGGTTCCGTCCGCAAGGACAACCGTAAGAGAAAGGACCCACTCCCGCATTGTTCCGTAGCGATAGGCGTTGGTCCCCGAGCAGCCAGTTCCAACCATACCACCGATCATGGCACCAGGGCCTGGGTCCGGGGGGAAGAACAGGCCGTCCTCAGACAACCGTTCATTGAGCTCTTCCCAGCCGAGGGCTGGCTGCACAACAACATCAAGGTCTCCCTTGTGAAGTTCCAAGATCTGGTCCATTCGGCGGAAATCCACGCACACGCCACCCCGAGTAGCCGCAAAATGGCCCTCTAGACTGGTACCACCCGAGTAAGGGGTCACCGGAATGACACGGCTGTGACACACTTTCATGATCTTAGATACTTCTTCCGTACTCAACGGATAGAGGATCAGGAACGGGATCTCGTCTTCCTTCCGGCTGTAGGAGGACCAGTCTGATCCGGAATGCGCTTCCAGATCCATATTATTCGTCGACACATTCTCCTTTCCTAGGATTTCCACAAAGTCCACCCAGGCGGCCTGGAGATTCGACGGGGAGACGTTGTGCTTTGGTGGGTCTAGCTCATAGACCGAGGTCGTGGACGAGGCCGGAAGAGAAGCAGGTTTCATGGAACCCAAGTAATAAGCCCCGCTAGAGAAGAAGACCAACGCTGAATCGTGTATTAGAGAACTATATATGTGTATAATACGTAGAGGGAATAGAGCTCTGCGCTGAAGCACGGTGAATAGGTAGGCTGCGAGATGACGTACCAAACATCATTGCTGCATAGCGGCCACCTTGCGTTTGGGTTTGATATTGCTGGTATCGCTCTTGCTCGGCGCGCTCGCGCTTCAGCCGTTGATTTGTGCTTTCATATAGTTGATTCTTGAAGGAGGCGTTCTTTTCATCTACATTGCGCGTAGCAGAAGCCGATAGATATCTCGGCCGAGACGTGGGGAGGTGAGAGATGACAGGCGCAAAGTTAGATTTGGATTCAAGAGCACGCAGAGAGCGCCTCAATGGAAGCGCACCAGCCCTGATCATGGTGAGAGGAGGTCACGACTGTCAAGGGAAAGGTAATCTGAGGTTCTAGGCGAGTTTGTTGCGACTTGACGGGAGGGTTGGAGGAGGTCGGGTTGTCTTGAAGTAATTGAGTGGGGATATAGTGACGGCAGAATTGCGGTGGCAGCTCCGGGCGGTCAGGAGCTTCTCCGAGTCCGGTTATCCTCTAGAACCGAGGGCCGTACATAGTACAGAGGACACTCACATACACTAGTATTTGATTTGATACGGATCAAACAGGGCACTTTTTTCCTCCATAATTTTATTTGGCCCATATACTTGTCGTTAGTGGGACAAAGTACTCTGTACTGACAGGAGAACAGCGCGATGACCACAAAGGTAGACCGTCGGTATGCCCCTACGGACTCCGGCACGTATGGCACAGCAATCCGATACAATACAAAAGTATGCCGAAGCTGAGCTCTACAGTTCGATCTTTGTAAACAGTCTCAAATAAACCAATATTTACGAGCTGTATATGCAAAAGCGCTACTTTGCTGGCAAGGAGCGTATGATATCGGGAATATCCGACCAGCCAGCCTGCATCGCACGGGATGCCGGCAGCATGGAACCCTGTGCACCGAACAAGAATAGATCCGTACCAAGCTTCGCGGTACAGTAACTAATTGTATTGATCCCGACTTTGTTGGACCCGAAAAGACTGTTTATCCGGATACCCTGGACACAGAATCTATCAACACTGAAATTGATGGATAGATAGAATCATAATCATTGAGCAGTGGGTGAAGATTTCGGGTAATCCATAGCGAGTCTCTCGAATATATTATACAATGGGGAGTTTAATCAATACAGTATCTATCAGTGCTTGAATAATAAGGTCTTTAAGTGGTGACATCAACCGGGCAGTGGATGACTTACAGCACCACGGCTAAATAAGCATCTCGATCGTCGGTCGCCGGTTAAATCGAGTGCTTTTAAGCCGGAGCTGGGGTGTATCCTGGCCAATAGAAGGCCCCATACCTACGATGGAGTCGGTATTACGTAGTGGAGCGGGGAGGGGCTCAGCATGTATACCGGATAGATGCGTTTCTTTTTCATTTTTTCCGTTATCTGTGAATGCCTTTATTTTCTTGTAGGCAGTGACTGATAAAGATAAAGAAGACAAACAGAAACAGGAAAGAAGGTAAAAAAAAAAGAAGAAAACGAGAAAGAAGAAGAGGGGAAAAGGAAAAGGAAACGGAGGTGGGGGTGGGGGATAAGAAGACCTCTTACAAGCTGTTGCAGGTTTCGCTTTTGGGCCTGGATCAACCCTTTTACCTATCTACCCGATCAGCTTTACTGGTCTTTTTCCATTCAACAGCTATATGTTCTGTAGAACCCCACAGTATCTTTGCCCCTCTAGTTTATTTAAACTAAATTTTGCTTTATACCCTCTCATCTACTTTCCTTCAACTCGGGCTATCAAAGGGTTGCATCGAGGATATCACACGTCTAGTAACAGCAGCAGAAGATACGCAAAGATGAGTGCGACTAAATCAACTAGCCAGGTAATGCAGACGCAGTTCGACTTGCACGAGATCGAAGCTGACCACGATTGCATAACTAGAACCTGTCCTTCGTCCTCGAGGGCATTCACCAAGTCAAGTTCGAGGACCGACCGATCCCCGAGTTGAAAGATGCCCATGATGTTCTGATCGACGTCAAGTTCACGGGTATCTGTGGCAGCGACGTGCGTACCGCCGACACCCCATCGAAAAAAAAACCCCGGCTAATCTATCTCTCGCCCATCGCATGTAGGTCCACTACTGGGAACATGGCTCTATCGGACAGTTCATCGTGAAGGACCCCATGGTGCTGGGCCACGAATCCTCAGGTGTAGTCAGCAAGGTCGGCTCCGCCGTCAAGAGCCTCAAGGTCGGCGACCAGGTCGCGATGGAGCCCGGCGTCTGCTGTCGTCGATGCGAGCCCTGCAAGCGCGGAAAGTACAACTTGTGCGAGAACATGGCGTTCGCCGCGACCCCGCCCTACGATGGCACGCTCGCCCGGTACTACGTCCTCCCCGAGGATTTCTGCTACAAGTTGCCCGAGAATATGACTCTGTCTGAGGGTGCGCTCATGGAGCCGCTCGGCGTTGCGGTCCACATTGTCCGACAGGCGAGCGTCACACCGGGTCAATCGGTGGTGGTCTTCGGGGCTGGGCCCGTGGGACTTCTGTGCTGCGCGGTGGCGAGGGCGTTTGGCGCCTCGAAGGTCGTTGCTGTCGATATTCAGAAGCCGAGACTGGATTTTGCGAAGAAGTATGCTGCGACGTCCGTCTTTGAGCCTTCAAAGGTCCCGGCGACCGAGAATGCGGCGCGGATGATCGAGGAGAATGGGCTGGGCCAGGGCGCTGATGTTGTCATCGATGCATCGGGCGCCGAGCCTTCTGTTCACACCGGCATCCACGTTCTCCGCACTGGCGGCACTTACGTCCAGGGCGGTATGGGTCGCAGCGAAATCACATTCCCCATCATGGCGGCCTGTACCAAGGAGTTGAACGTCAAGGGCAGTTTCCGTTATGGAAGCGGGGACTACAAGCTTGCAGTTGATCTGGTTTCTTCTGGCAAGGTGAACGTGAAGGAGTTGATCACCGGGACGGTGAAATTCCAGGAGGCTGAGCAAGCCTTCAAGGAAGTCAAGGCTGGGAAAGGCATCAAAACTCTTATTGCCGGGATTGAGTAAAAATATATACGAAGACAGGTCAGGTGGGAAATTGTTCGCGGATCGTATATTTAGTGCGTCATATTAATGTCAATTGATACATGAAAGCAATTCTTTGGGTATCGTATTCAATAGGAAACAAGAATATCAACACCTCTGCTGCACTTGCATAAAGGCATGTCTCACATAAGGCGGCGCATTGCTTGAAAAGGCCGCAAGAAGAGATATAAAGAGAGAAAGTAGAGCTCAAGGCCCGAGGTGGACATGAAATGGCTTGCGTATCTGCCAATTCAACCATTTCAGTGAGTGAAAAGCAGAGCCAAAGATTAGCAACATCCCCCGTCTTTCCCATGGCGGGGCCCACTCGGACGGAAAACATCTTCCCACTCTCTCACACCGCTTCGCCAATTCGTTGCACCTCTCCTGGGAGTCTTGTGATGCAAATGGATTATATCGTCTTCCATGCTCATTTGGCTCCGGATGCTAGAGCCGTCACTGGTGGTGTGACCATAAAGGGCCGCGTCGCCGTATTGAATCCCACTCTGAGGATCATCAGGATCTATCTCACCCAGTTCGATTTTCGTAAGTATGATCCGGGCTAGCCGATGGAATAATTCATCTATACCCTCTCCAGCGAGGGCAGAGATCTCTACCGAAGCAGGGATATTTGATTTAGCAGCCCAGCGAGAAGTTTCTTCCGGACTGACCTCGCGACCACGAGGTGCAGACGTTGCTGTCATCCTTGTCCCCGTTCCTAAATGGTTTACAGAGCGTATTGAGCCACCCCCCGACTCAAGTGTGAAAGAGGGCTGTTTGCTGCAAGTGCTGGAAGGCGTCGATGGCTTCAATCCATCGTCGCTGGGCTCAATATGCGGCACGAAATCTGCACAAAGATCTGTCTTGTTTCCAGCCAGCAGAACAGTAAGATTGGGGGAGGCGAGAGCACGAGCATCCATTAAAAAGGTAGGGAGAGTTTCGAATGATGCATGCGACGATATATCATAGACAAGGATGGCCCCCGCAGCCCCACGGTAGTAGGACCGGGAGACGGATCGAAATCGCTCTGTGCCAGCGGTATCCCAAAGCTGTAATTTGATCCTTGTTCGCCGAGGACCTGTCCCCAGTTTAATGATCCTCGAGGCGAACTCGACTCCTATCGTTGGTGATGACAGCACCCTCCCTGTAGATTGTATGAGTGAGCCAGCCGGCGACCCAGGATTATAAAGGGCTTGGTATAGAAAGAGGATTGAGATGTGAACGGGTCTGTCTAGAATTCAGAGTCGTACATTCATTCTTCACGAATCGATGTAGCACACAGGACCTGTAAACATCGTCAGTTAGCAGTGGCCCCTAACAACAAAGGTTTTGGCAATTATTCAAACTCACTTTCCAGCACCACTTGGCCCAAGGAGAATCACCTTGGCCAGATAATCATACATGCTCTCCAACTCCTAACAGGCATTAGACTCGGCCTCGGTCACATGTGGGCAGTTTTCGCATCAACACCCAGAGGGTTAATGTTGTATCATGAATCATATGGGGTGAATTCAATACCTGGTTTCCATCAGGAAGAGAAGATGCCGCCGAGACATTTGAGGCTCCTCTTCTACGGACCATGGTGTGTGCTTCGAGAGGGGATTGCGAAGAACATGGGGAAGATAGATAAAGCTAAAGGTTTCTGTCCCAGTAGTAGATAAGGAGACAGGGACTATACTAGTTGCGTAATCCCGCGCGGCAATCGGATGGTAGCCGCACCACCACAACGACCTGGACTCTTTCTGATATAGCTTTTGCTTTATGCAATTTTCATGATCATATAGTTCATTATCCTTATACCAGGATTCTAGTCTACGTCTTGTCTGGCTTCGCTCGAGCGAATAGGAGAATTTGACTGTTTCTCTTAATCAATGGAGCGCCCCCAGGGCCGGCAAGCTTGGCACATGGAAAGTGAACCGGCATACGAATGCGCAGGTGTTTGTATGTCAAAGAATGTATTACTCTTTATTTCTTTGAGTATTGACATGAAGTAAAGAAATCCCGAATAAATTTTTTTCTTATCACATCAAAAATATGCAACACGCCATGTATGATGACATAACAAAATCTTGTCTCCAGTGAGGGATGCACACACATCTCGTGGAAAAGGAAAGGAAAAACATGAATAAACCAGTCATAGTGTCCGACAAGAATCACTTTCGAGCTGCCCTCTACAAGAACAATAATCAACTAGAGCCAACGATGTCGATGACGCATATGGACCAGAGTAGTCCAGCCGTCACAGCATAAACTGCTGATCGGGTGGCCACACCAACAATATTGCCTTGCATTGGACATGGGGCCACTTGCTGTGTGTTTCTTTTCGTCACTTGGTTGGCTTGCCGGAGATTTGGCGATTGCGCCCATTTTAGGCTTCCAAAAATGATTCGTACTGGGAATGGCTTGTATATTTGAGGCCCCATGGCTCTTAGACCCAGCAGAATCACTAGAAACCGGAGGCTTCATGTTTCCCCCAGGTGGTATGCTATGCCAGGCCTCACAAGAGCAGCAAATAATGAATACCTTCTCAACTAGGCGGGCTTGGAATCGTTCCTTGGCTTGAATTGGCTTCTGCGTTTCACTTTCTAGGGCGCCGAGGGTCGCAGCTTCTGTTCCACTGCCAGTGCCATTGGTAGAGACGCTTTTCGATACATGATCCCTTTTGCTGGTACTATATCCAGGTTGCTCATCAGAAGGACCACTGATATTATGGCCAACGGATAATGCGTTCGGGTACAAGGTCGTTGGAGGTGAATTGCTCCGTCGGCCTGATTTGCAACTGACGAAACTTGTTGGTGAGGCTTGCTCTTGTGCGTCTTGATCAGCGGTGACTGGAGTTGTAGAAATCCTTCTCTCGGTTCTCTCATTGTTTAGTTGATAAATTGGTTGACTCTGCCGTTCCTGTGGCGTCTTAGTTTCCACACTTTCATCAGTGGTCCTGATCGGGTCATATGGAGATCGGACATTTTTTCCAGAGTTTGGCGTTCCATTTGGATAGTCTTTTGACTTTTGGGAAAGCCCTGTACTGCGTGAATGTGAGGAAGTAATGTCCGACAACACTGGCGTATCAGTTGCATGACCCAGCGAATAGTTCACCAGGCGTCCGTTGGCATCGAGACAGGTGCCTGCATATTTTTCACTTTGTTCATTTTTGGTATGAAGCGCGCGCGAAGCGGGCAAAAGCGAACTGGGCAAAAGAGAAGCGGTATTTGAATTGAGTGCCGTGCTCTTATGGGTAGCATCTCCTAGTTTTGTTTTGTCCCCGTTTTGGATCAAGGAAGTAACAGCCTTCTGTCTGGTTTCAATGGGAGGCGTGTTAGCTCCGTGCTCTCTTGTTAGAGGTGATTTTCTGAGAATTCGGGGTTGTCCATGAGAACGCGGGCTTGCAACGGGCTTGTGTGAGATAGCCCTTTGTCTGGACGTATCTGGTTTGTGCTGAGCCACCGGACTTCGCGCATCCTGGGCAAGTGGTTTGGCTCCTGCAGTGACCGAAGGAGCTTGGCTTGTTCCAGGAATCTTCAGGTTCTGTGAGGATAATGACTGTCGGTGGTTGTCATAAAATCGATCGGGTTTCGAGTTTCCCTGCTCAAGGTAAAGAGACGCTGCAAAGCAGCTGCGGTCAAGATCAGTCGGCCTCCTTTGGTTGTCGTCTCTCCTCATCTGGCTTCCAGTTGTATATCTAGTGGTGTCTCTTGTCTCCCTGGTAGACTTTCTACCCTCCACTTCTTGGTGACTCGGCGATATGGTCTCTGAGTGAGGTACTTTTTGCAACTCAGCCAGCTTCTCACGGTTTGGGAGAGATGCACTGTCCTGTGTAACGAAAGTTCTCGTTATAGTTTCACCAAGTCGTTCAGGGAGATGCAGAGGTAGGGAAAAGTTTGCAGTCGTCTGTTTCAAGTGGCCTTTTTCTTCTTCGCCTGGGAGTCTGGGGACTTCAGGCGCGTGTCCCACAGAGACTTCAGGCGCGTGTCCCACAGAGCCTCTGTCTTTATGATTTACAGAGCTTGATCTGGAACGCGATGTGTGCCTTGAGCTCGAAAACACCGAAGAGATCCTCCGAGAGAACCGGTTGTCATCGGTGCTAACGCTTGACGCCCTGCTCGAGCTGCGTATCGGCTGCTTTTTCGTCAGACGGCGGGTTTCCCCTTTCGTGAGGCTACGGCCCCGGGCTAGCTGCGCATCCTCGAGTCTCGATAATCGCTTCTCGAGCTCTAGTCTTTCTGCTTCCAGGCGTTTTGTTGCCCGCCTTTCGTTCTTCTGAGTGACTGTGTTGTTGCCATTCTGAGGGATATAGGCATCTGCTGTCAAACTCCCCGGCTCATTTGAGCAAGACGAAGGCTCTGTCCGCTCAATGGCTTTTTGGAAAACCGAAGGTATTGAAAAGCGCCTAGAGCGCGAGCTGTTTCGATTTGAGGCCTCAGATCTTGGCGAATTGTCCATATGGGGATCGCGCTCATTGGTGTTCGCAAAAGACGAGTGGTTGGGGAGGTATTGGGCGCTGGCGCCGTTCTCTGTTCGTCCATTTAATCGTTGCTGACCATATTGGCCGTCTACATTTAATATAGATTTTTCAGAAAACAAAGGGCCATCGCCCTGTCTTTGCTTCAGAGGATCATTAGGCACGCATGCTCAAGCAAGACATAATTGAGCTTTCTAAATGGGAAGCCTGGGTGTTGTGTACTTACATAACCTGGTATGTCTTTGTGAAATACTCGCTGTATATGACGTGAAAGGGACGACCTGCGAGATATTGTTGCCTGGCTTTGCTGGTCCATTTGGTACCGGGGAAGGAGTGTGGCTCCAAATGGTGGCGAGTCACGATCTCAATTGGCAACGTATCGCAGGTGAGATGGGAGTTACAAGTGCTTGGAACAAAGAAGATTGTTACTCGTTGATGTTTGAAAGACCCTTTGAGTTCAATGCAGTACCATCCATAGTAAAGGTAGCATTCCTAGCAGTAAAAAAATCTCCGTGACTTAGGCAGATACTGGGCGACTTGTCATCATAGCTAGATGTGTAACAGAAATAGAGACATCTCACTTTTCGAGAGTTGTAAAAGTGATAATCTCACGTGAATATCATATCCAAACAAACAGTACCAAAAATAGCACAATTTGTAATGCTGTGCAGAGAAGAAGACAAAGAAGACCAAGAAAGAAACAGGAAATTTAGAAGAATACTAGGGTGTGACTGCTACTGTGGTATTTATGGAGAAGGTACATACAAATCACCTGCATGTCTGAGACTGCCAGGTCACTGCAGTGGATGATAAAACTTCCGCCTTGGGTTGGGCTTCATTGGAATATTTACCATCGTATCAAGGATATCCCTTTGCTTTTGTCCTTGAGTTTATTGGATGATGTAAAACATCCAAGACAACTAATGACTAGTATGTGGCCAACCACTTGATGAACTGGATTTTCTTCTGTTTTTTTCTGTAAAAACATAAAGTCGCGTAGAAAAATGTATGCATCTATCCAGGATTTTAGACGGAAACTTTTGGTTGTAGACTGTTCAAATACCCAAAATGGATAAGAAATGTGATATGTATAGTTCAATAGTCCGTTCTCTCGCATCTAATGGTCGATTTACAAACACTGCCCGCAGCTTACTACATACAGATTCAAGACAATCGCCTCCCACAGGCGGTCTTTTGCCACTTCACTTGTATACAAGTATGCGAAAATCAGGATATTACCCGATAATCAGCTGACACCTTAGTACCGAGGAGTATCACCAGTATACTCAAGATACAAGTCTCATTGCCTTCCTTCGGGCTACTATAACCCAAGAGTCGTTAGGCATTTAGTACAGTATCAATTCAGATGGAATGATCCTGGGACGACAGGATCACCACTGAACAATACCCATGTCCAGGGCTAAGTGCGATTGGAAATATACAATATATTGATAAAGTTTGAGCAGGAGAAGTTCTTTGGCAAGTTGTTTGCTACATTACTAAGTTCGTTTTGGCCCAACTCTCCGCACTGTCATCCTTGGCAAAGCATCCGCATCCGGCGCGCTCGTTCTGAGGCCGATTCCTATCGACACCTTATACACGGGGTACAAGCAGTGAAGTTACCAGTGAGTATAATATTGATCTAGAAGATTATCAACAATGGCAAACAATACCAACAGCTCTAACTCAAGACCGCCGAGCTATCAACCTCCCCCGGATTATGAATATGCTGTGGGGACGGAGTCGGAGCCTCCACCATACCACAACTGGCAAGAAGCTGTGCCTGATACGACGACGTTCCCTCCACCACCGATTACAGGCTTCCTGTTCTCTAACAGCGGCAATGCTAGCACCAGCGACGCCGACCGTGCCCATGAATTCTGTGACAAGACCCCGCTATACAGGCCTGTTCGGCCATCGGCTCCCGTCTATGATTGCGTACAAAGACACGATCTCCGTCCCGTGCCGCCAGCGGAATTCCATGGGACCATCTCCGTCTCCACAAGGCGTTGGACCGGATCGACAAGAGATGGAAGCGGTGACTGCATGATATCAACGCACCTACCCCTTTACTTCGCATGCGAAGACTCGCCGTTGGTGACGGGGAAAAGCAAGACGATATACTTCGAAGTTAAGTTGACTGGACTCAGAGCAGGCCCCGGATTTGGAAACGCAGATACAAGTGGGATGTCGGTCGGGTTCTTAGCACGGCCGTACCCCACGTGGCGATCCCCTGGCTGGGAAAGAGGCAGCCTCGGTGTCTTCTCCGACGATGGATGTCGCTTTGTCAACGACTCCTGGGGTGGCAGAGAATTCACACGCGAATTTGCCATAGGCGAGACTATTGGCCTGGGGATGACATTCAGTCCCCCGGACCCTCCAGCATATTCCAGTCTACCAGTAGAGAGCGCCGCCAACAAGCTCAAAACTCAAGTGTTCCTCACTCGAAATGGTCAGAAATCAGGTGACTGGGACCTTTACGAAGAAGTCGACCAGGAGTCCGGCGGTATCACGGGACTCGAAGGAGACTTTGACCTGTACGGCGCTATCGGGTTATTCGGCGGAGTCGACTTTGAAGTCTCCTTTGACGATGTACGATGGCTATGGAAGCCCTAATAGGCATGGCCTCGGCATAGGCGCCATGTTTTACTTCCCTGCGATACACAGGGATGGGGCTCATGCCAAGCAAGTGCTGTTGAGAATGTCACGTTGCAAATCACCGCGTACGGCCGGATGAACTTGCACCGGCGTGCAACAGTTCTTCTCCGAAACCCAAGCCAATGAAGACAAGCTCCCGGTTATATGTTTTGTTTCAGAGTGTACTAGGAGTAGATGCTAATGCCAAATGGGGGATTCCAGGTGTCATCCACTAGTACTTGTGTGTTCGCCGGGGGGGGGGGGGGGGGCAGGGGAGATAAATGAAATAAAGAGAAACGGGAGGCTCAGCTCGGGTTAACCGACTTTGCCACTTTCGAGGAACGGCCTAGGGATCATGACCTTCTAGAAAACGGAGCTTGAGACCGACCGGGATTTTCCCTGTAAGTACATATACATTAGTGCATTCGGGGGGAAGTGTGGGTTGCATTTCCGCCTCAAACCTCATGTGCTTATGCTGTGAGTCGACCGGAACGACAAAGCAGGCTGAGAGATGCACTCTGGCCAAGACATGCTCTATAATTTTGCCGTCCTGTACGTACATTTTCAATGCTATTCAGGCGGGCCATTATGTACCTGGACAGAAAGACGTAGGTTTCGCCATATCTGACATTGGCGCGGGACACGCGGCGTTCTCAGCCAACGGACCGAAGGTGGCTGTTCCAAAGTGGCCATGGCTTTTAATGTCTTAGAATTACCACGCGACATATATATATATATATATATTATACAAATGCACCATGTCTAGGTTCTAAATGAATGCCGGGGTAAAAGATGATATCTGAAACATGGCTGTAGGTCGTATTGTATGTGGTTCACTGTTGGCTTGAGGCCTTATTTATATACACTTTTATGAGGCCTAGACCTGAAATGGAACACTTGCCGCGTTTATAGATAGGAGTGCGATCAACTTGAACAGTGTATGCTTATAACTTGACTCTCCTTTTTGTTCCTATCTCAAGACGCACAAGTGAAGAGAATATCCTATACGTGGTGCTGGGATGCAATACCTGGAATACTCATGTAAAAGATTACGAAGCAGGTCACGAGGCACGGAAAACGTTATCATAGTGTTTATCATGCCTGCTCTGTCGTGCTTTGTTATTTCCCCACTCGGGTCGTTCGAGGTCTCGACCCATGGAATGGACAAGGTCTATCAGACCTCCAACGGGTGCAATCTATCATTACGCTTTTTTGAAATTATCGAGATACTAGGGGGGGGAATGGATATAGTGCTCGCATCAGTAATGATTGACCCCAAGCGGGATTTGGACAGAGTCCGGAAGTCAGCCAGGGCGCAACAACTCTGCTCTTCTGAACAGTGCTCATTTGGTTATTACCTCAAACAGACATACTTTTTTGAGTTACCCCCCCCCCCCCGTCCCCGGCAGACAGAGGGGGGAGGGAACTAGCTCCAAGAGAAAATGGGACTGTGGGAACACGGGCCTGATATGGTTGGAGGGAAGGGCTGCCTAGCTGCATATGAGATGCAGTAGGCGATGTCACTAGCTAGATCGCCTAGGTCGTGCTGACAACAAGTTTTTCTAAGCCGAACGTCTCAAGCGGGCTGGTCTGGTCTTTCTAGTACTAAATTCCCAGGGCGTCCTGACTACCTACCTTAACGGGCGTTGTGCTTGAGGTACTATTGTTAGTAGGGCCAATCACCTTACCCACGCGGGCGATTTCACTCCACCTCATTCATCCCATGAAATGCGCATCGCTGAGAATATAACAACTCTCAGGTAGCCCACCGGCCACTGCACTATAGGTACACGGAGAAATGGAGTCCATAATTCGTAATCTCTGGTAACCCCACAAGCGCCATCAATAGACATTAACACGGCCCCATAACAGATTCCCATTCCACATCCGATCACAACCAGTTATGGAAGTATCATCTGTTTATTATTATACACTGTGTAAAACTGATATTAGATTTCTTCAATAATTAATATATGTACTGTAGTGGAAGGACTAATAACGACTGGGTATATTTCTTTTGATGGCCGTTACCCTTAATAAATGAAATGCTACGCGGAGAATTATCTACGCATATTAAAGCTAAACAACGTGGTAATAAAATTAATAAAATGACATGACTAAGACGGTAGGGCTCAGACAACATTAAATGATGATCTTGCTACTTTGTGTGCAATCCAGCTCCCGGCATATTCCCACTCCTGGGCTATTTCCCTCTAGCGCGGAAGAAGTTGTGCCTGTAGCAACAAGTACAATATGCAGCACGCATTTTCTATCTACCTACAGTACACATTGTGTGCACTCTGCCCTCTGGTCTCCATTATCATTGTCAGGTTCCCTGACTAAATGCTATAGCTCAGTATTAATGTGGCCCGGACACGTACTCCACGGTGTTAGTGGGAAAGTTGGCCGGCCGGATTGATTGGTTCGAACTATTTTCTAGGTTCCTGGAGGTACCAAGGTACGTACTCCGTAGCCCGTACCTCTCCGTATGCCTCACCTTACCATGTACGGTAAGTTGACGAGCTCGGACTAACCGGTGATCTAAGCTAAGGACCTGGGAACGATTTACCGCCTGCTACTAGTGGGATGGACAAAGTACCAAGTACCTACCTTAGTAGGCAGTAGTCGTGAGCCTCGGAGTTCAGAGAGCACTCCCAATTAGGACGGGTACTTGAGTTGGACTTGCCAGCGAATTCCCCGCCGGGCTAATTAGCACTCACTTTTCCGTACGAACTTACCTACTAAGGTATCTACCTACATACATTGATATGTAACCGTTATATATGGGCTACGTGGTCTCTGGTAATTGAGATTTGACTAAAATAATTACTCGTCATCCCGTCCTGAAAGCAGTAGGAACAGGAAGTAGTTCGATCATCAGTGGTTTGCGCTTGTGCACTGTCCGATCCTGCCACATGTGCAGCCCCCATAGACGGAATAATTATCAGAGTTTCTCATCCGACAACTTGATTTTATCATCGCTTGGTTATCGGAATATTTATCACTAATTTGGTTACTGTTCACGAGCCGTCCCGGATGCGGGTTTATTCGTCCAGAGCCCGAGATTAGAAGACCCCGGAATTCGTACCACTACTCTTATTGACGCTCAATGATGATGACGACGGTGTTATTCTCGCTGGTTGGCTTATTCGCTCGAGAACCACTACTAAGTCTCTAAGTTATCTTGTTTAGGGATTTGACAGGAAACAACAGAGAAAGTATAGTTAATACGATACAAGGGAAACCATATAATGTAATCAAGCAAGATAAGTAACAAGGTGAAATAAATACATGAAATGACCAACAGACAACAAGAAAAAGGAAGGACTGGCGTCCTGATCGACAACATAAACTGCATGTCATCTCCGGATAGCGCGTATGGAGCCCTTCGCCCTAAGTCGTAAAATGTGTAGCGATCGTTAGAATATCATGTCGGCTAGCAGAGACCGAGACTGTTGCCGTCCACGGTCATACATTCTTCAATAACTAGGACTAATTTGGACCAAAAAGTGGGCATTAGACGATGGAGCCGAGATCCCATTGTGACATGAACGGGAAGTTTGGTAGACTACTCGACGCTACTCTCGCATTGACAGTGGATTGTCTCCTTCATCAAATAGCTTGGGATCGGAGCCGAGACGCGGCGTAATACAGTCTTTCCTAATTCTCCACCGGAACTATAGTCGACTAGCTAGCCATAAAGGAAAAGGTAAATAAATAAATAAATATCGGAGTTTTCTCAGCCACTATTTCCACCAGATAGCCTCTCCAGGCTATCTGCAGTAAGACTTACCTGGGAGTACGCGGCCAAACCCGACAAATGGAGTGGCTTCGCCAGGGAACAATTCAGAGATTAAACGCATATTGCTGCCGGTAGGTTTGTGCTCGACTCCGGAGTGGTAGCTTAGTACCTGGTACTTTCGGCAAGTGCCTCGATGGATCCTCGGTCATTCCCGGGTGTGGGTGGAGAGCTCGGTGTAGTCCAAATACAAGTCCGTGCAGCCGAGATACGCGTCTGTTTCGCCCGTGAAGAACATCAAGATAACCTCCAACGATACGAGATTCATTGTCCTTCCTAATGGAATGAAATACTAAGATAGCGAGTCAACGTGGTAGATTTGGTGACCGGGAAAAAAATGAAGAAGAAAAGATGAAGAAGAAGAGAGAAAATGCACATTGCCTATAAAACCATCCTTGTACAGACCGAGGAGCTTGAGGCGGTTCCCGTCAAAAAAACAGCTCGCCCGCGCGAAAGGCTTGTTGCCTAAACCGAACTAGCCCCGGCTGAAGTTAATAATTTACCTTGCAAGAATCCTAGACGGCAGAGCAAGCTAACTGCCTAGTCAGGAAGCGGGTATGGTATATTAGTACGAAAACAAGTTCTTAATGGGTTTGTTTATTTTTAGTCTTGGTACTTTGGACAAAAGGCCTCGAACAGGATAAACGCCTTACAGGGGTACTACCTATCGGGGTAGTGATCCTATTGCCTTAGTTCCTGTACAGGTACTTTTTGAGTTAGTGAGGATTCGCTTCACTACCAGGTATCTGCAACAGACGACTGATTGATGGTTTGGTACACCAGTTTCCTCAGCTCGAGAGTATGAGATCATAGTCACCTTCTCGTGCATATGACACGTCCAGAGTAGGTATTGGCTCGTGCGGCGGTCTTTAACTTAGTCAAATAGACTCAAACCCGCAGAGTATGGGGAAGCGATTACTTGCTGCCCACCCCTGGCCAGGAACTTACGGAGCAGATGTCTGCTAGCCTCCGACACTTGCTCCGTAGTGTACTAGTAGACAATGGCCGACCTGACTGAACGCAGTAAAGCACACTTCCTATTCAAGTAAGCTGCATGAGATTAAATTACCTTCTGCAGCCACCACTGAATATGGTGGGCAGCCTACATATGGTCTATACTGAAAGTACTTGAACTGTACCTTCTATCTACACCGGCCCGGGATATGCTTTGTTGCGTGTGTTAGCGAAGAGTTGTGGGTGCTTAATGAATATTGGCATATGATTCAACTGGATGTGTGAGCAGGAGAAAGGTTTGAACTACAGCACATAGTCTCTGGTGGATCATGATAATGTACGGAGTATAATAGTAGTAGGCAGGTGAATCCATGGGCGATCCTTTTCAATATGCTTACTTTATGATTATATCAGCGCTGTACATGGTTGATGGCATCACTCCTCCTTACCAGGTACCTCTACATAGGTACTACCTAGGTACTTAAGAACTACTCAGCAGCCCTAAGGCTATTAGCATCCATGTAGCAACCACCCCCGTATGCCAGCTGCCGAGACAATTCAACCTTCGAATTGTTCTGTGGAAATAGTTCGGCCTGGCCAGATATCAAGGTTAATCAGGTCAAGTCTTGTGCAGATTATTAGCTAAGAAGTCATGCACGTCGTGTGTGGCTTGGTTCTCAACGGGGCGAGGTGATGCCGTCATATTGAACACTGCAGATGCATGATGATTCCATTTCGGGTTACTAGTCCTCTGTCACCTTGCTGGTTGGTCTGAGGCCTGTGCGTAGGAGAAAAGACGATAACTAGGTACTTCTCTACCTGTATTGCAAGTCTGTCCATATGACTGTAACGCTTCTTCCGCATAGACAACAAATCAGTAGATGATGCTCTATCGGAGACACTGGGATTCTATATTTATCTCTTATGAAAGAACAAAGATACCGTTTGTATCGGACGGAATAACAAGTTTCCTGATAAGTCCGAGTCCAGGGAAACCTACCATGAGTATAGAACCTTGCCGGCACTCATCACAAATGGCATGCGGTCACTATCATAAGGTTCTTCTGGTGGTAAGGACTATAATAGACCTGTCGTCCATCATCACAATCCCTTTATGTTTACAGACTGTCTCATCTGTTGCGAATGCGCATGACTAATAGTGTTATGGCATAAAGTAAAGATACGAATTATAATAATATACTGCATGCCTCATTCGATCATCATTGATAACATCCCAGAGATTGATCGCGACTTCGTATTACTCCCAGCCTATGGCACCATCTGAGCTGTTTGTCCCCACCAAAGCTTCGTGATCCATGAGTGCTTAGTGGCTGACTGATTGTGAGCTGCATGAGGCCGCAAGCGGCGCAAGGAGAGGTGGTTGGAAGATCGCCGCTAGGATCACCGTGACACTGAACGTTTTTGGCTCGAGGCCTTAGCCAACCCATTCTTGCATATAATATATGAACATAATAACATGGAGTAGTATGCGCCCCATGTAATTGACAAACAATGGCTTTGTCTGCTTACCCACTGTTTGAGAGTAACCCAGGAGACTGCAATATATAGAGTAAACGACTACAAATAACTGTTACATCGTTGTCTGTACTTTCCTTTTCCTGGTCGAAGCGAAGTCTTCCAGTGCCATACAAGCCTTGGCAAATATTTTGTATACCCACTAATTCTGGTCTCTATTTATTATTAACCTCCCTAGTTCACATTGATCGTGTGTTCGTAATGATTGTTTGGGGCAAGAACCCGGTGACACCGGGAATGAACCAATCCAGGCATACTTTCTTAGTGTCGACAAGTACGAAGGAGGTAGTTTCACAAGGTTCGTCCATCGTATTTTTGCCCCGTCGATGTACAATAGACCCAACGAGGAAAAAGGGAAAAGAAAAGGAACTGAGAAAGGGAAAATGCCAGGCTCCTATAGAAGACGTTCTAATACTATTTATCCATATTATAAAAAATGGACGGATTGGCCAGTCATATCAACGTAATAAAGAATTACTCTTTCTGCTATGGTACGGGTTCATGTATTATAACTTATAGCCGAGACAGACACACCAAAGACACAAAACCACGTAGAGTTAAAGGTTCAGACAGACGGCCTAGAAAAGAAAAGGAAGAGAATCATGAGGTCTAGACGGATGATTCAACAGGGATGGTGCACATGATTTTTCATTTCGCCCCTCTCGCCCGGACGACTATGGATGGTTTTTTCTCATCCCTGTTTCGTTGCCGGTATATTATCCTTATCCTGATCGGAGGTTCCTGGGGAGTCTGATAGGGTGGGATTTTTACCACTATGCCTTAGCTCCCAGTATGCTCTGCCGTTAATGGAATAGAGCTTGCATGGCGAACTCCCCATCTTTCTTATCAGCTTGATATATTCATGATCTTATTATCTATATATCTTATTAGAATCCTATTATCACGGGGTTATTATTATCAAATATTTTTTGTTAGATACCCATGTACAGAGTAATATGTAGTATGTATGTCGAGGTAATGACAGTGTGGACTGATAAAATAGATACCAACGGGGCAGCGTTAGGAGCTCTCCACTCAAGCTAATAATAATATCAATAATAATGATGATGATGATTTCGCTCCCACAATCCCCGCTAAAAGATAATTAAACGATCTTGTGGATGAATAAAAGGAATTCCACCTTTTCAGTGACTTTAATCTACAGATTCATCGGCATCACTTGCCATAAGGTATGTCAATACATTGCGGAATTTATCCTTTTTTTTTTCCCTATTGAAAGAGGGTAGGTTCTAGGCACATGGGTATAAATTCAAATCAATATAGTCAATTCTTTACAAAATAAAACCACCTGGCAACATGGTAATATTTCATTGCAAGGATCTTTCAAACGGAGACGACGAATCTCCGGGGTTATCCCATGTGTCTTAAGCAAAGCGCCAAATGTGGGCAAGGCTGTAGGGATCATAATAATAATCACAATAATGGATAATACCTACGAGATGTAGGAATGGGATGGTGAGAAGGGGGGTGTGGGATGAGGTCCGCTCCCCGCTCCCAGCTTGCTCCGAGCCCGAGTATTTCGGAGACAATCCACTACCGCTAACTAGTCTACACTGCTAAAAAAACCTGTCCACTTGCTAACTTCTCCCCCCTCCCTTCTCTTAAGAGAAAAACAAAAACAAAAACAAACAAAAAAAAAAAAAAATTCTAAATAAAAAAAAAACCGAAGTATCGTCATATTGCCTAGGGGCTAGATAAATTCGCACACCACCGACGGTCTCCACTCGCTGGCCCTTGTCACTGCACAGTGCACAGTAGCTGCATGGGCCGCCGCCAATCCTTTCTCCACTCTCAATATTCCTCTCTCAAGTCCATCTAGATCCAGGGTCTCTGACGCACGAGGCAAAAATACACGCCTGCATGACACGCAAAATGACAAAGGAACTGGAGCTTAGTAGTAACTTTCCACCCCCCTTTCCCTTTTTAGGGATTGGATCGATGAAGGATTGTCCGTTGCTGGCCTTGAACATGTGCCTTCCCTGCCTATCTACTGGCTCCATCTGCAGCAAATAAAAGTCCCCAATGCTGCATCTCTGTCGATATTCGCTTTCTCTCAAATGCCAATCCATCCCGGAAGTTTTCTCCTTCCAGGCCTCTTTTAACTTAATACCGAGGAGCCTTCAGCACTCTGACATTCGTTTATTCAACTCTCTCGTTTTACTTGACTCCCAGATCTTGAAGTCGCTTCCTCTCGATTCCCTTTTTCTCTTTCTTCCCCTACTCCCTAACGTCTTCCACCTTCTCTGGCTATCCCTAAACGTCGTACACTCCGTTCCCAAGGTTGTCCCCGTTGCTTCCACGGCCAATTAGCTTCATAGTAGCTATACCTAAGGAAACAGCCGGGTTGTCACCAGGAGAGAATTCTGTGCTGCCATCCGTTTCTCTGTGGGCTTTGCGTACGGCTCCTCTTCCCTCAAGTTCGACAATAGGACAAGGCATAGCAGAAAACGAAAAACAAAAAACAAAAAACAAAGACAGGCAGACAAGGAGGAAAAGTAAAGACCCTCAGGATTCTGGTTTCTTTGATTGGAGAAAGAAGACCGTGGTCTTGAGCTTCCTTGTATCATGGCATTCCCTTTCATGCGAGCGTTTATCGCCCTTTTGTTAGTATACGAATTTCCCTTCAAAGATCCACCACCATACCACTATATACCCGGATTTGTTGCATTCGGGTCTCCGTGAATGCATGGCTAACTGTGCCTTTCTCGTTCCCACGCAGTCTGTACCGCTATTTTCGTCTGGTTCTGAACCTTATCTCCTTCTGGTCCTTCAAGCCCATCCCGAAGCCAGAGAACCCCAAACTCACCGCGCAAGATGTAACGGTTATCGTCCCTACTCTGGAAGGCTGCGGCGATGAATTGGTCGAGACAATCCGGAGTATCCTTGACAATCATCCGTTTGAGCTTTTGTTGGTCACCATCGAGGCGAATAGAAAGAAGGCCGAGAACATGCTGAGCCTGATGCCGGCTTCGAAATCGAGAATCCGTCTCTTCACCGTCACCCACCCGAACAAGCGGCGTCAGATGACGAAAGCCATCCCAGAGGTTCGAACGGCCATCACTATCTTTGCCGACGACGATGTGAGCTGGCCACGCACTCTAATGCCTTGGATTTTGGCGCCATTCGAGAAGGATGAGCGGTACGGAGGTGTTGTCACCTGCCAGCGCCTGCGCCGCGCCGTCGCGCCTACGTTTACTCAGCGTATCTGGGGATTTCTAGGGGCCCTGTACCTGGAGCGAAGAAATTTTGATTGCGCAGCGACGACACACATTGATGGCGGTCTGCCTTGTATGTCAGGACGTACCGTCGCATACAAGACCAATATCCTTCAAGACGAAGATTTCACTTATGCCTTTACCAACGAGGAGTGGTGGTTCGGTAAATACCAGCTAAATGCTGACGATGACAATTTCATTACCCGCTGGATGGTGTCGCATGGCTGGGAAACTTTCATGCAGTACCACCCTGAAGCCGAGGTCTTGACCACTCTGGAAGACAACCAGAAATTTCTCAAACAGTGTGCACGGTGGTCGCGGAGCAATTGGAGAAGCAACCTTACCAGCATGTTCCACGAAAAACACATTTGGTAGTAAGTATTTCTTCCCTTGTTTGGGCACACATGTTTCCCTTTTTGGAATATGCCAGCATAGTCTATGTGTGGACGATAGGCCTGGATTGGCTACGCCCATAGCATTGTCTAAAAAGTTCGAAGTCGGTCGTACATCCGCTAACGTTTGATTTAGTCGTCAACCCTGGAGCGCATATGCCGTCCACCTGACAACCTTGGCGCCTCCGGCCCTCTTGGGCGATTTGCTGCTGCTACTGCTATGCCACAAAGCGACAGCACCATGGGATGAGCCTTCCCACACGCTTGCAATGCAAGCACTTGGTGCTTGGATGTTGATCAGCAAATTCATCAAGCTCATTGGCCATTACATCCGCTTTCCGGTCGACTTCTTACTCCTACCCGTGTCGATACTTTTTGGTTATTTCCACGGGGGGATCAAGATGTACGCGGTATTAACACTCAATGTGGTACGTAACAAGTCTCTATCTCTGGTGGTCTCCGTTTTAGTATGCAGTTGGCGGTACTCTTCCCTGCAGACGTCCCCTATTTCCCAACCTGTCTGATTCAACACTTGCCTTTCCCCGCTTGGATGCACTGATGGTTGGGGGGGGGGGGGGCTATCAGTTCAAGTTCTGAACCCCCTGTATACACAACCCGCCCCGTAACCCCATTGGGTTACCCGCGTCGTTTCTCCCCCCCTACTTCCCTTTCCTTGTGGTCTCCTACTCAAATTGTGACGTTTTGACCCTCTCGGCCATCTTGCCCCACCGTCCTATGGCTTTCTTTCCTTTTGGCGTATGTTTGTTTGACGTCAGGAAAACTAACTATTTTATTATAGACCACCTGGGGTACAAGGGATGGCGCCGACGATTATGACGCCGAACGCATGAAGAAGCGGACGGATACTGATCGTATGAAGCAACCATACCACCCTAAATTTATCACGCAATAGGGGCTTTCGGGGCACTACGCGGGCGACAACCTATGCCACGGCGTTGCTTCCACCCCCCTTTGAACTCTGGCACCAAGTCGCGCTCCTAGTAAATGATGCGAGCTTTCGAAACAGATCCGCAGCTATCTGTTTTGACTAGACTCAATCATTCTCTGAGGCTCTTGGTTGCCACTGTTTACGACGAAACGCCCTCATGACACATTGTTTGAAAATTTACCGACCGAATCCTTCGAAAGGTCCTAGATATCTTTAGTCCTTTTCCATTGATCTCGCGATATACCACCCCCCGATCTCGTCGCTCCAAGTGCTTACTCATACCTTTTTATATGGCGCTGATCTCTCGTCTTTTCTTTCCATTTTGCTCCATCACTTAGCGTGTCTTTTCGAGTCTTTCAGCACCCTCCGGCAATCAGGGTTAACAGAACTGAAATCAGGTTGCTTCCCACCCGACATCAGATTTCCCTGTCGCATGCCAACCCCAAAATGCAATCCTCTGTTTTTGTTCTGTTCTGTCCCTTTTTTTGTCCCCCTTTCCCTTTCCCTCTTCTTTCTTCTTCTCCCTGCTCATTTAAGTCTTAATGTCTTTTTCTCTCCTGGTTTTGTAAATTACAAAAGCATGGGCGGAAATTTTGCTGTGTTTCATAGGGTTCGATACCTCTGGCTTCAACCTCTTTTGGGTTTGATCGTTCTAATCTTTAGATTGATGCTGGCGGCTCATTCGCGTTCCAAGGAGCCTCTTGTTTCTTGTTGTGTTGCTGTGCTACGGTACTAATTATGGATCTAATTATGATTAATCCTTAATATTTGATATTTACTATGAACTTATCTGCCAAAGACGATTAAATTCTCGCGTACTAACTAGTCGATGTGATGAGTAACGGGGGTGTAGGGTTTGTTTGGAAGCATTTGAAGGAGTGAGAGAAAGCCAAGAACTACGAGATTAGACGATAAGCACGAAGTGGTAGACAGCAGACATTGTGATCAAAAAGAGGACAGTTGTAGGAAAAGAAAAAGTAAGAAACAGTTGGTATATTCGAGTACTTACATTCAAAGTAAATAAAAGTAAATAGTACGAAGAGCGCCCAAGTACCACAGAGTTGGCGGATCGGGATCTGCTTATGTTGACAGTCAACCCGCCGCGGGAGAGACATTTTCTCCGACGGCAACCCTCAACAGAGGTAATTTCCCCTACAATCTCCGCCGGATCAAAATATATACATCGAGGATTATCAGCAACTTCAATCGCTGCTGAGTTGTCCGTGCACAATGCTTTTCTTATCACGAGCCTCTCCTTCACTGTCCCTGTCGGTGGCGCGGACATCACGACGCGCAGTTTCAGGACGTCACTTTTTCCACTCGCCCTCGTCCAAGGCCGCTATTGCCCACCCTGTTACCGCCCATGGCCCTCCTCCGAAAGCCCCATCGCCTGCATCTGGGCCTGAAGAGAAGGTCACCCGTCAAGAAACTCCAGGTCCCAGCCAAGGGAGGCCAATCGTACCGACGAGACCTGATGTCTCGGCCTTGAAAAAGCGGTTTTGGAAAAATGTTGACATTCAGGAACTACCGGGTATGTCTTCCTGTTCGCTATAGCTTGCGCCGCTCTCTTGAATCCTGGTACATGTGCTAACTTCTCTTTTTTTCTTACTCTAGAGAAAGGCGAATACCGGGTTTTACTAGACACTCGACCAGTTCGGACACCCCAAAAAGACATCCTTTCTATCCCGTCCACGAAACCGCACCTTGCAAATGCTGTGGCTTTGGAGTGGGATGTCATGACTACTGCCCAACAGGCGTTGAAAAACCATTTGATTCCGTTGACGTCGCTTACTGCGCGCGCTGAAGACATCGTACAGGAGGATAAGCGGGGGGAACACACCACACGCGACCAAATTGTGGAGACTGCGATGCGCTACCTGGAAACCGATACATTGCTCTGCTGGGTACCAGAGCAAGAGGCGCACCTCGACGAATATGATGAGAATGGCCAAAAGCGTGAAAGCCTGCGAGATGCTCAAGTACGGATTGCCAAGGATACAATGGCTTTCCTGAGCACCAAAGTATGGCCCGGTGTCGAGATCAAACCTATCCTAGACACGAACAGTATCTTCCCTGCCTCTCAGTCTCAAGCCACGAAGGATATCATTCAGCAATGGGTTCGGGACCTGCAACCCTACGATCTGGCCGCTCTTGAGAGAGGCGTGCTCGCGGCGAAAAGTTTACTTGTGGCCGTCCGACTTGTCACCGAATGGAGTGAAAATTTCCGTCACTTTCAACAAACGCGCCAGAAAAAGTTCGGTATCGAAGAGGCGGCCGAAGCGTGCAGTTTGGAAGTCAGCTGGCAGACCGACATGTGGGGTGAGGTCGAGGATACCCATGACGTTGACAATGAGGACATCCGGCGACAACTGGGCAGTGTCATTGTCCTTGTAAGCGGACACGCCAATTAATCACCCCTGCATCTGGATATGCCTGAACATACTAAGACAGCTGTGACGTGCGTAGCCTGTATTATATACAAAAAGCTTATTAGAATATAATCGCCGAGAAATGTACCATAGCGTTGAACTATCTATTTTTACATTTCCCCTCTTTCTTTCCGTTTCATGATTATTCTCGTTTTCTTCTATTTCCTATATATTGAGTTGTACCAATTCTAGCCAGCATAGAATGTGCCCGTGGAGCTGCCAAGGCGCGGAACAAGCGTCACCAAGTCAACATGATCAGCACTGGATCCCCTCTCCGGATCAAAACGACAGACCTTCGACAAGCGCATCTCGACTTCTTATCCTTCCCCGCAAACAACACTTTTCTTACATCGAAAGTAAGATCCTCGAACTGATTTGTCTTTGTCTGCGTCGACTCCCCAAGGCATCGTTGCTCGATATTTGGGAAGACTCTCCTACAGTGGGGAAGAGATGACGGAAAGGGGTGAAGAGTGAGTTGGCCGCATTGAACACACATTTCTGATACCTTGGAGCTTAAGGTCGCGGGGTAATATCTTTGAATGCCTGATGGGATGGAGAAAGAAAGAAAACAAGAAAGAAAACCTCCCCAACGGTCTGGACAGCCTAGAGCATCGTATCCGGCGGGGTAGTGAAACATCCGGGATTCATATAGAACGACCAAAGCCTCATTTAGCTCCCCCCCCCCCAGTCATTCAGGATTTGTCGGATGTCTTGCTAATACTACCAATTAAAAGGCACCATAGCCGTTCCCCAAGCGCGCTAGCATCTGCGCTCCCCCCTCGTGACGAGTCTAAAGATAACCACGGGGAATCTACCGGTCGCGAACACGGTCCCCTCGAATCCGCCACGTCTCCCTTGGACAGCTCCTCGGCATCCCCCGCCATCCACAGCTCCAACCCCAAAATGTCTCACGAAGAGGCAAACGCCCAACCCATGCCAACGGAAGCCCCCTTGGAGCCTATCCGCTCCAACCAGAGTGGTGGGAATTCCGAGAGGCCGGCTTCTGTTTCTCATCAAGAAGCCGGGAAGGTGTCCCTCGATCAGTCTGTGCGGACGTTCCGGCTTTTCGAGATCCTGCGGAGTGGTGACACTACTGCTATCTCAAAAGCCATCCAGGAGATCAACGATTCCCAAGGCGCCAACAGCCTTTCCGGCACGACGATACTCCACCTGGCCATCCAGTGTGCGGAGCCACATGTTGTGGAGTATATCCTGTCCTCCGGAGATGGTCTTGATATAAATGGTCGCGATCGAGATGGGAACACTCCTCTCCATTTGGCTGCCCAGCTAGGGAGGGGACCGTTGGTCCGCGAACTACTGGACCGCCCTTCTGTCAACGATTCGATCGTTAACTACAAAGGTCAAACCGCCCTCGACGTTGCACGCACTCCGGAGATCTTCCAACAGCTCCAGCTCGCAAGGTCTCTCTTCATAGATGCCAAAACCCAGGAAATCCAGTCGCTCGCGTCGCAGGGCGATCATGAGAAACTGGAGAAAGTACTGGAGGAACCCCGAGTAGAGGGGATAATGGATATCAACAGTCTTGACTTCGCCACGGACCCTGCGACATCTCAGTCCGGTGGGACTTTGTTGCATGAGGCAGCTAGGAAAAGAGACACGAAACTTATTCAAATTCTACTGATGCACGGCGCCGATCCCTTTCGCCGCGACAAGAAAGGCAAGCTACCACAAGACGTGACAAAGGATGATAAGACGCGTGCCATCCTGAAAAAGTCACCCGCGGCCGTTATCGCACAGCGTGGAGTCCAAGAAAAGGCCATACTCGGTACCAACTCGGCGCAAGGTATCTCGGGCAGGGCTAGCACTGGTGAGGCGCCGTTTGCCAACAAGGATGCCCGTGAGATGAGGGGCTACTTGAAGAAGTGGACAAACTATACTAGCGGCTATAAGCTCCGGTGGTTTGTACTTGAGGATGGTGTCTTGAGTTATTATAAACATCAGGGTAAGCCGAATCCGATCTACCGTTCTGACAAGTGTCTAACATTCCATTCTACAGATGATGCTGGGTCTGCGTGCCGCGGAGCAATCAACATGAAGATCGCGAGACTCAACATGGACGCGCAAGACAAGACCCGTTTCGAAATCCACGGAAAGTCGTCGGTCAGATATCATCTCAAGGCTAACCACGTTGTTGAAGCGAAGCGCTGGTTTTGGACCTTGAACAACGCTATCCAGTGGGCTAAAGACGAGGCGAAGGAAGAAGAGAAGCGCCAGACGAAACATGCTGAGGCTCTTCGCCAAGCCAAAATCGACCGGGTTGAAGGCCGAGCTCCAGAATCTCCATCTGAATCGCCCAACCTTGCCCCCACCAAGTCAAATGGTAAAGGTCTTGCACCTCCGTCTTTGGGCTACCAAAGCAGTAGTGGCACGAGACTCAGCACCTACGCGTCTCGCACCACTCTAGAGAGCACAGCCGGAGATGATGAAGGCTCTGTATACAGTGCCTATGACCAGGGCGGCGCACCAAATGAGGTTAACCGAGTGGTTAGCCAGATGACTGCTGGGCCTGATGTAGAAGGCGACGATGATGAATACGGCGACTATGCATCAAGTCGTGAGGTTCCCACAACCGACAAGGATGCTTTGAATATCACTGCCCAGTCAGCCAAACTGCAGCTAGACATTCTGGCCAACGTCGCCTCATCGTTGCAAGCAGAAAAGTCGAGAGACCAGAGCGTGACTCTCGCCGACCCGGCTGTTGATCAAGCCCTTGCTGCATATGAAGCTGCGGTAAGCAGCCTAAAGGGACTTGTACATGATTTGCTCAAGATTTCCCGCGACCGCGATTCGTACTGGCAGTATCGACTGAATAAGGAAGCATACCTTCGGAAGATGTGGGAAGAAAGCATGGCTCGAGTTGCCCAGGAGCATGATGAACTACAATCGAAGATGGGCGAATCGGAGGAGAAACGACGCCGCACGAAGCGAGCTCTCAAGGAAGCATTGGAGAACTCGGCGAACACAAGTCGCGCAATCAGCAAGACCCCGTCCCGTGTGCAGGTCACGTCTAAGGAGGGGGATGAAGAGGAGCCTCATAGCCCCGAGACGGCTGAAAGTGCCTCTCGGCCCGATGAGCCAGCAACCGAAGAACCTATCCGGCGCAAGCAATCAACTCTTTCTCATATCAGCAGTTTGTATGGATCGGGATCGGAAGATGAGGATGAATTCTTTGATGCTATCGACGCTGGAGAGATTGAGGCTGAAAACATCGCCAAGCCGGAGGTCAAGGATGAGACTGAGCAGTCCGAGGATGGGAATGCCGAATTGCGGGCTGTTAAACGCACTCAAATTGCCCCTTCGTTCAAAGGATATGAACAACCGGTCAGGACCAGATTGAAGATGGATTATGACAACCGCCCAAAGATCTCTTTGTGGGTAAGTGAAGACGTTCCTTCAGTGTATGTTGCAATATATCTAACAAAAGTTCTTACTCCAGGGAATCCTGAAATCTATGATCGGCAAGGATATGACCAAGATGACCCTGCCTGTCTCGTTTAACGAGCCAACTTCGTTGCTCCAGCGAGTGGCGGAGGACTTGGAATATACAGATCTTCTTGACGTGGCAGCCGATCTACCGGATTCAATGGAGCGTATGGTATATGTCGCTGCGTATGCGGCGAGTGAATATGCATCGACCATTGGGCGTGTGGCGAAGCCCTTCAACCCTCTACTTGGCGAAACGTTCGAATATGTCCGGCCGGACAAAGGTTATCGATTCTTCGTGGAACAAGTCAGCCATCACCCGCCAATCGGTGCCGCATGGGCTGAAGCTCCACGGTGGGATTACTATGTAAGCATCCAGCCTATGTCTCGACCAAGTTTTGAATTCTGACTAACTTTATCATCAACAGGGCGAGTCTGCTCTTAAATCCAAGTTCTACGGGAAATCCTTCGACATCAACCTTCTTGGGACATGGTTCTTGAAGCTGCGTCCCGTGTCGGGTGGGGAGGAGCTCTATACCTGGAAGAAGGTGACCTCGTCTGTTATCGGCATCATCACTGGCAATCCCACACTTGACAATTACGGATTGATGGAGATCAAGAACTGGACTACGGGTGAGGTTTGCTACCTGGACTTCAAACCAAGAGGCTGGAAGGCCACGTCCGCATATCAGGTGGCTGGCAAGGCTGTGGACCGGGATGGAACGCCCCGATGGAGCATCGGCGGTCGTTGGAACGACAAGCTCTATGCCCGCCATACACCTGGATTTGAAGCACCGGTTTCTGGCCAAGATCCAGAGTCGGCCAAAACGCTTCTAGTGTGGCAGTGTCACGACCGTCCTGCTGGAATCCCCTTCAACCTGACACCGTTTGTCATCACTTTGAATGATCTCCCGGAAAGCTTGAAAGAACATCTCCCGCCCACTGACACGCGGCTACGGCCCGATCAACGTGCCATGGAGGAGGGAGAGTACGATCTCGCCGCTGAGGAAAAGCACCGTGTGGAAGAAAAGCAACGATCCAAGCGAAGAGAGCGAGATATGAACGGGGATGAGTATCAGCCTCAGTGGTTCACTCGAGCCAAATGTCCGATCACGGGCGAAGAATACTGGGCTCATAACGGGAAGTACTGGGAGTCTCGGGAAGCTCACGATTGGAGTCGTAGCGAGGATATCTTCTAAGAGACGGATTGCTCTTTTGGGGCCGGGGATTCTTGTCGTGATAAGAGCTGGAAAATGCTCGTTGATCTGTCATGCACCTTATTGTATAGAGTAATATCAGCCAGCCTTTTCAACCAGGGTCGTCAACTATCGGACATATGTCAAATTAATTTCAAATTTGGAACGCAAATCTACAATCCTATCGCAATTAGCTAGAACAGCCAGGATTATTTTCCTTTTGATAGAGTGCTTAATTCACTATCATGATCGTAAACGTATGACCACCCGGGCTCACGTGATCCACCCGGGTCTCACTCCGGAGCAAAGAAAAAGCCGGCCGCTGCAGCGTTAGAAGCGAAAACACCGACAACAACTACGCCATTTCCCATTGAACTCAATCATGGCCGGCGGATATACCTGTGGGCGCTGCCTGCAAGTGTTCCGCAACTCCACAATTCGACTGCAGGCCCAGAGATTCCAACCGGGGCGAACATTATCCTCCGTCCGAAGCTTTGGCTCATGGCGCCATAACCCCTCCACACAAGCCCAGGGGCAGACAAAACGGCCGTCGCCGCTGGACGCTCCGAATGTAACGCGTGAAACGTCTAGCAATCCGCTGGAGACTCGAGCTCTGTTGAAACCGAACAACCTTTTCCACCCTTTCACGGAATCTCCAGCACCGGCTATCCGACAACGCGCGGCGTTCATCAAGCAGAATGCCTTCTGCCCTCATCCGAGCCACCAACCGACGCGTGCACCCGTTTCGCCTCACGATCCAGAGTCGCGGAAGTTATCGCAAGATGCCAAATCTCCGCCAGCCCACTCCCACCACGAGTGCCCTGACTGCGGTGTTCCGATCTACTGTTCGGAGGAGCATTGGATGGATGACTTCGAGGCCCATTTGGAGGTCTGCGAGACCATCAGGCAGATAAACGAGGATGATCACGATCTGAATTCCGGGCGCTTCTTCCCGGAGTTTACCTATCCGGGGCTTCAGGATGACAATTACGTCGTCAACATGACCAATTGGGACACTTTCCTCTACACTCGCGAGTTCGAGGCTATCAATGATGATCGCAGCATGCGGCAGGTCACCAGGATGCTCACCTACCCGTTGACCATTGGGAGCGTCTTGCATGAGTTGAGTCCTTATACAGTTCGCTCTGGGGGGAGGCTTACGACGGAGGGGCTTAAGAGTGCCAGTGGTGAGTTGTCGGACGTCTTACTTTAACCCTCAAGTCACCGAGCTAACTGTGAATCCCTTCAGCATTGCGGTACACCTTGCACCCCCCGAGAACAGGAGAAGGCGTCGATATGCAGGGCCTACGGCTCAAGGCCCCGCCGGTCCGTTTATTCATCCTAGGAGCGCGCGCCGAATCCTCTCTTCCTCGCGACGTATGGCTTCAGCTGAGCCATATCTTCCCGCGCTCTCTCATCCACTTGATCTTTATTGGCCCGGAGAGCATGACCAACAGGGACGCCGAGTTCCCGCTACCGGAGCGAACGCCCGAGAATCCATTTGGCGGCATCGTGGAAGACCGTCTCGGTGGACAGCTGAAGATCACCACCTATGTCGACTACTTCCACACGATGTACAACGCGCAATATTTCCAGCCGTTTGACCCGTACCTGGACTGCGTTGTTCTGTTCCACCCTGGCCTCGGTCACCCGGCCAGTTCTCACGAGTGGGAGGAAACCCTCCCTCAGCTTCTGGAGACCAAGGTCCCCATCATCAGCACGGGCTATACACAGTGGGACATGGAGAGGGACATCAACTGGGTGCATGAGAAGTGCGGCGGGGAGTTCGATATGCTGCTCGAGCCTGGGGAAAACATCTTCCGCAGTTTGCGGTGGGATCTCAACGACTTGGATCCACATGATGTATCATGTGGGAACTGGGGTCTTTGGGCGTTCCGAGGGAAGCGGTATGTCATCATTGTTCGACTCTTGGTATCAAGTGCTAACCTAAGTGTCTTCCGCAGATACGAGACGACCATGAAGGAGTAACTTGCTCTTTGACCGGTTCTTAATTCCCCTCAGCCCTTTCAATTGTTTAAAATGTATGTTGCATGCCACCGGCACTGGCTAGATTCTTGTGGATACGGTGTGGACACGGCAACAAACCATTGGACTCCCACACTCCCTTCCATGGGGCAATGGGTCTTGTATACCTACTCTGTAGTATAATTAGTTGCATTATCACGATCTAAATCTTCATTCTTGACCTTGTTTACTACACTGATAAGACAGCCGTCGACTAAACTGATAAGACTGATCATAACTACATCATCTCCTTTCTAAAAGGCAGCCATTAGTTATAACTTACAAGTACAAGTAATACCTATCCACTATGAAATGACGCAACAAGGACGCAAAACCCTAGTGTAACCTGAAACCTAGTGTACAAACTACAACAAGATAAGGTATCATATTGATGGTGACCAACCCCACCTAATACGATGTACCCGAGTGCAATTGCGCAAAAGGGAAACCACGAGAGCCGTTATATGAATCGGACCCAGAAGATAAACATATAGCCGGATTCATAAATCCCTTGAATATGTTGATTACCACCACCAGCATGGCTGGCGAATTGCTGCGTTGTATATACATCTAGTCAATGCGAGACAAGTCAGGTCAAGCAACACCGCACGATATCGATTATGCAACAAGACCACCTGACTCTCTGGGCGAATCCTGAAGCAAGCGGGCGGCTTCTCGGCGTCCCGTCTGGGGAAGAGTAGTCCAGGTTCTCCGTACATAGTATATAAACATCTGCCTGTCCATCTATGGAACCAGCCCCGCCGACATCAAAACACAAAAAACCCAGCAGCAGCCACCACAACAGCAGCCAGCACACCGGAGGACCCAGTCACGGACGCAGCATCACCAGTATGCGGAATCGAGTTGGACGCAATGGGCGTAGAAGCAGACTTGGTCGGCGTCCTGCCAACGGACGAGCTGGATCCCCAGATTGGAGTCGAGGTCGGCGTCGCGAAGGAGGAGGTAGGCGTCGCGGTGGAGCTGGAGGTGATCGGGGTGCTGGTGCTGGTGCTGGTGGGGGCAGCGGTTGAGGAGGTCAGGTCTGCGACTTTGAGGAGCTCGTAGGTGAGGGTCTCCGGCGCCGAAGGTTCCTGGGCCAGCGCGATTGGCGCGAGAGCGGCGGCCGCGATGCAAAGTGCTTTGGTGAGCTGCATTGTTGAGGATATAGCTAAGTTTCGGATTGGAAGATAGCTTTGCGGTTTTTTTCTGATCTCTCCGGTCTTGTACACGTTGCAGCGGGCAGCGAGGGATTGGTTGAGATTGTTGTTGCTTTCGCTGAGATATTATTTATATAAAAATGCAGTTTATTGTATTATATATAAAACGGTGGTGTCCGTATACCTAGGAGCTGGACGGGCAAAAACGGCGCAAAGTCAAGAAAATAAAGAGTGAATGGAGCTGGAAACGAGTGACAGCTCTTGTGGAGACAGAATAAGAAAGAAACGAGCGACGACAGCACTGCTGGAAAGAAGTTGATATATGAATGAAACAAGCAAAAGAGAAAAGAAGAGAAAAAAAGAGGGAGAGGGGAGAAGTTTGATTTGGAAAGTATGGGTCTGCGGGTCCCTGGCTAGGGCTACTTGCTATGCGCGACTCCATATCTTGCAGTAACTATGTACCGCGGGCAATTTCCCGCGGCTTAATCTGGCTAGTTGATTCTTCGGCGTGTCCTGCAATTCCCTCCTATTAGTCCATTTACCCGGGGAGACTTATCAGCCAGGGAGTGAAGAATTGATTGCGGGTTGCCGATCTGATCATTTGCGACAGACTAGCAGGCTTTTGAAACCGCTCTCGATTCAGGCCGGGTGAATCCCGGGCTAGTAGGCATTGAGGACAGTACGAGGTAATAGGCATCCTTGCAACTACTCCGTAGTCCGTACGGAGTACGGATACTATGGAAGACATTTGGACTCTTGGGTGGTTCATTGTGGGGGTTATGTTAACTAAAACTCCACTGAGGTGGAGAAGCACCAGCAACATTATGGATATGAAGGGAACCAGGAACAATAAAGGACACAAGCCAAAGCACGTGCAATCAAACCGTAAGGAAAGTGATAAATAAACGCTGTATAGGGTATTAAACGATCTCATGAAACAGGAACCCACCCCAAGCAAAGAAAACGAACCATATTATGTCGGGGAGGAACGTAGGCACGGTATATCGGTGCCCACGAATAAGCCGAGCTTTCATCATCATCATCGTATCATCACAACATATAAACGCTACTAAGCACCAAAGCAACCATGACCCAGTATCCGCTGAAATGTAGCATGGCCACCGCAGGACCGGGCGCGGATGATGACGAAGTGGACGATGAAGCGGGCTCGGACTCGTCTGACGTTGTTCCATTCGGCAGGGTCCCGTTGATGAAGATTTTCTCGGTGCCATTGACCTCCACCACCCGGACGTTGCTCCCGTTCTTGGGCTCTGTTCCATTGAACAGCGACTGGTAATAGCTGTCTTTGTCGTTATCATCGCATCCGCACTCGGCATGCTCTTCGCACAGGCAGACCACCGGGAGCGACTCATTTTTGTTGTCGGTGTGGTTCCTGTAGTGATACGGGTGACTGTAGGGATAAGCGTATGCGCCATATAGCCAAAGGCCCGGGAAGAAGGCCAGTGCTGTCGCGGGCAATAGAAACGGTGCTAATCCTAGAGGTGAGCGTCGCCCGGCCGCATAAGGGGTTGTCGCTCCGCCTCCGTAGTAAGCTCCACCACCGTACGCCGGCTTTGTGCCGGAGCCACCACGACTTGCGCCGCCGGTGTTACTGGATGATCTGGACAGACATGTGGTTAGCGGTTTGAGATCGTATTTGGCATGCCTGCAGCACTCACCCTGTTCTCCCCCCTGAGGACGAACCGCCTCCACTGCCTCCGCTGCCACCACTGCTTGATCCTCCGCCGCCGCCGCGCCCTCCACTACCTCCGCCGCTACTGCTCCCGCCGCCGCCACCGCGTCCGCCGCCGCCGCGTCGCTTCTCCAGATCTGGGTATTCATCACTTCTTGGCGCAACTTCCACGTCTCGAACAGCCAAGTCTGAGGGGGGTACCGAGAGAGACGTCGCTGTGGAGAGGAGGAGAAGGAAAACCGCTGCTGCGGATGGAAGTTTCATGTTGTCGGATACGATTTCAAGAGATATTGGTGGGTGAGGGTGAAATGCGACAATGGATAGAAGTAATGCGAATAAACCGGGAAGGTGAAAGAATAGATCTACTAGTGTATGTTGGATCCAGACGATGAATATAGACCGAGATTGGGGAGGAGGAAGAGAGAATGGGAGAGGGAGAGAGAAAAAAATCTACATGAAAAATTGGCAAGTGATGCCATATAATTGATGACTCTCATATGATATAAGTTGGAAGGAAAGAAATAAAAAGCAGGGTGGCATCATAGGCTATGCTAATATCAACTAGTGGGTACGTGAAATACTGGGCAGGGAGGTTGTTTCAGCGACCTATCATGATCCAGAGTGGGCAGCGGGGAATAAAGTCTTTGAGCCTGTATGAACGAAATTTAGTAAAAAAAAACCGACTATTCTCCTTTGATCCCAAAAGAAATTGGGAAAGATTGACTGATCGTTCTAATCGAAGTTGCATGCGGCCAGCCGCGCCCTCCACGATTCGCCTTTATCAGCACTAGACGCGCTGCGCAGCCTCAGGCCTCGAATGCGCCACGGTAATGGGCGGTCTGAGTGGATGATTCCACGACTCTGCGCCACGCAATGGAGTTTTGCAAGACATGCGATGACGACCCTAGTACCGTGGACAATCAACCAGCCTACAAATCAACATGTAGACGGGGTATTTACCCGGCGTGACCGCTGGTACTGACTATTTCGTCATGCAACAACACATCCTGTATAGCGGTTGATCCATCATTGATGACAATGAAGTGTCATAGCCACACACCATGGTATAACTATTAGAGTTTTAGTGGACGTCTCGTATAGAGGGCCAAGAGAAGGTAAGCAGAGCCCCGCCCCCTTTATTAACGTGGAAGCCACAGTCTTTGACTCCATGTGTACACAGGTGTACTCCGAAGATGGTCCTGAAGTTGCGCTCCAGCCTTGGGAGGCGCAGAAATCCTATGGTTGATCTTGTCTTCACCGATGATCAAGTGCCTCTTGTCTTTGCCTCTTGTCTTCCGGGCGCTGGCTTCAAGCGCGCTGGTATCCAACTCAGGTATGAAGGCTTATTACTGATTGGCACTTGAGATACGAGAAGATTAGCCACGCAGGGCTTTGACCTCTGCCACCTGTTCACGGGACGGCTTGTCAATCCTAATATTAGCAAAGCCCATAGAGTTTCAGCCGAATTGACGGTGACATCGTTGTCTATGACAATATTGCTACCACAGTCGACTTTCTCCTCGGCGATAGAGATAAGACTGATCGATAGGAATCGGCATTATCTTATCGCTATCACACGTGATGAAAGCGTAGATGACTAATATATTAAGCGAGAAGTTGTCAAAACAGGAGGAAAACAAACTTCATCACTCAGTGCTCACTCAGTGCTCACTTTGAAAGTCGAATCGAACGCCCACAATGGCACGATTGGAACGGTTATTCGGGGACTAGGGATCATCATCGCGCCAGATGGCCGTGTCAAATTGTTTAATGATGCAATTACGATTCTCCCTTCGACTCCCCTTGGAATATATGAGATTCCATTTCGGCAGACTACAATATCCATGCTCAAATGTGATGGTCTATCCTATAGTACATATACACCTCCACTGCAACATTATAATCCAGCTGTCTCCAGAGTCTGGTCTCTCTTTCGAGAAAGATCAGGCGCCTCGTCAAGGACCCTTCTCTGAAGGACAGTCTTCACATTTCACGTCTTGTGGCTGTGGCCGACTGGAGCTGGATTGTAGAGCTCTTCGGAGCTCATATTGGTATTCCAATGACGTTGCGAGAGTAAGTCAGGGCCTTCATAGTTCATGCTGCTCCCGTGTTCCATACGAGAGCATGACTCCTTGCGCACCTACATATATCAATACATACAATCTTAGTGTTAGACAATATAGACCCGCTTGGGTTTCAACGGTGGAATTTCATCATTTGTACGGCGTAGTCATATTTAGTCTATGTTATTATAGATGAGTCGCCTCATCCATATCACAGCTTGCTTTTCGCAGCCTCATCGTCAATGACCTTGACGACCACCTTCCCCCACGTCTCCCTGCTCCCCAACGCCTGCAGCGCCTTGGGGACGCTCTCCAGCCCAACAAAGCTCTCATCCTTAAACGCAGTACCTCTAAACTTCCCCTGAGCCACAAGATCAAAAATCCCCTGCCACACAGCGCCCACAGTCTGAGTCTCGTGCCGGGCATACTGACCCCAATGCAGCCCAACAATGCTAACATTCTTCAACAGCACGCGATTCAGCGCAACCTTCTCAATCTTCCCCGCCGCAAACCCAATCACCAGCAGACGCGCATTCCACGCCACACACTTGAGGCTCGCCTCAATCATGCCCACAGGGTCATAAACAATGTCGACACCCGCCTTCCCATTCCCCGAGCGGTGCAGCGCACACAGCTTCTTCACCTCCTCCGGCCAGCTCTTATCCCGATAATCGATAACATGGTCGGCGCCGAACTCCCGCGCAACCTGTCTCTTGCGCTCCGTCCCAGCAGTCGCAATCACCGTCGCGCCCTTCGCCTTCGCGATCTGCACAGCCGCCAGCCCGACCCCGCCAGCAGCAGCATGGACAAGCACCCAGTCGCCGGCCTGGACCTGCGCGCGGTGCACAAGACCCCCGTACGACGTCGGCGCAGTGACGAACAAGCCCGCGGCGTCCTCGAAGCTCCACCCCGCCGGGACAGGGAGGAGGGTGTGTTCCGGGGCGCGCACGTGGGTAGCGTATGCGCCCTGCGTGGCGCCGAAGACGCGATCGCCGACTTTGAAGCGCGGGGTCGTCTTGGGCGCTGTTGGCGCGGCGAGGATGGTGCCGGCGAATTCGGCGCCGCTGACCCACGGTAGCGGGGGCTGGTTCTGGTATTTTCCTTGGATTTGGAGCAGGTCGAAGAAGTTTGTTCCGGCGGAGTGGATCTCGATTAGGTAGTCGGTTGGGGAGGGCGGGGGGGTCGGTAGGGTGGTGACTGTTAGGTCGAGGGGACCCTGGAGTAACAATTGATTTAGTCTGATTGTCCGTATTGTGGAGTTTGGTGGGTGTGACGACTTACCTTGACGTATTCTTTAACCTGGACGGCGCGCATGTTGGGTATATTCCTGTAAACAAGATATCGAAGAAAGTGCTAGATAGATGGCAAGCCGCAGGGGGCAGTATCTCCGCAAGCACGGCGTTTTAGAGATGGAAAGGAATCGAATATCGATGAGATAGGAGGTATGTGGTGTAGCAAGGGGCTAATATTTGAGACCGGTGCTGGATAAATAACTGACACAGAATGACAAAGTAGTAAGCGTTGACCGGTAGTTGGTCAGTTAGTTGGTTGTTGAAGGTTGATTAATATACATGTCTTCCCCGCGCAGTCTGGACGTGCCGAGGTTGGGGTCGGATAAATCACCGACACAGGGACGGCATTGGCTGTTCGACGAAAGGTACCGCGACTTGTCTCTGTGCCACGATCTCTGGATATAACATTCGAGGCATGTCAGATGTACGTACTAACTATCTCTGTACAATTGCTAAGACAGTCAATTTGTTGCAGCCATAGCTTTTACACTGTTCTATATGTGTTCGTCACATCTATGTAAGAGATGAATGCGAAGATACCTACGGAGTAGACAACAGACTATTCTACCTGCCCTTCATCAGCAGATAGGCAATGTGATTGAGAGTATTATCTTTAAAGAAAGTAGAAGCTAAAAACTACAGTTGATTCATATCTATGAACCCATATGGACATCATCCAATCAGTTCCAGATACAACAGAGAGGGCCAGTAAACACAACAAGAACACAAATGAGTCAATATAGCCCCCGTTCTTTTCCCTGCCAAATGCAAAAAGAGAAACATAAAAAAGAAGAGAGAGAGAAAAAGAAGCGCCTGCTAATGACAATTGGTTTCTTCGCTTGCAAGTTTCCCATCGATCAATTTTCAGGATGAGAGGAGAGACACCACACACAATGCACACATACATACACACACTCGCAAACCCAAACACACAAACACACGTATGCTTACCCAAGGTATCAAGACGGTAAAAAGAGAATTAAACAGGTAGATAGAATTACATTATCAGGGAGTTGCGCCCGTCATATATCAGCGAAAAGACATTGCTCAGTTAGCTGGCACTGGCTGGTCCGATTCAAGCCCGTCTCTTGCGGAGACGATGCTCTTTGCCCTTCTTGGACTTCTTCTTGCTCTTGTCGACTGGCAGAACGAGAGGCTCGTCCTTCATGTTCCATTGCATGAACCGCAAGATATACTCGTCGATATGCGCTGGTATAATCTCCACGTGTACCGGTTCGTCAGCGCCATGCGCATCAGGCGCGGTGAGAAGACGCGGCCCAGGAGTTCCTCCCTCGTCGGGTGTATTTGCGACAGGAGTGGGAGCCTGAGTTTGAGCGGGCGTGCTTTGCGAGACGCTCCTATCTTCGAAATCGCCGTCGTCCGCGTGTTCTAACTCCTTCTGGGCGTTCTTGGCTGCGTCGATATCTTCCTTATCCTCGGCTTGTTCGAAAACCCGAGCAGTGCCGCCAACCCGGTTCGCTAACACCCGGTCCATAGCCGCGGTGGCTTCGTCTTGCCTTTCCAGAGACTCATCTCCTTCGATCTCAGGCGCAGGCTTGGTGATATACTCCGTGGTGAATTCACCCTCTTGGATGACGACATCGTCTAGCATCCGCTTTTGATTGGCCTTGCGAAGGATGTTCGATTCAATGGTGTATTCGGAGACAAAGCGATAGATATGGACGTCGCGGGTCTGCCCAATTCGATGGCACCGATCCTGGCATTGCTTGTCCATCGCCGGGTTCCAGTCGAGGTCGTAGAAAATAACGGTGTCGGCACCCGTGAGATTGATACCGAGACCACCGGATCGGCTGGACAGGATGAATGCTAGGATGCGATCGTCGTTGTTGAATCGATCCGTGAGGATTTGGCGCTGTTCGACCTTGGTTGTCCCGTCTAGCCGGAGATACCTGTGCCCGTGGATATTGAGGAACTGTTCGAGGATGTCAAGCATCTTTGTCATTTGCGTGAAAATCAATGCCCGATGACCCCCGGCCTTCAGGTCACGGAGGAGCTTGTCCAACCGCTGCAGCTTGCCACAATCGTACTGCAGCAATCTCCGATCGGGGAACGCAATCGACAAGCGCATCTGAGCTTCGTGGAAAGGATCATGGGGAGGGAACCTCTCCTTCTTGGTGAGGTGTCGAGTCTCAATAGGAGTCAGCGCTGCCTGCGTAATGCCAGACGCAACCGCCGCTGGTGTCACACAGGCAAATCTTTGCACGTAACCATCCATATTCAGAGACCGCTCCTCGATGGACTGAATCATTGATGCAATGACACTCGATCGATTAGACAGCCAGTCCGACAAAGAATGCTTCCGTAATGGGCCGTTCAAGGCCGGCCGTTGTTTGCTGTCTGCCGTGAGGAACTCGATCAGACTAGTTCCATAGACAGGGCGACGCCCATGGCGCTTTGACTCGAAATACAAGCACCTTTCGAGCTCTGCCATCCTAGTCTTCCGGCAATCGTTCTCTAAACGATCAAGGGTGGACTGAACAGTGGAGCCGTCAAAGTCCATCTTCCAGTTAGTGCGATGATATTGACGCTCCCTGAGCTGATTGAAAGGCCCATAAGCCATAAGCCTTGTGCTATCATCCGCTAGTCTCCGAGAAATATCTTCCCGTGAGATTGGCACCAGATTGAGGAAATCGAGATCCAACCGTGTGAGGGGATGTTCGTACAGCAACCGTCGACGGACAAGAAGCTCTTTGATTTCGAATTCGGTGGCCACCGATCGAGGCATCGCGAATGACGTGGAGATTTGACGGGTCTCGAAAAGGTCCGGGTGGTTGCATACTTTGCGGAGTTGCATCAGGCAGTTGATGATGGACAGATAGTTTCCAGATGCAAGGGTCTCTTTAGTTTGCGCCCGGGACATGAAACCGTCGTACAAGTATCTCTGGCGTTTCGACAGCCTGCAATAGACCACGTGCTCGTATTTTGCCGGCATTTGCTTCTCGACATCGGCTTTGAGGCGGCGCAAGATGTAAGGTCTGAGGACGGTGTGGAGTTTAGTGACCACTTGTTTTGAGTCATCATCCATCGTTTCTCTGCCATGCTCCAGAATTTGCTCTACTGGACGTCGAAACCACTCAGAGAAATTCTTCAGATCCGCGAATCCTTCAATTCCGGTTTCATCGCCATCAGACGGCATCAAGAAAAAGAGGAGGGACCAAAGTTCCGTCAGGTTGTTCTGGAGCGGTGTTCCGGTGAGTAGAAGTCGAGCACGCGTCCTGAAAGTAAGCAAAGCTTGCCACCTCTGTGAGCGGAAGTTTTTGATATTGTGCGCTTCGTCCAGGATCATGTAGTGCCAGTTTCTCCTCTTCAGAACTTGCTGGTCCTGCAAGACCAGTTGATAGGAGGTAATCAGCACGTTCCAGTTGGTATCATCCATCCAACCTCGGCGTTTTTGCCTGCGCTCTTCTTGGTTCCCGTAGTAGGTCATGATCTTGAAACCAGGGCACCATTTCTTGAATTCCATCTCCCAGTTGAGAATGACACTCGTCGGGACGACAACTAGATGCGGCCCCCAGACCCCATGTTCCACAGCCAGATGGGCAAGTAAGGCGATTGTCTGGATAGTCTTACCAAGACCCATCTCATCGGCGAGGATACCATTGATATGGTTATTGTACAGACCAGCGAGCCAGTCCAAGCCGAAATGTTGATACTCTCTTAGAATTCCCCGGAGCAAGTGCGGTACCGGTGTCTTCATCCCAGGCGCAGGAGATTCACTCGTCTGTGCAGGCTTCTCTGTCGCATCTTCATACGATGAAACGGACTCGGGTTCGGAATGCTTTGTAGCAAGGGTGGTCGGGGATGCTTCGCTAGAGTGCTCTCCACTTTGAGAACCTTCATGCCGGTGATCAGCTTCTGCGGGAAGACTTGTATGTAGAGTTTCGTCCGGCACATCAGTTGAAGCTGGATTATCGGGAACAGGAGCTTTTGTCGTTTCTGCCGTCTCAGCGTCCACACTTTCACTCTCTATGGCCATTTCATCGGCCATGGTGTCTTTTTCTACCATGTCCTGGGGCATCGATTCCGTCCCAGCTGGCCCGTTAGGGACTAGAGAGACCTCGTCCGGGTCATCCGGCTCATCATCCTCTTCATCTTCTGCTGACACTATCCTCGCATTATCATCGTCGCTATGCTCAACTATGCTATCATCGTTGAGCGACAGATCACCATCTGGCATTACCTCCTTGGAGGAAAAGAAGCCCAACAGGCCTAGTTCGTCCTCGGCATCTTCATCAGAGTCAACATCGCTCGAACTCCTGTCTTCATCGCTATCACCCATATCGTCGTCCATATCGGTAGACGCTTCGCTATCGTCCATGAGCATCGGATCCACTTCGTCAAGTTCAACTGGTTGGGATTGAACATCATCCACATCGTCAATGGGGTTCAAGGCATCGCTATTGTCGGACGAACCTGTCTCGTTCGAGACGAGCGATCTGCGATCCGAATCATGGCTGGCTCTGCGGAGATTGGCGTATTTGAGTCGAAGTTCTTCTGCTGTTAGGCCCTCGTCATCGTCCACATCATCCTCATCTTCGCCCTCCGATTCTGTAGACGACATGTTGCTTTCGCCATCTTCATCGCCAGACGCGTCACTCGATTCAATATCCTCATCATCACTCGATTCGGGAATGTCGCTGCCTGTCTCTCCAAGGATCTCTGACCTCCTTTTTTCAAAAAGCATCGTAGACTGTTTTATCGCACGATCCAAGGCCTGTTGGTCTTCCGCCTTTCGCTCTTCTTCCCAATGCGCTAGACGCATCCTATCCACCTCCGCCCGTGCTAGATCAAACATCCTTTGAAGATCCTTTGCTAGTTGTTTGCGCTTCCCGCGCATCACCTCCTGCTGTTCTCTGATGATATCCTCCGGGTCCTTGTTGCGCTTCTTCCAAGCATCAGCACACCATTGCGCAAAGAGCCTCGCCGTGTTCCGGTGACGCCTATTCTCTTGGTCAAGAAGCTTCTTGAAATACAACGCGTGCGCCACGAGATGGTCTTGATGGGAGTACTGCAGTGGGGGTTCTTCTTGTTGCTCAGGGAGGTATGCGGAACAAACATCTGAGCTCAAAGAACCTCCCGGTTCCGCAGCCGCAGCGATCCGACGTCGTTTTTGAGCCTCTTCAAGTGCAGCTGCCGGCGAGAGAATCGCGCCATCACGCGTTGTTCCATCTTCACTTTCCATCCATTCCCTAAACGAACTGTATTTCCGAGGAGGTACGACGTGCGAGGGGTGGTAGATACCCATAGAGGGTCGTTTAACTTTGAATCGGAGACGCGGGGTATGCTGGCTCTCCTCATCCCCTTCGCCATTTTGTAGATCTGCCAAGTCTGCTCCAAGCTCGTCTGCTTCGTTTGCTGTATCGGGGATGACCGTGCTCGAGTCGTTGTAGCCCACGCCAGAAGGCCGAGGGACCTGAGAAGACACCGAACTTTGAGACCGTGTCCGCGCATGATCCTTCTTGGATCCTGGTGACTGCGAGAAGCGTTTGCGTCTACCAGACGACCTCCTTGTAGCTACGGTCCTCGGGGATCCGTTGACCGCAGCATTGCCACCTTGAAGCTTCCCCCCATTCATCTCCGAATGTAAAACAGATAGAGACAAGGGCGATGCCGCGACTGACCTGCCCCTGCCAGAAACATTCTGCTTGGTGCCTTGTTTTGGGGTACCGCGCGTGGGACGCTTTTCTGGTGTCTGGCATTCAAGGGGACCCGTATTAACTCTCGAAGATCTGCGTTTGCCATCCTGGAGGAAAGAGGTCGGCCCATCGGCCCCAGCTTTCTTCCATGGCGGCGATGCCGCCCGAGAGGATGAGCGACGAGAAGGGGTGTCGCCGGCAACTTTTCGCCTTTTCGACGGAGGCCCTTCGGGCGTGTCAGTCGCGGTTTCGGTGTCTTTGTCGTCGGAAGAGTTCAAATCGGGATGCGCAGAATCGATAGGACGTTCGGAGGAAGGAATCTCGTGCGTGGTCGCTTCGAGACCGGGGGTCACGCGTTCATTTTGGTGCGAAATGCCATTCGGACTGCCGTTTTGCATGTCTTGTAACCACGGAGACAGGGGCCCTCTTCACAGTTGACCCCAGTTTTCCCAGCGAAGACGCGATCGGAAGGGGAAAAATTGGCATCAACAGATAGCTAGGAGTGAGTCAATATGCCACCAAATATTTGGCATAGTTATCGAAACTGTAGCGTGAGTGGTGATGGATTAAAGCTCTTGGTCACAGAAATTGCTTGAAGATGTGGTTTTTTCGTATTGTGACGAGGAGGCGGTCCCCGAGTATGTAAGCGCGGCCGTCTTTGTGCCTGAGGTGCCAAGGCGACGACGCTTTCCGCAAACCTCCAGTTAATCCGAACCCCGTCATTTGCCTGTCGCCAGTCCACTCATCCCATGGCCAGTTGAGCCTTTTTGCCTGCCATTGCGACTTCTTTGCCCTCACATTGCCTACAAAACGGTCAGTCCTACCTGTTGGGTAGCTTACTGGGCACTGTCAAATTGTGAGATTTCAATGCTGACGACAACGATAGATGATGTCCCAGCGGCTTTTTACCCGGCGCCTTCCTCAGGTGGCCGCTCGCTATACTGCCCCTCGGGCGAACTTCTCACAAGCCCGGACCCTCGCTGCCGCTGAGGTGAACGACCCGTTGCAGGTATGATTGTTTATACAGCTTGGGGTAGCGGTGGTTCTACTCGATCGACTCCCTCTAATATCCTACACAGAACGGCGGCTACGAGAACCCTCCCCGCGTTAAGCGAGCCTTCAGAGACCCCCGTAACGACTGGTGGGACAAGCAGGAACGACGGAATTTTGGCGAACCGGTGCATGAGGAGAATGAGATTCTCGGTGTATTCAGCCCGGAGCAATATACCCATGTCTCGGCCCGCAAGGGCTTCTTCCACCTGGGAGTATTCGTCGCAACTTTCCTTGGTTTCTGTGGTGTTGTGAGCTATTACTACCCTGATAAGCCCAGCGCTCCTCGTACTTTCTCCAACGGATTGGAGAAGGAACTGGGAGGCCCCAGTGCTCTTCCGGTGTGTTGTGTCCCGCTCCTATATTATACGTCTCGGTGTGCTAACTGGGTGGACTCTAGGCTCGCAAGTCTGGGGAGGGATCTTGGTAATTCGATCGGTCTATGTTGTGTACATAAATACGACAATGTTTCTTTTTGGGCATCAATTGAAGGATTGATCGCCAATGTTTTCTATGGTTCCGCCCATACCCGTCCCACTTGTAACAACATAGCACTTCTCCTTTGTCTTTTCTCTTATGTTCCAATCTTCTATCAAGAAATTCACTTCTATCTGCACTTTCCACGGTATTTTATGTGTTGTTCTGGCACCATGTCCAGATCAAGATCAAGCGAGGGTGTAATAGCATACAGGACAGTGATGGAACAGTGTACGAGAGACTGTAAATGGACATAGGCGCGTGTGGCTCTTCTATCATGCTCAATCTGATTGATAGTCCCCCTTTCAGACCTGTTTACAGACATTGTACGGCGACGCCCCATGTCTAGGTGTTGTTCTATCCCTTGGGTGGAATCAAGTATGAGTCGCCGCCTATCAGCCATATCCTCCTTGGGTAAGGGAATTTGGACCTTTCTAGTAATTATATGACGAACGCGCTCTAGATACCAGGCTACTGAAAAATCTATATTGTAAATATCACGGTTGCTGGTGCTCTTCTACCGTGCGACCATGCTGACCATAGATACATACGTCAGAGATGATAGGGAGGGAGCAGCTTTTTGATACGAAACGCTCCCGCAGGGGAACAACAACACACCACCCCTTTCTCCAACCGCCAACATTCCCCAGCGTACCCCCCGAGTTCTCTCCCCTCCGACCGTTTACTTGTCCCGCCTCTTGGACGCCGTTGATCTGCGAAAAACGACTCAAGTTTTTCTTTACCCCTCATTCTAGTTGGATATTCTCGTCCAGTTCCTGCTGGCTGGTCCTGTCGCAAACCGCCCGTCCATGGTCCCACCACCCGCATCCCCTCTCCTTCTGAACGCCGCGAGATTCGGATAGAGAAAAGCGCCCCCTCATGTCGACAGCATCGAACCAATCTCGAGGTCTCAACCGACGGATCAACAGCCTTCAAAATGAAGGACACCATTCGCGCAATCTTTCGGCGTCGCGCCGGCGCCCAGTCAACAACACGGCAGCCTACACCTACGCTCTCCGAGTAGCTTACCTCGCCCATCTCCTCCAGCCTCGTTCGCGACGTGTACAGAATGTACCAGCGCCCCAGCGGCCCAAGCGAGCGTCGACCTCTTTCCACGATCTAATGAGCGACTTTTCCCTTGTGAGGGACTCCAAGAGCACAAGATTCCCGCATGGATTCATATCGGAACTCGAGAAGCGGTTGACGGGCATTCTAACAAAGAAAGAGAAGCGAAAGGAATATCAGGATCCGCTGGTCGTGCGAACGTTCGCTGCCTTTCTCAATACTCTCAAGGAGCAGTCCTTCAGGAAACGTATGGAAAAGGATCGCCGCGCGGAAGATCTCGTTCTCATCTTCTATTCGAACGCCACCAAAGAGTTGAGCAAGGGCAAGGATTCGGACGATGACAGTTGGAAGTTAATGGTGGACCGACACGTCGCACTCTTTGTCCGGCTCTTTGCACTTATTCTCAAAAGTAATGAGTGGGCGAAAGATCGACCCGAGTTGTCCAACCGACTTTCGGTCCTAGAAAACAAGCTGCTCTCGCAAGATCAAGACCTTGTGCAGGGGGACAGGGCTGATACAACAGAAGTAGTGGCCCCGTTGAGCTACGATGTGAAAGACATGCCTCTCGTACAACATGTGGCGGCTATCTATGGCATGACCTCAAGCCAGGTGCAGTCTGACATAGACAAACACAGAGCCGTATGGACAGCACAGGCAGCTCTTCAGGATTTGAAGGCTTACCAAACCCACCTTAGTCTCAGCACCCCCAAAACGCTTTCCGCGCAGGACTTTGAGAATGAGGAAGCGTATGAACTGTGGAAGAAAAGCGAAGCCCCCGATCTATCGCAAATGATGCTTGCTATCGTACAAGCCAACCCAGAACTCGCTAAGAGCACCCCGGGCAGCGCACTTCCCCGATTCAACACCGGTCTCAGTGATCACAATCACGAAACAAGTCCCGGAGGGTCAGCCAGACCAACTTCGTATATCATCGACCAACCTATGGACCTGAGCTCACTTTCGTTGAGTGAAAGCAATGGCAATGAATCTGAAGAATCCGACACCTACGTGTACATACCACCGGATCCGAGGTACATGTACAAGTCCATCTTAGCCCAAACTCTTCACCACGACCTCCGGGACCATGATATCGATGCTTCGCCGGTCAGCCCTGACTCCCCTTCCATGAGGCTTTTATCAAAGCAATCCTCTGAACTTCTAAACGAAATTTGTCTCCGCTGGCGCATTCCCAACTTCTCCCGAGTTGTTCTGTTCCTTGAGGTCATTCGGACCAAGTTTGTCGATAATGAAATCGATTTGGACACCCTCGATTCGGCATTCACATTTGTCAAAGAGGTACCGTCGTCAGAAGGCAAAAAGCGCAGCAGTTTTGTGGCTTCTGTCTTTTTCGAGAGGCAGAGATGGACCATTCATGACCTTCTTCTAATGCAGCAAATACTCTCTTCCCTCCATGAAGCGCTCCTGCGAGAATTATACGACGTCATGATGGACTGCTTCGAGGATAAGCCCCGTCCAATAGGGCCGGTGATGTACGTCTTGGATAATCACATCCAGATGGATCCAAGCTATACGGAAGACGGTGAAGATATTGATCGCTTTCGCTCTTATGTTCAAGATGGGCTTGCACAGAAAGCAACGGAGAGACACCAAGCCCTTCTTAGTCAGATGGTACCTGTCGAACAAGAGGTCTGGGAGTTGGCTCACGTCATTCAGCTCTGCGATGCTATCATGAAACTTGGTCAAAAGATCAAGAAACGTTATCGCAAGAATCCAGAGATCATGGGGTAAGGCACCTATGCGATTTTTACATTTGTTATTCTTCTAACAGCCTGGCCAGGGTCAATCCTTACAAAACTCTGCTCGCAAATGTTCTTCCCATATTTTCCGAAGATGCCCATGAGATGGTTGTCAGGATAGTAGAGCAAGAAAAAGCTCAAGAGCTAGAGATACCGATGGAAGACGGTTTTGAACTATACAAGCAATTGGCTAGTTTGCGCCGCATCTTCGCTGAGGAACTTCCTGGGTATAGTATCCCATTGCCCTTGTGCGTGAATCGACAGAAACTGACGTCACAATAGATCCCCTTTCCCTTTCCAGGTCGAAAGCCTGCTTGGAGAATTCGTTTGGCGCTGGATTCGGCTTACTGATCAAAAGATCATGGATTGGGTCGAACAAGCCATCAAGCAAGATCAGTTCAAAGTCCGGGCCGATGACACGACAGAGATGGCTCCCGAAGAGTCCCGGCACAGTGTGTCAGTTATCGACATTTTCCGCTCCTTCAATCAAGTCATAGAACAAATGATTGGTCTTGAGTGGGACGATGACTTCCAATATGCAAAGTTCATGACCGCTCTCTCCAGGTCGATTGGAAAGGGCGTGACGAGGTATTGTGAGTCACTCGAGCAGATGTTTGCCAAAGAAATGGACCGCCTCTCGCCGGATCAAGAGGCGGCTATGAATCAAACTGCTCAGGAGAAATTGATGCAGATGGCCAAGGAGGCATGGGCAAACAAAGAGAAGATCGAACCCTTCCATTTCTTCCCACAGGTAAATCAACCCCTTTTCGATCCTTGTCTCTCGCCATAGTATAAGAGATAGCTGACAGTATGATAAGTCTCTGGTCAAACTGAACAATGTCGAGTACGCACTTTCTCAGTTGGACAAGCTTGAACGTGAGATCAATGTCGATGGTTGCGCAGAAGTCATCGCGCAACATGCACCCCCTCAAACTCTGAAAATGCGCAGGTCGGCAACGTATGTGTTTACGATCAAGGTTGTGGAGGCTGAAGATCTCAAAGCTTGCGACATGAACGGAAGCAGCGATCCCTATGTCGTATTGACAGACGAGTATCAGAAGCGGATCGCGAAGACACGCATTATCTACAACAATTTAAATCCACGATGGGAAGACGCCGTCGATATCACGACGCAGGGCCCTCTTAACATCATCGCTACTGCTTGGGATTGGGACGCAGTAGGCGATCATGACTACGTCGGACGGACCTCGATCAAGCTTGATCCTGTCCATTTCAGCGACTTCCTTCCGAAGGACTACTGGCTTGACCTGGATACGCAAGGCAGACTTTTACTCCGCGTTAGCATGGAAGGAGAACGAGATGATATCCAGTTCTACTTTGGCAAATCTTTCCGAACACTGAAGCGTACCGAAAGGGATATGACTCGCAAGATCACGGAAAAGGTAGGTCAACCCATACTTCATTATGGGCCCAAGCTAATTGTTTCCAGCTCTCTGCATACATCACGTATTGTCTGTCGCGGCGAACTCTTAAATCACTGCTCTCCCGAGGGATCAGTATGTCAACCGTTTCGAACTTCCTCAACCGAAACCGTGCGCAGGCCACGGCCGTAACACCCTCCAATGCAGACATTGAAAATGCGTTGGCGCCCCTCTTTGTCTACTTCAACGATAATTTTGCCATAATGAACAAAACCCTCACATCTGAAGCCATGAGAATGGTCATGGCCCGTCTATGGAAAGAGGTCCTTGCTACAATTGAGAGTCTTCTTGTGCCTCCTTTGTCAGACAAACCGTCGCATCAAAAGCCTCTGACAATGCAAGAGGTCGACATCGTGTCACGCTGGCTCGTGCTCCTTCTGAACTTCTTCCACGCCATCGACGACGAAACGGGCGAGGCAAACGGAGTGACCCTGGACATTTTGAAATCACCCAAGTACCACGAGATCCAAACGCTGAACTTCTTCTACTTCGAACCCACCGAGAACCTCATCCGGACATCAGAACGGATGGCCTCAGCAACGATCCACCGACAGCAAGCCCACAAAAACCGAACATCAGCGCCTCCTCTCCTGGGCTCCTCGGGGCCAGGCACCGTTCTCGGCCTCCCCAGCGCCCGGCGCGCAAAGAGCATCATGCTCTCGCGGAACCTCGGCACAATGAAAAAGCTCAAGGAAGAAAGGTGGCGCGAGGCCCAAGCCGAGCCCAACGACGACATGATCCTGCGGATTCTCCGCATGAGACCTGAAGCAGCAGGGTATTTGCGCGATCGAAGCCGGCAAAAGGAGCGTCTCGCCGCCGCGGCAGCCGCAGATGCTATTGTGAAACAGAGCTTGATGGCCGGTGCGGGGGGGAGAATGACGGGGACTCTTGGACGGCGGTGATTGACCGCTTGCATACTTTTTTTTTCTTCTTATTTACTTGTTCGATCAATGTAATGATTCCCATTTAGTCAAGCTTGTGATTACCTTGCGTTTACTGGGCATGTAACCGACTGGTCGACATAATGAATGAGGGAGTTAGTCAATATGATTGTTTATCCAACTACGAGCACTGCATCACCCTAGCTTTAAGATCCAAATAGCGAGCCTTGAAAGACAGGGGGGCACTGAGACCCCTCGAATTCAACCCCCAGAACGAGATAAATAAACCAATATATCATCATCACTTAATTCTTATTTCATTTTGAAGATTCCAATCCACGAACTAACAGCATATATATATCTACTGCAGCGCAATGCACTCAATCTCAACCGGCACACCCTTAGGCAGCTGCTTAACAGCCACACAGCTACGGGCAGGCTTGTGGGTGAAGAACTTCTCGTAGGTAGCGTTCATGGCGGCGAAGTTGTCCATGTCGTCGAGGAAGACCTTATCATTCCCCAGTTAGCTTATTTTACTCACATAACATAACACCACACACACATCATCCCACACAGGGAGTAAGAAGGAAAGAAGGGGAAGATATAGCATACATTAACCTTGAAAATCTTCTCCACGCTCGAACCAGCCGCCTCAACAATAGCCTTGATGTTGTCGCAGCAAGCCTGGGTCATCTCGGGGATACCGCCGGAGACGAGCTGGGCGTTGGAGTCGAAGGGGATTTGGCCGGACACGAAGACCTGGCCGTTGGCTTTGACGGCTTGGGACTATTTCTCTTTTGTCAGGACTGCATTATCTTTCTTGGGGTGTTTTCCTTCTCTGTTGTTTTGGGGGTGCGGAGGGGGAGAGCCTGAGGCCTCATGTGTGTCTGGAGAGCGATATCGGCGAAGGGACGGGACTTACGTAGGGGCCGGCAGCTGGAGGGAGAGAACGTTAGCATTGGTTTATGTTGGAATATTTCTTCTTTCCAGCTGATTTGATTGATTTCCATGCGTAGATAATGGACCCAATTGCAGCTCTTCTCTTTTGTTCTTCTTCTTCCAACATGAGGGGCAAAAGGAGGGGTAGTTAACGTACGCGGGCAAGCACCAGCAGCAGAGACGGGAGTGACACCAGACATGTTGACTGTTTGAGGGATCGGTCTGTAGATTCGTTGAGAGAAAGTAGGGGGACGGAAGGAAGATGATGGGATTGAGAGGATAGGACGAGAGCTGGGGAGAAGACGAAGGCTGGATCGGAGCATGAGGGGCCGGAGATATAGAGGTGCGGGCAGGGAAGTATTCCGCGGGAAAGAGTGGTCAGTTGTCAGTCGTCAGTTGGCGCTGGTGTTGAGGCCCCGCTCCACGTGGGTCCTGTGATCCGCCAGCATTTCCCTCACTGGATGGTTCTACAGTTACATACACAGCTTGGGGACTAGGTCATGAAGTAAAGGTTAAGATGAATTCTCAGTCATGGTATCATTATATGATTTGTACAGAATAGATATGTCGGCATATAAACATTCAGCGCCGCTCCATCAGCCATTAAGACAGCTAAAACCCTATGTGCTTCTTCCGTTTCCCAAGCTTCCCAATTGCTGCAAGAAGGATGCAGTCTGCTCAGGGGAGAATCCGAAAAACACAGGTCCGTTGAATATAATATTTGCCCCGATCCTATCCGGACCCCCATCTATCGGTATCCCTGTCTCTTGCTCGACAGTATCGGCTGGCTTGGGAGCCCTGTCCTGGTTGCGAATGGTCTCCGTCTCAGGATCTAACTGGTCGGGGGAGGGCGCAGCTCCATGACCCATGGGACATTTACCCTTTGGGGCTGTTGGATATGGATGCGGTGGGATATCTTGGGGAGGTGTAACGGGTCTATCGTCTGGTTTCTCGGATGCGGATGCAGCGGCTCCGTGACCAAAGGGACATTGACCTTTTGAGGCCGTTGGATATGGATGTGGTGGGATATCTTGGAGTGGTGGAACGGGTGTATCGTCCGGTTTCTCGGGTGCGGATGCGGCGGCTCCATGACCAAAGGGACAGCGGCCTGCAGGTCTCGTGGAAGGGTGATCTTGAAGCGGTGCAGCGGAGGATGTTCTGGCGTCGGCATGATCTCGGGATCTGTCTGAATCGTGATCCGCGTCTGCTGGTGAAGTCTGCAGGTTGGGATCGGGAAAGGGAACAGGGATCCCCCAGGGCCGGCTTGGGGATTCTCCAAGTCGTACCTCGCGCAGAGGTCGATCAAAATGGCCCTTCCTTTCTTCCTCGCCATCTTCCTCCTCCTCCTCCTCCTTGATAGGAGGGTGCATCTGTGGTTTCAGGCCAACCTCCTCTGCCCACTTCTCCACTCTCTCGGCGGAGGAACTGGAGTTTCCGGCTTCGCTTCGAGTCCGTTCCGGGAGGTATGCTTGGTGCTTGACAGAGAGCCCGCGAATCATACTGATAAGACTACCATACTTTGCATCGAGGTGCCGCATACTGGACGAGTCTTTCTGATACCGTTGGACGCAGATGGCATGGCTCCTGGGAATCTCATGCTTGTGTCTCTCGACGTAGTCGGCCACCTCTTCCGGGCTATGTTGGTCCAAGTACCGGATGGGGCAGCGAGCGACGGGACATCGAGTGGTCGACGACTTCGCCGATCCAGAGGGGGCCTGGCTGGACCGTCTATCATGCTGTTCCGCTTTGATCGGATCTGGTTCATGTCCACAGGCGTCTCCATTGGCGGCACCGAAGGGATCCTCGATGCCATGGGATACTCCGTTTTCAGATGGGTTTATATTGTTTGGCTTTGCAAAGGGACAGCGCAGTCCACCCCGTACGCCTTTGGTAGTGAAATCTTTCTCCAAGGAGTCAGACACACCAGCTCTGGTTGCAACTATGCAGGGGTTGAGATCATCAGAAAGTCGATCGACTCCCTTGGAATGCAATACTGATTTGTAGCATACCAAGCCCTCCGTTATTGAGGTGAGTGTGGGATCTCCTACGCTTCCAGACTCCGCCAGTGCCTTAACTACGTCCGGGGGGCTCAACGGTGGTTTGGATGGATTATCAAAGTCGGCATAGCGGCCACGGATTTTTTCAGAAATGATCTTGGTATGGGTGTCTAGCCCATTGGGCGATTGACTTGCTAGTTTCAAGTACTTAGGAATGTCAGCATGGTATTCCTGACCAATCCTCCGCGTGACTTCTTCCCAGGGGGGAAAGAAAACAATAAAATAAAAGGAAATTCTCATCAGATAATACATGATGTGTCTGTCATCGCTGCATGGGCAGCTCCTGATCTAGAGCTAATCATTTTTTCTCGTCATTTGAGAGGGGATGGAAGGGAAGGTTGTTGAAAAGAGAGGGTCAATCCTTACCTCGTCAGAGGCATATTCCAGCCTTTGCTGCAGGAGGTGATCCCTGCACCCGAGTTGTTGGATAGTGAGTAGAAGAGCTTCGAAAGCTCTGGCTAAAGTCTGCAGCTGCAGATCCTGCTGCGAGTCTGCAGCAACAGGGGCAGGAGACATGTTACTCTCAGGACGAATGATTACAATATGGTCAACAGCACATCAGATGTTATTACCCAGCACTTCTGCATGGCGCAGAAGCGCAGTTTGAAAATCATGGAGGGAGAGAAAGATGAGAAGGGAAGAAGAATTCTCGAACGCGGTCGATGATTATCACTGCCTAAAGATGAGCTTGCTAAGCGAGGTGGCCCGTGCAGTCACGTGGTTTCGGTATTTAGTTTATCCGTATATCAGTGGTATAGCGTGCCGAGGGAAGCGCCCATGGTCTATACAGATGGCAAAGTATGGGATTATATATACAAGCCTCGACTCTTGCCTACATCGAGTCTGTACTATCTGAGCCCAATTTCGCCATTCGGAAGAAGCTGGCAAATTACCAGTTGGCGTGTATGGGTGATGATTGTAATGTCACCACCTTGTATCCACCAGTTGATATAGTTCAAGAGGACAATTTGGAGCTGACGATGGATTTATTATCTCTCTATCCTATCAGAGTAGCTTTCATACTTTGAAGCGTCATGAGAGCTTCACTTGGGTTTGAGGAATTTCGATGCTTTCGTATTGATGAGATGCGTGTTGATGGTGTAGTAAGACGGGTTTGAGCCGCATATATATTGTAGACGGCATATATATTTAGACGGAAGTGAGAGTCGACCAACACAATATAGAGGGAAAGGGAGAGAGGGAGAGCTACTTAGTAGAAACATATCCTAAATCAGTTAGCATGAAGGTATATAAGCCATACTGTGGTTCAGTGGTCCAAGGTTGTGTTGTGGTTCTGGCCACAATGCTATCGAAATCCCATTGATCCGATCTCACTGAATATTCCAGATAGAATACAACAATAGCTAGGTAAACAATGACTACTCAAATTCCACTGGCTGTTGAAACAATACCTCGAAAGCGGTATTCAACAACTAGCCTGGCTAGCTCAATCGGCAGAGCGTGAGACTCTTAATCTCAAGGTTGCGGGTTCGACCCCCGCGTTGGGCTGATCTTTTTGTTTTTTTCACCTCAACCATCAATTCAACATTGGAGGCTGGAAGGGCGATGTTTTTTTGTCTTCTTTCTGTTGTTTGAAAATCTCGTGTATGAAACCGACGGGTGGGGTTGACACTGGAGCCTAGGTGATGGTAGTACTGCAAGTCTGCAACACATGCAGAGCATAATCCGGGAAGAAGCCGACTATATATGAAAATCAAGCCACCACGACCCCACCATCCCGTACTATATTCAATAGGGGTCTATTTCCTGAACGGTTGTCTGTCCTCCCCTCCGTATGGCTGGACGGGTTGTATTTGCCTCCTTTATCCGCCAGCCCCATTCTCCCCGCGGTCATCGATTGGCTGCAGAAAGGACAGCTGTACATGGACGGTGGTTAGCGTTGGTGGCTGCAGAGGGCAGATGTTGTTGTAGTGGGGGACGCTTCTGCCTATTCTAGTAGTGTTGACTAGATGGGTTGATACGGTGATATTACGTACGGTATACAGCCAGTTCATGTTAAGGCCGACTTTTGTTGATATATTTAGATCTCAGACAATTATGATTACTCGTCGAAGTGACCAGATGGGATACATGAAAGTCTATCCCAGTTTCAAGTTCCATACCAAAGGGTCACCGGTGAGCCCGACAGAGTGAAGGACAATCATACCACCATGGCATCAGATACAGTACGGTACGAGGCATCGTCCGTGAGCAATGCAGTCGGGCTTTTTCGGACGTTCTAGCGCTGCATGAAGCGGACGGGTTCCTGGACTAAGGGGTCTGGAAACGTCGAATACTGTCGCACGATCGAGACTCCGCATCCAGGTGTCTAGTATTTGCCACTGGAGTACGGAGTATACAATGTAGAAGTGTGATAGGTATTTGTATGATTACTCCATCGTCTGTCAAACATCCGATTTGACTGATTGCACTACGAGATATACGGAGTCGTGGTGGATAGATAGCAAAACGATAAAGAAGAAACCGGATGAGATGATCCAGAGGGAGTGAAGAGCACTGACGATCGGTGGCTTTGTTGATCCACTTGATTCTATAGTCCAGTCGATAGGGGAGGGGCAGTCGTTTCTTCTATTTACTCTATTGTGTTATTTTATATAATTTATTTATATATATATATATATATACATGGTTTTATGATATAATTCTTAGATTGTATATACATGGGATAGAGATATAGATAGATCTAGACTTACGTGAAGAGGGGTTGTAATCCAATTACCAATACCCACACTATAATCCAAGAGGAGAGGGGTAAGAAACGGTATCGGGTCCGATCGCTGCTTATCTCCAATTGCAACATTTGCATTTTCTGAATTTTCCTCCTCCATACTTGCCTCTCCCCTCACTAAACACCTTTTTTTCTTTTTTCCCTCTCCTTAACTTTCGTCTTCTCTTCCTTTTCTTCCCCTCTTCTCTTCTCCCCTTTCTTTCTTTCTTTTCTTTTTTTCTCTCTCTCATCATGACTCCTCCAGTTTCTGATCCTGTTTCCACCCAAAGTCCTGATGCCGCCGCCCAAGTCGCCGGACAGTCCTCCTCCCATGCCTCCCGCGCCGCCGAACTCTCCAGTCTTAAAGTAAAGCTGCACGCCGCCCTGCGCCAATTCCCCGACTTCCCCTCTCCCGGCATCCTTTTCGAAGATATCCTCCCCATCTTCGCCGACCCCACCTTGCACGAGTCTCTGGTCCGCTGTCTTGAACTCCACATCCTCGAAACCCACGCCGACCAGAAGCCCGATGTTATCGTCGGCCTGGAGGCCCGAGGCTTCCTCTTCGGTCCCAGCCTCGCCCTGAGACTCGGTGCCGGCTTCGTCCCCGTCCGGAAGCAGGGCAAGCTCCCGGGCCCGTGTGAGACCCAGGGCTACGAGAAGGAGTACGGTCAGGATTTCTTCCAGATGCAGGCTGGTTCTATCAAGCCGGGTCAGAAGGTCTTGGTTGTGGACGATATCATCGCTACTGGTATGGCCCTCTTATATCATTTACCAGTCGAGATCTTTCTAGAACAGCTACTGACTGCCAATAGGTGGCTCCGCCCAGGCCGGTGGTGAGCTCGTCAAGAAAATGGGAGGTGACCTGATGGGCTTCATCTTCATGCTCGAACTCGATTTCCTCAAGGGCCGCGAGAAACTCTCCGCTCCGGTCTACACTCTCCTGACTGGTCAAGAGAAGAAGGCCTAAATATATTAACAGTCGACGCTGTTCTAAACTTCGTGTCCTGTACACCGCTGTTATGGGGGCCCGAAACCAGCAAACAATATGAAACCAGCAAAAAGAGAACCACACCTTGATCTTGTCTTTTCTTTTCTTTTTCCTTCTATCTTTGGCCTCGAATGCGGGGTTTGATCATCTGTCCCACGCGGGTGGCATCGGCTATTGTAATTTGGGCTACCTCAACGGACCATCTCTTAGCCGCATATTTTGCACTTGCAACATGCAACGTTACGGCCTTCACCGCCGGTCCCCACTCAACCCTTCCTTTATATAGTGGAAGGTCGATATTATTCCCTTCGATATATCCTATCCGGCATACTTCCCATCCTTTCAGTATGGCTCGAGACTGGCTGATAACAGTACGGTTGTAAGAACGACCGGAAGGAAGCTGTGTCAGAACGAAATGTTATTGAGTTACTCTACGATAGATAATGATAAAGAGCAATGACGAACAACGTGGCTGATCTATAACATGCCTCTCTCCAACCGATCTATCGTAAAAAAGAACAAAATATCAACATCTACTCCCTCGGAATATAAGGCCTCATAACCTCCTCCGCCCACTTCGCCGGAAACCCCAACGTCTCCGCCTCGGAGATAGCCCTATTCATGCGCGCAATATACTCCTTGTAAGGCGGTCCACACTTTACCCTCTCCTCATCAACATACACCAGCGTCATCACCTCCCCTCCTTCTCCCTCCCCATCCTCTCCCTCCCCATCCCCATCCCCAATCAACCCCCGCTGATACCCCCCATCCAACCACCTCACAACCCTAGCCCCAACAACCCACTTATTATAATCCCCGCTCCCCTGCTCCCTAGGCCTAACCCGCAACGGAACCCTCCCCCCCTCCCTCGACACAGGCGCACAGCGATCCACCCCCTCAAACCCATCCAGCAACCTCTCATCCCCAACATCCATATCATACAGCACGCCGAACACGGCGTCCTCCTCACCAGACACCGGAACTTTATCTCCCCCGGAGAGTTGTTTTCCGATGCGTAGTGACGGAGGAGGGACGACGTTCGCGTACCCGCTTTCGCAGATTAGCCAGCGCCAGTGCGGGAGGGTGGCTATTGCGACGGGGTGGCTGCTGCGGGTGGGGTTTTGGGTGCAGCGGTGGCGCATTTGGGTGGGGGAGAGGTTGGAGCCGTAGGCGAAGTAGAGGGGGCGGCGGGATTTGTTTGGGGGTTGTTGTTGTTGTTGTTCATTTGGGGTGGAGGAGGAGACGGTGGTGGTGGGTTTGTGGGTGAGGGTTATGTTTAGGTTGGATTGAAGGTCTTCTGGTGCTGTGATGCTGCCTGGGGAAGGCTCGGTTTCTTTGAGGTGCATTGTTGTGGTTTATAGTTTATGGGTTATGTTGAAGGGGAGTGGTGGTGGTGGTGGTGGTGGTGGTGGTGGTAGGTTGTGTTGTGTTGTGTTGTGATATATAGAAGGGTATATGTTGTATAATAGAGATTTTGATAAAGAGCGTATATAGTACTGATGAAGAGATAGAGAGTGTGTAAGAGAGAGCAAGTAAGAGTGGCAACAGGGACAGAAACAGACACAAAGAGGCCAAGGAACAGTGGACCCAAGTCATGTGGGGAAGAGGGGAAAAGAAAAGGAAAAGAATTCCATTCCATGGTTGAGATTCCGGGCCGAGAGCGGCTTTCTTCTTACTCCTTGATTCTTATGGTGAGTGTGGCTTTATTCTCCGGCTAATCGATATATATATATATACATTGTACATTGTACATTGTACATATAGTTGCGTACAGTAATATAGTCATATAGTACATTTCGAAACAATCAAAGGTTGACCAAGAGCCAGTCCTTTAAATACCCACTTACAAAAGTATTAAACAACATACACATTCTTAATCGGCACCCCCTGCGACTGCACCGTATACCGTCTTTTAACACCAACCCCGCTCGCCCTCCGCAGCAGCTCAAACGTCTCCTCGCCACCCCCAACCATAACCATACTGATAAGATGGCGTCGGGGGATGCCGCCAGCCGTCATCTGCAGCTCTTCCAGACGCGGACGAGCGAGGTACGGCTCCGCGCGCATAGCTGCCAGCCCGAACTGTAGAGGATGATGATGGGTGCCAGATCCCCCCGGGTGCACTGATACCGGCTCTTCGTCGCTGACGATGATGACGAGTTTCAGCGCACGTCGCGACGGCGGATAAGCGGCGATGTTGCGCAACTTGTGCGAGAAGCTGCACCCGCCGCGGCGGACGACTAGGACTTGGTGGTTCTGTGCTACGTCGCGCAGAATGCGGCTGTCGCAGAGGTCGTCGTCGGCGAAGTAGATGCTTGACCAGGGGAGGCGGCGCTTGGTGATGTCTCCTGTTAGGGAGAAGGTGAGTGCGTCTTCCACGTCTGGGAAGGGGGTGGATCCGAGCCCTGTGGATATTGCGGCGGGAAGGCTTAGTCGTAGCGGAGATGTGTGTTGTGGTGGGGCGCCGCCGGTGGGGGTGTCATCTCTGAGGAGGGAGGAGACGGAATTGAAGAGGTTTGATAGGACGGTTCTCATCCCGGAGGCGGATGGGTCGGGGGTTGCGGGCTTGTCGTCGTCGGCTGGTGAAGATCTGGAAACAGCAGGATGTGCTCCGCGACCTCCTGCAGCTGGAGCGCGAGGATCTCCTGAATAATTTCCTCGACGGGCGATCGGCTCTGGGAGAACGTCAATGACGATGTCAACCATGGCAAAGTCGTGGATGCGGGTGAAGTTTGGATCGGTGGGATCGAGGACGTCGAATGTGACGTCCCGCGAGAGATATACCTTCTCATCTTTGCCAAGGGGCACGTTGTTGACCACCTGCACTCGGTATTCGTCTCCGTTGTGGGCGTGCCCGGATGACGAAGGGACGTCCTGCACCATGCTCAGACGGAGTCCCCCTACGGTTTTGATGAGAATGCCATCTCGGACGCGCTCCAGAGCCCCGGTGCCGAGGAGCATGCCGGGGATACTGGGGAAGGAGATGTCGAGGGTCGGGCGGATGTTCATGGGCGAGCTGGTGGCGTTGACGGGCACTAGCTCGGGGGGGAGTGTCCATGGGAAGAAGGTGTAGTTGGTGGGTGAAGTCAGGTCTGACAGCGACACCCGCGGGTGATCCATGGCGTAGTCCAGTAGAGGCCCCTCTACCGGGCCCCGGCTAGGCATTAAATGAAGCCGAGCTAGACTCGCGGCGTGGAAGACGTCCGGACGGGCTGCGGTTGACGAGAGACCGAACGTCGGGGGCACAGGTGCCGTCTGACAGACGGGGGCGTCGATGGGCCTGTCGCTTGGCTGCCGCTCTCGCTTGGATGACGGCGACTTTGCGCTCTTCGGTATAATCAACGGATGCGCCTCCGTAGAAAACACAAACGGCTGGTCCATGTGGTTGAGAGGGTGTTCTGGCTCGTACATCAGGAACATATACTTGGCAGTCTCTCCTATAAAGAAGCTCTCCATCCTGTCACTGAGTTCACCATTCCGGACGTCATGAATACCCGCCAACCCACACTTGGTCCAACACCGCCGTTTCAAGTCCCGCAGGACCATCTCCCCGACATGCAAGTACCACGGATCCTTCGTAGCCCGGTAGAGGTAATACGTGGACTCGATAAACTCGGGCCGGCCACCATACCATGTAAGCCCCCCTTCAATATTGCCGGTAGCAACGTTCCATCTCTCAGGGAGGCCCGAAAACCGCGTCCATATCGCCGTCGTCAACAGGTGGATGCCTATCGCCTCGTCCAGATCCCCGGACAGGGTGAGCAGACCGGGGTAGAATGCACTCAAGCTGTCTATCCAGTACGCGCGCGTGGCACCTGTAAAGGCGTCTCCCTGGATCAGGTGCGGATGCTGGTAGCCTTCGCCTCGGTAGAGGTGGCGTTTGATCGACGCGTGCGAGGCATGCCACACGTCTAGGAAAGCTTCCGCCGAGTGCTCGTACTCGTCTAAGGGCGGAAAATAATCATCTAGAGGATGCCAAGGGCTATGGGGGTCGTGCGGGGGACGCTCCCCCGAGGACAGCAGGACGTACGACTTGACCGCGTACTCAAAAAAACTATCGACGCCTGCACCGATCTGCGCACCGACCTATTAGCTCCGAATACGACTGCACGGCTGTGGAATTGACGTACCCCCGTATAAGAGTGAATCCACCGGCCCGACTCCACATCAATAGCGTTGCCAATCAGCCCAATCTCACTCCTCCTCTTCCAAACCGCCCAAAAGGCCCGCTTCGCCATCTCCTCGTACCGTCCATCCCCTGTCAGCCTGCTCAGCACCGCAAACTCCAAGACCAAGCTCCCAGCGCCTGCGCTGCAAGATTCCGTAGTCTCTGCTGATGTGCCGAACCGGCGAGATTTCGGACAAGGCTCCGCGCCCGTACAAGTTCGATCTACATTCAGGGGAGAGTTCGCGTAAAAGGGATGTCGCTGCACGCCGTGCCTCAGATTGACTCGAGGATAAGGAAGACCGGTGTCGGTGTAGAAGGCGGGGATAATACGATTTGCTAAGTCCATGGCAAGGCGCAGGAATTGGCCATCGTAGACAAAGCCATTCTCCCACTGGATGCCGCGTTGACCATCGGGAAACTCCGTCTTGTCCCACGCCTTCGCGAATGTAGCCTCCACCTCCGGAGGATGGTATCCCGTGACAGGTAGATCGCCGACGGCAAAAAGATGAGCGCTCAACAGACCGCCTGTAAGAGTACTCAAGTTAGGGATAAGCACTCATGTTAGGGATAAGCCGTGAATTCCATCGGTCCAGGGCGAGCGCACCTAATCCTCTAATGACCGTCTCAAACACCTGGACTTTGCTATCGAGATCAAAGCCTCTTGCCTTCTCGCCCTGACCGCCAGGGCCGTCAGACCCGTCCCCATACAGCCGAACGAAGTCCTGTATCCCGTTCTGAAAGTGCGTCCAAGCGTGCGCGCCGTCCTCGGGATCCGATGCGAGAATGGCCAGGGACGACAGGCTGTCGATCAACGTCAGGGAATAGTTCCCTAGGACATCGTTCAAGGCGGCATTGCCGGGAGAGTCACGGTCGCGCGTCAATGGCGTACAGGTCAGCGGGCGCAGTTCGTCTTCGGGGAATGCGTATTTCATATAATTGTCGTATCCGTGGTAGAATAGATGTTGGGTTTCCTTTCTAGAGACCGCGTGGTTAGATTAGACACAAAATCAGAGGTCACCGTGGCCAGGAAGCCAGGACACAATAGATTAATAGCAACATACCGCAACTCCCTAATCTGTTCCGTCCTCATACCCTGAGCCAAACCAAGCCATAGCGACAGCAGCAAGATCCAGGTCATCATCCATGAGGAAGGGAGGTCGCACATCCGACACCACCAACATCCCGAGCGCATTACCGCAGACGCGAGACGGCCACAGGAGGCATGGATTCTGGACACGAATTTGTCTAAAAAAGAGTCCGTCGTCCGTCACAGCAGGGAGCTTCGAATCCAGGGAAGTTTGCAAGGTAGTTGGAGGGGGAGAGCAACGCTGTCGCACGTGAGATTGAATGGGGTAGCGGAACCGAAGCAGGCCAGGCCAGGCCAGATATGTCATTCCGCCGCATATGTCATGCACGATCCACTTTGCTTATGTTTATTCGCAATATTGTACTTTTATGTTTTCATACATACAGGCCTAAGGGGGTTGGCTAAGAGTGTGATTTTATAATTATATAACTGTATTCATATAGTTATCAAGGCCTCAAAAGGATCTGTTCTGATCTATCTTCAGGGTAGAGTGGCATAACCGCAGCGGCCTGAGCCTATTAACTTCTTACTTAGAAAAGAAAGAATGATCTCTATATCTTAATCTCTAAGAATTGATCTTATATTAATCTACCCACCTGGTTTCTTCCAGCTAGCCTAGTGGACGCTCGATCTCATCTCTGTACGAATCCAACGTAATATGGAAGGGCAGTTTCAGGCGGCTACATATCTAGTTCCAAGAAGTAACGTTGACTGTCATATTTCTCGGTTTACATCGGGTTAATAGCCCCTCAGCAGGGGTAAATCGTGCAGCTATTGCACCTGGGCAATTGGTCACATACATCGCCATCGAACTTCCATCAGACCGCCTTAATGGGCTAGTATGCGTGGGGAGATTTATAAGGATATATACTATTCCTAGCAAGGCATCTTTCACCCCGAATCCCCAATATCTGCCCAACACTTACCCCCCGCACTCCTTGGAGGTTGGCTCGAACTGTGGCAGTAACCTCAATAGCTCGACTCAAGAAGTATATATACCATTTAGCCCATAACCGCATATACATTATCTCTGCTCCCTTCGGTTGTTCGTAGCTGGTCTCCTTGACTCGTCCACTACCAGCGGCAGAAGTGAAAGCCACCACCCCAGGGATCGACCTACTTTGCTGCTTGAAAATGAGTGGAACTTCGTTGTGTGAAGTCTGTGTCAGGCTCAATATTTCTCGTGAAAAATTCATGGTCCAAGAGCCTGAAATCGCCGAATCGAGTATTGTGTTTAGCAACCCGCATCTATCGGACCTCGAACCTGTCGATCTAGGCTTCCTGGACTCAATATATAGCCGGCGGCAGTATTGCCAGTTTTGCTTGCTCATATACCAAGCCACTCGCTCCGGTTCACAGGCTTATGTTGGGCACGATGGCCTTGACTCTAGCGGGGCCCGTATATCATGCAAACTGGAATGGCATCTTGACACACGCAATACCAAGGCATCAGTAAAGACCCGCAGGATTGTCGTCTTAACGTCGTGCACTATGATTCCCTCCATCCATGTCATTCCACTTGCTACGCCTGAAGATCGTGCTATAGGATTTGGGACCCATATCGTGGAACGGGCGGATTTCCAGCGTCTGCACCAGTGGTTTCAAGCGTGCACCAAACACGACCAATGCACGACCAAGGATGGAAGGGAGAGCTCTCTCTGGCCAGCAAGGCTCCTCACTATCGGTGAACAGACAGTAAAAGTGGTTTCCTCATCTGAGGGAATGGAGTATGCCACCTTAAGCTATGTCTGGGGCAATCGACTGCCCTTACGTTTGACACAATCGAGCTACACGGAATTGACTATTGCTGGCTTTCCCTTGGATGGGCTACCACCTACCATTAGGGGGGCGTGCTCTGTCGCTCGCTCACTTGGGATCCAGTTTATATGGGTAGATGCCTTGTGCATCGTCCAGGACAACGAAGACGACATGCGGAGAGAGGTCGACAAGATGCATGGCATATTTAGCAAAGCCACCATTACAATCTGTGCAGCGTCGGGAGCAGCGTACGATGGGATTATGGGAGTCGGCGACATTGTACGACCCAAACGGGAGAATCTTTTCGAGATTAACCAGCAACGAGTAACAGCTCTTCATACCGTTTCACACCTCATCTCTACAACTCTTTGGGACTCAAGGGGATGGACATTTCAGGAACGTCTGCTGTCAAGGCGTTGCATTATCTTCACCCCCACGGAGATGATCTGGCAATGCCAGGATGCCACGTGGCGGGAATCTATCTTATTAGGCCTTTCTGAGAAGTCTTGGACATTGGATTCTATCAATACTCCCTACGTGGCGGCCGAGGGAAATCCTGTGCGGCACTACACTTCCTGCGTTGAGATATACAGCGGGCGACTCCTTACACTTGATAAAGACAAGCTCCCCGCGTTCGAAGGTCTTGGTCAAAAATTTGCCGCAAGCCTAGGTTCGAACATGTTATTCGGTCTTCCTGCGCGTTACTTTGACTGGGCGATGTTATGGGACTCAAAAGAGGGAGGGCCCAGGCTTCCACACTTTCCCAGTTGGTCGTGGTGTGGATGGCATCGCAAAGTAGAATGGCGGGTTTCCATGTTAAGAGGAGTGCTTTTCGATCTGAACGAATGGCTAAGGACTCGCACTTGGGTTATCTGGTGGTATGCTGATTGCGGAAAGTGGAAATTAGTTTGGGATGTTGAAAATCAATCCTCTACATCTACTGGGGATGGAAGATGGAACGGATATTCTGGAGGACCTGAGCCCTACGGTCGAGATACCCGTCAAGTCCTTCACAACATGCACGGGTTTCTGGGACTGGGAGAGCCCGGAACCGCTACTGGATATCCAGTCGACGGCAGTCTCATACCACCCAGTGGTCAGAACCAGCTGAGTTTCGCCACGTTCACGGGCACATTTGCATTGTCCAGACATACCCTATCCACGGCGATGTTTCCATCAAACCAGGAGGGCCTCCACCGCTTTGGCATAACAGACAAGGCGGGTGATTGATGCGGTACTGTCATGCTCGATGCTTCCGAATGGTTATCAGAGGTAGGTGGACTCTTCGAGTTTGCGGCTATCTCATCAGCGAGAGACTACTCGATGGAGGAGCTTGACTCGTGGAACTACTACATCCCCCAGGACAGGGTGCAGGCGGACTGGTACTGCTTCTACGCGATCATGATGAAGCCTGTAGGCTCGGGAACTGGCATCTACGAGAGGATTGGGTTAGCCAAGATATTCCGCTCCGCTTTCAGTACAGGATCATTTCGCAGACCTGGTTGGAAGCAGATCATCCTGCAGTAGCAAGCACAGAGTGTAACCATTTGATTGTAACACGGGTTTGACCGGTCGACCGGGCACGGAGACGAAGGTGGTGAGAAGACTGGCCCTACAGAGGGTTACACGTAGAAGTTCGCATGGGATTGACGTTAGCTGTGATGGTCAATAACCATCAGCAACCACCCTACAACTTTTACCATGGGCCCACTATGTATGTATTGACCGGAAATAATAATGTCATTTATCGATAGTATCAAGTGAAACCAATAACGCTACATAGAAACCATCGCTATATCTATGCAAATCCCAACGCCGCTAGAACTATGATATCGAGATGTCCCAGGGAAATGACAGAACGCCTCTTATGGTGAAAAGCTGAGATAGAGATGGAGTAACTAGATACGCACACCCCGACGACTGAGGGCTAGTGTCGCACTGTATCTTCCGGTCCAGGCTGTTGCGCCAACGACCGAGGTTGCGCATCAACCACATAGTCGACCCCGTCGTCAGAGGTATAGCTTGGCGGCCGGGGCGCAGTGGTCTTATGTGCACCTCTCGAGGCTCTATCCGCCTTTTTGGACGAGCGCGCGCGCTCCTCCACGCGCTGCCAGTAAAGCAGGTCGGGGTTGATTCTCTGCAGGAATTGTGAGCTACTGGCTGGAAGAACGGCACTTGAGGCTGGCACTTACCACGCTACTTCTCCAGAGACCGTAGGCCGGTGGAGGGGGAGGGACTTTTTCTTGAGCGGAACGATGGCTCTCTGCGAGGAGTTCTTCGTCCCCTGCGAGAACGACGGGGATGGGCCGCTCTGGCTGGGCGTAACCAGATGGTCCTACATTGTGCGGTATGTGATTACCGGTGAGCTGTGACCCTCGCCCGATAGCCATGAAGAAGCGGATCAACGAGTGAAAGAAGACAATCGATAGGATCAGGAGCATGAAAATCAAGAGGATGTAGAGCTCCTGGCCGAGGTTGGAGTTGGCGACCGAAAATGCCAGGACTGTTTTCCTGTCAGAATAAAGTGAGTTTCATAGGGTCCAGGTTTACCTACAGACTGCGAGGACGACAATGAGGAAAGCCGCCGAAGCGACAAGGGTGATGAGCTTCTTTCTGTAAGCTTTCGCCCGCAGGACGGAGCCAGACGATCGGTAAGGCGAGTCGAAGCTCAGTAGTTCGCGCCACCAGTGTGCGAAATGCCCCCACCACCCCACTGGACGATGTCGAACACCACCACCATGCCTTTCTGCAGAGTCGAGTTGAGCGTAAGGACCTCGTGGCCCATCAGCCGTGGGGTTGGTATCAACGACCGGACGAGGCGACGACAGCACAGGTCTTCTCGATATTCGATCCTCGACACGATCTCTCAGACGCGCAAGTCCGGCGCCACTGCGGCGGTTACTTCGACTTGGTGCATCATGTGAATTTCCATCATCCACTTCTAGAACATGAGTAGGCAGCGTGCGAGAAGCCGCAGGAGACGAGTACGACGGCAAAGGCTGAGACAAAGAAGCCGATTCCATGTCGAATAAACAATGTCCTCTCAACCACGGAATAGCATTTGGACAGCTAGGCAATAAAGTCGTGATAACCTCTTTCCCTTCTAGCTCCGAGCATCCACTATCAATGCGCGGTGGTAAAGTCTTCAGGCGTCAACATATCCCAACGACCCACCCGAACTGAATGTATCCTGCGGGTTGGGTTGTCCGCGATGACTTGTCCGGCGTCCACTATGCGAGTTCCGACTGGACGATCCGCAGATGTAGTCAGATAGACCTCGGATGGGATTCGTGGGGAAAGAGGACGAATTGATTGTTGTAAACCGGTTTGCGATTGGATTGGATGGTTTGGCACTGCTATACAGTCATAGTGCTATATCGAATTGGCTGGCTCTAGGTGGTAGACCCAGAAAAGGAGGATGCGCGGGCGTAACAAATAGAGTCAAGAGACAAGCTGAAAGCCGAGATAGCTTCAAAAAGAAAAGAAAAAGAGTATACAGGATATGCAGGTAAAAATTAAGGGGCACCAGGCCGCCTTGTAGATGTCAAACGATAGATAATATCAAAGAAATAAGTATAAACGAGAGAAACTGTCCCACCAACAGTGAAAGACCAACAAAGTAGTGTAAGTAACGAGCGACAGCAATCAGATCACAAGGAGTGAGGAAGAAGAAGAAGAAGAAGAAGAAGATAAAAGAACAAAAACAGAGACAGTAAGTAGCTGAGAAGGAAAATAGCTAGTGGACGATTTAGCCAACCCGAAACCAATATGATCGCGATCCATTGATCCTAATCCTAATCCTGATCCTGAATCCTGTACCAATATCTATTATTATAAGGAGACAGGTAGGACGAACTACTCCATTTGCCTCTTAGTTTCTCCCCTGATTGACCCACGTTGGCCGGTCCAGACTCCTGCACATCACTCTGCGCAGCTTGGCCTGGATTCGTTTGATTTGTACGGAGTACATGGTATTTTCTGCTTCCTTTGAAGTTGATTATTCTTCCAGATATACAGGACTCAATTATTAGTAGAGAAATTCAATTGTAGTGATCGGTTTGTTGGGCGGATCTCGATATCCAGAGGGGTTGCAGTCAGGAGAAGACCCACTCTGACCTGATACGTATACCTCCTACCTACTAGTCGGTCCGTGTTTCGGATTTCGGTCTAAGCTTGAGATCAATCATGAGGGGCGCCATGAAGGGTTCTCAGCTACTGACTAGCAGAGATCTACTGAGACTGCGACCGAGTAGGCACTTGGACAGATAATGCTTGTTATTCGCCACATGCCCTAAATTAATCCCAGACATGGTCAAGATATGGGAATATATGATTACATGAAACACTCAATGCTAATAAATCGACCCGTATTTTCTCCCGCATGAATTGCAATACCCTGACTCCTTTTCCAGGTCCGCTGAAACCGTCGATAGCCTGACAGAGTCGGACTTGCACGCGAGATGATGCGTACAAGGCCACTTGCATGTAATGTGGCACTGGCTGACGGGGTTCCGTTTGTGTGACTGAGAATGGCCATCCCCCTGGTCGCAACATTCGAGGTTTACTGCGTCTGAGACGGAAACTCCAATGCTTGTGTGAATAGACAGTATGGTAAACCGACAATTCAGATGATATAGTGGGAAAATATGTTCACTTGCCCAGTTCACCAAGCATAAGAGTGCGATCAGACGAACCAGAGACAACTGCGAAAGTTAGCATGGGAAGTAGGGAAATGGATAAACAGTTGAAGAAGCAAGACTTACTGATAGGCTCGTTGTTCGGCGAGAACCGCACATCATTAACTGTCCCCTTATGCCCAGGAAGCTTGTACAATAACTTCCCGGTCTTGGAGTCCCACACCACAACGCTCCGGTCTCCGCTTCCTGCAGCAATCTTGGCACCCGAGGGGTCCCAGCTAGCCCGGATGAGGTTCTTCTCGAGACCAATCGGGGCACCGTCAAATGTCCTGACGTGCCGATTGGCAGGCGCAAACGGCCGGATGTCCCAGGTTCGTACCGTCGAGTCATGCGAGTTCGACAATAAAGTCTGGGAGTCGGGCGAAATCTCAAGGGAAGTGATGGTATCCGTGTGGCCGTGCATGGAGTAAGCCACGGCCTTCTTCCGCAGATCCCACACATGAATAGTATTATCGATGCCACCGCTGTAGATCTCGTTTCCTGCCTCCGAAATGGCAGCGGCCGTGATGGGCAGCTCCGTTTCCAAATAGTCAATGGCCTCCTTTTGTCGGGGGTCCCAGATCCCTATGGTGCCGTCGTCGCTTGCGCTGACCAGCAGTTCCTGGCCTCGTTTGCTGATATCCAAGGAGTTGATGATTTCCTCGTGGCCCTCGTGGCGACGAATCCTTTGCCCGGTCTCCAAATCCCAGCTTGCAAGTGTCATATCCGCGGAGGCGGAGAATAACGATTTCGAATCTCGCGACCATTGTAGATCAAGGACCGCACCGCGGTGGCCCGATAGAACGCCAAAGTTTTCACACTGCCCGTATGTATTCCAAAGTACTTCGATCCTAATTAGCTCGGTTCTGGTGGGAGGTATCGTGGAGTGACATACGGATCGACCTATCCATCGAGCCGGATGCGATATGCTGCGCAGAAGGATCGAATCGCACGGCGAAGACTTCACCTGAATGGCCTGCCATATTGTTAGCTTACCGTCTCTCAAGATATCCACAGAATAAACATACCCGTCAATTCCATAATCGGCGCGTCGAGCCCACTGGTGCGGGGGACCTGCGAGCACGATCAGCAAAGAACCGGGTCAAGCTCCCCTGTCAACTCCAGAAACATACCGACTGAATGAGAGCCCCATTTTGCGACGAGCCCTTCACCACAGCCGATCCGGTATTCAAATCCCCATCAGACTTCTTGCGCTTCACAACAAGCTGGTTCGCCGACCCGAAGGCCTCTTGAGCAGGCCGTTTCTCGCCGGACATTTCGCCGAGTGGGAATTGGCGGGGAACAAACACGGAATCGAGCGGTATATAGCGAGAAGAATGGATATGTTAACTGTGGAAATATGGTACAAAAGAGTTGCGATCGAGTGCTGTGTCGAGTAGAAAATCCCCTGCAGACATGTGAGCCGTGTGGATGTTCTTTGGATGTTGGATTCCGCTAGCCGCGCTAGACGCCCGACTTGGTCCACCAAGCGCGAGAAGCTCCGCCCTCCGAACCCCCCGATCCACCGACTCGAGCGGGGAGCATGCTGTAAACAGTTGTCTGTTCAGTTTTACCATCGCTTTATTTAATAGTGGGATTACACAAGATACCTCGCAAAGATGTCATCTGCCACTAAAACGTCAAGAATTGGCGAAGAGTAAGTTTACGGAATGCGTTAATTGATGGTGTCTGCTAACACCCCATGCCCCAGATTATGGAAGTCAGTAAGCGGAACAGCACCGACCCGACACCAGACCCGACAACATGACCAGCAACGAATGGACCGATGACTGACAAACGCAGAACACGGGTTGACAAGGTCAACGCGGAGCTAGTGACGCTCACCTACGGCACAATCGTCGCGCAGCTATGCCAAGACTACGATAGCAACTACCAGGAAGTAAACCGACAGCTGGAGAAGATGGGCTACAACATCGGGATGCGCCTCATCGAGGACTTTCTGGCGAAGACGGGAGCCGGCCGGTGTGCGAACTTCCGGGACACGGCCGATATGATCTCGAAGGTATGCGGCATCTACCCCTGATGGAATAGAGTGGTGGGCTCGTGACTGACGCATGTTCTGGATTAGGTCGGATTCAAGATCTTCCTCAATATCTCGCCCAACGTGACCAACTGGACGAGCGACAATAACCAGTTCTCGCTGATCTTCGACGAGAACCCCCTGGCGGACTTTGTGGAGTTACCGGATGACGGGAGGGCGCAGGATGAGCTGTGGTTTTCGAACATTCTGTGCGGTGTGCTGCGTGGTGCTTTGGAGATGGTATGTCTTGCCTACGGACTTGATGCACACCGGAATCGTGGAGTGATGGCTAACATGATCAGGTGCAAATGCAAGTCGAGGCACGGTTTGTGAGCGACGTGTTGCGCGGGGACGATACGACGGAGATGCGGGTCTCGCTTGTGCGATATATCGAGGACGAGATGCCACCGGAGGAGGAATAGAGGGTGGTTTTTCTGGATTGGCGTGACCGGCGTTTGGGATCTACCTCCGTATATGTGTATCTACGTTATTGCAGAGCAAGACGTATAAATCAGACGTAATTCAAAGGTATCAAGGTAATCGATCATAGATAGGTACAAAGGATTGAAGTAGTCTGGTGTTTATTTTAAGGCGTATCTGATTGATATGGTCAGTGGCTGGAGTTGCTAGTCGACGGGAATTGATATATACAGTGTTTAGGAGGCGGAAGATAGTGCAGACGTAGGGTGTCCAGCTCCACAATGCAACAAGTTTACGACAAGAATAGAGTAATACACAAATACTGATTGTACGAATAATGCATAGGTTCTACTACGTAGTATATAATCAGAGCCATTAAATAGTAGGATAAAGGTAGACAGTTTATTGTTCTATTCTTGCACATAGTAGAGTATATAAACACACCTACAATGGGTAAATCCATACTCACAATAGGCGCGCGAATATAAACGAAGAGTAGTGACAGTATGACAGTATGATAGTAGTAACAGGATGAGAAACAGATCAATAAACACTATCAAGATAGTGGGCCAGGATAGAATCTCAAGAGCGGGAGAGCCGAAGGATCATCCCATTCCAGCTAGCTGATCGCCCTACCGAAGTTTATATATCTCTTGATCTGGGGAACCTGTCACTGTAGAGTATTGATGACCAGGTTTATAGAACACACAGATGGCATGTTTATGTCTATATCTTATGTGTTTGTAATATAAGAACAAAGTCCAAGTGTACAGAGTAGCGATGTATTGAGATGATGACACGTGACATATAGTAGAGATGAGCTGTCCATAGAGGAAGAAGGATGATACATCATCTGGGACTGGTCGGATTGCAGTGATGATCTGTCCAGACACTGATTCACTGAACAGTCTGTCTCTATAGATACAGAATAAAAATAATAATAATCATAACAACAACAATAACAAAGTATTCATAAGAATAAAGAGTGAAGACTATAGATAATACTGTGTATCTATAGTTACTGTATACTATACAGTATATCAGGCGGGAGAAGATTCTGCGATAAAAATAAATTACATAAATTACAGGCGCGCATGTATGGTACGGTATCCTGTCACTTGATTTTCGATACTGAAACCTGCGTGATCAACCACCGATCAATCAATCAATAGTTGATCATAAACTAATTAATTATTGTCTTTACATATCATCTTTCGAATCATCAATATTTTCCCTTTCTTGCCTTCCTCTATACTCCTGTTGTTATGGTTTGTTCAGACCATGCTGAGAAATACGCCGGACTCCGCACCTCCCAGCCCCGTCCGAACAGATAATCCGAGCCGAACAAGCGACTTCCCGTGACGGAGCAGAAAGAACGAGAGTGAGAGGGAGAAAGACAGAGAGAGAGAGAGAGAGAAAGAAAGAGAGAAGAAAGTAGGGATTGAATCACTCCAGCCCAGACACTCCAGATCCACCGCTACACTCTTGACTCTCCCACTCCTACTACAACCACTTCGTCTCCCCTCCCCGACTCTCTCTTCTCGCCTCACTACTACTTCCTCTTTTACAAGGTCTTTGTGAGATCCCTTGTTCCTTTTCTTTTCTTTTCCTTTTCTTGTTCGCCTCTGAAAAGTTCTCTTCTTGCCTTCTTCCGCCAACCCCCCTCGTGGTGGCCATCAAATCTGCCTTGGCCCACCCGTCCTCTCCTAAACGCCGCCTCTTTCCCTCCCCCCCCCCCCCCCCCCCCGTCCTTTTTCCACTCGCCTTGGGTCGCTTGTCGCCGCCCACTCCTCTCCTCCACACCCCTCTAGCTATATCCTATACCCCTCCTTCCTGTTGATCGCATTCCTCCTTTATTGGAGTATCCGGTCCGACCCGATCGTGTCTGTCCGTGTCCCCGTGAATTATCCCGTGCTAGAACGCGCCCGATCATCCTCAAACTGCGCTTTGATAGCGACAGCCGATTCTTCGCTTTGATACTGGTCTCTCGAACGATAGAACCTCATCCCTGTCTGGTCATGTGAGTATTAATCGCACCCCCCCGCCCTCTCTTCCCTGGATCGTCACGATGTGTTGTCGTCAACCGATGGGGCCACTGGGGCCACCTGGACGCCCGTCCACCCTGAAACGTTGCCTGAGGCTTATATACCCTTTAGTTCTCGTGTCAGATCTGCCCGATCCCCTCGCGCTAACGTGTCCGTCCCCCCGTTGGCTTTTCCAAACTCCCTTTCACGATTTCTTCGCCTTACCTGGGGTTCGTCGATCGCTACGCGCGCCTCGCCTTTGCCTTGTGGTGAGCTTCCCTCGCCGCGAGACGGTGGATGCGCGTTGAAGTCGTTGAAGTTTCGACGCTTCCCATCGAGCACAAGCACTAGCTGAGGGTGGCTGAAACCCGCGAGTGCCACCGATGAACCAGATCAACATGGCTGGGATCAACCCCGGGGTAGGGGGCCCCGTCGGAGGCGTCCCCATGATGAACAACGGTTCCGCCGCCCCCGGAACGATGGAAACCTCAATGCCATCCCCGAGACCATGATCGTCAACCTCAACACCTACATCTATGATTATTTCTTGAAGCGCGGCTATCACGACTGTGCCCGAGCCTTGGTCAAGGACGAGTCCATCAAGTTAAACACCGAACCCCCTATCAAGACGAGCCCCGGTCACCGTCGTGATGCTGACGCCAACGGCATCGAAGGCGACGGAATGATGACCGATGGCAAGGACGGGGAGAAGATCAAAGTGCCCGACGATCTCCCCCGACCCAACCTGGCCAGCGAGAGCCAGCAATCCGCCTTCCTCCTCGACTGGTTCAGTCTTTTCTGGGATTTCTTCTGGGCCCAGCGCAAGAAGGGGAATAGCAACGATGTGAAAAACTATCTTCAGCATACACAGGTACGTCTCGTTTTCTCGTGTCGGAATGTAGGTTTCGTGACTGACATCGTGTAGAATATCATGCGCATGCGGGAACAGCAGCATAACCAATTTTTACGTCAGCCTCAGATGATGCCCGGTCAGATGGGCCAACTCAACGTTCGCCGGAACGGCGTCGTTCCCAACCTTCAGAAAACTGTCCTGCAGAACAACCAGTCCGGCCTGTACGTTTTCTTTTCTCTCTCTCTCTCTCTCTCTCTCTCTCTCTCTCTCTCCCCCTCTCTCTATGTCGTGCGCCTGTCTTCGGGTGTTGTATCGATATGTGTCCACAAGCTAACTAAATATCAGCTCCCAGCAGCAAATGGTCAACCTGCAGAAAAACCAGCAGCAGGTCCAAATGATGCACCAAATGCAGAGAGAGCAATCGGATATGGACATGAACGGTCACCGCCCCCAGTCGCCCGCCTCCACCGACAACGCCCCCTCTCCGTCCAAGCGACCGCGCCTTGAAAGCGGCCACATGAACGGTCAGCAGCTGGCTCCCAACGGACGCGGCCAGGCGCAGGGCATGCCCGGTCAACCGAACCCTCAGGCGCTGCTGATGCAGAACGGCCTCAATCCGCGCATGAACCCCGCGCAGTTCCAGCAGGCGTTCCAGCAGTCGGGACCTGCCGCGCAGCAGAAATCAATCCAGGTATATGCTCAGAACCTGGCTCTACACCACTCACGCTCAGCAATGAATAACCAGGCAATGCCCAATGGCATGATGAATCCCGGTGTCATGGCGAACCAGACGGACCTGGTCCCGATGCCCGACAACCAGGGTATGTACATGAACGGTGGCGAATACTACCCGAACGGCCAGATGAACCAGGTCCGGGCGGGGATGCCGACCCCTGGCAGTCAGCCCGGAAACCATGCTCTCCAGGATTATCAGATGCAGCTCATGCTCCTGGAGCAGCAGAACAAACGGCGTCTGATGATGGCTCGTCAAGAGCAGGACAGCATGGCCCGTCCTGACGGCCAGCCGATGCCTGGGCAGCAGCAGGGGTTGCCACCGGGCACCTCCCCCCAGGGCAGTCGGGCGGGCGCGTCCCCCAACCCCAGCGAACAGATGAAGAGGGCCACCCCGAAGATCCCGCAGACCGGTCTCCCGGGTTCCCCGAGCACCGTCGACCCCATGGCCCAGGGCCGCGGATCCCCGGCCTCGATGAACTTCAACCCCGGCCAGATGCCCCCGGACATGGCCGGCGGCCCGTCCTTCTTCATGAAGGGCATGCCGGACGGCATGGTCGGTCCCAACGGTATGCGGCCCCCTAGCTCCAATCCATCCTTTAGTGGGCCCCAGATGGGGCAGCCGATCTCCGCGGGGGCTGGGGCCCGCGTGCCCAGCTGGCAGCCACAGCAGGGCGGACCCCAGGGGCAGCCCATGGCGCCGCATCAGTCTCCCGCGACTCAATCGCAGACCACCGGCACTCCCCAGGATCGCAACCCGATGCCTCCGCCCCAGGCGCCTCCCGCCGCGGGAGCCAACGCTGGTCGCGCTCAACCTCCGTCACCCCAGACCGGTGCCGCCGCCCCTCCCACGCCCCAGCAGGCCACCAAGCCGGCACAGAAGGGCAAGAAGGGCAAGGATGATACGACCCGCAAGGTAAGTAACTTGCACATCCCCCTCCCCAACTCCCTTTCGTTCGTGGGCTTTCCCTTGCAATTTCGGGCTTGAGTTAAACGTTGGTCCTTCTAGCGACCCAAGAAACAAACCGCTGCCGCCGCCAATGCGAATACCGCGGCCACTCCATCGTCTGAAGCCGAGCATCCCCCCACGCCCACTCCGCCCACCCCCATCACTCCTCAGCATCCCAACTCGTTTAACAAGACCGGGGCCAACGCCACGACGGCCGCGGCACCGCAGCCCACGTCGGCGCCTGCGCCCCAGCCGCTGGTCCAACAACCCCCGCTCGACCAGAACCCACAACAGCCGTTTAATGATATCAACATGACTGATGTAGGTTTCATCTCCAGAATTGGTATATCTGGCGTTCTTTGCTAACCCACCCAGTCATCTGCTTTCAACCTCGACTTCAGCGCCTTGGAGAATCCGGACATCCTGGAGAATTTCGACTTCGACACGTTCCTGAACACGGATGCGGATACGGCAGGATTCGGATTCGATCCAAGTATCTCGTATTCCACCGAGGGGGTCGAGACCGGCACCGGAGAGGGCTTATAAACGAGTCCGATGGTTTTCAGTTCATATCTCATATACCCTTGATTTGTACATTTCCGAGGTTCACTTGGCTTCTGTCATTCCTACTGTTTTGACTCGTTTACTCGTTCATCCTTCTTTATCCTATTCCCCTTCATTTCATTTTTCCTTGTCTTCTCATTGACATGAACTGGATGTGCCCGTGAGGTTGGCGTTGGTGTGACCGTTTCTTGCATATCCTTCCATCAAACTGCGAATATTCGAATGGGCAAGCGAGGAACAACCTACTTGTCATTAATCAAGCCCTCTGCGCGTGTCTTTTGATTCAACTCGGTTCTCTTCTATCTGATTATTATTATTATTATTATTATTATTATTACTTGCTTAATACTTGTTTTCGTTCAAGAAGGAACGTGTTCAAGTGATCGCGAGCGACGAGCTAGTCTTTTCTCTATCAGGAGACAACCCAGATGTACGCTTGCCCATGTCATTCCACCTATTTCTTTCCTTATTTATCTCATTGCCTTGCTTTCATTCCAGTCTATCTCAGTCTTGACTTCTCCTTTGTCATTGTCTATTTCCTTTGTCACGCGCCATACGGTGGTTTTTACTGGTTCTACATCTACCCACATCTGTCATCCTACCTCTACATACTAGCCATTGTGAATACTTCCCGGAATGAATGATGGACGCTTCCATGAATTCATTCAATTCAGTTTACTTCATTTGATTCGAAACCAAGATTCCAACATTCTGTCTTTCCACCATCTCACACTCTGTGCAGTTTCATCTCATCTCATTATGTCTTTATCTTCATCTCTGTTTTGTCATCAATTGATCGAACTAACTAGAATCTCCATATCTGGTTTTCTTTTCTTTTTTTTTTTTCTTTTTCCACGCAGGGAAGCAAGGAAGAAAGAAATTGTTCGTTTGGGAGGTTATGTCGTTTCTTGTGCTTGCTTGCTGATATCATCTCATTACATATTCATTCTCGACTTTTTTCACGTTCATCTATTTCTATACATTATGGTATACTTGGTAGGTAATAAGTAAGTACTGTAGATATAGCGTACTTGTAGTCAGGATGGAGTTCACCCATGAGACAGTTGTCTACTTATGAGCTACTTACTTACTAGACTACTATACTACTAACAGTGACTATCCTTTCGAATTTCCAGTCTGATAGACATGCTTTATACTCCGTCGGATAATCAGGGGGTGGTATAATGGGAGGAAATACACTTCCCATCCCCCTATATCCTCAAGAACCAGCCCTCCAATATAATCTACTCATCTAAACTATATAAAACAAACACAACCTAGCCATACTATACATACCATATCAACTATAAACACCCCTCCTAAGCGAACCCTCAATCAATCGACCAATCAATACCTCAATCCCTCAACCCAACTACCAACAAACAAACAACCCCCCCCCCCCCCCCCCCCCCCATGACCTATGACCTATGACCTAAACCCTATGACTTAGAACCCCCCCAACACTCTCTCCTTATCCTTCTCATTTACCTTCTCATTCTCCTTCTCATTCTCCTTCTCATTCTCCTTCACCCTCTCCTTCTCTCTATCCCTCTCCTTCTTCCTAGCTTTATACCTCGCCCTCTTCATTTGCTTGTTCGTCTTTGGTTGTGTTTGCAGTTGTGTCTCTGCCAGCGGTGCCTTCCTTTTCCTGTTTTTCTGTGGATAGGCATTCTTGGGGACTGGGGGAGGGGTTTTCGGACAGACCGGGGCAGGGATGACGGCAGGGACGGGGTGTGAGTTGTCTTGATGAGAACAGGGAGGAACAGCAGGGCCCGCACAACACCGAGGAGGGACAGCGGAGAGGACAGGGTGCCCAACAGCAGGCCCAGCCATTGACACATCCATACTGGACGAATCCCCGCCACCATCCCTCAACCCACCCCGCCCAAACCCCAACTCCAACCGAAAAGTAATCGGGCCCTCCCTCCTCAACACAGGAATCACGGGATACGCCGGCCTCTTCTCATCATACTGTTGACAGATTTCGTCCGCATTGTATGGTGAAGCTGGGGTCGGGATCGAGGGTCCAAGTGGGGTTGAGAATGGAGGAATGGAGGGGATGGAGGGGATGGAGGGGATGGAGGGGATGGAGGGGATGGAGGGGGTAGAGAGGGTAATATGTGGGGGGAGGATCGACCAGAAGGGCGAGGAGGAGTAAGCCCAGTGGGCGTATCCTGTTGGGAGGGGGAAGACTGGTATTGGGGGTTTATATGGCTCGTCCATTGTCGTCTGTCTGGTATAAGGGCGTGTTAGTTAGTTAGGTTTGTATAGTATAGGTTGAATAGATAGATAGATAGGATAGGGTAGGATAGATGGAGGAGATGGGATAGGAGAGATTGGAAGGATTGTGATACTGATTGCGTACTGAGTGACTGTCTATCTGTCTTGGAACCTCCTTTGATCCAGGTGCTGGAAAAAAAAAGTTGGATGAGGTGTATGATGTGAATGTGAGGTGAAGAAACAAGTCTTGCAAGGCACGAAGTCACGATCTATACCTAAGACCAGGCACCTTCCCATAAAAGCAAGGAGATCACAACTTATGTTCATGTATAATTTAATAAACCTCCTTTAAGAGTTGAAATGAATAATGTCCATGAATTGTATGTCCTAGTTAACAGTACACCATACTCCATAATGCTTTGCCTCCCTTTTTTTGTATCTTATCCTTTTTACCTTTTTTCCTTCTTTTTCTTTCCTTATAGTAATAAACGCCAGAGATATACCTCATCCGCACAAAGAGTGTCGTGTCAAACAATACAAGTATTATATAGGGCAAGACGAGTCATAGGCTTGACACCTCGTAACATGAACAGGGAATGATATAGAAATGCTGAGCCCCCTCCGAGCAAGGTTGCCATAGCTTGTAGGAAATAGTAGGGGATGGGACAAAGGAAACTGCCAAATTGGCAGTCATTCGATCTCCGCAGCTTCAGTCGTCGAACCCACGCCATTGTCGATGGCTGGTTGGGCAACATCTCCAATGCTGGTTAGATCCAGGACAGGTGAAAGTAAAACGGGCTCCCCCTTGGGAATACTAGTGCTCCCACGGCGAGAGCCCGCGGACCGTTTCACCCTGGGGTCAACGGGGGCCTCCAGATTTGTGCTGGTCCGCGCGAGCGTCGCTTTAGCTGGGGTAGGAGTGAGTCTATCAATATCTCGTCGGGCAGCTTCGGCAGTCTCGTTTTCCTTATCTTGTGGCAGTCTCTCCTTTCTACCCTTGACCTGCGCACTGGGGCTGGCGCGAGGTTTACCGGTTGCTGGATTTTCTGCCACCATTTCAGGCGGCAGGGTGGACTTGACGCTAGATTCGGACACCTCTCGGCTCGGGGGATTTGAAATCTTTTTCAAAACAGAGACACCTTTACTAGGCTTAGCATAGGATGCAGAGCGTGCTTCTGCCGCGGCGGATAGCTTGGTTCCCATGGGCAACGACGCGCCGGATGGCGTGTTGGCCGGCGCATGAGTCCCACTGGCCAGCGGCTTCGGAGGGCTCAGAGCCTCGACAAACTGAGTGTACGACTCCTCGTCAATCGGCGTGACAAGACTGGCATTTTTGCTATGCTCATAGCTGACTCCAGTCATGCTGGACAATGCTCGGCTGCTGCCAGAGCTGGGAGCGTAATCTGGCATGGAGACATCCTCCCACGAGGGCCTTGCCCCCCGATGACGAGCGGACGGATCCAGCATGTATGGATCAATGAAGGGGTCGGGCATGAAAGATTCTGGTGGCGTTATTCTAGGTTCCGCCGGGTTACCTTGCCATTGAGGAGCCGGACCAAGGCTCGAATAGTAGTAGTCTCGATACGGCCAAGAATTCCGGACAGCCGAGCTGCTGGCTTGACTGTTTGCAAGGGTCACCTGTCGAAGACCATGTCTAGTTGGGGAGTGGGCGTGAGAATCATCTAGCTCTTTCTTATCAACCAGGCCACTCCCTGTGTTGTATTTGAAGAGACGAGGTTCCCGACTCCACATGGAAGCGTTGGGCCAGGCGATACTGGAATACTCCAACACATCTGCCTGTCATTAGACGGGCCAGAAACATAATACAGAGGAAAGGGGCCACTTACGCAAAGGGGCATGCTGGAAAGCAAACACTATAAGTTCCTTGACTCGTTCAAACGGCGGCGAACGATGGGGCCGAGAGAAGCCTTCGGAGATCACGATTCTGACCCTACCATGAAGATCCCCAGCGTCCCAATGCCGCTGCTCTAAGATATCCGAATGAAAAGGCGGGAAGCGAAGATGATCCTGATTGCCACTTTTATCGATATCTAGTCAGGTATCAGCACTACTCAGACGGGGAAAAAAGATTGAAGAAAACGCACAGGAGCTTAGGTCTACGCGAGTTTCCAAAGGTCAGCCATCCATATAAACACAGAATTGCAGCCATGGATTCCATACTCACCGATAACATGAGGCCAACTCGTTCTTTGGCTGAAAACACTGCCCCTGCACACGAAAGATCCCAGTTTCAGCGACTGCAGAAGTGACTTATCCAGAGAGGAAGCTTACGAAACACATAACCCATCAATGAAGATCCGAATCTCGAAGAGCAGGGAGTCATCCGGCTGCAACATGGTTTCCATCAACCGGCTAGCGCGGGGCTTGTCCCAGCTATGGATGGACACCCGAAATGGGGTGTTATGTGGCAAGCTGGGAATGAACGTCGTGAGAACTGGCAGCAACCCTACGGTGCTCTGTGATGGCAAGTATGAGAGGATATCGAGGGACGGGTTGTGTAGATAAGGAGAATCTGTCGCTGACGGTCAGTCTCTGCCTTGACACACTCATAGATCGAAGCCATTCTTCAACGCACCACGATCCTTAGTCACAAAGCACTGCGTCTTGAACTCCTGAATCGGTATCTTCGAAGTATCAGGGAACAAGAGCACATCCCAGTTCTCGTAACGCATCTTAGCAGCTGGATGAGTATTCCGGAGAGAGAAGGAGAGAGATAAATGAGACAATGGAGAATCTGGAATTAGAGTATATCAAGCGTAATGAAATCGCATTTCACGATACGTAAAAAAGCACTGAAGTAAGGAAGTCAACTGAAGAGAGAGGAGACCTGCAGGAGTAGCGAAAGTGGGATGGTGGATGATACTATGGAATGAATGACAGGATAGGGAACCATGCAGGTGGACAGGTCTGGAGCTACCTGGACAGGCTGGATTCGAGATGCGGACGCTCCTACCTCGTCGGTTGTTGCAATACTGATATAGAGAAGAGAGCAAGTTGGAATTTCGAGGGGAAAGAAAGGAAGAGAAAGAAGGCTTGAACCTGAGGCAGGCGTGACTCGGCCTAATCCTACATACAATCATAGTAATATGGGAGTATAGACATACCACTTGTTTTTCTTTCTTTCCATTTTCTCTATAGATAAATACCAACTCCACACACATTGGCAAGAGTAAAAAGATGCGACACTGTCATTGCCCTTTCGATTTGAAATCACATATCGGCCTTAACCACAGAAGTACAGACGGAGCACAACGAAGCCCACGACATAGCGAAAGGGGGAATCATCCACGAGAATATGCGCCAAGTGAAACTGGAAGAACCCAGAGCATCTGAAAGAAGGCATTCTCCAGGACAAAAGAACGGGGAACCTTACGAAAGACTTGCCATCACAGACGCCGCCCATAACTAACTGGCACGGAGAGATTTCTCCAACGCTGCACGCAACGCAACAAATCCTTCTACCCTGTCCCGAATCCGCTGGCTACAGTCAGGGGTAGCAATCCATAACCTTGCATGCGCAGGAGCCCGAGTCGACAGCCGGTCGACCGGGTAATGGGCATCATTGACCCGACCCAGGGAGACAGCATGCCTGCGAAGGAAACAGAAGATAGCAAAAACGAGAGAAAGCGTCATGTTCCATAGATGAATTGATTGTGCGATGTAAAAAGGCAAAAGGTAGGAAAGACAATGTTGTACAGGTCACTGGTCTAAAGGAAAAGCATGACAGAACATCCTTGGGGTGAAACTCAATTTAATTGCTTCGTGGAAAGACCTGAGACGATGAACTTTTGCGCAAATTGCCTGCCCAGGGAGTATATGGTAAAACAACGCAACGCGCAGAAACAGATCAAATTGGTGTCATATGCGTAAAAGACCTAGGAACCGGATATAGAGAAGTCGAGGAGGGGGCGAGGATGGTTTAAGGGGATAGAAGAGTGGAAAAGTAGATAGCAAAGGTTGATTGCAAGCAAGAAGAGAAAGAAAGAAAATAAAGGTAAGAATAGAAATAGAAGAGGAACAGAAAAATTTGGAATAACAGAATACGTTGCGGCAAAGCGAAGAAAACAGTCTCATCGAAAACAAGAAAAAAAGAGCTCAAATCTTGCTAATTGGCAGCGCTCACATATAATGAAGTACGTATCACAGGAGGAAATGCCCATCAAGAGGCTATAGAGGGAACTTTCGCAGCAGTAAAAATAAACTTATGACACAAAAGACCCATCATTTGGTTGTAATGACGCAAAAACTCCTGCGGTTGCTTTCAAAAAAAGGAACGCTTTTTTTACTGAAAATCTTCGTTAACATACTGAAAGGTCGTTAGAGACGGGGAAAACGGTCTCCAAGAACGGATTCAAGGGAGGAGGGACGGGGAGAACTAACCTTCATAGGCGCAAAGCCACCATACTGGTGGGCAGCGGGGGGCATGCCCATCGAGGGGTACATGGGAGGAGGGGGAGGAGCGGGACGGTAAGGGCTGCCAGCGGGGCCGGAGTTGTTCTGGGAGCGACCCCAGCTCAGGCGCACGCGCGAGTTACCGATGGGGTAGCCCTGCATCTGGTTGATGGCCATCTCCGCAGCATGACGCTGGACGAACTGAACGAAGCCACAGCCCTTTCCGGGGGGGATCTTGACGTAGGTGATCTCGCCGAATCCCTGGAAGAACGAGCGGAGCTCGTCCTCGGTGACGTAGCCGGAAAGTCCGCCGACGAAGACCGTGGTGTTGTTGGGGTCGGTGAACTGGTTCATGGGCTGGGGAGCGCCGTAGAAGCCCATGGGAGGCGCACCCATGGGGGGGTAGATGCCGGCCGGGCCGGGCATACCCATGGCACCGGGGACAACACCGGGGCCCTTGTTCTTGGGAGTAGCGGTGGAGATACGCATGGGGCGGTTGCCGCAGTAGACACCCTGCATCTCGCTCAGGGCGCGCTGCTGGTCGTTCTCGTCGGAGAAGCGCACGAAACCGTAACCGCGGGACATGCCGCTGATGGGGTCGGTCATGATCTTGGCGGACTTGCAGGACGGGAAGCGGCTCTGGAAGAGAGAAACGAGGACGTATTCGTTGACCTCGGGGCCGAGGTCACCCACGAAGATGGAGTACTCGGGGCCACGGTCATCACGGCTGTGCACGACCGGTGTTAAGATAAATCCGCCAATCGTCTCTCGTTTTGAGAGTTGGGTGTTGGGTTCTTACCTGCGATCAGCCAGGCCACCACCGGTAGCCCAGTTCAGCTTGAACAGGCGGTTGGTGTTGGGCATGGGAGAGCCGTTGAGAGACAGAGCCTTGGCGGCAGCGGCGGGCGACGTGAAATCGACGAAGCAGTAGCCGGCGTTGCTCCTACTACCAACATTAGGATCGCCTTCCAATAGAACAGAAGGATCGTGATTTACTCACCCAGAGAACTTATCACGGATCATCTTCACGTTGACCTGCTCACCCATCTGGAACCACAGGTTGCGGACGAAGTTCTCATCAATCCAAGGTTCAAGCTCACCCATCCTGTCGGCCAAGGTTAGAAATCGTATGAGATCGGGGTGGTGTGGATGCGTACCAGAGAGTGGTCTTGCCCTCGGCGGGCTGCTGAGAAGCAGCAGAGTTGGGCTCGCCGGGAGCAGGACCCTGGAAAGACGCGGTAGCGGGGTCGGCCTGGCCGGTCATGGCGGTATCCGCGGTCGCGGGAGCGCCAGACGCGGCGGCGGCGGCGTCAGCAGCGGGGTGCTGGTTTTGGAACGAATCGAAGTTCTGGAAAGACATATTGGCGGAGATTGAAGCCGAAATTTCGTGAAGATAACAGGAGCGCGAACGATATCTGCCGTGGATATTAGTGTAAGCTCAGGATCGCGTCTCGACTCTCGAGTGGAAACCGTCCAGCCACCCCGACTCATAATTGGCGCATACCTTTTCAAAGAGCAAAACCCGAACAAGACAAACTTTTCTATTCCGTAACGGCCAGGATGACTTGAAATTCGTTGGAGTCGTCAAGCAAAGAAGCGTACGGTCGTTGATACTTGGAAATGATCGAAAGGGTATTCAATTCCTATGAGCAGGGAATCAAGGATTAGTATGCTAGATGGCAATCAATGAGCCGAGACGATCGCAACAGAGGAGATCGACCAAAGGAAAGAAAGATCGAAGAAGAAAAAGCAGCAGGCGAAGAGAATCCGTCAATCCGAGGACCACGTTTTTGCCCCAATAATCCGCGCGATGCAGCAGTTCCAAAGGATCGAAATGGGATAAGCCAGACGATGAGAAGTGATCCGATCGCGATGGAAGATCCAAGGAAGACTGAAGGCAACGGCGTCCGGTTGAGAGGGATTGACGAAGATGCAATCGTTCCAGGTGAACCACTGGGGAGATTTTTGACCCAGCACGGACCTGACGGGGTGATGAATTCAGAGGGCAGTGCACGGAGCCGCACAATGACCGCATTCGGCCTCGGCACGAGCGCTGCGACCGTCCCAGTTGACTCTTCCGGCCAAACCCCAATTAAATCCAGTCATGCGACGACACGGTAGGATACTGGGTCGCTGGATTGGGACGCAAATTGATCGTGGTTCTGTCCTTGGGGGCAGGCGATTATCCCGGTTCCCGCTTGCGAAGAGATGGTGCAGCGATCGAGTTTTTCGGGTTGGCGCATCGCAGATACCGACATTCAAGGCATGCATCGTATCACACCAGGGAATCCGACGTGTGCTCCAGGGATTGAACAGGCAATGGTCCAGGGATAGAAGTAGAAACGCGGCTTCCTTTTTCTTCTTTCTTCTTTTTCTTTTCTTTCGTTTTCTTCGTGTACAAAGAATGAAGCGGTCTCGGCTCCAGAACCCAACAAAAGAAACAACTTACCAGCAATATAAAACAAAAGCGGCCTTGAAACTAGCTTTCGCTGAAGAAAAAAGACGTCAAGGAGATACGTTGCTTTGGCGTGGCGCAAATCAAGGATGCGTGAAGACAAGGACGTGAGGCGACAACGCGACCAAGAACCGGATTGGAAATCGAGAAGAACTGGCGGAAAGTAGCGTCCAAGACTAAGGAAGAACAAAAGGCGAGAAAAAAGGCAGAAAAGATACAAGAGTAACTATCCGCAAAAACCGACTCCGTCTTTTCCGATACGAACAAGGAATGGTACAAGGAGGGGAAGAGATGAGGTTAAAGGGAAAAAAAGAAAAGGAAAAGAAAAGGAAGAGGGGTAGAGGAAGAGGCGAATATTCTTCAGATGGAAGAGGGGGAGAGAAGAGAGAAAGAGAGGAAGAAGAGAGAGAGAGAATGGATTGCTAACTAGGGCAGACCAGAGAGCGGCAGGAGAATCGATCATTAGACGAACGAACAAAATTCTAGTTAAGGGACCGGAAATAAAAAAAAAAAATAACATGATAAAAAAATAGAAGAAAAAGGTGAAAAATAAAAATCATAATAATAATAAGGTAATGATAATAATCCAACCCACACAATCCAGACTAAAGAATGATTAGAATAATGACCCAACGACGTGCAGGACGGACGAACCAACCATCAAGCACGCTGTGGGTGAGGAGGGGCGAAGCAGCCTCAGGCTTTTGCTACTACTGCCACAATGGGTGGGACGAAAGAGCTTTTTTTATTATTATTTTTTTTTTATTATCATTTCAATATTATTTACTAGATTTCTTCCTTGTTCTGTTCCATTCTCTTGTCTTTGGTTGAAAGAAAGAAAAAACCTTTTCGGCCCAGTTTAGTGAACCAGAAGAAGACTTGTAGATCTGGGTTGATAATGTCGGTATCCGGGAGTTTGTATGTAATATACAGTATGGAATGCATATATTTTGGCTTATTGTATGGGTCATGGTATGATATGGGTCGGGCAATACCGTATTGTTCTTTGTATTCAGATTTCACGGTAATATGTACTAGTATTAAATACGGTACTAAACAGTGGGTCAATAGATATCATCATCTCATGGTGACGATAGATGTCTTGATACTCGATATCAAGTTCTGTCCTCGACATACTATCTACCCGGATAGATATATATCTGGGTATGTCCGGATATAACAGGATATATCTGAACTGGGTGGTTAGTAGAATGAAGTAAATTACCTGTACCAATACATACCAAACAACCTGAACCCTGGAACAGATGACCACTGCATCCTGCGGGTTTGCAACTGACATGATTCTTATTCCCTCTGCATGCACCTGATTCTGGAGCTGTCTGGTTTACTGGAAGGATATAGCTTTATAATCGGTATATATAAATATACACAATCCGGCAAAGAAGTTCTAGACATACTATCATGAACCCAACGTGGCGTCCGACATAAGGATTACCCCAACTGATACCCTGAATCCCCTCAATTGACGCAGGGAGCATAGCATGGCATGGACGGGGTACATATGGTTCATCTGGTGATGACCCAGGCAAGGCATCAGACAAGGCATCAGACAAGGGAGGCTGTTAGCCAAGCCAGCATAATACTAAACGATGCACGAATCTGCAAGGATAGCTGAATGTTGCACCTGCAGACCAACCCTGGAGGTCTTGATATCGTGAGTTTTATTATTAGATTATATTTTAGTATATTATATTATCTTTACCTTGTTTTACATGTACATTTATTTACATTCACACTTACATCTCCGGAGTACAGATACCAAGAGACCTTCAGGTTCAGCCCTCGACTCCAGTCCGAGCCCGGACGGTGACTCGTCGATTTCCAGTTCGCGTCCGTGGGCCCAATCGTCATAAGCGGGGACAAGATGGAGACTTAATTTATTTTTCTGTTTTTCTTTTTTTCGCTTTTCTTTTTCTCCCCTCTCGCTTTCTTGTCCAATTCTACTGTCTTATTGGTAGATTTGTCCCGTTCAAAGGTAGCCACGCCTGTTCTTTATTCTGTATCGACTGGATCATTGATGTTGCTTACTCTACCTTTTGAAAGACAGACTATCCACCGTCATCCTCTAACGGTGGGTTTTTTTTTCTGAATCAACATGAAAAGGAACCAAAAGAAAGGTTCTAAACGTCGAAACCCGAAAGGACAAGCCCCGCTGATGTGCCCCAGAAGTCAACCTTGGATTTGCGATAACTAACATAATAGAAAGGGTACAACCGTGGATGAAGAAAGAGACAGGAGGTACCATACGGTAAACGTGTGGCCGGACATGCTGATGATTCAATAATTGATGACTATCGTCAGTGCCCCGAGGCGATAATATCTAATAGTAGCAAACAGACGAGGTCAAAGCACTCTCTTCTACAAGTGGCTGGGGGCAGCTCACTCAGACCTGAGGAATATAGACTCGACTCAGATCAAGCGCCAACAACACAGCTGGGAAAACCAGAAAAAAGAACTCAGCTCCGAGATGCAGCCAGTAGCCACAGCCACATCCCCACTCGACAACCAGAACCATGGGAATCTCTACTCTAGTCCTCCCATTGGACTGATACTAGTAATCTGGTACAGACAGTAACAGGCACACACAGCTGAGCGTACCTTAAATCCGGCCCGCTAGTGCCATTTCTACTCCGTTCAATCCCGGTTCGTTGTACGCGTCCGCGACGCGATCGGCCGACTAGGGTTTCGTGTCTCCCATATAACCAACTTGGGTGAATACCAGCTTGATACAGTGGATGACGTAAAATACATATTCCATACGGAGTACACGAGGTCGTGATCTGGAAGAAGAAAGAAAATCAACAGCAGGGGAGGAGCTGGTATGACCAAGGGATAGAATTCACTCTTATTTGACTGATTCCATTCAATACAGTTCCCTTCATACTCATTTCTCTGAGTCTTATTCTGTCAATCTTCATCTCAAGCACGCGGTAGATGACGGCCCCTACATCGCCCTTGCTTATACATAATACATACACACATACACATACATACTAATACCACGTACTGACCGTATATCCCGCACCATGGAAAGCCTCCATTACACATATTACATATAATACACATATTACATACAGAGCATAAATCCTTGCGCGGGCTTAAGCGCATGCATGGATATTATAATATCCAGTGTATAACTGGATGTCGTCAGTCCCTTGCAGATATAGATCCTCTTATCTTACTGCCTGATTTCATCATGACCTTGAGATAGTAAATAGTACACAGTAGTTTTGAGGTTTCATATTAGAAAAGTCAGTATCATTACTTGTTTAAAAATGTATAATACACCATTTGATCTCAAACTTCAGAGTTGGTAAAACTAGAGGCAGTAAGTGTAGGTAAAGCACGGATAGCCACCGGAACCCCGAACCATGGATCCAGACGAGCTCAACGTCCCCAACAGCCTAGGAGACCTGAAAAGCTGTCGCTCACTAACTATTATCTGATTTTATTCCATTCTGTTCTATTTCATTATTTCATTATTAGTATTATTATGACTCCAGCAAAATCAATGTGCATTATGCAATGCACAATCAAGACATCCATCCCAATCCTTACATTAACAAGCCAGACATACAGCTATACTTACACCCCTCTATCCACCCACCCAAGAATGCCCACCTTACCTTGAGACATCCATGTTTATTTATTTATTTCTTGGGCCGCTGAGATCACGACACAACCTTAATCGACACGAGCGCTGTTCGGAACATCCGTCCATCCTATCTCGCGGGGGGAGGTTGTCGGCAGACCAAGGCACGGTGGGGAAGGTGGCTTGGTTGATGTGGTAACTGGTAACTTTCTAGGTTGATTTGGTGGTTTGTTTATGGGTTCTTCTGGGGGGTGGTTTGTTGATAAGGTTCTTGTTACCAGGTAGGTAGTTTGGTTGGTTGGATTGGATGATATGGATTGATAGTGCTGTATTTGTAGAAAACTGGGTAGGTAGTGATGGATATTGAGTGACATGGGCTCATACTAGCTAGAAACCGACAAAACAGAATGAAAACGCAACTTAGGATCACAGCTTCAAAACATGAAAAAGAAAGAAAGAAGAAAACTAACAAACCTCCCCAGACCCAATCTGATTATCCACAAACTCCCCCGCCTTCCCCAGCTCATCCCCAAGCAACTGAATCGTCTTCTCATAAACCTTCGCAGCCTCCATATCCCACCGCCCCGGAGCCTGATACTCCCCTGTCCCAGTGCCAAAGTCATCGTCGTCGTCGTCATCATCATCACCCTCATCAAGGCTATCCGCGCTCTCATCCATCTCCTCATCAACCTGCTCGCTGGCCTCCACGACAGCAACACGACACGTCTCCGCCAGACTCTTGATGCGGACTTTCTCCGTCATGGAGACGACATTGTGTCGGCCTTCGAAGCCTGAAAGGGGTTCGCCCGTGTCTGCGTCTTCGCCGAGGAGGAGCGATGCGAAGACGGAGTCGAGCTTTCTGAGCAAGCGGAAGGTTGAGCCTGGGCTGAGGGGGAAGTCGGGGAGGTACGTGTTGATTAGTCCGGCCACGGTGATCAGGTATGGGATTTGTATTGAAGCTGGAAACAATAGGCAAGGGATTAAGAGAGACGAGAGTTAGTCTGCGGTTCTCGCCCATGTGAAACCAAATAGTATATCACATATACCACGCATGAAGAGAAAGAAAGAGAAAGAAAGGTGACATACGAGTCCCACTAACCCAGAGTACATCAATCACTCCATCAAGATCCTTAGCTACTTCCTTGAAGCTCTCGTACCCACGCTCTGACGCCTGCTGACTCTGGTCATCAAAAGCGGAGCTGAACTTTTTAGCGTGTCGTCGGTTGACGCTCAGGAGGACCTTGTCAACGTGGTTGATCACAGTCGTCTCTTTCAAGGAACCTGCGCGAAGCGGGTGCGCTCTTGGTTTGGGCAGACTGGATGGTGTTGCTGTTGATGTTGATGGCGCGGGGGAGAGGAGGGGGTTTTGGATGAAGCCCCCTCCGGGTGTTTCTGCTGAGGCCATATCATATAAACCGAATGGATCAGTAGAGTTGGGTGTCTTGTTTGGTGCAGTATGGATTGTAATTCAAGTTATGCGGTTGGAGCTCTAGCAAGCTGTAAGTATATATAGTCGGTTGACGCGACATATGGACGGACCTGACTTGAGATAATAAGGTATTGCATCAACATCTACAGTTTAATACAGACGTCGTGTTGAATTTGCCACGATTGTCACTTATCAAAAGCAAGAATACAACTTGGTTTGATGAGAGAAGGTGAGCTCCGAGCTGGGATTCAAGATGTCATGCCAAGCCTGTGGCCCGTGCGGTACCGGATCCAGACCACCATCCAGTTGGAACTATAGAACCACCACGGGGTATAACTAAGGTACTATACTATATTACAACATATAGGTTGGCAGTTATATAGAAAGTGAACAGCTTGTATGTCTTCTTGAAAAAGGTCATACTCATGCAAGCTATGTACATTCTCTCTGTAGTACACACAGGGTAATTAGGACAGGAATAAGACGTCTACTACTACCACAGTACTATACTAGACGAAGACCAGGAAGAGGAACTGCACTGGTGAGGATATATACCTTGCTCACTTCTATCAAGAGGCTTTCTGTTAGCTACAGACTAGCTCGCTTTTGAATCACTCTTGATCAACGGCCATGTATACCTGATTTGGACAACATGGGGCGGGCGAGTTTCAGCCTTGCGAGCACTAGTCATGATACATAGGAAATACCACATCACACATTGACCCCAGCCCGCAGGACGAAATCAATACTCAATTTCTGCGTCAGATAGTACTCATCAAACACAGACAGGTATGTCTTGTCGCCCAGTCAATTGTTCCAGTGAAGCTCACGGAACACTGGAACCTAATCCCGATATCTCTGGGATTGGGGTAAGTAGGCATGTTGTTACTTTGCATGAAGCATGATTAGACTGACGCTTGGAAAGATCATCACGGGCTTTCTCGCTACGGCCTGGGCCACCCTCGTGGCTCTGATATTCAACTATGTTGTCGCGCCAACCGAACCATCCACTGGTTCTTCGGAAACACTCCCGATGGGGAATGCGTTGGATGATCCATTGCGGCAGTCGCTGCAGAGGATGCTGAAAAGGATCTTACCATCACCGCAGTGGGTGAAACCACTGAGGACTGTGAGTACCAATATCCACCTCTAGCAACCGGGGGGCAGGGAACTAACAGGTCGGATCAAGGTCGTGATGGCAATGAGTGATCAGCAGCTCGTGACCGGATTCGCCAACTTCGTGAGCGGCTATTCCCAACTGCCCTGTGGTTTATCCCTCTATCACTGGCAAATAATCACGGCCATCACCTGGTTCGCGAGCGTCACCCATCTGGCGACACTGCCGTTCCTCCAGCAGTATCTGCGGCGCCACAAGTATCTCCTCTACATTAGAGTCTTCTTGATGACCGCGCTCACCATCATGCTTGCCATCGCGCTTTTGTCTAGTGGAAAAGGCGGAGCCAAAATGATTTTGATGGGTCACCGAAATATCAAAATATCCGTCCCCGTACCGACGAGCAAGCTGGCCGCCCCCGCAAAGTGCTTCGTGGACGAGGTGAATTTCGGATTTGACCGCAGCTCAGGAAGTGCAGTGTATATAGTCGTCTCGGAGATCATCCTGCTGGGAGGACTTTTTATCCGTCTCCTACGGATGCTTCCGGCCACCAATGCCGTTGCGGTGGCCACTCTGAAGGCTGTCGGCACGTTATGGCGAAAGACCATTGCCAGATGCTGTGGAGGCCTTCAAACGTCCTCCCGATGCATGCGAGCCCTCCTCGTGCCCTCGATTGTCGTTTCCTTGGCGGCAGGGGCTACCACACAAGCCGTGATCGATTTCCTGCGCTCTGCAACCTTCGAGGTGATCTGGTTGATGTTTGCTTTGATCTGGGGCACGATTCGACTGTTCACTATCCGTTCGTTTGTGCCGCCGGGCAGCAACGTCGTCGAGGAAGACTTTTGGGGCTTCGGTCAACTGGTGCCAGTGTTGCTGCTCCTTCTCCCGATCCTCCTGATCGCCGAGAGCTGCTCGGGTAGGCCTGCTCCCTCCATGTATGTGTTCAACGAAATTGGCTAACAGCTACAGAAATGGCCCACCAGGGCAGCAAGAAGAAGCAGACAGCAGCAGCAGTAGCCACTCAGACCGACTCCGAGTCCGAGTCTACATCGGACAACAAGACGCCACCTGGCTCCCCATCCCTGCCCCAGCACCATCTCACGACCACAACCCCCAGCAGCAGCGCGACCTCTCCCCACGCTGAACCCCCATCTCCCTCACCATCCCAGCCCAACACCCCACTCTGCACCAAAATGATCACTCTCAGCGAGCAGAACTTCCGCCTCGAACCCTGGTACCTAGACAACCTCTACTACATGACATCATACGCAATCGGCACAGCCCCCATAATCCTCATCTGTGCGACCCAAAAAGAAATTTACGAAGGCGACATCATAATTGCACTGGAATTAATAGCCGGCGGCGCCCTCTCCTTCATCTTCATCCCGCTATGCGGCATCGTCGCCTACCTCGACGACAGCCGACAGCGGCAGCGGCATGCGCTCTCCGCCCTCCGACTCGTAGTCGATCCCGGCAAGACGCACCGCGTGGCCCGGTATATCTATTTCGCGTGCGTGCCCGTGCCTGTGTTGTGTTTGACGATTGCGTATCCGCAGGGGTTGGGGTTGGTGGTTCTTCTTTGGGTCTGGGCGGTGTTGTATTCGCTTTCGACGGTGGGGGTTGCTGCTGCAGGGTGGGTGCTTTGTGGGTTGGCTTTAAGGGAAGAGTAGTGTTTTGCTCGCTCATTTACTCAATGGGCTCCCTTGCTCTGGTTTTTGAGGGAGAGGTGCTGGGTCTTTGTAGATCGAGCGAGCAGAAGGACAGTGCTAGTTACCACAAGTGGGTTTCATATTCCCATGGAACAGCCGGTGGCAGACGGTAGATAATAAGGCCATCACAAGTTCACAACTAATGTTCAGTTATCTATATCTATCTATACAATATACCTAATATACAATTAGCAACAGCATTTCCACAAGCACATACACCACCATTATATAGAATCAACTTCAGAGAGTGAGAAGATATTTAACGCTGGTTTTTGTAGACATGGCATGACATCAAGATAACAAGAGTCTTGCTACTCTGGCCCCAGCGGGCTCATCATAAAAAAAAAAGGGAGGTAGAAGTAAAGTTAGACACTCACATCAGCATTGAATCCTCCACCCGACGACAAAAACTTGACTTTTGACTTTGACTTTTGACCACCCAAAACGCCTTGCTAAAATCGACATCGGACAAGTGCAGTAGACACCGCAGCCATTACTCGGGCTATACATCGTTAGTATCAGTATCCCACAGTCCAACAATCAGTCAATCAAAGGAGGAAGAAGAGAACATACCCTAATCTTCCCCTTCCGCCTCTTCATATCCTCCAACCTCTTCTTATCCTCCCCAAACCGCCTAAGCATCTCATTCTGCCTCATCTTCCTCTTCTCCCGACTCTGGAAGCGATAGAAGTCCTCCAAGCCCTCCTGCTTCTTCTTCTGCCTCTCAACCAGCTCCCTCGCCTCGTCCTCGTGCGCCGTCTCCGTAAGCTTCGGCCCACTAGTAACAGTGACAAACCCATCCTCGTCCGGCTCCTGCGCCCGACGCGCGACCTCCCTCTTCCGCGCCTCAGACACCTGCTCAAACACAGTCATGTAGTCGCTCACCGCGCGGAGAATCTCCGCCCGCGCAGGGAAAACAGCCCGCTCATGCTTCAAGTACCGCTCCATCCCCAGCGCAGGAAGCCTCCCCTCAACACCCTCCCCCCACACAATCCCCTCCTTCCCCTGTTTGCGGCCCGCAACCTTCCTCGCAGCCTTCAAGCTCGCCTCGCGCGCAGGCCCATCCACAAAGATAACAATCGCATGCGCCCCGCTCTTATGCAGCGCCCTGTCCCACGTAGCAGGCAACTCAATCCCATCAAGCTGACCCTGCAGCTCATCAGCCGTCACGCGCTTGCGCTTCTTCACGGACATTTGATTCGCCTGCGCGCCGCTTCCTTTCGCCTTGGTCGGCACATCCTCGAAGTGCACCTTTTCGACGCGGCCTGCGCCGAGCTGGGTACCGAAGAGGTGGCGTAGGTGTAGCTCTGTCGTGTCGATGGGGATGTTGACGAGGAAGAGAGAGCGGGGGGTGTCGTCGTCGGGGATGCGCGGTTCGTGGGCGCGGATGTAGAGGTGGTGCGTTGCGGGCTTGGGGTAGGATGGGGTTGCGGGGAGGGTGAGGGGGAGGACTGTGTAGCCTGCTATTTCGGAGGGGGTCTTTTTCATTTTGGCGGATTTGGACGAAGGGTGGGATTTCGTGAAGGTCTTTGAAGAATGAAGAATGTTGGATGGAAGTGGTTGTTGGTGATGCGGCAGAATTGTTTTTTTGATCAGATTTTTCGGAAGGCGGAGTGAGATTATTTTTATTTTGTTTTGTTTTATTTTATTTCTTGGCATTGTTTTCGCATACTATGCTTCATACTTCATTTCATAGACTCATACATAAACTGTTTATCATGGCCGTGACAGTCAAATCAATCATTCACTCATGTCGCATAACTTGAATCAAATCATCCCATTTGAAGAAATAAAAAGATCACTCAAACCCTGTCAACCCTCACATGCTTGGTATATCGAACCTACCTATACTCATGTATCAAGCCTTATCAGGATCATTGATCCCACCATTGGTAATGATATAAGTCGCCTCTCTCTCAGGGCAGTCTGCAGTACTCAGCGTTGCTTTACCCAAGATAGGTGTCTAAGTCAAACCTACCAGGCGAATCCTGTATCTTCGCTACCCGCTCCTCCCCACGACCCTTGCGGAGAAGAACACGCGTAGTAGACGCATGTGCCAGGACGTGTCCACCAACAGGCTTGCGGCCGTCTGCTCCGGCAAAAAGCGCACTGGCGCCGGGATCGCTCTGGACTTGGTTTGTCTACACGATATGAGTGTTGTAAGCTGAGGCGGCGGCGGCACTATACTTACCATCAGGACGCAGACGTTGAACTCTGGACCCGGCGAGGGTTAGTTAGATAAGTAACAGACAATCAGCGAGAAGAAGAAGACACACCTTCAGCCATATGGGCAAGCTTCATCAAAAACTGATTCAGCTTCTGCTGCCGATCCGCCAATTCCCCCCGTCCACAATAATCCACCCTAAAACAATTCATAATGCTATCAATAATCAAGAGCCTATACTCGCCGCCCGCAAACTCCTTGCTAAGCGTATTAAGCAGCTCCATCTGATGCTCGCTGTTCAGCGCGCGCGCGTACGCAATATTCTCCTGCGCCGAGGCAGGGTCGACGCCGAAGCGCTCCGCAATCTGGGCGATGCGCTCGGGTCGGAATGTGCCTTCTGTGTCGATGTAGGCTACTTTGCCGTCTGCGCCGCCCATGTCTTTGGGGAGTTGGGCGATGACGGACATTGTGTGTGAGAGCTGGGTTTTGCCGCAGCGGAATTCGCCGAAGACTTCGCTGATGCTCATGCTTTGGAAGCCTCTGATGTTGTATAGTTGTTAGGGGGGACGTTCGAATGGGGAAAGGGGTGGGGAGACAAACCCTCCCAGGATGGAGTCGAATTGCTTGCTTCCGGTTGAGATTCGCACTACCTTCTTGCGCTGGTGGCATAGTTCCATGGCGGTGATGAACCCAGATGCGGAGGGCTATACCAAATGGTTAGATCTAGCAAGACTGAACATGGTAGTGACAGACCAGGCACTTGGTGATAGCATCTTTGATCTTCTCCACTTTGATCTCGCTGAACCCTTTGATCTTCAGGAGATTCTTCCGGGTGGCACCGTGGACGGACTGTCCAATTAGCTGTAGTAGATAGAGGAGGAAGACTCAGAAGGTGCCAACCGCAATAGTATAGTATCCATTGGCTTTCAATTTCGTGATATCTGCTGCGCCGATACCTATGCTTACTTAGTAGGAACCTAGAAGACTCGAGAGATGCGCACCGTGGGCTTGGATGGAGTCGATCTCGACGATGAAGGACTGTACACATGATACAAGTTAGTCTATTTCAAAGTTGTCTGCTGGGAGGGAAATGTACATCGACGTCGTAGTCATCACTTATGTCGGAGCCGGGCATGGTGTCGTTGCGCACCTTGGGTATATAAGTGTGGGTAGATCTTGAAGAACAGAGATGATTGACCGATGCCTTGAGGTATGAGTAAGTGAATCGGGGAAACAATGTAGCTATAGTGGAGAGAAGATGAAGTAGAGCTAGATGGATAGTTGGAGGTGTCACGGGGTCTGCCATAGAAATCCAACACTTGCTCTGATAACACGGAGTAGCATAAGTTCTCTGCCATTCTTACCATATACAACCATTACTCCAGGAAAAACCTCCATCCAAGTAGACAGAAACAAAAGCCAGAAACTTTCCTAACCCAACAAGAAGAAAAAGAATAAATCATGTTTTTTTTCTTTGCTTTTATTTGCTTCCCATTCGAATATGGAAAAATGAATTATAGGACGAAAAGATGAAGAGGTGACCACACGCCAGTTACCTTTCCCCTCCATCAACACACATTCTTCAGCACAAACGATCCCCCATCTGTAGCCTTATCCCATCAACACTTGATCACACGCACGTTCGTCGGTCCACCAGTGAACTTCTTGTTCAATTCACCCTTCGCCATCCATCCCCTCGTCTCTCCCTCTTTTCTTGTCGTACCTATTATCCGAATGAGAAGATACCCGAGGAGAACAATTAAGACGCCAATCGTAAGAACCTGAGCCATGTATAGGATCCAAGCCTGAAGGTGGGGGGGGAGGAGGGCCTAGGAGTTCGTGAAACTTTTTGTTCGTCGTATACATAAGGAGAGAAGGAAAAGTTGAAAAATAAATAATGAAGGGGGGGCGTAATATATGCAAAGGAAGAAACATGAGAGAAGAAGATCAAAACCGGGATCGGGGACCTTCAATTCAAAGCAAGATGGGAGGAGATTAGGTAGAAGGGAAACAGGCTCCCGTGAAGAGGGGACCGGTTGATCGGATAATCATAACGTGCTTTTTTTATGCGACAGCGGGGGTGGGAGCCGCGGCAGCAACGGGGACTTCGGTAGTCGCCTCGACGGCAACGGCAGCAACGGGAACAGCGGGGGCGGCACCGGCCTCGGTGGGCTGCTGGGGAGCGGCCTCGTTGTTGGGGCAGTCCCGAGAGATGTGGCCAGCCTGGGCGCACTTGTAGCAGACCTTGCCGGCGGAGCTAAGGGGACCACCGTTGGGAGCGGTGCAGTCACGGGAGATGTGGCCCTAGATATAATGAGCGGCTGTACTTTATTGCTATTTTCAATGAAGGGCACTCACAAGCTTGCCGCAAGCATAGCACTTCATGGCCTGGGCCTGACAATCCCGGGCAAAGTGGTTGGGGCCACCACACTTGTAGCAGGTCGCAGCGCGAGGGTAACCGCCGAAACCACCACGGAAACCACCGGCGAGTCCACCGCGGGGAGCGCCGAGACCACGGGGAGCACCCGTAGCAGGGGCAGGGCAGTTGCGCTGGGGAAAGTCAGTGGATCCACCCTGGTAGTATTATAGTATTCCCGAGGGAGAATCGAACGTACAGCAAGATGACCGGGCTGGCTGCAGTTGTAGCAGCGGCCGTTGGCACCGTTCAGACGGAGGGTAGGACAATCCGCCTGAACGTGGCCCAGACCCTGGCAGTTATAGCATTGCTTGGCTGGATTCGAGTTAACGTTCAATTGTTCTTGTTGATCGTTTGAGTTCGGGGAGCTCTTACTCTCGGTGGTACGAGGGAGCGGGCAGCTGCTGGACTCGTGTCCTAGTCGACGGATTAGATCTGTTGTCCGGGGTATGTCACACACGCAGGTACCTACCAGGCTGCTTGCCTGTTCATTGTATTAGCAAGAATCTTGGATGAAAGTCCGCACTAAGAAAGAAGACACTCACAGTTGTAGCAGAGACGCTCAGTCGAAGAGCAGACCTCTACACCCATCCGTCAGTTCACCATCCATGCCGTATAAAACCATCTCGACTAACCCGCATAGTGGCCGATGTTGCCACACTTGTAGCACGCGCGACGAGAAAGCAACATTTTGTCGGTAGATCAAACTAAGAAACGGGGAAGCTTGTCAGCGTTTCCAATCGAGCCATTGTTTGGTTGTAGTCTGAGCTTTTTCTTTTCTTTTCTTTTTCATCATTCTTCCATTCGCATGGGACACCTTGAATGGATGGCGCGGGGCACTCCAAAAGTCGCATTATTTCCCACACGCTACCCAGGAAGATTTGGATAAAAAGGAGACAGACAATTCCACCTGAGAACCATCTCCCCAATCCAAACCAAAGTGGCCGGAGAGAAACATATACGGGTCCAGCGGGAGCGTCAACGTCAAAAGATGACGAAGAAGCTTCTGCAGCTGGTGCCCCCCGCCCCAAAAAAAAGCTCATCAAAGGCAGATCGCGGAGAAATATCCAAAGAGGGCGAGACTCACCCTTCCTAAATCCAACAACACACACAACGATCGAAATCTCTCCTTGTCAAATGAGGCAGGATATCTTTCAACGAAACCGTCAGCTTTTGAGAATCTGGAGGAACAAGCAGCACTTCAAGTCAAGCGCGCATTTGCTTCCGTCGGAGAACCTGAAAAAGTGGGCTGACAAAGACGGAGCGGTCGAATGGGAGTGGAGGAAAAAAAAAAAAAAAAAAATTTAAAGAAAAAGTGACGATCAAGCACACACAGAAGACAAAAATATAGAGTAAAATAGATGATAATATAGATAATAAATTAAATAAAATTTCACCAGACAATAGCAACAGCAGCAACTCAATCAACTGACAACACACAACCTCAAACCACCAAATAACCAACCTATAAATCAAGAGGAAATCCTTTCAATCCGCCAAAACTGCACACAAACAGGAACGATACCGCGAACAGGGGAAAACAGCGGGACCGAAACAAGCGATGTAACAGAGACCGGGAAAGGCAGGTTACTGTCCTAGTGTTCTGACAGACATTCCGGACCTTTCCTGTAAGTTTGGGTACGGTATGGTAAGGAGAGTGATCTTCTGGGCTGCCCCGGATTTCCGGTGGATGTGCTGGCCTGAGGCTGTTGATCAGCACTGTCTGGATGTTGGGTACCTTGGGATATTGTATGTCATTGACGGGGTTATAGAGTATAATGTGGATCTATAGATTATATTGTTAGTTTCTCCTTGCGCAGTCTTTCTTGCAGATGCAGATGCAGATTTGACAGTCTCCCTTGCTTAAGGAAAAGGATATATATATACACCCACAAGATCCTGTCTTCAGTACTACGTCAAAATATATGTTTATACGTTTTCTTTTACAAGTAGGGAAGAAAAAAGGAAAAATTAAAACCAGTAGATAGGTGTATCACTAATGCTCTTCATATGCACCTGGATTACCAAATATAAACATCGTGCTATATGATTAAACAGACCACTGGGCTGCCAGTGTCCGCTGTTGATGCTGTTGACCTGTGGATTAAGTGTGAGATGGGTGGGATCCCCATCTATTCCTCCTTTTCGATCACGGCCGGGGCCTTGATCTCGCGTCCTTGGAGGAACTCCAGTCCTTCTCCGCCCTGCAATATTTGTCAGTTCATGTTCCGAAATAAAACCAATGGAGAAGGAGAACATACGTAGCTGATCAAAGGAGAAACCTCCACACCGACAGCCTCACCATCAGTGACAACCACACCGCCGACCTTCTCGATCCACCGCTGCCCCTGGCTCATGATATCCTGCCGGCTGGTATCCTGGTCGTCGACGCCAGTCCCGCGGGCGTTCTTCAGCGGCGAGAACTCGTCCTCGCGGCGGACCTCGATGCAAGCAAACTTCTCCAGAGGCGTCATGGGGAAGACGTCAAAGACGAACTGCTCCAGCTTGATGCCGTTCGGCTTCTCAGGCTTGTAGAACTCGCCGCTCTCAGCCAGGATGCAGGGGATCTTCTTGCGGGCGACGTGGTGCGGCATCTTGTGCGCCCAGGTCTCGATCGACTCGAAGAACTTGAACGAGTAGTAGTGGTTGACGATGTTGGCCGCGCGGAACTTGAGCAGGTCCGGCTGCTTGGGGTCCACCGCTTCGGCGGTCGCCTCGTCGATCTCGGAGTACTCGACCACATCGGGCTTGCCGTTGCGCTGCAGGATCAGGCCCACGGACTCGGTGGCGTTGCGCTTGCGCACCACCTTGGTCGCGATGTCGACCTTCTTCGAGGCTGCGAAGCCGATGAAGACCGGGTCGGCGACCTTGACGAGGCAGTTGTCGACGCAGTAGTTGTGGATGTGCTCGATGCCGCGCGCACGCATGTCTTCCCGCACGCCGGACGTCACCAGCGCTTGGTAGATGCCGCCATTGCCATCGGGGGCGACTGCGACCTGTATATCGTTAGGAGATGTCTGGGGAGAGGCTAGGGGCGTGGGTTGGACGGTGGCTATGTACCTTGGATTTGCTCTCCAGCATGATCTTGCCCTCGTTGGAGATACAAGGCAGGACGCCCTGCTCAAAGATAGAGACATTGCTCTTATCCAGACCAAAGTAATTATGCTTCTCAAAAAACTGCTCCGTCGGCTTGCGCGTAGGCCCGCTGGTCATCACATACCAGGGAATGACAGCCGGCTTGCCGGAGATCTTCTGAGCCAGCTGCTGCAGCTTGACGATGCGCTCAGCCTGGATCTGGAAGAGCGGCTTGTGGCTGGGGAGACCGATGTCAAAGCAGCCCTTGGGGGCGGAGCTTCCGAGACGGGTACCCTGGCCGCCGGCCATCAACACGACGGCGACCTTGTTGTCCGCGACGAGCTGGAGACCCTCATCGTACCATCGCTGGAGGTCTTTGGGATCGGAGTCGAGGATGGAGGCGGTGGCGACGTCGGGGAGAGGTTCGAGGGAGGCGGCGGATTCTTCGTGGGTTTGGGAGGGGTTGAGGGCCTTGTCGGCGAGCTCGTTGATGCGGGTGGGGTCGAAGTTGGCCAGTTGGTGGAAGAGGAGGGTCTTCTCGAGGGGCTTCAGTTCGTCGATGAACGCAAACACATGGCCTTGGTTGGCGGCCTCATACTTTTGTCGCAGCTGTTGGAATTCCTCGGCGGACGGTTCACGCGGGGCATCTTCTGGTTGTCCGTGGATCTTATTGACTAGGTTCGAGACCGTTTCTTTGATAGCGGCAGCCATGGCGATGACTTTGCGTTTGTTAAAATAGAGAAAAAAAAATAGTTAATAAATCTAGACTGAGAATGTGACACGGGCTGAATGGAAAGAAAGGTAGGCGAGACAGAGGAGAGTAAGAGGAGAATAGTAGGGAAGATGGAGGAGGAGGATAAGGAGCTGAGAGTGAATGCTTGAATATTCCAGTCTAGGCCGAGAGGTATTTATGTATAACACACTAAAGCATCTCTAGTTAGTATGCTGATCACTCCAGCTCTTTCTTCCTTTTCCTCCGTCTGTGTCAGGAGATGGGTTATTTTTAGCCCGACTCAGCAATTGGAACCAATACTTGGACCAGAATCGCTTTCACTGAGGACAGCTAGACAGCTAGACTGCGACAGTGTATATTTCGGGTCGCGATTCAGGCGACTGTCTCATTTCGAATTGCAGTGACCAATCCCCCTCTCTCTGACTGCTGGAGGCGACGTCGAGGCGGGGCAAACCATTGCAGAGCCGGTGGGGCTGGTTTCACCGACACTTGGCGAAACAGATGGACTATTGACGGACTATGTGGATTATTGGTAGGACCACTCACTAATAGTGAGAATGTACAGTACGATACAATGAATATAGAGCACGGTAGGGGATTGTTCATATACAATATCTTTGTCTACCAATCTAGTATGCGATCGATTAATTGTGTCGGCACTACCAACGTCGTCTTTCCCGATACCGATCATCCCGTGGATCACGGCGACGGTCTCGATCACGATCACGATCGTCGTATCGACTTCGGTCCTTCTCCCGATAGCTCCGTTCCCCGCGGTGTGGACTGCGACTGTGCGATCGGTCGCGATATCGATGCCGGCGCGACTCGGGCGGGGGACTCCCGCTGCCCCGCCGGTCGCGAGGGGCGCTCTTTCGCGGGGGACTACTGCGGCTGGGAGACCGTCGTCGCGACTCGTTCTTTCTAAATACCATCCCGTAGTCATCGTCGGGACGCGTGGTGGTGGTGGTGTCCGAGGCCCGATACTGTCGTTTCTGCTCGAGGCCGGCGACGCCACCGAAGCCACCACGCTGACCGCTCCTTTTCGTGACAGTGGCATTCCGCCAACTCTCGGACAGTTTTGAAACCTGCGGGGTATGTTAGCCAGGGAATTTGCCGGAAAACGGGACACAAGGTGGGGGGGGGGACGGACGCTTTGGGAGAAGTCCACATGGATCCGGTGGTCATCGATGAGAACTCCCTGCATTTTGAAGTAGGCTTGTTCGCAATCTTTTTGGTTTTCGAACTCGATGAAGGCGTACTGGAGACTGTCCCCGGTCCGCTTGTCTCGGATGACCTCGCATGAGAGAATCTGTCCAAAGCGACTGAAAATCAAGTGGAGATCCTCATCTGGTGGTCGCATTAGCATGTAAGCATGTACGGTATCAACACCATAGTAGTCAGGGAAGTCTTACCTTGAGTAACTGGATTCAATTTGCAAACGAACAAGATATTCTCGGGCGGCTTGATCTCTGCGAACGGGAGATCGCCAACCATCTCTAGAGTCAAGGCTTGTGCTCGCGCCTCCCGCTCTCGCCGGAGCTTCTCCATTGCCTCTTCATCCATATTGTCATCGAGTTCTTCATCATCGGCGATCCGCACCGTAGCCAGCTGCGCCTTGGACGGGACAGGGCTCTCCGCGGGCTCCACCAAACCGGGGGGGTCATCGAACGGGTCGTCGAGAACAACGGTATGGCGGATCCGGATATCCTTGAGCGGTCGACCAGCACCGTCAATGAAAGAGTCATTGACCTTATCCAACACGTCGAACCCTTCTACCACCTTCCCAAAGATCACGGCCTTCCCATCGAGGTAGTCGAGGTTGTCCCCCAGCGTGACGATAAACTGACTGGCCGCGATGCGCTCATCTGGATCGTGCGGAGAAGCGACAGTCGCCAAGCTGACCGTGCCCTTGACATCGTGCTTCAGCTTGGGTGGAACGGGGAGGGCGAAGGTTCTCTTGGAAGGGCCGTCCAACACGCCCCATATGCTCGACCCGCCATCGCTCTCAGGGGACTCGGCCAGCGGATCTCCGGTCTGAAAGGTGAAATTCTTCTGGACGCTGTGGACGGGCGAGAAATTGTAATACTTAATCTTGCATAGCTTCAGGAAGCTACAACGGTAGAACACGGATTGCTTAGTCTTCTCGTTCAGCCACTCGACATTGTCTATGCGCTCCTGCCCCTCAAGGCACGGTGCAGATGTGCAGTGCGAAGAAAAAAGGGTACCTACTTCTCACATGCCTTGGGCGACTCGTCAACCAGAAGGTCGATGACAATATCCCCCAGGGAGGTCTCCAGCAGAACACTCATGGTGCTTGTCCGGTGGCTGCAGGCGATGCGACCCGGGTCGCGGTGCGTTTAACGGTCGGACCCGTGTGGAATGGGATGGTACAGAGCTCGAGCTCTCGTCGGGGATGGCAGGAGGAGCTTTGACTCAAGACAAGGATGTGAGCAAGGGTCAACTTCGACCGAAAATAATATAAAAAGGTTGAAGACAAATATGGTGAGATTATAAAATTAATTATGAGTAGAGGGAAAAAGCGAAGAGCCTGAGGTCACTGCGGAGCCGCTGCCGCCCGCCCAATCGGTTGGCCTGTCGATCCTGGCAGCAACGGCAGCTTTGAGCTTACTACTACTAAGTAGCGGAGACTACTGCGATACTTCTTTCAACTCTCCAGTGTACAACTTCCGCATCAACGATCGAGTCCGAGTTGTCATCAGTCATTCAGGGGGCTACCTCTGTTTCCAATTCTAGGCCTCCAATTGATCTGTTTCATCTCGCTAATGAAATAGCAGACGCTGCTAATATATAAAAAAAAAAGCCTCGGAATGCCATTGTCCACCATAGCCATTGCAACGGCCGGGATGGAACGTCGTACCGTCCTTGGGCTTTCCCACACGTCGCGGCCGCACATTGACGCTAGTGACAGTCATACAGAGGCCGTGGGAAAGATTGGGGCCCTGTGCGATATCCGTCGATGCTTTCGAGGGGTTCACACCATCGGAAGGTTGACCCGGCGCCGTCTCGTGTTACGGGCCATTCTTCTCAACCCAACGGCATATCTTCCGGAAGACCCGGACAGCTTGGAGCAATGGGTCTGAACCAAGACACTGCTCCGGGGCCTGTTTGTATCGGTGCGCATCATGACGCGGATCATGATGCAAGCTCGACGAGCGAAGAAGAGAAAGCTGGACGGTAGATTTTTCTGGCCGACTTGCCTGTCCCCTGTCTACCAGACCAACAACTGCAACCCCATTTCGCTTGTCCTCGGGTTATAGACCTGACTTGGCTAGGCGTACTGCTGGGCCTGTTCCCCCTCTGTTTTGGCAAGTTTCACAACAGAGGCGTTGGAAAATAACGGGCGGTCTCCTGCAGCTTATGCCCAGCAGCTCGATGGATTAGCTGATCTGGCCGTCAGTGACTGATGCTTCGCAGGATCCAACCGCACTGATAATACCAAGGTAATACTAATTTGTTGAGATTGAATGCACGTGGTGAGATTTCAATGAGAACTACTGGTTTATCTTTCGTGATATGCAGTTTTTATTTATTTATTATTATTATTTTTCCTCTGTTTCATGTCGTTTTATCCTATTATCTTATTTTACTAATCTATCTATTTGTTTATTACCTCTTATTTCACTCTTTATTTCCATTCTCTCATTCGTGATTGACAGGCTGAGACGCTAGTGAGGGATGGACGAGTTTCACTGGTCCTTAGCCTGGAGAGGCTGGCCCTAATATCAACCGCCAGCCACTCTCAGCCAAATAATTTGCGATGAAGACACCGAAGAAGAAGAACGCTTTCTTCTCATCTGGTCCTTATCAGACTATCCATTTGTTCAATCACAATCGTTGCCTTCTTCCCCCTTTTTTCTTTCCCTTCTTTTGGCGCTGTTCTAGGTTCAAATTTCCCCAAGTGTGGTCAACGTTTCTTGGCTGCCCATCCCAAACCCGGCTAGTATCGCTGGCTGCATTTTCGTTTCTTTCAACAAGTTGACTGGGCGCACAGGAATACTGACACGCACCTGGGATGAAACTGTTCCAATCAAGACCAGAGGTGGTGCCAGACTAATGTTGGTTGGTGTTCGTTCAGACCAGACCAGCTACGTCAGGTACGATATTTCGGACCCCTGAACTCTGTGCATACTGAACCTCCCCTGGGCCCACGTCCCTGACATCTATCGCTGGCTGATGATGCCACTAAATGGGGGTCGTTGGGCAAATTATGTCTCTTTTCCCCAAACCACATTTTCATTTTCCCTCTCTACTCATGTTGATTTGTCCACTCTCTTTTGCCCGGGGGTCCCTGGCACATCTCCCAGCTCTAGTGTCGCGGGTGAGAATCCCTGAGAAAATCCCTGAGAAATGGGGAAAAGCTCCACGGCACTTGATGACCCTATGCAGATCCAGTGATCCAGCGATCCAGCCCGGTGACCTGGATAAGAGGCTTCTAGTCAGATTAACTTCCACCAGAGCTCCTTCCTAGCTCGTGCTTAGCTACTAGGCTAGATCGGGACTGGGCCGGGACGGGGATGATCTACATGAATCCATTCCCAGGATCACTCTGATCGTTAGTCTTGCGGTCTTTTGAATATGTAAGAGCTCCAAAAGCCACCCGAAACATCAGTGTAATCTCTGTTGGGGGGCGACCTCGTTTGCAGGGACTTTGTGAGTCTCATCTGTTGCCTGTCCTCCGGGAACCGAGGTGAGGGAAAAAAAAGACCACCCTCATCACGAAACATCTCACTTCGGCTCAATACCAAGTTTTGTGGGCGCCAAAAGTACCGGCCGAGTTCAGGCCTCTGAAAGAGTTTGTTTGACCGCTGAAGACTGCCCAAGCCGAACCAATAGGCTCCCCCACCTGGCCACCGTTCTAACGGGCAAACATCGGCCATGATCGTGCGTTCCGCTCCCAATCTTAATATGGAGCCATCTGCAAACGTACTAGTCAGCGGAGACCTGATCTGCCCTGCCAGCGGTCTCTGGGGCCCGCCCTCATCTGACTTCCGATCTAAGCCTTGCCGGGTCGTTGGGAGGGGCGAATGATCTACCTCTTAAGCTGTGGCTAGAGCAAAGAGGGCTGGTGGAGCATAATCCGAGGATCATTGGTTGGCAACGCAGACTGAGATCTCCGGGGTTTCCAGCTTGGACTCGCGATGGCGACTCCTCCGTGCTATCAGGCCATATTCAACTCGTGCAACGTTACTTTTGTGAAACAGAACCTCTTAATCGCCCAGGCGTTCAGACTGTCTAGCCTTTTCATCAGCATCTTCCTGGGGGGTTCCCAACCGAGATGAGTGTTTTTTGGGGGGAAGATTCAAGACAAGACAGAAACTCATGATGAACCAACCAACAGGAATTTAGACATAAGGAAGATGCAACACGGAAATTTGCATGATGTCTCTGGTACGACCGAGAGTACAAAAAAGAAAAAGGAAGACTAAAAGGGATAGTTGATCCGAACTGGGGATTTTCGAAGAAGGGAATCGATTAAGGGACATTTCTTCTTTCTGGATTTCTACAGGTGAGGGTCTGACCGGTCGAAATCGTTCTTTCTTTTGACCGGCCAACAGGACAATATTCTTTTATTTCGTTCTTTAAAAAAATGAACAAAAAGGAAAGAAAGAAATAGAAAAGAAAAAGAAAAAGAACAAATCAAAATAAAAGAAAATGAGATAAAACAAAAAACAAAGGACAAAAAGAAAATATCCAAACCAAGCAATCAGACAAATGACGAGAGAAACCACAGGCGCATGGGCTTAAATCTGACCTTACTTCCGACGAAAAGGCAACCCCTCTCATCGTTTCCCGGTTCCCTTTTCAATACTTCAAAGGTAGATAGAACATGCTGGGTACCTTCATCCCTGATTCATACTCCTTCATCTTCTTTCCCCGGGGATATTTGAAATACTTTTCTCTTTGGCGGTTCTTGTCTTGACTCGTTATGTGAGTCTCAGAATGCGGAACAACATGTTTACTTCTGCGCTAATCGATGAAGTCATGGCCCATCCTTACTACTCCCCAGAGGGGCTTGCCTTTGAGCATCAGCACAAGCCAGATGGTCTGCCAATGGTCCATCCCATGCGGGATGGGAGTCAGCCGGATATGCTGGACAGGAGCGTCGACTGCGTCAGTCCGTCGCAGGAGCTGGATGGAAAGACTCGAAACTCGACCAGACGTCGTATACAAGTTGCTGTATGTCTGCCTGAAACTCATCATATGATCAGATCAGATCTAACACCGACAGTGTAATCGTTGTCGCAAAAGAAAGATCAAGTGCAGCGGTGATGCCGGTGATGGCCAAGGCTGCACCAACTGCCGTATGTCAGGAAATTACAACTGTCAGTTCTTACGGGTAAGACTTCTTGATCCTTGATATGTTAGATGTGAAGCTAGATGGGCTAATGGAACCCCAGGTCAATTCATCAGCGTTGCAGACCAAGACCAGCGGATGGCCGTATCCCGTCATGGGCCCTGCCGTGTCTCCGGCTCAGAGATATGGCGTGTGTCAGCCTGTGGTACATCTGGGATCGCGGACTGCTTCGTATTCACGGCCATCGGGCTATGATCTGGGATCGGTCGACTCCCAGCAACAGTACAGTCGAGCGTCATTCGCCGATCCGTTGGCGGGATATGAGATCGGGTCCTCTACGTACCAACCCCAAGCCCCGACCTACATGGTTCCTGGTACTCCGCAAGGCGACTTGGCCGATTTCTGTGGGTTCTCATGGGCGTCGAAGACATGGAGTCCGAGCCTCCACGCTAGCCGGGGAGCTAACGGGACGGTATATCCGGACCAAGAATCGGAGAACTTGGCGCCGACTGCCTATCCATATATGTTTTCGGGACCGGGGTCAGTGGATCTGCCACCAGCGGCACAAGTAATACCCTCGATGCCTTCTGAAAGCCAGGGGGTGGACCGAACTCTCCCGAGCCCTACCAGCCGAAATTCATTGCAGATGGGTCTGCCGGCCTCGACCACATCTCCCGAACCAATGATGGGCATGACGCACGTACCGGACTACAGAACGAACGCCTGGACTACGAAATGCCTCAATTCGAACCGCATCCGCACGCCGCTCCAATTGACGAACGAAGGAGCGTTCACCACCAGTCCTGCCCGAACGAAGCCGATCCCCTCCACAGCACAGGAAATGGGCCTTGGGTTTGTGCCGACGTCGTCGCCTCTGATCTCCGCAGGGGGGCCATTCGCACCGCTCGACTCGGTAGACCCGGGGGATGAGCTACGCAGCAACGGCCCCGGGCGATTAGCGCGAACCTTCACGCACGACGCCCAGCGCCTCTTTCCCACGGAGTCCGGCTCCGACCTGTACGGCTACAGCAGCAGCGAGAAGCGACACCGCTCCGCGTCGGGGGATTCAAGCTCTGTGGCGACCCTGATCAATGGATTTCCCTACACGCGGCCCAAGCACTCGGAGCCGCATCCCGGCGAGCCATACATCCCGGTCACACTGGACACGGCGCCCGACTGCCGAACGCCATCTGGACTCCCTCGAGCATCGATGTCGGCGCTGAGAAGCCCCGATGGTTTCTGATCGACGTGTACAATATACGTGGTCACGTCGGGAAAGTGAGACACCGTGGACCGCCGGCGCCTGTTGTGGGGGAGCGAATATAAAGGGAAAAAGCAAAATTAATTTCCACCGGGTCAGGGTTTATCGATTTTAATTCTTATTTTTTTCTTTAGTCTTTTCTTTCTTTTTCATTTGTCCTTTTCTTTTCATTTGTCTTTCCATTTGTCTTGTTGGTTGGGTTTGTCTTGTCTATACTTTTGCATATTCCCTCGGCTGTTGGTGGTTTCCTTCTGTTCTTACATCTTACATCTTACATTGCGACTTGGTTAGACCAAGATATACTTAATCATGATCTCTTAATCATAACCTCTATCTCCTCTATTTATTGACTGAAATCCGTATTTCGAAAGTATGGGACCGGCCCGTCCGCAACAATAGCCGACAGATCGTTCCTGACCATTAACTCTGTAACCAGGGGTGGAACAGAAGAAGGCCCAACGAATTAGATAAAACAAGAGAATCAATCAAATGAACAATCTCTAAATCCAATTCTTCTCACCCAGACACACACCGTTATCCTAACTCCAGCGGGGAAATCCGACTCAGAATCAAAAATCGACCGATCACCTTCTTGGCTCAAGTGCCCTGCTCTCTTAGCACCAACCTTAATCTTCTCGGGGGGGAGAGAGTAAAAGTAGTGGTAGAGGAAAGAAAGGGGAAAAAGAAAAGAGAAACAGGGGACAAAGAAAAATCGCCATGACTCGGTGTATTGTGTCTGGTGATTTCATATTATGTTTCCATTCAAGTCCTAGATAGGTAGGAGGTAGGTCTGACTCCACTGCATTGATTAGTTGATTGACTGACGCCATTGAGAGCTGAGTATCTATATACTGAGGTACTCCGTATATAACTGAGGTTAAACTCACCAACCAACAAAGGACAACAACCAACAAGATCATGGATGGAACCAACTTGACTCAACTCACCAACCGCTGACCTCATACGAGGAAAAAGGAACAAAGAATGTCTAAATGTTATGATCTCCAGATCTGCCCCAGGAATTGTCAAATTGATGTTAAACTAATATTGAGTTAATCCTATGTACGTTCCCAGCCTTCCAGAAAAGCCATGTCTCTCTATCTATCTTGGACAATGGCTGTTTCACCGGTCGTTACGCGTTCCAGCTCCACCTGTCTGTCTGTGCTGTGTCTGTCCTGTTAGGTAAGTAGGTACCTACCTAGGGTCTGTTAGGTTGACTCTTTCAAGTACCTACCTAATTAGTGGTCTAATGTAATAACCAATGATGGGTGTACCAGATACCGGGATAATGGTGGTGTCTCCTACTGAAACATTGTATACCTACCTGCGTAGGAGTCTGTGCAGATGGCCAATAGGTAACATGAGATGATAATATGAGAGAGGGATATATGGATGGATGTATTTGTAATATGTCATATATCATATAATGTAAGACACTGTTGAAGCAAAGAAAGGAAGAGAAACACAACAAAGCAGATAAATCTAACCCCAAACAGCTAATACTCCGTTGACTGATACATTAATCATTCACTTATCTACAGAAAGAAAGAACACTGTACTTCATGTAACTACTACCCTCCTCTACACACTCAACTCCATCATATATACGTAGATAGAAAGCTACTCCCGAAATACTCCCGAACACAACCATATCCACAGTCTAGCCCCAGACCCTCCTCCACCGGTCAAGCTCAATCGAGGAATGCGCCGACGTGGCGGGGGGGAGCGGCGCTCGGGTTACATGATGATTATCGTTGTTGGGGGCGCGAGAAGGAATCCGTTGTTGTGTTACCATTAATGGTAGGGACTATTACGATTGCATCCCGGAGTCGTTGCCTACTGTGGCTAGGTAGGTACATACTTCCTACTACCTATCTGGCTAGTTCTTTTTATTGTTTTGTCTGGTTTTGTTTTGTTGTTGTTGTAGACGGAGGTCTTGCGGGATTGGTTGGTTGTCGGATATAACATGCGACTTGGATAGCTGTATCCTTATATGTATGTCTTACATGGCGTGTGGGAGGGGGACACAGCAGGTGGTGGTGGGGGCTATCTTTTTTCTTTCTTTCTTTTCTGTTGTTGGGAGGGTTGATATTGTTCTATGTATAGATGGTATGTTGCATGTCGTAAGTTGTATGTCTGATATGTAGGTATGTCTCATGTAGGGACGTGCACTGGCTCGGCCCGGTGGCAGTGAGACTGAGAGGGTCTACAGGTACACAGCTATCGATTTGATAGATGATATGGATAGAAATGGAGAAGAGTGTCAACAAAAAGAATGACAAGTTCATAACAGTACATTGCCGAGCTATCAACTCGACTTAAGCAGGATAAGGTCTGGTATTGCATGGATGGAAAACAAGCATTGGGAAGGCGAAGACTGAAGCAGGTCGGGTGAGAACATGACATAACAAGTTAAATAAAAACTATTTTTCATCCCATCCCTTGCGGAGGAAAAAATAAAAAAGAAAAACCGAACCCCAGAAGCTCAAGAGAATCTTTATTCGTATTTTTTTGATTTCTTCTGTCTCCCCGTTGGTCGTCATGGGTGCGATAATCTCGAGGGGACCGTCATTATCACACCTAGCAGTAGGGTCATAGCCTTGATCAGGCCGTAACCGCCACCGCATCCCAGTCCATGCTCGAGTCCACTTGCAACAACAACCTGGACCTCCCTGCCCTTCACCGGAATCCGACGCAATACGCTTAGTTCTTGCTCTTCTTGGGGCCCTTGACCTTGGCGATACCGCGGAACTTCTTGGAGCGGTTCTTCCGTTGCTTGCCTGTGGTAGTAATTTCATTAGCCGTCCACTCCGGTACCCATACCCAGATTCATCCAAAGACATACGCTGCTGTCGGCTGGCCTTCTCGATCTTGGTGGCGGCACCGATGCGGACCAGACGGTAGTGAGGCTCGAACTTCTTCAGGGCCTCGGCGGAGTCGTAGACGAGAGCGAAGCCGGTGGTCTTGCCACCACCGTATTGCGTACGGAGGCCGAAGACGGAGACCTGGTCCTTGTTGGACTTGTACAGGTCGGCGAGCTTGCTGCGGAGCTCATCCTTGGAGACGTTGGCACGGTTGGGGTGAAGGACGTCCCTGTATATGATATTAGATTGCATTCAAACCAGATCCCAAGTGATGCCCGAGCCATCTCTTCCGATCGAACGGTGGTGATCTTCTCGTTTTCCTTCGTTCATTCGTTGTGTTGATCTCATTCCTCCTCTTGTTGTGTTGTTCTCCTTCCTCTTCCACCTCGTTTCGCACAAATCCCCGGCACAATAGATTGGGAAAAACCTACACGACCATCTGCTTGCGAGCAAGCAGGGGGTTGCGGATGAACTTGCGAGTCCGCAGGGTAACGGGAGTATCGGCCATGGTTGCGGTGATTGACGAGAGAAGTCGACAGGGACGGAGGAGTTGGCGTGTCGAAGTCGCTGTCGTAGGCGGGCTCGAGGTGCAATCGATCGATTAATTTTTACGCTTTGGTTGTGCCGCGTTGGCTGTGGGCTCGGCTAGGGCGGGCTAGCCGGGTTGGGTTAGGGTGCACGTGATGACTGTTCATTCAATATAGCACTAGTATGAATACAGTTAGCCCCTTTCTTGATACCTTAGGCATTATTTATGTTATGCTACGGGTTTGTCAGCTGGATAAGTCACGTGACACAACTGTATAGTCAATCGATTCACTCTCCCCTCTCTTCCTTCCACCTCACCTGCTTGGATTCATGAACCATGATGAATGTGCCTGAGAATGTACTACTAAGTACATTCTGGGACGGAACATCTCGGCATCTGAGCCCGTCGCATTTACCGTATTGGATGTTGTCTAATTCGTCTCTAGATCTATACTTAATCGTCGGGTCTCTATCATTCATCTTGGAGTATATAGATTCTTATGAAAGTTTCTTGAGACTATTTATTATCTCGACAACCGTATACTTGTACTATATCTGTACAGATTCCAACAAAGAATAGACACGATTAGTACTATAGTAATACTGCACAAGTAGCCGTCAGATTTTGAAAGAAATATGATATACTTCTACAACATGATCAAATACCATACTAAACATAGCCAGTACTAAGCATCCTATCCATTATAGCGTGTTTACAAAATATATATATATATATAAGTAGGACGGTCTCATCTTCTGATAGCGGAAAGCTAGAAGCCTATATCCTCGAATCTCGTCAAGTCGACAGCGTGACATATAAACCACGTGATGCTTTTGGAATCGCCATGAATCAAACAAACTTCCCATCCTCCGCTTCTTCCTCCCCTCTCCCCTCCATGTCGCTTTGATATTGACATACACGCTGTTCTTTTCATTTATGGACTGTGATGAAATCCATGCCTGATGGGGAATGTACCACCGAGCCAGGCTCTGGGACGGAACATCTCCGGCATCTGAGTCCAAGATCCCATTTTCTCTACGGTCTTGGAGGGATGTTGTCAATATGTGTCTGTAACTCCATATTTCATCTGTCAAGTCTCTTACCCTGGTTTGATATATTTATTCGCTCATCAAGAAAACGTTCCTTAAGCCACAGTTGGATTGTCTCTGGATGATCGTTATACTACTGATTATAGCACATATGTACTCAGTACGAACCCAGCAGGTATGCTTCACTTCTTCATGCTCATCTCTCAACATCCTCCAATCTATGCACGTCTACTCGCGTCACTCTTCAAATCACACATACATCTGATCTCGGAATGCGGTATCAAGTGGTGATGAGATCCAGAGTCTGCGATGCTTTGACCTAGGTATGTGACCTTGGCTCACTCTTTTCAGAAATGCTAGCTGTCTAAAAAACGAGAGAGGAGACTAGTTAGCCAGAGCTCAGAAAGGTTCCAAAAATTTACAGCTTCTCCCGCTACTACATAGTAGCGGGGTCCACGATACCCTTGGGCACGGGCTAAAGCGTCCCCCTCAGATGTGTAAAGTCAGGTCATGAAGTTCAACGCGGCCGAAGCCTGGTGATCCCTCACGCTGTTCTTTTCACTTATTTATTCACTGGGGGAGCTGGAAGGAAAAATTCAACTTACTTAAGATAGTCGATCATGGAAGCAAGTTTTGGCTATCGACTGTGATAGGAACGTCTCCCGATCAAATACAAAGACAGGGCATAATCGATAATCATATACGACATAAACAAGATAAGAGAGGGAAGACAGAAAGAGAACGAAGGAGGGCCAGAGGGGAGAGTCATATTCATATTAATGCTACTCAAGGTAGGTGCTTCTTTCCTAATTCTATCTACATGCTTCGCAATGGACGGTGCCAGACAAGGCCATCCATATCGCTACTTCCTTGAGAGAAGAAAACATCAAATGGTCGCTTTAGATCTAACCTTGAGATACGTGTGCAGGAAATAGCCAATGTCGTTACTATATCGTGTAGTGGCAGGTATTGTATTGACTTTGTCGCAATATAGATAAGATGATTTACGGAGCGAAAAAGTGTCATGATATCTTGTCTACCCGACTGGTAAATCTCTTCAACCAACACCAAGGGTGCATATTTGCGACAGGAACGTCGAAATCTATATCTACAACAAACATGAACAAGTAATCATAACTCGTTGACTGAACCGGCGAATATCAAAGTGGGTCCCTCTCATCCTGATATCGGAGCAACACTCGGACTGATATCCGCTCCGCCGTATCTCCTCCCCTCACTCAACCCCACCATCCACCACATACATAAACCCAACATGTCCACCCCCCAACCCAAACCCATAAACCGCCTCGTCGCGCAATACCTCCAACAACTCGAGACACCCTCCCTCTCCCTCCCCGATGGCCCAACCCTCATCAATCCCGCTGTTCAGCGCGCAATCTACACGCGCATGTTCGACGAGTCTGCGACATGGCCTCTCCCTCCGGTACACTATCGCGCGCGCGTCTTGAAGATGATTCTTTCTAGGATTGAGGGGAGTGTGGTTGATCCTGAGGAGGATGTATGTTCTTTTTTACCCTACCTGTTTTGAGCTGCGTGAAGGGTTGGGTGTCGCGTGTCGCATGTCGCATGCAGCAATGTCGCAAAAAAAAAAAAAAAAAAAAAAAAAAAAAGGGATAAGAACTAACGAGATATATAGGAAATTTCCGACGACCTCACAGAAGCCTACAGCACCCTAATATGCACCCCGAAACCCTCCTCCATCCAACAAGCCCAACAACTCACCTACGTAACCTACACCGCGCCTTCGCCCTCCCCGTCCTCCCCCGCACACACCGACAGTGAAAGCCACCCCCGCACAATAATAACCTCCGAATCCCGCGGCCTAATCCTCGCCTCAGGCACAACCGGCTTCCGCACCTGGGAAGCCGCCCTCCACCTCGGCACATACCTCTCCACGCCCGCCGGCGCAGGTCTCGTGGCAGGGAAACGGGTCCTCGAGCTCGGCGCGGGGACAGGGTTCCTGTCTATGTTCTGCGCGAAGTATCTGCAGCCGGAATCGGTGCTCGCTACTGATATGGAGCCTGCGCTGATAGATGGGATGGTGGATAGTGCGGGGCGGAATGAATTGGGGGAGAGGTTTGGGGCGGGGATTTGGGAGTGGGGGACGGAGCTTAGACGGTTGGGAGGGGGGGAGGGGAAGAAACCCGAGTTTGATGTGGTTGTTGGGGCGGATTTGGTTTGTCTCCTTCCTTTTCTTCTTCCTTTACACATCTTGTGGGGTGTGGGTGTGAGTATGTTGCTAATGACTTACAATCGGTGTTGTTGTATAGATCTACGACACAGACCTCATCCCCCTCCTGATCAACACCCTCGACGACCTCTTCACGAACTACAAAGTCCGTGAATTCATCATCTCGGCTACACTACGGAATGAGAAAACATTCAATGCATTCCTCGACGCTTGTCGTATGTTCCACTCCCTCCCTCAACCTTTCCCTCTATTCAGACGAAACTCCCCTACTCCAACGAGTAGCCATAATATGGATAGATGATGAATGCATGATAAGAAGCTAACGAACGGGGTAGAATCGGCGAACTTCAAAACAGAGCGTCTGCCATTCGACTCGCCTGCTGAGAGTGAGCAGTTGGGGTTCTTCCATTCGACGAGGATTCCGATTAGTACGTATCGGGTTTGGAGGTAGATACTTACCTACTACTTACTTCAATTAATGAATAAATCATAAATTAATCATTGTAAAATGATGTTTGGTGTTTGTTTTTTTGTTGTACCACCGGATAGTTAGTTATTGAGTGGTTAGTGGTAGGGTAGGGTGAGATATGGAAGAATGGCCTTGGATTTGAAATATATCTACATATGTAGGGATATTTGTTAAGGAGTACTGAAATAAACAGAACGTGGCAATGGGCGACTGGTACCAATTATATAAGTAACTGATATTAGACAAATGACTGGTTCTGCCATTTGTAATTAATCAAGTTTATCAGATAGATATAGATATAGATATATAGATGTAAGTATGTTATACCTACCACCTATCTCAACACAACCTCGTTCAGGTTGTATACAACCAATAAACCATCAACCAATCAACAAGAAAGAATAAACAAACGAATGGGTATCATCTAGTTGAACAGGGAAAGATAATGAAAGAAAAAAAGAGAAAACCATCACACCATAGAACATAATCCAAACCCACCAAACCACCACAACACCAACACAACATCCGCAGCCACACAATAATACAAACCGCAGTATCAAATAAAATATAATATACAGTATACTAACCAAAGCCCGACCTATCTACTCTGCACCAGTCAGAAGACAAGACACCGCCCTGCAAGATCGACAAAAAGAAAAAGAAAAAAAAAAAAAAAACCAATAAAAAGAATAAACTATTCAGCAAGACTCTCCCTCAACAACCCCTCATCCAAATTCTCCGGATGAAGAACGGCCGGTGCGCGCGGCGGAGGACGAAAGCCCATTATAGGGCCCTTTTGGTTGACGCCTGGGAAGCGGAAGTGGAGGAGGGACGGGGCTCCTCTGTTCTTGTCTCCTGAGGAGGACGAGGGTCTGGGTTGTTCGGCTGGGGGAGGGATCGGTGGGGGTACTGAGGAGGTTCTGGATGAGGATGAGGAAGGGGAGGATGGGATAGTGGGTTCGGGGGGATGGTCGACTTCGTCAGATGTGACAGGGGCTGTGCCCCAGCGACCGCGGACCCACCCGCCGACGCGGCGGGTGAGGGGCATTTTGCGCGTTGGCGTGACTGTTGCGTTGGAGTGGTCGCTGTCTACTGACGAGGCGTCGTGATGTTTGGCCCCCGCGACGGAGGCGAGGAGGGTCTGTGGGGATTGGCCTGCTCTGAGAGGCCCCCTGTCGGCTGTGACGGTGTTGGTGGAGATGACGGGGGGCGTGGCTGAAAGCTCGGCAGTGGATGATACGATCCGGCGCGGAATGCGGATGGGTAGGGTGCCGGTTAGGTCGCTCATGCGGGACGGTTGGTGGCTCGGAGTGTGGATGTCCATTCCGGCGACGGAGAAGAGACTCTCGTGGGAGGATCCGCGGCGTAAGGGGCGGTATGGGGTGAAGACGTCGGGGGCTGGACCGGGTAGTTCGGCCCTTTCGGATGCGGGGTATTGTATGGAGCTGTCTTCTGCTTCCTCTGGGATGACTGACTGCATGGGAAGCTTGTCTGGGTGATCGGGGTGGTCGTAGGGATGGATGCCGTAGCAGGGTGTGGGGTCCAGATCGTCGATATCGTCCTGGCCTTCACGGCCGTTCTTCGATCGGCCGTTTTTATACGAAGTCATAAAGACACTGCTTTCAGGACTGGTCGGCTGAGAGTCAAAGCAGCGCTCCACGCGGTCGAACAAGGACGACGACGACCGGTAGCCAGACTGCGGGGAACTGGCCAGAGAATCAGTTGCAGGGGTCTGCAGCGACCAGCGGTGAGACGCCGACGGGGGAATCGAGACGGACGTTTGCGACAAGATGGTAGAGGTGGACGAGGTAGAGGACTGCGATCGGTGCCCGGCCCTCCGAGGCAGCAGCAGCGCGCCTGGCGCAGAGTGGAGATGGGCGGGATTCCCCCACGACCGCCGCTTCTTGGACCGGCGCAGAAGGGTGCCCTTTTCTTTCTTCACGGACGGGGTGTGGTAGTGGTGGTGGATGTGGAATTCCTGAGACACTCGACGCTCCTCTTTCGACTCCAGCTCCTGGCTCAAGGTGGTAGCCTGGTCGGGCTCCCCGCCTGCGTCCGACGCCATCGGCTGATGGTATAGAACCTGATCCCGCAGGTTCTGCACCTCTTGGTTGGAGCTCTCGAGCATCTCGCGCAGCTCGACGATGCCCATCTGCAGGCTGGCGTTGTCCTGCAAGATGTCCCGGACAAAGCGGGAGACCACGTTGTTATCACCGTGGGAGCGGCCCAGCTCCTGAGCCGCGGCGGCGCCTTTGAGTCGGCCCGCGGCGCCGTCGAGTTCGCGTTCGACGGTGCGTCTCCGCTCCATGCGCTGGATCAAATCAGAATGTCGGTCGCGTTCTTCGCGCGCCTCCTTCTCGATGCGATCGACCTGGTCGTGCAAGTCGCGCAGGGTACATTCGGCCTTCTTCCACCGCTGCACGGCAGACTTGTTGTCCTCGTGCGCGGACTGGAGACTCTCCTGTAACTTAGACTGCTCGGCCTCCATCTGCGCGAGCTGGGCTTCGAGGTCTGCGGCGCGAGCCGCAGAGACGGTCAGTTTCCTCAGCTGCGCCTCGGTGGTCTCTAAGGTGACGGCGAGCGATGTGGCGCGGGCGTCCGACTCGGTGACGGCCTTGTTCAGGTCCTCTAGCTGCTCCAGGAGGTTGCGGTTCTCGGCGATGATGCGGGCGTTTTCCGCCTGGGCCTGGAGTTTCTCGCGCTCGAGGCTTTCCACGGAGAACAGCAGGCGATGGCGGTCCTCCTCTGCCTCGGCCATGTAGGATTCATGGCGATGGAGAAGAGCCTGGAGAGAAAAGGTTAGCCCTGAGCCCATGAAGGACACCGAATGAGCAGTCATGACGGACAAAAAGGCAACGGGAGAGGATAGGATTCGCCATGGAGATACAAATCTCTCCTTTCTCTCTTTTCTTTGACAGGAGGGAAGGAAGAGGAATCCAAAGGTACAAGGTAGGACGAGTCCACCGGGTGAGACCCAGAACCAAATATGTACAAAGTATGTGAATGGAACACCACAACAAACAATGCGCAAACAAAAGAACACCAGTAGAAGCATGGAGGGGTATTTAAAAGGCGACCTGAACTCAGCCAAAGCCACCATTTATTCCCCCCCAACTAGCTCACCAAAAACAAAGCAAAAAAAAAGTAAGGAAGAGTAAAATAAAACATACCTGCCCAAGCTTAGCAGCGGTATCAAGATCCTTCTCCAACCCCTCCAGGGCAACCTGATTATGATGCAAGAATGCGCAATCGTCCCGCCCACAGCAACAGCGCAGGGCCGCCGGCGCGGAGGGCGACGAGTGGGACTGAATTGGAATGCAGGGTACCTGGTGGGAATCCATGGTGGATTGGCATTGGCATCCCTTGGGTCGAGTGAGTGACACCTGGCTAGCTAGCTGCTGAGCTGAGTTGGCTGAGTTGGCAGAAGCTGAGACCTACCCAAGGTGGGGAATCTGTGGTTGGTTGATAGATGGGTAGGGGAGTTGTTAGTTACGGGTGGGGTTTGTTCTCCATCGGGGTTGAGAATCCTGTTTGGTGGTTGACGGAGATTAATATAGTATACAGGAGGATATATCAGATGAAGATGAAGAAGTGACGTGAGGTGAAGATAAATAAAGGGACAACTAGAGTTGATGGTCGGCTTACTAGGCGGTATCGCTGGTCACATTACCATACGGATGGATCCCTCAGGCATTTCATCATCACCAGCCTATTTATCTATTTATCAATCTATTTATCTTATATATTCACCACTATAGACAGACATAGACTTACTTAACTAACTAGTCAAGAGCGACATTATAACATCTATGATAACTCATAACTTAGTCTAATGAGGGGTCATCATAATGAAACAGATCGTCCAGACTAAACCACTTCTTCACCCTGATACGTCCAAACTGCCTTAGTGGAGAGGGGAGAACGAACGATAACGAACAGTTTGGCCGCAGTCATGTCACCAGGTGTTCTTGGCGGAGCGTCACAGGATGTGCTTGTAGATTTGAACAGGGGTACAGAATAATAAGCGGGGGAGTAAAGCATGTTACTCAATTGATTGATTGATTGTCCATATCTGTAAACGCTACACTGATGTCCGTGCGCTTGGACATAGTCCAGTCCAGTCCCCGAAGTTAAAGATAGATAGAAGATAGGTAGAAACAGAACAGCGTGCCAGCCACTTCAAGACAATAAAAGTACCGATCAGACGGCGAAGTGGAGGAGAAGTGGAGAAGTCGAAAAGAGAGATAACGAAATAGATAAAATAAAAGAACAGTCCATGTTCGCAGTCATAAGTCAATCATAGCAGAAAATCATTACGCACGTTGATAAACGCCCCGGCGCCTCCCTCTTCGCTGACCTCGTTCACCAGTGCTTCCGTTTGCTGGTATAAGCGTTCCAATGCCGCGGATGATGATTTGCCGAGGGATACTACAATTGTTAGCGTCAACTGGAGAGAGAGAGAGGGTGGACAAGAGATGGGAGGGAATACCTAAAATAGCAGAATTCAACTCCTCCGCAACAGCAATCCTTCCCGCCGGATCCAAATAGTGGCCATGCACCGACCGTTTCGGATCCGGATAGCACACCAGCGAGAAGATGTCATCCAGCATCTTCTTATCGCCGCCACGCTCATCCGTCGGATAATCCATACGTAGCTGTTGCCCGTACTGGACGGCCTCGGTGAGAAGCTCGTGGAACTTGACCGTGCTCTCAGGCTCTTCGGTGTCCATCCCGTCCATGTCCCATCCGGCAGTGTCTTGTCCCTGCTCGTCGAGTTCCATCTCCTCGTCGAAGACGGCGCTGCTGTCTGAGAGCCCGTTGGACGGTTTGCTGCGCTTGGATGCCGCTGATGAGAGCTCGTTGCAGCGGCGCATCATCTCGAGGAATTTGCGGCATCGGAGTTTGAAGTTGATGTGGGGGTAGTCGTGGAGGACGTTGGCGTAGTAGGCGTTGGTGTACTTCAGGGCCTTGTCAATGTCTCCCTCGAGGATCGCGGCGCGAATTTCTGCAGGGAGTTAGTGTGACGACTCCAGAAGGGTAACACGTAAGCATACTCTGTCGGTTGATCGCTTCCACATCCTCCTCCACTTCGTACTTCTTGAGCGGTTCCTTGTGGCCATTCTCTAGCGCCGCGGACTCCGCAGCAACCTCCTCGGCGAAGGCCCGGGCGGTCTCGACGTAGCCGTCGTGAGCGAGGAACTGCGCAACCAGCTCCTGTAATAAAGCAGTCTCGTCCAAGGGAGGTTGCAAGTTGGCGGTGCTAGTGGAGCGGATCTCGTTATGGATGGAGAATTTCTCTTTCTGTACACAGATTAGCGCCACGATCGAACGATAGAAAGCGGTATACACACCTTCACCATGCCGTCAATGTCGAACATAAACGGTTGCTGTCCGAAGTTGGCGGCCAGATGTACCGGGGGTTGCTTCTTCATGCCCACAGAGGGGTAGACCTTCACATTTCGTAGCTCGCGGAATGCATTGCCTGTATCCATCAGTCTCCACGGTGGACGGGAGGAACGCTCGTCGGCTTACCCAGAAAAACGCCATTCTTAGTAAAAAAGGCACATCCCGTCGAGAAGTTCACGCCACATCCGACAGTATCGTTGGCACCGAACGTCGGTCCATACTGCCGTCCTTGCCCTTGACTCTCCCCGAAGAAGGATTTGCCGTCGTCGCCATGATACGCCCACGATTCGGGCTCCCACCCGGGGAGCCTTTCGACAGACGCTTTCGTGCTGGAGAACCCGATTCCGACCATCCTAACCTTGTCAGTGTCTGTTCTTATTCCCCCCCATTTGGAAGTCGCTTCCCTATGACTGGGACAAATACATACCCCTCTTTCGGTTTGGAGAGAACGGTTATCTCGAAATAGTACATGCCGCACTGGGGCGGCATGGGATTGTCCGCCCGCACGGTCGCCGCCTCATGTTCATGTTTGTTCACCGGACCCGTATACCGAGCCTCCAAGCCTCCATTGGTCAGCTCCAGACCGGCATATTTGTCGGCGTCGCTCCACCGGGACGGCAGCGGTAGGAGGTTGTCGTCCTCGCCGGGGGCCTCCCGCTCGATGATCTCATACGTCATCCCGCGGTGGGACGGAGCTATCCGCGGCAAGCTGGCCTGGCTGGAGGAGGCGGACAGCGGATGCGACGTCGCGGCCGAGGTGGCGGCATCACGCTGGGAGGCGAACTTTGCGCGGCGGGCGGCATCGAGGCGGGAGATGTAGCGGGAGTTGCGGAGGTAGGAGGGGGTGAAGGAGGAGACGGGGTCGGCGAAGCCGGCGGTATTGTGGAAGAGGGGATCGGAGCGAGGGAAGTTGGCGAATTTGCGAGAGTAGGGAGGAAGGGGTTCGGCGGAGGAGGTCCTCCAGGACGAGTTCATCTGCATGTCTGCGGCATCCACGGCGGCGGAGGAGGGCCTCCACGGACGGCCGTCGGCAAGGAAAGGCGGGGGATACGAGGAGGTGGAGGTGGAGGGCAGCAGAGGCGAGAAGGGACTGTTGGTTAATTCTGGAGGAGAAAAAGCGGTCCCAGAGAGGACGGAGGCGTAGGATGAACGGCGGGGGATTGACGAGATGGTTGGGCCGGAGTATGAGGTGGACAGAGGAAGAGCAGCAGCAGCTCGAGCTCCACTCGAAGGGGGAAACGGTGCATCAGTCATGCTTGGGCTGGATAGTGGAGACGGAGTAGTGAGTGGATGGGATTAAGCCAAACAGGTGTTAGCCTTATCGAGTCGTCGATACTCGATCGTTGGATGCTTTCTTCTTTCCTTCTTTCTTTTCCCTCTTATTTTCCTTTCGAATGAATATCCGTCTCTTTTTTTGTTTCTTTTCCCGATCCAAATCTTGTTTGATGTGGAGTCTGGAGAGTCAGTCTGGTCAACTTCCGTAACCGGAGAGAAGTGGAGAAGCAAGCTCAGATCGCAGGCGTCGATCTGAAATCATCCCTCAGCTGTAGGACAGAAGTATGAAAGAGAAAAGAAAGTAATTCCCAAGAAGAGATTATATAGAAGAAAGAAGACCGATGAAGAAATAACCACGGTGACTTTGATCGTGTGACGGAGAGCAGTGCAGCAGTTGAAGTACGGAGTAAGTAAGTAACAGACCAAGTCCTGTATATTACTCGGTCACTACTGCAGTCACAGGCAAGGAGTCAATCAACCAACAGGAAGAAGTAAAACCCAAGGTAGAAGAGAAAAGAGGATGAATGAATGATGAATGCGGGGAATAAAGAAAGTTCCATCAACAATAACCGTGAATACCACAAACAAACCGGTCAATACTGTAAGTCTAACGGGGGCAGCTGATCTTCTTCTCTTCCCCTCACCTTCGTCTTCTTCTTCTTCTTCTTCTTCTTCTTCTTCTTTCCTTTCTTTCTCTCTTTCTTAATTTGAATGAGAATATACTATTCACTATTCCTGAGAGTCATCAGCTATGCAATTCGTTCTGTTTACCTGTTCTGCAATCATTCCAATCATGGCTGGATGAGGTTTGGTCAGATGACCCGATATTTTTATACATGTCTACCGCTGTTCATATCTTGTATGAAGCAGTGCAATTGTAGTATAGAACAAGAAATATTATATGTGAAATAGATCAAGGCTCTTTTAATAGTACATGATAACTGGCAAAGATGCAAACACCACCAAAATTATAAGAAAGACACCAACGACCAAGTGGAATGCCATGAAAGTGTAATCATTCCAGAGCCATGTCAGCAATCCCAGTCAACCCATCAACCATGATCCATAGAACCACCCAAACGCCGAACCAGCAGCATCCAATACAACAAACCAGATCAACCAGCCCAGATCAACGCCCAAAGAACAAGGGAAATAAAAAGTAGTAACACAATAATATACAAGAAGACAATAAAGGTGGTTCAACCCACTACGCAGTCATGGCAATAGCGGGTGACGACGGCTCAGCAATATTAGGAGGCACCGGCGTGAGATCTCCATCGCCAGAGTTGCTCTTCTCACTGGGGACTCCGCTGGCACTCTGGTTGGCCTTACTGTCACTGTCCCCAGTCTCCAGCATACCCTCCTTCGACTCGCCGTTTTCCTGGGGTTGAGGCCGAGGAGTGCGCCACGAGGAGAGACCCCACTGCACGCCCGTGAAGCTCTTCAGCTGGAGAGGCTTGCGCTCCCACCGGCGGCAGGGCGCTCCCGACCGATCCAAGGCACGGAGGCCGGCATTGATGGCACCCGTGTTGGCCTTGGGGCCTAGCTTATGCGCCGCCACGAGCTTTCCGGCGTCGAATGTTCCATCGTCCCTGTTATCCATCATTAGCATGGTTTCTATGGTATATGACACCAGTTATATATAATGGAACATACATCCGAGGCTTCTTCTTAGGGCCGGGTTTGCCTCGCGGCCTGGGGTACGTCTCGTTCGGAGTCCCGGGGCCTCTCTTGCTGCCCGGTTTGGGCCCCGGCATGCCCTTGCGGCGCGGTGTGTCGGGATTGGACGTGCCCGCGGCGGGCGTCGACGCGGCGTCGGAGGCATTGTCGACTGAAGACGGTGGCAGGGGCATCTCGGCCGCGGAGGACGCCGGAGACGACGGCTGTTCCTTGACGGGAGACTCCGGACGGGCCTCGCTGCTCTTGCTTCCCTTTTTCTCCTTGGGTTCGGCCGGAGGAGGAGCGAACCGGCTCAACAGATCGGACGACAGCTTCAGGATGACCGTGCCTTTGGCGGAGCCCCCAGACCGGCTGGGGCGGCGGCCATTCGCGGACGACGGGGTGGCAGAGCTGGAGGCCGGCATTGTTGGTCGTAATTGGAGAGAAAAGAGGTAGGAAGGGTGTAGAGGAAAGTGAGAAGGGGGAGGGGAAAAAAAAAGAATAAATTGATTTCCCAGGGGTGGTTGGTGGTAGACTAGTCGGTGGTCAGGCGCACCGAGGCAGTGTTAAACCGCAGTCGGAGAGTAGTGATTTGGTGATTTAATAAGACGATCGTGAGAGCGTGGTGTGTCGGTCACGTCGGAGGATTTGGAAGAACCGGGGGCCAAGACGGTGTAGAGTGGCGCGGCAGGACCTTACTCAGGGCGAGGCAAAAGTCTGACGGAGCTGATGGAGACAGGAGTAGAGCAAGCGAGGTGACATAGTCTGAAGATAGGGAGAGACGGTTGATGGAGTGGTGATGGGAGGAGAGGGAGGAGGGAAGAAAGGAAGAAGGAAAGAAAAGAAAAAGAACGGACGGGGGAAGTGAGAGGGGGAAGGGAAAAGGATGGTTTAGAAAGGGATGCAAAGATTGGTTTCATTGTTGGCGTGAGTGTGGGTGTGTGTTCTCTTCTCGTCTATAGTGAGTAGTCCAGGAGAGAGATGGATGTGCCAATTTTTGGATGGTATCGTAATACCTGGATTACTCTGGCTGTACGGAGTAGTATATTACCCCTTTCGTCCTTTACGCGGGAGTATACGAGTATACAGGTGGCCAGGTCGCCTACGCGGTACGCGCTGCGGACGTCATCGTGGGACTTACCATACAGTACGATACCATATTGTGTTTTAAGAGTACACGATCGTATTGATGAAGTTATTCCCAACTCTCTATCTCAGTCATATAGTAAAATAGACATGATGAATACTCTATAGAATAGAAGTATGTAGATAGCTTGTATTCTAGTGGATGTCCAAAACTACACATAAACCTCCGTTGCCAGACAAGTTAGTCCTATACTCCGTACTCCGTATAATACTCTGATCTCATCACTCTGCACTGCGCCCGTAAGATGATCATACCTGGTACACCATAATACAACCATACACATCCTCCACTACTCATCATCACGACCACGACCAGGATACCACCTCAGGATGATGCGATCAATATGATCATCTGTATTCCACCTACTACTGGGGACTTTATCCTTCCTCACACTATCTGTTGATCATTCTCCCTGACTTCCCTTCCCTCCCTTTACCCTCTTCCTAACCCCAGTAAAGAACACGAGATACAGTACGAACCAAGGATTCCATCCCGATCGGCTCGCCACATCCGGTTTGAGAATATTTCCCGACGCGGAAAGAATGGTGGGAATGGAAAACAGAATTCATCTGTAATGAAAAGATGCACATGCGGTGGGGATTTTCGGGAGTTAAAATTTGGATTGCCAATGCTACTGTGCGTGTGCATGGATCAACTGGCAACTTATTGTATTTAGGAAATTCAATCATACCATGTCTATATGAAGTCTGTCCATTACTATGTAAATCCAACTATTAACATCCATGAAATAATACACTATGTCAATCGCTAGACCAATATCTACATATCTATCACCCACTCTAGGATAACCCCTAATCACCCTTCTTCTCCCGCCTCTGCCGCTCCAATACTTCCCCAACGGCCGCCTGCACCCCAGGACTATTCCGCACACCACTCAACACCAACCCCTCGCGCATCCCCTTCCGCAGCGACCCAACGGCCTCCCGGTCTCCCCGGAACGGGAACACCCCCATCTGCAATAACCGCGTCGCCTCGAGGTCCACCGCCCGAGACGTCTGCACCAGCTGGCCCAGGCGCTGGACGGTCTGCGGATACAGACGGTCGCCGGGCCCGGACGACGAGGCCTCGTTTCGCTTGGGGGGCGACACCTGCGAGATGAAGATATGCATCGTGACGGACGCCCGCTGGGCAAGCGTCACGATCTGGAACGGTAGCAGGTAGAACGTTGGCGTCTGGGTCGAGATCCCTAGCAGATTGCGTACCCCCGACGGGATGTAGGACCACGGGATGAACAGTGCCCCCGGGTGGGTGATCAGGGCCAGCTCGAGCGTGATCAGTGCGGCAAAGGTGAAGAAGCGCCACTGGATAGATATCTCTGTGTTAGCAATGGGACAAGACGGGAACGCTGGTGGGATCACTCACGTAACGACCCCAGCCCGACCACCAGGTGAAGTTCAGCGCGATCAGCGTAACGAGGCCGCCCACGTACTGCGGCACGCTCTGGCGCAGCCCCGCAAACAGATATCCCTGCATGTTTTTCGGATCCCTCCATTTGAGGATTTCGGGCCCAAACCGATCGTATCCATACCGCTTTGCAGGGTCCAGCAGGGTCTCCTGCGCCAGCTTCAGATAGACGAAGTAGTTGTCGGATGTGCCTTGCGAGACCTTGTCCGGGTGGTGTTGGGCGGCGAGCCGGCGGAATCGCGACTTGATGGTCCGGTCGTCGGCCAGCGGCGATACCCCGAGGGCCTGGTAGAAGTCCCCTGCGGTCTGGACTTGGTGGAATGCTTCGTAGAGCGTGTAGAGGAGGTAGCTGGTCACGACGAGAATGAAGATGCGCCGGCGATGACGGTCGTAGCGGGCGGTGCCGGGTTGAGGCCGGGGCTCACCCGCGCGGATGGTGATGCCATAGTAGACACTCTGTAGGAAGGAGGTCGCGTACTACATCTCTATCGCCATCAGTCTTGCATTCAATCAATCATTGCATAGGAGAACGTGGTGCCGCCGGGAGGCTCCACCTGAATCTAGACACTCACGTTCGGGAGGACCGCCCATCCAACAAAGGAGAGAAGATACGACATGGCGCAAGTCTAGCGCAGTATCGCTTCAACAATCACCACAACTCCTTCCAAATGGTTTAAAAGATAGGGATATTCATGTGGTGAGGGGCGAAGGAACAGTCAACAATGATAGCGACTGGTGTTGCTGTCCTCTCGTTCACCGCCCTGCATACCGCCTTCCTTTTCCACCCGCGATATGCGAAGTAAAAAAAAAAAAAAAAAGTCCGGCATCCGCAAATCCACCGCAATTCATATTCTCTCAACAGCAACAGCTCCACGGGGCGCACCAATTGCGCCAGATCCAAATACACAATGGCTACAGACACAATGGACATCGACACCCACCGGGAGGTAAATCCCGAAAAGGAGCGCAAGCGCAAGCACAAGAACAGAGACGACCCGTCGACGTCGAAGAAAAAGCGGAAACACGAGTCGAGCCTGATCGCCGACGAGAGCAGTGCCAAGGCCGACAAGAAGAGCAGCAAAAAGTCCAAGAGCAAGGAAAAGAGCAGCAGCAGCAAGAAGCATGACGCTGCAGCGTCTGCCGCCGCGCCGAGCGCCACCTCCCCCTACGTCCTCACGACAGCGACCATGTACCTGCCCCTCTCGCCCATCTCGATCTCGCCGACACACGCTCTGGCGTCGCTGTGCGCAGAGCACCTCTCGCCGCTCCTCCTGACGTACTACACCCCGCTGCAGGGTATCGTGCTGGCCTACTCGAACACCTCGATCTCGAGCTCCCCGCCCTCCTCTTCGACGCCCTCTGAACCCGCCGACCCCAGCCCGCAGCCGCTGACGCTCGCCACCACGGCGGGCGAGTACGGCGTGCTCTACGTGTATCTGACGGCTACATTCCTGGTATTCCAGCCCCAGCGCGGCCAGATCCTCGAAGGGTGGGTGAACGTGCAGTCAGAGGGGTTCCTCGGCGCCGTCGTCCTGAACCTCTTCTCCGTGGGCATCGAGCGGAAGCGACTCCCCACAAACTGGAAGTGGGTTCCTCCCGGCGAGGAATACGAAGAAGGAGAGGAGAGCACCGGCACCGCAGAGACGCAGAAGGAGAAACCAGCCGCCGCCGCCACAACCTCCGAAGACGAGGACTCGGAACCGGCCGCCGCGTTCGACGCCGAAAAGGAGCACTTCAACCCGGTGACTCTCGCGTCAGACTCGAACCCGCTCGCCGACGAGATGATGACAGAGGAGAACGGGGATACTGCCGGCGCTGGCGCGGACGACGATGCCGCCGCAGAGGGCTACTTCCAGTCTGTGTCGGGCCACCGCGTGCGCGGCACCGTGCGGTTCCGCGTCGTCGACATCGACATCATCCCTGGCAGCGAGCGGGACCACGGGTTCATGAGCATCGAGGGCACGATGCTGACGCCGGAGGAGGAGGCCAAGGTGCTGGAAGACGAGCGCAACGGTATTCTTTCGACGACGTCAAGCATGACTCCCAGCCGAGCAGCCACGCCGTCCATGACTGGCGCTATCACCGCCGTGGACTTTAACCCCCCGCCGGAGGAGAGCCCCAGCAAGGAGGCCAAGCCTGTGAAGGAGAAGAAGTCCAAGTCGAAGAAGAAGGATAAGGAGAGGTGATATAACATCTTGCCTCTGGTTCATATTGCTAGCTTTTCTTTCTTTCTTTCGTTGCTACAGTATCTAAGCTTTTCATTCCGTGTTATATATTCATTCCTCACGATTGGCGTTATCGGGAGAATCAAAAATATCCATTACTACATACTCCATCTCATAGACGATTGAAGACCAACTAACAACCATAACATAACCATTACGCATCAAAACATCACTACCTACCCAACAAGCCAGTTCATTCAAAGGTCAACACCAAGCACATCCACCCCCCCCTCAATCTCCCCCTTCCCCGGCATCCCCCCCCTCCTCATCAACTCCGCACACTTCGCCATAACCGGATCCATCCCCATAGTAGCAACAGCCACAACCGTCTCGCCCTTACAATAAAACGCCGCAAACTTCGCATTATCAGGCTCGCCCCGCAGGACAAGTCCGTCCCACCCGTTCGGCGTATTGCCGCAGTAGCGGAGCTGGGCGCCCAGCGCGGACCAAAAGATGGGGATGAAGGATTTGGGCTTGAGGTTGTCTAGGGAGGGAGAAGAGAGAGAGTGGATGATGGCGCGCGCGACGGCGCGGCCGGCGTTCTGCGCGACGTTCCAGTGCTCGATGCGGGTATGGGTCCCTGTTTTGGGGTCCGTGCCGGGCCCGTGGTACGGGAAGGTGGCGATGTCGCCGATGGCGAAGACGGAGTTGTTGAGGCCCGAGACGGCGAAGTGCTCGTCTGTTTTGAGGGAGCCGTCTTTTTCGAGATTGATGGCGGGGTGGGTGTTGGATTGGAGGAAGTCTGTTGCGGGGCGGACGCCGACGCCGAGGATGACGAGGTCGGCGGGGAGGACGGTGCCGTTTGAGAGGTGGACGGCGCCGACGGTGGAGGAGTCCGAGGAGGAGGGCGTGGCGCGGGCGACGCCTGCTTGGAGGTGGAATTTGACGCCTGCCTTTTCGAGGTTGCGCTGGAAGATGCGGCCGACTTGTTCGCCCATGACGCGCTCCATGGGGGCTTTTTCCTGGCCGACGATGGTGACGTCGTTGTTGCTGGAGAGGGCGTTGCCGACTTCCATGCCGATGAAGGAGCTGCCGATTATGACGATCTTCTTGTTCTTGTCGCCGACGGCGGCGAGGATGGACTGGACGTCGGGGATGGTGCGGAGGAGGAAGATGTTGGCGAGCTCGCCTTTGAAGCCTTCGAGGGGGAGCGTGCGGGGGACGCCGCCTGTTGCGAGGACGAGCTTCGTGTAGGGGATGGAGTTGCCGGAGGCCGTGGTGACGGTCTTGGAGTTGAAGTCGACGGAGGTGACGTCGTCGGAGACGGTGTCGATGGAGGCGTCTTGGTACCACTGGCGAGGGCGCCATTGGATTTCCTCGGCGTCGGGGATGAGCGCCTTGGACAGTTTGGTTCTGTCGATGATGAGGTTCGGCTCGCGGGAGATCATGGTCAGGGAGCCGGTGTATTTGAGCTGGCGGATGGACTGGAGCACGCCTAGGGCGCCGCTGCCGCCGCCCACGATGACGACCTTCTCTTGCGACGGGGCGCTGCATTTGAGGGTGGGGTCGCGCTGGCCGCTCTTGATCATGGCTTCTTCGCCTTTGATGTAGACTGCGCCGTTTCTCTCGAAGATTTCGTATGTGTTGAGAGAGTTGGGAGCGGGAGCGTCTTCCACATCGCCGGTGCCAACGTTAAAGCAAGCTGGGAACTCCGATCAGCTGGGACTGTTTGTCAGAAGGGAATGTATCTCTTACCTCCATGCCAAGGACAGGTGATACGTCCATCTGGCGCGACAACACCCAGCTTCAGCGGTGCGCCATAATGGGTGCACTTTGGACCCATGGCGTAAGCTTTGTCGTTGAACTTGACCACCAGGACCTTTCCATCCTGGATGCCTTCAACCTCGGACTCGACCTTGTCGTTGTTCTTGATGTCCGCGAGGGACGAGATGTCCTTGAGTTTGTATTCCTGCGCCATTTTGATCGATGATGAAGAAAAGTGTCGATACAGAGACCTGGTTGATGATCGCAAAGGATGTTTATATGACGAAGGGCAAAAGCGGGGTGACGTTCGGAGGGGTAACGATTGGGAGACAACGGTTGGATGCACACAGCAGCTGCACGAACAAACGCTAGAATTGCGACATCCGCAGTGACAGCGGGGAAGACGGACGGAGGAATAGGAGTATGACGAGGTCAGCGACCAGGATGTTGGCAATGGCCGGACACGGAGTGTTCGGGAGAGGGATTGCATCCAGTTAATTGTGTTGCTGTTTCTAGGGCTTTGGAGATCTTGGAATATAAATAGTAGATGATAGTAGTGGTGTACTTTTGAATTCTATATCATTTCAAGGCATTGACCGGTTGCAGAATGATCTCGTCGCAACGTCAGTTCGATCATCACCTACTAGGTATGGAGTAGTATTCCTGTTGAATCCAGATAACGATGACGTCGTCGTGTTGCAGCCAGCCAGCCAATCAGACAGACCCATTTGTCACATCCTGAGGCGGAAATATCCCGCGCCTGGTTTTCTAGGCACAAAGTACCTTATTTATCTACATGTATCTATATCTATACCTATATCTGATCTCAGCATAGATACATATATCAATATAGATATAGATATAGATATAGATATACGGATACAGGCTGTATTTCGTGAAGACAGCCCTAACCAAAGGCTATCCCTAGATTGCCCCAATGCCAAGTCTCAAGTCTTTGACTGTCCGGTAGGGTTTGGACAGTCACGGGGAGACGACATGGAGATATTTCAGAGCTGAGCTATATTAATGAGAGGAGGAAAAAAAGAATATGTGGTTTGCTAGATATGGAGGAAAAGATCCGTGGTTGATGACCAGTCTTTATATACACTCTTTATAGATGTGCTGCCCTTCTACAGTCGATTCTGGGCAGTGACTTATCTCTATACCATCGTAAAGGATCAAGAAGAGTAACAAGGACAGGAGTCACTTGTTAATGTTCTATTTGGCCAAGCTTTTCAACGTTATCAAATCGCTCAATTAGCCAACCCAATCCAGACTAGCCGCAACCCTATAGAGTAGGTCTATCCTGGTAGCCTATATTGGCCTGCTAGACCCCAACATTGGAGTAAGGGACCAAATAACCCCGCAGAATAGCTGAATTTACTGTGGATACTCTGAGATATCTTATATGCTCACGATGTTCCCCATATTCTCATGTCTTGCTTATTTTCTGTCTCCCCCCTCAAATCACCATGCGCCGTCCATTCACCAAGAGACCAGAGGATAATACCTCTCCGGTTGAATCGCTATCAGAGAAAGGTACAGCCAGACTTACTGCTGCTCATATACACCAGACTAGACTGTGGACTAACATATACTAGTCCAAGAAAAACAAGCCCTAGACGCTACAGACCTCGACCTCGGATCTTACGCGGAAAAGAACCTAGGAGGCTTCGGAATATTATGTACGGGGTTTAATATCTGCAACAGCTGGGCGGGCCTGGCTGCCACCCTGGCAGTGGGCATTGCCCAAGGAGGCACAGTGACTTTGCTATATGGCCAGATTTTGATCTTCGTTCTGATCGGCCTCGGTTCGACCGCCACGCTGGCGGAGTTGACCAGTGTTTACCCGACTGCCGGTGGCCAGTACCATTGGACGTCCATCTTGGCGCCGAAGAGTACCAATCGAGCGCTGGTGTGTTTATCCCCATGTCTTGTGCGCGAGAGCCTTGCTGAATCAATGTAGAGCTACTTCTGCGGCGCTGCCAACATATTCGGATGGCTCTCCATATGCACCGGGGTCGTCATACAGCCAGGGCAATTCATCTCAGCCATGGTCGTCTTCTTCAATCCAGACTTTGAGCCACAAGCCTGGCATATCTTTTTGATATATCAAGCGGTCAACATTCTCATCTTGCTATATAACATCTATCTGATGAAGCGGACGTCCTGGATTCATGATGTTGGGTGTATGTTTCGCGTTGACTGGCCCATGCATAACATGCTAATCTGATATCCACAGTTGTCGTCTCCCTCAGTCTATTCATCATCATCACCATCACCTGTGCGACGCGGGCACCAGGCCACAATTCCAGCACTTTCGTTTGGACCAACTTCGTCAACGACTCCGGGTGGAGCTCCGATGGAATTGTCTTCCTGACAGGACTGGCCAACCCCAATTTCATGTATGCAGGTATCGACGGGGCTATCCACCTAGCAGAAGAATGCTCGAACGCAGTCACCACCGTACCGCTGGCTCTATTCAGCACGAGTCTGATCGGCTTCGTCACTGCCTTCGCCTTTTCCATCTCAATGGTATACTCCTTAGTCGACCTAGACGCAATCATCAACACTCCTACCGGGTACGTCTCTTTCTCCCGACAACCAGACAAAATACTAATTAGGTAACAGCGTCCCCATCTACGAAATCTGGTACCAAGCGACAAGATCCTCCACCGCAGCAACAGTCTTCCTAGCCGGCCTCCTCGCCGTCTCCCTCTTCGCCCTAAACGGCTGCGTCCAGACAGCCTCGCGTCTCACCTGGTCCTACGCGCGCGACAATGCCCTGCTCGGATCATCCTACATCGGCCAGCTTCACCCGCGCCACAACGTGCCTGTCTGGGCCCTCGTTGCCAACTCCGCCGTGATATTCATCATCGGATGCATCTACCTCGGCTCGGACACTGCGTTCCACGCATTCGTTGGAACAGGCCTCCTCCTCCAGCAGATCTCTTTCGCTGTCCCGGCCGCGTTGCTGCTCTATCATCGTCGGTCGACGAAATATCTTGCGAAGAAAAGACGGGTTCGATTGGGGTTAATGGGGTGGATTGCTAACGCTTTGACTGTGGGGTTTGCGTTCATTACGTTGGTGTTTTATTGTTTCCCGACGGAGGTCCCTGTGACGGGGAGTTCAATGAGTACTATCCCCTCCTTTGCTGGTGTTGACTTATACTAATGAGAGTATAGATTACACTGTCGTTGTGATCGGTTGCATGGCGCTATTTTCCCTCTTGAATTGGGTGGTACATGCTAGACGCGTCTACCAAGGGCCTCGACTTCCGGAGGGTATGTAAGTGATTGGCTTATGAATGCGTTATATGACTAGAAGGTATATAAATAGATTTATCTTGAATACACAGACAAATACGTTGGGATTCTTACGTAGACAGGCTACACGATGTAGTCTTCTACAGGGATGAACATACGTCCACATCTGCGCTTGACGCCAGATCAAGCATATAAACAGAGATGGGCGAAGCGACAACACCCGACAGTGGACAGGAAAACATTCTATTCCAGTCTTCCAAGCCGTGAATATCGAGTGCCAGTCTCAGACTAACACAGTAAGAAAGATTCTGACTCAGTGGTGTCGAATAGACTTTGGATGGGTGAGTAGAGATAGATGACCACCGCCGATATATTGAAGATCAGCAGTCAGACTTTATAACCGCCAGTGAGAGAATGATACAGCATAGGTGATGCTATCTTTATCAATCATCTTCTCATACTGTCATTTTGTCTCAGAAGTAGATGCTGACAGCGACGAGACTTATCAAAAACAGGTCAATTCTCTCAGCACTCTGACACCGATTGACGATCACTCTTGGTTGTTACCACGTAATCCCGAGGTTTCTTAAGTCGACCAAATGATAATACAGCCGTCAAGCCAGAAAACTCACAGAAGATTGGGATCCTCATCTTTTGAACAACGGTGTGGATAGGTCGCAGCCGAAAAGCGCCTAACTTCACAAGGTATACGTATGGTCTGGTCTGGACTCTGTCTTATTGAGATCGAAATAGCCCTAATTATCCATGGGACGCCTGAACAACCACCAGGGGTAATTACTCCGAATACCTACCTAGTACAATGGGTCTATCCTTTACGGACAAGCCAATAAACAGCTCTAAAAGCACCCACCATTTCTATATACCTACATGAGTAGGTGGGTCTCTCTCAGCCGCTACGCCAAAATGCTAACCATCACTTGGTATAGTGCTTGACCTGGCTGATATCCCAACAGTGTCCCAAGGAGTACTAAGGTGATATCCCGTCGGTGATGGATCCTAAGGACGGCGCGGAGGCTACGTGTCTATGAGCGGCTATGAGCCCAGAACAACAACGATGAGGTAGATATTGGTTGCCTGATCGACAGAACTATGAGACTTAGGTTCAGCCTCTACTAAGCAGCTCACATTCATCGAGGGGACAGAATTGGCCCCCATTGTTGATCTCGGGTTGATAGGTTCCAGCCTTGTTCAGCAAACAACAGCCTTCGACAGATGGTCAGGGAGAGGCCGACGGTCGCCCCAGCGTCCGTCACCACTAGAAGCACAATTATGGAACACTGAGCGTTGGGAGAAGACACCGATTGATGAAAGGAACGATTACGTCAGCTATCCATCAACCACCACAACAGCTCACCCTCAGATGAAACCTGGGGCAGTGTTGGGATGATCAATTCTATTCAAGCCCTCATTCTCGGAGGTCGGAACAGGGATGCACACCCCCCGTGGTCACCCTGCGAGTGGGTCGCGTATGGGGTTCCGGACCCGCTATGCGCAGATCCCTCGGGGTATACGAGCCGGCCATTTAGGGCACAGAGAGGTCAAATCGAGATCTTAGGTTGTGTGTCTGTGATATTCCGTTATGGAAACCACCTCTCTAGGCTACTGGTAGGGTGGCATTGCTTGTGCTGGGGTATATTCGGTCTGGACGAGGCTCTTGGATTGAGCATGTGATAACACACCGCTGTAGGTGTATCTGGGTATACTTTTACCATAATCATCAACAGCGCTCTGAGCATTTGCGACTCTTACAACCAATGATGAGCTTTTAAAAAGAGTCCACAAGCATTGGCGGTGTTCTGACTATTATTGTTGAACGAAGTACCCTCAGCTCTACTGGTTCTTGCTGATAATCTACATGGAATGGAACTTCGGAGGCCCTACGGATACTCTCACTCGATTGACCATGACTAAAAACGAAACGTAACTAGCATCACACTACAACTAGTTCAACGAGTGGTAGGAGACGGGCGAGGCAATGATACAGGGCATGGTGGGTCGCGTTGTGGAGGTCGCGTGGTGGAACCTCCTATACTAGTCCTCCGATTGCACATTGGTGCAGTCATAGATGATATGTATAGCCTCTCGAATACTCCGGCCTCATCCATGACACGATAAGCACTAATCATGGAGACATGAGACATGTCATGGTCGAAACAAAACTAAGTCAGACTTTGGGAAGCCAGCAGCAAGTTGGTGAAGACCAAAATCTATATAAAGGCCCTTGAACCTCGTTCGTCTTCTTCCTTCAGACACAACAAAGCATCACCACTCTCCCAAAACCAGTTTCAATCACTCAGGTTGTCCTACAACGCATCCAAAGTCAGTTTCCCAGCTTCTCTAGACAATACGGCCATTGCTAATGTCTTGACAGACAATGAAGTTCTCCATTGCCCTCGCTCTTACCGCCCTCCAGGCCACGACGGTCCTGTCCTCCCACGTCTTGACCCGCAAGGGCAAGGGCTTTGAGGGTTGCGCCACCAAGCCCTTCGGCTGCGGCGAAAACGGCTGGTGCTGGAACCAGTGCGCTGATGCCGGTGAGTGGTGCTGGACTGCCTACGACCACGGTAAGGGCGACTGGAAGACCTGCAAGGAAGACGCCGACTGCGACCCCAGCCGTGACTCGTCTGTCGGCTGTGCCATGGGCGACTGTGACACGTGTGGCTGCAGCTGCACTTAGATATCGACATGCCGTTGATATACATACACCCGGCCGTGGATCCATCGTGTTGGATATTAGGAACATCGAGGGTGATTGTTTGAAGGCTCATCTTTAGTGCCTTGATAGGAATGTCCACTCATTTAACTTGATACTTGTGTTTCTTGACCTACAATCTATTGTTATCTTCTCGTATTGGATCTGGTGATGTCTGATGGAGGAGAGCAAGAGAGCAATTAGGGCTTACTATGAGGTCAAAGTAGGTAAAGTGCGGTTCTAACCCCGCTATTTGAAGTCACTTCTCATCGACTGTTTCTTCTTCACGTCGTTCTCTCAGACATCTATTTCAACAATCAATATGGAATCAACTATCCTACATAATGCGACCATCCTCGTTCCATCCGGCAACCCGGATGATTCCGTAGTTGCCCTCCATCAGCATTCCCTGCTCATCGAAGGGAACAAGATCGCGCAGATTTCCCCTCAGATCTCCCCATCATCGGAACAGACGCGAGTTATTGACTGTACGGGCAAAATTGTCTCGCCAGGGTTTATCGACACTCACCACCATATGTGGCAGACGCAGCTCAAGGGTCGCCATGCAAACCACACTCTCCTGGAATACATGCCATCGGGTAAATCTATCCCTAACCATGAACATGCAGATACGATAATGGACTAATGCATCTTACAGGAAACCTCCAACAGTCTAATTTCACCCCGGAAGATATGTTCTGGGGCGAGCTGGGAGGCTGTCTGGAGGCCCTGGACGCCGGAACCACGACAGTCGTCGACCACGCTCATCTGAACGTCTCCCCGGCTCATAGTACGTTCCGCTGGAACCAACGGAGTACTGATAGCTAACGCTCAAGCTACAGCATGGAACGCAGTCGAGGCAACTGTCTCGTCCGGTATCCGGTCTGTGTTTTGCTATACGCCCACGCTCAAACTCAAAACGTGGAAGCCTGACATGATTCCGGATTTCAACATCCTGAACGAGTGGGTTTTGCGCCAGCTCGACGAGCTCGGTGCCGCACTCCCTATTGGCGAATGCCGAGTGCAGCTTGGACTGGGCTTTGACGGGCTGATGCTTCCCCGAGAAGTGGTGATAGCATTGTTTACTCAGGCTCGCAAGGCGGGAGCGAAGGTTATTACATCGCATTATGTTCGGGGATATTTTGGTAATTTCTTCTCTATCTATCCCTGTGATTCCCCATTTCCCCCTGACAGATAAAGGTCCCGGATCCCATGTCGACCTCCTTGAGGACTACGGTCTCCTCGGACCCGATATCCTCATTTCACACGCCACCAACCCTACCCCTACAGACATTGAGAAGCTCCAAAAGGCACGATCCTGGATCTCCTCAACCCCGGACACGGAACTGCAGATGGGACACGGGAAGCCGGTCTGCTTCCAGGCGGGATGCAAGGATATCAGTTCCCTTGGCATCGACTGCCACAGCAACAATTCCAGCGACATGATGACGCAGATGCGTCTTGCGCTGCAGAGCGAGCGATCCTATCGCCACGAGGAGCTCATTGCGCAGGGGAAGTCCTCCCGATCTCTAGACATAACCGTACAGGATGCTTTCAGACTGGCCACTATCCAGGGTGCTCGTGCCATCCATATGGAAGAGCAGCTGGGCTCGATCGAAGTCGGAAAGCTGGCGGATTTGGTTATCTTCGATGCCAGAAGTCCAGGTCTGATCTGTGCGGCCGAGGAGGATCCCGTCGCTGCTATAGTGCTTCATTCATCCGTTCGAGATATTGAAACTGTCATCGTTGACGGGCGCATCCGCAAGGAAGATGGAAAACTGGCCCCTGTCGAGATCGACCCGTCTTTTCCAGGGGTGACTATCCCGAAACAGAGGGTTGGCTGGGGGGATGTGGCCAAAGAGTTATTGTCTAGTCGGGACCGGGTGCTCAGTGCGATCGCAAAAGCAGAAGCCGACGACTTCGACCACCAGGTTTCAGCTGCTATCAAGCTGTTTCACGCAGACCCGAACAAGTTCGTCTGATCATTCAGTCTATAACCGCGGTTGAATCTGAATGTCACCATGATTCTGCGGGCTGACATTATATAAACTACAACATAGAATAATTGAGCACGAATTGAAATATTTGTATTAATTAAGATGCTGAGGCGTATTCATGCCTTCTGTCATCGCATACCATTACCATTAACATTCCTTCACCGAGGTGGCACTCTAACCCAGTGTGAAAACGTTCAACCTGCACTGGTCCGTCACTGCCATTTAGCCAACGCCTGTATTGACTGCCGAGTCGACCTGGGCTAGTCTTTGGAGTTCACAAGCCCACACGGGGAGTAATAATAAGTCTTCGCTCGTGCTGCTAAACTGAACCACCTTGGTGATTAGAGAGTGGTCTCCAGTGCTCGCGATGCAGATATCCGTTGTAAGCTGCTAATGGCAGCTAGTCAACCCACGGCATTTGTCGCTGACACGCCACGACCTGCCCATATATCCCTGGTTGTCCTGCCATAGCGCAGTTAGAACCGTGCGAGCGCCACCGACCGGAGGGGTACCGAGCATGTTCCATATCCATCAAATATGACCATAAGTCCACGGTACCATGAACACAATCACCCAAACAAGAACCGACAAGCACCATCACCGGAGCCCGCCCCTTTCGTCCCTTCAACAGTCATCCGCAGCCCCTCGGCTTGTCCACTCCCAAACACGGTATTGAGTCCAAACATGGCGATCGTCTTGAAACTCTCCAGGAACACGCCGCAGAGAATATCGTCCAGCTTCGACAGCGAGTTTATGACTGGCTCCACGAGGGGAAGGTACTTCTGGGGGTTTTCGCAGAGGCATTTTCCCGGGATGTATTCGTGGCCTTGTTCGTCGTTGAGGAAGATGCTGGGGTCGAGGTTGTCGAGGGTTGTTATGCCTGGGATGTAGCACTGTAATATATTAGCATCTAGCACACTTTCTCCCGCATACTTATATAAAGAAAGAGAGACAGAAGTATAACATACACCAATCCCCTGTTTATCCTTCCCTTCATGAGCAGGACACCACTCTTTACAAGGTGAAATGGCCTTTTCGCGATCTCCCCCCTTTCCGGTATATAAGAAGCAGGCGCCGACTTTTCGGAAATGGTCGAGTGTGTAGGCGTCTGTTTTGGGTGGGTTGGATTGGGAGGCTGCTGCGCTGGCTGGAAGGAGCGCGTTCGTTAGGAATAGTAGGAATGGGATGGATGGTTTCATTTTATCGTTTTATTTCGTTATTGACTGGTTCGTAGTGTTGTAGTGCTGTATTAAAGTAGTAGTGTAGAATTAATGCTAGAAGTATAGCAGCAGCAGCGACAACTGTATATAAATGACCAAATAGGTCCAAATAAGCAGCAGCACCCACCCCCTAAATACATCCCCATTAAAGCAGGAAAACTCAGCCTTGATGCAACCCCCCACAGACAAATCCCCCCGGTTGAATCCTGCGCCAATCTCACTCCTGATACAGCGTAGCAAATGCTGTCTGCCTCGATTGTTGTTGGCTGGCTCAAGCTTTGGGTGCTCGGATGGGGGCCAAAGCTAGAAGCGCTAATCCTGGTCGACTCAGCCTCATTCACTGCCTTGGGGAGGGATTTTGGTGAGGGTTTGCTATGGGTGTTGGTCTTGGTTTATTCTTTCTTCTTTACTTATGGGGTGTTTTGGTTCTGGTTAGGATGTGGGTAGTGGTAATACTTCATCTTGTCGTTGTATATAACAAACTATTTCGTATTAGATTGAATAATGTCATGAACCATTGAACCAATATATGATAAAAAACTCGGACCACGAGGACCCACACCATCTATCGCCCTAACAGCTTTTCTAATCACCACGAGTGTCTTCCCCGGCGCACTCTTATAGCCCGAAATATCCTCCAACCATGCCTCAGCTGTCGGGTTTGCATGGAGTGGCGAGGATGTTGAGGACGTTATAACACGTATCGGAGGGGTCGTTGAATCAGCCGATGTCGAGGTTTAGAGGGTTGATAGCCGGCTTTAGTAGTTGGATGATTGGCTTGGATGTGTTGTGTTGAAGGGTCTTGAATTATATACTCGTCTGTATAGTAGGTAGACAGTCCAGCCTCGCAAGTTTGGTGATCCTGTACTGCGAATGACTCCTTGAATCAGAGTCACCGTGAACACCCCTAGCTGTAGATTGTGACTATACCAACCAATTAGAAGTATGTCCGGAATGACCCAGGGCCACCTACGTAACTCCTGAAATATAGTCAGCATTCAGACGTATTAGCAGTCCAGACAGGGTTCCTGTGAAGGACTTCCAGTTAGTTTGAACTAGACTGAATAGTAGCTATCGCCCGTGCTAAGACCATCACTAATACCCTCCATTCCATCTCTGCAGTGGATCAAGCATACTATCAAAGTATCATTGCTGCAGCTTCGTCGATATAGCACCTGAGGGGTTGAGGCCCTACTTAGGGCTATACAATCTACCCCCAGCCGATCATCACCAGCCTGACCGACCCCTTCATTCCAACACTCCATCTGGACCTTTCCAATCTAGCCACATTCTCCATAAACATTCTCCAAACGGACACCCACCCAGACGGCAATCACGGCACCTGCCGAGAGTGCCCCCTCACCGCGCGGACCGCCACTAATCCATCGTTCTAGCTGAGAAAGGCAACGATGTCCCTGCAAGAACACCACCATTGGAAGCGTGCCCTCAACAACCCCGCTTCGCGCAATGCATAAAAGGCTTTTATCCGGGGTCGTCCTAGCATAGTGGGTTTCTTGGTAAGCATTAATATCTGTTTCAATCATACTTAATAGCTATGGCGTTCTCGACTTTCTCCGAGCTTGTCGCGTAACTCCAACTCCCCACAAGTGACCCCAGCTTGGATTAACCCCTAGCATGGAGAAACACGGTATTACGCCCGGTCGTCGCTCTGGCAGCTCTTCTGGCAGTGACGGGATTCGTGTGAGTCATGATGCGGTAGATGCTCAGGATATCGTGCCGGGCCACCAGCTGGACGTGGAGCTCGCAGAGGTGAGGCACTTTTCCCCAAGACACTTTACCCCAAAACTAGGCAATTCTAACGCGACTAGATACGAGGACCCGAGGACCTCGAAAAAATCGAGACGCGCGGAAGTGTCAAGAGCAAGATCAGTCGGATATTGAGCGCCGCCAGCGGCCGGAATAAAGACGGAGGACTGCGCCAGGAACCCATCCCGACGTCGAATCTCGAAGAAGGCATTGTGGGGTGGGAGGCCCAGGATGACCCCGAATATCCGATGAATTTCTCCGCCTGGAAGAAGTGGTTGCTGCTGGGTCTGATTGCGCTGGTCACGCTCACCACGCCGTTCGCGTCGTCGATCCTGTCGCCTGCCATCGGTAGTGTTGATCAGGAGTTTGGAAATGACGATGTCACGATCGGGTCCATGACGGTCAGCATTTATCTCGTCGGCTATGTGATTGGACCACTGTTCCTGGCGCCACTGTCGGAGATCTATGGGCGGCGGTTGGTCCTGGCTGCGGCGAATCTCTTCTTCTGTGTGTGGCAGATTGGGTGCGCGCTGGCGCCGAATATGGCGGCCCTCATTGTCTTCCGGCTGCTCACTGGGATTGGGGGCGCAGGGTGTATTGTAAGACCCCAGTTGAAAGAAGGACAGAGTGCGATACTGACGGTTGCAGACCCTGGGTGGAGGGGTGATATCAGACATGTTTCGAGTGGACCAGCGAGGTTTCGCTATGGGTTTCTGGACTCTGGGTCCGCTGTTCGGTATGTATCATGCGATATCTCGTCCCGTTCAATGCTGAACAAAATAGGTCCTATTCTTGGGCCACTCGTGGGCGGCTATGTGACCCAGACCATCGGCTGGCGATGGGATTTCTGGATCGTCCTCATGCTGGGCGGTGTCCTGACCGTGGTGCTCGAGATTTTCAACCGCGAAACGAACCATCGAATCCTCATCCAGCACAAGGTGGCTCGACTGCGCAAAGAGCTCGGACGCGACGATCTTAAAAGCTGCTACGAAGGCGGGGCAGACGCTCAGAACCGTACGCAGATTCTCCTAAACGGCCTCATCCGCCCAATCAAGCTGCTCGCCCTATCCCCCCTCGTCTTCTTCCTCTCCCTGTACGTGGCCTTCGTCTACGGCGTGCTCTACCTCCTCTTCACGACGATTCCCACCGTCTTCGAGTCCGTCTACGGCTTCAGCATCGGATCCACAGGTCTCGTCTACCTCTCCCTCGGCCTAGGCAACTTCATCGGCTGGCTCCTCATCACCCTCTTCTCCGACAAAAGCGTCGTCAAACTAGCCAAAGCCAACAACGGCCTCTTCCAGCCCGAGATGCGCCTCGCAATCAGCATCTTCTCCGGCATCTTCCTCCCCATCACCTTCTTCTGGTACGGCTGGTGCGCCTACTACAAAACGCACTGGATCCTGCCCATCATCGCGCTCGCGCCCTTCGGCTTCGGTATCATGGGCTTGTTCTTGCCGATTCTGACCTACCTCGTCGACTGCTACCCCATGTACGCTGCGTCTGCTATCGCAGCCAACACCGTCCTCCGCAGTCTAGTGGGCGCGTTCCTCCCGCTCGCCGGGCCGTCCATGTATGAGACGATGGGACTGGGCTGGGGGAATTCCCTGCTGGGGTTTATTTGTGTTGGGATGATTCCTCTGCCTATTATCTTCTATAAGTACGGTGAGCGACTGAGAAAGGTGCAGCGCTTTACGCTTTGATATGGCTTAGCATTGCCTGTCCAGTCTGCTCGGTAATAGAATATTAGTATTATCGTCACACTGGATTGAATAAAAATAATCATAGATCATTGCATACACTGGGTCTCTGTATATTCCAAACACATAGCGTACATTGGATGACTATAAGAACGGGTCTTCTTCACCAACCAAATCCTAACCCGCTTCTCTGGAATCTCGGTCCAATGCACCTCAGCCCAAATTGTCTCAGTCCCGAGATGATTATCCAGTCATGTACTAGGTTGATACCGTGTCCCCGGTGCGGACTTCGAGATCTGCTAGATAATATACAACAGAACAATTGTGTTCCGAGTGTATAAAATGGGATATCAGTCTGGTTAAGCCCTGTACCAAACGTTGGTCAACGCTTTGCCGTAGCGGTCAAGATAATCTACTTCCTCCAGCACCAGCAGTCGACACTCTACCCCAGCTACGATGCGTCTGGAGGTAGTATGGCGATAGGCTAGCCGGGAGTGAACGCTTCTAGACCGAGGTAGTAGTCGGGGATGGAGACTTACTATATAGTAGTGATAATCTTGAATCTATGTAAATATTCTTCTCCGCTTCCTCAAATGACGCGGCGGCGCATGTACAGACCACCAAATGGCATCCAGCCCGTCTTCCTCATCTATTACGGTGGGTACAGTCTCCGTAACCTCTGCCCTCTGTACAAATCGCGTCATCCTCCCTAGCGTTGTAATCTGCTCCTCCACGACCGGCCACAGCTCCTCTACCACCACCTCCATCGCAACCCGAAAGACAGGCTTGAACCAATCCTTCTCCCCACCAGCCTCCTGGTCATCATCACTCACAACACCTTGATCTTCCGTCGCAGCAACCGCCAGCAGAAATGGTGCCCCAGTTCTCCACCGCGGGCTGGTCGTTCCCACTTTCTCATCCCCAGCTTCAGGAGTGGATAGCACAGACGCCACAGCCGACGAAGACACAACCAGGAAGATCGGTAGGAAGAGACCAGAGTCTTGCTCTTGCATTGAGTGATACCGCGCGCGTAGTCGCTCAACAAGGACATTCTCCTGGATTTCCTCCCCTGCCTTTGATTCATCACCATCATCATCAGCTACCCTCACCCACCGAATCGCAAACGACCTCCGCGCCTCATCAATCTCCTCAGCAGACTGTCCCTGATCTAAAACTGTCTCAAATGGGATCTCCACAATCTGCTGCACCCTCTCCTCAAACCCCTCCACCCCCTCACCCCCCGCGTCCTCATAATCCACAACCCTCTTCACAGCACCAGCAGTCCAAAACACCACAACCCCCCAATTCTTCCCCTGACCTTGACCCTTTTGACCCTGACACCTCTTCCTCCAAACCCTCAACCAATCCGGCGGCGGCGGCGGCGGCGGTCGTCTCACCCCAGCATCCTTTTCCCCTTCCCCCTCCCCTTCCTCCCCTTCAACCTTCCCTTCTCAACCCTCATCAAACGCAACTGCTCCAACCACACAACGCGCGCCATCTCCGCCACGCCCTCCTCGCCCAGAACCTCGCGAAACCCAGCTTGCATTTTGGCGCGCTCGTCGTCGCTCAGTGTCGCGTTGTCGGCGGGTGTGGCGTGCGCGTAGCGGGTGAAGTTCCACCCTGGGGGCCAGTAGGTGCTTGAGGAGTTGGAGTATTTGGTAAATTCATGACTGGACATTTTGTCTTGATTTGATTGATTGGTATTGAGATTGAAATAGGGATTGGAAGTGGTATTGATGGGGGTTGATTGGACTTATATGGGTGGGATGGGGGTAACAAGGTACAATTAGGTTGGTAATTTGGGGTGGGGGTCTATGTCACATTTGTCGTGGATGGACTCTGTATTGGGGCTAGGATTACTCTGGACTGATGCCTGATACGTAGAATTAGATCTAATATTAGATCTAACTAAAATAGAATAAGGCAGGAAATAGTATAAATGATAATATTGTCAACAATTCTATATGTTATTATACGGTGTGTTACAGTAGATTGATATTAGTTATCAATACAGAGTATTCGATCTAGTATTTACTACAGTGCAAACATTGCCAGCGTAGTATAACCCTGCTGGCTGTTGATAGATCTTATATAGCCAGCTGTAGGACTCTACAAGGGCATAAATACTAAGACAATAGTCAAGAGAAATACTATAACCAAACTACCAGACATTGAACACCTGCATTCGAAGTGATACACCAATACAATGAATAAGACATACCACTCAATCGACTCGCAAAGCCGTGGCAATCTCATCACCCCCAACGGTCGTCCACTGGAGAATCAGATCGTCGACCTCGTCAGGTGTGGCCTTGGTGACGGGGCCGTCCACCCCTTCAGGGAGAGTATCATCGGCCATTTCGAAGCTAGGTGAAACCGAGGATCTAAGACTGTCGTTAGTGACGGAATCTTCTTGATACTTGTGAAACAAACATACGGAGGCAAGTCATAGCTGGTTTCTAGACGAGCGCGCCTTTTCTTCCGAAGAAACTCAAGAGAACCGTGTTCTTGTTCTCGTGGTGAATATCCATATAACGGAGAAGGTGATTGCTGTTGGCCTTCCTGGGAGGAGGGATTGGTCGTTCCATGATCGCCACTACTAGTGAAAGACGCGGAGGTGTCGGATCTGCTACGCCGGTGGGGCACTACACAAATGAGTAAAGAGGATGAATGAGTAATGTTTGCAGGATGCGAATAGAGAGAACTTACCCTCCGAGGGGATTCGTTTCTGTGAGTCCAAGAAAGACGGTGCGGTGGATAGATACTCCGAGCGCCCGGGGAGTTGTTGGTTGGGGATTGGCGAGCTGATTTGACTGGACCCCAGGAGGTCGGCATATTGGCTGCCATAGGGACATGGCTGTCGCGCACTGATCGGACTCGGACGGCCTCTCCTCTTCCTAACTAGGGCATCTGGCTGGGTGGCCCAGTGAGACCCATTCAAATCCACATCTCCTTGGGCTGGGTAGATAGAGATGGGGCTAATGAGAGGTTGTGTTCTTTGCTGGCGCTGCTGCTGCTGCTGCTGTGCAGGTGGCCCATACATGCCCGGACTGCCATTCGTGAGGTTCCTAGGATCGACAACCGGGCTTCCGTTGGAGCCCATCGGCATCTGACTCCGGCGTTTCTGAAGCTGCTCAAGAGCCTGGCGACGAAAGAAAAGTTGCACGATATCTCCATCATACCGGCCAGCGTTGACCACGTGTAGCTGCGCTTCGATCCTCTCCAAGGCGGATTTCTCCATGCGACCACGTATGGACTCGGCCAAGCGGTCGAGTTGACTCAGTTGAGTGGGAGAAAGCCGATCGAGAGCTCTGATTGTATCAAGGAAAGGAGGAGACGGGTTCTGAACAGGCGCAGGGCATTGTGGTGCCGGGGCTTGCTGGTCAGGCGGTTTTGTGGAATTCGGCCGGTTTTGGGTTACTCTCTCGTTGGATTCTGCCAAAACCTCGATGGTGCGCCCCCGGAAATGGCGGGATTGAGCTTGGGCGGCGGCTTTGGCTTGCTCTCGCAGACAGGCATCCGAAGGCCTTGGGAGCTCGGCATCGGCCTTTGGTGAGGGCCCAAAAATGTGCTGCTCGATCTCCGTGGGCCTTTCATCGTTAGAATAGGCAACATGACACACAAAAGGCGCGACTCACCGATCGGAAAGCTCATAGATTCTATTCCTAAACATCTGAGCCATTTGCGGCCCATGGGAGACTTCAATCTGCTGGATTTCCTCATTGTGGATGCGCAAGACTCCGTTCCGGACCCTACGATGCTGAGACTGTTCTAGACCAGCGCGGTAGCTGTCCACATCCTCCAGCAGTTTCTTGACCAGGAGGTAGTATTTGCCCAAATCCGCGAGAGGATTCTCAGTCGGGGTCGGCAGCGTAGCAGCGCACATGAGATGTTCCGGCTGGAGGCCGCCTTTTGGCTGGTCATTATTGAGTTTCGCTCCTTCGAGAGCCTTGGTCATCTCTTCGAAGCGTCGCTCGGTCAGTCTCTTGTGATCGAGTAGCGATTTGATCAGCTCGCGCTGGTCCTTGAGGGCGGTTGGCTCTGTGCGACTACGCCACGTTAACAACAACCCCATTCATAGACGCGCAATGAACCCTGCCAGAGATGGTACCAACCTCCGCAATTGCCCCGCGTACATAATGACGTTGAGCATCAAGTGGAGCGTGGACTTGAGTCGCTCCAGGTTCCGTCCCAGAAGCTCAAGTTCTTCTTCCATCGCGACAAAGCTCAACTTCTTCGCCGCCCGCTGAAACAGGCCTTTAGATGGGCTCTGATCGAGGGCATCGCGGATCTGCTCAAAGACATTCTTGCATTCGTCTAGGACACCCTGCGTTGTGCCGAATGCTTGTTTGGAGTACAGCTTGGCCTGCTCATCCTGCTGCAGATTGTCACCCAGTAACTTGAGCACGGAACTGGTCAAGGCGACATTGTTGGATAGGTTCTGGATCCGCTGGTCGGCGGTCTTAATCTTGTGGTAGAAGGCGCATAGCTTGACTGCTAGCTGAGTCCCGATCTCGGCGATCTGGACGATACTAGCCGCGATCCCGATGACTTCGAGGCCGGACATGTCTCCAGACGTCTGTCCGCGTTGTGGGACATGATTGAGGGGGTCCCAGGGGAACTGGCGGGGTTAGCACAGCCTCGTGTTCGCTGTTGATAGTGAGGTCTAGCCCGGCTGAATCGAGCATAGTGATGGAATATTGATTGGTGGATGGACTCATGACTAATCCTTGGGAGCCTCGGGTGTTTGTTGCCTGGCGGCCTGATTATTCAGGGTTCAAGGGTAGCCTGATGGGAATTAGGCAGATCTTCAGGAATCTATTATCCCTGTTGTTTCTCCCACTAGAGCGGGTTTGGAGATCTGTTTGGTAGATAACCTTGTACAATCCTGGACCATGAACGCTAGTGTGAGCGGGGGTTGATTCGTCTTCATCCTATCTCCAGAGACGGTTTTGGGGTTCTTGCTGTGTGGTAAATGCGTGGATTCGTTATCCCTTGGGTTCGACTAGAAGTCTCTGAATATCAGTCCATTCCAATTTGACGCCTATAGAAATACAAATGATTAATATGGTAATGCTCTATGTGACAACCCGTTCCTTGATTTCATCCATCCGCCCATGCAGGTACTGTATTCGCGCCGCCATATCGGCAACAGCGGCGCCACCCGCCTGTTTCAACCCCTTCATATCCGCCTCCAGCCGGAGTGCCTCCCGCCGATACTCGTAATAGCGTCGATAATCCTCCGCGCCAAAACAGATCCCGTACCCATCGCAATAGCACGTCGTCTCCGAGGGACAGTACTCGCTATGCCCCGTAAACAGCCACTGCCAGGTATACTCCCACAAACGCGCCGCCGTGTCGTCGTCCAGCTCGGTCGTGAGCAACCAATCGCGCAACTCAATATAGCGGCGCTGCGTCACCGTGCGGATGCGCTGGGCGCTCACCGCGAACTGCCCGCAGCACGGCTGCGACAGGACGTCTGGTAGTCGGGCGCCCGGGTATAATTTGGCCCACACGTCGCGGAGAACGGCTGGTTCGAGGGGGGTCTCTTTGTTGTTGTTGTCGTTGTTGTTATGATTCTCTGTCTCCGCACCGGGGTGGATGTAATCCGGACATCCAGGTTCCTGGTGACAGCGCAGGTTCATGTAGCCCGACAGGATAACGTGCTGACTGCGCAGGTGGCGCACAATATTGGCGGAGTCTCCATTGAGGATGTCGTTATTGTACCACGCGTTTTGCTGGGCGCGCATAAATATGGAGACGTCGGATAGCGAGTCGTAGTGGTCGATAATGTAGGTCAGGTAGACCATGGCCTCGTGGCCTTTGTTGTCGGGGACGGATAACGTGGCGGTGGTGTTATCGTCAACCGTGTAGACGGCGCTGCCGAGGTTGGGATCCTGTGCCACGAGATTGTCGACCCATAACGTGTCATCATGTGTGGATTTGGAGATGACAAGGGTGCGCGTGTAGGGTTTAATAAATGTGGTCGATGAGCTCGCCGATTGCTCCGGTCGTGAGGACGTCTTGGGCACGTATGACGCGAACGGTTGGCTCAGGGGCTTCGTCAGAAAATAATGTATCGTGAAGGCGAACACCAACAGGGTGGGAACGGTTAATATGAGGACAGCCCTGCGGTATTGCATGCTGCGGATGAGATTCATCTTAAAACGGAATCATCCTTTTGGGTTCTTCATCTAATAATTAATAACCCTTTTTTTTCCCGCCGAGGAGCGGAAAGATGAGGGGAGCGGGATACAAATAAAAAAAAACCCGCCCCAAAGGCAAGAGCCTCAGAGCTATCGTCATCGGGGGGTGGATCAGTCAGGTAAGCCTATGGACTAAGCCTAGCCAAGTGGAGCAGACCCAGTGAGATTTGCTGAGCGGACCGGAGACTTCTGCAAATAAGAAGCGGCCTGCGGTCGCGCCTTGCTCCACTGCCTTGCTTGGCACTTCCTTCGGTCGTTCGATTCGAAACACTGTATTATTTCAGGAATGGTCGCAAGGCCGTTAGGGGGTAATCATCCATCGAGAATAGCCCGACGTTTATCGTCTAACGATAGTATCCCACAGCTTGAATCATGAACGATTGCCAATAGCATCATGGGAATTGTCTGCACTCTGACCGGACAGAACTTGGCTTCGAACCCCGGACTACCCACTTCGGCCCCTCTCTCGCTGTCAATTCTCCAATCATCTGTAATGTCGATCCCTGCTTCTTCGATCCAATTAGGGGTCTTGATAACACTCGTCGGGCTGTACAGCATCATAGCGACAAGGATCGCTAGGAAGGACGCCAAGACGTTTAGTAGCGGACGATCTCCCTAAAAGATATTGGTCTCTCATTAGGAGACCCTAAGCACATCATACAATACCAATGGGAGCTTGTCATTACACCACAATTGATCCAGTTCGGTCAGATCCCTTGTAGAACGAACACTGGCCCTTCGTGTTTCATCTACATCACGGCTGAAGGGGCGCGGGCACGGGAATTGCATTTCTGCAGGCTTCCTCTCTGATGATTTGCCGAGACCAATCCGGACAAGCAGTGTGTCACTATCACTGATGGGACAGCCGTGGCTCTATCGCTGTTTGACAATTAGTGCTGCAGAATTATGAGAGGAGAAAAAGATACCCCGCGATAACTCCTTGTTACTCTGATGGAGAATGATGATTTTCATTGTCGCGGTCTCGTGTCAATTCCCATTCATTTGTAACTGGATCTCGGCTGGCCGTATCGGTTATATCCAGTCTTGTCGAAAGGAAGGAAAGAAGCACGCTCGTGTTTAGCGGATGTGACACCACCACCATGCACGACGCAGATCCACCAATAATTGGGGATAGGTCTGTGGCCGGGGTGCGGGGTGATCGAGGAAGGTGAAGCGATTGCACGTCGGATGTACACTGTATCCATCCGTTACTCCGCACTTCGAGGTTATACAGCTATTGCTGATTGGCTTCGTCGTGCTAAGCTCGCGTCCAGTTCACAATCATGGGTTTCCTATCGAGTGTCGTCGTGGGGACCTGGGAATATGACTGACTATCTCAATGTAGTGCACACCTTGACTAGAATCATCAGTGAAAGTTCCCGGTAGAGAGTGTTGCGGAAAGAAGAGAACAGACTGAGAAGGCTATGTCAGCTACGTGGACTATAACACCACCAACCATCATTCAATGTAGTAGATCGTTGCTGGTTCCTAGGTATCTTTCTGTTGGTCAGACACGAGCATGTCAGACAGATTGGCCGGATTTCCTGAGGCACGATATAATGCTAGCCTTGCTCCGAAGGCTCCAGCTTTCTCAAACTTATGGCTTTCATTCCGATCATCTCACTGCCACCCACCTCTCCTTCCTTTCATGCTATAATAAACCATGATAATAAACCATGATAATAAACCATGATAATAAACCATGATCATAAAACATGATAGTACACCACGATAATAAACCATGATAGGCTTACATTCCACTAGCCATCGAGCTGGCCAATACGTTTGTCTGATTTGTCGAACCATGCAGCCTCACGTGCGGAGCACCTGACGCCGAGCAAGGCGCAGCCTCATCCACGGGAGTCTACACTACACTGTCGCTATCTGTCTGGCTACAGCTGGTCTTTCCTGTTTTGCATATTTACAGAAAGAAATTTCTACTACAGTCATATTCCAGATTATCCTGCTTTAGTCATTCACGGTCACTATGTCTGGTGACGTGCAACTGGAAAGAAACATAACCCGGAGAGAGCACCAAATTCTCCTGGACGTTGATGAATTCGCAACAAGATACGATCTGGGCCATATCCGTGAGCTACTAAAGAAGGCGGCTCTTATTGCACATAATCCCAGTGACTTGGCGCGAACCGAAGGGTTGAACCAGGAGGAGATTGCTATTTTGAGTGGTAAAGATGGCGAGTATAGGCATGGCAGATGTACACCCTTTCAGTCGCAGATCGTCAATTCAATGATGTTGATCTACTTGGCGGCAGCAGTTTAGTAAGTAGTTGAAAAGATCATGCTGGTCAACGGCTCCACTAACACCATCGGTGGTGTCTCTCTCTGTTTCAAGTGGGATGGCTCATTTCTCCGCGTGGACATACATCAGCCTTGACCAGTGGTACTCCGCTCCCAACACACTTGAGTCTGTGACATTGTAAGGAAATCCGTTTGTGATTGTTATTTTCTTTGCGATAAACTGACATGAGCTGGTGTAACAGCAATGCACCTCATATTGGTAGTGCCTTGGTTGGATGCTGGTGCACAGTGCCCCTCAACCGAGCCGTTGGTCGCCGTGGAGCCATCTTTACTGCCATGGGTTTGATAATCCTCACATCCATCGCTGGTAGTTTGGAGTTATGGCCTGTTGCGAACCTTATCCAGCGCTTTTGCTTGGGTGTATCATTCGGGTTGCTAGAATGCACTATCCCAGTCTACTGCGTCGAGACAAGCCCCGACCACCAACGTGGCAGGGTGACAGGCGCTTGGCAAATGTATGTATGCACTCTACAATCGATGGGTCCTCTCAAATTGGATTGAAATAAGCGGTCATATCCTGACTTATTAAAGGGGATCCCTCTTCGGCCAAGTTTTGGTAGTGACATTGATGCTCGTCGTCCCTGTCAGCTGGATCTACCTAAGCATCAGTATATGCGCAGGAGCTATCTGCGTTGGCTGTTGGTTTGTCCCCGAGTCCCCACGATGGCTGGTGTGCAAAGGACAAATGCTCGCAGCCTTTGATTCGTTGCGTTATTTCCGGCCAACGGGACTTTTGGCAGCCCGCGACCTCTATCTATTTCACATCCGGTCTGAAACGACAGGAGTGGCGCAATCCCAAAGAGCCCCGCTCTTACACCTTTTCACAAACCCAAGAGCTAGCCGCGCAACTCTCGCCGCTGTATCCGTCATCGTTCCCCGATCGTTGTCGGGCTACCACATGGCGATGGCAACTCAAAATCTGAAAGGCACCGATTACGACACCACTATTGCATGGCTCTTTGTGACACTTGGCTATACGCTGGCGCTTTTTACTTCGATGTTCACCGTAGTGCTGGCAGCCGATCGCGCCAGTCGTCGAAAGTTGCTACTATGGACAATTCTGCCCATGGCCTGTGTTATGGGGTTTTATCCCATTGGATGGGGTTTCGCGGCCCAACAGACTATTGGCATTGCCGCAAAAGCCATATTGATTGTCATGTATAATATCGGCCAGGTACCTCTGTCTGTGTATGTCGCGGAGTCGTTCCCCATACAATATCGTGGTGCGTATTTTCACATATCCCGAATAAAACCTCCAACAAGCCTGATATAAGCTTACACTATTGATGAACAGATTATGGAATGGCATTCACCATCTCCATGTACCATGGCTCATTTGCCGCGATGAGAGTAGCCATGCCCAATCTAGTATACTGGCCCCATTTCAGATATACATTCGCGTGAGTTATTCCAGCCACCTGTACTTCCACTAGACCCTAAGCTAACCACCACAGCGTTTGCAACCTAATTGCATTTATCTTGGCCTTTTTCCTCATGCGAGAAACGAAGAACTTGGCTTTAGAAGAAGTGCCATTGGCATTTGAAGCCCCAACACGGAATCTCATCCTCTACCGACTATCGGTAGAAATTCCCTATTTTTTTCGTCGCCATGTGCTTCGACAAAATGTGCAATTTTTACCCTTCGAGGATTCGAAGTATGGTGGCGGTGCGATTGTCTTGGATACTGAATAGGTGGTATTATGGACCTTGGTATCACTAGACACCATCGCGTTCTCCAAGCGTCTAGATAGCTTATATATGTTGTTTCATTAAAGGTATATACGGTTAGAAGTGAGTTCAACGCGTTTTATGATTCGTTGCATTTAGGTTCATAGTCTCTTGATGATGTGGGACGGCATGGGACATTATCCAAGAATCAAGGTAAATATACAAAATCCACACGACTTGGAGTTCTGGCGCTGCCTTACAGCTCGACAGCACGGTGGTCAGCTGTAGCTACTGTCATTCTTCTATACTGTATCATGTCTTTATCACGAAGAAACCAGTAACAACATCTATTCAACTCCTGTTTGTCCCCAGAGCCCAAGGAAGCAAGGCGGACAATCCACCCTTGGATAGTAATCGGCGCACACGCCGTTCCAGCCCCGAATCACCCAAGCTGACACTGGCACCACGTTCAACCAGCAAGGCCATAACATCTCGTTTATGCCGGAATGCAGCTTCGTATAACGGGGTATGCCCACAGTTATCCTCCGCATTGACACTTGCCCCAGCATCGATCAGACGTTTCAGAAATTGCAACGACATTGTCTGGGATAGAACGGCCAAATGCAACGCCGTCCGGCCATCTTTATCTCGCGCGTTCGGATCGCCCCCCTCCCGCAGGATAACATCGGCCTTCTCCTCCTGATCTAGCACAATCGCGTAAAGGAGTGGCGTGCGCCCGTGTCGTCCTTTTATGTTGGCTTTGGCCCCATGAACGAGCAGAAGCTGAACAGCCTCAGCGGACTTAAATCTGGCGACCGCTAAAGAAATTGCAGTGTCACCGTCGGCATTCTGGATATTGATACCCGGTCGGGAAGCGAGTAGCATAAGCTTGTCGACGTCGCGCTCGTTCGCTGCAATGTGTAGAGCGATTTCCTCCTGCGGACGACAGCGCAAGGTCGTGTCGGCACCGTAGTCGAGGAGTGTCTGCAGGTTTTCGACGGTGTCGTGCTTCACGGCTAGGTGTAAGGCTGTGCGGCCGTCGAGGCGCTTGTTGGGGTTTGCGCCTAGGTCTAGGAGGGGAATGATTCGCTTGGAGCTTGCTTGTGGGTTGAGCATTAGGTACCAGAGCTCGGAGGAGTGGTAGTCCTTTATCTTGTTAGTTTTTGATACTGTGGGAAGGGTTTGCATTTCAAAAATACCACGTCTTCATCGTCTTCGGTGTTGTCTAATGGGATTGTTTGGACTGTGGGCAGGCTGGGCCCCGGTGATGTCGTTCTCGTTGAGTCTGTTTGGTTTGTGGATATAGAAGACTCTGTAGTGCCTGACTCTGTAGGATTTTCATCCCGAATCTCTTCGTTTGAGTCCAACCCAGGCTCCTCAAACGAAGTAATCGCCCATTCTTGTATGAGACCTGCTGAGGCCACTGGTCGGTCCTTGGGCTCCAAAGCCAGCATCTTTTTGATAAATTCCCTTCCTGACCTGCTCACCCTCTTCTGGATAAGGTCTTTCTCAGGAAATTCCATTGCCTCCCACGCATAATCTCGAAGAGACACGCTATTCTGGAATGGTGCATTCCCGGTCAGGGCATAATACACCAAGCAACCGAGAGACCAAATATCCACTGCATTGGTATAACTCGAGGACTGATTTCCATCGTCTATAAACCCCAGGGTTTCAGGTGCCATGTAGCCCTCCGTACCAACGCGGGACCGCAGCTGCGTCTCTCCCTCGAGGGCACGTTTGCTGATGTCAAAGTCGGCAATCTTAACCCAGATTGGGTCTTTGCAGACGACCAATACGTTCTGCATCGGCTGTCAAACCGCGAGTTCTAGTATTCTGCTGACTTGGAGCTCACCTGGGGCTTCAAATCCCGGTGCGTAATCTTCATCTCATGAAGCTTTACCAATCCCTCCAGGAGCTGCTCGCACATCGTCCGCGCTGTTATCTCAGACATAGTACCAGAGAAGCACTGCGAGATGTCCCCGAGAGGACAATACTCCATCACGAGGCAGACATGGTTTGTGGAAAGAAACCAGCCGTGGAACTGAACAAAGAGGCTTGTTTCCTATATCGCCTCATCAGCAAGGCAGAGACATAACATCTCATATAATCGGGTATCATTACCTTTGAAACCCGGCCCATCAATTGCAGCTCTGAGAGATAGTGAGGCATGCTATTCTGCTTCCGAACAATCTGCTTCACAACACGCATCTCCCCGGACTGCGTGCGCTGCACGTAGACATTTTCTTTCAGGAAGCGCTGTTGTGTCCATATCTACATGGCTTTTCTGTGTCTGATCCCTCGACTGGGATCGGATTCGTAGTACACCTGGCGACAGCGGTCACCCTGGACGGTGATATCCAGCTGGAAGTGACGTGCGAAGTCGTCGTTCTCCATGGACGAATAGTTGAGATTACAACAGTTGATGACCAGAAGTAATTCAAACCATATTACCACTCGAACACAACGGATATCATAGTAACCCAGACCTGGTAGCCTGTCTATAGCCAACAGCGAAATAAGGGATCGTAGGTAGCAACACAGCCACTATCAAGTCACTGACTGGTCACCTGCTGCATTAGCGTAGCCTTGTTGATCCCCTCACTTTCCACCCTCTCACATTCCCCACATCTCTCCTTCAACTTGAACGAAAGAAGACAGGATGACAGACCCCATTAGCATCGCTGGCTTGGCGCTGGCCGTAGGGGGTACTATTACTGCCTGCCTGAAGTGAGTCTCATCTTTCAATGCTACCTAATACTCTGCTTATCCACTCGTCGATCGGCGATCCCACTATGGACCACTTCTGCAAGACTAGCGACTAATGGGAATAGATACGGCCGTCAATTGATTAAGCTTTGTCGCGATAGTCGACATCTAGAGGCTGGAATAGTCGACATAGTCCTAACGATCGAAGGTATCTGGATAAAAACAGAAACCCAACTCCAGTCCCTCCGATCCATATGGTCCTCCCTCCGCTCAGAGCTCCAGGTGCATTATACAGAAGCGCTGGAGAATCTAGAGATTAAACTCCTAGCAGCTATAAAAAGCGTCGATGCCTTCTGCGATGCAACAGACGTATCAGCCAGTCCGCACAAGAAGCTCCAGGCTCCATTCCTTTATAAACACCTCAAACAAGCTGTGGCGGACCTCGAAGGCTGGCAGCGTCGATTTGACCCCTCCTGGTACCTGATTACACGGATAACGGAACCGAAGGTCGATGCACGGCTCAAAATCAGCGATGAAGCTCAAGAAGAGACAGACCCCTCCATGGCCCGACTGACTCGCATGCGCGAGACCATCAAGCAGATCTCCTCTCCTGACCACACCGACACGACGGGCTCCATATTCAAAGACGCCTCCGTAGTGCAAACCTCCAGAACTCCGATTCCAGGAACAACCACGTTTCTCGCCTCATACCGTGGCGTGGACCAGCCCATCCTCCTCGATGGGACAAGGTACCCTGCGACTCCCACCGCACGCACAGCAAAAGCCTACACCCGCGACCTCGCCCGTCTTCTCGCAAACGTCGACCCCGAAACCTTCAGTTTGCTCAAGTGCGACGGCGTCATCGAGTTCCCCGAGAGTCCCAACAGCAGCCAATTCGAATTTATTTTCCCGATCCCACAGGGCCTTTCAAACCCGCGCACCCTCCGCTGTCTCCTTCTCGAACGCCAAACCTGCTCGCTCTCCCAACGAGTGCGACTAGCAAAGCAGCTCGCGCGGTCCGTGATGTTCGTCCACGCAATGGGATTCGTGCACAAAGGCATCCGTCCCGAAACAGTCCTAATCTTCACCGAAGACAACGCGGTACAACAGGCAAAACCACAACCTGCAACAGCAAATGCAAACGCAAACGCAAACCTCGGACCATCTTACCTCGTCGGTTTCGAGCGCACCCGCCGTGCAGATGGCCCCACCGACCTGCATGGCGACCGCGAATGGGCCCGCAACCTATACCGCCATCCGCAGCGGCAGGGCCTCTGGCCTGAGGACCTATACAGCATGCAGCACGACATCTACAGCCTAGGCGTGTGTCTTCTCGAGATAGCACTATGGCAGTCCTTCGTTTTCCCGCAATCCTCATCTTCTCCTCGGTCTGAAGAGCCGACGATGCCGTGGGAGGAGCTGGATATTGTTCACGCGATCAAAGATAAAGATCACAAGCGCGGCGGGTTCGCGATCAAGACGGCTTTGACTGAACTCGCAGAGAGGAGACTGCCGGCCCTTGTGGGTGATGTGTACACCGAAGTGGTGCTTACCTGTCTGGGATGTCTGGATAGCGGGGAGGAGAATGTATTCGGCACAGAGAGGGATTTAAGAGTCAGGCTTAGGGACGCGGATGGAGTGGTTGTCGGGGTCAGGTTTGCTGAGAATGTACCTTCTGTCCCCTTTGCTGTTTTGTCTTCTATTCTATTCGTGCTAATTTGTCTGCGTTTGTAGGTATTGCTGCGCATTGAGGAGATCTGTGTGTGATCTTCCAGCTCCATTGGGGTCTAATGACCCTGATTGTTGAAGGCCTTATTCAACTGTTCCTCGTCCAAGCATGGTTTTTCATACGACAATTGCATTGCAAAAAAAAAATATAGCGGGGACATCACATTCATAACTAGCAGAATTAGGCTGGACTATACACAGGATATCAAGACCATATATACACTGCACCTCACAAGCCTCACACATACGCCATCCACCCATACCATCCATCATTACATGATTATAAATACATACAAGCCTCAATTAAAAACTCAGCTCGACTTCTTCCGACTCCTAATTTTCCGCGCCGGCGGACTAACACTCACCTCCTGCATCTCCTGCAGTCGCGCGACCGGACCCACCGACGACCGCGTCTGTCTGCGCGTAGTACGGGGCGGCAAGTCCTTCTGCACCCACCCGGAACCCCGCGGCAGACGATGCGATTTCGCAAAGTCCACGTCGCTTCCTCCGGGGGACGCGAGCGGGCTGGACTGAGTTAAGTCGACGAAGACGCCTGATTCTTGGGTGGGAGGTGGCTGGGCATCGACCATGCTGTCCGGAATGGATGTTATCAGTGAGTCCTCTTGGGATTGAGCAGTTTTCCTGCGCTGGGAGGATCTGCGGGGGGCTTTTCGCGCGGGTGGAGTCGACGCTGATGTTTCTGCTGCTTGGGAGCGTTTTAGGCTCCTGCGGGTGCGTCTTTGGGAACTAGTACTATCCGGTTCGGTGTCTTCGTGTTGCTTGTCGATTTCGTAGAATGGGTTGGGAACGACGGACGTGGTTGAGGAGGGGGAAGCTGGCCTGGGGGAGCAGGGTTTTTCTTCATTGGGTTTGGTCGTGTCGCTCTCCGATGGCTCCTTTTCGTGGAGACTGCTGATCAGGCGACTGAACGATACCACGCTTCCCGGGCTGCTCATCATCTGTAGGTCGTCGTCGGAAGGCATCGTCGGCGGGTCGACCTTCGATCGGTTGGGGGGAACAGTAGAGTGCGAGTCATCCTTTTGGTTTTGACTCTGAGGTCCGTCTGGGTTCTCGCCGGGTTCAACCACAGCTGGCTCAGCTTGCGAGTCAGGGGCCTGGGGCTCCGTGTTGGTGTCAGACTTGGACGACTCCGGTGGCGGTGGTGACTCGAAGCCCATGAATTCAGGCGATCTGACCGGACTGGTCGGGGCCGACCTCTCGCCCCCAACATCCAACCGTTCCTCATCACCATGATCCTGCATCATACTAGACTCCAAGACCTGCGAATCATCCACCAAAACATCCATCGCACTGACGAATTCCGACCCCGTCGGGCTCGACTCGCGGACTGAAGGCGTCACGCATGCGGGGGTGGTTCTGGCTGGTGTGAGCGCACGAACGCGAGTCGACAGTGAAAGAAAATCATTGTACTGACATGCTGGCGTCCCCAGCCTCCCCGGGGTCTGCGCATTCAGCAGCCCGGAGAAGCTTGGGGTCAATCAGATCCCCGAACGATTTCTCGCGGAATCCGTCGTCTTCAGCGTCTTCGTCATATCCGGGCATCTCGAAGCCGCTGTACTCGGGCTCGTCGTCTTCGTCGTCCTCGGTTTCGCGGATGGCCTTGCGATCTCGCGCGGCGAGGCGGAGGTTGAATGCGTTGTCTAGAATGTCGTGGACCTCTGCGACGCGGTACTCGGACACGATGGGCTGCCAGTTGGTCGCTTTCGACATGTCGAGTTCTTTGTATGCGATCACTGCGCCTTTCTTCACGTCTGTCTCGACAAGAGCTGGAAGAGAGCTCGGGTTCTCAGGCATAGAAGGCAGATCCTCTTCCGTCTCTGCGGGCTGTTCAGTCCCCTCCATGACAGCATCACCGTTCTCCAGGCCAGCCTCGTCGTAATTGAGTTCCGTATTTCCCTCCTCGTAGCCTTCACCGTTCCCGTAGTCCTCGTTCCAGTCTTCATTCCCGTACTCATACCCCTCATTCCCATAGTCCCCCTCCCAGTACCCATCTCCGTTCTCATAACCACCATTCCCATAATCCTCCTGCACCTCATACTCCTGCGTCTTCTGCTTTCTCCTCCTCTTCTTACTCGGTCCCTTCAACTGCTTAATCCGATAAGCAGCCTCGCGGTCCCAGCGCTGCTCAAACGGGTAAGGCGGCGCCGTCAGCTCAACATCATCGAACACGCACTCCGTTGCTCTAACAATCAGCTTATCCTCCCAGCTGCCCTCATCATCACTAACAACAGGTGTCGGTTCAGGCTTTTCAACAGCCAGCTGACGAGGCAGGAAATGGTTGACTTTTCCAGCGAGCTTTTTCCGCGTCTTTTCCTCGTCCTCCTTGGACTGCGGCGTTCGCACGCCCAGCGACCCGAAGACCATTCGTCGAGAGCTGGCGACGTCTAGCGTGCGTCGCTTGGAGTGCGCTTCTTCGGGCCCCTCGTCCTCATCCTCCTCCTCCGATGGGGTAGACTCCGCGGCGGATTGTTCCGCACGCTGTGTGCTTTCTTTCCGGGTGGATTTCCGGGGCGCCTCGTTCTCTTTCCCGATAGTGCTGGTTGTAGTGGCAGTCTCGGAGATATCTACCCCGCCGGAGGCAAGATCCCGAAGGAGCTTCTGCCGCCGGGCCTCGAACTCAGCCTGTTCCTGCTGTTTCTTGGTCATGGTAGTTTCGTCCGTGTAGTACTGGTGGCCGTGGAGTTCCTCGAATTCTCGCAGAGCGGTGAAGTCGGCTTCTGCGGATAGGGCGCCTAGTTCTTTGAGTTTGGAGAGGCGGCGGCGTAGCTTCGTGCGCAGGTTGCTCTTTTTTGTTCGTGTGGAGCCTCGGCCGGGTGGGTTGGTGGTGGTTTTGCGGAGGGTGATTTTTGTTTCTGGGGCGGTTGTAGAGTCGGAGTCTGAGTCGGAAGAGTCAGATTCCGATGATGATGATGATGACGTGTCGGTGACGGAAGTGGACGCGTTGGAGTTGGATTGGGCGCTGGCTGAGGAATCGGAGTCGGAGTCGGAGTCCGAGCTTGAGGCGCTGGAGTCGCTCGCGGATGAATCGCTGGAGCTGTTTGCTGATTCCTCGTCGGATGTCGATCCGGCCTTGCTCACGAGCCGTTTCTCAGGCTGTGGGGCCGGGGACTTTTCTTTTTGGACCTGGCCCTGGCCCTGGAACCGGACCGCTTTGGAGTCCCGACGAGAGCTATCGTCTGCGACGTGCTTTGAGAGAGAGCTCTTCCGAGCCTTGGGCTCGGCCTCGCCCGCTCTCGCGCGCAGCTGATAGGGGCCAGTATGTGGTGCTTGGTTGAAGTCGACGACGCCATTAGCCGCCAGTTGCGACAGCTCCATCTCCTCCTTAAGACCTTCCAGTTCGTCCACCATGTCTGTGCCTTCTAACTCGGAGATATCTTCAGACGGGTGTTCACTGCCGCTTTCTTGGGCATCTCCGTAGTCTTCCAAGTCATCTGCCGGGAGGCCACTCGCGCCTTCGTCCAGCCTATGGTGGATGACAGTCGCGTCGCCCGCATCCGGGTCCTCTTCCCTGGTGCGATCCCCGTTGTCATGATAGTCCTCGAACTCGTCCTCGTAATGGTCATTTCTCTTCTGGTGGACAGCATGACTCGGCCGTATGACAGAAAGCTCCTGTGACCGCGAAGGCGCACCAGGGTGCCACTCCACGTCCTCATCTCCGTAGGCAAGTCGATTCTCCCACGCCGCGTGGGTTGTCCGTCTCCTCTTCCGCGGGGGGATAGTAATCGCCGGACGAGAGGCAGTCGACCGTTTCAAAAACGGCTTTCCGAAAGGCACCCCATCGATAAGGTGTTTACCGTCATTCGAGATCTGATGACGCCCTGATAGCCGACGGGCGCGCAAATCCGCAACCTCTAGTGCCCGGATCCTAGATAGACAGGTAGATTAGAAACAGCCCAGCAAATACCAGTACCAGAGTACGGCTCACACAACTTCATCCCCGTCTCGGAGAAGACCCTCGACCTCCATGAAATGCAGACACTCGGACCCGCCCGTCTCAACCACATAGTCCTCTAGACCCCACTGCCCGCTGTATTCATCGTCGAACAAAGCCGGCTCGGTCTCGAGCGGAATCACCTCGTTGACATCCTCCAACAACTGCGCGACTGTATACCCCCCGACGAGTATAGCGCGTTGGGCGCCCGCGACGAGGTGACCGCCGACGAAGCGGCCGGAACGCCAGATGAGGAGCGACCCGCGTAAAGCGACGGCGGTGCAGTCGTCCAGAGGATTCGCGTCACGGGGAGACCGTGACGCTGGATGACGAGGTGTAGACGCATCGCGGGGAAACCAAGAGCCTGCTCTTTCTATCTGTCGTGTTACTGGTCTCTAACCATGAGCAAACAATTGCGGTGGGGACTGGAATGGAGTGGGCAATTGAGATCTGTGATGCGACTGCTAGCAGCTCAAGTGCTTGCGCTCTGGACGTCGCGGAAGAATAGGAAGAGCGGTGAAAAAGAGCTAGCTGCACGAGGGGGGTAGCATGGAATTTAGTAGAAAGCCAATATTATGAAGGAGCAGCGACAATCATGTTTTGAGCTAGCTTAACTCAAAAGACGTGTCGGCGAGCCAAGAAGTGAGACGGAGACCAAAGCTCGCGACGAGAGAAGTTCGCAGCCCGAGATCTTCGCCGCTAAGCCGCTTCGGGTGTGGCGCCTGAGGCACGCATCACGGTTCGATCAAAACAAACAATGATCCTGCTATTGATTGTGGGGATTGACCATTTTCTTTTGATGTGACTGCTACAGCTAGCTCAATACTACAGTAGAGCACAAGGTTGCGTTTGGCGTGGAAAGCCGGATTGTATTCCACCTATCACGACTAAGGATATGATCAGTATGCAAGTACAGCCGGAATAACGAGAATGAGTACAATCCAATGATTGCCAATGTTGTAGACCGAAAAGTGGAATATTATTAACAATGTGAGATAACGAGAGTAAAAATAACAGTAAAAATAAAATAAGAACCATAACGCCAGGCGATGCATGCGCGCTTTCGAGTCACAGTGTGACATGATCATGATTGGTGGAATGGTGGCAGGTGGGTATGGAGGATTGTGCAGCGTCAATGCAGGCCGTGTCTGGCTGCCACGAGCGACGCAGTAGTACCGTCCTCGCATGAGACAAGACTCGTGAGGACAGAACATCGTATGTGATCCTTCAGAAGGCAGCTCGAGCTGGAGTAGCTGCTCGGATTTATAGAGGTCTAGGTCTAGTTAGGACTTAGGAAGCTTGTCGTCCGCTGGGACTCCGGGGAACGGGTTTCCGACTGGGAACTCCCAAGTTCATGGCCCGAATATCCCCTCTAGATGGTCTTTGCCCCGAAGACGGAGGCCGCTGGGTGCCATCCTCCGCGATGGTCTGATACTGCGGGGGACTCTCCTCTGGTGGGGCGACCTTGTGGATCTTGAGAATACTCTGCTGGCGCGCGACCGGAGACGTCGGGGGCGAGTTGGACTGGGACTCTGGTGGTGTCGACGGAAGCATGTCAAAGCTCTCCGTGGATGAATTCGCTCCAGGGTTGCCGTAGGGCGACCGGGCCTCAGGTTCCTTTCCCGCGTGACCTGACGGTCTTCGATCAGCTCCAGGTTCAACGGGTCTGCTGGAAGTGTCTGGTGGGTTATACTCGCGACGTGGGCCATCCACAGGGCTCAGAGTTTCAGCCATCGCGTCCTCGTAGCTTGGGGGTGCTTCATCGTTGGCATCTTCCGAATTGACGGGAACCGGTTGTGCGCTGGGCGGCCGGGGTGGCATAGGGGGGCGTCCGCTGGGGCCGTCATGATCTCGCCGAACAGGTGTCGGAGGTGGCACCGTCGGTTTCACACGTCCAGTTGCGGTCATGGAATCCAGGAGGGCTTTAGGAGGGGCAATTCCAGAATACACCTTGACCGGCATTCGCAGTGGTAGTACGATAAGTTGCGGCTTTTGAAGTCAGTAAATGGTATGGACGGAGAAAGGGAGAATCCGGGGTGATAACGTTGACATACCCTCATGCTACCAATACTGCCATAAGTCAACCCCACTCGCACCTCAAGCTCGTAGCTCCGCGAGACGTTGCATGTCTCGAATGTGGGAGCCACTGAGTCTGGTAAAGGAATACGGTTCCACAGGCTAGCGTCTAGGGCCCATTCAGTGCCGACCGGGTCACCCCCTCTCCCCAGAGGGACGGCCATATTACTGCGACTAAAGATGACCCAGCTCCCGGGCTCTGTTCGCCGTAAGTCGTGCGCGAGAATGTGAGTATACGAAATCAAGTCAATTTGCAGCATCTGCAAGAATATCGTCTCGTAGGTCTCGGAGGCTTTGGAAACCAAAATCCGTAGCGGAATGGGCTCGTTACATGTCAAGATTGGCGGATTCGGCAGTCTTAAGTCCACAGACACGCGTGGCAGCTGTGCCTCAGAGTCCCGGAGGGACGAGCTAGAGATTTTTTGAAACAATACTTTCGCCTTGGACGTGGTCGGTGGTTTGGCGAACTGGCTCTGACGCCGCGCGTACGTCTCCTCATTCGCATCGCCTATCCTCGGTGGTTCAATCGGTAGGAAATTGAAATTCGTGATCTAGCAGTGGTCAGTCGAGCTTCGAAAATCCACCCCCGTGCGTAGTATAAGACGGCGTACCTCGCGGATATTTTCGCGATAGAACTCGGGTCGAATGACCGTCACTTTGACATAGTATTTGATGTCGGCTTCCCCGGGGAATCCACTCAAAGAAGGAGGCAGGGTCTTCTTGACGTGCCGATTCGTATCCCGCGCCACCTCGACCTTGAGACCCGTGATATTCAAGTTCGTGAGCATGCTATTGTGCATGCTACAGGCATTGTTGAACGGGAACTGCGCGAAATACATCAGCGCGAGCACTGGACAAACATAAAGTAGGGGAACACTACCTTGAAGTGGAAGGGATACTCGTACGTCCCCGCGGCAAAGGTGTACGTCGTCCCCGGAGACTTCTGATTGAAAACACCGGGCGTAGGGAAGACGCTTTCTACTTTGTACAACAGCTACTCCACGTCAGCTGCGATCATCACTATAGCAGACCCTCCGCAGATTATCCAGTCCGCACCTTGTGGACCTCCAATTCCGTCCGTTTCTTATCGGATTGTTCATGGTGGGGATGTCGCGGCCCCGACAGGCGCGTGCGACTCTCGCCCTCGAGCTTCACCTGAATGCCCTCGATAGGAGTCTCCGACGGCAAATTCAGGACAACCTTGCCGGAAAGGAAGTCGAGATTGGTGAAGTGGGCGTGAGGCCGATCCAGGTGGATGGTGACAGACATGGCGAGCACCCGCACCGGGCGGACCTGTCGATCGGCGGCGCTGTTGCTGGTTCAATCGGAAAGGAAGGAGTTTTTAAAAGCGACTGTCCAAACACTAAAAGAATCGATCTCGAAAGTCAAAATTAATACCCTTAAAAATGAAGAGTGGGGAATGGGGAGGGTTAAAAGTATTTCCTCCACAAGAGGATGGACGGGAATAAGCCGAGAGAAATACGAGGGGGAGAAGAATGACGTTGAGCACCACAGGGGACAGAAGGGCCAACCGTGGGGCCCAACCCGCGCCTAGAACGGCCCGGCGTTGGAGCTGACAATCTAACACACATATTCTATATAAATAAATTGATAAATTTTTGAATATTTATCACAATTAAAAATGATCAGGCTGTCGATCATGAAAAAAAGGCACAGTAGACATGTACAACACCCAAATGTCATACGACCAAATCGTACATAGTAAGGCACGAACCGTCAACAGTGACCGTCAAGCCAATGACTTCCCAGAAGAAAGGGATGATCAGCAGTGGCAGGGCTCGGTCGGTGGATACAGGTCAAAATTCCATTTCCCGTCTATTCCATTCTCTTCTGGGTCCGGGGTTTCTGGCTCAGCCACTCTCGGCTTGTTCTGATTAGGACCCATAGAATTTCTACGGGGATCCGGTTTGCACCGCCACCCTCTTATCACAACCCCGGTAACGCGCGGAATCAGGTATCCCCCAAACGGCGTCTTGGATCGATCCAGACCAAAGCAGCATATAGCCCGAAAGAGGTGGACCATCACGGATGGGGCATCGCATCCACTGCCCATTACCGTCTCTCCGCAACGAGTTGGGCGCGGCCAAGCTTCCAATGCAGACCTCGCATATAGGCATCAGAGTTTCTCCCCAATTCTCCCAATAGTTCTCCCTTCACAGCCCTTCCTTGGCAAGCATGTCTGAGACACGAGTTGTCAGCCACATCGTCATTTGCACGATACATATTACCTCTTTCAACATACCAGCTATGTCAAGATAGAACGCAATAGCATTGAATCTACAGATACGGAAATCTCACGTTAGCATAGGCCGTTGGAAAACCATCAAAGAACTCACCTTCGTCGGTTGCCTGTGATCTCCCCAACCAACCACTTCAACCGGTTGGTCCAGTTGATCAGGTCCAGGTGGCTGACGTCGACCAACGTGCCCTTGTAGCCGTGCGGTCCTCCCCACCGGCTACTAGCCACGCTGACAAGCCCGTCATTGTAGCCCTCGATCTGCTGAAGGATGCGGTGGGACAGGCGGAAGACGGACCACAGTTTCGGCTGCATAGCCGCCCCGTAGGAAAAATACCTGCAATTGGTTTAGCAGCCAGCCCTACAGCCGTGTGGTGGACTTTCGAAAAATACGTACCGCACATCCTCAATGTCAGGGGTAGCGGGGTTGAACGTATTCTCCATGTACTCGCGCGTCAGCTGGGAAAATGCCCCAGTCTCGACTTTCAGTTGCTCCAGGGCGTAGTACATCTGGGCTAAGCGATCGCCTGCCGAGAGTCAGGATTGGTGTCAAGTTGAGCGTGCCAGGCAACCAACCTCCAATTTGGCTGAATGCATAATCCGCAATCGAGGATCCTGGGAGGTTTAGCCAGTGCTTTTGCCCAACTAGAAAAAACAAACCTCTGTGGGGAGTCGCTATCGTCGTCAAGGATAACACCTTGAAATCTGTAGGCTTCAAGCGACTGATCATGTACCGGGAATCCAGTCCACTTGATAATTATCAACACGAGGCACACTGAAAGATTTGTGATTAAGGCACTTTCTCACCCCTAACAACTCAATTAGTAAATCGACTGGCTGAAGTAAACATGATCATGCTATTTACCATGCTATGACTGTAAATTGCTCTCCGTCAGAAAATGCAATAGCAGTACAGAGATACCAGCACATACGCAATAATATTAACACTCTTCCCCCGCGCACCAACAGCGATGTCTTTCGCCAGCTCCTCGGCGCGCATCTCAATAGAGCCTGACGGGGGACCGTCGCGGTAATGACCTCGACCCCTTTCATTGACAGGGCCTCCGTAATCCCACGCCAGTACTGGACACCAGGGAGATACCGTCCGGCCAGGCGCAACGTATCGAACCCGAAGAGGCCATGCGCCAGAACAACAGGATTCTTGGGGGCATCTACACAGCATGTCATCAAGCAATTCGCCAAATCAACAGCATCTGAGGAGCGCTAGATAAAAACCAACCATAACTATCCCGCACCACTGCATATTCATCACGGATAACTTTTCCCAGGTCTTCCAGGCGGGGATCCAGTTGCGCTTCCGAGCGCAAGGTGCTGGAATGGAAGCTCCGGGTTGGGCAGATTAGACGATAATGCGAGGGCCCGGCTCTGGCGTTGACAGATCTGACACTGGTGCAGATCCTGGTAGCACCGAGCTTCATCATCGTCCACTGCTTATTGGTATTGTGCGAAGTACATGAAGGCAAATAGTCGCGTTCCGTCGGCGATTTATTTGCGGCCGTGTCCGATGACGCAACGGCCGCCATGTGATGCCTGAGGCATATATGCATTCAGGAGCTTATGGTCGTTACTACCACACTCAATAACCGGATTATAGACAATCCTGTCTTGTTACTTTTCTACATATTAGTATCTATCGTCTAGTATTTTATTCACATCATACACCTTCAACAACTTTCTAGGGAAAACCCCCCCATGTAGTCATAGTATATCAATTAACATAGAAGTCGACGACCATATCAAACAGCAAAACAGTATATTCACAATCGTTAAGCTGGAAGCTGAAAAGAAGCAAGATTCACCCACGCCGCAAAACAAATGGCTCGCATTTCTATTTGACGAGAATCTTCTCCGACGGCTCGGGCTTCACGTCCGACAGCGCATAGATGAGGTCCTCCACGACCTTGCTCCCCTTGTTCTTTCCGGCGTCCTGGATCTCCTGGAGCTTCACCTCGGCTTCCTTGTTCGCGTCCTCTTCGGCCTTCTTGTATCCGCTCGAGTGCTGTAGATGGATTAGCGTCTGTTCCGTAGAGTATAACCTTGACTCTCTTGTGAATTGAGCAAGGCGACACGAAGATTCCAGCCAGGGAGTCAAACCTCAGTCTCGAACTTCTTGAACTCATCCTCCTTCTGGCTCTTGTACTCTTCGATCTCCTTCTGTGCCTCCGCCTTGGCGTCCCTTATCCGCTTCGTGCGGTCTGTAGCATATCAGGATGGGCTCAGTAAATAATAGGTCAGGTAAGCGTACACTCTCTAGCTAAAGACACAACAATAGTTAGCACCGACCACCCAAACCTGAATTCACAGCACGACCCCTCCCCGCATCACGGACATACCTTGCTGAACAATCTTCTGAGCCTCTCTCTCAGCCTGCACCACACAGTCAACGCACAGTCCCTACCCAGATAGCATCCCAAGAAAGACCTACATCGAGGAGGGTCTGAATCCCTGCGGAGTTTTGAGCGGACTTAATAACACCAACACATTAGCACAACTCTCATCCTCTCATCCACCCGCACCCCCACCCCAACACGCAAACAAACTCACCATATTCACCAACAATCTCTCTCCCAAGTAACAGCGTAGAATACAAGGCGAGGTCGCAACAGCAAATGCAAATAAAGCGAAGTAGACCACAAAGTCGTAAAGCTGGAGCTGACGATATGACTTCCCCGACGCCACGATGGCCCGCTCCCTCCCCTGGGCGGTCTGTATTCTGCCGTCTGCTACCGCCGCACGCGATAAACGGTCATGCCGGTTGGATTTGTTCCGGTCATCAATCTGCGCCGGATTGCATTTGTTCTTCTACGGTCTTTTATTTTTGCATATACTTAGCGCTGTGTCGGATTCCTGGTCTGCTACCATGTCTCGAGCCTCCAAGTTAACATTGGCCTGCACCGGCCTCGGCACAGCCGGGATCGTCTACTTTGTGCACTGGTCTCAGGTGCAAGAGAAGGCTGTACGTACTCCTCCTCATACCACCACTACTACTGCTGCTACTACCACATTCGCCTTTCATTTAAGTCATATCCAAGCTAATACATGTCTCCTAGGCCATGCATCGCGGCGTCGAACGCGACGTCGAAAAGCAGCGCGTCCGCCTCGAACGACAAGCCGACTTCGACATGCAAAAGGCGCTCGAGGAGGAGTACCGGAAAATGCAATCTGTATCGCCTAGCGGGGCGGGGCCAGGGACAGGGTCAGGGACAGCAGGGGCATCGAATTCGTGACCTGGTTGGGACTGGCTGGACAGGACGGCCGGTGGTTGTGTGATTATAGATGCTCGGCGCGGTGCTGTCATGCGGTGCTCGGCCGGGCTTAGACTTGTATATTATACCCGGATGTACATTATGTGATAAATCTACTCTTACGATATTTGAACATGGTTGATTGCAGTGTTTGAGGTGGGAGGGGTGGAAGGGTGATCCACAATGTCAAATGAGTATCAAAAACATGGTCTGATGCCATGTACTGTTAGTGGTGTTTTTGGTGAAAGGCTAGGTCAGAGCTGAGGCAATGGGAAAGCCCTTGCAACTAATAGTGATAAAAGAAAACCAGAAAATGTAGTCGTATTTGAATCAAAGGCATGGATACACAGTATGGCGCAATATATATAGATCTCAGCTTTTCGCCAAATCAAACACTTACTATAAAGCTACAGAACAAACCTTCCTCAAGCCATACAAATGCACCACAATTCATAACTACTACCTATTATTAGTTAGGATCTGCAGTATTCAAACGCTCGGTTGTCCATGAAAGCTGGATCGCTGGCTAGGCCGCAACCTCGGCAATTCACGCGAGACTAATCGTCTCCGCATTTCACCCGCCAAATCTATACTCTACTTACCCCGTACTTATACACTCCATGTTCATCAATCCATCTCACTACAAACAAATTGAACCCATTTAAACAACAAATCCAACCTCAATACCAATCATCCAAGCGAACAACATGTCCCCCCCATCAGACACATTCCAAGGCTGGGTCGCCCACGACGCCACCAGCCCACTCACATACACAACCTTCCAACCCAAACCCTTCACGCCCACCGACATCGAAATCCGCGTCTCGCACTGCGGAATCTGCGGCACAGACATCCACACTCTGCGCTCAGGCTGGGCGCCAACCAACTACCCCTGCGTCGTGGGGCACGAGATAGTCGGGACGGTCGTGCGCGTGGGATCAGCCGTGCCAACACTAGAGTCATCTCCGGCCTCGCGCGAGATCAAGCTCGGCGACCGGGTAGGCGTCGGCGCGCAGAGCGGCGCGTGTCTGCGCAAAGCAGACTGCGAGGCGTGCGCGGACGGCGAAGAGAGCTACTGTCCGCGCATCGTGGGCACGTACAACGGGCGGTATGCCGACAAGAGCAAGTCGTGGGGCGGGTTCGCGACGCTGTGGCGCGGGCCGGCGCATTTCGCGTTCAAGATCCCTGATGCGTTGCCGAGCGCTGAGGCTGCGCCGCTGCTGTGCGGTGGGGTGACTGTTTATGCGCCGCTGCGGAAGTATGGGGCTGGGGCTGGGAAGTCGGTGGGGATTGTGGGGATTGGTGGGCTGGGGCATTTGGGGGTGCTGTTTGCTAAGGCGATGGGGTGTGAGCGGGTGGTTGCGATTTCGAGGTCGTCGGGGAAGAAGCGCGATGCGGTTGAGGGGTTGGGGGCTGATGGTTTCATTGCGACGGGGGAGGATGAAAATTGGGCGAGGACCCATGCGAAGTCGTTGGATTTGATTATTTGTACTGTGTCTGGGCCGGATATGCCGCTCACGGGGTATCTGAGGCTGCTCAAGAGGGATGGGGTGTTTGTGCAGGTGGGCGCGCCTGAGGAGCCGCTGCCTCAGTTGATGGCGTTTTCGTTGATCCAGAGGGGTGTCAAGGTGACGGGGTCGAATATTGGGTCGACGGAGGATATTCGGCAGATGCTGAAACTGGCGGCGGAGAAGAGGGTGTTGCCGTGGATTCAGAAGCGGCCTATGGAGGATGTTAATGCAGCGTTGGCTGATATGCACGAGGGCAAGGCGAGGTATCGTTATGTGTTGGTGAATGACGTGGGGACGCAGGCTCGTCTATAGTTATGGGACAATTCCGTATATAGTTGGCATTTACCCACATAATGCCGAGTGACAGAATATGGATATACTCATGATATCGATCTAACCCAGCCAGGCAAGAAATACGAATCAAAATGATCGTCATGTAGTCAGGGCTTAAATACGCGTATCCACGTCCGGCTCTCGGGAAATGTCCGGCTAGATCGAGGTTGAACATCGTCTTTACCCGATTCGGAAATGGGTACGAGATATACGATAGCGCGGATCCATCGCATGTCAATTGATTCTGACCCGACAATGAAGTTTCAGAGTTGCCTGGATGGATGGATTGCTAGTGTAGAAATATTTAAGAGTGTCTTGCTCGCTCATGTTCGATCTTCATCGAGTGTCGAGTCGAAAGTGCAGAGCTGTTGTTGATATCGTCACTTGTCTCATACGATAGTACTATAGACATCAATTCACCATGTCAGGCGCAGATCATGGAGGCTGGAAGGCGTACGAGTACTACCCTTCCAAAGCAGCAGCCGTGGTTTTCATCATTCTCTTCTTGGCGGTATCCCTGCTTCATTCATACCAATTGACCAGGACGAGGACGTGGTTCTTCATCCCCATGGCTATTGGTGCCTGGTGTGAGTGCCCCTCCTGTTGGAACTACATCCATAACTGACCATGCAGTCGAATTCGTCGGGTACATAGGACGCGCCATGTCATCGTCGCAATCCCCCAACTGGACGATTGGTCCATATGTCATGCAGAGCACGCTATTGCTAGTCGCCCCGGCGCTCTTCGCCGCGAGCATATACATGGAGCTGGGCCGGATCATCACACTAGTCCGGGGCGAGAAGCTAGCAATTATCCGAGTCAACTGGATGACCAAGATCTTCGTCGCTGGTGATGTGCTCAGTTTTTTGATGCAGGCATCAGGTCAGACCATATAACTTGCTGTGCCGCTGGGATATCGCTAACGAGGCGCTATTAACAGGAGCCGGAATCATGGTCACCGATAACCGGGCCACTGGCGAGAACGTCATCATCGGCGGCCTATTCGTCCAGATCGCCTTCTTCGGCTTCTTTCTGATCAGCGCGGCCCTGTTCCAAATGCGCATTGGGAGCCATCCCACCGCAGAGTCCGTCGCTGACTATATCCCGTGGCGGAAACACCTCTTTGCGCTGCATGCGTCGAGTATCCTTATTCTGATCCGGTCTATTTTCCGCGTTGTCGAGTATCTGCAGGGATCAGAAGGGTATTTACTTTCGACGGAGGTGTTTATCTATGTGTTTGATGGGCTGCTGATGTTCTTTGTGTTGGTAATATTTGTCGTTATTCACCCGAGTGAGGTTAATTGTCTCTTAGGGAGGAGTCGTGTGATGACGGCCAAAGGGGGTCTGAAGATTTGCGAGATTTCGGTAAATGTTTAGTAGAGTGAGATTGTGTGTGGTGGCCGGTACGGCGAGTGTACCATGAGCGAGGAAGCAAATTCTTCCGGGAAAGGTTGCGTTTCGAAAACCTATAGATAGCCTTGTTTTGTAGAAATTGCTGGACCAAGTGAGCCATGCAAATGAGATTTATTCCGCCGACGACTCGAAGTTTTGTCCAAAAATCTCCGTCATAGGTTCCCGGATGTGTACCCTCCAGGAATCATCTAATATCTTCCATATAGCCTTGGGAACTCGCTCGTCCCATTGATCAAAACACCAGTCATACTTCAGGCGATGGAGCACCGCACAGTAGTGGACCAGGATTACCAGAGGGAAGGGCCGATGTTCACGGGCCAGGTCGACGAATTCCGGTCTCAGTTTAATAGCCCACCTGGCAGCAACAGGCACCGAAGTCAACCCGCTAGACACGGCAGCCATCATGTCCGCCAGATTCTCGATGACATTTTCGTAGAGCGAGATGCTATGCGTCGGGTCCTGAGCGCCGCAGTCGCGGTTCAATTTGGACAGCCGCTGGATCACGGCACGGGCATCATCCGGCGGGGAGGGATCATACGGATCGAACTGCAAAAGCTCGTCCCAGTCGGTACTCCGAATCCAAGAAGTCGCCTGGTTCAAGAGTTGCTGCACGCCGCGAGCCAGCAGCAGAACCTGGAGCAGACCGTCGACACAGGACCATGGGTCTGCCGGGTCGGGGGTCTGAGGGAACCCAAACGTGTAGACAACGACAATACCCGCGAAGGAGAACATCGCTTTTGCGTTATCCTCGGTGATATTGTTCAGTAATTGGCGGAAAAAAGTCAGTGCCTGATGTTGGTGCGCGACAGCGGTCCTGACATATGACTCGTGTCGTTGGTCGTCTCTCGTGCGCGCGATATGGAGCGCAGAAAGAGCCAGAATGCCGTGCATCAGGAATGTGTGAGACAGGGCTTCCTCCGGCACACGGAAGCGCCAGATCGACTCTGTCCTGGTGTTTCGGGATAGGGTCTGATGCGTTGAGTTGCACCACTGCATCATCAACTCCAAGTCCGAAAGGTTCAAGCTGGCGGGAGATTGGGATGCTCTGTCATCCCCGCCAAGTCGTCCCAATATGTCGAATGAGTTATCGGGCGTTAAGTGAGAATCTAACTGTGCGAGCCCTTCAAGATCGGAACTGGCAGACCTTGGCTGCGGGAGACGTTCTTCATTCGTCCATAGAAGGGAGCTTGCAGATTCATATTCACACTCTGTCTGGCGTTTGGAGCAGTTTGAACATGTCGGGCGGGTCTCATCGCACTGTATAGATTAGATATGGGTGGCGATTATATGGTTCCTGGAGGACAATACCTTCACTCTTCTCCGCTTGCACTCCGCGCACCCGTGGCGGGATTTGCGATGAGGTCGTCGGACGGCCATCAGCTGCCACTGGAGGTCGTGTTCATCATTTAGGGATAGTACAGTATGGTTAAAGGATAAGGATGAGAGACAATCTATCTATAAGTTCTGTAGAAGGAAGATGAGCAGGCAGATGCATACAACGTGACGCCAAGACGCCGTGTTGTTCTAGTAGGAGAGTGAGCGCGGTGAGCTTGTGGGGTGAGTGAGCCGTGGAGTCTCTTGATCCGCCAAGACTGGTTCCCTCAACAACAAACAATGCGAGGAATATCTAGACTTGGCCGGATTTTTATAAGCGGTATTCTATGGCAAAGCAATGAACGAGCGCCGGTGGATGAGGTACAGAGGCTCGATAAATTTGATTGAAAGACTTTTAATCAAGTATTTGATCAATTGAATTCTAGACAAGACAATATAACAATATATATATCTACACCTCGAGAGTATGTATGGGAATATACCACAAACAGAGTTATACTCAAACACCCGCAAATCATTTATGACCGAACGCTTGACGCGCCGTAGTTGACTGCTTGAAGATCTTCAAAGTTGATAGACTGTATGTACTTCAATATATACTCTTGACCGTCCGCCCTGCAGGAGGTATAAGCAAGTATACGTGAGAAGGTTCAGTGCCGACCCACGATGCTCGATAGACTTGACGTGGTCGAGAGATTATCTCCTGTAAAACATGTTCAATGATGTAGGAGCGACCAGATAGGCCCGTATGCTGGACTCGCTAAAAGGAGAGGAGCTCGTAGTGCTAACACTAGAGGTAGAGTGTGAGGATTTCATGAAGCCCTCCAATCCATGACTCGGGAAGACATGCATGTTGTGAGAGAAGGCAATCGGCCAACACGTCAGCTGACTTGCAGTGTTATTCCCACGTAAACCACACAAAACAGTTGTTTTGACTATTCTATGTCATTTGAAAGTATTCGTACTATTCGCAACCTTTTCATAGTTTCAAAAATCATGTCCATATACACTCAAGACGCACTCATTGATCATACAACTTGGGTGATAACAGCAAACGAAATGCATTGCAAACTGAACTATCTACACATGGTATCTCATAAAACAACATAACATAAAAAGAAAGACGAGGCGGTATTTATCCACCACCACCGCCGCCGCCGCCGGCGCCGCCGCTGGCCGAAGCTTGGCGGCGTCTTGCGCTCTCGTACAACCCCAGCACGGTAATTAGAGCCATGACCTCAAACTCTTTCCCATACTCCGCAGTAACTCGGAACTTGCCCGACTTCTTCAAGCTCATCACGGTACTCGAAAACAGTCCCACAAGACGTCCAGTCCGGTCGTCCACGAGCTTGAAGTTGGTGCCACAGAGCCCGGAAAAGGATTCGTCAATACCGACGGAGCGCGTCTGCTTCCAGACAAAAGCCTGCCTGCCACTCGGGAGGTTGATATGCCACCGGTACCTCTCGTGCATGACGCTTTGGGTGGCGACCATCTCCCAGTCCATTTTGTTAGGATTCTGCGGGTCTCCCAGGCCGACGTGGAAGCGTCGCGAAAAATATTTGTACTTGCAGACCGCCACGGTCGGCGCGGTGTTGTCGGACCCCGCATGGAGGGTTAGGTCGGGCTTTTTGGGTGTCCACACAGAATTATCCACATAGTATAGTTGATGCTTGTCAGCGGTTGTGATGTTGTAATGGTTTTGCCAGTAGGTGTTGTACACATGGTAGAGATGAGATTTGCTCTCTGGTAGATCCTCTGGTGTACTGTCGATGGAGGACGTTGGGTGGTGCTTTGTGTAAGCAGGCAGAGCCGGATCGTGCTTGGAGGAGTCCATGATTCTGTGTTGATAATCTTCAGGAATGAGGGTAGAAGATGACCGCCGTCAGCTACAGGCGGGGACGATGGAACATCTTATAATCATCAGTCTCGGTTAGTGAACAAAGATATTGAACTCTTTTAGATGATCCCAACATGATGATACGACGGAGAGGGAGGCTGAGCCGACGGACGGACCGGACGATCTCACCACAGCCATTGCCCGGATCGATGATATTATTAGATGATCATCTGCTGGGTGGATGGATGACCTCGTAGTACTGGATGGCGGAAGGCTGAGCCTTGGGGGGGATCGAGCGTGGTCCAATCAGCGCCACGAGCGGCACATGCTGCCCTGTTGGGTGTCATCACATGACCGGGTGCGAGCTGTCAATGACTACAATTGGCAGTGATCTGTTCGTTCCATGACTTGTTCCATGACTCGTTCCATGAATCGTCCCATTCCCAGCCCACCAATACTACTAGCTAATGTCGATTTCGGAGTATTAGCATGACCAACCACGACTCATCCAGTAGTTCCTTTGCCGTTTTACGGTCACCAGAGTCAATTCTCTCATGGCCTTCAATATCCGAACGAACTCTTCTTTATCCTGCCTGCCTAGACTCTCGATTCAGTTTTCCAAGAACGCTTTTGGCCGGGGTATTGGGTCCTGAAGCCTGCCATGTCGTAGAAGTATCTGGAAATGAAATTGGGGTCGCCCCGCGCCAGTAGTTGTGGGGGGAATGGCCCAAATAGAGCCACCATTTCGTCAAGGTAGTGCTTTGTTTGGTAGACTTCTCCATTTCTTTTGCTCGCCCGTAGAACATTCGTACCGCGCCAAGAGCGTCTAGTAAGACTGCGCCTAGGTTCCAAATGTCAACAGGAGGTCCCCACGGGGCCCCGAGAATGACTTCAGGTGCTCGAAGAAGTGTAGGTTGTATAAATTCAGTGAGATGACGGTTGGCCTAACTAGCTGAACCCCAGTCGCACAGAACAACATCAAGGTCCAAGTCACTAGACTTTCGGATGTAAAAGTCCCTTAACGGTTGTAATACACTTTTGGAGAAATCAGATGTAGGGTTCATGGCAGCCACTAGGGCCAATGTCCTCGAACAAATCAACCAGGTTTAGAATATGTCGATACCCTGGATGGTCGGGGTTGGAATAAGTTAAATATCTGAGGATCTCGAGTTCAAAGATATCGTTCAGTCCACCATAATTGCGCTGAGTACTTTATCGCCCTGTAACAGGCAGCCTTGGAAATACTTCTGTAAGTAGGTCGACCCATCAAGAAGCGGGATGGTGCTTCTCACCGTAGGTCCTTTACGAGTCACACTGTAGAATACCGACCAAATCCCAACTTCCTGAGGACCTCATACCTTTCATCATACCCGTCTCTTAGGGTGAAATCCGCCGCGACTATAAGCGCTACGACCTTCTTCGGGACACTGGCTTGCCATTGACGACGGCAATGTTGATACACGGAGGTACAGCACTTAGTCTGGACTCGCCTTTGGACGACCAGACATAGGTAGACGCTGCCAAGAATGTCAGCACCTAGCATCTACCTCGTACTCCGTACTCTGAGCGAAGTTGTACAGCTAAACCCCCATCAACACCACGCTCAGTAAGGGAAATCCACGTGACCAACACGATAAGAAGCCACGTGATTACATCAATCTTATCATCACATGACCACTGCCAAGCTTGTCGCGTTGATCGACCGGACGACAAAGTGCTTGGAAGCCACCCAGAGACATCATTCACTTCAACTGGTGACTGTTGCTGTCGGACAACCTCACTTCTCTGGACTGTCTGATTTGGAAGTGGGGCGGAGACCTTTACCTTTCATTAGACCTTTTGGCTCGTCATTCACAGCTAACAAGTCCAAACACTGGTCGCGGAGGATTCTGCGGTCTGTGATCTTTTTTCTTGTTTATTTCACTGATCAAGCCCCCCTACCCGACTTTCTGGATTTGATATCCACGATCGATCAACATCATGACCTTCAAGGTCCCTTTCGACTCAAGCCCCCCGTCGACCCCGGGAAAGTCGGGCAGCTTGTTCAGCAATCTGTCGAACACCCCTGCGGGTAATCCGCCGTCGGGCTCCAGTTCCTTTGATCCGCACGGGCGTTCCCAAATGGAGTCCCCACAGTCCCTTTTCTCCCGCTCGAACTTTGAGAATGACAGCATCTTTGGGTCCTCGATCGCGTCTCCCGGGTTCCTGCCGCCCCGGGCCAGAAAAGCGGCCCCAGCCAAGCCCTCCGCCCCGTCGCAGTCGCTGTTCAGCATGACACACGATAGCCAATTCGGCCAGCCGTCCAAATACGGTGGTGCGTTTAATAGCTTTGGATCGTCGCAGATGGAAGAGGAGGTGCAGCAGGATGCGCATGGCGATGCGGATATTCCGGAAGAGGATGAGGGACCACCCGACGACCTGATGGATTTTGGGCAGACCAATAAGGCAACCGGCCCACGCTTCAGTTTCCTGGACTCGCAATTCGGTAACCCGGCTGCCCCTCCATTCAGCAATCCCGCTGCTCCCCCATTCGGCAACCCGGCTGCTCCGCCATTCAACTTCAACGCCCAGGCCCAGCGCAAGCCGATCTACACGAACCCAACCAACGCGAAGCGCCCCAAGCTCGACGAGAAGTGGGCGCAACAGTCGCCTCTGCGCAAGGTCAAGCTGCCTCCCAAGAAGGACTCCGCTATGCCGTCGATTGTGCGCAACTTTGCCTCTCATTCGCGTCTGGCCGCTGTGGAGGAGCCTAGCGACTTTATTATCAAGACGGAGGACGAGATCAGTCGGTTGTTTGATGAAGCACGACGGTCCGAATACCACATATCGTACTATCCAGCTCTCATATCCGATATCTGTGACAAGCTTGTCACCGTCTGGAAGCCATCTGGGGGGGTACCCAGGCCTGGGGCCGGTGTTGGCCCTGGAGAGCGCGCTTCCAACGTCGCCAAAGCAAGCTTCCTCGGCTCATTGCTGCTCCAGCTTCACCACCCCCCGCCTTCTCCTGCGAAGCTGCCCAGTTGGCCCGGTGCTTTTGGATTTGGCTCTCGCGCCCTCACCCTGGGAAATAATCACAGGGCGGAAACCCCGACGCCCCTCCCCAAAGTCCTCCTTGACTGGCTGGATGCCAATCACGGCCAGGCCTTTGACATCCAATCCTTGAAACATGCCGAGCCTAACCCTACTGCGTCTCCCAACTTCTGGGAAACCATTAATTCCGCGACATTACGCGGACAGATTTCCGAAGCTGTCGACGTTCTGCGATCTGCCGATTTCAACTACGCCAGGTCTGCATTGGAAGATGGTCTACCTCAGGCTGGCTATCGAGGAGCTCAGCTGCAAAACATCCAGCGCTGTGTCAACAAGGCGCTTCAGGTCTTAGAGTCATCCCCCAGTGTGCAGAGCGGCGACTGGGATGTGCGGGGTGCGGAGTGGGCGATGTACCGGAGGCGTGTGCTTGTTGCTGTTACTGATCTGGAGGAATTCGCCGAAGGTGACGAGCAATCCCCCGACTCGCCGGCTGTGGACAATCTATTCCAGGCGCCAAACTTCGGGCTCGCCACCAACCCCGCCAAGTTGGACTCATCATTTACGCAGTCTGCACGCATGGCCGAGAGCCGGGTTCCGTGGTCTATTTATCAGAGCTTACGGTCTCTCTATCGAATCATTCTCGGTGACACAAGTGCCATCATGAACCAGGCTCAGGACTGGGTTGAAGCCACCGTTGGTCTGACTGTGTGGTGGGATGGAGAGGATGACGACGGGCCTCATCGAGAACCTGGTAAGCTTTACTGATTCGTTGGTGGGGGCACCTTGCTAATAGATGCCAGCCGAATCTTACCTTCATCGCCTCGACCTGGCCTTGAGCAGCGCAACAAACAGCAACTCGAACGATGCTAAATTCCGAATCAACTCCCTCAGTAGTCTCGAAGTCGGTCTGGCTTCCGTGTTCGAGGGGAACGTGGATGGAGTTATAGGGCTTCTCGAGACATGGTCTCTGTGTGTTGCATCCGCCGTGGCTGAGGTCGCAGAAACAGCAGGCTGGTTGCACGAGGCGAGAAAGGCGCTGCCTGGGTTGAACGCGGACGACTTAATGGTCCTCTCGTACGGCCAAGAGACCGGCGAATCCGGCCGAGGTGTCAACAAGAATGATGTGATGAGCGCTTATGCATCCGGTCTTTTCGAGCGACCTATCATCGAGAATGAGAGCGGCACCCGTGAAGGATGGGAGCTCGCTTTGGAGGTCTTGAGTCGTATAGATGAGAAAGCCAAGATGCAGAAGAGCGTATCTGAACTGTTGGACAAGCTCCCCCTCGATACGTCGGAGCAGATGGATCGGGTGGTGCTGCTTTGTTCGGAGCTGGGACTGGACAACGAGGGCCGGAGGGTGTCTGAGGTAAGTCGCAATCGCTTTTTATTAGTCTGATGAAGCTGACCTTCCCTGTTCAGCGCTACGGAGACCTTACGGTGGCCAACTCTGACGAATACGGACTGGCTCTGGTGTGTTACGCTCGGGCACACAGTCGACGAAAGGTCAAGTCGGTGGTGGATCTGCTCATCTCGTACAGTCTCGTGCGGTCCTGCGCATTCCCTGCAGCGGCCGACCTGGACGAGCAGCTGGAGACGATGATTCGAAGGCCGCGGGACTGTCTCACGGCCGTGGCGTCCGCGGACGAAGAGGCGGCCACGATTCTTCAGTTTTACTTCAGTGGATATGCGACGCTACGTCGCTTTTACGAGATCCGGGATGAGGCCGTTAGTCTGAAAGAAGGGCAGCGACCCCGGTTCAAGCCCCTTGCGCGACGGCGGGCGGCGGCGCAGGCGTTGGTTGCCGTGATCACAAGTGCAGCGGACAGCATCTACGGCGGGCTGTACGACCCCGAACGGGATTCGTCTATACAGGTGGACGGGCTGTTAACGCTGTTGGGCGAGGCCCTGCCCTTCCTTGATCGTACGTGTGCCTTTTTCCCGAAGAGCAACCGAGATGACACTAATACCGCAACTGCAGAACCTACACCAGTTTTCTCCGTCCCCCAGCAATTCGCCATCCTATCGGCGATCGAGGACCTGGAGACCGTGACGCCACGGGTGTACGGACAATGCGAGGAGTGTTTCCGGTCGACGCTGCTCGAGTACCAGTCGTCGAAGCGCGGGCCAGAGGAATCCCAGACGACAGGATCATTCTTCGTCCCACCGTCACCCCGCGCGTTGCTGAAGAAATCCATGTCCGGTGGGACGGGGTCCAGCACGTTTTCCTTCATTGGCAGTGAGATGGTCGAGTCATCTCGGCCGCAGTCCGGCCACGGGTCAGTAGGCAGCTCGGGCGTCCTGGTGCCTCGCGCGGGCGATGGCCTTCGCGGACTTCCGGAGGAGCGCGGCTGGGACTGGCGCGCCGGGCTGGCAGAAGGCTCACGCGGTGGAGACATCCTGCGCGTGTTGCGGCTGGGGTTGGCGCGGGGGCTGAGCTTCGGGGCTCTTGGCACGATCTGAGAATAGGATGGGTTGGGGTTACAAAGTAGGGGATGCATGTACGTGTACGTCTAGAATTCCCAGATTGGGAGGGAGGAATCTGGAGTAATTCGGAAAGTAATCTGCATCAAAAGTGATCTGCGGTAGGGCTGAATGCCATGATCTTTTCCGCTTGTGTGACATACTGTAAAAACCCCGTGCTTATGCTATCCCCATGTTGATTTAAAGAACGACATGAGTCACCCGAGAAGTCGGTGTGCGCTCAGCCCTATACACACCTAAGCTTTCACAATCCCACACTCAGCTGGTCAGAAGACTACCTCTCAACGTGAAAAGGACCTTAAAAAGGCCGAAAACCAGACCCAGAGCCAAGAAACGCACACCGGATTCGTGCCTCATTTCCCAGGATAAATGTGGTTGCCTGACGGACTCAGGCCATGATTGGTGGATGACTGAGGCCATACACCGCCGGTGGAGCCGCATTTCATCCGCGCGATTCATTCGTCGTTCTTTCTCTCTCCCTGCATCAGAGCCTCATCGTCTTCTTTTCTTTCTCCTGATTGATGCTTAGGTGGGGTGGCTCTCCACCGGGGCTCAGCGTCAGCCTGTCCTACTTCGAAATGGCCGGTACTTACTGTATACAGATGGGATACAGTCACAGCTGAACCCTACTACTTCTGCTAGGCTCAGTATCCACTAGAGATCAGCTGTGCTGAACTACTCCTACTAGACCAAGCTTGACACCGGAACCATTTGGCACGCACTTGCAAGATGAAACGGCGGCGGTACTCGCGGACCTCTACCGAGTCCGCAGTGGAGTCCTCCAGCAGTCAACCCAGCGAACCCCACTGATCGACCAGGGTTCGGCGAGTCCGTAGTCCGTAGGGCGGACGACACTGAGCAAGCCACGATGGATGGATGGCCCCGGCTAGCTTGTCCTTGCCCGACGCACTGGGTCTTCCTGGTTGAGACTGACTTTGGCTTTTTAATGCCGTCTTCTTTTGAATTGATATTTCTGGGGATTGCCCTGGGGGAACGAACTGCATTGATTGATTGATTGAGGGAGGCCTTGCATTCATGTTCACCTCGTTCGGACTTGGCTGGCACTGTATGCAGCGCGCTGATCTGGTTTACATTTGAGTGGCTCAATGCTGTTATGAGGGATAGTCATGCTGCGACGCCTGACAACATTGATATAAAACTATCTAGACGACGCTCTCTCTCAAGCACCCTCTCTATCAACTCAACCGCTCCTCCAAGATCGTTCCGACTGAGTCCAGCTTCATTCATCCTTCATTTATTCCTGTCTTTTGCCCTCCAACGCAGGTACCCACCACCAAAGTACCATACCACAGTCTCATCCACCAACCAACATGTGCCTCCAAGTCGTCGAGCGCTTCTCCGTCTGCGATTGTCTCTATTTCAAACACGCGATCGATCCGTGTGAATTCGTCGGCCAGATCGGTCACAAAGTGAAAGAGAAACCCATCCCAGTCGGATATGCCTGCCCGCAGCACTCTGGACGACCTCAGGGCTATGACTTCCCTTCTCGATATGCGGGTTACCCTAAGGGGTGTTGACCTCTAAACCCGTCAACGACGCAGCCGGCTGCAGATAAAAGTTTCAGTTCTATCATGTCGAATCAATTCTTTTTTTCTTTCTTTCTTTTTTTTTTTTTTTTTAAAAACTAGGGGACTGAGGTGGTAGAGTCTACCATATGATAGGAGGAGCGAAAGTTACTACATTAAGAGAGGGTTGTTTGGATTGGACTCGCTGTTTACAGCAATATTATGTACTGCAGGCAGGTATATGCATGGCTGGATAAAACAAGGGAAAAGTCAATAGAATTGAACACAGCCATTGTCCCGCTGTGACTGGAGTACGAGACGGTCATCAACGAGCGGAATCGCAATTATTATACAGTGACAGCCAGATCCATCTCCCAACCCCTATCTCCCACCCAAAGACGAACCCTTCCCAGCAGGAATATTAAACAGCACAGTCCGCCCACCAAACTTATAAGCACAATCCACACGAAAATAACCCACACGATCCAGCTGAACAATATCATCCTCCACAAGCCCAGCAACCCCACAATCCGCCCACGCCTCGACCCGCACCTCGCTACGCGGAGTAACACACGACAGCAGATCATCTCCGTTCTCAAGCTTATCCTTGTTGATAAGATGGTCAAAATACACTAGGTCGACGGGAATAGTGTTTGTTGGTTCGCGCGCGAGCCATGTTAGTTTCTTGTCTGTTTTTTTGAAGTCGCCCCTGAGGTGGAGACGGAGATTTATGTCTTGCACTGTTCCGGTGTGCGGGTCTGCTGTGATAGAGGTGACAATGGCGTTGCCCCAATTCATGAGCGTGAATTCCTCGTCTGGTTTTAGAGACGCGGCGTCGTCCTGCGCGAGGAAGATCTCCTTGCCGAAGAAAACTTTCTTCGTTCCCAGCGACGCGTTCTTGTTATGTCGAGGTTTCTCCTCTGAAGTCATCTTAGTAACGCCGTCAATAGTAGCTACCACGGCATTGAGCGAGGCAATAGCCGTATGGCGCGGCGCAACGGGGTCAATATACTTCTTGTTCGTCGCCCAAAACGCCGTCCAGTCGAGATTCACAATATTCTGACTCGGCCCCTGCTTCAAGATGAACTCTCTCAGCGCAGGGACAGTTATTCCCCTCCGTCTGATACCACGAACAGTCGGCATACGGGGATCATCCCAGCCAGACACAACGCCCTTCTCAACTAGAAGGGAAAGCTTCCGCTTGGAGAGCACAGTGCGCACAAAACTCAGCCGTGAAAAATCCCAAATATCCACCTCGCGCAGCGACAGCGCTTGTTGAAGCCATTGATACTGGGGATTTCTATCGCGGTACTCGTTTGTTCGCAGCGCGTGGGTTACACCCTCCAGAGCGTCGAGGAAAGGGGCGCAGAAGTCGTAGGTAGGGTAGATGGACCATATTGTGCCTGTGCGGTGGTGAGGTTGTAGATTGCAGCGGTAGATGACTGGGTCGCGGAGTGCTTTGTTCGGATTGTCGACGGAGATGCGCGCGCGAATGCACCATTTTTGGCCTTCTGAGGAGCCGGATTTCATGTTCTCGAGGTGGGAGAGGGTGTCTTTGATGCTCATGTCTCGGCATGCGCTGGGAACCCCGTCTCTTCGCTGATCTTGCATTACCTCCTTGGGCGTGTTATCGGCATAAGCCTTGCCTAACCGAATAAGCCTAACACAACCCTCATACATCTGCTGAAAGTAATCACTCGAATACGAAACCCGATCAGGTCTTACTCCCAACAGCTCCAAATCCCGCAGTATCGAATCCTGAAACTCGCTCGACTCCCTTGACGGATTCGTATCATCAAATCTACAGATGAGCACACCCCTCTCACTCGCGTACTCATGCGCGAAATAATCATTCAGCAGCGCGGCCTTCGCATGCCCGATATGGAGATACCCCGACGGCTCAGGCGGGAACCTCGTCACGATCCTGTTTGCTGTATGCTTTAGGCCGATGTTGTAGCTTGCGCCTGCTGCGCTGGCGGCTGCTTTATGCCGGCGTGCTGTGCGGGTGAGGTCGGATATGGTTGTTTCTAGCCAGGGGTTGGTGTGCTCGATGAAGGTATACCATCTGGTTATGTTTGTGCTGGTTTTGCGGAGGCTGGAGGTGGCTTTGTTGCTGTGGAGAGAGGCCCAGATGAGGATGTCGGCTAGGGTGAGTGAGTGGCCTACTATGTAGGAGCGGAGGATGAGGTGGGAGTCGAGCTCGTGCATTGGTTGTTTGAGGGAGTTGAAGTCTGAGACTGATAAAGTTATGCTTCGCTGGACCCATTCGTTGATCTTGGATTGGTTAGATATGTGGTTTAGATCGGGGGTTGTAATTTGATACTTACCTGACTGCGTTTAGAATCGTGGGTGGAACTCGCATAGTCTACCAGGAAAGGGACGACAGAAGTATCAATAGCAGAGTCTCCACTGTCAGTCGTGAGTCTCAATGTCTCTTTTTGATCGAGAACCTCTACATCTTTATATTCAATGGTAATTTTGTAGTCACCATTCATGGAAAGATACGCAGCCGCCAACACCCCTGGAAAGACAAGGGCGCCGTTAGCTTTGGTCGCAACAGTGAGGGTAGCCATTGCTTATGGTATCCCGTGTTTGCGGACAAAATAGATGATATAATTGATTAACGTCTGGCCAAAAGACGCGAGACTGCCTTTTTGTCGCTGGTAGTAGTAGATGCTGTAGCCGCCATAGAGCGGGGCGCAAGTGGGATTTATAGAAGTTGTAGTTGATGTCAGTACTAGTGTGACTCAAGACAGCGGCGCAGGTGTCTTGTCTTTCGTCTAATAAAAGAGGCTATGGTTTTATTATGTGTTAGCAGAGCACTATCCCAAAAGTAAATAAACCATGATATTCCCTGTTGGATGACTCGAGGATGTACACGTGCCCTAACCCTGTCCATGAGTCAAGCACCGCAGTTCAGCCACAGTTGGCTCTGGACATACTTGTACAATCTATTGTTACTCTATAGATATCCACGTAATAGTCAATCATCGGATTCCTTAAGACGGTATCATAGTTTCTCTTAACATGGTCCAACTTAGCCAGCCATAACAGTAGTAACTTAGGGCTTGGTCGGAACTGTCCTACCTACACCTCAACCATTACTTCACTACGATACTATTATCACCCCTACAGTAGAGAGTTACCATCCTAGTATAGACCAAATGAAAACATTCATATTCATAATACTTCCCAAAAGCGTGTTCTTAAATTGACCTATCCCAGCCCTGCGAACCAGACTGGCGCTATTGGGTTCCGTTCATGCTATCATGCCGTTATCGTCATCATCTCATCTCATCTCATCCATCTCATATGATCTCGTATCATCTGTTTTTCCACCTGGCTGCCACTGCGTTTTCTTCTTTCTTGGCTTGGTCGGTCGTGACAGGGTGGGAATTGTCTTTCTTTCTTTCTTCCTCGGTGGATTCTTCCTCACACTCTTCCTCCTCGCTTCCACGTGTATGGTACGCTCATACCATACACCATTCTCTTCTCTTCTCTGACTCGACTCTTTCACCTCGTCCCCTCTTACATCTTCCTCTTCAACCCCTCGAAGGGATCCCGGCGCGTGCAGCCGGCCCTTCCTTCTCCTCTTTTTTTGGTGTTTTTTCTTTTGTGTGCATCACATCTGTAAACAGCATAGTCGCGACTAGACTATTCCAGGCATTGCCGCTGCTCGCTTGACGGGCACTCCGCAGTCACGCGGATAGAGGTAATAGACCAAGGTTCATAAAAACCAAGTATGATAGATAATCTACCTCCGGACGACGATACCCTGGCGACGGACAGCACTGCGAGCACGACGGTACTCCTCATCACTATCCGACTCAGAGCAGCTCGCCTCAGACGACTCAGTGACGTATCCACAGCGCGAGCCACCGCAGTCAAGCTTGACGCGGTCACCCTTGCGGGTGATGCCGTAGCGCTCGCAGTGGCAGATGGGCGAAGGCGGGTCACTCATGGACGACAGCGAGGACGGGGACGTGCTGCCCGACGAGCGGGACGAGAGCGACGAGCCGACGGAGCTGGGCGGGCTGTTGGAGTACGAGTACTCGTCTGACATGCGGGAGCCGGCGAAGCGGCGCGTGAGGTCCTCCATGGTGGGGGCGAAGTCGGCCTCGCGGATCTGGCGCGACGCGTACGGCTTGGACGGCTTCGGGTGGTGGATCTTGGAGGGCGAGAGCGCGCGGCCCGTCACGACGTCTCCTGAGGTGCGGCGCGAGCTGTGCTTGGGGGCGGACGAGCTCGACGACTTCTTGGTCCCCCCTGGGACGTCGAGGATGTTGAGCTTGCGGCCGGTGGTGGGCTCGACCGTGTGCTCGACGGCGGGGTCGTGCGACACGTGGTAGCCGTCCATGATGTACTATTTGAATTAGTCACTGGGAGATATAGAGATAGGAAGGGGAACATACGTAGTACCAGTAGCGCTGGCCCAACTTTAGCATGGAGGTCTGGAAGCGGAACTTGCCGATCCACGAGCCCGACTTGGAGTCATCGCGCGACAAGGGAATCTGGCGCGAGTAGTTGTCCCACGAGCCCAGCAAATGGACCGTCTTGACATTGGACGAAGTGCGCAGCGAAAACTTCAACTGAACGGCAGTCATTGCGCAGGTTGACAGAACTAATTATTAGGATGGGGGAAAAAAATAGATATAGATATGCAAATGCAATAGATAATCGTGTCGAGGCCTTCCGAATATAAGGAAGAACAGACTGCAAGAAGCACTACCGGAGTGGAATCTTGTAGTTGTTGGTTGTTGGATGTTGGATGGCGCAGTTATTGACGGGATCCAGTCCACGACACGCACAGAAGAATGATATCAAGAAGCCTTGGCGGGAAATGCGAGGCTGAGCAAGGTTGTTGAGTTGAACGGAGCACCAAACACGTCGACCGGCGACGATATGAGAACCGAAAGTAAATTGAAGTATCAAGAGATATCCTGAACACTGAATATAGGGGGATAGACAGAGAGCACAGCTCGTCTGACAAGTATGATTTTTTGAGTATAGGGGGGGTCGTAAAGACAATATTAAAGGTATAGTAGAACAACAAAGAACAAAAACAAGTGCAACCAGTGCACAGGATATCTCGAAATTAGGGCAACTCAAACAAGACCAGTCTTGCTGAAGAAAGAAAGAAGAGAAAAAACCGCCTTGGGGGCGTCCTGGCGGCTGTGGCATCTTTAAAGGACGCCGTGATGCCAATAGATGTGACCCCGCTGGTGGCTCGGTGGGGGGGTTGGACGGATGCTGCTATTCTTAGCCATGCATATCGACCGACCGACTAGACTGGATCGGATGAAAGAGGAGAAGGATATGCAAGGTGACAGCGGGAGAGAAGGAAGATGAAGATGCAGATTGGATGGCGGAGAAGAAGAAGATGTGATGGACGGCGGATGGCGAACCTCAGGCCAACCACAGGCCAGCATTTGCCGCTTCTGCTCCATCCATCACGATCCCTTCGTCACTCCACGGCCTATCGTTTCTCATTTCGTCTAATCCTCATGCACCTGGGTCCAGGAGGGGAACAAGAATTTTAATTATATCGTGTACTATCTCGAGGAGGGGACGGTTAATTTAGAATGATATCACGGACCCATGCAGTCAAGGAGGGACGGGAAATTAGCATGATATCAGACATACGAGAGCACTCTTGAGTGGATGTCTCCATTTGCATTATGTCAATACTAGATAGTGAGGGCTTTTCTTTTTTATTTCCCATATACAAGTCTGCTGCCAAAGCATCGTTCGCACCTATTCCTCGGCCAAAATGCCTTCAGAGTCCATAGTCGAGTAGGCACGGTTCATCAGGAAACAAAAAACGAATCGAGAAAATAGAGGAAAAAAAGAAGTAAGAAAAAGAGTAGAAAATCAAGAAGAACCAGACGCCAGTCATGCCGAATCCATCGCAGAAATTTGCCAATTGCCAATCCCCACAGGTCCAATCACCGCACCGACACCCCAGACCGGTTGGTAAACATGCGCGCCGCAATGTTCATCGAGGCCAGCTCTTGGAACAGCAGCTTGGCCGCGTATGGAATGTGGACCTGCGAGATTCGGTGCTTATTGTTGCACAAACGACATTCGAAGAGGCCCTTCTTCAGTTTTCTGCACGCTGTCAGCTGAATCTATCCTGCATGATGCCCTGTCCAATGAGGGATAACAAGGGAGAAGGAGGGGGGAAAAGAAAAAAAAAAACTTACGCTACTGGCGTCATCAACCCGCAGTCGTCGCAAATGTGCACGCGGAACGGGTCGGAAACGTCGAAGAGCCGCTCCTTGAGGAAGGAACTAGCTCCATGCGCAATCATACAATCGCGTTCCATTTCACCGAATCGCAGTCCACCGTCGCGAGCACGGCCCTCCACAGGCTGCCGCGTCAGAATCTGGGTCGGCCCCCGTGCGCGGGCGTGGATCTTGTCGTCCACCATGTGTCGCAGACGCTGGTAGTACGTCGGCCCCAGGAAAACCTGCGCCACCAGCTTCCGCCCCGTGTGCCCGTTGTACATCACCTCGAACCCACGCGACTGGTAGCCGTGCTCGCGCAGCAACCGGGAGACCGAGTCGACCGTCACGTCCGTGAACGGCGTCGCGTCACCCTCGAACCCACGCAGCGACGACACCTTGCTGAGCTGACACTCGATCAAATGCGCGATTGTCATACGGGACGGAATGGCGTGCGGGTTGATGATCAGATCCGGCACCACGCCCTCCCGCGTGAACGGCATGTCCTCCTGTCGGTACGTGATACCGATCGTACCCTTCTGTCCGTGACGCGAGGCGAACTTGTCGCCAATCTGCGGCACCTTGGTCGTCCGCATACGCACCTTGACGAACTTCAGGTCGTCGTTGCTGGTCGACACCAGCACCTGGTCCACGATACCACTCTCCGTGCTGCGCAGCGGCGTCGACACGTCCAGCTTGGTGTGCGACTTGGTTCGCTGGCCCAGTTCCTCCGCCTCGGGGGCCAGAGGTGCAGTCTTGCCGATGATGATGTCCTCACCGGAAACACGCACACCGGGGGCGATGATACCATCGTCGTCGATCTTGTCGTACGTCCCCTTGCGCATGCCGAGCGTGTCGGACCGCATCGGCTTCTCAAACCGCTCCACCACCGTCAGACCCACCATCTTCTCCGAGTCCGTGTACGTGCGGTAGAACAGACTGCGGAACAAACCGCGGTCGATGCTGCTCTGGTTCATGATGACGGAATCTTCCTGGTTGTATCCCGAGTAGGTGGCAATGGCCACAATCGCGTTCTGCCCGGCGGGCAGCTCACGGAACCGCAGGAACTCCATGGACCGCGTGGTCGCTAGAGGCTTCTGGGGGTAGTACAGGATATTGGCCATCGTCTCCATCCGCTGGTCGAAGTTGGTCAAGAACACACCCATGGCTTGCTTACCCATGGCCGCCTGGTAGGTGTTACGAGGCGACTGGTTGTGATCGGGGAACGGAATGATACTGGCGCACACCCCGAGAATCATACTAGGATGAATCTCACAATGCGTCCAAGTATGAGCCCGCTGACTCAGGATGGAGCGCACACGCTTGTTCGGATCGTGCAACTCCTCCTCAGGGAGTGCATAGCCAGCCTGGAGCTGCTTGGAGATCTCCAGGTCCTCGGGAGTCATGACGATCATGATCGTTTCTTCTTCCTCTGCGTCGACATACTCGACCGCTCCCGATTTCACCAGACCGTCCCATCCGAAATAGCGTTCCCGGCGCTCTTCCGGATCCAGGTCCGGCGGCAGTTCTCGGTCCTGCTCGAGCTTGCGAATGTGCTCCTTGTTGAGAACCAGCGATCCGCAATTCTCGCTCTTCGGGTCGTTGTCAATCACGAACAACGGACGGCACACGCGCCCGGCATCGGTGAAGATCTTGAACTCCCGCTCACGGATGTCCCGAATCAAACTGACCTCGTGCGAGATCATGTTCCGCCGGCGCAGCGACTGCATCGTATTGACCAGATGTGCCGGGTCGCGGTGGATTCCGACCCACACGCCGTTCACAAACACCTTGGTGGCGTTCGGTGTGACCTGGGGCTCGAATTCCTCGAGAACCTCCATGTTCCGCTGAATCATGAAATCGATGATAGGCTCACTAGGAGTACCGACAGTGATGTAACACATAAGTGCCAGATTCTTGACCAGACCACAAGCCTGACCTTCAGGCGTCTCGGCAGGACAGACCAAACCCCAGTGCGTGTTGTGCAATTGACGGGGCTTGGCGATCTTGCCGTCTCGACCAATGGGGGTGTTGGTCCGACGCAAATGGGACAGGGTTGAGGCGTAGGTATAACGACTGAGCACCTGCGAGACACCGGCCTTGGAACTGGCCGCCTTCTTCTGCTCACCCCAGTTACCGGTGGCGAGGGCGTATTTCAGACCTCCCGTCAAGGTGCTGGCCTTGATACCGATGTTCAAGTAGATTTCACGGTTGGTCTCCACACAGCGCTGCACGTATCGCTGGAGATCGCGCGTCACGCGAGTGAAGAGAACACGGAACAAGTTGGCGAGCAGCGGACCAGCCAGGTCCAGTCGCTTCTTGCCGAAGTGGTCACGATCGTCGGGATCCCGGCGACCCAGCGCAGCCTGGAGGAGTCGGTGCACCATGTAGCCCAAGAAGAAGGCCTTGCGGGTCTCGCTGCCTTCACTCTGAGAGATATGCGGCAGCAACTCCTTCTGCATAATGTCCCGCGCATAACGCACACGACGGTCATGGTTCATGCTCGACTGAGAAGATCCACGCTTGGCAATGAAATCCAGAGCAACCTCGCGATCCTGGATGACAAAGCCTTCCTCAATACAGGGCTTCAGCATCTCCAGCATCGCCGTATCATTCCGGTCGTAGCAAATATGGTTAAGAATATCCTCATCCGAGACGACACCGAGCGCTCGGAACACAACAACGATAGGGATATCGGTCTTCACGTAGGGCAGGGTCGAGCGGATCGTAGGGCCAAATCCACCCTTGGCGGTATCTCCCTTGGCAAATAACTTGAGAGACAGCTGAGACAGGAGTCGAGAACCTTTCTCGACGGCACTGCGGATTTCTGCCACATAAGGCGTCGGACTCGGGGGCGCCTTCTTGAACACCTGGACCGTGTTTCCAGCACTCCGTTCCTGAGCGATCAGAACCTTCTCACTACCGTTGATGATGAAATAACCACCCGAGTCGTAGGGGCATTCATTCCAGTTGTAGAGCGCTTGTTCGCTGAGGTCCTTCAGGATACAGTACTTGGACTTGAGCATGATAGGGATCTTTCCAATGAAGACAGTCTCCTCCTTCGCCTGGTCCGCCGGGAGTTCCTTCTGCTCCCACTGAAGGTAGGTCCCGTGGCTCTTCCGGTCCTCCATCGGCTCTACATCGTCCTCGTCCCCGTCCCGGTCAGCGACCAGCCGCTCGCGACCTTCCATGATCTTCTTCGTAATACCGAGATAAAGCGGACTCGCGTAGGTTAAGTTCCGCAGACGAGCTTCCTGCGGCAACATGATCGTAGTGGCGCCATCACCCTCGGTGACGGACGGTCGAGAAAGCATGACGGTTCCGAACTTGAGCTCATATCGACGGAGGACGATGGGATCGACTTCATCCTCGTCCGGCGGCAGCGTCTGATCAAGCGTGACCTGTCCCTGTTCCTCCACAAGCTCCTGCATCGTCGAGGAGATGAACTCGTCGAACGAGTCCAGCTGCTGCGAGACCAAACCTTTGGTGTCGAAAAACGATGAAATCACCGTCCAGCAGTCCTCCGATGTGATGCCCTCCTCCAAGTCATCGTCGTAAAACTCCTCCTCGTACGCCTCATCGTAGTCTGCCATCTTGTCGGATATGTTCCTTCAACCACTTCGATCAGGAGGCCAAGGGTTTCGAGATGAGCGCAAACGGGGCGCGACGCGCTCGAGAGGATGCCCGGTCGCAGCTCGTCGGACAGAGGCGACGATGGAAATGCGTGCCGTCAAGACGTTGGAAAAAACGAAAAAGATCGAATAAACAAGGAATGGGAATCTCGGGAGATGGAATGTGAGAGATCCCAAGCCAACCGTACTGGGAGGTGAAATGCAACGGGGGAAGAAGACTTGCCTCACGGGAGAGTTTCGGAGAGCGCTTGATGGATCTTGAAGAGCCGCCACTAGCGCCTCGACCGGGGACAACACGCTAGCCGTATTCGGGAGTCACGTGATATCTACAATGGCTGAATAGAATCCATGACAATAACAAGGTTGATTGCGGATTGGCAGGATTTATATAGATATTCGAGGTATTGAGGTTTCATTGATTATGTATAATTTACATGCTTGTAGATTGTTGTTGGGCGACTTTACACAAACTGTAGCAAGGTCTCCAGCATCTCCTTACGATCTTTCTGCCCTGGGTCATCGTCCGTGAGGCCCTCGACTTGCTCTGCTAGGTGTTAGTTTCGAACGATAAGAGGAGAATGGTTGTTAACATACCTTTCAGCGTCTTTTGGACCAAAGACAGGTCTTCATCTCGGTCCGCCAGAAGGCTCACAACCTTCTTCTTGGCACCGTCATCCTCAGCCACTAACCACGCCAAGATGACATCGATCAGCTAGAGTTGTCAGTGCTACTGTTCATTCGTGAGGGAAAACGTAGGGAAGTGTACCTGCAATGAGAAAAGACCTGCGTCAAAGCGGCGCGACAACCATTCGGCAGCCATCATCTCCTGCTCTACTGCATCGAAGGTCTTGCGTTCCTTCTCGATGGCCTCTTCCACGGGGGACACTCTGGAAGCGTAGTCACGCCGTAATTTAATCAATTTCTCGATCTTCTCGTAGTTCTTTTCCATGAACTTGGCAAGAGCACGGATACGAGGTGCAGAGCCGCCGGGCAGTAGACGTAAGAGAGAGGCAAAGATGCCCAGCAGATGCTCAATGGTCTGGTTTTCTTGCTACTTGGGGTTAGGCAAGGTGATAATGTCGGGCATGTGTGAGCTCACCTTCTTCATAAACAATCCGAACACCGTCCTCAATCCAGCTACCTCAACCAATCGCTCGCAAGCGGGAGCACCGCCGAGGCCGCCGAGGGCATGGTCCAGGACTCGTAACGCACGCTGTTTGCTGAACTTTCCTTCCTTCAGCATGATCTGAACCAGCTCGACGCCCTCGCCTTCTAAGAACTTTTCTTTGCCCGAGTTGTCGTCTACCAGGCAGATTAAGCAGTCGAAGAGGTTCTCAACATACTCCTCCTCGTCGGAGTCCTTCTCGGGGTCGCGTTTGCGGTACTGACTGAGCAGCTGCAAGAGCGCGTCCACCCCATCGAGACCAATGAAAGCCTCTATGTTCTTCGCGGATGACTGGAGTAGGATCGCCAATACTTCCGCGGAGTACTGCTGGTTTTGGCTGACGGGCCTTTCTTTCTTTTGGATTCGCGCAACGAGCCACGGGAGGAGATTCTTGTCCTGCCCAATTTTCTCCGCAACCGTGGTCTGGGAAGCGAGGTTCTCAATGACACCTGGGGATATTAGCATGTCTTCTGAGCTTACGCCATGACGGAGCTGCTCACCGAGAATATAGTATACGCCTGTTCGATCTACATCAGAACCCTCGTCGAGTCGCGACAGGTTCTGTGTGAGGAGTTCGATGAGGCCGTCATCCAGCTAGACACATTAGTATCTCTTATCCATCACGAAGACGGACCACCTACCATTGCATTCACCAGCACATCCCATTGTTCCTGTTCCGCCTCCACGTCTTCGTCCGTCAACTCACTGATGATCTGGATCGTGTCGATGGCAATATCGGTGTTCTCGTGAGACAGCAGGGAGATCAATGAGCTAACACACCCCAGCTTGGAGAATTCGCTGTAAAGCTCTGGGTGTTCGGAGAGAATCGACAATCCTTTAATCTCGGTATCTAGATCGGCTTCGGAGGTCATGAACCTGGACTGGTCAGCAGAGAAGTAACATACCCTGATAAAGATGAATCAACTCACTTCTGCGGATCATTCTCGTGTTTCCCCCGCAGCTCCGCGTTCTTGGAGATCTTCCTCTCAAAGTTCAGCGCAAACCGCCGCAGCCAGGCGACGTCGAATTTCTCCGGCTATACCAATCAGCCTGTGCACAGCAAGAATTTTGTTCCACCACATACCTCAACATCTCCCTCCGCCTCATCCTGCTGGTCGATGTATTGCATAGCCTCCGCCGTTTGTCGCTCCATGCCGCTGCCGAAAAAGCGCCCTTCTTCGTCATCGGGGATATCCTCTTCAAAATCCGGAGGTAGCTCAGGACCTGCTTCGCCGTCGTCTCCTTCTTCATCCTCTACCATCGGCGCCTTTCCTTTCGACTTGACATCTCCGCTGGCGTCGAGCTTGGCCGCTTTGTAGAGTTCGTCTGTTGCGATCAGTGGTTGTCGGGAACGGGGTGCGCATGGAACGTACTCGGATCTTGCGCAGAATCTATTTTGCGCTTTGTACTTGCTGTCGATGTCGGTTTCTATCTCGTCAGTATCAATTCGTCCAATGATTCAGTGGTAGAATTACTTTAAAAAGCTCATCTATACTCGTCATGATTGCGGTGCTAGGGCGGCAGCAACGGTTTGAAACGACCACCACAAAAGGCACTGACCACACTAAATGAAAAAGTAAATAATCCGTCGCTCAGTGCAGTGTAAATAAAAATGATTTGTTCGCTGAAACCTGATCGCGAATCAGCTCCTTGTCGCTGGATCGCGAACCTGCGGCGCCGGCAGTACGGGAAGCGCGGAAAGCTAGAAGCGCAGCCGCCAATCTTGGCATCGGCGAAAGATTTCTCGGGGAGCTTCAACTTCCAACTCCTTCGCCTCAGTGTCTTTCAACCACCCTTTAAACTATCAACTTTCTACGCGCTCACACCTCAGTCTCTCCATCACAACCATGGCTCCCAACCAACGCATCGTCTCCGGCCGCCCGCAGAAGAGCTTCTTCCGCAACGCCTATGACGAGGTCACCAACCCCGAGCACGCCACCATTGTCCGCAGCATCCTTGTTTTCGGTGTATGTCCCCTTTTCTCTTGTTTTCTATTTGCGAAAAATCAATAAATATAAAAGAAAGGCTATACGTTCAAGCTCTGACATTCTTCATATAGGCCGGCGTTGCTTTCCTTCACAGCAGCCTGGGCGAGCTCCTCCTTCCTCCGTAAGTTTGCATCCGCACATCTCCATCGACAACATATCTCGATTTTGCCATCTCGTCATCATTTCAGAGATATGAGACTAACAATAGCCAACAGTATGTAAATCGATACCTGATACATCCGTTGTTGCGTGATATGAATTGTCGGGTGGCGTCAACAGTTACCAGTATGGTTGGGACTGCGTCGATCCATATTCATACTGGTACTGTTTGGCTTAATTCGACTTAATGGATCTGTATTATATTGTTTGAGTTTTGTTTTCATGGGATTTTTGGCGGACACGGTGTGATGGCATGTTGTCTTCCTGTTTGATAGATTTAACAATGGATTCGTGTCTTTCGTCATTAACAGCATAACTGATATACCGTTGAAGGAGTCCTGCAGTGTTAAGATGTGCTACATCCTATCATAGGAGAGAATCCAAAAGTTCCCTGTTCATCGCTAGTGTATGACGGACTACTACAATGACTCGATGGTTGATATTAGGCAGATATGTCGAATTTAGGATAAATTCAGCATAAGCAGATAAAGAAAGTCAGTTGAAAAGCATGTTGATGATTATATCCATACCTTTTACAACAGTAACAAACATCAAATAGAACGACTCAGATGAATGAATGTTAAATATCTGTAATGATGCGATGGATATAGTATCTTGTTTGCCTCAGGCATAATATCACTCGGATATATCGCCAACTGGTATAACTTCATCTTAGCCAGAATTCATTCCAACCGCCAACATTCCCAGGATCTTCGATATAAATTTCCGCCTTCTAACGTGATGGACACGGGCGCACCAATCCCATTAATCAACCAATCTTTGGCTGTTTCTCCCCGCAAATCATTCCCAAAGTCCCCACATAGTCTTATACTCCCGAACACCGCCTTCTTTAGCGCCGGGGGGAAACGATACTCGTCTATCGTTGCTCCATGTTGGTATGACGATTCTTCATGATCATCATTTTTCCGTCTGTCATTTATCTACTCCGATCTTCAGTGGATGTCTATGTCACCTATAATCGTCTCTGACACGTGCTGCGCCTCTTGTCTGGCCGTCCGACAGCATGATCACAGCCAAGCGCAAGCACAACGCGGGGATCCATGAGACAGAACAGGTAACAAAACGAACTTCTAGTCCCAGCAACAGTGCGGTTCTAGGCTACAATGCCCACGCCCCGTGGCTCCACGACGCGAGACCCTCGCGCGCCTGGAGGACACTGGGCGATCGCGCCGTTCCGCCGTCGTTGCCGCTAGCCAACATGGTGTCGACCGTCCAGGACCTCATCGACCCGGACTTCGATCCATTAGTCGCTATTTTGGATGATGAACCCCGCTTCCTCAAACCCTTGCCCTCTCGCATCGCCCCGGAGGACCTGGAGTTCTTGCGCTTTCGGGGAGCGCTGTCGATTCCCGAGTGTGAGCTTCGCAATGAACTGCTGCGATGTTATGTCAAATGGGTGCATAGCTTTATCCCGGTCATCAATCTCCAGGAGTTCTTGCGATGTGTCGCTGAAAATGACCCCAGAGGTAACATTAGTCTGCTGCTGTTCCAGGCCGTGATGTTCGTTGCGACGGCATTTATCGATGTTAAGCACTTGCAGGCGGCGGGCTATGCCTCAAGGAAAGAAGCCCGTAATGCTTTCTATACCCCGTTAAGGGTGGGTGCTCAAACTCTTCGGACTGCTCCTCGGGCCCAGCTAACTCATGACTAGCTTCTTTATTCCTTAGACTGCGAGGATGACCGGATCGTGATCCTCCAGACCCTGCTGCTGATGACGTACTGGTGCGACCATATGAACCATCCCAATCGAGACATATGGGACTGGATCGGGATTTGCAATATCCAAGCGCATTCTATCGGATTGAATCGAGACCCTAGCTCTACCCCAAACATGGATCAGAAGACCAAGCGGTTGAGAGTGCGGCTATGGTGGAGTTTATACGCGCGCGATCGTCTGATCGCCATGGGGTTGAGGCGGCCGACACAGGTCAACGAGGGGACGAGCAATGTGCCCTTGCTGAGGCTAGAAGATTTCGACTTCGAACCATACCACCCAGCGGTGGTCGAGCTATTCCACTGCCGCCAGCTGGAAGATTCGTCGCATCAAAAGCGTCTCGCTACCATGTTCATCGAGAAAACGAAACTCTGCCAGTCCATTGGCCGGGTGCTCTTCGCTCAATATTCGCCGTCACAGCGGCAGTTCGGCATGACCCACCTAACAACGATAGCTCTTGTCCCGCGACAAGCAGCAGAGTCGGAGCTCGCCAGGTGCAGCCAACGGCTCGAGTCCTGGCTCAATTCCCTCCCGAAGGATGCCCAGTTCATTCCTGCTACACGACCCAACTCTGAAGATGGGGAAGACGTCCTACTACTCCACGGTGCCATGCTCCGGATGCTGTATCACACGACAATCAGCGCTTTACATCGACCCTGGGCCTTCCCCCCGACCAAAGCCGACAACAAAGCCCGTCACGAGTTGGCCAACACCGCACGTACCAAGATGCACGACGCTGCTGTCGGGATCACACAGATCATCCAAGGCCTGAACCGGCTAAACCTCACTCGCTTTCTACCCCAGTCCGGCGTCACGGTCATCACCCCAGCGGCGGTGGCCCACCTAGCCAGTACCATGTCGGATAATCCAAGCGTTCGTGAAGCCGGCATCTTCAACTTCCAGCGTTGCATTCAAGTCCTCCAGGGTATGAAAGAAATCTACCCCGCCGCAGACATGGAGATGGCCAACGTGGAAGCCGCCGTCAAGGTTCAGACCGGCAGCGTAGGCACATTTCTCCGCATCATGCAATACAATGACACGCAACGCGAGCCACAAGGGCGAAGAGACAGCCTGGCACCGACCATCCAAACAATCACATCTCCATCTGGAGGCGAGCAAATACCACCCGAATGGGCAGTCCAAGACAACTCCATCCGCCAGCACAATCAACCACAGCAACCATCTCACCCGCATCCCCAACACACACCCTCAAACCCAACAGCCTCCCTACAACCAACCCGCAACGCACCCCGTCCCTCTCCCACGCAAAACAAGACGACCACCCCACCCCACCAGACCACTTCACCCCCCACTTCACCAACAGCATCTTCCACGACCGCTCTCCCACCTCCACAACACCCTACCCCCAAACCGACCCCCTCAAGCCTCGCACCGAACCCTCCAGCTGGCCCGAAATGGACGTCAACTGGGCCGAGGAGCTCCTGCGCGACACAGACCTCAGCCTCGATTTCTCAGGAACAGCAGACGAGAACTTCGCGCACGACGTGTTTGTTTTCCCGCCTGAAGCGGATTCTTATGTTCCTCCCGATGCTAGTGCTGGCAGTGGCAGTTGGGACGGGGGCAGGGTGCAGCATCCTCCTCATTCCCATCCCCATCCCCATCGTCATCGTCAGAATACGAACGGCGACATCACAGGCGACTTGGACCGCGACTTGGGGATCGGTTTATCAGGGGATGAGATGTTTTGACTTATCTAGCTAGCTAGCGTTTTAGCGTTGATCATTCCTATTTACCGTGTTTTTCTTGTTTGTTTTTCTGTGGTATACGTTTACGTTACGCATGATATGATATGACATCTGGATGGGTATATAGGTTATCGGTATTGGATATTGGATGGGTATACGCGGTGTATCTAACGACAGGGATATGTAGTATTCAGACATTCGTTTAGTGGTGTATGGTATGCTGTACGTGATAAATGAATTGAAACAATCTGATCTATCAGGCTTTATGCTTCAGGCTCGTCTCTTTACATGCCATCAGATACTAAAGGTCAACCTAGAGATGACCTCATACAGTAAACCAAATATGAGGTGATATACAAGAATTTTCCATGAAGAAACCAAAAAGCTCTATAATTCAGCATCATACCGATCCCAATCAGATCCCAGGAAAAGTAACCTCCCTCCCTCCCTTACTTCTAAACAAAACAAAAGATAAACCTACATACTAATCTATACATGGACATGCAGGTTTACCTCGACCACCGATTGCCCTCGTCGCCCGCCTCCCATTCTTGCTCAACATAGCCCAGAGTCTTCTTGACTTCCAGCACAGTCGACTTGTCGCCGGTGTTCTTGCCCAGGTTGTCGCTGAGCTTGACTGCGGAACGGCCGTTTGCGCTCGCGATCTTGATGACGATGTTGAGGGGTTTGGACTTCTCGTTGGTGGCTGTGTTGATGTAGTCGTCTGCGGTTGTGGTTAGACTCGTCTTTATAACCCTACACGTGAAGAGGAGGGGAAAGAAAACGTACTGGTGAAGAAAGTGCCCACTCCAAAAGTCGGCTTGAAGCCTGCCTCTTCGGAGATAGACTTGTAGTCGAGACAGTGCTCGATGTTCAGCGAGTCGGAGAAGACGATGGTCTTGGGCTGCTGGATGCCCTGTTGGTGGTAGAAGTCGCGCACCATTTTGACGAATTGTCTCGGGTCGCCCGAGTCCTGGCGCACGCCTGTGTATACGTCTGCGTAGGTCTTCTTGGAGTCGCGAACGGAAGACTCGCTGTCTGTGGGTGGGGCGGGGACGGGTTTGCGGAAGGCGTCGAGGAAGTTGGGGGTGCCGAAGGTGTCTGTTAGGGCGATTCCTAGGACCTGGAATGAGATTAGCCCTGCAGCTCTTGATGCCTTTGGGAAATACCGTTAAAGAAAGCACTTACCCCCTCGCCGAAACACCCAAGCCAGTATCGCAACGCCATCTCGTTGGCATTGCGGTAGTCGTTCGTGATGGCTGCAATACCCATGTACCACTCATGGGCTACCGTGCCGACAGGGTTGACGTCGTATTTCATAGCGAAATGCACGTTGCTCGTGCCCGTGAACACCCCCGACCAGCCGTTCTTCTTACTCTCCTCTACGGCGCGTTGCAAGCCCGTCATCACGATATCTTGGGTGTGGTAGTCGCGGCGTCGTCGCGTCCCAAACTCGGAGAAGGCGCAATCATTCTCGAGCAACGTGCAGCCCTTGCGGAAGGCCTTATCCTCCTGATTGCTGTAATCCCAGTCCTTATCGATGAACATGAAGTATGCCTGGCTGGTCAGGGACAGGAGGGGAATCTCGTAGAGGATCGTGTCGAGCCAGAGCCCTTTGACGAGATATTCCACGCTTCCCGTGTCGCTGTCGCTGCCTGTGTCTTGCTCGGGGGTGAATGTGACGACGAGTTGCTCCGAGGGTTTCAACTTGAAGGAGGAGAGGAAGTCCAGGTATCCGTCGTTGAAGTAGGGGCATCGTTTCTTGAGGAAGGCGATTTCGTCGGGGGTGACTCGAATGGAGCCGAGGCCTAGCAATTATTGTAAGTCCGGGCTATCATAGTATGCGCTCGCGATAATATTGCACGTACGTTCGATCTGCTGGAGAATCCATTTGTAGGCCCCGCGCGATAGCTGCATATCCGGGGTGCGGTTCGTGAAGCCGTAGGTCACATCTGCATGTCGTGAGAATTCATCCTGCGTATTTCAGCGCAAGCTGTACTTACGAACATCGGGAAAGTATTTCAGAACGGCGCATTGCATCGTCAACTTGTACAAGTCGGTATCAAGCAGCGAGGAAACGCCCTCCGGCTGCGGAGGGGATCCTTCCTGGCCCATTTTCGCAATTTGTCCGCGACAGTCTAAACCGAGAGATTAATAAAATTCAGAAATTCTGCGCTTCGCGATTCTATGTCAGAATATCAGTAAATAGCTTCTAGGCGGGGCGATTGAGTCAAGATGAAGAAATCGCGAACGGGCTGCGCGGGGGATCGCCAAAAAGATAGCGGCGTTTGCACTGTTTGACGAAAATTGCCAGTCGACGTCATGCTTCATTCACCAGGGGACGTACCTCTGCTATGGATGTTTTTCTGTTATGCTTAATGTTGTAGGTTGTTTACCCTCAGGTATGTTCTGTTGATATTAGGAAAGATGAAGTCAATATGATGGTCTATCGGGTCCGTATTCGGGTAAATTAGGCGCAGGACAATATATATATCCGGTTGGTGATCTACAAGCAGCTATGACCACCGTTGATACAGAGCAAACAAACAGCTCCATGGTATGACCTAGAAGATGATAAATACAATCATCGAACATTTTATCTGTTTATATTGGTCACCCAACGGCCACAAGAAGATAGTTGCTTGCCTGAGATCTAAGGCAGACTGCCCCGCCATTCGATAAGGCTGTGGCTGAGCCTACTGTGGCTAGTGGATTCCAGCAAGTGGCGCAGACCGGAATAATACTGCTCCGGATAAAGACCGCTATCGCTTCCTTTCATTTCACCCTTCGCGCCACTCGTTGCTTTCATCGCTACCTTCAACTTGGTATCAGGGACCATTTGCTCAATACCTTTACCCAGATCCATTAGGGCTGTAGTGTCTGTGGTTCAAATTTGAAAGACACAATGTCCCACGGCTCGGAGGACTGCGCGTCGGTGCTGGAGCAGTTTGTCCACGATGTCGCGAACTTACCGGCCGAAATCAGCCATTTGATGGAGGAGATCCAGGCCAAAGACAAGACCATCCAAGACTGTCGCACAACGATAAACTCGCGCGATACTAGTCTCCAGAAATTCATCAAACTCAACGGCAGCTTGACGCCCAACCCGAAAGAAGAGCAATACGGCAAGACGATTCTACAAAACCTGGACAAGTCGCAGCAGCTCCAAGACGAAAAGATCCAACTGAGTGAAAAGGCCTGCGTGCTTCTCGACCGACAGATCCGAAAGCTGGATGTCAAAATCCGCGATCTGGTCAACGACGGCGTCCTGACCAACGACCCTCCCCTCCCCTCCCTCTTCAACAACAAAGACGAATATCGCGAACCCCCGAAGATCTTCTTCCCCGAAGCCTCCTCCGAATCCACCTACTCCACTCCACTGAATTCGACCTCCGCCAACGCCAACGTGATCATCGGCGCCACACAACGATTGAATCAGTCCCTAGCCCGCTCCGTCGGCCCAGCAGCCCTGAACTCGCCCACCCACGCGCGCAGTTCCGCGCCTGCCACCCCCGCCGCGGCCACAGCACACTTCCAACAACGCCAGCGCGAGTCCTCCGCTGGCGCCGTCGACACCAAGCGCCGCCGGCTCAACCTGGGCACCCTCCCCGCGGCGTCGTCCAACCTCCGACAATCCTCAATCGGCCCCGGCACACCCAAAGGCGGCACCCCAGCCACAAGCCGCGCCGGCAGCGTCGGCCCCGCACAGCCGCCACAACCAAAAAAGCACTGACAAAGAAAGTCGCACCACACCAACAGGTGAAGAAAGTCCGGTTATCATCCGGCCTGGGCAAGCCCAGCAAACGGTCATCCAGCGCCAGCGGGCGCATCAAGCTCTCAGGACCCAAGAAATCCCCGTCAGCCGCAGGCGGCGACGAAGACGAAGACGACTCCATGCTCAGCAGCGCCGACATGTCAGAGTCCGAGATCGCGAGCGATCCCCGCCGGGGCGACGAGGACGACGAGGACGAAGACGAGGGCAACGAGGATACCAAGGTCTACTGTACCTGCCGGAGCGTCAGCCACGGCGACATGGTGGCTTGCGATAACGAAGACTGCGAGTTCGAGTGGTTCCACTGGAAATGCGTGGGGTTAACGCGGGAACCTGTCGGGAAGTGGTATTGTCCGCAGTGTGCCGCTAAATTAGGCTGATTTGGTATACCCTGGGTTTTTTTCTTCTTTGTTTTATACTGTATGATTATATGAATAGCGGGACTGGTGGGTAGGTAATATGTTCGGGATTGTATTTAAGGTATTTCCAATGGTCTGCGAGGTATTTGATCCAACACAGCCCATTTGACGGTAACCGTCTTATCCTCCTAGATGCTATCCTATCTGCAAGATTCTCGTATCCATACATCGCGTGTATTGAGAAAACAGGACCACGCTGGGACCATCCCAATCGACAATAACGCCATCGCTATGCAAAATTATACCAATCCAGCGCCAGTGCACTGGCGTACACGCAAATCATAAAAAGGAGAAGAAAAAAAGGTGGCAACTTTAGAAACCCAACGCCTTTTCCAACCACGGGTCAAAGTACTCGCAGCTCTCGGGGCTGACGGCGCCGCCGGGCGCGCACAGCTTGAAAACCGGACACTGACCGCAGGGCGCCTCGGTCATGCCGTTGGTGACGAGCCGGTCGTCGGTGTCGTCGGTGGTGGGCTTCTTGGCCGTTTTCTGCTTGATGGCTTCGGGGTTGTGGACGGAGCGGTAGATCTCGCCGTTGTTCAGCGCGACGAGCTTGTTGTCGTAGCAGAGCATCTCCAGCAGCTGGGTGATGCTCTCTTCGCCGAGTCGGACCGGGGTGATGCCGCTTTCGTTGACGGCGGCGGTGATCATCTCCACACTGGGGTAGCCTTGGTATCCGGCCGGGAAGGGGATGTATTCCTTGGGGCCGGGCTCTTGTCTCGCGGAGGCGGTTCCATCGGCCGTCTTGATGCGCTTGCTGCGGGGACCGCCGTCGGCGGAGGGCATCTCGTACCAGCTCTTGCGGCTGACGGTGTACTCGATGAAGCCGGCGACAGAGTTGATGAAGTTCTCGTCCAGCATGCCGTCGGTGAACCACGCGCCGCCCGTGATGTCCTCGCTGGGGGCGAGCCCCGCGAGCATGTACGTTTTCCGGCTGGAGTGTTTGACATTGTGGACGCTTTTGATGTAGTTTTTGCCTTCGAGCGATTTCAGACAGCGGTCGAGGATGGACTTGTGCAAATTGGTGCGGTTCTGGATGGCGCGCACCCAGATGCCGGTGCGGCCGGTCGAGTGGATGACATTGTAGACTAGACTTTCGTCGGGGGAGAGGTTCTGGAGTCTGATTGCATCACATTAGTCTCAGTCTCCTCACATCGGACAAGGTGAAGATAGGGCACGCCTACTTTTCCGCATCCTCACGCGAGATGACCTTCCACGCTAGCCGGTCATTTTTACCCTGCAGCAGTCGGAACAGTTTCTGATCGACCAGCGACTGGGTGCACTGCAGCAGCAGCGGGATCTCATTCTTGGGAACAATCCCCAGACCCAACAGATCCTGCTGGTAGAACAGATGGTCCGAGGGGTAATTGCTGACGCAGATATCGTAGATCTTCGACGCCAGCTCGGGGACCGAGTTGCTGGCCATTTTGACGTCGGGAAAGCCGTGAAGGAAGGGAGTCGTCTATCGCAGTTAAGGTGGAGGAGGAAGCATGTTCAGAGACGCATCGCGCACGACTGTCCTGAGAGCAAGAAGATTCAAGTATGGAGGATGGAAAGATAAAAAGATGTTTCTCGGATGACTCTTTTGGGTTAGCGTAACGCTAGCCCACACACGGACTAGCGTAGAATAGCTCTGTCTGCCTCAGGCATGAAGGCTCCCCGAAATTTCTCGAAGCTCCGATAAGTGACGAATGATCGATCCATTCGCTTCCATCATTCACTCCCGCTTTTCTCTCTTTCTCCCTTCCCCAGTTCTCACCCACACCCACCATCTCACCTACTCTGTACATTTCTCTATTCTTGCATCACCATGGCCGATGCTCTCAAAGCTGAGGGCAACAAAGCCTTCTCTGCCAAGGATTACGCTACTGCGGTGTAGGTATATCCTGAGAGCTCCGTTACCCCACCTGTGCTGATAATGGTGCAGTGAGAAATTCACCCAGGCCATCCAGATTGAGCCCGAGAACCAGATCCTCTATTCCAACCGGTCGGCAGTCTATGCCGCGCAGTCGCAGTACGAGAAAGCGCTTGAGGATGCCAACAAGGCCACCGAGATCAAGCCCGATTGGTCCAAGGGTTGGGCCCGAAAGGGTGCCGCCTTCCGTGGTCTTGGAGACCTCTGTAGGTCACTTGAAGAGATTATTCAATGGTCGTTTCTCTAATAACATTTAGTGGCCGCCCACGATGCCTACGAGGAAGCCCTGAAGATCGAACCCGGTAACGATCAGGCCAAGTCCGGCTTCAGTGCCGTCAAGAGGGCCATTGAGGCCGAGGCCCAGGCCGATGGCGCCCCCGCCGACCCCATGGGTCTGGGTGGCATCTTCAACGACCCCCAGCTGTTCCAGAAACTCGCCAGCAACCCCAAGACCTCCGCTCTGCTCGCGGACGGTGAGTTCATGGCCAAGTTGAAGCGTGTGCAGCAGGACCCCCAGAGTGTCGGTGCGGAGATCCAGGACCCGCGTTTCCTGCAGGTGATGAGTGTTCTGCTGGGTATCGACATGAGCTTCGGTGCCCCGCCGGAGTCGGCGGGCGGCGCGAAGCCCGAGGCGGAGGAAGACGCCCCGATGCCCGACGCTCGCCCCCAGCAGAAGGAGCCCGAGCCCCAGCCCGAGCCCGAGCCGGAGGATGAGGAGGCGCTGGCCAAGAAGAAGGCCCAGGAGGCCGGAGACGCGGAGAAGAAGATCGGCAACGATTTCTACAAGAAGCGCCAGTTCGACGAGGCCATCGAGCACTACACCAAGGCCTGGGAGCTGCACAAGGACATCACGTACCTGAACAACACGGCTGCCGCCAAGTTTGAGAAGGGCGACTACCAGGGCGCCATCGAGACCTGCAAGAACGCGATCGAGGAGGGCCGTGAGGTCCGCGCCGACTTCAAGACGATGGCCAAGGCCTTTGGCCGCATCGGCACGGCGTACGAGAAGCTGGGCGACCTCGCCCAGGCCATCGAGTACTACAACAAGTCGCTCACCGAGCACCGCACCCCCGATATCCTGAACAAGCTCCGCAACGCCGAGAAGAACAAGGCCAAGGCCGAGAAGGAGGCCTACGTCGACCCCGCCGAGGCCGAGAAGGCCCGCGAGCTGGGCCAGAAGAAGTTCCAGGAGGCCGACTGGCCCGGTGCCGTCGACGCGTTCACGGAGATGACCAAGCGCGCCCCGCAGGATCCCCGCGGGTTCTCCAACCGCGCCGCGGCGCTGATCAAGCTGATGGCGTTCCCGCAGGCGGTGGCGGACTGCGACGAGGCCACGGCCCGCGACCCCAAGTTCATCCGTGCGTACGTGCGCAAGTCGCAGGCGCTGGTGGCGATGCACGAGTACAACAAGGCCCTGGATGCCTGCACGGAGGCGTCCGAGCACGACGACGGCAAGCACGCTCGGGAGATTGAGCAGCAGCAGCAGAAGTGCCTGGACGGACAGTTCAGCGCACGCGCCGGCGAGACCGAGCAGCAGACCATGGAGCGGATCCAGAACGATCCTGATGTAAGCCTTCCCTACCTTTCTTTCTATAGGTATAGACTAATGTTTCCAGATCATGGCCATCCTGCAAGACCCCGTCATGCAGAGCATCCTCCAGCAGGCCAAGACCGACCCGGCTGCCCTCCAGGAGCACATGAAGAACTCGCAAGTGCGGACCCAGATCCAAAAGCTGATGGCGGCCGGTGTGATCCGTCTTGGGCGGTAAGCCCGTCCAGCGTCGATGATGGACATGGATATGAAAAGTGGTGTCTGGTAGCGGAATGACATGCATGTTTAGTGTTTCTGTATTTAATGAGATGGCATCAATGAATGTAACGAATCTGATACATCATTTTCTATTGGGATTAACTACGAACAACCTCTAGGCAGGCATACCCAGTTTGACCACGCCGTGTAACCAACAACAACAACAACAACAACAACAACAAACACTCCCAGCCCAGTTCACCATATCCCCATCCCCCGACCCATCCCAACGTCTCAACTGACCCCCGATGAGCATGAGCCGCAAGCAATCACCCCCCCTTCCTCTACACCCATGAAATCCCTCAACCAGCCACCGCCAATAGCCTAGCACTTCTGTGCGTAGCGACAGGTTGTTTACCACACAGCGCATGTACGGTATACGGTATCCCTCGCACTGGATTTACAATCTCACGCAGCGCGACAGGCCGGTCCCTGCTATCTTGACGCATGCAAACTGCCGAGTCCTCGTGTTCTCTAGACCTGCCGTCCAGTGCTTGCCGCTATGCATGCCTCGCAGCACCAGCTAGCCGTACGTACCTACCGGTTACCAACAGGTCATGACTGCCTACGCGCTCATACTAGCATGGAAGCCATGCATTAGGAGAGCAAACATGCTGGATCGACTGTCATACAGGGAGAGGGAAGGGGAGAAGGGGTGGGGGGAGTCATGAATCGAGTCCGATACTCACCAGACCAGCAGTGCCAGGAAACTATAAATAAAATGGAGCCAACCCCGGATGAATACAGCATTCAACAGAAATTCATCTACTCTTGCAACGAAAAAGATACTACACAATCATCATTACTATCCGTTCACAGTGTCTAGTCCAGCAAAAAAGGAACCAAAATGAAGTCCTTCATGCAAGTCGCGACCTTCCTCGCCTGCTGCGTTTCGCCAACCCTAGCTCTGCCCGAGGCCGTCCCTGAGACGAACAGTCTGCTTCAGTTTGGGTCGTTTACTGTTGAGGGCGAGACGTTCCATGGAGAGGCGGTATGTTTTCCCCCTTCTTTCCCCAGCTCTCAACTCTCACTACATTCTGGATATAAGATAGAACCTAACAGATGGATTCAATAGGGCGTCATGATGAGCGTAAGTTCCGCAAACCAGCCGATCCCTTCCAACTGAGATATGATATACGAAGGTGGAGTATATATATCAATCTTATATGAATATAGAAGAGAGACACCCTCGACACGCTCAAATGCACTCGGTGCGTCGGCCACCACGGTCTGTGCACCATCGGCGAAGGGAATTGCTACGCGCCTGATGGGTGCTTCTTTTGTGGCAAGTGTGGGCCGAAGACGGCGAGGTGTCAGGATCCGAAGAAGGGGAAGTGTCAGTGCTATTTGTGATTGATTGATTGATCGATGGATTTTGGTTTCGGTGGATGGTGGGTAGTGATAGGAATGAATGAATACTGTGCTGGTTCTCTTGCAGTAGGATTTGGTATCTAGAGCTAGGATAACATACATACATACATACACTGAATGAGTGAAGACGATAATATCTACTACCCCACCAAATACTCCCACCACCCCTTCTTCCACGTCCTCCCAAACCGATGGTTCAAGCACGCATGGGAACTGCTGAACCCTTCGGCACCACTATGGCGCTGACCATTCCCCCACACGTTAACAGGCAGCACGCAAAAGCCACCCATATCTCCCTCGCGGGCCTCATCCGCATCAACACAGACCTGCTGGGTGATACGGTGAAACGGCGCCCACGATACCTGCTCACTGTCCAAATCGCCAATACTTTCATCAGCCTCGACAGACTGCCTAACCAGCCAATGCTGTGAATTCAATGTCTCAGACAGCCCATCCAAAACCGCATCAGTGAATACCCCCGGACCCGTAGCCTCCAAAACGACCTTCTCGTCGTAAGACGGCGCCCACAATAGAGACCGTAGCCCCCAGCGGTGCCGCTCGTTCTGTTGTCTGGCGTGCGCGAGGACGCGCACAATGACGCGCCGTAGTAGCGGGCTGAATCGCTGCGGAGCGTACATGGCATACTGGGTGAAGCCGTAGCTGCGGCTCCAGTGCCAGTTGCGCATGAGCTGGGGAGAGGCGTAGGGTTCGTCGATCTCGATGCCGACTATGAGCGAGACGTTGTTGTTGCTGTTGGGAGGGTCTAGGAAAGGTTGTAACGAGGGACAGGCGTTGATGGGCCGCGCTGGGAAAATGTCCATGTCGGCGTAGAAGCCGCCGTGGTACCAGAGGAGGAGGTAGCGGAGGAGGTCGGCGCGGAGGACGTCATGCGGGTAGGCGTGGTAGATTTGGTGGAGGTCGGGGATGGTGTGTGAGAGGGTGGAGATGAAGTCTGTTGCTTCGGTGTTGGTGACGAGCTGGTGATTCATTTAGTCGTGTTGGGTTGATGAGAGGATTTGGGAGGGGTGCTCACGTTGTAGGCCCAGTCTGGATTTGCGCGCTCCAGACGAATGGAGTCGTCGCCTCGCTGGAGGTTTGGCTTGTTCCCTAGCAGTATCTGCCAGATATACTGCTCTCCATTGTCTCTTCTGGTGTATGATGGCGCCGAAGATATCGACTGCTCTACTTCCTGCAGAGCTGCGGACAGTTCCCCCTCGAAGTCCAGATCTGGATCCTCGCGAAACAACGAGTGGTACAAAAACCGAGGCACATCTTCGACGTCATGCTCAGGAGGCGGTCGATCTGCGCGCGTATTGTTTTTCGTTTTTGGAGGGGCGGGAATATGCTTGATGATGCCGTATGCTGCGAGCGCGAGGCTGACGAACAGCAACCAGCGCGTCTTTCGCGTCCATCGGAGGAAATAGCGCCTTCGTCTGATAAGGGTCATTGTTGTACGGAGAAAAGAAATGAAATGAGAGATGAGAGGAAATCCATTTTGTCTGACAAAGAAGCACAGAAAATAAGCAAGTGCCAACGCAGGCGAATCGGGCGTTCCAGTTGGTGGTGCTGACTCGATTTGGAGCAAACAAAGGATTCCAGCTTCCTCCACTCACTAGATCCTCACTGGCTTATCTGTCACGACAAGGCTGTCACTCGAGAAGGGGTCAAAGTCTAATTAAGATCTACTCGGTGCGCAAAGAAAATATTTTCAGTAATCCAGTCAGTGCCAGAACCCTCCTGTGCTGTCTATCGACTGCTGACCATTGCGTGTATCCATCGTACATCGAGTGCGCAGTCGACAGCTCCGCCAACCAGAGTTGTGCGTATATCACTGGGTTCGACTTATCTTTGATAAGTATTCTAGATGGCTCTTCGTCACTTGGTGATAATGTTCAGATACTAAAATACACCACCAGAGTCAACAGCAATCAAGCTTCAGTCACTCAGCCTCGGCGGCCATGGAACCCAGGGTGGCGGAGCTAAGTGGCTTGACAGCGCTAGCTGGTTTAGGTCTAATATGTGTATATGTGAAATGCATTAATCCAAGTCGCGTCCTGCTTGGAATCGTGTCAGCCTTGCGGGGGGATAGTAACATCTCAGCCTTCCAGGCGCTCGCGTGACTAGCGGCGTATATGGACGTTAGTCGCGATAAGACGAGACTCCCAATCTATCCCTGTTATCGACTCTTCTCGCAGCAGTCTATGCTGGAAATTTACTCCTTCGAGGCCGATAATGGGCTCAAAATCTAAGGGTTATCGTCACACGGCTCGCGTACTCGGCTCCAAACAGCAGGTCCGTAGAGGAACGCCGCCGCTTCCTGAGGACCCCTCTTCTCCTCGATGGTCTCCAGAGAAGTAAGTCTTCGCGCTAGGTTTGTCGAATGGCCAACCTAACAACGGCGGATAGACTGGAGCAGCCGTATCATGAGTCAGTCAAGATCGGGGACGACGAAAGCACTGCCGTGGAGACATCCGAAGAAGACGAAAGCAGGGAAGACTACGATATCTTCGAGTCATCCGACGAGGACCGAAGCACGGTCGTGGAAATATCAGAGGAAGATGAAAGCAGACAAGACTACAACGTCTTAGGGGTATCCGAGGATGGCCAACGAGCGGAGGGCAATTTACGGGCGTGGTTACGATCGTTCCGCTCGTTCGATGAGCACTTGTACTCGCGAGATGATGGCTGGAGCGAGTCGACCGCGTCGAGTGTCGGGGCGACCGGGCACATTGCAACGCATGACAATGTCGCCACGATTATGGCCTGGCTGAGTTCGATCGACCATAATTGGCATCGAGAAGGGACCTTCCGTGATCAATGCCCAGGAACAGGGCAATGGATTTTGTCGTCAAATGGGGTCCAGAACTGGTTGAACAGCGAAAAGCAGACTCTTTTTTGCCCTGGCATCCCCGGCGCCGGCAAGACAATGGCTGCATCGCTTATTATTGACCATCTACAGAATCATTTTGCAAAAGGGAATGTAGGCATTGCATATCTATATGGTCGGTTCTATGATCATACATATAATATTCACGATATCCTCCGGAGCCTGTTGAAACAACTGGCGCTGTGTCGACCAACTGTTCCCGACGCAGTTCGATCGATTTACCGATACCAGAAACGCCGTGGAGCCGGTCCACGTCTAGAGAAGATATTCAAGGCCTTGGATAGTGTGATGGGTTTATTTTCGAGGGTGTTTATCGTCGCAGATGCGCTCGATGAACTGCCGCTCTCGGAACAAGAGCTGGAGCTTGTCCTGTCCGAGATAACTGTCTGGCGGTCTCGATATAACGTGAATCTACTCGCCACCTCGCGTCCAGTCCCCTCCATCAAACGATATTTCTACGATGCACCAACGCTCGAGATCCGCGCCGATCAAGGGGATGTCAAGACATATCTGAGGTGGAGACTGAAAGCATTCCCCTTGCGTGTCAAACCACTACTTCAACAGAAAATCATCAGTGACATTAGCAGTGCGGCGTGTGGAATGTAAGTCACCACTTCCTCTAATGGGACAACGCTAAGAGCCCAGGTTCTCTTTCGCCGTGCGCTCGATGGACACACTGGCCGAGTGTCGATCTACTAGAGCTATCCCGGCCCTCCTGGAGACACTCCCCATGTCGATTACCATGGACAGATTTTACAGAGACATTTTGCATCAAATAGTGCACAAGACGGTGAAAGGAAAGCCATCTGGCAAGCTGGTTCTGTTGCTTTTGATCTGGTCGCAACGGCCTCTGACATTGACGGAAATCCAGCATGCCGTGGCCATGGACACCGTGGGTCCCAGATGCGACCCCGCCTTAGATTCAGACAGCTTGCCTGAAGTTGACGACATGCTCTCGGCCTGTCTCGGGCTTCTCACGACCGATCCGAAACGACGCATATTTGATTTCACCCACCACACAGCGGCAGAATACTTCAAACGAAAGTGTACGCGTAACGCTTCCTACGCCCACTTCAGGATTGCTAGACTCTGTATCAACTATCTCTCACTCCAGGAATTTGCGGCGGGAGTTTGCGGCACGGACGAGGAGTATGAGCGGCGTCTAGCTCGATATCCATTCTACAAATACTCCGCCAAGAATTGGGGGTTCCATGCACGGCACAGATATTTTGGGGAACCGCCAGGTCTTAACTTACTGGTAGATGTTGCTAGGGTATCTGTGTGCTTGCAAGGCATTTTTGCAGAGCCAGGCACGGTGGGATATAGCCAACGTTATCCTACAGCCACTGGCATGCATCTCGCGGCACATTTCGGGCTGGATCACCTGTACAGTGACCTCATCGTCGAGGGGCAGCAAATCCAAGCCAAAGACAGCAATGGGCACGCTCCATTGTGGTGGGCACTAGAGCAGAGACAGCATCGGATGGTGAAAGTACTGAAAGATAAGGACAACATCACGCTCCGACAGCTGATCAAGGTCGGCAGGAGAGATCTGATCAGGAGACTGCTCGATGCGGGATACGGCGCCAATTCTCTAGACTTCTTTCGACGGACACCACTGCACAGCGCCATCTCCTCGGGCGCCCAGGACCTGTTGATAGATTTTGTGGAAGCCGGCGCAGATGTCAACATCCGGGACGGAGATGGCGCGACCCCGCTACGTCTTGCCGTCCAGCTCTACCGACACCACCTCATCGACATTCTTCTGCGGTACGGCGCGTCGCCGGAAGATGTTAGCTTGTCCGAGTGGCGGAGGTTGTACCGGCGTAAGCGATCTGATATTGCAGTGTTGACCGCCAAAGACAACAATGGACTGTCTCTTCGATTCACCACTTCCAAGGAGGACTTTGCGGTGGGGGCCCGCGGCAACGGCCACAAAAGTCACTACATGTGGGTTATCCCGTCGATGCAGATAGCATCATACTAAACAGCACCAGACTTCACGGGAGTTGCATACCGTGGTATAGCATCTTCACCATCCCAAAAGTCAGTCCGGCCCAGTTCGAGCTGGCCATCCATATATCAAGGCACGAAGACGAAACCGAATTTCAATATGCGCTTTTTTCTTATATGCCCAATCGACACAAGCCGGCGGACTCCAATGAGAGCCACGACCAAGTTGGCATAGCCTGGAAAGTAAGATGGCAGACGGATGAAGAGAGCGCCGAGTACTGGCAGTCAACAGACTACTACAGCACACTGCCGTACGTCTGGATGCCTGTCGGTGGTATCGACCTGTTACTTCACTTCCTGCGCTACCTCAACCAAAAATGGGTTGAGCTGACCGAGTCGGAGAAGAAGTCACTGGAGACTTTTGTCAGTAGCAGCAACCCAGTTCCCGTAGCAGGTCACTAATCGAATTGGCTCACAGCGGCGGAACGTCTTCCGCGGCAAGGGCAAATCCCGCGATATACTTGACGAGCTCCTCCAAGACACTGATATGTGCAACTACCTTAGAACCACCCTACAGGACCATGTGCTCAAAGTTAAAGAATTTGGAAATGAATACTGCCGACGGCACGAAGGCGACGATGCCATGAAGCAGGTGCACGAAGCGACAGACTGCTTGTTCGGGGATGTTAGCCAGCGGATCGATTCGTTGGATAAAGCATGTCAGGATCTTATCCAGATCGTACGTTACTCTTTTCTTTCGACGACCGTAATCAGATGATCGACAAATTAACCATTCCCAGGAGTTCAACCTTGTTTCGATCAACGAAGCCCGACTGTCGACATCTACAACCATGAGTATGAAACGGCTGAGTTGGATTACAGTACGTGGCATAGAATATATAATGGCAGCTCACTAACATGAGGGGATAGTTTATCTTCCTCCCCGCTACGTTCACATCGGTATATCCTCCTAGGCATCTTTTCCATGAGAGTCATTTGGCTGATCCCTACAAAAGACCGTCTTCGGCATGAACATTAACCTCCTAGAAGACAACCCCAGCTGGTGGTGGTATCTTCCATTTCTGGGGGGTGTTATGATGCTGACCCTTGTCGGATGGCTGCTGTTCAAACACAACCCCGTGCGTTGATCGTCTCAGGCATCTATTGTGGACAATGTGCGATGCTAATATCAAAATGCAGAATGCCGAGCTCAGTGTCGATCGGAGGATAGAGGCGGTATTTGGACAGGGTCGGTTGAAGAAGAGAAACCAAGGGGAAGTGTGAGTTATATATTTTGCACAACAAGGCTATCTCTATATTTATATACATATGTACCCGGTTTTCTACATAGCTCCAACAGTTCCTCTTCCTGTTATAGTGCTCCCCTCTTTCTGCTTGTTGCTTACTACGTAGACCGGTAGGATTACGCCCGGAAACCCGACCCCAAATCACCCAGAGACTTTACAGGGCTCTGCGGATGATTCATTGGTTGTGGAGACCTTCCGTTGTTCGTGGCTGAGCTGCCTTCATCGGGTTGGTTGGGCTGGGATGCTCATGACTCTTGACCGCTATTCCAGCACTTGGGAACCTTCTATATCAGGAGGCATCTAGGTTCTCCAGGGGTGCGGCTCTCCTACCACGTTTAGATCCTTGGAGAGTTTGACGTGATATAGGACCCCTTGTGCCCAGTTCAACAATGCGATCAATCCCGAAGACCAGAGAGCTCTGAGACCGTACTGCCATTTGTTTGCCGTTTTACATACTTCACCCACTTACGATTCGAAGCCAAGATGGAAGTACGAATGCACTACGACGATGCTGCCTGGGAAATAAGCGATAAGATTGCCGATGCCTGGCCGAACCGCATTTTCGATCCAGTTGTTTTCAATCAGATTGGACATTTTCTTCTCGAGCACTACCAGGCTGGTGACGCCGTTCAATTTACACCTTTACCGACAGGGGCTTTCAATCTGGCTCTGCGGATGAAATTCGAAAGAACCCGCGATGCTATCATACAGTTCCCTTTACCTGGTGCTATCATGTTCCCTGAAGAAAAGGTTCGTAATGAGGTCGCGGTCGTGCGGTTTATCGCATATAAATCTGCGATTCCGGTTCCGTTTATCATTCACTCAGGCCGGAAAATGGAAAGCCCATCACAAGTGGGACCTTTTATCATCATGGAATATGTCGAGCATCACGCAAATATGTTCGAGATCCTCAAGACCCCGGGGCGTCCAAACCATGAACGAGTAACACTGAACCCAGATATCAGTCCCACCATACTGAGGGGTTTCTACAGAGAAATGGCGAGCGTCCTCTTGTCGTTGTCAAAACTGTCCCAGGAAAAGATAGGGTCTCTTTGTCAGGTTGATGATACTACTTGGGAAGTAGCCGCCCGGCCTCTGTCTCTACACATGAACGAACTTGTACGGCTAGGGACTCTGCCCCGGTCGAAATTACCAGTCAGCACATTTAATTCAGCGTCTTCTTACTTCGAAGCTTTGGCTGAATTACACATCTCACACCTTATAAGCCAAAAGAACGATGCGGTGAATTCAGCCGATGACTGTCGGCGCAAATTCGTTGCTAGGTTCCTCTTTCGGAAAATTGTTCGAGACCAAAATCACAAATCGCAGTGGATATTCTCTGATAATGGCCCCTTTCCGATCTGGTGTGACGACCTTCGACCAGGAAATGTTCTGGTAGATGCTGACCTCAAAATTGCTGGGGTAGTAGACTGGGAATTCACATACGCCGCCCCAGTTGAATTCACTCATGCACCGCCTTGGTGGCTTATCCTCGAAAAGCCAGAATATTGGCTCAAAGGGCTTGATGATTGGTGTATAGAATACGAGAAACGACTGCAACTCTTTCTCGAGGGTATGACTGATTGCAAAGAGAAGGAACTCCCAGGCAAGCAGCGGCTATCTGATCGAATGAGACACAGCTGGGAGAGTGGCGACTTTTGGATCATGTACGCCGCCAGGAACAACTTCGCTTTTGACGCCATATACTGGAAGAAAATCGACCAAAGATTCTTCGGACCGACCAGTCAATGCAATAATATTTGTGATAGATGGAAAGATAGACTGGGTCTCTTGGAACCTGATGAAAAGGAACTTATGGAGAGATGTGTGCAACTGAAGCTTACAGAAATGGAACTTAAAGATTTGGCTTGGGATCCGGATGGGTACACTGCTGAGTATCTCAAGAATATGGATGCTTGATTCTCTTTTCAGGGGCGGCGATCTTGGAGGCCTGGCACTGGTGTTATAGTGATTTACCTTCTACCTACATTGTAGAAGCTCCTTCATATCTGTTAGAAATCGACATGTCAACGAAGGACGCAGCAAAGTTAGGGCCAGGCTCCCCAAGACAAACAGACTCCCTAAGACAGTGTATTCATAGAGCATCAAAATGGTTTTAAGATACGCCAGTTTTTTTGGCTTACATTCTGGCCACCCAAAACGCCGAAGGCCATACATACAGACATTTTCCCGTCAAGTAATCGGAATTGGTATATGAAACGTTGGTTGGCCAAAGAATACCGGTTTATGCGAATAAAATTGGTCCTCCCCTACCCTGCCAAGCATGCATTTTGGTGCCGTACGACTGGACCTCCGGGTCGGGACGCTCGACGGCAGAGGCATCAACTGTTGGGAATATCACTCAGGTTAAGCTCCATATCAAACGTTGGTCAACGTTTTTGCGTGGCGGATATGATAAACTACAAGTCTGATCTATATCCCTCGGACCTGTTAGGGAAGGGAAACTATCTTTATCACTCTTGATATATGTCTTACTTTGATATCAGCATATGAAGTTCGATTGATTTCTGTCTACTTGTATCATGATATACAATAGTCTAATTATCTTGACCGAGAGCAGTTTCGCGGGAGGGAAATCTACAATATCATAGGAAGACAACTAAGTATAGAGACATCAATACACTATCACACATTGAGAAATGAAGAGAACGAGCGAATCAAGACGCAAATGAGGAATCAAAAGCTTACTCGTAATCATATCGCTACGTTAGGGCTTGATAGTCGAGCAATCACTACTTTATCCGACGCCATTATTAAAGACTGAGGACTCCGTACTTGCAGGGTTGGCGCTTCTTACAGTCACATAAGCATGGATTCTATTCGCCTCTTTCTGGCGCGTCGCACGAATTGGTGCATGTCTATCCAACCAGTAATTTCTACCATAATTTTGATATCAGCTGGGGCTGAACCCCGCCTTCCTACCCCTCAATATTATGCCATATCATTGGTGACTTTCACTTATATTGCAGGTAATATAAAACTAATACCACCTAGGCATACAGGGTAGACGGTCAAGTGCCCTTTCAGCCAGCCCTAGCCATAAAGCCATCCTACCACGAGCATGATCACGCATCGTATTGCCAACCTCACTCACTGAGGCTCTGAAACCTCGCGATAGATCCAGCTTTCATCCACATTGTGCTCGTTGTATCTGCCATCTTCGATCTACGAAGACTTAGCAACTAGCGTATATCCCTGAAGAATCCAGGACGGGAGATAGGATTCGATGTCCATCGTAAAATGCTATGACGTACAATATAAGTGGTACCCGAGATACCAGTAATGTAGCCAACATATATCGATGCTAATCATAGCATCGAAGATATAGTGTTAGCTGTATTTTTGGACCAAGTGGTAAGGGCTACCGAGAAGGGCCATACAGTCTGCAGTGTGGAAGACGACCATTGTTCCTATTTCATATGCCATTTTGGTGCGTAGACCTTGTGATAGACTGTGAGGGGCTGGGCGGAGGTAGATGGAGATGTCAAAGCAGTGATATTGATCTACGGAGAATGATGATTGGAATAATGCAGAACATCAGGTCGGGGAGTGGTCTAAAGATATTTATATGAAGCTATTACTTGGCAAACTTTATCATACGAGCAGCTTGAGGCCCTATGAGAACGTCAGCTATATTGGTCTCTGTTATATTAAGGACAAAGGATGCTCCCTACGAATAGGTGTCTTGCGGCTGTACGTATTGAAGAATACCTGTCTCATATTTTCAAAACCGGTATAAAATGTCAATGAATACTTTTATATAGATAGATATACCAACGCCTCTCAAATACTCTTGGACACAGACAACACTCTACCAACAATATGATCAAGAACATGCCTTGCGCAATCATACAGCCGGGGTGTCCCGACTTTCAATGAAGTGCTTTTCCTGCATTGTATGCCCTCCCAGCAAACCAAAAATGCAAAAGAAAAAAGAAAGAAAACATACAACAGCCGGGATTCGCATGTGGTCACCCACCATACTACTAACCGGCCGGCGTGTGGCTTAAGTACGGCTGAGCGGACGGGAAGCCCTGTTCTCCACACCCTATGGTCGTATGTACTAGAACAAAGGTTCATCTCGCATAATATCGCGCTCTTTTACATACCATTTGTGGCCCCTTCCGTCCTCAATCAAAAAAGGTTGATAACTAGTCTACTTGTTGAAACATCGGTAATGTAGCCAACAAATCCATCCCCGAGTTGTAATACCGTAGACCTGACATCAATGATACCGGCCATGCGACGGACAATGATAATGGAGATACCCACACCTCATGGGGTATCAACGAGGACCCTTGTCCCTGATGCGTATGGCGTTTCGAGCGAATTGGATGTAGGGCGTTGAATATAGAAGATATAACGGGCAGTAGGGAGATCAGAATAACCTCTGCGAAGGCCGATTATCAAGATGATGAAAGGAAGTCAGTTCCTTGGAAGGCCTTCTGGGGTTTTTTATAGGAGGCTGGTCCTTGGAGAACGCATCACACGAGCAAGCCACACGAACATATCGCATACACTGGGTATTAACATGTAATAGATTAACAACGATGTGGTCCCTCCGATACCTAATAGTTATGGCTTGTGGTTGCAAGCATTGAGAGGATTACATGCCTCACATTGTCGAATTAAGAGGGAGAGCCGGTGTATACTGCAAAGTAGGGCTAATGGGTCAACGTGACCTGTCACCTCAAAAATAGCAGTGGATCGGTTTGATCAATTTCCTCCCTTGACGAACTTCGATTTTACTGAATAACAAAATCACGATACTCAGCCCCAGGCTTCTCTAGCACCTCTCCATACATGAGTCCTTCCACATACGCGTCCCCAAGAATCTCAAAATGTCCGTCAGCCCCGTGACCGGTCTCTCGGAGTATGAAAGGCGTCCGAGCACCCAACAGAACAACAACCAAATCCCCCTCCCTAAGGTCTCCTGGACCAATACCTACATATCCAGCTTCCGAGGCAAAGAAAGACCGTCCTGGCAGGGCCTGACGAAGCGAGGTGAGATACTGGAGCTGATCGATACTTTTTATATCCGAGGAGCGCGAGACTCCCAACACTTCACCACCATTGTATTGGCAGAGTAGCTTTTGAAAGCCATCCAATCGCCCACTAAAGATGTCTTCAGCTGTGAACCTCAGTGTGCGTAGCTCATCGGTGTTCTTGACCGCCCCGTCTTTCATCCATAACGCAACATTGAGAGTGTCATCCGCGATCAGCGTCCGTGCCAGCTTTCTAGACAGCGCATTTGGGTCGTCGCGCTCGGGAGATGGAAGGAACTTCCTGCATAGGCCCATGCAGGACGAAATAATATGGGCGAGCATAGAAGACCCGAGACTTTCTGGAAATGCACCGGTTGTCTCCGTTACACGCCATAATGCGATACCCCGGAGGGTGAGTCGATCGTTTGATAGGGTTCTTTGGGGAGGATGTTGCACGAGCCCCGCCGTGAATCTCGAGATCGCATACAGCGGTTTCCATCGGCGTGGAGCGGTCCAATCCGGTACGAAGGAGGGGACTTCCAACGGCTGGCTGCTAGTTGCGAGCTTCTTCTTGCTAGTAGTATTTGTTTGCTGTCGGAAGGCACCCACGCAGTGCAGGATGTCAAATGTTTGGGACTGCTGCATGCATTGGACGGCAAAATCGGTGTATATATCCGCGAGAGGCTTTGTGTAATCCGGGATAACCGTGATAGTGGGGTTTATAGTTGTCCCAGGCTGTATGTGTGGCGTGCTGACATCCGGAGATACAGACATCAACGCATATATACGGTCTCGAGGCTCGGAGCATTCGGCCCCGTGGCAGTGAACAAGAAGATCGACCAGACTGTAGCTGATACTGGGATGGAATGTCGCCTTCTGATAACGCGACAGAAAAACGATGGCTTCAATATTATTCAAGGCGGCCTGGTTTGTATCTTCGGGGGTCCATCCGCTATTCAACAGCGCGGCCATCGACGCTGTGATGTGATCGAGGGTGTCCATAGAGCGACCAAGGAAGGTCATCGCCGCCCTACACAGCGACGCCTCCTGAATGATCCACCGGCGCCCAAACCAGGGAATGGCTTGGAGCGGGCCAATAGGTGATTTGTCCTCGCTTCCGAACACCTCGTGCAGAGCCTGCCTGATGAGCTCGTTGTTCCTGGTGATGGCTACCTGTGCGATCTCGTACTCCTGAACCAAGTCTGCCAGGCGCACCAGGAACGCCATGTTCCTTTCTTGACCTGGGGGCTCTTCACCTAGATGAATAAGCGTGCTTCTGGCCCGTTGGTAGATAAATCCCATCGCTTGGACCTGGGCGGGCTGTTCGTCTGTGTCTTTCTGATTGATGCACACTGCGTCGACCCAGAGTCGACGGACAGACTTTTGCCCTCGGAACCGCCGCAGGGCCTGGGTCAAGGACTTTGTGATCTTGAGATATTGCTGTCCACATCGAAGAATTCCAGGGAACTCGGGCTTTCCCCAAACATACGAAACAGCATCGTAGGTGTGGCGCTCGTTGTCAAGATCCAAGACCTGAATATCACACGCTAGCTCATCACGGGGGTCTTCTGCCGGTTTGAGGACCAACACTCGAGTGAAATTACCATCTGGCAGTTTGGTATATGTAAACGAAGGTAGCTCGGGGACATGGCTTTCCTCAGAATCACTGGTGACTTCCTCGCCGGGTAGATCGCTAGGCCAAGGAATAGACGCGGGGATGGTATAATCCTGCCGAACACTTTCCAGTATTGCCTCCACGTCCTCCTGGCTCGAAAATCTTTCTTCTGCTTCGGGTGCGCTTATTGTCATTGTACTAGAATAAATCCCCAATTATCTTGCTTGGTATGTCCAGTGTGGGGGAGACCCAAGGAGAAGATATGAGAGGTTGATGGCGGGGTAGGTACCAGATCGATGGTTGTTTGTGCCCAACGGCATTTGCACAGCTTTAGTCACCCCCCTGGGATGTGTCTTTGATTATTAGCTGTAATAATTAACAGCAGCTGTCCAACCATTGCTCCGATTTGTTCTCGACCACACCCCAGCTGATATACTTGGTGTATTCATCAAAATTCGGTGCCAGGTCACCCAAAAAACGGGCTATCGTCGCAGTACAATGCGCAACTATGTGGCAACTCATCCCAAGTACCATATATTGTTCAGACGTGACTCGTCGTAGTCCAATAGGGTGTCTGTATGATATGCAGAGATGAGGTACTGCCCATTCATCGGCATCACAAGTGACTTCATAGTGAGGGCTCAAACTTTATAAACCCTAACAGAGGATTAGCCCTAACGGATATAGAATGGTGGCACTGTGTTGTTCTGTTTCATCAATATATTCCAGATACGTAGATACATGTTTTCCCAAATCAAGGATGATGGATTGAGATACCTCGCATGATGTGCTACAGAAATCAGTGCATTTCAGGGTATGCTAGTAGCGTGGTGTTTGGGGCGGATTCTTAGCAAGCACCCCCCAATTTCTGTAAATTTAGGGAGGGAATGCAGGGACTTGACCTCAATATAGTTGAAGATAATTTATTTATTATGAAAATTGTTATACCATCATTCTCCATATTGAAATTAATTATATCTTGGTTGTCTACAATATCTGGGACCATACAGGATAGCCCGTTGTCAACATGTTTTGACCGTGACGGGTCGATCTTCTGCCTTGGGTCCATGCCTGGCTAGCCGTTATAGCCTTGTCAATAAAGCCAAAACTGATGTTGAATTGACTGTGTGTGTATGGGTCGCACTGCAAGAAACCACTTGGATTGCTGATCATGTTGAGGACTTGACATGATCGCAGTCCCTCAAATTTCGAGCACCTCCTATAGTAAAACAGGCTATTTTAACGTGACCAATAGACTAGCCTAGATGCTAGAAATTGTACTCACATGGTCTGGTTTTCCCACGTAGGCTAGGTGGATAGAAAGCGGCTAGAAGGGCAAGAAGATGCTGGTACCTAGCGAAGCTATGGAAGTACTGCTCGCCGAGTAGTTCGCCTACCCCAAACTGCCTACATCATCACAGCCACAGCTCAAGATCACGAAGAAATATAGGTTTTTGTTGCAGAGCACATTGTGCATATTCAAACAGGTATTCAATTTGAATCAAAAAGCACATTAGTAGCTATATATTCCTTTTGTCAGGCAGAAAGTCAAGGAAATATCAATTGTACAGACTGGAAAGCAAACAATACTGAACAGTCTCCTGGAAACATCCAAGCAAACGCCTACTGGAGTTGAACTATATAAAGCCTGACTTGGCTCTAAGACCAATGAGCGATGGCTTGAGGTCTAACGACCCACATGGCGTAGAAAATAGCCGAACCTTATTTGGACGGGTCGGGATCGGTACTTTTGCACGAACTGTTTTCCCCACATTTTTCGTTATGTATGGGTCTGCAAAAGTACCACCGGCTTTGTGCTCCGTTTTTCGTGGGATTGGATCCCTAACTGTATTTAAGATTGATATCCACGAAGAATCAAGGATCATATAAAGTGCCAAACAAAATATCAGCGATCTATTTCATGGCCGCAGGACTCGGCATGATCGGTCGGAGAATTAGTCCAGCTCGGTAAATTACTATTATAATATGATATTCCCTCGTCTTTGATTATAAAACTTAGATACACCTAAACATGTTGCGGCCACTTGCGAAACAAATCACCAAACTGATCAAACGGCGCTGTGACTAGCCCATGGGCTGTCTCGAAGAACGGAGTATTAGGCGCGCCAGGGTGAGCGCGCGTCGGCAGAAAGATCTTGGTCCGGTTAAACGACTTGGCTAGTCCGTCGCTTTCCTTATCGGTGATGACGCCTTCCAACATGGGCAGCTGGTGTGCCTCCTCCTCTCTGATCTGCGGCTGCAGGTGGCCCATCAGCTTGTTGATGCTTGGTAGGAAGTCGGCGCTGGTCGGGTCGAGTTTCTGGAACCTCTTCAGCTCCGCTTTGACCTTGATGTATGTATCGTCAGTATCGTCGCATACTGGATATATTGAAAGTCTTGCTCACCGCGTGGTAATTATCTCGGTTTTGGCGAGCGAGAAGGTCGCCCTCCGGTAGGAATTTCTCCATCGCGGGAAGCAATACCAGCTCTTTGCTGACCAGTGTCCGAGCGACCTCCCAGGTAAAAAGGTTCCGGAATCGGATTTTCTGTTTCCTGTCTCCCTCGTAGACGATGCGGTTGTGGCATGCTAGGATTGTGACATGGTCCGCCTTGACCGTGTCGTTGATACTGCGTTTCATGGTGATAGCCTGGTGGGGATAGTCTGTTGTCAAATCTGTGAGGTGAAAATATAGTCACTTTGAGAATCAATGCATTATTGGGAGAACAATGGCATGATTAATGAAGCTATGAGATCATTAGCTCCGGCGCATCCCATTTGCCACAATGCGGATGAATGAACATCGTAGTCATGTACGTCATTTGTGCCTAATCTATCAGGCAAAAATAGATGGCCAATACACAGCATAGTTAGCACCTAGTGAACCCCACCTGTGTTATACTGTGGATTTTCTTGAACAGGGTCTGATTGGGATATTTTGCGGATACATGGCAACTGAGCACGTGGTGGAAGCCAGTCTGGATTTTATATTATATTGGACCTCAACATCATTTTAAACAAACCAAGCGCCACGACAATCCCACCACTGATGCATTGGACGATTATAGACATATTATTTTTTATTTGTCTATATGATAATATTCATGTCCGATGCCATCTAGATTCTCTTGTACTTGGTATTATTTTTAGATTGAGTAGTACTGGTCATGGCTGAGTGGCGGGCCGGAATTTTGTATAGGGAACTTAAGGCTTTCATTTTCCGTCCCTGGCCAGAAGGAATAGAATATAATCATTTAAATAAACCTTGACGGCAAAATTATATATGTGATCAATGTAAGGCCTGGTGTAGCCCCTTGATCTTTAGGGCTTATCCCCCTGCATATGTGCGAGTGATTATTGATTATCAGTCTATCACGGAGGCATATCACACAGCTGGTTAGGTGTATATCCCGTCGAATAGCAGCATGCCCAGGGGCTACACTTCCAGTCACCCACACCAGGCCATAATCCAAAGATTTTGAGACTATTTATCTAGTAATTGACAGCTGTTTATGATCCCCGCACACACTTTTAGTGAATCACTTCTATCACCGAGCGGCTTTCAATTATCTAGACATGGAAGAAGCTTATCCCCAGCAGTGTAAATTGGTCTATCACTACAATTTAAAATGCTGAAAAATCAGTAATAAGTTAGCCTCGAATATATCTTATTTTTTCAAACACAAGGACAAAGGCAGTCATAATAGACATGTTCTAGTGTTAAACTCTTCTTAGTGACTTCGGACTTAGTAAAAGCGTTGTTAGTACATAACCCGTATATGTATATATTTATGGACCTGTAGTCAATAATATAGAAAATACAAAAAAATATTTACCGCCCTCCGAAAAGGATACTCCTTGTAGAAAGAAACAGGCACACCTGTGGGAGGTAGAATACAGAGACGAGAGAGAATAAACATCCAGGAAAAAAAAAAATTATAGTCAGGAATTTTTACCAGAGCAACAGTTGTAGCCATTATTAATCTAATTATAAAAACAAGCATTGGCCATTTTACAGCTCATATTGCAGTGCAAGCAATTCTATACTTTTCTTGTCATCCTGACGACAGTGAATGCCTAACCTACCTCAAACTCAAATTTCCAATCCCCGAATCTTGCAGAACTGTCCTCAATTTCTGTCGGCACCAAATACCCAAATATCACATGAGCAGTTGGACAGCCCACCATGCCACGAAACTACACCCGAGAGCGACTAGAGTACCTGTGGAAGATTATCGCCGTGGATTGCGAGATTCCCATATCTACAGAAGAAGGACGACGTAACGAAGTGGCAGACAGCGACCTCAATAATCACGACATCATTCGTATTGACCGCAATTTTGAGACCATTGACAATGAGGTTTACAATCTTGTCGAGCGCCCACCTATCCTTTTCTGTCCTTTCCAGGCCGATATCCTGGCGAACAACCCCATCGACCCCTCGTCCTATGGCAGCCAAAAGGAACAAGAACGGGCCATGGAATTCCGCAACTACAATCCACCTGCGGACCCCCTAGAGATTGAATTGGGTCAGTGGGATCCCATGAGTTGTGGCACGGTCGTTTGTAGATATGTGAAAGCTTGGGCGTGTGGTCTTCCGCGGCCCGGACTTGGAGAGTGGTGGAGCATCAAGGGCCCTGGTCATGCCCGTGGTATATCGTCAGTATCCTCTAACCGTTAGAATCTATGAGATGCATCAAAACTTGCAATACAGACGTTAGACTAACGTTCTTTCTGCCAGAATTCCCCATCCACTCCTTCTGGGGCCGGGTTGGAATCGGTCCTACCCAAGCGGTATGGACCACTGGAGCACACAGAAATTGATGGAATTTCCTCGAGAATCGAGTCCAGGGGTATACCCTCATGTCGTTGCTCCCCTGGTGCAGAATTTCAACGCACGAGACAACACCATGCTCTATTCGGAGCTGAGCACCATAGTAGCCACCATGCGCAACCGAGCTAATCAGCCCAAAGTGGATCCCAACAACGTTGAGGCGCAGGAGGCCCTTTTCACAGAAAGCGAGGAAAAGATACATGAACTTAAACGGGAATTTCCTATGGAGCAAAGATTCCCTGTCTTACTACTGTCTTTTGTGGGTCCACAACATGGACGCCTTTTTTACGCTTGTATGGACCGACGGCGACTTGTGATCCGGCAGTCCCGTCTTTACAGCTTCGAGGACAACGCCACCGCGCCTTTGGATCTTTTTGCGCGGATGTTTTTGAGTCGGCCTCTTCACGAAGATGCTCGAACATCAAGCACGTCTCCTGGTTGAAGACCATTTTCTCCCCATGTCGTACAAGTATGACCGAGTGGCTAGTGACTCAACTGACATGAAAAGAGCATAAGGGGTTCAATAGTCAATTATATTGACGTAGTATAAGCTTTACGCCCTGAGATGCCATATATCTCTACTGAGAAGCATCAGGTACATACGACCATAGGGTGTGGAGAACAGGGCTTCCCGTCCGCTCAGCCGTACTTAAGCCACACGCCGGCCGGTTAGTAGTATGGTGGGTGACCACATGCGAATCCCGGCTGTTGTATGTTTTTCTTTTTATATATTTTATATATACCTCTGGTTCTCTTCCTCCGGTGTCCTGCTGTTCTGTTGTCGGGGCATTCGCCTGGTTCGGCTGTTATGAGTATACTCCTGGAGAAAGGATAATGAGGACCTAAGATAGGAATATGACTGGCCTGCCCTTGCTCCTTTCCGAAGCACGAAGCAGCAAAGTCTAGGTTTAGCAGGACCTAATGACGACGGACTAATTCGAGACAGCAAAAAAAAGACAAAGAAATATTATGTAATTCTCATAGCATCTGACTAGCAAATCCACAAGATGATGTGTACAAATAGGTATGTATTTACTGCTTGCCATTGATGATCTCATCGACCATCCAATCGGGGAGTTCAACGCCCTTGCTCTCACCCTCCTTGCAGTCAAGACCGATAGCTGAATGATGCAGTCAGTTTGCGAGTTGCATGTCATGATGGGCAGGGGGATAAAGCAAAACTCACCAGCAGCGTAGAAGGTGTAGGTGTCGGCGTTCAGGATAGCTTGCTCCGGGGAAAGCTTGATGAGGTCGTTGTACTTGTACGCGTGGTCTCCGGTGCCCGGGCTGTAGACGCCGCTGATGTGCGAGAGCTCGTGGATCATGGTGAGGCCCTGGTCAATGCCGCCGCAGTTGTCGGTCTCGGGCACCAACTTGTACCAGTCCGGGCAGTTGACGACCTTGTTGCTGCCAGAGAGGGCGTACGCGAGGGTACCTTTACCGCCGCCACATTGACTCTGTTCAATACCGTTGCCGCAGTTGTAGGTCACCTTGCCGCTGCTGGGGTTGGAGGCCTCTTTGGCGATGGCCTCGTAGCGGGCGGCGACCTCCTCGCGGGATGCGGTGTCGGTAGTGAGGAAGTACTCTTCAAAGATGCTAGCGTCGCCATTGGCAGCGGCGTCAGCGGCGGCCTTGGCGAGAGAGCCGGCGCGTTGAAGGGCGGCTTCGACGGCGGCCTGTTGGCTGGTAGTGCAGGATTCGAGCTTGAGGCCGGACTCGCGGCGGCTCATCGGGGGGATTGCATTGGAAAAGACAGGGGTCAGCAGCGCAGCTGCGGTGAACAGGGCAAAAGTGAATTGCATTGTAAAGAGTGAATATGGTATCGTGTAAAGAGTGACTGAAGAAAGGACTAATGAAGTTATTGATGAGTAGAAGAGAGGAGGGGGATACTAAGGTATTTAAATATACGCCTTCGAACTCCGCTCACCCTTGGAACAGATCCATTATCCATGAGGGCTTGGAGTTTCACCCCGTCGCCAGGCCTTGTCGTAGGTCTGAATAGATGAAATTAGATGAAACTATGGAGTAACTAAATCTAGAGTCAATCTAATTGAATCGATCCTACAGGCGAGGCAATCTAATGGCCCCTGGTGCAGTGGAGGATCGGCATAGCGCTTGTAGACACCTGAGATGTGACATGGTTTCAACACCCTGTTTCCGGATGCACTTCTCTTAGCACTTCGCAGGAAGGGTTCTTTCCCACAGATCTCAGCCGAGATCGGGCTAGCAGCTGAGCGTGGTTTAAACTAGTTCTGGGCGTGATTCAGGACAGAGCTAGAAAAATACTTGGCATGCTTCATGAAGTAACCCACCTGATTAAGAGGATGATCTATCACCTGAACCATACTTAGCTATATATCTCCCTTTTCAAGAGTGCTCGTGTAGTCTGTAAAAGCACTCCGCGTAGAGCTCCTAAAAGTACCCAAGAAGCCCTACAAATAATATCACAAGGAACCCTACTAGAACCTTACTAGACCCTACTAGACACAGGGATTCTATATAGCCGCTTTACAGGACTATGCACAGACATCTTTAGAAATTTTATGTCAGTGCTATCTCGAGACTCTGAGTACAGGCACCCTCAAAAAAGCGTAGATTTCTGAACCAGGCTCAGCATATGTGGGGTAATAACCCGGTGTTGTTCAGGATTTTAGCGCCCTGTTCTGACTCGCGCTGAGTACTAGTTTGAACCACGCTCAGCAGTAACGCAACCGAGATCCAACACGTCGCACACGAATACACATTATTCATGGCATACCACATAATAGGGGTATCGAGACTAAGATGGCGGCCAACCGGGCAGCGAGATCCAGGGACGCAGAAGATTTTGATTCCACTATACACTATTAAGCATCAGCCTCCGACGTTGACTCAAAGCCCTTTCGAAGTGGAGACGTTTTCGGCATTCGCTAAGGGATTCAGGGGTACCCTTAGCAATGGACCCCTCCTAGCGTCATCGGCAATACAACGATGTATCGCAACCTCCTCAGCGCTAAATATATGTGAAACATTAACATATTCCTCAAGCCATTGGCCCCCACAAGGGAGTGGGCCGCCCCAAAACACATCGTTAATGTGATCAATCACAACTTGATCTCTCGGCTCGGCTATCAGTTGAACCTAATTGGTTGCCTGGGGGGCTGTCCCTTTGTCAAACTTCCAGTAGCACCGATACCGAACACTTCGGCGTCAAGCATCCCTAACAGCCGCCATCACCACTAACACCTATGGATTAGCATCACCACGATGTGCTGTGTCCAAGTTCCTACCTTTGAGCACACGATTTGAGTCGTTTTCAATCAACATGGCGGGTATTACCACCATCGCAGTTAGCAATGGGTTGCCTTGTCCCTGCAGCAACATCGAAAGCCTCCTTAATAGGACACCTTCCATCCCTAATGTAGTGAGGTTATAGAATGCGCTGGAGGTGGATACTTATTACTGGAGGGCTCTTCGACATGGTCAATTGCACCAAAGAATAGGTTTCTAGATCATACTTGCGACCCTACCCCCTTTCTAAAAGGCCCGTTGTCTGTCTATGCCCACGTTCGACTCGATCTTCCGCATACAAGGCAATAAGTCCCGTTCATTCCTTCCTCAAAAGAATCTTTCCAGTCAGGCGGGACCTTCAAAACGCCAAATAACGAGGAATTCTTTGACGTAGTCTTTTCCGAGCTGGCCATTTTTCGCCCTAGATATCAGGACAGAAGAGGAAGGAACATGCATCGTTGGAGCCTTTGATTGATAGGGAAGTGTTCGTAGAGTCAAGCGACTACAAGTCCTCTGATCTAGAAGGTGGAGTGAATGATCAAGATGAATATTCTATCCGAATGTGGCAGGATGGTGGTGTGGCACACCGTTAATGCGACCTAATAACTCGACATATCAAGTCATACATATCTCCTTCGGTGAAACAGGTTTTCTGTTGGTCGTTACCTGCCATCCATCCCCTTAGATATCCCAACTCAATGCCCTTCGGCCTCCCTAATAAAACTCCTGGGTCGGTTCCCTCTGGCCTATCTCAGGACATTCGAAGCATTCCTGGCAGAGTGCTCATTTGCCTCCAGTCTGACAAGAACCCATTCTTTCCTCCAGTCATCTACCTGATAGAATCTGAAAATATACTTAGAATTTCAAATTTTCACATAATAGACAGGGGTCTTTCCAATTAGATAATCTAGAGTACTAGTCTTATTTGGTATCAATTAAATGATATATATCTGTATAAGAAGCCCTTTTTGCTAAAATCTAACAACCTATTATATTTATATAGAATAACTTACGTTAAGAGGTAGTAAGATGATTCTACTAATTCTAAAAACTGCAAGTATATATGAATATATAATAACCTTGTCTTTGGGAGTTGTCGTGAGTGGATATGCAGCGGCGCGCAAGAGCTTATATATTAATACCATAACCGCGTGGTTTTCAGCGGGGAATGCAAAGGTCTGTGCGCACACTCGACGGCCCATGTTGTTGGCTGAGGTTATCCGACAGCCTAGATGTCGGGTATAAAATCTGGACATGAGATCGACAATTCTCTCTATAAATCATTCATTAGATGATACAAGTACATACGACCATAGGGTGTGGAAAACAGGGCTTCCCGTCCGCTCAGCCGTACTTAAGCCACACGCCGGCCGGTTAGTAGTATGGTGGGTGACCACATGCGAATCCCGGCTGTTGTATGTTTTATTTTTATTTTTGTTTTTGCTGGTAGGTATAATCTGTGGATGATCATGCTTCTTCGATTGTTTGACACTTAATATACTTAGAATAGAGTTGTATAGACGTTGGATAATGGAACTGCGGGCCTAGCCGGTAATCTCCCCGTGTAGAATGCAAGAGAAACTAATTTTATACAGTATAGAGGTGGAGGTGTCATGACATCTTCTTGTAGCCAGGGTATTCAATTTTAAACATATACCAAAGCTTTACAAAAGACAGGGAAAGTATACCGAATACATATGTGCAGGACTTTCGAACTATCACATGGATTATCACAAAGGCAATGGCAATAAAATGAGATATTCCTATATTGACTAGATGGAGAGCTATGGAATTTCGATAGAAATGCGAAGATAGCCGTCTAACTTTGCTCTTTCTTATGATTGATGTGACCAAGCAGTGACTGCCAGTATTCTGTAATTCCTGATCTAGCGTCTAAGAAATGGCTCGGCATCGTCCTGTCATCACCCATTAGGGTTATCAGCTAGCCATGGATGCTAACCCCATCTGTATCTGCCTAGGGTTGACTAGTTCCACTTCCACTGGGAAACTGTGTGGGAGACTTGCTTCAGTACCCGACTCCAGGCTTGAGTACTCCATGCAGTAATCATAATGTGGTCATCTTATCAAAACGAACGAGTGGCTACCAATGCTCAATGCTTGAGTAGAGGTTTCTTCAGCCAATCTTACCGTCCATGACAAAAGCCTTCATGGGTAATATTCCGACAAGGCCGTAGCTGCGATTGGCCGGGACATGGCCCTTTCAGCCCCCAAAGCTGACAGCCAGCCTTTCGAGCTTCGTGTGAGCGGGGCAGACGTGGTAGCGTGGTTTGCCCCGCCTATGCGGCTGGATGATGGATTCAGCTCGTTGCGCATAAAGGGCAGACCGGTCCCCGCAGAATACCCAGTAGGGGTTCAAAAAGCGCCCACTAAAGAGAGAATCCTGGATACAAAGTTTCAAAGGGCACGATGACCACGGAGCCTGAGGAGAAAAGGGCCCCCGCGTCCGTGAAGGAGATCTGGGAGAATACCATCGTGCGCTTCCAAGAGCGCACGGGCCAAAGGCTGGACGGTGTCTCCCAGCGTCCGGACGACCTGCGAAGACTCCTCGACGCGCATTATGCGGCACAAGCGGACGGTAAAAATGTGTCGAAGGCTAAAGCGACGGGGTTCCAAATGATACATTGCATCCAGCTACTCGGTGGGATTGCGTCCCAGGGTGCGTCCATGGTTAGTGACAATAATACCGCATTGCCTGTGCTTTAAGATCGTAAGAAGGAACACTAATCTGAATCTCAGGCTTTCGCCCCGACGGGACTGTGTTTCAACGCTCTGTCCTTCCTTTTGGATATTCCGAAAAAGGTCCATGAGTTCCATGGCGAGATAGATGCTATCTTTGCGGAAGTCGGTCCCGCTCTTGCCCAATTTCGGATCTACGAGCGGATGGAGGACAGCGCCAAGCTGGACGAGGCTCTGCTACTGTCCATCTACCAGGTCATGACGAGTTTCGTGAACTTATGTGCCGACTGCATCAATATCCACCGTGAGGGTAGATGGAAAGGCTTCAAGCGCAATGCCAAACGGATCCTATTGGACGATGGGTCTGTACAGGGAGAGTTGACACATTTCAAAAAGCTCACTCTGGATCAGTTGAACGTCCAGGCAACTCTAACTCTCGAGGCTGCAGTGGAAACAGGCCTGCACGTCAAGTTCATAAAGGCCACTACGATCGAGATCGATACAACCACGAAGGCCATCAAGGGTGACGTATCTGGGCTCGTGGAGGCGGAGAACAAGCGCACATTGGATGGCAACCGGAAGCGCATTTTGAGTATGATAAAAACAAAGCTTGGGCTGCAGGATGGCGCAGCAGCCGCGGTTATTGAGGCCCGCGATAGAATGTGGAAGGGCGCTGTGAAAGATAGCGGGAAATGGTTGAACGAAATTGACGTATATAAGCAGTGGATTGACAGTAGCAGCGCAGCAGAGCCCCTGCTCGTCTTGACCGGTACGCCTGGAGCGGGAAAGTCTTTTCTGGTTTCTGCGATTGCGGAGGAAATTAAATCTAGAAACTTGTCCACAAAAGCTGAGCGCAGCTTGATCGGATATTACCCCTTCGCCATGGGAGAGAAAGGAGGGGCGGACGGCGATAGACGACCACTGGAGGCGGCGATCAAGTCTATCTGTGTCCAACTGGCGGAGCAGGACCTCGCTTACGGGAGGCATGTGTGTACTGTGTGCAGTGAGCCAGGGAAGAACGAAAAGTATTTTAGGGACGGCAGCTGTACAGATCTCTGGGCGACGTTGGGGATAGGAATGCCGGGGGAAAATACGACGCATTACATCCTCCTCGACTCGGTCGGCACACTCAGCGCAGGAGACCGCGAGGGGCTCATGAGGGCGATTCAGGAGGGCAAGCAGGGCGGGTCCAACCGCGTCAGAGTGCTTATCAGCTGTGAGCCAGGGACATTCACTCGGGATCAGCTGCTCTCGTCTCGGACTAAAACGATCGACATCACCACGTACAACCAGGTTGACGTCAAGGCATTCATTACGGAGGAGCTGAAGAGGGAGTCCCTCTTCCAGGGAGCAGATGAGGACTCACAGCGTCGGAGAAAAATGGTCGAAGAGCTACTCCTGGCGCGCTCCGACAATACCTATCCAACGATCCAGCAGGATATGCGCAAAGTCAAAGATGTCGTCGTGTCAGGCGGCACGGAGGAGGAGCTTAGCCGGGTCTTGCACGAGTCAAGTACAGACCCACAGCATCAAGTGCGATTGGATATCGAAGCATTGGAAGCGACGCTCAAGCCCCGGGAGATTGAGGAGATCAATGAGCTTCTGGTATGGGCGGTGGCTGCAGATCGAGACATGCTTGTGAGCGAGCTGGAGGCGGCCTTGTTCCTCCGCTTCAACGCCGTCTCTCTTCAGTCTCTCGGCGAGAAGATCACGGGAAAGTACTCCAGACTCTTTAGCTTGGTTTCTGCGACGTCTAGTGAAAAGGCCGTAGTACTCAAAGATCACGTTCGAGACTGCGTTGTTGTTCAACGAGACAGGCCTCGCCAGTCCGAAGATGACCCGAAGATCACGGCCACTATCAGCATCACAAACGCAGATCACAAGCTCGTCCAGCGGTTCTTTTGGGACTTGAATCACCACTCCTTCCTGGGGGGATTTACGTTCCAGCCTACAGCCGATATGACTAACGTGGGCCAGCGGAGGATCCAGGTGAACGAAGCCGACGCTCACCTGGAGATTGTCAAACGGGCTTTCAATTTGTTTCTCCAACCAGTTATCGATAAAAGGGGGAAGGTGCTAGGAGAATACTTGATGAGTTCTATCCCATTGCATCTCAAAGCCCTGTCCGAGGTAACTGGTTTCGACGAGCTTCAGCCGGCAGATAAGCAGTTCATTGGATCCAGCGTGTACGATTTGTTCAACGACGACAGTATCATCGAGCGAAATTGGGAATTCTGCTCGATGTGGGCTCCATGGTTCTCCGGTAATGACCAGATGGACACGTTCTGGAAATGGCTGGACGACCCTGTCGCGATTAGCCGCCTAGGGCCTCGGGACAAACGATGGCTCGAAGACTGCAAGAGGGACAAACATCGCAACTCAAGTCTGTTGACTCCCATCATGACCATGATTGCTCGGAACTGGCTACAGAGAACCGAATGGACCGACACCGGGCCATTTGAATGGATCCGAGGGTTCCTAACGTTGGTAAGTGGTTGTTGAATCCCATTGTTTGCCTCGGCCTAATTCTTGCTGATCTCAACTTTAGGGGACCGAAACACAGCGCGATGAGGACGGCGGTACGGCTGGGAAGGTTGAAGTCTTCGACGAAGGTGACGGGAGAATTATGATCAATCCCAGGGAACCCCCTTTAGAATGTATTGCCAGATGTGAGCAATGGTGCAAGCAGGCTTTGAAAGTATCCGAAGTGGACTACACATGGTGTATGCGACTAGGTGACATTTACGCTCAATTTTGGGATGAAGCTGCTGCGAGTGAGCATTACAAGAAAGTATGAAACTCTTAGTCTGCGCAGAATGAGCCGAGATCTAACGAGAATCAACAGGCTACCACGATTCTCCAGGCTCAGGATCCCGTCAACAAGGAGCAGCTACGAGAAGCATTCAAAGCTCTCAGCAGATGCGCAACCGACCCTGAAATGTCTTTCAGCTATCTAAAGGAAGCCTCCAAGTTGGATGAAGATAATGTGGAGGTTCTTTTTGCGGTGTTCCGACAATATGTCGCCAGTGGACAAGAGGACGATGCGCGGTCCATCATCCAAAAAGCCGTTACCCATAAAATTCCAGGAACGGCGTCTAATCAGTTGGTGAATATGTTAACAACAACCGTGTGTGATGAGAGGGGCACATTGCTCTTATTCAAGGCAATGTCTGCCATAGTCTCTTCGTGCGCGGGGTTGTGGGAAGTCTTCCAGGGTGAGATGGAGTTGGCAATCGACACTGCGCGGACGGAAGCCAAAACCGATGAGGTTGCGATTCTGCTGTTGCAGCTGGGCAGGGCCAGGTATTATGTCTACAGGAACTCTGCCGAGCAATTAGCTATCTCCGCACGTCACCTGCGCGAATGTTTGGACATAGTTAGGGAGAGCACTACTTCGGAAGGCCGAAAACAGCTTTTTTTCATCCAACAGCCAGCCGCCATCCATCTGAGCATGTTCTATTTCGAGAGATGCATGCGTACGGATAGGGTGGACCTAGAGGCAAACGTGGAGGTGTTACGGCAAATTCACGAGGATGAGCCTGCTTTCGATGGCCCTAAGTCAATACTTGCAAGTCTATACTCGCTCAAGGGACAGAGAGCCAAGGCTCATGACATTTTTCGATCCGATATGGTCGAGGTTTTCAACATACTGGTTGATGACATCTCGTTCAATGATGTTGACGGGTTCACGATGCTTCGTAACCTTCTCGACCGAACTGGGGATTACGAGAATGCACTGCGAGCTGCGTTGTTGTTTCCGAAAAACCAATTTGATGAGACTGTCATCGAAGGGCTTCTGGCCGGACAGGGGTCCGTGGTGGCAGCAATCAGCGCAGAACTGGTGGATTTCTATCAGACTAATTGTCTACACAAAAAGCTATGTTGGGAAAGGCTTACGGAGGTCACGGCGGAAGTGGCCAGATTAGCAGCCCAAGCAGATGCTGTCAGCGAGGAGCAGGCGGCTTGCTATAAGAAAGTGGAAAATATCTTAGAAGATCACGATAGAAGAAATGATTGGGGGATTGCCTGCACCAACTGCAATCGGTGGTGGGACTATGATCTCGGCCTTCACGCCTGCAAATATTGCTACAGTGTGGATCTTTGCGATGCCTGCTGGAACGATATGAGATCGGGCAAAGCAGCCAATTCTTTGGTTTGCAGCAGCACACACGAGTGGTACGACCTACCGCCGTTGACGGTGGAGCAATATTTTCGTGCGTGTAAAGAGCTAGTCTTGATGAAGAACGACAATGGAGACGAGGAGCTGGTTTCTGTGTCAAAGTGGCTGGGGACGCTGTGCGAGGAATGGGGGTTGTCAAAGGCTGATTGGAACTTTGAGGAGTAGTCGTACTTAGTAAAAATGACAGCATATCATACAATAGGACTTGCTCTATACTTTCAAAGGTTTTTCCATTATAGCCCGGTTCTCAGAATCCTGCGATACGTGCCGTGTTTTCTTTCGCGATGTCCATGCCACTTCAGGGCTGGGTTTACTTAAAGAGTACGAACAAAGCGGAGAGAAACAGATTGACTTCAGGATTTATTTCCGCCTGAACTGCCTTGAAAATCTTTGAAGTTGTAACAAAGATTATATAGAGTCGGAAGATGATATTCTATCACTTATGAATAGATTATACAAACAACGCCTAAGCATGGGTATAATATGCCGATACAGAACAAAGTCACCGCTGGAGACATCAATGGCGCAGGAAACGAAAGAAATCGGGTGAAGGACTAGCCGGTAAAGCAACGTTCGCTTCCTTGAAGACCTTTATCATCTTCTGGGACAGCTTTGATTTGGGAGGGATCGTCCCAGGTACTGCTCCCGTCCTGAGAAGCGCACGCACAACCTGGTGGAAATCACGGCTGACGGCAAAGGAGAAAGGGGTTACATGCCTGCGGTCAGCGCGGTTTATGTCGGCACGTCCATCTAGGAAGGCGAGAAATTTCTCGTTCCACAGGGCACTGCCCTCGTAGTTCTTCAGTAGGGTCAGAAGAGGCGTTTCGCCATTTTGAGAGTTGGGTAGGTCTAAGTCTAATTCTGGTTTGAATTCTCTGAAACAGTTGATCAGGGTTGCCCCTTGTGTTCTGCAGTAGGTTGCATAATGCAGGCTGGTCAGCCCGTCTGTTGAGGTCGCCGTAGCATCGGCGCCGGAGACTAGCAGCTGTGAGACAATGTCTACATGGCCGTCTCGCGCGGCTTTCATGAGCGCCGTTTGATTATCTGCGGATGGAGCGTCGACCGTTGCGCCCGCCTTCAATAGCGCCTTCAATAGAGTTTGGACCATGTCCAGGCTTCCCTGCTCCACGGCAAGGTACAGAGGAGTTTTCTTGTCAGAGATTTGCCGGCTCAGATCGGGTGTCGGCTGCTCAGACAGAAGCAATTCCAAATCTTGGGTGAGAGAGTTTGTCACTGCGGCAATCAAACGGGTGTCCGCTAGTGGGGTGGGAGTTCTTGCACAGTCTGGAGGAGTGGTGGCTGTGGCTTTGGAGTCTAGAGACGTCAGATCTCCCTCGGATGTACGGACGGTGTTCACTGACGACAGAGATTCCTTTCTGACGCTGTAGCCTCTAATAGAGCCTTCCGCGACAAGTGCCAAATGGCGAAGTATGTCCTTCACTTCGTTCGCACGCGGACGACTATCTTTCTTGATGCTCAACGTGTACAGGAGCAAATCACAGCACCCATTCAACAGGTCGGGGTGCAAGTCGTACCCGGCGTGAGGGAGCCCATCCAGCCACGCCTTGATGTGTGGGTTCAGAACACGGGAACTCCTTCCGGGGGAGGCGCGGTGAAAATGATCATCGAGGTAGTCGGTGATTCCATCCGTATCTTTCCGTCGTCTCAAATCCAACTCTCGCAGCCCACTTGCCCCATTCAGTGCGAAGGCGATTATACGCACGAGGATACAACCCAGCGACCAGACGTCACTTCTACGCCCGAACTCGCCGTCCAGAACTTCCGGCGGATGGTACGGCATTTCCCCCCGGGCCAACGGAGATCGTTGTATTGTATATGCAGAGCCATCGGGATTGGTAGGCACCATAAGACCCGCCTGAGTTTGGGTCATCATGGATATTCCAAAATCCGTGATCTTCCACTTTCCCACTGAGGGAGATTGGGGGTTCGGGTACACGAGTATATTGGCCGGCTTGAGGTCCATGTGGCAGCAGACTCGGGGCGGGTCTGTTTCGAGCCCTGCATGCAGGAAGGCAAGGGCACTGGCAAGATTTGAAGAACCGCGGAGGATCTCCGGAATGGTGAAGCCGGTGCCATTATTCAGGCCTCCTTCGAGAAATCTTTCCAGGTCCATCATCGCCAGGGGGTATAAAATGTAAAAGTCGTTTCCAACTTCGACTGTCGCCAAGAAACGGACGATCCGATCATGTTCAATGAGACTGTCTTTTAGGATCTTTAAGTTTCTCGCCTCGTGCTTGAATTCGCTGCTGTTCGAAAACCGTTTGCAGGCTACCGGTACCTCCCTCTATGCGACAACCAGGATTAGCTGCAATTTGGGAGGCTCGAGAGTTGCAGTGCGGGTCAGGACTCACGCCGATGGGACCTCCTGAGAACGCTCTTTCTTCGGATGGCCGGTAGTGTACCGCGGGAATGACCTCTTTCGTGACACTCCCGTATGCTCCTCGGCCCAGGTCGTCGGATCGTCCTTCTAAAAAAGGCAGTCTCCAGTCCTTGGGCTTCACGTTATTCATTCCCTCTTCAATATCGATCGGCCAGAATATAACTCGTTCGAAGAGGAACTTAAATGCCCATTCCTCCCCCAGGAAATTGGTATCACGGAGCGCCGCGAGGTCGTAGCAGGGAATATCCTGATCAGTCCGACCCGAGGTGTGTATAAAGATATGGGAGAACCGTGTCCACTCATCCCAGCGGATGGAGACTAAAATTGAGAGTGTCTGCAAATGGGCGCCTTTGATAGTGGGAATGTGTGATGAATCGAAACCAGGCTCCATGTGCTGGATAAAAAGTTCCAGGCGGTCGTTGGTCCAGATGTCATCTAGGGCATCTCGAGGGATGAATGTCGCAGACGAGTCGCCTTTTTTGTGCATTCTCGCCTGGATGCTGGTTTGAAGCTCGCTCATAAAGGTTCTTGGACCACTTTTAGGCCCGGTTCCCTCCATATTTTAAGGGGGGCCTCCGGGCAGGGATCGAGGACCAGAGGACAAGATCAAATAATGGAAGCGAGAGCATGTTATTAAGGGTGGAAACCAGGGTGATTCGTACAAAACAAACACAAAAACGAATCCCAGCGCCACAGAGTATACACTTTGTACTCTGATGAGGTTCACCGGGGTCTTTTGCCGCTCAGACCATTGCAGAAAGAGTCCAGGTATTGCGTCAACGTGTGGCAAGAAACACCTTAGAAGTGGCTAATAACCACAGCCACACCGGTCTACTCACAACCAGGCGGGCTATTTGATGTGGAAGTCACCTGTCAGTACGGAGAGGTGATTGAAGATTGATCCAGTGAGAAATGTCATCAAATCTTAGACATAGCCCTGCTTCGACGCAAGGCGATGTCATGGTGGACTGCGCCCCTGAGTGCTTCCCCGCTTGAGGGCAATCGTATTTTTGCAAGAATACAGGGCATTAGGCGAATTTGTCCTGCAAGGCTGCACGCAATATTTCTTGGCCAATTGGATATGCGCATAGGACCACCTCGGGGCTGGATGGTGGCCTGCGCCGCCCTGGTTGGGCGTCTGGATCCACAAACCCCTGTATGTACCTCTTACTCTTGGGTGTCTCGTTGGCGGGGCTATATGCTGGTGCCTACTGGGTGCTAAAAATACTTGTCCACTCATATACGAGAAGGTGATTAGTATTTTACTAATGCCTGTCGTGACGTGGAACCTTTGAAGGACGCTGATCGATATCTAGAGTAACTAAGACTACATCATCTTTTAGCAACAAAGAAGATACAAATTAGTTCCATGAGATCATCCTTATACGTGTTAATGACATATTCTGTCTGTAAGGCCAACTTGCACAATCTGAACTAACATCAAAACACAGTTCCTTCATTCCAACAGCCCTGTTAGTGTTGTTGATGATAACATTAACTTTGGCTCTCACATAAAATGATCATCCTTCCAATAATGAGAATGAAAGCGGGCTACTCGCCAGAATCTTTACAGACACAGAATTCCTCAAAGTCCCCTCTTTCCTGGCCACGGAAAACACGAAACAATGAGAGGTGCCATCTCACGTGGCAGACCATCCTATGTTTGACTATAGGACACGTCGTATAAGCAACTGACAGACACGGTAAACACTGGGCGCTACTTACATATGCCGTTCATCTCTTCTAGCGTGTATTTTGATGAAGCGCCTGGGACCTGTATGTAAGGTTAGGATGCAATGGCCAAGGGAAAATAGCCAGGACGCCGTAGGGCGACTCACAAAGAGAAATACCAATATAAATGCAATCACATCTAGACCACTGCTTCAAGTTAAGATCATGTTTGCCGTATCAATTGAAAATGCAGTGTAACTAACGAGAACAGGAAGAGCAGCTCGGGGTTTCCCAGAGCCTGGGTCAGTTTGGGCACGAAGAGTACCAGCAAGCCAAGCCCAAGGAAATTGACCATGACACTAAAGCTCATTCCGACTTCTATAGACAATGAAACCGGTCAGACAGGGCATGTATGAATTAGGGCTCGGATGATGCATGCCTCGATATGAAAGAGGGAAAGCTTCTGCGCTGAACGTGAATGGGATCGGGCCCGCCCCCACCCCATATGCCACGTTAAAAAGAACAACCGTAAAGGTGGCAATCGGTCCCAGTCGGGTATTCACGTCGTCTATTTCATAAAAACCACCAATGGCCACCAAGCAAAAGAACATCGCTCCCAGAGAGGTGAGGAGGAGTTGTCTGCGGCTGTACCTGTCGATCAACCTAAAGGCCGGCAGAGTACAAAGAAAGTTTGCCAGCCCAAACCCTAAAATTGTACGGTCAGTCCATGTTCGGGCTTTTGCTCATGGAATGACAAACCAAAGTTCAACCATGCCACCCTTGTTCTCCTGTGGAGCTCGTTAGCAGTAAGTTCTCGGTTTCTAACGACAGGTCTAGGCTGTCGATCTTTATTAGCAGGTTGGTGGATGTCGTCGTAAAGTTTGGACGAGTAGAACGACAAGACATTGATCTATTGCGCCAGTTAGCTATCCGTACAAAACATGCATCATGAAAACGACAACCCACTCCGCAAAGCTGCTGGGACGCCATCACTATAAAAGCCGCTATACAGGCGTTTCTGTTTCTCGGGACGTTCCACAGTGCGCCAACTCTGTGCAGGTAGCTGCTATTCTGGACCATCTTCAGGTACTGATCTTCACCAGCCTGGTCTGGTGAATGTTCTAGCGGCATTCCACTTGCTGGATCCCTCCCCGCTTGCTGATCAGGTGCCGTCTGGTCTTTGATAAGGGTCGCCTCCTTCTGCAACTGGCTATGGATGTAGAAAAGATCTCGCGCGGCTTGGACCTCCGTTGGGCGGAGCTGACATAGCACACCAAATGCAGCACGGTAATGTCCTCTCCGTATCAAGAATCGTGGAGACTCCGGACAGAGGAATACCAGGAACAACATGATCAAGGCAGGAATAGCGGCTGTCGCCAGCAAGGCTCTCCAGGAATGATCGACGATCCATACAGTAAGGAAACCGAGAAATATGCCACTGCCGACATGAGTATGTGACTCGAGCGGGAGGAGAAACAACATACGCCGCATCAAAGAATTGCCACATTATCAATAGGCGGCCCCTGAGATGGTCAGCCGCTGCTTCTGCTGCAAACACCGGTGCAATTGATGCTTTGGCTCCAATCTGCAAATATGATTGTCAGTACGGGTTCCGATATAGCATCATAGCAGAAAACCTACGCCAAATCCAAGGCAAATTCGACATATAAGAAGCTGCACCCAGCTCTCGCAGCGGGCGGACCCTTCACGTCCATATTGTCAGTAGGACGGTGAATGATAGAGATAAGAGACCTGGTTACATACCAAGGGCAAAGGCCGCACATAAGATGGACGATAGAAGGAGAGCCGGTCGCCTCCCATTACTCGCTTCCTGTAGCAGGTCGCTTGACCAGGCACCTCTTGGGAATATTAGCAGCAATACCTCATATGAGATGGGGTTCTAACATGACACTTGCAGACAGCCAAGGTGCAGCATCTATGAATCCGGCTAAATAATCATTATCGTCCATGTTGAGGGCTATCCGCCACTCTTGAGAGCTGGCGTTAATAGATGATTGCTGCCATCCTCTATTTGTATATCAGACTGGTGCAATGATACAGAATGCCTGGTTTAAGGACAAATTACTGTGTGATTGCGGCACATGCTGTAGTGAGAATAATTGCCTTGAGCCCCTTTGTCTGGTGAAAAAACCCCGGTTGCTCCTCCCCACTGATTGAGTCGTCCTTTGGACCGCTCCGATCGTTGGGGTTGACATTGTCGTACCCTAGCTTGGCTCCCTCTTGCAGGGTCTCAATGCTGACAACGCTTTCCAGCTCATAGAGCTCATGGAACCTTTCCACATCTCGTCTGACTTCGTCGGGAGGACGGTCTCGAAGGGCATGTTGGTCCCTACTTATTCTGCTTATGTCAGGACCTGAAGGGACTCGACGTAAGACGCAAAGACAACAGCAGTGATAACCGGGGAGAGGATACAATGCTGTATGTATCAAGGGGTATTGGCCACTTACCTGGACAAGTGTATTGAGTCAGTCCCTTGATACATGGTCACGAATGGATCCGACCTTATGCACCATGCTATACGACGGATGGCTGGGACTGGATATAAAACACCACACTGTACTACCGAAGTTCTATTCGCAGCCTCACGCTAGGATACCTTTGTAGTCTCTGGCTACTATATAAGTGGGGTCAAATATTACCAGGGTCACAAAGTTGAAATGCACTCCTTTCCCTACGGAGTACACCAACCCCGGCCGGTGAGTTCGGGGAATGGGGATGGTATCCTTCTCCGTATTCGCCAGAGATGCCTGTCGCCCCCCGGAGGCCTGAACTCCGTCGCCAGTCATTGACTACCTTGTCTATTTAGCCGCTCACAGCCTTGTTTGCTCTTCCGGTTGCCTGTGGCACAGGCGATTGACCAAGGACGGACCAATTGGTGGGCTAGGGCTGGGCCTTGGCCTCCACCTCGTATCAAATCATCATCTACTAATCTGGGTCCGAGCAACATTCACCCATCACTTCCTATCACTGCCTATACCTGACTAGAATGTTGCTCCTCTTGCAGAGGAAGATGTCTATCTTGGATATCAGATATACAGGTCTCCAACTCCGAGCATAGTTTCCGTCATAAAGTCTTGGACATTCAGCCTTCTATCACGCCAGTTAAGGCTCATTCTCCCTGGGAAAGGTCCCGACACTAACATGCACTCTCACCAACACTAACCCTTATTACCAGGGCACTATTTCTGACCACACATTATATTGTGTCGTATATGTTTGCTTTGCTCATAACTAGATGTATACAACGCGAAAAATTATTGTCCAATTCCTCCCCGGTCCTGCATGCAATCACCTTGCTCGCGGGAAATAAAGCTTGCATCATGATGCGAGTCAACTTGATGCAACCCAAAGACCAAGGATCCCCGCAGTAACAGTACCCAACATTGAGCCTCATCGGACGCTTTAATGGGTGTACGGTTATTAGAACTTGGATCGTCCACTACTATTTAGTGTTGGCCCATCTCTACGGCAGGATCTCTTCCTTGTGCGAAATAACATCCTTGTATCCGAGATTTTGCCACCACAAATACCATGGTCAAGAACATCGTCAATGCAGGCCTGACGGGATATATCAAAAGAGAGAAACTGCAAGACCGTCTCCGCGATATCTTCCAAGAAGAGATCATAGTTTCCGCAAGTCCCTTCTTATGACCCACCACTCCATACCCCAGCTGACTCTTGAGACGTTCAGCACTATAATGGGTTATTCTATTTTGACGCGCCGAGACTAGTAAGCGAGGCACGTCTTTCCCCCCCTTATCCCTCTTGCACGTGAGCTATCCAGTGGGTGAAACTAACTACGCCACCGAGGCAGGATGAAATCGAGTATGACTGGCCCGATCCCCAAACCCCACCTGGAATCCCTGACTGATCGTCGACTGAACGGATTATAGCGACCTCCAGGAGCCCTTCCGTGTGAACTAAGTGGGGGCTGAGCGGATCCGGAGGGTTCAAAGAAGGTGGTGTCTTTGTTTGTACTTTGGTACATGATTTGTTTAGGCGAGCCTCGAGTTTCTGTATTAGTCGTGGCAAGGCGTAACTGATCTGGGCGGTGCACCACACGTTGATGTTTCTCCAGAGCCTTTTTGTCTCTTGCAAGGCGTATCTCAAGCTATCCTATCTCCCTTTGTCAAAGTGTGTGCAGTTTAAATGTTCCCGGAGTCTTTCCAGAACACCTGTGGGTCTGTGGCCAAGGATTTCCTACCACGCTAATACTACCACTATTGTCAATCCCGATACCCTATCTTCCACGGACTATGGATGAAATCAATATGAGTTACTATCAGGCCGTCCAGCCATACCTTCACAGACCTGCCCTTGTCTCTAACCCCAAGAAATCAAACATTTCTCTCTTCGATTCTACCGTACCATCCAAAATCCAGACGTTCACTGACAGCGAAGAATTCGATAAATATATATCGACGACCCCGAAGCCCACCACACGAATCATGTAATTTCTCAAATCTGACATCCCGGACCCCAAAGCTTATCTCGTGCAGTTCCATCTCTAGTCGCATTTCGACCCAGCCCCTCGGCATTACAGAAACGTCTTTAAGAACACTCATAAATGCCTATACTATCCATCACTCATACCTCGATCGTGTCCTTTCGTTTGGTGACAAGCCGCGCTGCTCAGATGCGGGACATGGAGGTTTAATCGTGCAACGTAGGGAGCATGGATCATATGGTAGCTTAGCCCTGAACATTTATTTATATAGCATGAAAGCTAACACCAATAGATTCCCACTACCTGTTCGCATACCCAGAAGGCTATAACAATGGCCAATCCGTAGCGTGGACGACCCGACAGACCTGCGTTTTCCACCGATTCGACCCCTCTGGGAACGAAAACCTGTGGATATTTCTACACGCGGGTCCACGCACCAAACTACAGACAACCATTGAGGCCGACATTTCCTCGGGTGTCTTCTCGTCTGAGACCAGCTGGTGCTCGTTTCACCTGCTGGCTCTTGCTACCTATCTCTGGAACTGGCGGTGGTATATTCGTTACTTGGGGGATGGCATTGAACGCATAGTAAGCCTTGCGCGTCACTAGACGCTTGGAGCCCTGCTGATCAGGGATGAAGGTGGAAATGGCGCTCACTCTGAATGACGCCGACCTGCAATCTGTTAATCAGTCGAGTCCCCTGAACTTGCTTAAGCCTCAGTACTTGGAGGATAACCTTGCCCCGGTAAAAGCACAGGTAGGTGTTGCGCTGCAGATAGTTCGCAGGCTGGGGGAGTTGAACGCCCAGCTTTACTCAAACGGCCTCATTAAAGAGTCCCAATTGTTGGCAATTGACAATGTGCTGGAGCATCACCGCGTGAGCCTGGAAGGGCACCTAGACAGTGTGACGGCGCTGGAAAGGAAGGTCCGTGGAATCTCACAGCTGGTAGGTCTCTAACAACCATCGCGCTCGTAGCCTCTGAGATCCTTTATCATTTCACTAACAACAGACCCATGCAGCTGGCCGTCGCACTCAACCTGAGAAACCAGTCTGTGACCATCGAGATCAATAATCGGTCGCTGGACATGAATCGAGAGTCGGTCGACGACAATGCGACTGTGCGAGTTGTCACGCTGGTCACTTTGACTTATCTACCTGCCAGCTTCGTTTCTGTACGTATAAAACCCGTCCAATACGAAACTTTTAGCAATCCAAAGGTCTAATTCAATACCCACAGACTCTTCTTGGAATGAACCTCTTCAATTTCAACGACCCCAACGGCAATACAAAGTTCACAATATCTCCGCAATTCTGGATCTTCGTAGTCATTGCTATGCCTTTGACGGCGCTTACTCTTGGGTTTTGGTATTTCATGATGCGCCGGCGATTGAGAAAGCGGAAATATTCTGACTGTGAGGGGGATATTAAATGTGGATAATTGGTTACCAGGCCATGGAGATATGACTCGTTGATGACCATCAGGTGCATGGCGAGAGAGGCACCTCTGTGGTTCCATATCCAGTGGTCTGGCCCAACCAATCCGGTGTGCTACTATATACGGCTTCTTGGACTATCTCTACATGAAGAACACAACAAGTGAAACTAATTCTATACGAAACTTTGTCGACCCTTTTGAGAGACGGAATCACTTTATTTTTATATATATTATGGGTGTGTTCTCATGCCACACAGAGATAAAGTTATACTAGTAAACACGTATCTGGCGGGTATAAACCGCCTTACCTTCATCTGGCATTAGAGGCAACCAGTGACTTTAGTTAGTCTACATCACCTACAAGTTGAGTCACAGCTTTTCGGTAAGCGCCGAAGCAAGGAGCTTTGGAAAACACTACTCACATGTTCAATGGATTCACTTTAGTGATCTTATCAAGTTATGATGACTTGACCGGTCAGCTGGATTAGGAATCTATTGAATTATAAGATGTAATCATGACGACAGGTATCAACACAAGCTCAAAGTATATACACATACCTATTGCCTAGGTATCCAGGCACAAATGGAGGGCGGAAATAATTCCCATTGGCTTGCCCCTCTGTCAGACCTCACCACCTCATCATCTCCCGCCATGCTCCTTCCTCTTCCTATTTATCATTCCTCATCCTACCTTCCTGGAATAAAAAGAGCTTTGTTCCAAATCTATCAGTGTTTTATCACAATGGAATACATTAAGAGGCTGATAGGTCGAGAAACGACAGCGGCGAGCTCCAACCCTCAACCGACAAGCTCCAAACCCCCGCAGCCGCGCATCATGGGTAGGTCTATAACTCTGGCTTTCCTAATATCGACTTGTATATGTGACAAGGTGTAACTGATTTGATGCAGCGGATCCACTGTTGTGTTCACGTAGTGAAACCGTGAGGAAGCTTGCTACAATACTTGACGAGGAACAGGTGGTCCATGTGAGAGGAACACCAGCCTCCGGCAAGTCTACCCTCGCCAAACTTCTCCACAGTCACAACAGGCAAAACCACATACCATCAGTCTTGATAGTAGGTTGGCCTCAGACGAAGAACTCCGCGCACACTAACATCTACATCAACATCCTCGTCCAGCACGCAAGAGATGCCGGCTTAACTTCCGTGACTCCAGACACTATCAGGGATACAGACGTTACCTTTCTCATCGACGAGGCACAGATGTCCTATGAAGATTATGGGCTATGGTTAGACTTTATCAAGACCCAGAATGGCCGCCGATATGGACCCAGAATCTGCTTGTTTACATCCTACGGCAGCCCCTCCGAGGGGCCAGACAATTACCCCACTGGTAGCCCACTTACATACCTGGGGGTCCAACAGCGAATATCTATCACTCCATCGAAGATTAGAGGCTCTCCACAGATCAGCCTCTTCTACACCCGGAGCGAATTTGATGACGTTGTACAACGGATATGTACGGATGGTCGGCGGCCAGTCCCGCTTCATCGTGACGCAGCGGATTATATTTTCTCTCTGACTAATGGTCACCCTGGTGCGGTTTACAGTGTGCTTGACATGATCTATCAGGTCTGGCTTAGTCTTGGTTTTCAATCCCAACTGAATGGATGCTTACTGAACGAATTGCAGGTGCACCGGTCGGAAATCAAACATGGGAAAATCAGGGAGGTGGGAAAGGATCATATAATAACAATGTTAGATGACGAAGAAGAGTCTTTCCGCATTCTTGGGCAATCAGTGGTGAAACGGTCTTTTGTAGACCGACGAAGGCTCAGTCACCATGCAGCGGACACTCTCCGAGAAGTCTTGAAGAATGGAAGCGTTCAGCGTGACCTTAGCAATGACGGCATTAGGAATTGTTATGAATCTGGATGGTTGCACTCGGAACCGCTTGATGCCGATGCGAGCAGTATTGTTTGTGTATTCCCAACAAGACTGCATGCTAAGTAAGACTTGCTTGTTGTTATTCTATATACACTCTACTGATCTGGATAGATACGTTGAACATTATCTCACCGCTTCTTTGGTGTCCTTCCCCATACAGAGATACCCCACCATTGGAGATCTGTCGGAAGCAGCCCTAAGGCGATTTTCGCTACGAAATCTCTCCTCTATAACACGAGTAGGCACTGGGGCCGTTGTCCGGCCCGTTGAAGCTTGTTATCAAGACGAATTTTATCGGTGTTTACATGAGGTTCTTGGGTTCTCGTCAAACGTCTCCAGTGAATGGTCTGGCGGTGGCAATGGCCGCATTGACTTCAGAATTGCTGACCTCGCATGGGGTATTGAATTGTTACGAGATGGAGATAGATTGGACGCCCACTGCTCCCGATTTGTAGACAACGGAAGTTACACTCGGTGGATCGAGCAAGGCGAATTGCGTGACTGGTTGATCATAGACTGCCGGACTTCACCTCCTCGCCCTTACAGTAAGTAAACATCACGGACGTCTTGATCTATGTCTACATTGAATTGCTAATCGAAACAAAGATGTACCGGGTACGAAGCTTTGGAGGGCTGTGTTTGCGGTGGACTTCTCTTCCATTGAAGTCTTGGATGCTTCCAACAATGTGGTCATTCCTCGGTTTCCGTTGATGTCTTAGCTCCACTACTTGTTTATCCAAGGAAACCGTGCGTTGTATCCTTTGTTGATCAATGGGTATTATTATATTCTGACGACACTCTTCTTGAAACAATCCTTTTATATCCGTCTTACTGTCTTGTTAGTTATATACTTAATAAGAGGAGAAACCCCAAGTCACGCAAGTCTCAATATAAAAACCTCCGATGGACATATTCTAGAATCTAGATACAGCTTGCTTATGTGGTATTGCGTCTACAGTGTAGTCCGAAATGCTAGACAAAGCTGCGAATATCAGAGGACATGGCACATGCTAGCGCCTCGCGTGTCTCTTTTTTCTGGCAATCCCTCAATATTTATATATAACAGAGTAGTTTATTTCCCAGTACATACGACCATAGGGTGTGGAGAACAGGGCTTCCCGTCCGCTCAGCCGTACTTAAGCCACACGCCGGCCGGTTAGTAGTATGGTGGGTGACCACATGCGAATCCCGGCTGTTGTATGTTTTTCTTTTTTTATTATTTTGTATCTCGAAAACTATGGTTATCATCGTAGACCATGCGGCAAGGTTTGGAGCCCAGGGAAGCTTGATTTATACACTAGTGGCAAGCTAAATGACGCTAGGTGGGAGACCTTTTTGATGCGCTGGAATCTGCGCTAATACATTTCTCGCCAAGAGATGGGTAGCTATCTGAAATGGGAATACTGGGCTAAAGGGTTCGAAATTTAGAACCTAAACTGATATGAACTATATATATAGTGTTGGGATATCAACTGTGTTAAGCCCCACCAATGCTGTTTAATATTTTGGTGCACTGGTGGAGATGTAAAGATATATATCCTACAGGATGCCAGTCTCATTGCCAATGTGATCATGATACTGTACACCGCGTCAAGGCAAACCAACCGTCTCAGACTGACCGAGCATTATGGAATTGTGAGACATTCAAATGGTAGCTGACTAGCTTCGTGTTTTCGCATAAAGCGTTGTTTTGGCTCTTCTTGTTTTGCAATTACTTACAATCTTTCACAGCCCTAGGTCAATATTATCACTCTTTACATTTTGCATTGGCCTTCGCACAATAATTACGACTATCTATCTACTGGCTTAGATATCTGGAGCAGGAGTTGAGTACCACACATTGATCAGAGGTACTAACGAATTTACTGGAGAGTGGTTGCATGGTAGATATATATGTAGTTTCTCAAACCCCTTGTATGGGTGTCCATTCTCCTGTCATTATTTCAGATACTAACCCAGAGTAAAGCCTTGAATATCACTGTCTAGAAGCAGCCTGTCATGGAGTAGCCAGGGTACTGTATTAAATCCCTCAATCCCGCTTGCACCCCGTAAACGTATACCTAGATTAACCGTCACTGATCAGCTCATTGACCCATCCACGCGATTGATGTATACGAACCGTAGCTTATAGGCATGGATACGCTTGTTGTGCATATCATGTAGCGCATCCGAAAGCACATGTTCAACCTTCTCCGAGGATAGGTTGAGAACCGGCTGTAATCCTCTGCTAGCAATCATCCGGAAGTCCATCTCGTGCAGCGCAGCCGACGTGGACGCCATCTGTCTCATTTCGACATCGTCCGACCAGTCAGACAATGGGGTTTTGCGAGTCGACTCCGAGACATCCTGGAACCCGGCCGTCTCCATCATGTCCCCGAGACGCGTGACCAATCCCACCTGTTGGCCCATAGTTCCCAGCATTTTGTCCGACAGCTTGTCAAATTGCAGGAGACCCTGCGCTTGACTCAACGATCCGTCGTCGCTGAGTGTATGGGGCCCCAGGTCGGCGATCTCGAGCCATCCCCCTGGCGCAAGGCTCCTGTTACTCTATGGTCAGCACGTGCCATGGACGACGGTTCTTAGGGTACAGGCACACTACTTACGCGTGTACCCGACGCAGCAGGTCGGGCCAGCTGTGGATAAAACCCACCAAGCCACGGATGTGGATGAAATCGACCTTATGTTGGGCAAGCCAGGTCCACTCGTTTTGGATGTCGGCCGCAATAAATTGACAATTAGGGACATCACTTGTACCGTGGGTCAATAAACGCACCACAGGTCAAAGGTGGAAATCAGGGGTCCTACCGTGCGTTGATCCCAGGGTTCAAGTCAACGCCAAGGACCTTTCAAAGTCAACGAAGCAGCTCCCGCCACAACCCCTCACTCTTCTGGACGAGACAGGATATTGGGCATACGGACCTGACATGAAGGATACGCCTTGGCTGCAATTGCCTGTCTTCAGCGCCCACGTCCACAGGATTTCACGATCGGAGAGTCTCTCACCGAACTCCGTTGCCCATACGCCAGCGCCGCAGCCCAGGTCGAGGACGCATTTCGGACGCTCAACGGGCGCCAAATGGAGCTTCCCATTGTTTGAGCGGACAAAGAACGCATGGCACAGTTCTACAGAGGGGTTCTAGGTGTGAGTATCTGGTTCAAATGGGTGGATGCCGCGCACGGCTTGGGTCTGGCCTGGCCGTACCGTCGTATAGCTGGTCTCCCTGCGCGGGTTAGATGGCGCTCGTTGGGCTGATAGTATGGATGGGGGACTCACTTCCTGGTGGGAAATCAATGCTGTTTGATGATCAGACGTGTTAGGAAGAAACAAAAGAAAGGAACGTGGGCTGCGCACCTTTATCCATCCTGCCCTGCTATGGTTTGCTTTGATAGGAACTGGGAACGATTGTCTCACAGAAACAAATCAATAGATAAGAAGCACGATCCTTTTACTCGTCTCAAGCTATACCAGCCTTAGGGGAGATAGAGCACTATCCATATTCCTACAACTATTGCACGCAAAATGTGCTGCGAACAAGAACTGGAACAGTGGCAGCAAGAGGGCCCCGATGTTTCGGGAGTAAGGAACGACTCACCGCTGCTTGGGTATCTCGGTTCGAGCCTTCATCCCTTGCTTGATGTGCCGCTGGACAGGTCGGTGTAGACGTGGGGGGTTGTCAGCCAACTCTAGCCCTCCCAAATTGCCGGTTGGATTTTTGGTGCACTGGCTAGGAGTAGGCAGATTGTCCAATAACACGAGTACGTAAAGTTAACACACTTGGCTCTACATCTAGACTTATATTGCGATCGTTACAAATGGTGTCTTTCTGCCTCTTAATGTTTAACGAGCCGTGTAATTTATATAAGAAGATCTATACACTATAACTCTCAAAAGATAGAATGATGTGTTTGCGGAGGCATTTGCTAGAAGACCTTGGATGCGATTTGCAGTTCGATTCGGGATGACTACGGTAATACAGCTGTAGCTGCATATAGAGAGTTAGCGGCGACCGCGTAGCTCGAGGAAGCGTAGCACTGCATTCTTATGTCAAGTAAACGTTCGAGTTACTGTCAATGAACAATCATAATGCCCGACCCCGTTGACCTCTACTGGCGGAACCCTGACCGGAACCATTGATTCAACGTGAGTAACTCGGCCTCATCGTCGACACCCTTGTTCTTGGCCTTGGCCGCTTGAGCTTTCAGGTAAGCTGGGACCGTAGTCGAAGTCGGCTCATCGCCGAAATATTTTCCGTTGGTTAATTCGCCGAAGTGGAAAAGACGACGCTGGTCCTCGAGCTCCGGGATGCCCGCCCCAAACATGTCCCACTTGGCCTGTCGCACATATCGCACATTCTTGCCCGTAGCTACCATTACGGTGTTTATCAGTCTAGGGCACGTTTGATATCGTACAGACGAAGGAGGGTATTCCACGTACCAGATTGGAATGCGTCGACGACCTGTGGGAAGGAAGAAGCGTCGCTCAAGGCGGGAATCACCTTGCCGTGGTACCTCTCCGGCGCCAAAAGCACGCCGTGGACAATGTCTCCAAAGTCCTTCTCCACGGCAACCCAGGGAACTGGCATATCGGTCTTGGCTCCCCAGCGTGGGGTACTGAGAGTCAGGTATCCCTCTGCGTCTGGAAATTTGGGAAACCCGCCGAAAACCCTCGCAAAATCTGTATTATTGAACAGTTCCATATACCATCCTGCGTAGACAGGACAGACGGATTTGAAATAGCCCGTGGCCATGGCGTATTTCTCAACGCGTGATTTCACTGGGGGCGTCTCAGTCAGCATCCTCCCAGTGTGTCCAGGATCAGGATGTGGAATTGAGGGCTTACTTTCGGCTGCTTTGGCAGTGACCTCGCCCTGCGTGAATGCGGAGGTGGATACGGCCGAGCTGTAGACGAGGTGCTCTACCGATCCAGATTCGACGATGCCATCAATGATGATTTTTCCAAGATCGAACTCGGTCGGCCCGTCGTCGCTCATAAACATCTATATATTCGTGCCAGACAAAAACATTAGAAGTATTTCAAACGTCCACCAAAGGAGGGTCTCACCGGATCCTCGGAGTTGGTGTTCACGAAAGCAGCCCAAGAGCCCGAAAAGGCTTCCTGCACCTGGCTCTTGTTCCATCCGTCTGCCTGAACCACCTCTGCGCCCAGGGCCTTGAGGTTTTGCGCTGAGGTTGACGAAGCATTTCGAGTGATTGCTCTGACAGCAAACTCGGTGTTTTGCAGCAGCGATCGGGCGACCGAGCCTCCCTGAGAACCAGTAGCCCCGTACACGGTGACTAGTGTCTTCGAAGCAGATGGGATGGTCATGTTGCCGAGCAGGATGAGGAATAGTGTTAGGGACTCTCGGCGTATCAATTAGGTCAATAAGTCAGTAGGTCAATAAGCCAGCTACCAGCAGCTGTCAGAATAATCCAAACCGTGGAATAGACACCTATACATAAGGGGATGAAAGTAAGAGGAGGAATAGCGCAGTTAGGGCTAGGGCATGCTCTGTGGTTTGCTTGGGCCCCCGCCGCATCCTAAGATTTTAGCATGAAGAACCCTCGGACAACTTGCAGATTGTACTACAACAGTTAACAAATGACCCATATCCGCCAAAACAGTGTGGACTGGTGGCACGAAGCACACCTAGTGGGAGGGGCAGTGCCGGAATCCGGGACAGGTATACTCTGTAGTGACCCTTGCAGAGACAGGTCGACGCAATGTGGGTGGATATCCCTGGCATCTACCACCCCGCCAGGCTCACCGCAACTTGGAATGATCCAGTCGCCGCAGGGAATGATTGCGGATGATCCTTACATCAGGGAACAGTTTTCCTGAAAAGGCTGCAGGGCAACACCCACGGTCTTGCGTTCCAACGACCCTCGTGGCTTGATATACGCTCCGGGGAATGGGTTCTGAATTCAATCAAGCAAAATGAATGAATTCCATCAATTTGAGCCCTATACCCTGACCTCTTTCGACCACGCCTTCCCACCAGCCTTTTATCATTTCGTGGCGCTTTCGTTCGCTATCCAAAAACCTCAGGATGCGATCCCCACTCTGGAGTCTGCCATCTTACGGATGGTCGGCGAGCTTCCCTTCCTCACGGGGGAAGTCGGCCCCTGCCCGGATGCTAAAAAGAACGGTGTAATGCGTGTCCAGCCTAGTCTCAATACTACAGACAAGAGTTCGATTGTGCGGGTCAAGGAGCATCCACGATTCGTCCTGTCCTCCACCCCGACACCGGGCAAGGGAACAGGCACAGGACAGCATCATGCCCGCTGCGTGGATTTATCGGGAGCTATTGTGCCCGAATTCGATTACTCGTCCATCTCGGCTCCTGTATTTCGTGCTCAGATCAACGTCCTCGCCGACGGCATAGTCCTCTGTCTGGCCATCAACCACATGGTGATTGACGGGACGGGGACGGGAGCCTTGGTCGACATACTCGCCACCGTTTGTCGAGAGGGTGAAGGGTCGGTGAACTATCTGCGCACGTGTGGCGCAATTCAGGAGAGCACCAGGCGTGATCTACAGGATATAGGAACACAAGGCCAGCTGCCCGACGGGGTCCAGTCTAGTGATGATCCTACCGATGGCGCGGGAGACATTTTCGAGCCTGGGAAATCGTATGCGAATCATACACTTGTGTTTTCAGACGCCCACGTGAAAGCGCTCAAGGGCCGATGTAATGCAATTCTGGCGGAGATGTTCCCAGCAGCTAGTACTGGGCCGCCCAATCCAGGGACAACAGTCAGAGACCAACGCTCACTCGTCTCATCCAATGATGTGCTCACAGCGCTATTGTGGATGAGTATCAGTCAAGTCCGATCGGACCCAACCCAACCACGAGAGCAGTCATCTGTGAGCGTCCCCGTGAATACACGGACGAGGTTCTCCCCCTCTCTACCCGATAACTATTTGGGAAATGCCGTGCTCGTGACCGAGAGTAAGCTAGCGTTATCAGAGTTACAATGCCTGAACGACGATGGTCATCTGGGGGAGACGTCTACTCAAGGCATCCGGCTACTTTCTCTGCTCGCTCATCGAGTCCGCTCAAGTATCGCCGCGGTGGATGACGAGTCTTTGAGAGTATCGCTCCGTCGAGCACACCACGCCAGTGACTGGGAAACACTACTCGCTCGCCCGGGCGACGTGGTCGTGTCTAGCCTGCGATCGTGGAACTCCTTCGGCTTGGACTTTGGCCCCACACTCGGCGGTATCGCCGCGCTAGAGCTCGTCCCTACCTTTGCTATTGAAGGGGAATGTATCATCAAACCATGTCGGTGTGACTCAAGTGGGAGTGGCATATGGGAGGTGATGGTTACTTTGAAGCCAGAGCATATGCACGCATTGAGAGAGAACCAGTTGATGAGATGCGTGCTCCAGTGTGATTATCCTGTGGAGGTCTACCGGGCCGGTTAGATTAATCAATCGGCATTAGTTTCGATAGTATTACCTTGCATCAAATAGCTTTCTACTGTCGTGTAACCCCGTCGCGCTCGCCAGCAATGTTTCAAAGTAGAAATAGGACGCGAATTCTCATTAGAATGGTCATATTCCCCGTCTATCGGCTTTGGGAAAGCACATGCAAGGCGCCTCGTGGTATGCAGCTAAGGGGGTGGCCACCGCCACATCAATCCTAGGACACGGCGGTTTTCTGACACGTTAACCCCTTACTGCAATGATCAACCAAGCTACCAAGTTGCATGCTCCCTTACGGGGGTGTTCGGTTGAATACCAAAGAATCCCACAGATCATGTGGTGCCGACTGAGGAAGCCCCAACAAGCCGCTTGTTAGGAAGGTTGTGGTGACTTTTCGGTTCTCATCACGGCGCCGACTTTGCAATTTTCGTTCTTGCTTGTTCCGCTTACCGACGCAATTAACGATGTCGCCCCTAGATGATGTAGTGAGTCCGTCCCAATGGATGCTTTGGAGGCTCACTGGGGCGGCTCTTGTTGTCACCCTAATCACCTCCGTCATCATTGTCGCTGCGGACCTTTACCGTCACTGGCAGAAGAGACGCTCTGTCGGCCAGATTCCTCTGATTCATGACGGGAGCTGGCTGAGCCCCAAACTCCAATGGCGGAGGCCATCCTTTGACGCAGAATCCGAGATGGCGCGCGCGTACAAGAAAGTAAGCTATCTTCACTGGAGGGATCAAATACCTCGCTCACCTCGGATTTTCGCGTGATCGCCTGTAGTATAGCAAAAACGGCAAGCCTTTTGCGTGGAAGACACAGAACGGGTTGGACATCGTTATTATCCTCCCGCCGGAATGCGGCAAAGAGTATTACAGCCTGCCGCGAGAAAAGTGCAGTTTCATGCACTGGGTTCGAAATGTGAGTCTGCGACGAGATAATGGCCGCTGCTAGAAGACCGGTTACTGATCTCGGAACGACCATCCAGGAGATGTTCTTGAATACCGTGGTGGATGTGACGTGGAGGGTCCCCGTTGAAGCCGTCCAGGTCAGCTCCCAGAGTGCTCCTATGGGTAGGTTTTCACCGGAGATTAGGAGTGCTGCCCCAACATTGATATTAACGCGCGCCCAATAGACCGTTTAGGCCGGGTTATTTTCGACCACCTCGACCGTGTCCTCCCCTTGTTCTTGCCAGGGCCTGGTGATCATGGTAAGTGTCGCAAAGCACCCATCCCAAAAGGGACGTTTCCGGCTCCAGAGCTAAGAGATCCCGTCGTCTAGAATGGCGCCAGGTCAATGGATCTGACATGATGGATTCTCTTGTCAGAGACCTCGCTCTCGGTTTGTTCTTCACCCCCGGGTTTGGAGAGGAAAGTGGGTTACGACGGCAAATGTCGGCATATATGGACGGACTCGCAGGCCAGTGGTTTGCCCGACAAGAAGCACCCTATATCCTTGAGCATCTAGTGTGGCGGCTCTCACCAACATGCCGAAGATTCCAGTCCACAATTCAGACCGTCAGGCAGATCGTGGTGCCCGAGGTCCGTCGCCGGATCCAGCAGATCAGAAGTAACGACAAGGACGGTTGCTTCCTCCTGTCCGATCTCTTGATTAAACAAGCGCTAAAACGTGGCACCTTCTGTCGCGAGGGCAAAACAGGCGAGCAGGAGACCCTCGAGGAGCTCATTGTCGACGAAATAATGTTCATGTATATGGAGACCGTGGCCCCGTTCCATCTCGTGACCACTTGCATGGTGTTCCGCATCATGCGCCACCCTGAATATGTTGCTCCATTGCGGGAGGAGCTAGACAGGGCCCTCAAGATTTGCGGTGGTGAATGGAGCTTCGAAATCTTCAACCACACTCCCAAGATGGAGAGCTTCACGCGAGAGATTCTGCGTCTCCACAATCCCACCTCAAGTAAGTCACCTCTTTGAATCAGCATGGCATCGTCCTGATATCGCTCCCCATTATCAGTCAGTGGTGCCCGATGTGTAATGGAACCCATCACGATCCCATCATTAGGCATGGCTCTAGAACGAGGGACACACATCAGCCTGCCCTCCCGATTCATCCACACCGATCCGGAAAATTACCCCGATCCCATGACCTTCAACGGCTACCGTTTCTACGATGAGGCCTCAGGGACTTGCAATGTGCAGAAGACGCTGGCACCGTCGGAGGCGTGGCTCCCATTCGGTATTGGAACCAGCGCTTGTCCTGCCCGGCTTTTGGGTACGCGAACATGCCAGGCGCTGTTTGCCAAGATCCTGATGGACTACGATGTGGGCCAGATGGACGACAAACACGTGCCTTTGCAGATGTGGTTGTTGGGAATCTATGTGCCAAGTCCCACCATCTCAATATCTGCCAGGCGACGAGATGCAAGGAGAACTCACGAGGCACTGGGTTCCAAGCTGAAGCCCGAGGAGTGAACGGCTTCGATAGAGATGTGGGCGGGTTTCCCTGATTAGAATTTTTCATGTGCAGGATTCTCGTTCAATAAACCAGTCCTTATTTTTTCAAACCACACTTCTTGCATAGTTATCATAGTGATTACGACGATATATTAATAGTTGTATGTTATCATCAAAATTTGGAGCCACTTGACATAGCGTTTCATCGTTCTCAGCTCCTTTTCGTTTCTTTATTGTTCGTTTGTGGAGTGTCCTGGTATCAAACGTTTTCCTTCTTGTCGTATTAGTGCATGTACGTCTTAGTCTGTTGAGACCTCCCTACCAATTCCAGAGTTTGGTTGAGAGAAGCTCATCAACAAAGGGATACATGTTTCAGTACCCTGCTCTGTGTACTCAATGCAAAGAGCACACACTGGTCATGCCAGGGGCAAGGGGAGGCATAGGTACACAATCTCATCTTGCCCGCACATCTGCACGGGACCAAGAGCCACGAAATTTCTAGAATACGGGCTCATTGCGGTGAGGGTGTTCTTCACTCCCGGGGCGGACCCACGCGTCTGTAAAGTAGCAGGGGGGCTTCAGGTCATCGCCAGACGCCACAGTACGGAATTCAACCCTTGCATCGAGGACTCACCCGGAGTGAATTGGGGGCAGGGCTGAAAAGGGGAGAGGGGCGTCCAAAACGCCTCACATGTTTTGCGCTCGAGGCGCTTTGCTAAGAAAAAACTCCATGTGGTGACTACCACGGGCGAGATATACAAGGGAACGAGTTGCTTGCTCAATCGGAATCCTACCTGGATACTGAACGGGACCATACCCTCATTAACGCTGTTCGTTGTGGTTGGATACTGTCACAGACTGTCTATAAGAGAAGGCCGGAACTGGTGCCATTGCCAGAACCTGGTTTCCCAGCCACCGTTGAAATGGTACCTGCTAGGGGTGGGAGCAGCACGATCGCCGTGGCCGCGAGATCTATGGCCGTCGAGAACCTCGAGTTGAGACAACGATCTAAGCGAGGTCAGCTGCTAGAATGATGGGACAGTTGCAGCGGGCGCAGGGTAGTTTGTGGCTCCAATTCTTCTGGTCTACAGCCAGCATGCGGTAGATGATCCCTACGTATGCAAGGAGGCTGCCGACCTGGCTGGCAAACGGTTAATGAAAGGGCAAAAGAGCCTTGATGAGGAATGGTTGATGATTATAGCGCCGGCAATAAATATTAAATGCGGATTGTTGACTGAAAGCCATGCTCTGAGTTACTCTCCATTGTGCTCTCTCACTTCTCTTGTCGTTGGTGACCGCACTCCGCGATGGATCTCTCCAACCACATATCACTCTTCGATACTAAAGCAACTGCCCTGACTAGCTGCACCTCGATACCTCTAGATGGCGAACGGGATGACTCTTTGGGCTTGGCTGGCGCCATTTACCGGAGAGCCCAGGAGAACCCCAGTGCGCCGGCCATTGAATTCGACGGCGAAACAATCAGTTATGCGCAACTACACTGCCGTGCAGCTTTGCTTGCTAAACAATTGACCCGAAAGGGAGTTAGCCGGGAAGAGGCAATCGGAATCATGACCGGAACCGGGTTCGAGCAGATCGTGGCCCAGGCTGCGGTGGTTTATGCCGGGTGCACTTGCTGCGCTCTCGACCCAACACTGCCGTTCGCGCAGCTGCAATATCGCTTGACCAACGCCGGAGCTCGGATCTGTCTGGTCGATCAGGAAAACAGCAATCGGTTGAAGGAGTTCGAGGTGATCGCGATCCGACTCGAGGGCATCACGCCGAGCCAAGTAACCGCTGAGTTGGCAGTGCCGCCGAGGGCGATGGGCACTGAGCATCGAACCCACCTGATGCACACCTCTGGTTCGACGGGCAAGCCCAAGACGGTTCAGATCCAAGCAAGGGCTCTACTGCATTTATCTCGGGATGATCGCAATGTGCCCATCGGGTATGAAGACCGGACGGCTCAGATGGCCATGGTCAGCTTCGATATCTCTTTGTTCGAGATCTGGGTGACCTTGCTACGTGGGGCCACGATTGTGCCCGTCTCTCGCACCCTGCTGTCGGACGTGGCGCGTTTGGCTCGCACATGGCGTGAGCTTCGGGTGACTGTCATGCTGGTTCCCGCATCGCTGCTACCTATGGTCGTCTTCGCCATGCCCACCGTGTTCTCCGGCATGCAGGTGGTCTATAGCGGTGGCGAGATGCCAAACCTTCCCGCGATGAAGATGGCCCTGGAGCAAGGGCCCCCCAACCATCTTTTCAATTGCTACGGTCCTACGGAGTGTTGTATCTTCTCTCTCGTACACGAGGTCACCCTGAAAGACACGAAGAATAGTGTTTGTCCGCTCACCCGGCTCATCTCGGACACTCGGATCGAGATCCTGGATCCCAGCGGCCAACCCGTGCCGGATGGAGATTCCGGTGAGCTCTTCATCGGGGGTGACGGCGTGTCTCCCGGGTATGTCAACCTGGCCGATAAGACCGCCGAACGATTCGTGACCACGCGCCAATACCCGGCACTGCCTTCGGGCTGCAACTTCTACGCCACCGGCGATCTGGTCCGCCGGACCGGGACCGGGGAGATCTACGTTCACGGCCGCATTGATAACCAGGTCAAGATCCGGGGGTACCGCGTGGAGCTGGAAGGCGTCGAGGCGGCTATTATGGACACGGGCCTCGTCACGACCACGGCCGCCTGCAAGGTACAGCGGGGCGATGACGATCTCGGGGCTGCCTTGGTTGCTTTCGTCATTCCCAAGAACCCTAATACGTTCACCCCAGACCAACTCACCGATGCGCTGAAAGTGCAAGTAGCCGAGTACCTGGTCCCGCAGGTCGAGGTATGCACCGAGATGCCGCTCAACGGCCATACCAAGATTGACCGAGAACGGCTAGTCCGCGAGTTCCTCGAGGCCGCGACGAAGCGCCAATTGGAGATGGCGGGAACCCAGGACGCGTCGACAACGATCAGCAGGCTCCGAAAGATTTGGCATTCCGTTCTGCCCGGCTGTTCACGGCACATCGAAGACGGAGACACGTTCCACGCGCTGGGCGGCACCTCCCTCCAGGCCGCCATGCTGCTGATCCGCATGAAGCGCGAGTTTTCCGTGGAATTGACAGCCGTCATGGTGTACGAGCAATTTACGTTGGCTCAGATGGCGCGCTATGTCGACGAGGGTGGCGCCAAGTATACGATCCATGCGGCACACAACCGGGCCTATCGCCAGGACGTCGATATCTACAAGTCCCTGGCTCTCCAGCCTCTGTCGGGTCAGCCGCCGCAATGGGACGGCCCCTTCGAGGGCCGCATCTTTATGACCGGTGCCACCGGGTTCGTGGGCGCCTTCCTGCTTCAAACCCTCCTGACCCTCCCCGAGGTCAAGATGGTTGTGTGCCTGGTGCGGGCGAAAAATGATGAGAAGGCCCGAAACCGCGTCATGGGGGTTCAAACACAATATAACCTGTGCCAAAGTTCGGTGGACTATTCGAAGCTGGTCGCCGTGGCTGGGGACCTTGATAGCCCAACCTTAGGGCTAGGCGGGGAGCTCTTCCACCAACTCGGCTACTGGGCCTCGTGCATCTTTCATTCTGGGGCGCATGTCAACTACGCCCAGCCGTATCAGTCTCACCGTGACGCCAATGTCTTGGGAACAGCGAATATCCTCCGGTTCCAAGCCACCGGCCGGCCCAAGCGGCTGTTCTACCTATCGACGCTCAATATCTACGGGCCCACCGGTCTGGTCGACGGGTACACTCGCGTGGGGGAGAACGATCCGATCACAAAGTTCATGGATGCCGTGCAGTACGACAATGGCTACGCACAGAGCAAGTGGGTAGCGGAGAAGATGGTCATCGACGCCATTCGAGACAACTTCCCCATCAGCATCTTCCGCCCCGGCGCCATCTTCTGCCACAGCAAAACCGGCACTGGCAACGGGACGGACTTTGTCGCCCGTCTGATGGCTAGCTGTATGCGTCTCAAGCATTACCCCACCATGCCCCAGCAAAGCAAGAACTTCGTCCCCGTGGACTACCTGGTAGACGCTATCCTGCACCTGTCCCGACAGCAGTGTAGCCTCGGGCAGGCATATAACGTCGTCCCGACACTCCACGAGCAGCCAGAAAATGAGATGAGAGACATGTTTCACATGCTCGAGAAGGCCTGCCAAACCCCAATGAAGGAGATGCCGTATGATAAGTGGCTGGAGCTGCTCAAGACCCTGGATGACAACAATGATCCTCTCCGTCCCCTTCTCCCCATGCTGGAGGAAAAGGTCTTCGAAAACCACTGCCGCTGGGAAATGTACTCCAAAATGCCCATCTACGGAACCGAGAACTTGACGCGGGATCTCCGCGATGTGCCGGGCCTGGCACAGTTCCCCGTCTTGGATCAACCCCTTCTCAACCGTTTCCTGTCCGAGCTCAATCTGATTTGAGTGGTGAACACGTTGGATTTGACCTCGGGATATACAGTGCCCTAGGTTTCGGTCACCAAGTCGCGACAGAGAATGTCATATTACCCTTTCCTCCTGATTGTTTTGGTCATGACCCGATCTGCCTTAGCACAATCATGGAGTTAATTTTCCCAGTGTCTATCGAACCCCCAGAATGGAGATTCTCATTGCGTTTTATGACATAGGTGTTGTAAGCTATTGGCTAATCCTCGTAGAAATCCGTACTTCTCACCACTGGTAGTGACCATTCTTATCCAGTCTGCGTCTGAGCACATTGACTTGGCTGTGGCATTATCGAGAACTTCCCAGTTTATGACACCAATGGGCCCCTGGTAGATTTTATTGAGCTATCAGACAGCGTGACTTAGATGCTCTAAGTCGCCGGAAGTGAAATCCGGAACTTACACGTAATGCAGCTACATAACTCCAGTTAATATCATTTGATAACAAGCAAGGGACAAAGTACCAGCTTGGGCACTGGTTGTAACCCAAGGGGTTAGCATACCGAAAATATATAGATAGCGCACATTACACCAGGGTTACCTCAAATCTCAGCAAAGAAATTTCCCCTACCTACCTATCATAGTCAGCAGTGGTGGGCCGGTTTAGGGAAGGAAACCCTGCAGAATGCATGCAGGTGTATAAGGGTTGATTACAATGGCCGACCAGGTGGACGGGTGGGTAACAAGCCGCCACCTAAGACACAACTCCTATGGGTATCGCTTCGTAAGCGTACTGGTAGCTGCCAGTGTTAATCGATCTTATGTTGGTTATGGCGAGAGAAGACCTGAAACGAGGTGGGTGGATTCCAACTTTCGGTATGCCTGCGAGGGGCTGTGAGCCACCTGTCCACATAGTCCACCGCACAACTTGGCTTTCACCCCTTACAGATCGTTGGTAGGATTAACCATAACCCATTGATTTTTAACGTTGAGGCGGAAAAGGGGAAATGGTGCAACGTAGAGGGGGCGCGACTGACCTTCTACCCGAGCCCAGGAGCGATCCCATGTTCACTCTCGCTTCAATATATTCATCGTCGCGATAGGTAGGTAGTGCACCTCTGCGAAAATGGATCTTGCAGCCTTACTCCAAGGTGCTGACGCCGTGGGCGTTGCCGTCCTGACAACAACTCTGCTTTTGCTCACATACTATGCCCTCGACACCAAACCCACAGGGCTCCCTCGAGTGAACACGCCGAGCTGGCTTGACCTGTGGTCGAAAAAGGCGCGGCAGAGTTTCATTAAAAATGCCGAGGGGCTGGTCAAGGAGGGATTCTCCAAGGCAAGTCAAGCCCCTCTTCATTCAAACTTGCCACACAGGGCTCCTGACTTCCGACGGGCCTCGCCCCAAAGATAGGCTCCGATCTTCTGGATTATGACCGATAGCGGATGGAAAATTATTCTTGCCCCAGAGTACGCCAGTGAAGTTCGCAAATTCGAGGAACATGGCACGGTGCTCTCCTCGAAGGACCAGTTTCATGGCGATATACCCGGGTTTGAGCCGTTCAACGCAGGGAGTCTGATAGAGCTCCAGCTGGTCAAATACATGGCCAAGAAAAGCTGCTCCAAGTCTGCTGGTTAGTGGTTTCCTATCTACATTATTTCCAATTCTGTCTTGTCTATCTATATATCTATCCTTTCCCCTCCAGTCGACACCCAGAAGGCTTCTCTAGTCTGACCGTACCATGGCACAGGTCATGTTTTTAGTTCCCTATCATTGGAATCCGGTCGTGTGGTGCAAGAGATGTGCAGCGATGATCCGAGTACGTATGAATCAGCATGTCTCCATAAACCAGCAAGAATTCGGAATGCAGAGGTTGACAGTAGAACGAACCAGATTGGAGACCTATTCAGGCGGAGTCGACAGCCGTGCGGATGATTGCGCATTTGACAGCAGCGGTGTTTGCCGGTCGTCAGTTATGCCGCAACTCCGAATGGATAGATATTACCATCCAATATTCGCTGACTGCCATGGTGGCTGCTGAGCAGCTCTGGAGGTGGCCCCGGCTGGCACGGCGAATGGCAGCCCGATTCCTACCGTCATGTCGACTGCTCTCGGCGCAGGTGCAGCGAGCGAACGAGCTGGTCTCAACAACCTCACAAGCTCGAAAGGACGAAACCACCGCTACGCAACAAGCAGGAATGGAGCAGTCTACGAGTTATCATGATGGTCTCGAGTGGATGGAGGAATATGCCCGGGGGCGTCCGTATCGCCCGGGGGTTACCCAGCTCGCGGTCACTCTGGGGGCCGTAGACACGACAAAAGACCTCTTGATGCAGGTGCTGTATGACATCGCGGGAAAAAGTGATTTGATGGATGCGCTGCGGCGGGAGATCGTGGCTATAGTGTCCGAGCACGGCTGGACAAAGACCACTATCGTCAACCTGCAGCTGATGGATAGTATGATCAAGGAGAGCCAGCGGCTGAAACCTGTCGGAATCAGTAAGTTGTGTACTAGAACGCCCCTGGGGTGTAATTCCCTTTTAACCCCCCTCCTCCTCCTTCTTCACTGAATCCCAGTATCTATATAAATCGATGATCCGTCCATAACCGAGATCTAACAATGATAGCCGGAATACGGCGCACGGCCGCGAGCGATATCCATCTTTCCGACGGCGGCATCGTGCCCAAGAACGTACCGTTTGAGATCTCCAACATGCACATGTGGGATGATGCCGATCTATATCCCGACCCGCTCTCTTTTCAAGCCGACCGATTTCTGCGTTTACGTCAAGTGCCAGGACACGAGGCAACCGCTCAGCTGGCTTCGCTGTCAGCAGACCATTTGGGATGGGGACTGGGGAAAAACGCTTGTCCGGGACGGTTCTTCGTTGCTATGGAGGTCAAGGTTCTCCTTTGCCACCTCATTCTGAAGTATGACTGGAGGCTCGAGGATGGGTGCATATCGGAAGTCCGTCGGTATGGGACATTTCTCTCGGCGGACCCCGAGGGGACACTGCTCGTGCGCAGACGACGCGAGGAAGTCGATCTGGATGGGCCCCTGGTATGAAGGGACGGCATCCGTGAGGATTGGGCCCAATTGGACATTGTCTAGTCGTCTTGGTAATGGGGATATAACGAACGGATGGCATTTGAATGCAGGGGGCAAGCCGATGGTCGGTATTGCCCGCAGGGGTCTAGTAAATTTGGTTTCTCGAGCGTTCCCCAAAAACCCTGGACAGAAAGAAAATTGATAGTTTCTTGGAGTATCTTGTCACAGGTTATCTTGAACTGCCTTCCCTAGCCGTATATTTGACTTTCATTTGCCACAGAAATATCGAGAATCTCAGGAGTATCAGAATGTTTGGCCACGAGACATACTCTGTATGAGCTTCCTACCCAATAACCATTAGTTGGTGATCACCGCGAGGCCTTCTCAACACCCACTAGCCCTATTAGAATAATATGCCTAAGATTCCAGTGTTATTACGTTGAGCAAAGTGCCGGTAATAACAGTGCTAATCACCCCGCTGACATACCAGGGCCCTTTCCGGCTGCCAAAGCTCATACAAGCCTAAGGTGCAGGCCAAAACATCGATTGCATGCGCCGTATTGCCAGTAGCATGCTTTCCGGATCTTTTGGCCTTGGAGGTTGATAGGCTCAGAAGGAAGGGAAGCATGGCGTCACTGTGCCCGGTTTATCTCGGGATGATTGTACTCTGTCAGCTTCTTTTGCCGGCGTTGCCTTGTTGTCTTAGGTTTATTCACTGTTGGAAGTTGGTGTTACTGGTTATTTATATTCAGGTGATAGCACTTGAACAGACTGAACTCCAAACGGTCTAGATGTATACTATTGAACCATAACACGGCAGTGTTCCTTGGTCTCCACCGGTAGACGACTATACAAGTTTCGACAGGGTAGCTGGATCCCAGCAGACGCAAATTCATATCTGCTTCACACCAACATCAGCCACCAGAATAAAAGTATAGGCTAATTTGATACGACCTTATCAGGATATATATAGTGCAAGTCACTTTTAGTTTGTAATATAACTCCGTGCTTTTATGGATAATGGCCACCGAATGCTCTTGTGAATGCCACCAGTAAGTTTCGAGCTAAAAATACAGTAAGATAATACAAATATCACTAATTGTAAGTTAAAATGGTGACTAAAAGTATAATTGATCCCATCGTACTAATCTCAAGGATGATAGGGAGGTGAAAAACTGGGAGAGAATGGATGATCGAATGGCCAAGTGTGGTCAGTGCCCTGCCCTCAACCATAATAAGCTGTCAATATAGTAGACCGCCAATTACCCGTGAAATTTCAAGTGGGTACATGAATGTCATTTGGGAGGGAAAAGCCTAAAGTGACTATGTCACTACTCAATTAGTACTACGGCCTCAGATCATTAACCTGCACGGATGGGATCAGCACCCGTCCCCACGGAGCTTGCCAGAACGTCGCAAGGCTATTATTATAATTGGCCACGCGGCGCGGGGCATATCGCTTACAGTCTCGCACACGAGACGGTGAGTCGAAGCTGGGGCTGAGGTTGATATCGTAGAGTTCCGGGTGTCCCCGTAGACATTTACATATATATACACACGGCCTGCAATTAGCCAATTTTAAACCAGGGACGATATAGAAATCAAAATGGCCGAACTCGGAACAGCAGCAGCAGTGATTCAGGTTGCTGGGGTAGCTGCCACGGTCTCCACGGAGCTATACGATGCTCTTTCAAAGATCAAGAATGCGCCACAGGAAATCCTCAATCTGGTGAATGACATGGAATCACTGGGCACTATTTTGTCAAATTTGCAATCGGCTCTAAACTCGCCTGAAACACAGGTGGTTGTTGACCAAGATGACGAAGTCAGAAGAGCAATGGCCGGTCTGCCGAGTCTTATAGAAAACTGCGAGCAGAGCTGCAGAAGAGTCTTGGACAAGGTTGGTCCGTTTAACCAAGGTAATGGACAGGCGAACAAGCAAGACGATGAAAAGAAACTATCAATTCTGTCAAAACGTCGGTCTTTTCTGTGGTATTTCAAAAGAAAGAGTATTCTGGAATCTGTGTATGAGCTCCAGCGCACGAGGTCCATCCTATCTGCCGCAATGGGTAGCGTCACCTTGTGAGTGCCTGGTTCTAGTCTCGAGGCTTGAGGTAGAGTCTATGAGTGCTCACGGAACATAGCATCCTTACAATTAGAACCCCCGGTCAGGCTGCTCCACCCTACGACGCAAAGCAAATATTTGACGACGATACCGGCTCCGCTGTCATGAAATGGATGGCCTCGGTGGAATCCGAACAGTTGACCATGGCCGGCAGTGACTTATTTTCCATTGCAGAATCAGTGCCCATTATACCCACTGACCCTCAGCTCACCGAGAACCTTCTTTCAACCGTCAGGGCCGGTAAAACAATGGTTGCAGAGTTACTGCTAGATCGAATTGACGTCAATTCTCGGAGTTCCCGAGATGGGCGGACTGCGCTCTCTGTGGCCGCCGAACATGGCAATGCCAACATGACCAAAATGCTCCTTGACCACGGCGCTGAAGTGGACATCGCCCAGTTCAGTCGAAATGTGTCCGAGGGATTGGGACCAGACTGGATTGGCGGGCGCACCCCGTTAATATGGGCAGCCAGTCGATCTCACAGCCACATTGTGGAGCTTTTGCTGAACCATGGAGCGAACCCAAACAAAGCCAACAGCGCCGGGCGATTCCCCCTGCATTTTTGCTGTATGAGGGATGATCGGAAATCCGCGATGATTCTACTTGAGCACGGTGCGGATGTGAATTGTCGAAGTCTTCACCATGTACGTTGCCCGTCTAATCGCACCGATAGCTATTTCTCTGTCTAACCTCGATTATAGGGCTGGAGACCAATCCACGAAGCCGGACTAAATAGAAACCACGCATTGCTGCAAATGCTGCTCGAGTATAAGCCATCACTTGATGTTAATATCGAACCAAACGGGGGCTGTTCGGCCAAGGCCCCAATACACATGTTCGTCGGCCACAAAATGCCAGAGTCCACAAAGCTACTCCTCGACAGGGGAGCAAACCCTGACCTCGGAATGTTAGAAAACACTACTGCTTTGCATCTTGCAGCAGCTGAAGGCTGGCTGGAAGGGATAGACCTGCTCCTAAAGAAGGGTGCCTCAATTGATGCGCAGGACGCGCTCCTCCTGGAAACGCCATTGCATAAGGCGGCCCGCAATTGCCAGCTGCAATCGTGTGAGCTTCTGCGCGCACATGGCGCCAATGAAAAACAGCTGAACATTGATGGACTGGACTACCAGGCTATTTTGCAGTATGCGCAGGACTACCCAGATGATTGGAATGTGCCTCATGTGCGATTCTGCTTTCTCAGCGAGGGTAAATCACGGGATTAGTGGTTTCTTTTGTTTGTAAGATTTTTGCCTGTCCGGACTGTATCACTACGCAATATGAATATACTTCGATCAAGGTATTGTCAAGAACAGAGACACCAACCTCCAGCTTTCTTCGCATGGCCACCGACATGCCTTATGTGCGTCCGCTCAGCATCCATAGAATGGCTTCCAGGCCAAATGCGTGATAACATACGAAGGCGTGAACGAACCACTGCCCAACTTGCACTCGGGAACATACCATGCCGAAATAGAGCCCTCCACAATGTCAATCGGGTTTTATAACATACAGACAATGGTGGCCTACAGAACGCTATCCTCATGGACTACGTTTACCTCCAATGTCGAGAAGATTTCCAATCCCCAAGACGATGAGCCACATGGTGGCAGACAGCGCGTCTATCTTCGTCCGAATTTTGAACCAAGCTACCCCACAAAGTCAAGGGAACATGTCGTGCTCGGCAATTAGCATGACGTGCAGGGCCGCTGGCACCAGCATGTAAGCCAGGTGATGTCGACGATCTGGGCAAAGGGAATGATGGGTTTGGAGATGGGCGGCTTCGAGGCCACCAACAGCTGTAGCCCCAAGTTCCTAGACATCGGGTAACGCAGCCTTTTGCGCTTCAAGAAACTAGGGCTTTTCATGCCTGCCAATACGGATGTTTAGGGCAAATTGCGGCCTACATGTTCGACCTCCAACTTGGAATGGCCTTCTGTCCGACAATTATGAGACAGTGTTGCTCCGGCAAGTAGAGGGCCGGGTAACAGGATGGGCCCTGGAGTACAGTCCGGCGGCTTTTTGGGATGATGCCCAAGCGCCAGGGGTTGTGAGTGTCCGCGAATGTCTGTGGCACTTGGGCCACAAGGTACAAAAAGCCCATTAATCAAAGAACAATTTGGCCCGATGGGACTGAGCTCGTAGGTTTTAGGTAGAAGAGAAGTGGATGGCTGACAGCTGGAGCATGATCTACTTCTTCAACAGAGCACTGTTTACTTTCAATTCTTGGAAATGAAGGATATGAGAGCTATATACAAAAGCTTCTAGTACATACGACCATAGGGTGTGGAGAACAGGGCTTCCCGTCCGCTCAGCCGTACTTAAGCCACACGCCGGCCGGTTAGTAGTATGGTGGGTGACCACATGCGAATCCCGGCTGTTGTATGTTTTTTAGGTTCGATTTTTGTTGTTTGAATTCTTTAATACGTTGTGTGTGATGCCTGAGAAATTAGGAATAATATCCATCAAATAGCCACTTGTAGTAATATAAGAGGACTTTCTGGGTCGTCCATTTACAATAAAATGGCAAGACAGCCGGGCTCCCTTGGTGATGATATTCGACTGAATTTTTGATATACCCGAGAATCAGTGTTAGTTACGCTTTCTTAAAGAAAAAAGCATTGACCCTGGTGCGCTTGAGAGGCGTTCTATGGTTGTTCTTCAGATCATAAATTGGAGTTTTCTTTGGAACAAGAAACTCTTCCAGCAGGTATTTTTATGTACACATGTACCTACCTCAATAAGCTCTTCACTTGGCTGTGAATAGCCCTCAGAAAAGTGATAATGTAAAACAAGAGTCGCCTTTTCTTCATGATTTGAAGTTGTGAAGATATTCCTGTTTCTTCTTTGACAGCCCTTTCCATAATGATCTAACTACCCTGCACAGGACTGGTTGAGAAATCCAGATATTGTCACATAAACGGTCTACGCTATGCAAGTATATAGTTCAAACTATGGCTGAATATGATTTGACAACAGGGTAATTTAAAAACTATAGAAAGCTCAATAGAAGCAGTTGCGAGTTCTTCGAGATTGCCAGTGTCTAGTCGATGAAACTCATGAAACTCATATCAAGACGAGAACCAGCATAAAACCCTCGGGTCGAAAAACTCAGCTGTTCATTGTCAGACCACTGATATTAGCAGTCTGAGATTGGATTCCCACTGTCATATTCGCGCCGTTGTTGAATACCATTGTCGGGACAGTCGCCTGTGATGCTATGGATCGCTCCGGACTTCTGTCCCATAAGTCCAAAACCGCTCTCGTACAAGCTGCCGCCGAGGCAGCTGCGTAGTCCTGCCACAGTTTGTTCTTATGGCTGTCGGCGTAGTCACAGACGCCTTTGACTATGACGGTGGGGAGATACTCCCAGAGACCGGCACTTTCCATATCGAACCCAATCGCGTTTTCGGTTTGAAACATATGCTCCCGATAATTTGCACACTTGATGATGGCATTTCCCGATTCTATGGTTCCAAAATGAAGGGCTGGCGAGGTAAGCACCTGGCTCTTCAGCCTGTCCCGCTGAATCAAATACTTCGAGTCACATCCCAGCTGATCGCACAATGTCTCTCGAGCAGCTTTGCACGATCCTAATTGAGATTTGCAATGGCAGCGTTTGCTGTCGTAGTGCTTATGCAAATAGATAGGTTCGAAAAGCTTGTCCTTATCTGAGCCAGGGTACGATGACATTTGAAACTCAGGTTTAGTAAGAAGCCGCGAGAGGTATCTGGCAGTGTTTTCTCTCAGAGGGGTCTTGTACGACTCCAGCTTCTTGATAAATCCGCGGATTTCGGGACTTTGCCTTCCAAGAGTATCTTCCATTCGACTCCTCGATTGCAGGCCATCCTGATATCGTCTTCCAAGGTCAGGGTTTATGGCCTTTCTGCCAATGATAACATCCCCGAGTATTATTTCGTGCTTCTTGTCATCTCGGGGGCTCCCACCACAAATGCCGACCAACAGGACCAGTTGAAGGTTTGCAAAGGAATAACGAAACCTTTGCGCAAAATTTGCCGTTTCCACTAGCCCCATGCCGGGTAAATGCCCTAGAACAACCCTGTGAGGACCGATCTTTCCAGCTGTGTAGGAGCCAGTGTCCGTCGATGCTTGTGTGAAGTGAGAATCATTATCAAAACCATCGATTTCATCAAACATTCCTCTCACAGCCCGTGACTCCAGAGGTAGAGCGCAGAGAATTCCGATATGGAAGTGTGAATTATCGACTGTCGCGCCGGGTGACATGATGCTTTGTGGTGATGACCCAAGTACCGTGCTGTAAAAAAACCACGATTAAATGAATCTTTAGGGAGGTGTATCCCCTTTTTGTGCTTTGGAGGGTAGAAGAGGGGATGTCAGGCCGCTATACATTAAACAAGGCTCTGCAACAACCTTGCAAGACTATTACATTTAGCAGCTACGGTATGAAGGGCTACACCAATACCCTTTCAGTATTGAATCTGTTTGGGAGAAAAGCCTAGTGTGGTTTTACCACTTTGAGCAAGCTGCATGAGAATTTATTAATCCTATGTAATGTATAAGCCAATATTCATTACTAACTCAGCGGACTTGGTTTATGATACCCCTTTGGCCGCGCGGGAGTCCTATATCTCACCCTTATAATTACTATGCAGTTCTGCGCTTCTCTTTTCCATTCTTCTCATCTCCCCAAACTGGTCTATCTCCGGATTTTGATATTTGGCATAATAAAGAGCTTGCTGATAACCTTCTATAAACTATAACATAAACCTTTCCGAACATATCATGGATCCTGGAAACAGTCACGAGCAGAAGACCCGAATTGAAAATAAAGAGATAACCAAGGGTTTCTTGATTCAAGGCGGCTGTGTTAATATTAATGGGTTCACAGTGAATCAGTAAGCTGAGAATACTTGTTTACTTTCTATCCTCTCTGGCCTGTTTTCTTGATCTATCTTTCTTCGTACGGATGAAAACTAAATTGTGAACAGAAACGCCGGGCCTGATTTACTGAACAAATTTCCCTTTTGCAGAGATGCAATATTCAACAGCTCGAAACCTGAGAATGAACCAATTTGTATGGAAGGGACCCGGCAGGAAGTGCTGTCCGAGATCTATCATTGGGCAGATGGCGAGCATGAACAGTCCGTTCTTTGGCTCAATGGCTGGGCTAAGGTGGGAAAATCAACCATAGCCCGAACTGTTGCTAAAGAATACTACAAAAGAGGACGTCTAGGGGGAAGTTTCTTCTTCGCAGAAGGCAATAAGCAGCGGGATAGCATGAGGGGGTTTGTCGGCACTATGGCACACCAGCTTGTCGAATTCAACGAGAGTTACAGTCATTTGCTGCGAAGCATCCTCCATCAAGATTCTATCCTACCCGAATATCCTCTGACCAAGCAGTGGGATTGCTTGATTTGGAAGCCCTTGGTGAAGAGTTATGAATCACAAGACAAGCCGCCCACTCTCTTGGTAATAGATGCACTGGATGAATGCAAAGAAGATATTACGAGTATTCTTGAAATTCTTTGCAAGACACACTCTAGATATCTTCGTTTGCTCATCACAAGTCGACCAGCAACTCACGACCAATTCTGTTACCAGATCAAGGGGGAATGTCAGAGTATCATCCTGCATGATATTAAACAACAATCAGTCAACAATGATCTTCTAAATCTTTTCAGAAAATCTCTTCCTGACTTGATCTTTGACTCTTTTGACGCAGAAATGCTATTAAGCAAGCTTGTTAAGCGAGCAGGTGGTCTTTTCATCGTGGCCATAGCACTCACACGTTATCTAAAATGTGAGTCTTTGGTTGTACGAGACAGAGTACTTGCAATCCTCACAGGAAACTTCAAGAGAGAACCACCTGATAATATATTGGACTCAGTTTATTGTAATGCTCTGGAAAAGTCAATCCCAGATAACCTTGATGAAAACGAAAGGCAAGATCACTGTGATTCTATCAAGCGTGTCTTGGGAGGCATAGCGATTATGTTCACAGAGATATCTGTGAACTCATTATACAATCTTTTGAACCATGATAAAGGGGTCTCAACACTTCACCGTGACTTTATTCACAGATCCTTGAAAAGGTTGAGTGCTATTATAATAGTCCCCCAAAAAGCAAGTGACAAGAAACAGTCGTTTCGACTGCATCACTCAGCCCTCAGCGACTTTCTCTTTGATACAAGCAGATGCAACATCTACTTCTCGATTGATAAACAGAAAATGCATTTGACGATACTTGAATGTTGTATTCGAGTCTTGAACGAACAGCTTGCCCAGTACCTGGAGTGTTTGAAGGTGCCCGCAAGAAGCCTGGGGGCCGCCAATGGGAGAGTGGTTGAGCAGTTCCCAGCTGATGAGATTCAGTATGCATGCATCTACTGGGTGAAGCATCTAGAGGGCAGCAATCTCCAGCTCTGTGATAATGACATCATACATAAATTTCTGCGAAGCCATGTTCTTGACTGGCTAGAGGCACTGTGCCGTATCACGATGGTGGACAATGTCTTGGAGGCAATATATCTGTTAGGAAAGTCTACAAGGGTAGGTTTACTTGTCCGTTGGAGATATTAATTTTTATTAAAAAATGGCATAGGGTCCGTCAGGCCGGAAGGTACACGATTTCATTGAGGATATTCGACGATTCGCTCTCAAAAACCAGCATATTTTCAAGGAAGATCCGTCACAGATTCATGAGAGTGCAATAATTTTTGCACCTCTGAGTAGCCCATTACGACGTGAATTCGGTAAATCTGCGCTTAAACACATCAAATATCTCCCAGAAACGCAATATGACTGGGATTCTGAGATAGTGGCTTTTGAGCATGATGTGCACAACATCCACGAACTCATATGTACTAGACACGACGTCGTTGTCTCTAGGTCAGACAATGGTGTAATCAAGCTATGGAACGCAGTGACCGGTCGATTCCTTCATGATCTTGACGGGGTTTCAGTGGACGCGATCAGCCTCTCCAACGATGGAAGGTTGCTCGCCTGTTTATCTAAGGGGGGTTTCAGCATATGGGATACCATGACGGGCGTGCGCTTGAGCACCTCTCAAACCAGCACCCAGTTAGCGGCTATTGCTTTCACAGAAGATAGCAACACTATTCTCACAGTATGCCATGTATCAACCATACAGTACTGGAATTTTAATACTGGGCAATGCACCCCTGTTCTGAACAGGCATATTGATAGCGGAAAGTCGATAAAAGTGTCAGCTGACGCTGCTACGATTTTATCATGGGGCCAGGGCAAAGAAATAACTGTCTTGAAGATTCGAGATTATGAGTGCTATCACCAGTTTTCCATCACTGATGAAGAAGCGATTCAAACGGTCTCCATATCGAATGACGGCATCAGGCTTGCTTCTGCTGGCAAAGGCATACGAGTGTGGGATTTACCCACTAGGAAGTGTCGGTATAATATTTTCGAACGCTTCAATCCCGTAACCTCCTTGGGGATGTCGCCAGATGGACAATTCCTGGCAGCTGGATATGATAACGCAAGCATTCGGATCTGGAATCTTGATACAGGACAACCTTTGCAGGTCCTCAAAGGACACTACGGTCCGGTGGTAGCACTATCATTCTCTTTGGAAGACTTTGTTCTTGTTTCCGGGTCGTGGGATTGCACTGTGCGAACTTGGAAATTAGAGCAGGCCCAACCTGCTACATTCAATGCTACCAATGATCGTGGAAGGCAGATCACAGCGCTTCAACTATCGTCGGATGATTCTATTCTCGCTACGGGAACTTTGGACGGGACAATATCGCTATGGAAAACAGAGAGAGGGGAGCGCTATGCAAATTTTTGTGGTCATAATCATGAAGTGAAAAGCTTCTATTTCGTTGAGGATAATCTTACCCTCATTTCAACCTCGGCGGATCGCACGATACGGCTGTGGAGTGTTGCGACAGGTGAGAGCCTAAAGAACCTTACTGGGCACACCTCTCCAATAAATACCAGTCAAATATCCGAGGACGGTAACCTATTGGCCACAGCTTCGCTCGACCATGCGATTATGTTGTGGGATCTAAAGAAACGAGCTTGTCGGCACAGTCTTACTGGCCACGGCGGCAGAATTCAACAAATGGCATTCTCTACGGACGGCATGGTTTTAGCGTCTGCACCGGCAGATGGTAGCATACGCCTTTGGAGGACGACAGATGGAGCCTCTATGGGTCCACTTATAGGGAATGGCGCCCAGATCAATGGAATAACATTCCGTGCACATACCATGATTCTGGCATCGTGCGCAGCAGACGGTACAGTACGACTGTGGGATGTTCTAAGAAAAGAATGTATCCGCAGCCTTGAGGGTGGTGATCCTCAAATGTGTGTTGCAGTTTCTAGTGATCGGGGATTTATTGCATCAGCCGCAATGGGAGTTGTTAGGATTTGGCATCCGTCCCAGGAAACGCCGTTAGAAAGATTTGTTCCTATTCCGTTGAACAACATAGCCTTGTCGGAAGATGGACAGTACTTGACATGTGACAGAGGGACCATCGACCTCGGTATCCAAACATCTGATACACGACCATCGTCGCATAATCCGAAGTTAGGCCTCTACATTGGAGACGACTGCATTGTCAATAGTCACGCAAGACTCCTCTGCATCTCACGGCGTTATCAATACATAGAAAAATCGGCATGTCGGCAGAACATCGTAGCGCTGGGCTACAAGTCTGGAGAGGTCATGATACTTTACACAGTATAGACGGTGGCAGGGACTGGGGAGGATGTACTTTGACCCAAGGATGCAATGTTCCTCAGCCGCTGATTGAGATGCTCGACTGGAAAGCCCCCATTCCAAGGGGTATAAGAAGAATGTGGCAAATCATTACTACGCTAAAAAGGCATCTTGACAACATCTGAGGTAACATTGAGGGAATTTTTCGTGATCTTGATTTTCAACAAAGAATGATCTGTCAATTTATCAGCAAAATGATTTCTCCTTCAGGTTCCCCGAAGAATGTAAATTGGTTCGAACAAAGGAATGCGGGGAGAAAGACGTAAAGCTGAAGGCTATGGGATGGATGCCCCAAAGAAAAAAGACAGGGATACGTGACTTTCATGTCTGACTGCGTAGACTGGAATGAGGCTCATTTGCCGTCGCTATAAGATTGCATGCTGTATGGCACAAACCCTTATCAGGGAGGTTAAAACTACTACTGGAAATGAAAACGACTCTCAACAGGCCTTCTTTGCTTTTGATCTTTGTGTTGTTCTTCATTATTGTGCATTGTCTAAGTCTTATTTGATGAAAAGGTTAAAATTCATAACCCTTGCTAAGTAGATTTCACCATCCTCAGGCTGCTTAATCAAGGACCTTTATAGGTATGCATACACAAGCAACGATATATCCCTACTTCAGACTGGTTGGAATTACTAATGACTTTTTTTTTTTTTTTCTTTGATCTTACAGATTTTGAAACCTACATTCAGACCCGTGATTGACTCAATCAATCTATCCCATCATGGATGGAGCAAGGCCACTTAGGCACTCTACCAGCACAAATTGGTTACAGAGAGTACATCATCAGCCTCTCACAGACGAGATTCCACATCCCAATCGTTTTAGGTGGGGGTGGCTCTGCGCATCTGGCAGTGATTATAAAGCGGTTTTACGAGTTCTAGATCACTGTTTCACTACCAGCGGTCATGAAGAAGTTCAGCACAGCAAAGGATACACCCTTGGCCATATAGGAAGACATAATCTTGTCATTTGTCCCCCAAACTACTCCCAAACTTGTCTATCACTGGATGCAGAGAATATGCAATTGGCATATCCGTCGATTGAGCAATTCTTGATCGTGGGCATCGCGAGTGGTATGGCAACCCCAGATTTAGACGTGCGACTCGGTGACATTATCATTGGTGAACGTGCCTTTTCCTATGATGTTCAGACAGGAATCTATGGTGATACATATGGTCCGAGAAACGTGGCTTTGGAGCAGACTTGCCGTGCCTTGAACACAAAGATACTTCTGAGAGAGGGTGGAGTCCAGGACTTTGTCAAAAAAGTTGTTCAGACACAGCCGTCTTGGTTTCAACGGCCCGAGAATAGAGATATTCTCTTTGAGTCAAATTATCTGCATACAAGCTCATGCAAATGCCTTGAAGAAGCGACCTCGAACATCTCCGAAGGAATCGTGCGACCTGATCGATCACCAGATAAGCTGATTCAAGTCCACTACGGTACTATCGCATCATTGAGTCAAGACTTGGAAGATACTCAGCTTAGAGATTGTCTTTCTTTCGGAAAAAACGTGTTGTGTGTTGACAAGCAATCCGCCAGTACTATGGAAAAGGTGAATTGTCTTCCAGTACTCGGCATCTGCAATTATGGAGACTCTCATCAATACGAATACTGGAACAATTACGCGTCTCTCACTGCAGTCATCTGCGCGAAGGAGTTGCTCGATTGTATAGAGCTGCTGCCGATTACAAACACGGCCAATGGCATCGATGGAGAGACCCCTGTATCTGCTGCCATCACAAAACCCATTGACCCAGAAGTCGATTTGATCAATGAGATAAAAAACGATCTCAAGATTGTAGAAGACAAGATTCATAATTGTCACCAGAAGTCAGACGCAGTCTTCAAATTCGCAAACTGCCGTGACCAAGATATTAAGGCCGAAGTGGCAGCCCTCAAGCTTGCCGAGAGGAAGTGCAAGCAAGACCTGGAGGAACTGAGGCAGAAAATCAAAAATGAAATGCAGCAAAACTACGTCTCAAAGCCTGAATGGAATACCTTGAAAAAGCGTATCAGCAAAGACACACAGAGAATTCGGCTGTCGGAGGTGTCTATGAAGCTCATGTGGGGAATGGCGCAAATAATCAGGGCAGCAGGGAAGGCGGTTGACAAAATGATGTCCAAACATGCTGCTGAAATTCCCGAGAATGTGAGAAATGCGGATTCATCACCCTCATCAGGACAATTCGATCCTCACAAGGTCATCCAATCTTGTCCACGACCCCCCGGGCAGGCAAATGGAGAACAACTACCTGAACACATCTCAAATCATGAGGATGATCATGAGGGTTCTTTCCCACCAACTTCACCGCAACATGAAAGCGCCCAAATAGTACCCAAATTTTACAGGTGCGATAGCTGTGCTTGTGTCTATGCACAGTCACCCCCGCATATTTTTCCAAAGCCAGCAGATCTGCATCCCTGTCAAAATACAAACATGGTATATTCTGGTAATACTACACAAGCCACTAGTGTTACCCCTAAAACACCTCAGGGAGCCTTTCTGCAACATCAAATCACGAGGTCTGAATATCAATCAAATATCTCCTCACCGATCCTCGAAGGGAATGGCCTCCTTTCACCAGCAGCTACCAATTCTCAGACATCTTTGCCTCACTCACCAATTAGGATCTCTACTGAGGGCCGTGACTTCAGCGAACCGAATCCTCTGTCCAACAAGCCTCAGAATTGTCCAGACATGAGTAGGTGCTCGCGAAGCCAGGACTGGCCTAGGCCAAAATACCATAGTGGGATGCAGTCATATTATCCTGATTACCGACAAACATCTAGTAGTCTGACGAGGATCTGATGGAATGGGCACTAGTCTGCAACTTGCATAGAGGTTTGAACATCAATTAATAGTAGCGCCAAAGACCAAGCACATGTGTTGAGTATTTCTCAGTTTGCGCTATGGCATCCATAAAAGGGAACAAGGTCATTGATGGGAAGGTTATAAACAAATTGTTCTTTCAATTGTCTGCAAGCTGCTTATCACTTTTATTCAGTTTCCTGTGTGGCACTAACATTGTTAAATGTCGTATCTTTTCTTTCTTCCCTTTCTTTCTTCTCTTTCTCTTTTCTTGTCTTCCTTCATTTCTTTATTTCTTCTTCTTTCATGTCAATATGATGTTAGATGGTCCCAAACCTGTCTATTCAATCTAGGTTTTGTTCACCTTTGACATGGGTAGTGATTTATCACATCCCTGGTTTGAGCATAACAGGAAAATGTTTTCTCTAAAAAGACCTAGGAGAATATCATTCGTTGCTCACTATTACTCTATCTGAGGTTGTGGTGTTCCAAACTCTGGTCTTCAATCTCCAAAACTAGATGTTCTCTACTTGTGTGAATGTTTACAGATTCCATGCACTAGCAAGCCCCAGATCACACTATGCACACTTAAGTTTGGTCATTCGGTGACAAAAATGCCTTCTTTGCCTGGAGCTCGGCTCGATAAATCTCGAATATCATCGGACAAGCTCGATTAGTTTACTAAGATCTCTCGCTTCCACTAGTCTACATCTAAGGCGGTTTAGAGATATCATGTCATCCTGTCATCAAAAATAATATTTGCTCTAATCAAGCCTATTAAAATGGGCTTTGTGTGGGAACATTAACAATAATTAGACCAAGACTGTGTCAAACCATTCAAGTTAAATGTCAACAAAGTCTCGTCTCAACTCTTCTCAAATCGTTCCTGCAAATGACAAATTTATATCTAGATATCAACTGTGGATTGACTGCAATCGGTCAGCATGTTGGTGAGTTGGAGAGCCCAAAAGGCTTTCCCACACCATTTGCATTCCATCCCCTTGCAACCTCTTGCATGGCCTCAAATCATTAATATTATCATCTTCCTGGCTGTTCTCCGCCGGACCTTCGGCAAAGATAAAACAGCTCCAAGTAAGCTCTTCAGTAACGCATTACACCGAATCATCCGGTGACGTCTTCTTCTCCTTTTCCAGCTCTTCCAGCCGACTCGACTCCTGCACATCGAGACCCGTCTTATTCATCTTGTGGTCCCTCGAAAGGACCTGCTTGCTGATAAACACGCTCAGCAGCAACGCTGCCCCAGAGAGAGCAGTATAGAAGATCCATTCACTCTGCAGCGCCGTGTTGTAGCGATCCCTAACCAGACTGCGGGCCGCATCCGGCAATGCGCGGATCTGGCCGGACGCCGTCGTCGCACCGCCCGACGTGATGAGCTCCGTCAACGCGGGCGACACGACACCCTCGATGTCGCGCTTGTACGCGCGGATGCGGTTCTGGAAGATCACGCCGCCGAAGACGATCGACATGGCGGTTGCGATGTCGCGGGCGAAGAAGACCGTCGCTGCGGCGCTCGCGATGTCGGCGGGCTTGGTGAGGGAGAAGATGGCGATGATGGGCGCTTGGAAGAGCGGGCCGAGGCCGAGGCCCGCGATGATCTGGAAGATGATGATTCGTGGCCAGCTCGGGTAGGGTTGCAGGTTGATGTACAGCCCGTGGCCGAGGATCATCATCACCAGGCCGAAATAGATGGGCGGGCGGTAGCGGCCGGTGTGGCTGATGTAGACTCCTGTTAGGGTGGACGCGACGCAGAGTGTCACTGCTACTGGGAGGAGGTAGACGCCGGAGAGGATGGGGGTGGCGCCGAGGACGATCTGGAAGTATAGCGGGAGGTAGTAGAGGTCTGCGATGTAGGCGAGACCGTGGATGTAGGCAATACCGAAGGTGGCGAGGTTGGAGGTAGACTTGAACAGACGCAGCGGTGTGATGGGGTACTTTGCGACTTTCCATTCGATCAGCGCGTAAACGACAATTGTCACAATGCCGAACACAATCAGGCAGATCACCGTGGCTGAATTCCAGGGGTAGGTGGCGCCGCCGTAGCCGAGCCCTAGGAGAAACATGACGGTTCCTCCCACGATGGTGATTGTGCCCAACCAGTCCATTGCGAGGAGGCCTTCGAGGATGGGAGTGCGCGGGGTGTGGACTTCCAGGAAGAAGAAGACAAGGACGCCCGCCACGCCAGCAACCGGTACTGGAGATTGTTATTAAATTGGCGAAGGAATTCAGATCTAGGTAGCACGTACAGTTGATCCAGAAGCACCAGCGCCAGCTCACGAATTGGCAGAATGCACCGCCAACGATCGGACCCAGACCGCAGGCCACGCCCCAAGTCACGCCCAGCACGCCAAAGTATTTGCTTCGCTCACTGTCCGACGGTCAGTATAGGGTTGTGGAGAACGAGGTGCCAAGGCTTACCGAGGGCTGAAGACGTCGCCGATGACGGTGGCAGAGAGACCCAGGATACCACCGCCACCGGTGCCTTGAATGACGCGACCCGCGATGAGCATGTCGATGTTGGTCGCTAGCGCGCCGATCAATGATCCGATAAAGAAGACGATGATGCTGATCATGAGGACAGGCTAGAGACGAGTTAGTGTTGCTACTGCAGATGTATGGGTCATATCAGTTTACCTTGCGGCCAAAGATGTCGCTCAACTTCCCCCATGGTGGTGTCGAAGCTGTATAATTTTAACACGGGCGCTCAGATATGGGTTATTGGACAGGATGTATACCAGCAGCGGGCAGAAGATAAGCAGTTCCAATCCAGGTGAATTCCAGTTCGCTGGTGTGGAGGGAGCGTGAGATGGACTCAGCGGCGGTCGAGATGATGGTCTTATTCTGTTAGTCTTTCTTTTCTCGTTCTTCTTCTTCTTTTTTTTTTTTCGTCGAGTAGCGCTTACCTGCTCCAATGCGGCAATGAAAGTCGAAAGCTAGAAGCTGTCAGTGTGTATAGTTCGATTTTGCGCAGAACACATACACAAAGCGACGACACCAGCAACCATGTTTTCATTGGAGTCAATTTTTCTTCTTTATCTTCTTGGTCATCGCTATCCTCAGTAGGAGTCGTATCCTCGACCGACTTCTCACTGAGGTCCTTGAGACTGGCGTCCGTCGAAGTGTTGTTGCTCGCCATGATGAGATCCTGAGGTGCGTACTTCGGATTCTTGGATGGCTAACGCTGGAGCGAAGGAATCGCGGACAAGAAAAAGGCCCCCGTCAACATTTGATTTCTAAGCTTCGGCAGAGAAGCGGTATCCCACAGAGACTCGATTGTATGGTCTGGAGAAGGTACCGCGAAGTTGAATATAGAGCACCGAAAGTACATATTCGGCGCTGACAAACAGCAACGCGAACAGCTCCACCTCCGACCACCGAACCACCGAACCTACTAAATTTGAGCTAGAGGATTCAAGCACCTGCATTAGTGGCCTTTAGTGGACTTTAGCAGCGTATCAGGGGCGGCTAGCTCCATTAGTAGCCGTTAGGGCGATTGCTATTGATCCCGAGCCGGATAAGGCGTAGAATACAAAAGACAGAAAAAGACGGACGAAACGAGGTTGACATCTGACTCGCCAAACGAACAACCTCCTGCCAAGATGAGCCATCGTCGCATCCGTCTCAGTCTAGCGCACTACCGCAAAGACTCCTGCACGGAGAAATCTTGCCACTATTTTGGCACTGCCTTGCACGCCAAGCAAGCCGCAAGCCTGCATGCGAAACACGGAACCCTGCAGTATAATCAGGTATCTCCCCCACCATCGTTGCCCGAGTTCACGAGTCTAGACTCATATACAATAATAGGTATACAGCACGCAATCTGCCCGAGATGCACTCGACGCCTTTCGCCGCTCGCTCGGCGCCGACTGGACCATCGACCAACACGACATGACAGTCGAGCTCTACGTTCCCGATCTGCAGACTTTGAGGGGCATTGCTTCGGATCCGGAGTTTGCCAGTTTTTACCATATTGAAGAACCTTATCTCAGCCATCGGCATGTGGTGGCAAGCTTAGGTTGGGTGGAAGTGTATGTGGAAGATGGAAAGGTGGTGAATGTTACCGACAGTGGGTCAGAATATCGGCCTGAGTATGAAGAGTTTGTGGGGCAGGAGTTGCGGTTGGCGCTAGCTTAGTATGGTCTATTTAGTTCCACGAGGGCAAATGAAATGATTCTAAAGCAATTTACAGAAGTTTGTATTGCCGCGGAGAAAAGAGTAGGTCGCCAGTTGACAGTGGTCGTGTTCAACGGGCATATCAGGCTGGACCCTTAGTTTGTATTGATCAGGGAAGGAGTTGCGAACTGGCAATATAGTCGACCCAAGCAGGTCTCCCGCGCCCATTTTAGCAGCAAATTAGCTCCCCCTCGAATTAGAATAGGGTTTGATCAATCGTATTGTTCGGGTATTGGCACCGGTTCCGGGATAGTGAGATCTCGGCCATATCAACCCTAACCAAATACCGAGGCAGTGCGTGGTAGTGCTATGGACGACAGGGATCAACCATCACCGATCGCGCACCACCGACGCTACATGTTGCAGATACCAGATTCAAGAAAGTCGCAGCATCGGCATCGGCGGACTTGTTCGGTCGGAACTCGATGCAGCTTCTGTGTAGAACACAGTATGCGGTCGCATATACTCACCAAGGAAATATAATATAACAATTCTCAAGTCGATTAGACTCAATCCGGGCCTCACTTTCAATTCCAAGCACCCTACGAAACATCATGTCCGTCAAACAACGCCTTCTGCGCATTGCGGTCTCGCACAATCGCCACCCGTCCCTCAGTGAGGAGCAATTCCATCAATGGGCGACCAAGGAACACTGTGCTAGAGCAGCTCGTATTCACGCCAGGCACGGCATTGAAGCCTATGGAATGGTACGTGACTGACACCGACCATGTCGATCCCCACTAACCGATGTTCAGCTCTTTAGTCCGGAGACCGCCAGGACCACCGTGAAGAACCTAAATCGCACCCTGGGAGGAAGCTGGGCGGTCGATGAACACGACGTGACTGTCGAATTCTACCTGCATAATCTCGACGAGCTTACCTCCGTCCTGGAAGATCCAGAATTCAAGGCCCTCCAACAGGAGGAAGAACCCTACGTGAGCGGCAAGGATATCGTGGCCACTCTCGGCTGGGTAGAATCATATGTCCAAAACGGCCGAGTGGTGAATCTCAACCCTGGTGGAGTGCCCACTTATCCCAATTTTGGCGTGCTGGCGGACTTTTCGAGCGAGCAAGTGAATCAGAAATGAGGTGCTTGGAAGGGACGATTAGTTCAATCCGACAGGGATTGGGGTAAATCATGCAGAAACACGAATGTTACATTACCTAGCGTTTAACACGGTTCTATCTTGCCTAGCACACTATGAATTGTTGGCTAGTGGACATTGTAATGCCCTAAGTGTGTTTTACTTGGTGTCTCGCCATGTTTTTACCTTTTCTTCACGAATTTCTATACGAACAAACCAATTATTGAACAACCAACGATACTTTGAAGTCGATCTGGACTCCCAAAATGATTGGGCGTCCACTTCATCTAGTGCTGACGCCCTCCAAGCGACCAACTGGGTTTTTCTGGTTATTTCTGTGCTATCGGAGAAATGCGTTACTTGGCATTCCGGCCTCGTATTGTATACCCTCAGTCTCCCGGAACGATCTGTAAATACTTAACTCTGGGTGATCTGCCATATTCGATCCATTGAATCCACGCGCCGTGAGAATGAACCATTGCTTGATTGGAATGACCAACACGATTGAGCCGGCTCCGTCGGAGCTGGTTCAATTGCGCCGCGCCTGTGACCGATGCCATTCGCAAAAACTCCGTTGTGAACGCACAGGGGCCGGCAGTTGTGATCGTTGCGAGAAAATGGGGGTGACATGTGTTTTCAGTCCTTCTCGTCGGATGCATAAAACGAGCCTGCCGAAAGATGGCGATGCGAAGTTGTCCGCCTCGGGGGTCAATAATAACTTTGCACTCAACGGTGCGTCCCTGCCCTATCATAGAGCCACGGATGGTTTCGTAACTGACGACGCTTTAGAAAATGTGACGCTAGACAGTCCTCTGCATTGGGATCTGACAACCGCCCAGTGGGCTTCTCAAAGCACAGACCCTGTTGGACATGACTTTGAGAACGGCCTACCATGCCTGGATCCAGGCGTGGTCATTTCGCCGGGCAATATGGACTTCTCTATGCTGAATGCCGACGAGTTCTATATGAACCCACGGAGCTCCTTGAGCAACCAGGGCGTCTCCGACCACACAGCGTCAGATAATTCAGCTCCTCCTGTTGCAACGGCTGGCCGTTGTTCGCCACACGAGGAGTGGATTCGCAAGATCTCCGATTTGAATATCAAGATATACAACCATGCCGCCGTATTCCCACCGGCTGCGCAACACTCGTCATATCTAAATGACGACAACACGTCAGATCACAATCGAACTGTGTGCATTGACCAAACTTTTGCCATTACTGCGCAAGTTGTGGAGGCATTGGAGATGGTTTCGCCCCAGCTTCGCGGGGATGGGGTGTGCAGCGGCATAGAACCCTTGGATCAAGGCAATTTGCTTCTGGTGCTGTCGTTGTATTTGCGCCTTCTGGATCTCTACTACGCCATTTTCGAACCGCTGCAAAAGACCCTGCCCTGTCCCCGCTATCACAACTCTTCCTCGTGCTCCTCCAATTACCCCCCTTCTTTACTATCAATCGACACTCCTTCTCCCTGCCCCGAGCGATCCTGGGATGGTCGTCTCCCCCGGTTCCCCGCTCTTCGCATTGGCGAATTCTCCATCCCCGTCGAAACAAGCGTCCACGCCTTGATGACCATACAGCTCGCCGAGCTATTATTACGTCTGCTTAGCCGAGCGATTCAAAGCATCACTCCAAAAACGTCTGCCGCGACCACTCCTTTTCGATACGACAAGCCAGAATACTTCATGGGGGGCGAGTATGGGTTAGATCGGCTACGAGATAGTAGCAGTATGGACGTCGCCGAGCTGTCGCTGAAAGCCGCGGAGAAGCGACAGATGGAGGTAATGGTAATGATGAAGGCTATCAAGTGGGCGCTTGCTTCGCGATAACGAGCTATGATTGATGCGTGATGTTCAATTTTTGAACATTATTTATGATCCTTGTTATATATATCATGTAACGGAATCGCAATGTAAAACCACCATGTCGATCTTCTCGCGTCTGCTCCACTTGCTCGTATTACCCCAGTCCGTTAAATCTAGATAGCCTTCCCAACCAGTTGACCAGAAACCCTTGGGGTCGTAATACCCCGTGGCAGAATACGTGGCGACGATCCATCATTCTGCACCGTAACCGCACCTGCTTCGTACTTTCTCCGAGGGACCCAACCCTGCAAACCATCGCCGACTCCGACCCCCGACACTAGTAACGACCCCCGAGCAGCTGCATACCCAATGAGGAACACGGAAACATCCAGCGTATCAGCCAGATAAAACATAGAATATGCCATCATTCGACTTTTTCAAAACACAATCGCACCCTTGCCCGCCACAATGTTCCAATTCTTCAAGTCTCCCTTCTTCCAATTCGAGTTTCTGCGTCTCCTCGCCATGACCCCCTTCGAGGGCGGCGAGATCGCAGAAATCCTCGACGCCGCCTCCAAAATCAAAGACCAAGACCCAGAAAGTTGGTACACCAACTGGGTCGAAGTCGGCACCAAAGTTGAGCAAATCGCCGAGGAAGCTGAACGCACCGGTGACCGCATCGCCGCGCGACGGGCGTACCTCCGCGCCTCAAACTACCTGCGCGCAGCGCAGTTCATGCTCAATGAAGGCGCAATTGGCCACGACAAGCGCGTCCTCCCGACCATCGAGCGCGCTATCGACGACTTCCGCCGCGGAACAAAGTACCTAGACGGCGACGTCCACTTTCTCGACATCCCCTACGAGAACAAGATCACTCTCCCGGGCTACCTCTACCTCCCGCCGGCGGACAAGCGTCTTACAAACGGCCAGAAGACTCCGATCCTGATCAATACCGGCGGCGGGGACTCCACGCAGGAAGAAATCTACTTCATCAACGCCTCCGTCGGCCCGAGCCTCGGCTACGCGGTGCTCACCTTCGACGGCCCGGGCCAGGGGATCGTCCTCCGGCGAGACAAGCTGCCCATGCGCCCGGACTGGGAGGTCGTCGTGGGCCGCGTCCTCGATCACCTCTGGGGGTTCAGCCGTGCTCACCCGGAGTACAACCTCGACCTCGAGCACATCGGGATCACGGGCGCCTCGATGGGCGGATACTATGCGCTCCGCGGGGCGCTGGACCCGCGCATTGGCGCCTGCATCAGCGTCGACGGGTTTTATTCCATGGAGTCCTTCGCGCAGGGCCGCATGCCCGCCTGGCTGTGGAAGCTCTACAGCGGCGGGTACCTATCTGATGGGGTGTTCGACAGCGTGATCGGCGCCATCTCGGGCTGGACGTTTCAGACGCGGTGGGAATTCAACCACATGCGCTGGGCTATGGGGCGAGCTTCCGACGCGGAAGTCATTCGCCGGATGCTGGACTATACGCTCGCTAAACCTGGGGGCGGCGAGCTGCTGCATCAGGTCAAGTGTCCCGTGCTGGTGACGGGGGCGGGGTCGAGCTTTTACTTCGATCCTGAGACGACGACGCGGAAGGTCCTGCGGAGTTTGAGCCACTTGCCGGAGCACATGAAGGAGGAGTGGGTGGCGGAGGATGTGGTGTTTGGGGGTTTGCAGGCGAAGATTGGCGCGTTTGGGTATTCCATGCAGAGGACTTTTTCTTACTTGGATGGGAAGTTTGGCGTGCAGAGGGAGAGTTTGGGGGGGAAGAATGCGAATGGGAGGGTGTATTAGTTTGGTATGCTAGGTATATACGCCAACAGTCTTGATCGTCATGTATTACAATTCTGTGGAGTAATTCTGTAGATGTAGTATTTGGGTTGTTGTATGATATAACATTATGCATCCTCATTATCTGTTTGAATGTGTCTGCAGGGTCTTTTCCCTGGTGGTGATTGTGTACGTGATAGTGGACTATATATATATCCGATGTAGGTTAATGACTGAATACATTATCTCTGTATTATGAAGATCGTTCATATAACAAAAGCATCACATCATAATCACTAAAAATATGCAATATGTATAGTGCTTTGACATTTTTCCCTCCAATAAACCAGTTTCACCGTGGCAGAAGATATGTTCAACTATTTTAGTTGTCACCGAAGACTTCTCCAAAGAATTGCAGAAACAGACTAATGCATGCATGTTGTAAAATACCTAGTAAACAGAAAACTTCTCTTTCAACCAAGTCAATCTGGAATCTTCCACGCATTAAGAATCCTGATTGATGATGATTGAATTCACAAGGCAATAAACATGACCCACTCGTCCCTGTTGGACCGTAAATAACATGACCCGGATTATCAAGTTTGGCGTCCTGACCCACGTGACCCACTGATCGGCCCGTCCCCTTTAATGCCCCTCTCCACGCCATCCTCCGATCCGCGATCAGATCCATCATTTATTTCTTCCACCACGACTCCTGCTATCAACTTCCATCCCATGTCTCCATCCCATCAACCCCATTAATTACCATGGCTAGACCTAATCAGCGTCATGCTTGCGACCGTTGTCATGGTCAAAAGTTACGATGCATCCACTCGGGGAGTGGTCCGTGTGCACGGTGCGCCAAAGCCAAAGCCACCTGCAGCTGGAGCAAGTCTGGGTCTCCCAACCAATTCAAGAAACAGAGATCACAGAATTATGATGTCTCCTCTGCGGGTAGTCAACATGCAGACCAGGCGAACGAGCCAACCCCCCCGCCGTTTGGTGCATACATGAGCCAACCTTCCCTCACCGGCGTCGACGTTGATATCAACCTGCTGCAGACTCAATTCGTGGGGAGTACTCCCTGGGCTCTACCGACCGGTCGCTATCCCTCTCCCGTATCACAAGAATTGGAGTCGTACAATGTGGGTCCTAGTGACGCTGACGTTCCTGCCACCGCGGACTGGATGTGGCCCGTCGCCGCGAACGGTACCGTTCAAACCACCCCACCGGCAAACTGGCAGCAAACGTTCAACCAGGAGTGGGCCATCATGGAGTCGCAACATCCGGTTCTAACAATGGATACGCCTTCCCGATCTTCGCCAGTAAGCGACACTGTGGATGCGCCGAAGACGGCGTGTCATCTTGCGACCATTCGCGAATTGTCAAACCTCAATGTAGACCTGTACGCCCACGAAGAATCGGTTCCAAAGCCCCCTGCATCCCTAGACGAACCACTGAGCTGGAAAAACAAGGACTTTGCCATCGATCGGACCTTCTACTTGTCCCAGCGGCTTATTGAGATCGTCAACAAACGATATCCACGGTACCTGGAGACAGCCCGCATGCAAACCCCGGAAAGCTCTCCGGAGAGTACCAACGAAAACGGCCCGTCTGAGCCGCCCATTGACCAGGGCTCATGTCTTTTAATCTTGTCATGCTACACTCGTCTCATTGAAACCTACGATCGCATCTTTGCCAACATGCAGGGATGTCTGGATCGTTCTTCTGTCACGGCCCGAGACGACTACGTCAACATGCCGTCGGTTCAAGTTGGATCCTTCTCCTTGCCACATTCATCATCGCTGCAGATTGTTCTCATCCTGCAGCTGGCGCGCCAACTCTTGAGCCGAATGGGCGAGATCATCAAAGCCGTCCAACCGGAGAAAAGAAGGAATAACCCCGATGTCACAGTCCCCGAATGTGCAATCGGAGGTCTTCTGCTGTCTAGGGCTTTGGATACCGTCTCCGCCGAGGAAGACAGCCTGATGAAGAGAATCACGAAATTACGAAGTACCTTGATTGAACTGAATATTCTGTGAAGAACTAGATATACTAGACACAACAAATTTCCCCTTGCTTTCATGCCCAGCCTAACCTTGATTTTGCCATTAACCCATCATCGCACAAAAAACCCCGTCAACACCGCAACCTGGATCAGGAAGTGTCCACACTCCTTCTCGCTCCTTGTTCCATATAGAGAGCTCCTTCGAATCCCACCACCAAGTGCCCACCTAGCACGTTTCGATGGAGTTGATCAAGGCGGCGAGGAAAAGGAAAACCGCTGGGAGATTGTTGGTGTGAATGCGCCACCAGTTCAGTCGCAGCCAAGGGGGCAGGGCGCTCAAATTTGTCTTGCCCGGCAGGGAGCTGTCCCAGATGCTTCCGATAATGCGCATGGCGAACTTTCCATAGACGAGATGACCGATAGCGAACAATCCGCCGGCGAAGTACAATCGCCGAGTTTGGTCATCCAACGAAGCGCCAGGGCTACCGATGCCGTTCAATAAGCCCAAAACACCCCCGAGCGGGTGCAGAATGCTGACCACCCAGATGAGTTGGCGGAAAATAGCGGGAAACCAGTGCGGCAGGGTCGCGCCGGCTGGCCCCTGAGGCACTTCACGATCGATCCAGGACGAAAAGGCAAATTGCTGGTCCCATGCGCACATGAGACCAGCCGTGGAGGTAATCAGAGGGGCGACTCTTAGCAGTTTGAGTCCAATAAGAACGGCCATTTTGAGATAATTCGATCGATTTTGGGAAAAGCAAGGCAACGAGATACTTCCGGCGAGTGTGATGAATAAATGATTTGTGTTGACTTAGTTGAACTGTGTTTGTACGAAACTTTATAGCCCTTTTGTCTTCATGTCTCGATCGTACGATTTCGACTGGTCTACTGAAACATTACGGTAGGTATTTCGACAAATTCCTGGAGATTACCGTCTGACTTGCATGGGCGTCCGGACATCCCCGGTGGATGTTCTCCGGCAGACTAACTGGATTGGATTAGTTTCCTGCACCGGGTTCACTTGCCTGCCAGTCATCGTTCAGTCGGTGGTCGGCCCTATTGTGGATCCCCGACTACACCGATCAGCATGCGGCAATGGCCAAAGCTCATTGCAGTATACCCACGTTTTCTGGCCGGAGAATACTGTGAAGCTCTTGGCGCCCAGCCAGACGCCTTCGACTGCCCTATACCGGTATTCCGAGCCCGGATTAAGCACTGGGCGGCGCACGTGCCTTGCGGCTAGATCGCTTACGGAGTATGTACTGATGATATCGGCTGTGAACCGGTGATGTTCGAATCGTAAAGCAGATTTAAGTGTACACTGATAGAATCGTGTGATTTCCCCGGTCGTGATCAGACAATCGAAAGATTTTGTTACCTGTTCTGATCCGACCAATTTCTACCGCGCAACCCCTTTAGTGCTCGGTTGACACGACTTGGCCGCTTTCCAATTAAATATTGTGGAACGATGTCTCCCAACGAGCCGATCGCGATCATTGGCTTCAGCTGCAGGTTTGCAGGTGGTGCTTCATCCCCTTCGAAGTTATGGGACCTCCTTCGCGACCCCAAGGATCTATCCAAACCGCCCCCCGAAACCCGATTCAACCTCGAGGGCTTCTACCATCCATATGCAGAACAACACGGAAACACCAATGTGCACGGGGCCTACTTTCTCGACGAAGATCCGCGGTGCTTTGATACTGTCTTCTTTAATATCTCCCCAAAAGAGGCCGAGGCAATCGACCCCCAGCAACGCATCCTCCTCGAGATGGTGTATGAGGCTATGGAAGCCGCCGGCCTGACATTGCAAGGTCTCCAGGGGAGTGATACCTCGGTCTACGCCGGTCTGATGATTAGGGACTACATGGATGTGCAGGCGCGTGACCCGGACTACTTCTCGCAATATATGGTTACAGGAACCTCAAGTGCACTCAACGCCAACCGCATCTCTTACTTTTTCGATTGGCACGGCCCCTCGTTGACCGTCGACACAGCATGCTCGTCGAGTCTTGTGGCGGTCCACCAGGCTGTTCAGGGACTACGGGCCGGTGAGAGCCGCATCGCCTGTGTCACCGGATCGAATCTACTCCTTGGTCCGGAGTTGTTCATCTCAGCATCCAATATGCACATGATGTCGTCTAGGTCGAAGATGTGGGACACTAGCGCCGACGGCTACGCTCGCGGAGATGGCTTCGCAACATTTATGCTCAAGACGTTGTCCAACGCCATCGCTGACGGCGACCATATTGAAGCTATCATCCGTGAAACGGGCGTCAACTCGGATGGTCGCACGAAGGGTATTACGTTGCCGAGCCCCCAAGCTCAAGCGGAACTAATCAGAGATACGTATCGTCGCGCCGGCTTGGATCCGTCTAATCCTAGCGACAGATGTCAATATTTTGAGGCACATGGAACTGGGTATGTGATAGAGGCCCTTCAAATTGATATTATGCTAACAAGACTAGAACCCAAGCTGGTGACCCACGAGAAGCCTCCGCCATCTACGATGCCTTCTTTGGAACAGAAGGCGCCGACAACAAGGTGGATCCGAAGCTTGTAGTCGGATCTATCAAAACTGTTGTTGGGCATACGGAGGGAACAGCTGGCATGGCGGGCATATTGAAAGCCTTGCTCGCAATCCGTCACCGTGTTATCCCACCCAACCTGCACTTTAACAACCTCAACCCTTCAGTTGTCCCGTTCTATGACCGAGTGATAGTACCTACTGAGCCAATGCCTTGGCCAGCGGTGACACCCGGAAAGCCTGTCCGTGCCAGCGTCAACAGCTTCGGATTTGGGGGTACTAATGCTCACGCCATCTTGGAAAGCTACGAGCCTGGAAATCGCACAGTGGCTACCGACCAAGGCCAGGGACTCGCACTTCCTTTGAAATTTTCCGCATATAATGAGAAAGCTCTCTTATCCGTTGTGGAGAACTACGCAGCATTCCTGAGGCAAAACCAGCAGACTGTTAACCTCCGGGACCTGGTATGGACTCTACACACACGACGATCCCACCTGCCTGTCAAGGTCGCTTTCTGCGGCCTATCCGCCTCGGACATCGCAGACCAGATGGAAAATAAACTCGAATCAGTCAAAAAAACTCCAGGAACGGAGCTTGGCACGTGCTCTCCAGCGTTCGCAGGTGAAAAACCGTCTCTACTGGGCGTCTTTACCGGCCAAGGTGCCCAATGGCCTACCATGGGGAAGCACCTCATCGAGAGCTCAAGAATATTCCGTGATACTATTGAGCGGCTCGAAAAGTGTTTGTCTGAGCTCGACGATGGCCCTGACTGGTCCTTGAAAAGTGAGATTCTGGCACCGAAGGCCACTTCACGCGTTGCCGAGGCCGCTCTGTCACAGCCCCTGTGTACCGCAATCGCCATTGCTTTGGTGGATCTGCTTCACGCCTCAGGTGTCAACTTTACCGCCGTCGTGGGTCATTCCTCCGGCGAAATCGGCGCCGCCTATGCTGCCGGGGTTATCACTGCGGAGGAAGGGATGAAAATTGCTTACTACCGCGGGAAGTATGCCAAGCTAGCCGAAGGCAAAAATGGGGCCAAGGGTGGCATGCTGGCAGTGGGTATGGGATTTGACGAAGCCAGGGACTTTTGCGATCAGGTTCAGTTCAAGTCACGCCTAGGCGTTGCCGCCAGCAATTCGCCCACCGGTGTTACTTTGTCGGGGGATTTGGATGCTGTTCACGAGGCAAAAGAGCTCTTTGACACCCGCAAGTCATTTGCTCGGATGCTCCAAGTTGATACTGCGTACCATTCACATCATATGCTGCCGTGTGCAGACCCGTATGTAGCGTCTTTGAACGCTTCTAGGATCGAACCGAAGGATCCTGCACAGTCGTCTTGCACTTGGATCTCTAGTGTTTACGGCTCCGATGGTGATCCAACAGTGGGGGAGCTCAGCGCCGTCTACTGGAGGGACAACATGGCTCAGGCTGTACTATTCTCTCAGGCTTTGGAGCGTGCCATGATCGAGTGCGGTCCATTCGATGCGGTACTCGAGGTTGGCCCTCATCCGGCGCTTAAGGGTCCGGCATCGCAGACGCTACGGGAGCTCAGCGACAACCCTCTACCCTACTTCGGGGTTCTCGATCGCAAACGCAACGACACGGTCGCATTCGGGGACGCGCTCGCCTCTTTGTGGATTCACTTTGGCCCCTCCGCCGTTGACCTCGAGGGTTACGCAGCTGGCTCCGGACCCAAGGACCTACCTCAGCCGAAGGTAGTGAAAGATCTTCCTGCCTACCCATGGGACCATTCCCAGGTTTACTGGCGGGAATCAAGGTTGTCGAAAGAGTTTAGAACTAGAGCCTCGCCTCCTCATGAACTCCTTGGCCATCTCTTGCCTGGTGGATTGTATGAGGGTGGTCTTCGTTGGCGAAATATCCTTCGCCTTGAAGAGGTTCCATGGATTGGCGACCATCGATTTCAAGGACAGGCACTTCTCCCAACGTCTGCGTTCTGTTCTATGGCAGTCGATGCAGCTTTGAAGCTGTCGGCAGGCTCTGTGGACCCTGTTACTGATTGTATCGAGCTCCATGATCTTGTTATTCACAATGCGGTCAGCATCCCAGACGGATCGCACGGTGTCGAAATTATCACCTCCATTCATCGACTCGAGACCGCGAACCATCCACTCAATGCAGAGTTCACTGTTCTATTTGGGCCCCCTGATGGTAGCCAGGGGCTGAAGAAAGCTGCCTCGGCGCATGTCAAACTATTGCGTTCAGGTCCTGCTGAGGACCCTGCTCCTATCCGGACCCGGGAGAAATGGCTGGACTCTCTTGACATACCCCGTTTCTATCAGTCGATCGGAACAATGGGACTTCAATACGGCGGCTCGTTCAACTGCCTGGAAAGTCTCCAGCGGAAATGGCAGAGGGCCTCCGCACTCTTCAACAAGCAAGTCGCCACTATCAAGCACTTGACGCTCGATCCGTCTTTGGTGGAAGGGTGCATCCAAGCTGCGTATGCCGCCTTTTCAGCACCTGACGATGCTGCATTGCGGCGTGTGTTTCTCCCGCAGAAGGTAGAAAGGATGTCGCTACGGCTGTCAGCAGTACTTGGCTCGGACTCTCTGCTTGTTATCGACAGCTATGTGACAAGTGTTGAGAAAGCAACCGCCAACAGGCGTCCCGCCTTCCACACAGATATTGAAGTATCTGATAGCGTCAGCGGCAAGTTGTTAGTCGAACTTGAAGGTGTTACGATCTCTTCGTTTAGTCCTACCTCCGCGGCTGATGACAGAGAGCTGTTCCTCCAGACTGTGTGGAAACCCGCTATGAGCGAAGGCATTTCTGTTGGCAACGAACAACAACGGAAAATAGCCAACCAAGCCGCATTGGACATGGAACACCAGTCGATCTTATATCTCGAGACACTTTTTGCCAACAATTTGTACCTCTCTGGTGACATGTCACGGGAATTCGCGTGGTTGGCCCAACTCAGCCAAGCTGGTCCCTCTAGAGGTTCGCAGAACGGTGGGAATGCGGCGATTGCCTCCCACCTGGACGATTTCGAGGCATTGAGAGCGGTCGCAAAGAAGTTGCCCGATGTTATACGGGGACGAGTGCCTGGTGCTGACCTTGAGCAACAGCTACTGTCTTTTGTGGAGACCAATTCTGTCTTCAAACAGATCAACGATGGGTTGTACAATCTGATTGATCATATTACGCATCGCTTTGCACACCTCAACGTTCTCGAAATTGCCCCCGCCCACTTGCGTCCTTCCTTCAATGCCTTCGGTGATCTGGCCGACCTGATTTCGTCATACACGTTGGTCACCAATTCGCCTTCCAAGGATGTTGCGAATTATGGCAGGGATTTCACCCATATTCCAGTGCAGACATTACACACCGACCCGTCAGCTATCACGTCTGCCCTCAATGGACAAAGGTTTGATATTGTCATCGCTTCATACCTTTTGAATGGACAAGCTGCCTCCTTCAGTGAGGAGGCGCTGCGAGAGTTCAGAAAGGTTCTGACAGCGGGCGGCTACTTGATCCTGGTTGAACCTACACAAGAATATGTCTGGTCCAGGATCTTCCTAGGTGTCCTACTAGGCTCGGAAGCAAACACTGGTACGGGGCGAGATATCGGATGTCCTCTCTCCAGCGTGAGTCTAGATGGTATGTTGCGCAACGTGGGCTTCTCGGGAGTAGACTCGTTGCTGCCCCGCGATGCCAATGGGCCAGGTGATGCCATATCGTTATTCGTGACCCAGGCATTGGACGAAACTATTGACCTACTTCGCCATCCGTTGCAACCCTCGGCACTGGGAACATTGGAAGGCAGCCGTGTCCTTGTCATCGGCGGTAAAACACTACGGACCTCGAGATTATGGCACAATATCGCCTCCGCTTTACGCCCTTGGGCAAAGGAAGTCTTTTGCATAGAGTCCTTCGAGGATCTTCGGACCGAAGATACAACTGACGTTGCGGGTGCAATCGTTTTGACGGACCTTGACGAGCCAGCGTCTAGACTGCTCACGCCTAATTCATACAACGCGATTTCCGGACTATTTGCACAGGCTCCTCATGTCCTATGGGTAACGCACAATGCGCTCCAAGCCAACCCCGAACAGGCGGCATCAATTGGGATAGGCCATTGCCTGGCTCAAGAACATCCGTCCGCCCATTTTCAGTTCCTTGACTTGGATACGCTTGAGGAGTCCGAGTATAAGATTCTTGGTTCTTTCATGCGACTGCTGATCCCTGGCGTACACGACTCTCAAGCATCTCGTCTATGGACCACTGAAATGGAGATCTCAGTCAAAGACGGTCAAGTTTTGATTCCTCGTGTATTTCCAACACGGAGTATGAACGATCGTCTCAACTCACACTGGCGCCCCATCGTCCAAACTGCCCATCTACCGAAAGACACAATTTCTCTATCTTCTTCTGGCTCGCTCCATGCCCCTACCTACGCCGCTCAACATATCAACTCGCCAAGCATCACTGGGAAAAGGCCGGTTCTTCACACGACCTATTCAGTCCCAATCGCTATCAATATATCTAATGGCGTCTATCTCTATGTTTCCGCGGGACAAGTCGACAACGTGGGCAACGTTCTCGCATTTACTGATACCATTTCATCTCGTGCTCCTGCGCTTGCGACGTGGAAGATTCCTGCGGTTCCTGAATCTGGCTCATTTGAACTCAATAATCTCTTGGAGCTGACAGCAAATGTTTTGGCCGCTCACCACATCATTGACTCTCTTCCTACAGGCAATTCCGTCCTCTTGGAGCCCAGTCCCACTCTTGCAAACGTTATCATTGACTTAACCAAAGGTTCTGAGAAAAAGGTCTACTTCTTAACCACTGCAGCGCGTGAAGAAAGGGGCAGCGTCACATGGACCACCGTGCCACCTCTTGCGTCCAAGAGACACATCCTTTCAGTGCTTCCGCACTGCCCAAAACTCTTTTTTGACCTTTCACCCGACCCAACTCGCCTGGCCTCCCGTATTGTACAACTACTCCCGTTGGACTGTGCCATTTATGGTCAAGGAGAGCTATTCCAGTTGGGCTCCGAAGGCGCAGACGACGTGTCTACTCCCTGGCTACAACATGTCCTACTGACAGTTGCATCATCGGCATTGAAACTCTCCAGAAAGGCCACATATCTATCCTCTTCACCTCTAACGTTGAACGACTTACTTGAGCATGGTATTCACAATGGAAATGCTATGTCGGTCGTTGATTGGACCCATCAAAAGAGTATCCCCCTGACGGTTGAGCCATTCGAACCATCACACCTCCTTTCCTCTACTGGAACATATGTTCTCGTCGATACCAAGTCGTCCTTGACTCACTCCATCACTAATTGGTTGATTGCAAACGGTGTGCGGTCATTGATCACCATCAACTCGCAAGCACCCCCGCCCCGCCCCCTGCCTGAGCCAAGCTAACAACTAAACAGTGACATCGGAGAACATAAAACACTGGAATTATTGGATGAGCTGATGGTCCAGAACCTAAAGGCGGATCTCACCAATCTTAAAGACGCTAGAGCTGTCTTTGAGAGATTGCCAAAAGTCACCGGTGTCATCTACGGTGGCGCATCACCTGCAATTTGCAGTTTCGGCGGATCTGAGGCTCCATTGGAAAGCCTTTTGAAATCGCAGCAACGTGCACATAACCTGACAACCGTCTTGGGAGATCGAGGTGTTGACTTTTTCATCATCCTGTCCTCCCTCCAAAAAGATCGTGCGCCTGCGAACGCAGTATGTACCCATTTTGAACACTTCTCTACGATACTAATGTTTATTTCACAGTACTTCACTAGCCTCGCTTCTCACTGCAAGCAGCGAGGACCACCAACAATCGTGGTCTCCTTGGAATCCCAATTGGATTCTGACCAAGAATGTCCATTTATCCGCCTCAGCGAGTCAGATGTACACTACGCGCTGACGGAGGCAATTTCAAGCGCCCTGTCTCGCGATGGAGTGTCCGCGATCTGGACTGGTGTTAAGCGATTGCCTCGTGAAGTTCCTGCTTCGTCCACGCAAAATTGGCTCTTTAGACCTTTGTTCTCTCATCACACTCTACGTGGGCACGAGGCTGACCCACGCAGCTCTCAGGGTGAAGTCCAGAGCATGATGGAGAGAATTGCCGTGTCTAAGGATCACCAGGAAGCTTCCTTGGTCGTCCAGGAGTTCTTCATGACACAGCTGGCGGCGATGCTGACCCTAAGTCCCGAGTCTCTGAGTTCCCGCAATGATCTTACAAGTTTAGGAGTCGATTCACTCAGCGCATCAGACATCCGGGCCTGGTTCTTAAAGGAGCTGGACGCCGATGTGTCAATTTTAAAGGTTCTTGGAGGATACACTATTGCGGACCGTATGGTGTTCATTTCTGTTGCCTTTTTGACATGAGTTGCTAACGCGTTCTAGTATGTGATGAAGTCGCTGCTGATTTGCCGGTTCATATTGGGTTGCAGGAAGAAGCCGTATCGCCACCCGCTGTCAACTCACCCGAGCATGTTACTGCTGCACCTGTGGCTAAACAACCCAATATCGAACGCCCTGTTGAATCCCTGGTGCCAGTTTTGGAAATTTCTGTTGAGGCATCCTCGAGCAATTCTTCCTCAGAAGGAATAATGACGCCTCAAACCAGTCGAGGGTTCTACACTCCCCGGACCGAAATAACTTCTCTACAGCTGGAAAGCGTGCAGTCAAAAGTCTGTACTCCTGTTCAGCGGCAGGAGAAGATGTCGTTCAGTCAAAACCGGCTATGGTTCCCGACGGCCTATCTTCAGCAAGACACCCCTTTTAACTGTACCACGTCATACACCTTGACGGGTCCGCTGGACGTTGCTCGTCTTGAACATGCGTTCCAGCGCATGATTGAACGCCATGAAAGCTTTTGCACTGCGTTCTACACTGATGCAGATAGCGGGCAGGCCATGCAGCGTGTGCTTGCGTCTTCCCCATTCCAGATGCGAACAATACTGGGAAATAAGGACGACGTGCAGCGTGTGTTCCGTGAAGTTGCCAACTACCGTTTCGATCTCTCCGTCGCAGATACGCTCGTCGCTTCATTGATTTCTCATGGGCCTAAAGACCATACCATTGTCTTCGGCTACCATCATATCATCATGGATGGTGTCAGTTGGCAGATTACCCTGAATGATCTCGCCAGTTTCTACGAATCAGAAAATCCCGAGCTTCCCACGTTATCGCAATACATCGACTTCTCAGTCAAGCAGCGCCAGCTTGTCAGTAGCGGTGCACATAATGCCAAGCTCTCATACTGGCGAAAGGAGTTCCCGTCCGCACCCCCTTTGCTGCCTTTGTTCCCTTTCGCGAAGGTTGGTACGAGGAAAGCCCTCACTCGGTACGACACGCTCGACTATGTGTATGATGTGGACACCTCTCTTGTCTCGAAGATCAAAAAGGCAAGTCTGGCTGCGAAGACCACAACTTTCCACTTCTACTTGGCAGCTTTCATGGTTTTGCTTAATCGATTCCTGGAAACCGATGATGTCTGTTTGGGCATAATTGACGCGAATCGCTCGGATAAAGCATTCTTGAACACGGTCGGCTTCTTGCTGGATATGCTGCCTTTGAGGTTGAAGGTCAACAAAAAGGAGCGGTTTGTCCACACCCTGCGCAATACAAAGTCCAAAGCATACGGTGCTTTGGAGAATTCTGGTGTGCCCCTCGAAACCATTTTGAAGGAGCTCCAAATACCCACTTCTTCTACGAGTACACCATTGTTCCAGGTGTTGATGAACTACCGTATGGGGGCGCTGCGCGCTCCGCAGATGGGCGACGCGAAGATGAACTTCCTGGACTACGAGGATGCCAAGGCGCCTTTCGATCTTGCCATTTCAATCGACGAGAAAGACGATGGCACTGGAATGTTGACTTTCTCTATGCAAGATTATATGTATGACCGGGAAGGTGCGGAGCTCCTGGTGAAGACTTACGTTCACCTACTGGATACCTTGGCGACCGACTCATCCCAACGCCTTAATGAGGTGCCGTTATTTGATGAGACTTTGGTTAACCAATCCATGGTCGCTGGGACCGGGCCTGTTACTGGATTTGATTGGGCACAAACGGAGACCATCTCACAGCGCGTGGACGCTATGACAGCCGAAAAGCCTGACGGAGTTGCAGTAAAGGATCTGAATGGAAAGGCTAGGACCTATGCCGAGACGCAAGCAAGAGTCCATGCTCTGTCCCATTCTCTCCAGCAGGCCGGGGTCACTCCTGGCTCGCAAGTTGCCGTATACTGTGAACCGACCGTCGACACTGTCGCATCGATCCTCGCCATTCATCGTGTGGGGGCTGCTTACGTCCCTCTTGACGTTCGAAACTCCTTTGAGCGACTGCAGGATGTCGTTAGACAGTGCAAGCCAGCCCTTATTTTATACCACGGTGCGACCAAGCTGAATCTTGCTGATGTGGCTTGCGACGGTCATGATGTACTTGATATTGATACTGTTCCACAGTCGGCATCCGTACATGTTCCCGACGCTTCGAAGCTCTCCGACCCAGCTGTCATTCTTTACACTAGTGGATCCACTGGGAAGCCCAAGGGTATTATGCTGACTCACGCAAATCTCTCCATTCATTTTGCTTCCATCAGCGATGCCTTGAGCCTCACAGACAGAGACGTCGTACTGCAGCAAAGTGCTCTTGGTTTCGACGCTTCCTTGGCCCAAATGTTCATGGCACTTACGAATGGTGGGACCTTGATTCATGGCAGCAACCGTGGTGATCCAATCGAGCTTGCGGCTCTGATAGAAAGAGAAGAGGTCACGCTGACGCTGATCATGGTTTCGGAAATGTCTGCGCTTCTGCAGTATGGACGAGACATTCTATCGCGTTGCCAATCTTGGCGCATTGCTCTCTGTGGCGGCGAGGCCTTCACGATCAATCTTCTTCGCAAGTTCCGTGACCTCGACTTGCCGAATCTGGATCTCTACAACGCATACGGTCCGACAGAGACGACTATTATGTCTTCTCTAGGTAAAGTGTCTTACCGCCGTACGGATTGGGAAGAAGGGTCCGTTGTTCCCGTTGGGCCTCCTCTTCCAAATTATGGTGTGTATGTACTCGACGAGTACTTGCAACCGTGTCCACTGGGATGGCCTGGCGAGCTGTGCATCTGTGGACCGGGTGTGGCGCCGGGCTATGTTGGCCTTCCCGAATTGACCGCTTCCAAGTTCCAACGAGATCAGCTGCGCAAGCCCCAAGGGTCATCATATGAGGGCTGGGGTGATGTTTACCGTACGGGCGACAAAGCCCGGCTGCTGAAAGATGGATCCTTTGTATTCTTGGGCCGCATGGATGGAGATTCGCAAGTGAAACTGCGTGGTATTCGAATTGAGCTAAACGACATCTCCAGCTCGATAATACAGACTTCCAATGAAGCCATTGTGGATGCGACGACCATTGTCAAGGGCACAACCAGTCAATTGCTGGTTAGCTTCGTGGTTCTTTCGCCGGCGAAGATCACCGACCTAGAAAGATCGCAATCATCCGCGTCTGCTTATCTCCGTCAGCTTATTCGGACCCTCCCTCTACCCGTGTATATGCGCCCGGCGATCGCAGTTCCACTACAGCGATTGCCCTTCACGGAACGAGGTAAACTCGATGTCAAGGCCCTGGCGGCTATTCCGATAGAGGAGGATGAAGAGACAGACAATGAAGAGTTGAGCGACACTGAGAAGGCTTTGAAGCAAGTGTGGCAAGATATCTTGTCAGAACAAGGACTACCACTTGAGATTCGGCGAGACTCGGACTTCTTTTCTGTTGGAGGCAATTCTCTCATGTTGATGCGAGTCCGTGCGAAGATGTTGGAGGTCTTCGGTGTCTCAGTGCCGTTAGCCCAGTTATTCCAAGCTAGCACGCTGGAGTCGCTCGCTTCACGGATAGACGGAGATACAACGGCTCAAACAGACACTATTGTGTGGGGTGAAGAGACTACTTTGGATCCGTCTTTGCCTCCTGCTATCCCTCGTGGCCAGGATCACCCAGAAAAGCACTTATCGGTCGTCCTCACCGGTAGCACTGGGTTCCTGGGCCGTGAAATCGTTCGACAACTCGTCGCTGAGCCACGTATTTCCAAAATCCACTGCCTCGCTGTCCGTCCTGGACGCACTCTACCGAAGGAATTGGTTGCATCTTCGAAGGTGATTGTTCACACAGGCGACTTGGCCGCCGAGCGTCTTGGCTTGAGCGCGTCGCAAGCCGAGGAAATATTTTCCTCTGCCGCAGCCATCTTCCATAACGGAGCTGAAGTCTCCCACATGAAATCCTATCACTCTCTTCGAAAGACGAACGTGGGCAGTACCCGCCAGCTTGTCGAACTTGCATTGCGCTCCTCGATCGCTGCTGGCGTTCCCACCCCGGCGTTCCATTACGTCTCGACGGCCGGTGTGGGCCACCTTCTCGGAAAGCCTTCGTTCCCTGAACAGTCTGTCTCCCCCTTCCCACCCCCGGTTGATGGATCCGATGGTTACGTTGCTGCCAAGTGGGCTAGCGAGCGGATCTTGGAGCAGGCATCGGGACAGCTAGGATTACCCGTGTTCATTCATCGACCCAGTAACATTACTGGTCCGGATGTCGGTGACAGAGACATCATCCACAATGTTTGGAAATGGTCTGAGTCGCTACGAACAGTCCCCGATATACTGGCTGGGGGTGCGACAGGAGCATTTGACTTTGTCGGTGTAGAAACCTGCGCGAAAGGGATTACTGATACTCTTTTCGTGTCGCCCTCCGCCGGGAGTCTCGCTTATTTCCATCAGAGCGGGGAGAACGTGATACCTGTCCAGGATTTCAGGATTTATTTGCAAAGAAAGAGCGGAGAAGAGGTTGGGTTACTTCCTTTTGATGAGTGGGTGGATAAAGCTGTACAGGCGGGATTGGACGATCTCGTTGCCTCGTTTCTGCGCGGGACAAAGGGTGCGTTTCAGATGCCGTTGCTGCCGAAGGCTTTCCGGGGGTGATTGGGGTTTCTGGGGCATACAACAGGCGGTGGTGGTATGACATGATCCTGTAAATACTTACTCGGTGTCGGGGCTATCCTATAGGAGGTGTTTTATCACAGGCAGAATAACCAAGACTCTTCATCCTATAACCCCGTAGCGACGAATATGTACATTACCCTGAGAGAGGGGGTGAAAAGAGCTGTAGATTACATGTAAAAGTACAATTCTATGCTGCTGCATGCATCTACATTGGATGTACACACATTGAACATCTGAGAAAAGTTCACGAAGATGGGAGCTAGCGGCCCAGAATCGGTCCCGATCCGCCACGGAAAATCGCTCTATATTCTAGCGGCGCTTCCCTGCTACTAGGGTTATCTTAGTCACGTGAGGCCATGGCAAAGGCAGCTTTCTGGTGCGGTGATTACGGAGATCGTTTGCAAAGCACCTGTCTATCACTGCATAGTGTAATGTACTGTACTGCCTTTGAGTCATTTCCAGTCCCTACGTCGAGGGACGTGGAGTTCTCCTATAAAGCCCTGGCTAGTTCTGGGACCATGTTATAATTTTTGCTCTATGAGAGCCGGCTAGCTTAGGAGGTAGCCATAGATCTTGCTATAGGTAGTACTGCTCATAGCTTTCTAAATACTCCATGTCACCATGCCCCTGTGCATCGCTAGATAACATATCCAAACAGCGCGCCAGTAATAAACCCACCCAGGACCACCATGCTAACTACAACCAGCAATATTCGAAACCACAATTTCTCAATGGTCAGATACTCCAGCTCGAAAAATGCCTCTTGCGACCCTGACAGGGACGGACGCCATGTCTCCAAATCAACAGTGTCGGAATCGAGACCCCTCGCATGAGAGTACGACTCGAACACTTCGCGCGCATCTAGGTTCCAAGAACTGATGGTCCGAGGCGTGTAAGAGGTAGACAGTAACGACGCTGCTGATGAGGAGATAAGAGAATGTGTGCTGCATAGAAGACTGTCTATTGTGCTTCGTTTGCGCGTGCGGAGAGGGATGTTGATCGTATCTTCCGGCTTCGGCTTTTCTGTGGTATTATCTGTGACCTTTAGCTGGGTCCGAGCGATAGGGTACACAAGGCATACCCCAATATAGTTCAACTGCCATAAACAACGGCAATGCGAGCATAAGCAGAGGCATCATCTGCCCAGTCGACCATTCATTCTCGCTTCCCTGCATTGCCTCGACCCGAGAGGAGTCGTCGGACATTCTGTACCCGGTAATCCACCAGAATCCCCAAAGCAGCATCGCGAATGCCCTAATTATTTCCAACAACGAGGAGGCAAAAATTTGCCATATCATATGAGCAGTAATAAAAATTGCGTACGTGGTGGCGAGCACACCCCTCTGTAACCGTGTTGGGCGTTTCCACCTCCTGCTTAACCAGACATGAAACCTCGTCGGGAGCCGAAGGATATACCTCACAGCACGGAGGAAATAGGTGGTCCATCCGACATAACGGGGGTAGAAAACGCCCATAGCGAATAGGTAACTCCATACCTGGAAGCTTAAGGTGACAATCAGCTGGACCATTTGTGACCCCTTGACGTATCCCGTCGACATGTTCTCCCAAATACATTTCGTTGGAGTACCGAATAGAAACAGCCAGTCTTTGTGGTAGGTCAGGATTTGACAGATGAAAATAAACCCGGCCTGGCAGGTCATCCACGCCGCGCGCCAGTGGCGCATCGCAGGTTTCTGCTGGAATACGGGGTACGTGACCATAACAGAGGTCTGGTAAACACAGCTCGTTACCCATCCGTAGTCTGCGATTATCTCGAAGTAATATTGTGGGATGTTGCAGTGCGTGATGAAGCCGATGAGGAGCATTGCGGTGCCGATTACTAGTTGCTGGTCACTGATCATGAGACAGATTTTGATAAGCGCTGTCGACGAGCCTGTCCATTTCTGGGCTTCTTTCTTGAAAATCCATTGTCGAATGTGGTTTGGCAGAGTAAGTGACCCATGTCGGATCCACCGGTCAAAGTCAGAGAGACAGTCATCGGAGATGCGATCGTTGAAGAAGTAACCCCAGGCGATTATGATATATGTCGACCATACGCCAATAAAAAACGCGGCGAGGACCTGGGGGCGTTATTACTAGGTAGTAATTAATCAAATATGCCGACACTTACCCCCGTTCCAGCCTAGATGCAGATCTCAGTATATTAGTGGTCAAGCAGCGGTCCGAATTATTACTCACAATGTCAGGATCAGCATCGAAAGGTACGATATAATTATCGGGCACCGTACAGTTAGGTTGCGCAGAGCAGATTCCCATGGTGGTACTAGCAGGCCACTAATAGGTTACATTGATGAACAGAATGTATAAGATCCAATATGGTGGAGAAAAATGCAGCGCGGGGAACCATCAGCCCTAGGCTTCTTATTTATTTATGTAGTGTAACCAGAAGATCGAGGCCCTTTGCGAGATCATCAGAAAATACTCTAAATGGCTGCATGAGATCTGCGCCAGCCTCATTGTCGTGCAGCTAGCATCGCCTCGTCATCGCAAGGATGCTATAATTTTATAGGCTGTTGACGGGGCTGTGCTGTCCGGGCTGAAGGAGTCGACAAATATCACTGACCTTCAATATGCTACCACACCCTCCTGGGTTAACCCCAACCCGGGATACCCTCTTGGGAACATCTTGGCGATTAGCTTCTGACCTTTAATGTATATTAATTACATGCCAAAGCCCCAGCCCTCAACAATTTGTTTTTGGTCGCTACCTTGGGATAATTATATACTCTTCAATTAAATTTTTAGTAAAGATGCATCCCTTCTATTACTAGTGTGATCTTTGACCATGTCGGTGTCAATCTACCAATCTTGACACATCGAATTGACAAATGCCAGTCACTGCACTTGAATACCGAATTGGCATTCTGGTCGGGCTTCATGGGCCTGATATCCTTACAAGTATTCTATTAACCTACAGAAATACCATTTTAGTCTCATAATTTATTCATCGAGATAATTCAACTGTTTGAATCAAATTGTAATCAATTAAACATTAATAATCTTTTAAGAAGGGACTCCAACGCGCACCAGAGGTGGGATTTTAAAGTTCGGTATGCGTTCGATATGCAATAAGTAGCAGGTAAGAAGCAAAGAAGATTTTATCGAGTTTACCAAGGACTAAAACCCATATAATGAGTGGCAAAAGCGATAGTCTACGTCATAAGAGAGCTATACTATATGGCCACACAAGCGGAATAATTTCTTGGACAAGCCGACGACCTGCGTTTAGGAAGTAATACATCGGATTGAGAGGCTCCAATAACCCACGACTTGTCACTTTTTCTGGCCTTTGACCGTGTGATACGCTGAGTGGAACCTTGGCCTGCGCTTTCTCGAACCCTTGAGCTCATTTGCTTGTGAGGAGAATGGGATGTGACTTGATCCTGTCCTAATCCTTAGCCCTTCAGCACCTGATTCCGCCTCGGAGTAGGGGCTTTTTATGCATCCTTGCTTCGCGTTGCTCCAGCTCTCGCCTGAGTTATAGATCCCTTGTTGAATGAGCTAGAAGGTGGTTTTTTAAGCGAACACTACCTTTCGAACGCTGTTCCTAAGAGGAGAATGATTGTAGAATGGAGAGAACTCAAAGGAGAAGTAGAGACTGAGATATCACGTGTGCTTGCTTGAATGGCCAGACTATCCAGGATATTTGGTTTTGTGCAGGAGCTGATGTGGTTCATAATGTTGGAATTGGATCTTCCTTGGCTTTTGCTTTGGCATTGGCTCTTCGTCCTTCCCGTCCAGGATGCTAGATTAGTCTTAGCTTCTCTCTTTCCTTTTGCCCTTGTCTTCCACACCATTAGCTCATTCATGTACGTCATGTAAATGGAATCAATATTCACGCTCCGATTCCATCAAATCAAAATAGGTACAGATATATTGTCTGGTTAGCTACTGGATCTCTCTGATACGCCTTGTTACGATATGCTTCCTCAAATCCGCACTGCACATCCAGTACTTCGGCCTATGATTAGCTGGGAGACTCTCATTTGAAAGGCACCAAGGATAGTAGCTGGGTCGAATGACCGTGTGGCAATAGCTGATGACCCCGCAATGGCGGTCGTTCCACGCCTGGATGTGTTTCGCACAGTGATCATGCCATGCCATTCACTTTTCAAGCACCAGGTCATACATTCGTAGCAATAAATTAGCTTTAACTCCGTCACTTATAGATTTCGGGCTTTATCCTTGAGGATGCAGTCATGCATGTGTCCACTTCTCTTGCCCCTTTCCAAACTGTGATTTTTAGTACATATATCTCCATTGACACATTGGTAGATGGGAACTCACTGTTGAATGTCTATCTATGTGCGAGCATACTTTGCGCAAAAAGCATCCTTTGATCAAATGAACGTGGCTCGGCGGATGACATGGTCGTCTTCATGCAAGAATCTACTCTCCCATAAATGGGGTATCGAGGGGGCTCTCTTTCCCCATCATCCCGGTTCACCATCTGCCAAGGCTGGGTGTGTATACAGTCTTGCTGCATGAAGCTAACCAACTTTGTTGTGCTATTCGCCAAAACGAAGATAGGTATCTTGCAATGCCTTCGGTTCGCAGTCGTGTAGGTCACGGTTTGGTTGCCGAATCCGAACCACTTGCGCTCATCAGGTGCGGAGCCTGAGCTTGACCACAAGGACGCAGGTTGTGGAGATGATTAGTCTACTAGACAAGAAAATCTGGTTGTTCGGCCGGGGTTGTTCTCTTACTACTGGACTGTTGGCGTCCTATCGGGCGGTGCTGAAGACAATTCTTGGGGAGATGAAGATGAGGGCGGCGAACATCGGTTTGACACATGTTGCTCTTCCGGAGGAGACACCATACCCTGGAGCTGAGTTGTACGAAGTCTATTCCTTAGGCTGCGGGATGCTTGTTGCTTTTTAAATTAAGTATACACGCCAAGAGTAGATTTATATACCCACCCAGAATATCAGACATTACAGCTATAATGTCATTTGGTTGTGTCTATATAAAAGAACTATGCCAAGTGCCGGCCCGCAACAATACACTTGTTATCTCAATACAAAATCCCCTCGGGGGGCGGGGTGGGGTTGGAATGTCGTCAAAGGATAGCCCATAGAGACCAAGATTACAATACTTTATCCTTCACGCTCCATGGGTAGCCCTCTTTGCAATTCAACAATAATAAGTGACACCAAAGGAAATCGGTAATATAGTCAAATATTACGAGTCAGTGCTGAATTCTCCGCTGAGAATGTGCATGGCAGCCGTGTTTTTGATTTGCTTAGAACTGTCTTATCTTCATTTTGGCGAATAGCACAACAAAGTTGATTAGCTTCATGCAGCAAGACTACATACGTGGAAAGACGGTGAGCGGAGGGTGACTCCAGGAGGGAGAGCGTTACACATTTCCATACCCATAGTCAGAGACTGGTTTGCAATAAGACATCTTCGCTGAAGTTTTGGTTCAGGAGTCGAGCATAAGACCATGCTGCAATGTTGGCCTTCCATTTCGTGTATATCGAAAAGTGTCCCTTGGGAGAAAAGCTAGGTTGGGCGTTTTGACCTTCAGGCCAAAGTCATCATTGCCTGCTCCATTGTATCCGACACACCCAGCCTTGGCAGATGGTGAACCGGGATGGTGGGGAAAGAAAGCCCCCTCGATACCCCATTTATGGGAGAGTAGAGTCTTCAATGCATGAAACAACTGAATCTGGTTAGAGTCACGTAGCTCTGATTCGACAAGACCCCCGGCAAGATAGTCCTGGCTCAAAGATTGGGTGTCAGACCAGGGTCCCGTATTAGCGCTGCAATTGAATCGGTTAAAGCGATCTCTCAGGAGCCATGCCCCCTCTAAACATGCATGCTGCCAGTGATCGGCCCAAACATTTGTGATTTGCATGCACCAGTTATATTGCACTGAGCAGTTGGGTTTCCATCATTGGACGCTTCTTCCACTGCTCGAACATGTTCACACTTTCGCGCCAACCCCACGGTTCTGAGATATCAACCACATGATTACCCCACTCCTTCATGCATGTACTTAAGCCCAACGGCAGATACGATCCTCCATAACGGAGGCTCTCTAGAGGACGGGGATTCCATCGACAATGACATTCAGACTCGAAAGCACCTCACCTGTGGTTCAAGCCCATCAATAGATGGCATTTCTCACCCACCATGACTTGGTAACCGGGCAAGCTGCAGACTGCAACAGCGGGTTGTGGCAAAGGCAAAGAGCAGGAAGTGTCTCCTCGTGTCCAGAGATGTTTGGTTCGTCATATTCTGAACCACAGCGATCGCGAATTAGCACTGTGCTCATATTATATTTCACCGAACGGATCGTTACCACTGCAGCCCTCAGACCATCAACATGGGCTCTATAAAGACGTACGATGGTCGGCATGAGCAAAGCAATTTTAATGAGCCAGAAACGCCGAAGAGGTCCTGGATGCCTATAAAACCTGAAATTACCTGACCCCGTTCCCTGTCTTCCAGATTGCGCTCAAGTCGTCACCAAAGTGAACAGACATGGCCATGACTTCAATTGTGATCACACGACAGCCACCCGAAGTTGCCGTCATCGAATCTTTTCTGGTTCTATACGAGCAGAATCAAAGCTTATACGAGTATGTGACCCTGGCGGCGACAAGGCTATGCAGAGCATCCCTTGGGCCCGACATCAACTTCGGGATCACAAATCGGGTGAAATCCCGGCATAGCTTGAAGAACAAGCTATATGAACGTCATCCAACGTGCTCTTATCGCGACCATGAGCAAATCAACAGTGATATTGTCGACCTCGCCGGGGTCCGCATAACCCTACCGGCCTCGCTCCAGATAGAGCAAGTGGGCTCAATGATCCGCGAAAAGTTTGACCTCCGGGAAGAAAAGATCATCTCAGGGGACGAACAGGGGCACGACACTCATCGCGCGTATCGCCAGACACATGCGACTTACCGTGCAGTGCATTATCGTGTCAGGATGAAGCAAGAGCAAGTCCCACTTGACAGTGCATGGCAAACGGTCCCGGTCGAGATTCAAGTGCGATCGAAAGCCTGGGATATCTTGTCCGACTTTACGCATGGGCTGCTTTATAAACCCGAGTGTCCGGCAACCTCTCAGCAAATTGATATTCACAATATTGCGAGCAGCATCGTCGACTCGCTAGACTTGTGTCTCAACAAGATCTATGCGTATCACGCGCAACATCTAGTGATTGCAAACACCAACTTTGCGACCAAAAGTTCACTCGAGTCTGCCATGCTTCAATGGGCTCAGGAGAAAACCGGGCGCATGGTCAACGACGTGGGAGACATAGAAACCCTCTGGAAGTTTCTGCAGGCCCTGGACCTTCACACCCCCAACAAACTTAAAGCGACTTTAGCGAAACTGGACACCCTGCAGAGCGTCCTAGTCAATGTTTCAGGCTCGGACTATGTTACGGTGGACCTGGCAACCCCGATCATGCGGGCAAAACTTTGGTCACCTGAAGGGCAGACCAAATTGGCTGACATCTTCAACCACCACATCGCGCTGGGCCGAAAAGAGCTGTACCAGCTGGAAGTGATCGCGGATGCCTTTATCTGGCTAGGCCGGGATCCCACGAATCAGTGGGTGACTGTCCTCGGGGCACTTGTTCCGGAACGATTGTCCAGTGTTCGGTGGCTCGATACGCGACCCGTCCGGGACTTGTGTTACAAACCCGGAGCGCGGTTGTCGATTGAAGATCGGGGATACCTGGACGATCTTTGGTCGTCTTTTTTGTGCAACCCCCACGAAGAAATTCAACTTTCTTTTGGACTGTCCAGGCTTAGGTTGCCAGGGGAGAGTGGCGTTGACCGCCCGGCGCTTCGACAAGCCATCCGACCCGTGCTTGAGTGTTAAAGCTTTAGGCCGAGCCAAGAGTCTCGGATTTCCGTGTCTCAGGAGAGGGAGTGCTCGTTGATCAAAAGGTCTTTGGGAGTTTTCTTTTCTTTTCTTTTTTCTTTCCTTTTTTTTTTTTTGATTTTTGATTTTTGATTTTTGATTTGTAGTTAGTGTCTTGGAGGTATATACTAGACCTCATTGCCTATTATTGAATTGTTGATGGAGCTAAACGTAGTGTCAATGTCATGCAAGTACATTCAGGCCTTTGTTCTTAGGCCTTGGTTAGTATACTTTTGTCCCTTCTTTGTTCTGCTTGTGTTCTTCTTCTTCTTCTTCTTCTTTGTTCCACTGTGGCGCAACCTTGATGCCCAACCTCCGTCAACACCGCCAGAAAAAGAGTAAGCGAGGCTGAACAAGCGGTGAGTGCTTATCAACCACTCAACCAGCATCTGATAAAACCAACGGTCGTCCGAATTGGATATTTCATAGTCAGGGCGCTTAATTCTTCTTAATACATCGGGGAAGATCCCGCTTGATGGATGGTCACATACTCCTGCCCGTTCTCCCATGCGCGCCTCATACTTCGACCGGATCTACTCCGTACCTACAATGAATACATATTCTTACGCACCTGCGATCCTGAAGGAATATTAGTATTAGCCTTACCAAGAAAAGGGACCAGGCCTGAAACACTAGTGTCTAAGAGTCATTTGAGAATGACATCATGAGGGATACAGTGGGGGTCTCTTGGGCTGTCAGGGCCATTGCAATATTTGATCGGGCGATTAGAGTTCCGACAGCTGAGTGGCGACGCTGTTTCCATGCATATTAACATACAGTTAAAAAATGATCCTTCTATTCACGATGTTCAATTGTAATTAAGACGATGGTAAACAGAGGTATCCCCAAATCATCGCCCTTCAGAGTCAAATAGGGATCTGCTTCGGCACGGGGATGAACGTGCCCTAAGGCCCAGGAACCGACCAATTACCTCATCGTCCTAAGAACGACTAGTACAGAGCTCCCGAGTCTCTTTCAGGACTACCGATAGTCCACTGATCTGACTGGTTGGAGCTCCACTTTCAAGTTTAATCTGACATCCAGATCAGCAAGCCTCCAGGACCTACGAAACGGCGACATTGAGATACCTATAGAAAACAAAATCTATATGATCGTACAGTGCGGCAGAATTCTATCATAAGGGCAAGAGACAAAGAAGAAAAAACAAACAAAAAAAAGAAGGTGCATTGTTGCCAGCAATATTTAGATCGTAAGCCCGGATGTTAGGGTCCGGACTTTGTTCATGCTGGATAACACTAGCCACGTTCGTTGAAACACGAGGTATGTGCCCTCCGGGGACCTATCGTCTTTGCTGCTTAATTTTTATTTTTCCGAGGGAAGCCGATTGATTGCCTGGGCGACGCCGATGGAGAGTAGACTGAAGACTGAACTGGGAGGTCGCATTGGAGACAGCCGACCAAACAAGGGCAATCTACCTTTCCGCGCGAGATTGTGATCATCCTGGGTTAACGACTAGATTGGTAACATGGACAAATGTGAATATCAGTGACTCGCTCCGGAAGGCTTTAAGTCTGTGTTTTGTGTTTCTGGCGTGCATTGAACTAATTTCCCTCTCCCCAACGGTACTATCAGCCTCAGCAGGGGTGTTCACATCCGCCCGCGACGGAGGGAGGGCTTCTGCCTTTCTTCACCAGTCTAGTTCGGCCGAATCGCCCTCGAGTGAGCAGTGGAAATTACACCCGTCACTCTTCCCTACACACGAGGCCATTTTCACCGACTCCAAAGGGTGGGTCACCCTGATAATGTGACCTGTGAACCAGGAACTGGCCCACTTGTGAGTCACAATGCTGATGTCCTGACTATTCTCTTTCCTGACATGGTAAGCCAGAACAGACAGCCTCACTTATCTTGGGCGAGGCACCGCGGATGTTTCTTATGAACTCCGTACAGTGTTGCTTGGCAACGCGGCCTTGATCCCTGTCGGATCACCAAGTGAGCTCGCCAAGTACGCGGCATGAGCCCTCCCGAGAGTAAATAGCTAACTGCAGGCTCGCAGGCGAAGACTCGCGTGGCATTGGGAAGAGCTTCCGGTTGGCTCCTAGATTTCTGAAAATGCGGAATCACGAGTGGGCTACTAGCTCCAGTCGCTATGAACAGGGTTGGGCTGATCATTGTCAATGGTACCTATCAAGGACAAAAGTACGGTCAGTTCACAGCCAACACCATGTGTCCTCATCTTACATCTTGTTATACACACAGTGGATAATCCCCTGACGTATGTCTGTCAATGAATTCATCCTGCTGGCCTTGGTGGATGTGTATCCTAGCCAGCTAGCAAAAGGCGTAGTGGAGCTTCCCCTTTTCACACAATCAGGCGACCAATCTACCGACAAAAAGAAAAGACAACAAAAATTCCAGTTCTTTTCTTCTTTTTTGTTTTTTGTTTTTCTTTTTAACAATTTCTGGTGTTCAGCGAGAAGGGCATTCCGGTTTGGGTATTTAAAGCCTAATCAGCCTCGTCTCAAAGGCGTTGCTCAACCCGAATCTACTTCTCAAAGAATCGCCGGGTCAATCCAATCAGCTTAATAATCAGCAAATTCAACAAAAAGTGTTCTCTCTCAGGCCTCTGAACTATGGAGCAGACTACTGGAAACACTACAGGTAAGCCCCCACGTCGCTTTGTTAGTTATTTGCGGGATCTTCAGAGGGCACATGCTGACATCGTCATTCCAAGTGCAAATAGAACATATCCATATCGACTGGGTCACGCTGCAGAACATTATCAACGATGCAAGAGTGAATATTCCAGTGGATGATGCTACACGTGAGAAAATACACGACGCCTGTTCACTCGTGGAAAGGGAATTGGGACATTCTGGGGACAGGCGGGATCGCACTGTTCGTGATTTCCTTGCCTTTACCGAAGGAATAGATGATTTGAACAAGGCGTGGGAATATTTCCAGGGCTCTGCACTCTGATAAGTTGCAGTAAGTTCAACATTTTTCATGTTTTCAGAGGGGCTTTCTCTTTCCTTGTCCATGTGGTTGGCAAAGAACACATTATCTGACAGCTATGAATATCTTAGCGAAACTATTCTCCGCAATTCTACCTGGCTGCCGGACGCAGTATGTCTGTTCGTTCAATCAATGCAATGCAAGTCGTTTCTGGATTTGACGTTTGAAAATAGTGGGAAGTTACAATCGGTATATGAGAAATACAAGTTGGATTATGCACCTCTTGGTTCTGGGTACAGCTCTTTATGCTGTCACATGACTCCTCCGTAGAGTGAGTAATTGAGAGCTGAGCAAGGTCTGATGTCTTGAGATGTCTGCTGCAGGTCTGAGCAGACCTTCCTTGGGATACGGAGCGTAAAAAGTGAGTAGCCTGTAGATAAAAGTCACAGCCTCAAGGTCAGGATCACATATTAGCCGCAGAATTCAATAGCTCGAATCCCCTCTGTGACGTTAAAACCCCATCATGCTAGAAGTTCCAGCTTGTGGGAGTTGCTTGCTCTTCCCAGCAGGAAGGAATAGGCTAATCAGGTAGTCTATAATTATGACACCAGGTAGATAAATAAATAGTATCAATAAAAATAGCATGAAAAAGAAGAGCCGCTTATTTATACGTGGGTGACTAGTTATCTTCTCAAGCTTAATGATATTATTAAATATTGAACTTTTGTCCAGATCAAGCTCGGTAGTTATTTACACTTTACAGATTCCTGTCTTCTTCATCTATCATTTTAACTTATTCACTAGCACTGATTAACCCCTACTGTCAAAAGTTCCGTAACCTAACTGTACCAACCGGCACTTACGTCGCAGACTGGGGTCTTTCTAGCGAGGACCTTGCTTGGTCAGAGAAATATTCTCCGGTCTCTATACCTGTTTTAGCTTGGCTTACTTCTCTTGTTCTAGGATCTTGGGTGTTAACTCAGCTACCTTGGACGGCCATGATGTAGTGCCTAATACGCTTCCTGGTGGCCTTCTTAACAGTTCCCTTGGTTATAAAGATGTTATGCCATGTTTGGTTTCCAAAGATGTTGTCTCACTTACATGTCCATGTTCAAGCTGTCTGATTCATGTAACCTGACATAAATGCGTCTAGATTTTCTCCAATTAGCACACTGCCAACTGGGTATCTCTAGACCTCAAAAGGATCTGTGTTAATCCAGATCTAGATCCACCCTGGTCTGTCTTCAGGGTGAATTTAGGTCAAGAATTAGATTGATAAGTTAATTCTATAAGAATTCTTAATCTATTCTAGATAGAATAAATTAATTTGCTAGATTAATCAATAAGATATATATTAGAAATTCTATATTATATTTCTGGGTAAAGCTTTGATTTTATAAATTTAGATTAATAAATGATAAGTCTTTCTTCTTTTTATTCTTATTATTGAGATTAATTAAAGATATATCTTAGATATCTTAGAAAAATCTTCTTTTAAACCTAGGATCAATCCTTCAACATATTGCAATCACGGAAAGCAGCTCATTTCAAACATTGCCACTTTTATGATTAGGGCTACACTCATCACTACTTAGAGTCGGTCAGATGGCTTGCCACACAGACTGCCCACCCTTGATAGTCGGTGGTTAGTGTTGTAAAAGTTCACTTCTCATTCGGCTACAGATCACATCATGGTTTTTACTGGGACCAGGGTTTAATGTGATCGGTGGGGGGGTACTTATTTAAAGCTGGATGATCGCCCTACCAACGTCGCAAGTCGTGTCAGAACAATGGATGTTAACCCTTTTGTCTCACCTCGAGAGAGCAGACACGACATTCTTCTGGAGGAAGATTTATCCGCCCAATGATAATACCTGTCTCATCGCGAGTAAGGACAAATAGAACACTCCGATAGACGCCACATAGAGGGGAAAGGTGTCGGCCAGTCCAATTCAATAAAATGACATCATGTCTATACCATACGGATCCGATACGCAGGGGGGGTTCTGAAAAGCTTTTGTGGAGATTGGGATACACGCTTAGTACTGCATGGCACTCAAATATTCCACCAGGTCAACCACCTGCTCGGTTAGCAATCTTCACACATCTCGTCCACCGCTTTGTTTCTTATCGTGATGTATATGTTGGATTGTGAGACATGTAATCCGCCGGCATGTCAGCTGACGTGCAGAGATTTTTTTTTTCATGTTGTTGTTGGATTCTGGATGTTTTGTAACTGTTTGCAACGCTTTTCATAGGAATAAGAATCATCAAGTTTATAAATACTATTGACCGTTGCAACGGTGCTCCACATATATCCACTCCTTCTTCCCGCCAATCTTCACTCCTAGCCCTCCGGACAAATGTCCAACACAGCGAGGGATATTGTCGAATATGCCTACGACAACATCACAGAATGGTACCTAGAATGGGTCAATAGCCAGAAGTCGCCGCGAGAGAGATACACCAAGATGCTCCTCGCGAAACTTCAACCATCGCCCTCCATCCTAGAGCTCGGCTGCGGCCCCGGAGTGCCTATCTTGAAAATGCTTCTCGAGCACGGCGCGGAAGTAGTCGCAAATGACATCTCCACCAAGCAGATCGAGATGGCCAAGGCGCGGTGTCCGAGGGCGAAGCTGGTTGCAGGCGACATGACTGCCCTGGATTTCGAGCCGGCGAGTTTCCATGGGATAGTCAGTTTCTATACGCTGTTTCACCTGCCGCGGGCAACGCTCAAAGACATGCTCACTAAGATATACGGTTGGTTGAAGCCTGGAGGTGTCTTTGTGCTGAATCTTGCGACGATGGATGAAGCAGAAATCCATGGCGAATTTCTCGGATATGGAATGTTCTGGAGTAGCTATGACGTGGATAAGAATCGGGCAATACTGGAAGAGACTGGTTTTGATGTATTGCAGGCGGAGGTATTGCACGCAGGCGATGGGAAGTTGGAGGAGGGTGATCCGGACTTTGATGCCGAATTTATGTGGGTGATGGCACAGAAGAAGGCATCTCCTACGTAATGGGAGGCTACAAGGATTATGAAGTTATGTAAACGTTAAGCAGGATGAACAGTTTTTTTGATAATTCGATTCCATCCTTGACTTTCCTTGCCATTCTGTTCATCGTTATTTGCGTCTCGCAGCGCCAAAAGGACGGTCTATATACCTTATATTGGCAGCCACAGCACAAAGGTACCGAATCGTTGTTTTTGTTGAGGCGGACATCGCTGATACCCCAATGTATACCGTGGAGCCCACTTGCGGTTCATTCGCAGGTATAAATCCCTCCAGCTTCGTTGCTGATACTGAACTGGGCTTGACAGGTTTACTCAAGAACTGGGCATTCCAAATCAGCTTGACAGGCTTGCTTCAGGCAAAAAAACCGCTGTCTTCTGTAGCTGCCTATTTCACTGTCAAAAGAGTTGATAAGCATGCCCGCTCTCAGTACATATATATATCTTGACCAACTAGTTATTTTGCGGGCTCCAGATTGGGGCGGTCCGGATTTCCGAAGGCAATGCTACCACTTGATTTGTCTATATAAAAGCCCTTTAGGTGGTATCCCTGGATCTTTTATCGATAGTGATATTTCAAATATAATTACTTCGAAATAAAAACTGAACAACCAATGTGGGATAGTAGTGATTCTATTGGTCAAGCCGCCAAGGCGAATTAAAGGTGGGGCTATAAGATGTCTAGGTGGAACTAACCCACCTATATCAAACAACACCATGAAATTGACGTCTTACAGATATGTTGACATTTTACCATCCCTACTAGTCCGACTTGTCAAGAAATATCGTGACCCACTTTATTGATCCATCGACAAGCTCACCCACAATAAAACAACACTAAAGCAGCAAGTCAAAACGACCCACAACCAAAGAAGAAAGAAAACATAATATACCCCGCGCGCCAGATTTATCATTTGCATTCAACGCCACTAATCGCGCAAAATGACTCTCTCGGCTGAAGATCCTTTCGACGATTTCGTCCTCCTTACTCCACGACTGATCATAATTCCCACGCCAATCGCAGTCTCCTTGGCCTCATACCGAGCTCTCTACTCCGATCTCCATGCCAATGTAGCATTCTGCGAAATGGCTTTTGGGCACCACCTACCAGCCGAAAGGTGGAGCGACTCAAAGACATTGGAGGTGATACAGCAGCGCGATATCGGGCGGTGCTGGAAACCGCGGGGCATGGGAGATTTTGCCGTGGGGCGGCGCATGCCATCCACGCCCGGATCCGATCCACGCGTGCAGGATGATCGCAGTGAGCTGATAATTCTCCGCGGTCAAGACCTGGTGCGACTTGCTGGCCCGGATAATGTTTATTTCGAGAATATTGAATGGGTGGGCTATGCGGGAGTACGTGACGCAACAACAACCTCCATGCCGGCGCGGGAGCCCGGAGATCCAGCCTTACCCTCCTGGCGGGAAATGGTTGAGCTACGGTATGGTTTCTCGCCTCAGGTGTGGGGAACAGGTGTGGGTCAGGAGGCAGCGAAGGCAGTTATGCAGTGGGCTGTCGGTGAAAGGGGAGTCTTGCGATTTATTGCTGAGACCGAGAGGGAAAACGAGAGGAGTGGAAGGGTTTTGAAGAAGCTTGGGTTTGTTTCAAGTGCGACGGACTATTGGAAGGAGCCTAGTGAGCTGGAATGGGAGTGTACTGTAGACCCTGCCAGGTGATAGTCATAGCTATGTATATAGCTTCATGAAGGGGTCACTATTATCTACTGCTCCACAAGTTGTCTGCAAGGCACAAGAAACTATACTAGGAGCGACTGCATGAACCAGCCTAGTTGCAAATTCAGCTGCAATCATAAAACGTGGGGCATATCAATGACTGATATATATTTTCACATGAGTCTTTTGTCTAGCAACGTCATTTTAGGCCACCCATCAGTGGCTGCGAAAGAGCCTCCACTGTTGGCGAACAGTGTCTTACAGTCCAAAAAGTCTATACCATGAGATTCGATGGAGCTTTCATTGAAATGGTACCAGCTTACATGGTATCCAGCGCATACGTCCCAATTGACACAATACCTACGGGCAAGACCGACAGCCAGCGATTGCGTGAGGTGGGCGGATCGTGACCGGTAAATGATATAACAGCGTAGGAGGCTTCTTGGAGCCGGCGGCAAATTGGGAAACATCGACGGAGCGCCTGCTATACAGAGCTATGGCGGAGCCTTGAGGGTGGCCACATCGGGAAGGACGGCAGTTCCTCAGTTCCGTGTTGGGAAGATGATTCTAACCACACAAGGTGCCGTTCCTGGACTTTTGCCGGGCGTGGGACTCACATTGCGGAGTATACTCGACAGAAACGGTCCAACCTAATGGTGTATTGATACGGGCTGTATGTGCGATGGTTGTGGTAATAGTTTGAGCCTTAGAGTGCATTGGCCGGATTGCTGTACTTTCCTATAGATCCCCAAACTAACTCGTAAGCCCAGAAACACAACTACTGCCAAGGATCAGTGCTCCGCTTGTGAACCTTAGCTTGATCTCCAGGGAAGAACGTTTGTAATCCCTAAAAACACAGGTATTGGGCCACCCACCCACGAAATGGTTGAACCTCTATGATCCGTAATAGACCCAAGCAGTTGACCGAAGGAAAAGAGGCGATAGGAAGAACGGAAAGGACACGCATTGTCGCGAACTGTTTTCAGATATCAAGACTGGATCCTGGTAGGAGGTTGGTCCAATACTGGATGACACGACCCAGCTTCATTGAAACCCGAGGTAACTCTTCTCTGGGGCCTTATCTTCCAATCTCTGATTTCTACTTTGTAAATCAACTGGTCGAGAGTGTGAATGACGCCCATGTATAGTGTGCTGGAGTATAAACGCGCAGGCTATGTCGGAGACATCCCAGCCAGCGTGGGCATGGTGCTTTCGGCACACCATTATAGTCGTCTGTTGGGTTATTGGATTGACGACACTGCGGAGTACGGACATCGTTCACCCGAGCCTGTAGGATAGGGATCCGAGTTGGCGATACAGACGCGTATTTCTCTCACTAATAGTTCAAATAGTGTATTGTTATCCGGAATAAACCCAACCCGGAAGACTAGGGCCATCCGATCAACCTGGGTAACACGGTTTCTAATCTGTCGTCACGACGAACATTGGGATTACTGTGAGTGATGTGTAACACCGTGGGATGATGCCACAGAATGTTCCTTCGTACGAGTATCTGGGGTACGTATAGTGTGGCGGTGATTCGATATCTTTGAAATATTTCAATCCTACGAAATGTTGTGGAACAGCGACGGGTTTATACGACATATTTCAGTGTCCCACCTGTGAGTTAAGTTGATTACATGGATAGATTTATGTTGTTGACCACAAAATCGCTGACTCTGATGATTCGTAAAATGTTGCGACAGAAATCCGCTCGCCCTTCCTGGATATGTACGCAAAATCTCTAGAATAAGAGATAATCTCCTGTTACGTGGAATGTTGACTGCTGTGGGGGGAGCCCATCTACGTCCTTCGGAACGGCCCGTATCCAGTGATGTGATATCCCAACTCTTGAACAGCGAGTTAGGTTGTTTTCTAGCATCAAACTTGGGGTGTTGGGCTGCTAAATATAATTGGAAAAAGACTGGGAGATGTAACCCCTCTTCCTCCCCCGCTTTCGCAGAATTGATTGGCTTCCCACCCACGTCTCTCAGCCTGGTCATCTCAGCCTCTCAAGCTCGCATGAGGATACGTTCGCTTCCTCCAACAACTACTCCATCTGTAACGATTCTTCAGTCTACACTTTGCAATTCAGAAATTAAACAAAACAAACTCACGAGAAAGAAGAGAAAACAATGGGCCGGTTCAAACAAGGCTGGAAAAAGGGAAAGGCCGCCATATTCGGGTCGAAGGCAGATGGCGAGGGCTCCTCTCCAACCCCAACCCGTCCAGAGTCTGGTCGTGCTGAATCGCCTTCGAGCCTGAGAATCCCAAGTCGTCAGGTCCCTGGACCTGCGAAATCCCCTTCCAGGTTCACGACCACCGGGCAGCCTTCTGGGCTGGGTCCACCGTCTGATCTACAGCTTGCGAACGCCACTACCGACCCCCAGGCCACCCTTATCCCGTCAACCGCTCTCGATGAGAACCCGTTTCAACCGACCGACGAATTTGACACATGGACTCGGGCTTACAATATGGTATACACCAGGGAGCCTGAACTGATGAAAGACTACATGAAGCACCTGGCCTCACTGCAACCCAACGGTACAATCAATGTGGACGACCCGACGTCGTGGTCGGTCGAATCCACGGTTCAGCTGCTTTTGGACAATCGCAAGGAGAAGCAGTGGAAAGCCTCCTTATTTGGGAACGAGATCAGAATACGAGAGCAATCTGAGAGATTGGTGAAATTCCTTCTTTGGACTGAACCTGTAGTAAAGGCTGCTGCCAGCACTCAGCCCTACGGGGCGCTGGCATGGTCCGGGGCCTCTTTACTTCTTCCGGTTTGTGGGCGCATACTCGACGGTTTAACGTATCTAATATCTGTTACAGCTACTCACGAGCGGCACTGCGGCAAATGATGCCATGCTGAAAGGCTTTAATTCAAGCTGCGATACCCAGTTTTACTGGAGGATCTTTGAGGAGACATTTCTCGGTTCCTCGCGCCGAGAGGATTACAGACTGCTTTTGGAACACTTGGCTAAACTCTATTCGCACATTGTCGAGTACCAGGCGCGTGTTATATGTCACCTCTCTACTGCGCAACTGTCACGTGCATGGCAGACTGTCGCTGGTTGGAATGATTGGGATAGTAAGCAAGCGGAAATTACTGCCTCGAGCGAGCATTGCCGCCACTGCGCTGGAACAGTTGAAACAAATGAATGTCAGAAGGACAGGGATCGCCAACTACAAGAGATGCTAAAGTCACAGACAATTCTCGATGAGATTCGGGCGATCTTGAACACCAGTATCCAACAGAACCAAACGATCTACGAAGACAAGAATCAGCAGAGACTTCTTCAGAATCTTGCATCCGACTATGAAGATGACAAAAATTTTAATCCGACAAAAGTGGATGGAACATGCGAATGGTTCTTTGTCGACCAGAAGTTTCGGGAATGGCAAAACAGCGACACTTCCAATCTCTTGTGGCTTTCTGCTGGTCCTGGTTGTGGCAAGTCAGTCTTGTCACGAGCCATGATCGACGAGCAGCGACTTTCCAACAATATTTCAACGTCAACCGTGTGTTACTTCTTTTTCAAGGATGGACACCAGGGGCGGATGCATGCTACGGATGCCTTGTGCGCAATACTTCATCAACTCTTCACCAATGATTCAACCGGGACCCTTATCCGCCATGCAATGCAAAGCCATAAGAGTTATGGTAAAAGCCTTACCAAAAACCTTTCCGAGCTGTGGCGGATCTTTCTGGACTGCTCATCAGAGGCTGGAGAAATAGTCTGTGTCCTTGATGCCCTGGACGAGTGCAGTGAAGACACCAGACGGCAATTGATGAACAATTTGAACGACTTATATTGCCGACGCAAGAGGCCACTTAATACACATTCGCGCATCAAATTTCTCATCACTAGTCGCCCATATGATAGCTTGGAGCTATCTTTCAAAGGCTTCTCAGGTACAAGTGCGTACATGCACTTCGACGGTGATGACAATTCCGCCCAGATTAGCGAAGATATCAATCTAGTCATTGACACTCAAGTGAATATAATTACGAGCGACTTTGAGGAGGATGATCGCAAAAAGATTGCCGACCGACTGAAAAGTATGGAGAATAGAACCTACCTTTGGCTGCACCTTACATTCGACATAATCTTGGAGAGTCCAAGTGAATATAGCAGACGGTCTGACCTGGAAGCCTTCCTCTCCGATATACCTACCGAGGTATCAGATGCATATGAAAAGATCTTGAATCGCAGCAAGAATCGAGATCAGACAGAAATCCTCCTCCACATTGTCCTAGGCGCAATGCGGCCCCTAACCCTCGACGAAGCCAACATAGCCTTGACAATAGCTTTGAATAAGCAAGGGTTCAATTCGCACGCCGACCTAATGTCTCACATGTGGCCAAGAAATAAATTCAAGAGCAACGTCAAAAACCTATGCGGCCTCTTTATCAGTGTCCACGACTCAAGGCTGTCATTTATTCACTTAACAGCAAGGGAATTCCTCGTCAAGTCTAAAAGAGAGGGCAATTGGCAAGGACAATTCAATATATCAAATGCACAAAAGACAATTACACTGGCCTGCTTGGAATATCTGTCATTTCTAGATGACCGGAGTCCAATTGACAATATCACGTCTAAATTCCCACTTGTGCCATACTCCACACGTTACTGGATGGATCACGCAAAGCCTGTGGAGAGTGATCAAGAAGTGCAAACAAAGATATTGGAATTCTTTCGACAGCATAAATCAGCATTCACGGCTTGGACTAAACTGTTCTCACTAATCTTTTTTTTTAATAATAAATGGTCGAATTTAAGGGACCAGATGTTACAGCCATTACACTATGCATCCTTTGCAGGTCTCCATAATACAGTAGAGATACTGTTATACAATGACGCAAATGACAATGCACACACAGAATATCTAGGCCTAGCTCTCCACCTCGCTTGTGACGAAGCCCATAGAGAGATTGCACAGCTACTCCTCAATAGAGGCGCGGATGTCAATATACAGAACAAGAAATTACAGACACCTCTTTATGTGGCCTCTGGAGCAGGTCACAGGGAGATTGTACAGCTACTTCTAGAGAATGGAGCAGATGTTAATATAGCACATGAGATGATTGGCACTGCTCTCATAGCTGCCTCTGGGGAAGGTTACAGGGAGATTATACAGCTGCTTCTAGAGAATAGAGCAGACATTAATGCAGTGAGCCGTTTTGGTACTGCTCTCATAGCTGCCTCTGGGGAAGGTCACAGGGAGACTGTACAGCTGCTTCTAGAGAATGGAGCAGATATCAATGCAGTGGGGCGTTTTGGCACTGCTCTCCATGTTGCCTCTGGAAAAGGCCACTGGGAGACTGTACAGCTGCTTCTAGAGAATAGAGCAGATGTTAATGCAGCAAATAAGATGATTGGCACTGCTCTCATAGCTGCCTCTGGAAAAGATCACAGAGAGATTATACAGCTGCTTTTAGAGAATAGAGCAGACATTAATGCAGTGAGCCATTTTGGTACTGCTCTCATAGCTGCCTCTGGGGAAGGTCACAGGGAGACTGTACAGCTGCTTCTAGAGAATGGAGCAGATATCAATACAGTGGGGCGTTTTAGCACTGCTCTCATAGCTGCCTCTGGAAAAGGTCACAGGGAGACTGTACAGCTGCTTCTGGAGAATGGAGCAGATGTCAATGCAGCACATGAGATGATTGGCACTGCTCTCATAGCTGCCTCTAGAAAAGGTCACAGGGAGACTGTACAGCTGCTTCTGGAGAATGGAGCAGATGTCAATGCAGCACATGAGATGATTGGCACTGCTCTCATAGCTGCCTCTAGAAAGGGTCACAGGGAGACTGTACAGCTGCTTCTGGAGAATGGAGCAGATGTCAATGCAGCACATGAGATGATTGGCACTGCTCTCATAGCTGCCTCTAGAAAAGGTCACAGGGAGACTGTACAGCTGCTTCTGGAGAATGGAGCAGATGTCAATACAGCACATGAGATGATTGGCACTGCTCTCATAGCTGCCTCTGGAAAAGGTCACAGGGAGATTGTACAGCTGCTTCTAGAGAATAGAGCAGATGTTAATGTAGTAAATGAGATGATTGGCACTGCTCTCATAGCTGCCTCTGGAAAAGGTCATAGGGAGATTATATATCTACTTCTGGAGAAAGGCGCAGATATTAATGCAGCACATGAGAGTGTCACTGCTCTCACGGCTGCCACCTACACAGGTCACAAGGAGACTGTACAGCTACTTCTGGAGAAAGGCGCAGACGTCAATTCAAAAGAAGATTTTCACTTCAGTGCCTTGCAGGCTGCCTCTCTTACAGCAAGCAAGGACATTATCCAGCTACTCTTGGAGCAAGGCGCGGATGTCAACGCGAAAGGACAATGCCCATTCAATCCGTTGGAGATTGCCTACAAAACTGACAACAAGGAGATTATCCAGTTGTTGATAGAGAACGGCGCTCGCTCTGAAGTCGTCCATCCACCTACACCAGAAGAAAGCAAAGCTTCTGTTGGCATCGATCAAGAAAAGGCTACAAACTAAACAATTACCTCAGACCTTACGCCCCGCATGATGACCGTCTACGCCGCGGGCTCGTTCCACACGCAGGGGAACCTCAGTTGTGTCGCTGCTGAATTTGTGGCGGCGTTTACGTTGGATGGGTTTGCTGTGGATGGTTGCAGGGAAAACATTTCGTTGAGTGATGAGGTTGTTGCAGGGGCATTTGGGCAGAGCATTGCTGGGGAGGACATTGAGAGGGCATGACATGGTATTCCGAAGAATATGGCTGTTGGGGCTTAGGGGTGCTTGACTTGATCTGGGAGGGATAAGGACTAGAGATTTTGCTCGGTAGATACCGGTATAGATTAGGGGTAAAATTAGTGGGTAGGAGAATGATCTCGACAGGTCCTAGCAAGTGGAGCTAGGGGCTGAGAAAGACCGGGCTCTGTCTTATGGGCGTTATAGACTGCGTGAATTATCTTCTTGTTATTGTCCTCGGATGCCTTGTGTGATAGTTTTACAGAAGGATAAACATATACACTTCTAGGCCACTCACTTGATAATCAGGGCATATTATTATCACAGTATAGTATAGCGTTCGATGAGATACCTCAAATACAACATCCTTGGGGTGTGTAGTGGCTTTAAGCACATCTACAAAGTGCTTTGTCAGTTATCTACAAAGAAAGAATATGTGAGCTGCAGATCTACATTCTCCTTCCATGACAGTGAGTGGAGATATGGTACCGCCACACTTAAGCGATCCAATAAGGAACCTTCTCCTTTATTACAGTAATATTGTTATAAATATGCTCTCTCGGATGAACCCAATGGGCGAATATACACTCCATTTCCAAGTCGCAGGGTTGAAATGGATAGACTCGGTGAAAGGTTGGTCAATCGCGACTGTCATCTGATAAAAAAATTCAAAACCATGATTGAACTTGGAAAAACACCACTTTGATAACATTTTGGACAACACTTCTAATTTGAATGACCATGTTATAATCCTTGAGAAAGCCTCAGCGCCTATTGTTGACAATCTAGTTTGTTCAGTGGTCCAGCGGCTGCAACCCATATTCAGGGGCTATTATATAGATAAGTGAATTGAAAGAGTGACTGGATAGGAGGATAAATCACTTCCGGGATCAGTGGCGTCGAGTGGTCTAAATTACATATGATCTTGAGCCTTCACAGCTAACATTGGAGTAAGTTTTCGGTGTCAGTCATTCTAATATAATTCGGAAACCAGCCGTGACTAGTATCCAAGCGCCTCTTCAAAATCCACCCATTTATCCTAATACCCGACAAATACCCGCAGGATCTACGACTTTAACCAAACAGCTATAAGAATAGGATCGCCTGCAGTTTCGGCTTGAAACACGGGGCTGTGGTTGAAACGAGGATGACGGCTTGGCATCAGGAGGAAGTGGGACTGTGCTTCACCGGAACCAAGTTTAATTTTGAACCCTAGTAGCCACTGCACTATAGGGCTGTTTCTTTTCAGCTTGCCCGGCAGTTGACGATGCCGTAACTGCCTTGCCATGGCCTGGTTAAGGTAGTTACCTAGCTCGTTCGCAGTCGCACTATATGAAAGCTGTTTCACTTATATTCGTCTGTCTGTCTAGCTCTACCGAATACGTCGGTAGTGGACCTCGGTCGATAACGAGTACCGTCTGTTCGGTCTGGACAGGAACTGATATGCTCCATTCAACTTGCGGGTCTTAACGGTTTTGATAGCTAGGAGGTAGGGGCATGACACTCTTCTCCTCATCTCGAGTTTCATCATGTCTCGGGTTGGTTCTAGGCCAGGCAGACCGAAAACACAACGGTCGCAAAGCCGTCCGACATACAGTATATAAGGTCTTCGTTTCCCAAGTTGTAGTATAGCAGCTCTACCTATCCAACTCCGCGCGTCGCATCCTATCCACACCTCACAACCGACAACATGAAGTTCTCTACGACCATGGGCGTGTCTGCCCTGCTGACCGCCACCGGTCTCCCTCTCGTCTCTGGCCACTACGTCTTCTCGAAGCTTATCGTCGACGGCAAGAAGACCAACGACTTTGAGTACATCCGTCGCAATAGCAATGGATACGAGCCTACCCTTGCGGGCGAGATCCTCGGCGATGACTTCCGTTGCAACAAGGACTCCATGGCTGCTGCAGGCAGCACTGGCGTCTACAAGGTTCAGCCTGGTGCTGAGCTTGGCTTTGAGCTGGCTTTCGGTATGTTCATAACAGACCTCTTTACTTAGTAAAGACAAAACTGACAATTTAGGCGCCACCATGAAACACCCCGGCCCCCTCCAGATCTACATGTCCAAAGCCCCCGGCGACGTCAAGCAGTACGACGGCTCCGGCGACTGGTTCAAGGTGCACCAAGAAGGCCTCTGCAACGACATCTCGCAGAAGGGCCTCGAAGACACCGACTGGTGCACCTGGGACAAGAACCAAGCGTCGTTCAAGATCCCCGCCGACACCCCCGCCGGCCAGTACCTCGTCCGCGTCGAGCACATCCCGCTCCACCGCGGCTTCTCCGGCAACGCCGAGTTCTACTTCACCTGCGCCCAGATCGAAGTCGGTGGCAATGGTGCTGGGAAGCCCTCGCCGACGGTGAAGATCCCCGGTGTGTATAAGCCCGAGGATGAGAATATTGCTTATAATATCTATGTGCACCCTACTTCTTATACCCTGCCTGGGCCGGAGGTGTGGAAGGGTGGTGCTGCGGCTGGTGGGGAGAAGAAGGGTAGCCCCATCCCGCCTGCGTATACTTGCGCGTGCAGTGCTTAGTGTGGGGGGACAACTGTGGTGTATTATGGAGTGGTTGGTGATTGTATTATCTTATTCTAGGGTGTATTATCTATTTGTGAATGCTATAGCTGTTCTTGTATGTCTCAATATATAGAGCGGGTGTCAGGTAAGATATTGTAAGCCATACTGTACATTATGATAGAAGATGGTAGGATGCGAAGCTATTCTCAGGACCCTCATAATAGGCTACATTGCTTCAAACAAACAGTACCAGCATACAATTAGCAAGAACCTCCAATACTATATAACTAGCAACATAACCGCCAATAACCTTAGAATGCTCACCCAAAACCCATTGCGGTGCCACTCGTGGTTATCGCGTTTTTTGCAAATCTGGTTGCCGACTCTTACTTGTATGATAAGATTTGGTGATCCATCAGACCAGAAGATCTAGAAGACTTGACTCCCAGGCTAGACCGTGAAAATCGGTAGCGTAAGCATCCTTCTCACAGAGCCTGCTGCTCATCTTTGGACACCGGGCACTGATCACCCCAGCTGTGAGTGATGTACTTTATCGCGAGAATCTAACATACCCGACTCACGGGGGATATTCTCCCGGCTTTGTGCTCCCACCAACGATTGCAGAACTCGTATTTAGACCGCGTTCGCCGGATACTTGTACAGCTAGAAGCGAGGGACCAGTCTCTCCGAGAGAGTATCCGTCAAAGTTCAAAGACCTCCAATGACACAGCGCGGCGTCGTCTTGCGTTCATCCAGGTAAGCCACACTCCGTCGCAGCTACCATTGGCCGCTAGTCACTTGACTTCTAGGCTGTTATCCTGACAGCAAGATCTATTCTCTTCTCCCTCTTCGCCAAGAATAACCAGAGGAATCACTGTCGCTCTCGGGCAGGCCTGCAACCACGCCGCCAAAAACGTCGGCAGAATTTTCCCTAGATCCACCATGTTTTGGTGGAGAGACGAAAATCATGGAGACGTGTTTTTGAACTGGAATATTCTAGGGCCTTTTTGGGCTGATAGCATGCTTTACTGATGCATCTACCCACTTTAAAATTCTTCTTTGTCATACGAAGGGCGTGGGTGGGGCCGAGGCGGGCAACTCGTTGGCCGTGGTCTCGCTGGTGTTCTTTGCCGTGTGGCCCGAGTTCTTCTTGCCGATGCTATATATCTTGTGATGGCAGCAGACCGATAGATGCACTTGACATCAGCGGGGTCTTTTGTGCGGCATACTCACTTTTTCAACGCCGATAATTCATCTACTGTTCTGAATCCGATCCAGATTGTTTGGCAGGCACGCTTCCCCAGTTGAGTCTACAGTATGAGCACCGAAGAGCCGGTCTCTGCGATTGAGCTTCAGTCTTCCCCGCACCGCCATGACAATGAAGCCCTTCCGACGTCGACGTCGACACAAGAATTAGACCCGACCGACGGTGGACGCCCTGCCTGGACTGTGCTTATGGCAGGGGTTGTTTTCGAGGCTTTATTCTGGGGTAAACCTCATCTCATAAAGTTAGCAACACAGAACGCTGAACTATTCCAGGCTTCCCCATGTCCTTCGGCGTATTCCAGAGCTTCTACGAAAGACAACCAGATTTCAAAAATGACACATCGAATATCGCCCTCATCGGAACCTTGGCACAAGCGCTGTACTACCTAGGTGCCCCGTTGTCCGCCATGGTGACCAAGAGGTTTCCCAAGTACCAACGACACCAGATCTGGATGGGATGGCCGCTCTGTGTGTTTGGCCTCCTCGGAGCGTCGTTCGTCTCCACCGTCAACGGGCTCATTGCCACCCAGGGCCTACTCTACGGTCTGGGATTCGTCACCTTGTCCTACCCCATCATCAGCATGGTCAATGAATGGTGGGTCGCGCGAAAGGGCATGGCGTTCGGTCTCATTTCCGCCTCGTCAGGCATGACAGGCGCTGTAATGCCCTTCCTGATCCAGACTCTTCTCGACAAATACGGACACAAAACTACACTCCGCGCAAGCGCTGTCGGCATGGCGATTCTCACCGCACCCTTGATACCATTATTCAGAGGCCGTCTCCCACCCTCCGACAGCGCGATCATCGCTCGCTCACAATGGGGCTTCCTGAGACGCCCCCTCTTTTGGGTCTACGCGTCTGCGACACTGGTCCAAGGGATCGGCTTCTTCTTCCCCTCTGTCTTCCTTCCTACCTTCGCCGCCTCGCTCAACCTTTCCTCTCGCAACGGAGCCCTTCTCATTGCCCTAATGTCCATCGCGCAAGTTGTCGGCCAGTTTGCATTCGGGTACCTCTCCGACCTCAACCTATCCGTCAGCGGTCTCGCCACCATCTGCTGCCTCGCTGCTGCTGCGGCGGCTCTCATATTCTGGGGAATGGCCACGTCCATGGTCTTCCTCGTGCTCTTCAGTCTTGTCTACGGGTTCTTCGCTTTCGGCTTCACCACGATGCGTGTGGCTATGGGCCGCGCCATCAGTAATGACCCGTCGACTGTTTTCGCCACGTATACCATCTTCGTCTTTCTTCAGGGAGTGGGTAATATTCTGGTGAGTCCTGTCAGTTCGGCGCTGATTTCTGGTCCGGCTGTCAAGGGCCGCTTTGGGGCTGGGAGGTATGATGGGGTGGTTGTGTTGACGGGGGTTTCGTCTGCTGTGGCTGCTTTGATTATGGTGGTGTGGCATTTGGGGTTGGTTACCATGCGTGGCCAGCATCATGGTTAATGGATACAAGCCCGTCAACTTTCGATATCAATATCATGTGTTTGTGTCTTTATTCCTTTGGAAATTCCAGCTGTTTGTGCAGTAGGCGACTCGGTGATTTGCGTTTAGGCCTACCGCCCTCGGCCTTCGCAAGGACTATCAACGCGAACCTCCTCGGTCCCGTACACACCATCCACGCCCTCCTTCCCAGCTTCATCCACAGGAAACCCACCACAGCCATTGTCAACGTCAGCTCTGTCCTAGCCAGCCTCTACCCCGGCGGTCTGTCTGACTACGCAGCCAAACCTAAAGACCCTAATGCACCACTGTCTCGTTGTTGAGGCTCGCTATGCCGGGTATGACAAACACGTTGGGCTCTTCCTTGTCGAGATCGGGCAAATGGATACCCCGCTGTCTGACTGGGTTAAGCTTCCAAATGCGCTGGCGCCCGTGTTGCGCGCGGATTACGTTGCAAGAGCAATTCTTGCTGCTGTAGAGTCGGGTTCGGGGGGTGGAGTGCTCCGCTTGCCTCGGTATGCCAATTATGTGTGGCTGTATGATGTTTCGCCTGGATTGGTGAAGCGGGGTGTCAGGTCTCTGATGGGGTTTGGTCAGGCTTTGGTTGTGTCGGGGGAGAAACATGACTAGGTGTGTGGACTGTGTGTATCTCTGTTCTTATGGATAAGTGCTTATGTTCTAATTCATATTTTTCAGACATCTCTGATGTGCAATCAATCTATAGCCTGGTATATTTCGGACGAGGACAGGCTAGGGAACTCAAGACAACTGATGGTGATAGATGAATCCAACCCATTGTGTCATCATCCGCACAGCGAGGACCGCCATCGAGAGCCGATGGCCCAGCCTAAACCAGCACAATAGTAAAAATGAGCGCGCGCGTTCAGAAAAGCAAGTATTTACCACGATGGTAAAACCATTACGGCGCCCGACACGACCCGCAGCAAACAGCGCCAGCGAGAGGACCGAGGATAAGGCGTAGCGTCTGGCGGCCGACGCTCCGATCGCCGTCCATATCATGAAACTCCCGGACGTGATATGTGATGAGCAAGCAGAAAAAATAGTAATTGAGTCAAGAAGCCACGTGTCGCGAAGGGAGGCACACTGGCAGCGAGGAGAGCATCCAACAGACTGATGGGTATACCTGATCGTCTGGGCTGATAGCATCGGTCGAGCTAGCACGATTAACTAATAGCCAGCGATCTAAGAATCATTGAACGCTAGCCAAATCATATTGTAGACGACCATAATGGTTCGAAAGATTGCAGTTTGTGGGGAATATGCAGTGAGTATCATATGGGACCTGGCGAGCTGATCCCTCATATGCAGTGAGGTTGAAACCTGTGCGTGATCGGATTGCAATCACCGGCTCCGCAAGCGCATTAAGCGAGTCCTGCAGGTGAGAGAAGCATGGATGTTGACAACACAATTTATGCAAGGGGACAGACACACCCTGACTGGTCTGGGCTGATCGTGTCCAATTTCCGACTTGCCGGATAGCCAATTTCACCACCCAGACAATCTCTCAGTCTAGGTACACAGTACAATATACTATCTAACCTCAACGACGAGTCTACATACAGCATGGGATCCGCAGACCACTATGACATCGTTATAATTGGTGCCGGTATCGCAGGCATCAATGCCGCATACCGCGTACAGACCACGCTCCCACATCACTCCTATGTCATTCTCGAAGCCAGGCCCGTGCCCGGGGGCACATGGGATCTCTTTCGCTACCCTGGAGTTCGGGCCGACTCGGATATCCACACGTACGGGTTCCCGTGGTATCCCTACCCTCGTGAGGAAACCATGCCCAATGGTCATGCTCTCTTCGAATACATCAACGACGCAGCGCGGGTGTCCTCCATCGACTCTCACATCATTTTCAACCACCGCGTGATGAAGTCGGCCTGGTCCTCCCAAGACAACATGTGGACGTTGGAGACGGTGGCTGAGCATGTAGAGGGGCGCCGTTTCCGTTCCCGGTTTGTGATATTTGCCACAGGATACTTCGACCATCAGCGTCCTCTATCGGTAGAAATTCCAGGGTTGAGCACCTACCGCGGGACGGTCGTGCATCCCCAGTTCTGGCCACCAGACCTGGAGTATAGCGGAAAGAATGTGGCTGTCATAGGCAGCGGCGCAACTGCAATATCGCTTGTCCCCAAACTTGCAGAGACCGCATCCGCCGTGACAGTCATCCAACGTAGTCCAAGCTACATCGTGTCTGTGTCTTCTAGCTCGGGCAATAGCACATGGCTAACGCGACTGCTTCCCACCGCCCTCTCACGCAAACTAAAGTGCTACGGGTGGCTGGCCGTCACTCTCGCGGGCTGTTATATATGTCCTCGGTTCCCCCGTCTCGCGAAAGCCTTCATCCTCAAGTTAGTCGGTCAACAGCTACCGGATCATATACCCATCGATCCTCACTTCACTCCCCAATACAATGTGTGGGATCAGCGCTTGCTGGCCTGTCCCAACGGTGATTTCTTCCAAAGCCTGCGCGGCGGCAGGGCCACCATCGAGACAGCACACATTCAAGCAATCACTGATCGCGATATCGTCCTCGACAGCGGGAGAGTCGTCAATGCGGACATCATCGTTACTGCTACCGGGCTGAGCCTTCAGATCGGGGGCGGCACCCAGTTCACAGTCGACGGGGATCCCTGCGACTTGTCCCAAAAGTTCATGTGGAAAGGTGTCATGCTCCAGGACATCCCCAACGCGTTTTTCGTTCTAGGCTATTTGACCAATGCCTCGTGGACGCTTGGCGCCGATATCAGCGCGTTGCTTATTTGTAGGTTGATCAAGCGTATGGAAAATGGGGGAGGGAACTCACTGGCGTGCACCCCTCGTATGCGTGGCTCGTCGGGCCTGCCTTGTAGGCTTTGGGATCTGAAGTCTACGTACGTCGTCGCTGCTGATGACAGTTTACCCAAGGCGGGGGGTGTCTCTCCGTGGCGGCCTCGGTCGAACTATATACTGGATTACTTCGATGCGCGGTATGGGTCGTTTGGAGAATACATGGAGTTTACCGAGGCTGTTTGAGTCTTCGCATGTATCAAACATCTGCAGTGTCATTGTGCCTTCTGTGCGTGTTGGCTCTATTCCATCTATATATTCTTGATATTGACGAACCAGCGGTTCCCAATCGCCAGAATTTGATGCCCCTCCTCCATCCAAATGCTTTCTCTGTTGCCTCATACTTGATTGATGCCATGTTGGGTACATCAGTCAGATTAAGCCCTATACCAAACGTTGGTCAACGTTTTGGCGTAGAGGTCTTGAGATGCTATAAGACGAGAAACCATCAAAAGTCATCATACTCATCATTCCCCTCTTCATTCCCAGGTAAATCAATCATCTCGCCATGCTCCTCTGCAGTCACCATCACCTCATATAACCCATCCTCCCCCTCATCAACAGTCTGGAACTCCTTTGCATAAGGATCACCAGCCCGAAACTTCGCCTTCTCGACAGGAAACGCACTAAACGCATGCGACGAAGGCAGAATTGCCCCCATTCTCCTATACCTAAAACACAACCCCCCGAAGAAAACAACCTTCTTCTCGTCCACCTCCCCCGCCGCAACAGACACCCAGCCGCTCTCCCCCTTCGCCGTATACCAAGTACACGACGGTCCCAGTTCACCAATTCCCACCACGCCCGCACGAAACCCAACAGAAAACTCCTTCGCTGTGTCCGTCCACGCATTCAACATCGCAAAATCTGTCGCGTACGTCGACGTAACAATCACCAGCCCTCGCTCCCTTACATCCGGCCACCGCCGCAAAATCGTCCGCGAGTTCTCCTTGCACCACACGCGGAACGCCGTCGCACCGTATACGAACTCCTTCGTCACCGGGCTCTGCGTCATCAGGATCGCCCCGAACCCGCCCTCATTGCTGTACCGGTATAGCGCGCCCACGTCGGCCGGGATTCCAGCTGGGATGAGTCCCGCGCCGATGTCGAGCTCGACCTTGCGCTGCTTGACCTGTCCGCAGATCTTTGGGCCCCATGCTCGCTTGTCTGTTGGTCCGCGGTAGAATTGCTCAAATGGTGTGAGTCCGTTTCGGCTGAGGGACGACGCGTCGCCCAGGTTGATGAGCGCTTGGTCCTCTCCGATCAGGGGCGTCAATTGGCCTAGCTCGGTCAGATAGCCGCAGGATCCGGGCTTGAGCGTCTTGGTCGACTCGGGCTCGTATAATGCATAGCCGTAGGGGTGTTTCAGCATGGATTGCTGGTAGAGGGCGCCTATGGTGGACATTGTGGGTAGAGCTCTAAAAACTGGAATTCACGTCTGAATCGACTGGAAGATTTTGCCCCAGTTTCGCGAACCTCTGTTTCAAGCGCCGACAATGACGACTGCGGCCAGCTGGCCAATGTGATGCGTATGCGGGGTTGTTTAGCCAAAGATAAACAAAATGAAGCACAGTGGGGCTAGTAAATTCAATCGGTGAGATCCGAGAGATCGATTGGAGGAAACCTCGTCAAGGATTGCCCCCTCATCGTGAATACGAATTGGGGGCTGCCCCGCTCTGGATATCGGACGATCTGGTGAATACAATTGGCATTTTTCAGCCGAGTCGCGTCTTTTTCTTTTTATAAAAATGCTTGCCAACAATATATCAAGTCGGTGATTAGTTGATTGCGGATTTAGAGACTTCTGTGCAGCCCTAATTCGGTCCGAGAAGTAACGCAACATGGCCTGCCAGTCTGGCCAGACAGAAGTCCCACAATGTCATATCGACACCGCAAAAGATGCCTTTGCTCGGGATCAGCCTATGACGACTGATCTTCATCCTGGGACGTTCTTCGCTGATCCCAACTATCTGGATTCTTTGCCCTATATCGCAAAGATTCTGATTTGCGCCATCCAAGACTCAGGAGACCATCCCAATAACCCTGCGCTATGCCATCACCAATCTGACCGAGCCTTGGACCAGTACCGACAGACAGGTGATGAGGACCTTCTCACAATAGCTTTCGCAATGGAAGCCATGGCTCTGTGGTACGTGCCAGCTGTACACCCAGGCCGAGGGAAATCGAACCACCACTTGGGGCTTCTGTACCAAACAAAATGGGAGAAGGGAAAGGTACAGACGGACCTGGACGAGTCAGTTCGCCACTATAAACTGGCGATGGAATTTGCCGACGAGGATGACGCCGTGTTGTGCGAATGGGCCTGCGACGTCGCTTTTGTTTCTTGGAAGCACTGGGAATTTACCAAGCTAGACAGCGACAAGGAGGATGCAAGTCTCTTCTTTGATTGTGCTATCGGCCTTGCCGGAGAACAACCATCGCGCGCTCGGCACCTCTCTAACAAGGGGGAATTCCTTTACCTTACTATGTCTGGCAGCGACTCAGAGAGGGTCATGTCACTCACCGAGTCTATTGAATCCCACGATGAAGCAGTCGAATTCTGTGACGCGCATCCGGATCTTTCTTCGCAGCAATTTGCACCGTATGGGATGATTTACCGCAACGCTGCAAAAGCGTACATTGGGCGTTTCCGCATAGCAAAGAAGGCTACAGATGGAGACAAAGGAATCTCTCTATATGAGAAGGCTCTCGCTCAGGAGACACCGGGAAATCAAAGCTGGCAGCGTTTTACAGCCGAGCTTGCTAATGCCTATAACCTGCGGTTCGAGGTGTCAGGAGACCCCGAGCAGGGAGAAAAGGCCTGTGAGTTGTGGAGAGAAGCTATTACCAGTGACCCCACCTCCATCAAGCCAAGGGTAAACCTTGCAGAGTTCTATCGCTGCAAATCAGAAAAATGCGTTGATCGGGGCGCGACTGAAGATCTCCTCGATCAAGCCCTGAAGCTAGCTAGCGATGCGATCAACGTGTTACCGCCGGGGCATTCCGAGGCTGGTCTAGTTTTCCGCTGCTTCGCAGCCATTTACTGCAGTCTGTACGAAGCCAGTGGTGAGCTGTCGCTCATTGACAGAGCGGTTGAGTATGGGAGAAAAGCCACACAGGCTCCGGATCATGACGACATGTGGGATTGCCACCGCTTACTGGCTCAGCTTTTATCCACGCGCTACGAGCGTCTCCAAAAGCCAGAGGACATGCGCGACTGTGTATCTGCTGCCTCACGAGCATTCTCTATGTGTCCAGTCGATAGTCTCGAGGGCCAGGGCCAATGCGTATGGATCATGGGCAAAGCGACGCGCGCAGAGTACGACGGCTCTCGAAAGACTGAACTACTCACACAAGCCATCGTGGGATTTTCCCAGGCAGAGCAGCTCATACGCAATGACTCACCATCAAAAGCCCTTGTTCTCAACGATTTGGGAAATGCGTACGTACAACTTTTCGGGCACGAGGCGCGCCCCGAGCATCTAGAGAAGGGCATCGACGCGTATAAAGAAGCGTTGTCGGTGCTGCAGCGGCTCCACGGAACCGATCGACACCCCGATATTCTCATGGTTAATACCGCCCTTGGATATGTCATGGTTCAGCGGTTTATCCACTGGCGGGCGGAGGCTGATGTCGAATCAGCCGTCAAGTACTGTCGCAGAAGTCTCTTGGGTATGGACAGGCACCATCCGCGACATGCTCTGCGCGTGGGAAACCTCAGTGCCGCGCTACAGCTGCGTTTTCAAAGCAAGCGGAATATGGATGATCTCAGAGAAACACAGAATCTACTCACTGAGGTACTCGACGGCTCTGTCCCGCTCAGCGACGGAGTAAAAACCATGCTCGCCACCGTTATGGGCAATACATACCAACTGTCGTATGGCGTAACTGAGCAAGCAATCGACCTGGAAAACGCCATTGACTACTACACCAGAGCTGTCGCCGTCGGGGGTGCCGCAGCGGCTCCACTGCGAGGGATGGCGCTGAACCACAAGGCTGCCTGTCTTCAGCTGCTTGCTATGTCCACCGGAGAGCTAGCCAATTTTGAGACCTGCGCAAAGGCGTATGAGGAGTCTCAAAGGCTGCTGGGCAAGGAAGACCCGGTGTACTGGGTTCCTGTGATGAAACACGCAGATCTACTGTATGCCATGTATGAGTTAAAGCTGGGGTCTGACTTCAAAGAGCATGCGCGTCACGCGCTTGACAAATACGACTACGTTGCCAACTTGAAGATCATCTCGCCAGCCATCCGAATCACTGCGGCGTGTCGGGCTGCCGAGCTGTCCAGTCGTGTGCTTCAAGATCGAGCGAAGGCCCGAGATGACATTCTCATCAGCTTGTATCTACTTCCCGAGGCTATATTAATGCACGCGACTCGATTAGAGCAGCTCAAATTCGTACGACAATACGAATCTGTCCCGAGTATGGTTGCAGCCCTATCCATCGACGCAGGTGATCCCGCAAGCACCGTCATCCCACGCCTTGAAGCCGGGCGTGCCTTCATCTGGGACCGCGTTCAAGGCCGGGAGACACAACTGAACGAGATTGAGGCCGTTGACCCCGCGCTCGCTGACAGATTCCGCACCCTGCAGCAACGAGTCACCCAGCAATCTCGAGCTGGCAGTTTATCGGGCGATCTTGATCTAGCGTCTGTCACGGCGGACGATGCAAATCGCATGCAGCGCCAGCACGATTCGGACGCCTACCGCCAGGTCCTCGGCGAGATCAGAGCACTACCAGGGTTTCAGTCATTCTTGCGCATCCCAGACACCACCACTGATCTGCAAGCCTATGCCGCCGACGCACCAATCGTCTTCATCAACTGCAGCGACTACCGCAGCGACGCTCTGATAATCACCAAAGACGAGGTGTACACTCTCCCGTTACCATCCTTCACCCTAAGCAAAGTAAAGCACTGGGGCCAGCGATTCCTACAAGCACGAGAAGGCCTCGGTATCCCCGAGTCCCAAGCATGGGCCCTCAACACATACAACCTAGTCATGAAATGGCTATGGGAAGCAGCTGCCCAGCCGGTCCTCACCTCCATTAACTGGAACAGGTACGAGTGCGGACCCTTCGGAAAGCCCCGTATCATATGGGTCTCCACCGGATGGATCAGCGTGCTTCCCATCCACGCCGCGGGGGACTTTTTCGAGTCTTCGCCATCACTGTCCGAATCCAGCGTCCCGCGCTGCGTTCATGATATCGCTGCTTCGTCGTATACGAACTCGTTGAAGTCACTGGAATTCACCCGCTCAAATGCAGAGCGCATGGACTCGCAGCCGAGCGCCGCCCCTGTGGCCCTCCTAGCAGCGATGGCGACCACGCCGGGCCTCGGCCCAGAAGGCGATCTCGCCGTCGAGGCTGAGATAGCCACTATCAAAGACACCCTATCTCCAGTCTTCGCAGTAAACGTCCTCAACCAACCAACTTCTAAATCTATCAAGGCTGCCCTCCCCGCCTCCACAATCGCCCACTTCGCATGCCACGCCGTCGCAGACAGCAAAGACCCCTCGCAAAGCGCCATCCTCCTAGAAGACAGCCAGACCCGTCCGCCTCCCTTCTGCACACGCACCATCCTCAACCTCGTCCTGAAGACCTGCAACCTCGTCTACTTGTCCGCTTGCGAATCCGGTGCAAACAAAGACATGCTGCTCCTTGACGAGGGCATCCACATCGCAGGAGGGTTCCACATAGCCGGTGTGCCGCATGTGTTATCTACGCTGTGGAAGGTGCAGGATAGTGTCTCGGCGGAATTGGCGGGTCTGTTTTATGGGCTGTTGGTGGAGAGTGGAAGGGACGTGGTTGACTTTGGGAGGGCGCCGTTTGCGTTTCATGAGGCTGTGGGGGTTATGAGGCGGAGGGGCGTGCATCCTATGCTTTGGGGGCCATTTGTGCACTCGGGGCCATAATTGTCTTTGCCCTATTTTTATTGTTCTTCTACTAAAACATTTGTTTTTGGGTATCAAGGTCATGACGACGATGTTGTTTAACATCATACGCGGGCTCTCGGGGGGCTCGCTATGAAATCATATACATTAGGTGACTCTGTTAAGATTTTTATACCATGACGTGGCCACTTAACTATACAAGTTTTTCTTTGACACAGCTAAAAAGAAATATACAGGATTTAATCCTTTAACTTGTCTGCCAAGGGTTCTCAATCTAAATAGTGGAGCTCCGGCCCACTTCCCACTGGGCCACCGACCCAAAAAAAGAAAAAGAAATATTCGTGCATCATCCGTGAATCGAACACGGGCCTCATCGATGGCAACGATGAATTCTACCACTAGACCAATGATGCTTTGGTGATGAAGGCTGCGTTCGGAATATACACCTTGTGGTCAGGTGATCGTATGAGCCCTACGATGTTATATCTTCTTGTAAGTGTTCCCATCAACTGAGTTTCCTTTCTCAGCATACTAGGAAGATGTCGCTGTTTTTGTATCTATCACTTTGTGTACTAGCCCTCCACGGGCTCATCCACCTCCTCATCAAAAATGTCGAACCCCACATGACCCTTCGGATCCAAGTAGCGCACTTCCCCCTTCCGCTCTGCCAAACCCGTGATAGCTTCCATATCCTCTTCATTCATTCTCCGCAGCTCCATGTTCTCCACCAGTCGCGACTCGTGCACGGTCTTGGGAATGACGGAAATGCCGCGCTGGAGAAGCCAGGAGAGGAGGACTTGCGCGGGGGATAGGTTGTATTTTGTTGCGATGGCTGTGATCTGTAGATATAGATATGTATATTTAATCATGTGGTGAGATGAATTATGTTAGGGACTTACGTCTGGGTCGTAAAGTGGCCCTGGTCGGTCGGCGTTGGGGTTCACAGCTGCGACGGGCTTGCCGCCTAGGGGTTGGTGCGCTGTTATGTGGATTCCGTGGTTGGTGCAGAAGGTGAGGAGGGCTGTTTGGGGGAGGTATCTACTCTTATCATTAGCATGATGGATGCTATTATCTAGGATGACGCTGTTAGGGTGATAATTACGTACGGATGGGCCTCCACTTGGTTCACTGCTGGTGGGATTCGGGCTTTGGTGAGAAGCTTTCGGAGTTTGAGAATGCTGAAGTTGGATACTCCTGTGAAGTATCAATATGTATCATCAGTCTTAGCTGGAGTATGCCAAGAAGCGAGAGTATGTGTACCGATCAGTCTCGTTTTCCCCTTGTCGACGAGAGCTTCCATAGCAGTCCACGTAGAGCAATAGTCTCGCGATAGGGCGTAGTCTATGACTGGCTGTATAGTCTAAGTCAGCGAGGCTCACTATACAGTCAATATCAAGAGAGCGTACCTTTCCGTCCGGATGTCGAATGGTGCTGTTATTCGGCCCAGCGCGGTAGGCATGTGGGACTTTAACAATTAGCTGCATGTTTATCTAGCTGGCGCAGGTGATAACCATACAGTGCATCAGATACAGGTCCACTGTGTACATTTCAGTACTTGTCAATAGTATATGTTATATTGGCAAAACCCACCATAGTCCAACTGTAACAGCTCTAAACTTGTATCCAGAGCTCGCTCTACATCAGCAGGTTCATGCCATGTCTGCGCCCTGCAAAGAGTTAGTTTGATAACCCTAAGATGAGACATATAAGATATGTGAAGGAAAACTACAGTTTTGTCGTCACGAATACCTCCTCACGCGGTACACCACTCTCCTTAATTGCCTCTCCCACCTCCTTCTCGTTCCCATACGCCGTCGCAGTGTCGATATGTCTATAGCCGCATTTTAGGGCTTTCAGCACTGTCTCCTTTACCTGGTTGTTGTCGGCGCCGCCTTGGAAGGTTCCCAGTCCAATGGCCGGGAGGGTATGTCCTTGGATGATAAAAGTGTCAGGGAGTGGTTGTGTTTCCGACATTGTTAATCCTGACAATCTTTGGTTGGACCTCAACTTTGGTTGCAGTCACCGTGGGCTTTGGGGTGTTCGTGACGGGACGGGGCGGGGCGCCTGGGTGTTCTTGGTGGAGGGATACTTACCCCGCTTTGGTGGGGCTGTATGCTACGCTCAGCCTACCACACCCTATCTACTAGGCACAAGGAATGGTCGGAAGGGTTCAAATTCATTTTCAATTCCAATTCGTCAAAACTGCAGAACAATCCACACGGACACAATGACATTGGTCGACGGGTCACCATCCATTGTTTAAGCCTTGTTCTTGGCGTAAGCCTCGTACCCGCCAGGGTATTTTTCAACGAGCCGCTTCATTTCATCGATCACCCTGGAGGTGTGAGCGGGGGGGCGCAGGGTAAGCATAGACGGGGACTTACGACTCTCGTAAGCTGGCAACATGAGGGAACAAAGCTGCAGCTTGCAGGTTGAAGCGCCTGGGCAGGGTAAGCGTTTTTTTTCCTGCCTGCATTGAACGGTGTCTTACATGGAATACAACGCGTTGCGGTCGTCGTAGTCCTCCTCTGGATAAGTCTTTGGAATGTGGGAGTGGTAGGTGTTGAAGTAGCTCTTGGAGAACTTGTTCCGCTCAGGGCGCCAATTCCCCAGTTCATCTGCAATTTTTATCGTATTAACTTTGGTAGAACGAGTCAGTAGGAGCTACGACGCTTACACTCGTTGTGGGCATAAAAGCTGGCGGGGTCATATATGAGAGGCTGGTTTGTGGCGCCGTCGACCGCTGCATTTCCACACCAGAGATCGCCGTGGACGAGGGACGGCTTGATGTATCGGCCGTCTGTCTCCATGGGTCGTAGCAGTCGAGGAATTACCTTGGTGATCATGGCAGTGTCTAGGCCTTCCAGCTCCTTCCAGGGTCCGCCACGGTCAATGTTGAGCTGGATCATGTTTTCAAATCCGTGGATAAAAAACTCTTCCCATGTATCAGCGTAATCGTTATTCTGAGGGAGATCTCCATTGTATGTCACGATGTGAAAACCGAACTTTCCGTTAGGAGACTGGCTGTTTGCGTGGAGAGCCGCAACGCCCTTGCAGAACTCCCCTGGTTCAGGGACCTCTTCTATCAGGTCGTGGAATTGACAGAAATAGTAGTGTGCGCCTGCAAGGCTCTTGAAAGATCCCCATCCAACCGGTTTGGTGGTGAATTCTCCCACGACGTCGTGCATGGCGCATGTCGACTCGAACTCTCCTTTCAGGGCTTCTCTGCCGTGATATCCTACTGACACCTTGACGGGCATTGGCCAAATTAACGGCGGCAGACTTTGAGTATGTATATGGGCCGTGTACCTACCTTCATAAAGTAGCTCTCAGTCCGATCTTCAACCTCCAGGTCAATACGATAGCTATGTGCCCAAGCCGAGGATCCATGGTTTGTTAGCGTCAGAGGACGATTGAATAATGGGATTTCTGTTTCCAAAAGTAAAGAGCCGTCAGCCGCTTTCCCTGGTCTGGTGTTGTAGGACGCATACCGGAGAGTATGTTTGGATTTAACTCTGTTCTCTTCGCAGCCTCGTCGTAACCGATTATGGAGCCCATGTTGAAGATTATTTGCCAAAATATTTTCCGAAGTGTCTGCAAAACGGGTCTGCTCCATCTCAACAGTCTCATAAGCGCATCCATGGTATATATAATCCCACGCTCTTAGCGCCGTCCAATTTCTAAAACATTAACAGGATGGCAGTGAAATCTAAGCGACGCAAGCGTTCTCAATTCAAATACTTCATAGCAAATCATATGGTTCGCAGTCATCGAAGTGACAACAATTCCAGCTTAGTCTGCATAAGCGTCAGCGGCATAGTTGAGCGATACGAGCGTCTAGCGGAGACAACCTGCCAGTCAGACATACTATGCGCATGGCGCAATCGAACGGGAATCCTTTTCCAGACTAGCGGTCACTTTTTCAGAAATAGTATGGATAATAAATCCTGGTGCTCTCATTTGTAATGATGGAGATAAGCAGACGATCCAAATAAAGAAGTGAATAGCGGGGAAATGACCAGGGCCAGCCGCGTCCCGTGACCTGCGATCACCGTCTCTTCCACTTCACGCGTTGCGATGCTGACCGCTATCCCTGATCTTGTAAGTTCCTATGGACCAATAATTCAGTGCTAGGAGATATGTACGGAATAGAGAAGGTGTGTACTGCAGTTCAGCATGTTTCTATCTTTCGCTAATATGCACTAGTTTCGCAGGCGTTCCACAGCAGACAAACGCACCAGTCGATCTGACAGAGCCTGGAGCGGGCTTAGTGGGCTGACCATTGATGGCAAAGGCAACACCTCAAGTGACGTTACAGATGTCGACGTGGATTTCTCGGGTGAATACCAAGACTTTAAAGGCCCTCTGGGACTGAGTCTCCTCCACAATGTGCCGGAACCCGTCGTCGATTTCATCTTCATCCACGGCCTGGGAGGTGGTTCGCGGAAAACATGGTCCAAATCCCCAGACCCTTACCATTACTGGCCCAAGGAGTGGCTATCTCGAGATCCAGAATTTAGCTCCGTTCGGGTCCACAGCTTTGGGTATAAAGCGGACTGGGCAGAACGGAAGTCAAGTTTCTTGAATATTCAGGACTTCTCCCTGGCTCTGCTCGGTGAAATTCAGTGCAGCCCTGAGATTAGGCGAAGCAATGTGACCAATGATCAGACCCCCGATTGATATGACTCCGGCTAATGGATCCCAGACAAAAATTGTGTTTGTCGCGCACAGCATGGGTGGAATCGTCACGAAAAAGGTATGTCACTTGGAAGCTACACCGTCTCGTTCGTGTCTGAGACAGGACTCAAATAGGCATATATCTTAGCCCGGGAAGATCCAACCTTGAAGGACATTGCTAGCAGGATTGATACCCTTTTCTTCTTGGCGACACCACATCGTGGGGCTGATCTGGCAGGAACATTGACCAATGTTCTGAAGGTATGTTTCGGTCAGAAGCATTTTGTGACGGAGTTGGAACGCAACTCAGCGTCGCTTCAATCAGTCGACGACAGCTTCCGCTATTTCGCGCACGATCTCCAACTGTGGTCATTCTATGAGACCCTCCCATCCAGCCTACCCCTTGGCAATGCAATTATCGTCGAGAAAGAACCGGCGACTCTTGGACTTCCAAAAGAACGGGTGTTCCTTCTGAACGCCGACCACCGAGCAATATGCAAATTTGAAAGCCCAACGGATGCCAACTATAAGACCCTGAGGAACGCGTTCATCACTACCATTGACTCGATTCAGGCCGCAGGTATTTTTCCCGCGCTATGCCGGCGCTGACTTAATTTATTAATCTGTATTTAGTCCCCCAGCATACATCCGATACGTCCAAGTCCGACTACGCCAACCTCATCGCCCTAACCGGTGTGAGCGAGGCCCCTATCGATAATCTTATAGCCCTAGAAGACCGCCGTGTTGCGGGATCATGCGAATGGCTGAACTCGAGAGAGGAATACATCACGTGGAAATCAGCACCATCCACGAGCCGGCCGATATTTTGGCTGACAGGCGACGCAGGGAGCGGCAAGTCCGTGCTATCCAGCTACGTAGTAAACGACCTCGAAGAAAACGGCGATCAATGCAGTTACTTTTATTTCAGCCAAGGCAGTGCTAACAACTGTTCTATTACGAGATGTCTGCTCTCGCTTGCTTTCCAAATGGGCCAACAAGATGCAGCCGTTCTCCGGAATTTGTCGAGGTCCTACGGAGGGTCACAGAGTCTGGAGCAGCTGGACGAGAGAACCCTGTGGCGGAAAGCGTTCCTGGGGTCTATTTTTACCAGCCACAGCGTTGGACCGCATTATTGGGTCATTGATGCAATTGACGAGTGTCGAAGGCTCCCTGTTCTTCTTTCGCTGCTGTCCAAGGCACCATCGCATTTGCGTATTTTCCTGACGAGTCGTCACACAACTGAAGTGCACCAGAGTATTCTCTCAAACAGTCAGATGGTTGAGCACTATTCTATGCAAGAACAGGACACTATCGCTGACTTGGGGATCTATATCGACTCCAGGAAACAGTTTCTTCCAGTCGGTGACAACGACGGCCAGCAGGTGTTGAAGACCAAAATACTAGAACGAGCCGGGGGGTCTTTTCTGTGGACTTCCCTCGTGGTCCAAGAGCTCGAGAGCGTATACTCGGAGGAGGCAGCGGAGGAAGTCCTCAACGAGGTGCCCGCGGATATGAACGATCTGTACGCCAAAATGTTAGCAAGCGTACCGCCAAAGGGCCTTAGACTGGCGAGGTCGCTTTTCATTTGGACCCTGTTGGCAATGCGACCATTGTCCCTGGACGAGTTGAAGACAGCCATCAAGTTGGATACAGGCGAGACTGTCCACAATTTGCCGAACGTGATCATGGCGATCTGCGGACAGCTGATCGGGGTGAGTTACAATGGCCAGGTTCAGTGCATCCATCAGACTGCAAAGACGTTTCTCCTCCACCAAGATGTCGTGCCGTCTTTAACAATCAATAAATCAAAGGCCCACTCCAGAATCGCAGAGTTGTGTCTCAGGTCCTTGAGCGCGAGATTCAGCAAGAGGGCTGGCCGGGGGGCTAGGACACCAGCAGCGTCATCAGCATCAGAGTCCGATATTGCAGACTATGCTGCCTTGTACTTTTCCGACCATTTGCAACGATGTGCATCAGAAGATTCTACTGCTTGGAAGCTGTTGGCAGAGTTCCTAGAGAATCATGTGCTGATGTGGATCGAGTACCTGTCCCAAACAAGAAGACTGCAGCATTTAACGCGCACCGCAAAGAACCTGAAAGCCTACCTCATGCGCCGTCTCAAGCACATCCAGCCTTTTTCAAACGAGAAGGAGAACCTAGAATCATGGATTCACGATCTCATCAGACTCAATGCGAAATTCCGGGCCCCTTTGACAGTCTGCCCGTCTGTCATTCATAGCGCAGTCCCCGCGCTTTGTCCCTCCGAGTCAGTAATCTCGAAGACCTACGCTGCACGCCCTCGGGGAATTATTTTGCGAGGCGCTAGGGAGGCAAACTGGGATGATTGTTTATCCAGGATTGAGTATTCTGAGACGCAGACCAGCGCCGTTGCTTACGGTGATCACTATCTAGTAGTCGCAGTGTCGGACGGAACGATATTTCTGTACCCCCGCGACTCGACAGAGCCTAGCAACACGCTTTCTCATGGCGAGCGAGTACTAATTCTCGTTTTAAGCAATGATGGCTTGTACCTTGCGTCGAGTGGCCCGCGAACCATCCGAGTCTGGGACACTCAGACGCAGACGCAGATTCGGAGTTTCGACGTTCAGCACCGCCCCCTTGCGCTGGCTTTTGCGGATGAAAATACCTGTCTGGTGGCAGTGACCAGCGGAAGCTATACGATGTCATGGGACCTGCAAAGTGACGAAAACGAGGAAGAAGTCTGGCGGTGGGCTAGCAGTTTCCACGAAGCAACGGGCGAAGCGAAGCCCGTCCAACCCCCAGGAAAGGCCATCCTGTCGGAAGACTGCACCGTTCTTGCCGTGAGCTACAGAGGAAAGCCAATCTATCTTTTTGACATGAAATCGGAGTCAATGATTGGGTCCTGCAACAGGTCTTCTGCTGGCGCCAAAGGAAGCCAATACGTCGTTGACGGCATGGCCTTCAATCCGAATCCCGAGATCAATGTTCTGGTAGCGTCATACGGAGACGGAGGGATAGCCGTATTCGATCAATGGACCGCCGAGCTATGCTACCAAACGCAGGATGTGTTCGCTCATACCCTAGCCTGCTCGCCGGATGGACGCATGTTGATCACAGGAAGCGCGCGGGGCACGATCCAGCTGTTTGAATTTTCCGGTGCGCGAGGCACAAACCTGACACTGACGTATCGGATCAATGCCTTTGAGGACGGAATCCGCGGTATTGCATTTAGCAGCGACAGCCTGCGCTTCGCTGATATTCGAGGCTCCCAGTGTCGCATATGGGAGCCGAGTGTGCTTGTCGCTAACGACTTTGACGAGGGCAGCCAGAGCGATCTTAGCCAGGCTGTTACGCTCAATCCACGCTCTGTCGGTATGCTCGAGGGGCCCCCGGAGGCCGATATCACCGCTGTTTGTCTGCATCCCAGTGGGCAATACCTGTTTTATGCAAAACAGGACGGCACCGTGTCGTATTTCGATGTCCCGGGTGCCACTCATCGCGGAGTTCTCTATCAGCATGCGCAGAATATTAGAATCAATTGCATTGCGTACTGCGAACATGCTGGTCTGCTGATTACCGGGGACGAATCCAGTCGGATTCTGGCGACCCAGATCAAGTCTACGTCTAGTGGCTGCGAGCTGGTTTCTACAGTCATTGACATGCGCTCAGATTATCCCGTTTTAACCGTGCTTGTCAACAGCAGTGGCACTAGGCTGTTTGTTCAAGGAAGGGACTCGGCTCAGGTGTGGACAATGTCCGGGTCGAAAACCGACACGAAGTTTGACTTGCGGTCCAGCGACGATTCCACTTTCTTAAACCATCCTTTACAGCCCGATGTTTTCTTATCCATTAGCCCTAATCATACCGCAGCGTACACCTGGGATGACTCGAAAGAGAATGACACTACAGCACGTCAGGGTACACACGACTCCACATCCCCAGATGTGGCACATCTAACTACCCCTCAAAAACACGTTGCCATTCTCAGCACATCGCACGACAGTACGGAAAAGAACCATCCCTACGAACTAAAAATATGGGACGCTTCCCAGATATCCACGAACGGAGACTTTCCCGACCCCCTTGCCCTTCCTGACTTTGAACATATATCCGCCAACATGCGCCAGATCATCCATGTAGACAAGAGTCTTATGATATTCTTGGATAAAGATTTATGGATATGCAGCGTGGACATCACGCAGTGGGCTGCGCACAAACAGGGCGCAAAACGACACTTTTTCCTCCTGTCGGAGTGGAAGGGCAGCACGCACGACTTTTTGATCGAATATATTCCCTTGAGACGGGAGTTTGCCATAGTCCGAAAGCACGACATTCTCATCATTCGACGGGGTCTCGATGTGGGGACTCCGTTAGACTAATGCACTATACAATCTTTTGGAAAGATGTCTGTGCCATTGGTGCGGGGGAACAGTTGATACGCTAGGCTAGATACATACATACAATGATAGAAATGCGTCCATTCTTGTGTCACTATTGTATCTCATCCAGTCCTTCTCTGGGATGTTTTCCGTGTGATCTTTCTATGCGGTGACCCGGCACCAACGATGCTATATTACCGGGGACGTTGCATGAACCAGCATGGTGCGTGTTACCACGCGGGAGATGCGCGGATTATCAGTTGCTACTGAGGCATCGGGATGGGTTAGTGTATGTAGGACGAGCACTCATGGTTCATGATCAGGCCATTACTGGACTACACAGTCTGTTAAGTGATCTGTCAAGTCACGCAAACCGTTGTATAGAGTCTTCTATGAAATATAGAACGATGTCACGTCATACAAAGACTAGGTACTCGACCACCAACCTCCAGGCAATCTAATCTCAAGCGAATAAGATCAGAATAGCACCCATGTATGTACAACAATCACTAGTCGTACAACAGCGAGCATATAGCCGGTATCCCCGGGCAAACCAAACTCTATTCATAGATTACTTCGCTTTCATCTCACCACCTAGACAGGAAACAACCTTGCCGTCTGTAACCTTCAGCGCCGCAATCATCCATCCACGGTACCCGTCTTTGGACAGCAAGCCTTTGATGAAATCGAGTTGGTCAAAGACGAGCACACTTGGACAGCCCCGCAGGTGTAGCAGTCATCTTTTGGGCTGTGGCGTTCTTTGATGATGGGTGGGATTCACTCTGTGAACGATAGGGCGCAGGTTCTGGACTAGGGGGTTTGTCGTTGTCTCCTCTTGTTGGCTTCTTTATTCTCTGCGGATGTGCTCTTTGTCGAGGCCGGAATTGTCCTACTCCTGCGGCGATGCCACCGTCTTTGTGGTCACGTGGGGATAGGTATAGTTTGTGTAGATCGTGGGTATTAGTATTGACTTCTTCCCTTGTATTGTCTGACTCTGCTCAATTAGTTCTGTTTTGATTTCCCGTCAGTTGTACTACTCTATTAGCTTTCGTTCTTCGCTCTACAAAATCATGGCTCCTACCGATCCACCCCAACCACGGCGCAGGCGCCACTCTAAGTACGTGCATGTTGACGAGAACACAGGCCTCGAGCCTAACATGCCGGACAAGGTCACCGGGTACGTCGCGAATATCATCTCGGTGGGCCTTGCCGAGGGCGCTCGTCCGACTGGGGCGACGAGGATGAAGCTGTTGGAGAATGCGCGCGCGCTGGTCTATGCGTTGGAGACGCCACGGGAGGCTCTTGCTAGGTATAGCTGGGCTGAGGTATGAGTGCTTTTGTTTTCATTTTCTTCCAGGAACTTTGTCTGATTGTTTTATTGTTAGAGCTCCACGTACGCTGCTATTCAGATCGCGAGCAATTGTCGTGTTTTCAAGAATCTGTCTGATGATGACACGCCTAAGAGCGCGGTTCAGCTGGCTGAGGCGTGCGGTGCGGATCCGTCCATGCTCTGTTAGTCTCTTTTTTTTATCTGTGATCTGTGAAAGTGAGCTTGTCTAATTGTCCAGCCCGCATTTTGAAACACCTGGCTGCGATGGGCGCGATCGAAGAGGTCGGGCCCCACGAGTATCGTCGGACTGGGTTCACACAGGCGATGTGCTCCACGCGTTTTAGCGACTCTTTGCAGTGCATGTAAGTGAAGTGCCCCAGGCATAGACAGGGTCGCATGCTGATGTACACAGGACCGACTGCATCACCGCCGGGGTCCTCGCCCTTCCGGCCCATCTGAAAAAGAGGGATCACCAGAACCCGGCAGATGGGCAACACTGCGCGTTCCAAGACGGGTATAAAACAAAGCTGGGCTTCTTCGACTACCTGAAGGCGCACCCTACTACCGGAAAGCAGTTCAATCGTTTTATGTCTGTTTGCAGGAAGGGCCGGGCTAGCTGGATGGATTTCTATCCTGTTGAAAGTCTCTTTGAGGGTTTGGACATTCATGAGAGCCGCCCGCTGTTTGTGGATATCGGCGGTGGGCTGGGCCACGATATCATGGAGTTCCATGGCAGGTTTCCGGATGCGCTGGGGAGGCTGGTCTTGCAGGATTTGCCCGAGGTGCTGGAGGAGGCGAAGAAGCGCGTGCCCTCGAAGGTCGAGCTGGTGCCGCATGACATGTTTAAGATGCAGCCGATGAAGTGTGAGTATTCCCTTCCCTACCGAACTTCATGGTGGATTCGCATTGGACTGATGTCAGTTAGGCGCCCGTGTGTACTACCTGCACCACATCCTCCATGACTGGCCTGATGATAGGGCTCGCGCCATACTTTGGAACCTAATCCCGGCGCTGGAAATCGGGTTCAGCAAGGTTTTGATCCACGAGTACGTCATACCCACGACGGACGCGTATTGGGAGAGCACTAGCTTGGATATCGTCATGATGGCGACCTTTGGGGCGAGGGAGCGCTCTGAGGCGCGTTGGCGGAAGAATATCGAGACGTGTGGGTTGAAGATCGTGAAGATCTGGAGTATCAACAATGCGACGGAGAGCTTGATTGAGTGTGAGGTACCGCGAAAGGGTACTTAGTACGGGTAGCAGTGGTTCGGACATGGCTTTCATTGTCTATCTCGTTATCCTTTCATATGGTTGAAGTCTTTGTTTGAACGACCGGAATGAGCAAATGATGGATATTCAGTTTGGTATCAAGTATACATAGTATAGCAGACACCATATGACCGTCATGTCAGCAATATGCAAATTGCAAACGGTTGCCAAGTATCTTCTCCTCTAGTTCTTTCAGGTGTAGCGTTAGGACCCAGCTGGACATAAGCAGCTACAGTGTAACGCCCGATATTGCCCTCTCTTATAATCGTCACCCTACAGCTGTGTCAGCGTATACAGGTCACGTCAGTGCTGAATATTGCCAGTTACCCCATATGGCTGTGAATGATACTGTCAGTGATTATGGACGGATGGTTGAAGGGCAGATGATAGGTGATCACCTGATTTGATGGACAATATATATCTTACAGGTCAGGCAGTCAGGAGGAGTGTCAGGTATACACAAGATCAACACACCCATCTAATCACTAGATTCAAATAGACAAGATTATGAAACCCAAAGACTCCCCATTAGAATAATTGACACAAAGAATAACCATGGAGACTGTAAATTGAATAGAATACAGAATCACCAATAATGATGCCTCAGGCACCGATACCCGAGGAACAAAAAAAAAAGAAAAAAAAGAATAGCATGTCCTGGTTTCGATCCAGGGTCCTCCGGGTTATGAGCCCGGCGCTCTTCCCCTGAGCTAACATGCTGGGATTCTTGGAAAATCAAACCCCTTTTTGCTTTATATCCCATAACTGAAATCCTAGCATTTTGTAGTAGTTTCACGCGACTTATTTTGGATATCAATTACCATATTTCTTGGATATAATATTGTTATTTTACTCACATCCTTCTAGCTTCTTGTATTATACTATATAGGTATCATTTCTCTCCCCCAATGGCACTATGGAGTCTACTGATGTTATTATCAGACTGACAGATTTTGGTGCACGTGACACACTGTCGGCTATCGAGCAGTCACTTGGCTATCGAGGCCCTTCTCTATTGCCTTTATGCTTTTGCGGGGTGCTTAGTGAGTTGGTCAATATGCCCAGTAGCAGTATCTATGTCTACACTGTAAGTGGTATCCATTGCTGGGACTGTCTCGGTGGTGTGGTCGGGTTCATGCGCCCTATACCACAATACGCTTTTCTATTTCTATCAGGTTGTCTTTGGCAATGTTGAAGATTTTTCTTTGCTTATTTTGCTGTGGTCACTAGAATATCAATGAGTGAGTATGATAATCCGGGCGAAGACAGTGGCTCGTCTACATATGTCCTGAATGTAGTATCCGCACAGCAGTACAATCCAGAGACCACAATATAGATATAAACAATTTCCATGCTCGTAACATAAGATACCATTATTGCTATAAAATAAGATTCATTATTTCCGAAATAGAAACACGTACTCCTGTGACACAACACCTAATCATTGAACCTTGCGTGCAGTCCACGCACTAGCCACACCCATCTAAAACGCCCAGCTATCCGAGCGAACTATATAACTACCTACTGTCCAGACTCCGATTGACGAACAATCTGCACGCACGTAGTTGCCCTCGTGCCTTGCAGTCGAGCGGCTGCCACCAATCCTCTCTCATATTCCGATCGTATAGAGTTATGGGCGGGCCAATGGACCGGACGAACAGACAGTGCAGGTTAAGCCTCTGTGCCTCGGCATATAACCAAACGAGACTTCTCCCCCGCACAGACGGCCTTGAAAATAAACTGTCCTGGGGACCTTAGCTGTCCGCGCCGATCCAGCGCTAGTCGGATGCCCTGCCACAACGCGGTGAAGGTATACTCGCGCATATTTGGAATTTCGACTATGTACTCCTGGGGGTGGGTGTGGGTGTGGGTAGTCTGCGGGATAAGGTTCCGAGGATGGTACTAGGAGGGTCACGGACCTGTTTTCATGAGTCGGTGCATGGGTTGGTTCTTACTGAGGGATGGAGTGGGTGGATCGAGGCTTGTGTTGGCTGGAGGTGCATGGGTAGGGCTTTACGCAATGTACTTGATCTCGGTTTTTTCTGTGGGTATATAATTTTTCCTCTATTGATCGTATTTGGTTTGTTTCTTCTGCTTCCTTTTATATTATTCTACGTCGGGATTATATAAATTTATGAGAAGACGTCATTAAGGGTCTACAAAGAACGAAATCAGACCACCGCCCCGCATCACAGTGTAGTGTGCACAGAAGAGACTAACCATGCAGTCCATCCAATATATTGAATCCCGCCCGCGTTGGGGCGATGACGACAGACGCTGGCTTGGCGAAAAGGGCAAATTACAGCGCGCTGTGAACGATGCCTGATTGGGATGGTTGAGTTGGCAAGTTCGTAGTGTGATCGGCGGGATCCACTGGGATCGGGTTGATCAGTCGATTATTTTGGGAGAGAAATTTTCTTTCTGTTTTCTCTCAAAGAGGGTGATAGAGAGAGAGGGAATGAGAGTGTGTAGGATTAAAATGTGATGGATTAGGGTTAAATATTATGGAGTATAGACTTGGAGAGTAATATACTGAGTACTATTTGGGATGAACATTGGAGAGATCGGTCGATAGAGATCTCCGCTAGTTAGAGTAGGGTCACGGTGGCAAGACGGCTGAGTTTAGAGTTTGTCCGCCATCGGGGAATCCGATCGAGGGGATTTGATCCATGGAAGGGACGGATCAGGTCCTTGTGGAAATCTCCTAGCGAACCATGATCGGATGAGGGAGGGAAACTGGGACAGATTTCCGAACCATGGAAGAATTTTCAATTTTCGAGAGCAGGAGAGATTTCCATTGTTAGAGAGAGAGAGAGAGAGAGATGGATGCCACGTGTAATCTTGTCACGGAATACGATAGATTACATGACTAAGGAGTGATCGGGCTTGGCAGGGACCGGTGGATCAGATCACCATGGGATCTTTATAGAGTATGACATGTGAACTTCCAAGTTGGTGGATGAAATTGGAATTGAAATTGGAATGAATTGAGGATATCATTATGAAATCAATCAACTAACTATAACATGCTGAACAACCCAAATGATCATGTGGCTGAATGATCGGTGGCGGTGCAGAGGAACAGATCGGTGGATCGGACTCTCCTCTTGGTATCTTTTGTATAATTGATATGGATGATACTATAGTGGGTATGAGAACTTTTACCTATTATAGTTATATAAGACTCCAGTGTGTTCAGTCTATACTATATCGTGACTTTCAGGTCGGAGATCATGATCGGGATAGGAGATGGAGCCTAACAAATAGCGTGTATAGTCAGTGGGGAGCGTATCCGAACGGTAACCATACACAGCCCGTTCTCCTGGATCGTCCCTTTTTCTTCTTTTCTTCCACTTCTTCTCCGACGTCATTTCTCTCGCTCTCTCTCACTCTTCTTCTTTTCCTCTTTCGATCCTTTTATTCGGCTGCCTCTCCTGATTCATTTGTCTGACTGATTACTCTCAGCTCCAGCCACAATACTCCAGACTGTGGCTTGCCGATTCAATTCCAATTCCGTCTCCTCTTTCCTCTCTCTCTCACTTCTCTCTCTCCTCTCCATCCTCTTTCTCTCCATTCTCCCCTTGACACCTCTCTCTCTCTCTCTCTCTCTCGCTCTCTCTCTCTCTCACACACATACACTATTATACACCCTCCCTAATTGTTACTCCTTGAACCCCTAAATACACCATTTCAGGTACGAATCTCCTATCCGACCCCCCGTATCCTTGGTTCCGTCCTCCCCCCTCCCCGCTGCGGAGCTGAAGGCAACCACTCAATCTCCAACCGCCCACTCTGCATCCTCCCCTTCTCCCACTTTTCTCCCCCCTTCTCGTCTCACCTTTTTCTTTCTTTTCTTTGTTTCTCTCTGAAGAAAAGAACCCTGTTCTGTACCTGCCCGTCCTTGTCACTCAATTAGCTTTGTCCCTGCCGACACCCGCAATTTCCTCCCATTGAGCTAACCCCCAGTCCATAGGGACCGCCAGTAATCCCACCCCGAGGATTGGATTGTCGGCCCTTCCTCCACCCCACCTCTCCCCGACAGCCATGTCGCAAGACATCAAAGGCCAAGAACATGAATTGAGGCAGGAGGGTGCCATTGAGACCGCCGTCCAGGCGGCTCAGGACCCCCAGGCCGAGGCCGCCGCCGAGGCCGCCGAAACGGTCCTCGTCGACGAGACCCGCAAGGCTGGCCTCCCCGCCTTTCAATTCGATCCCGCGACCTCCCCCGAAGACAAAGCCGCTGCGGCCGAAGCGGTATGTTCTCCCCGTTCTCACTCACGTTCTCCCATCCTCATCCCGTCGCCGTGCTGACTCCGACCGCTAGCGGGTGCCACCGGGCTTGCACCGGGATAAGAAACCCCAGGGCATGGCCGTCGTCACAGATCGGGTACGTATTCCGCGATTCTCTACGTCAACCCTAGATGGAGTCTTTATCTAACGTACGCAGGTTGAGGGCACCCCCGACCCCAATCTCCCCCCACCGACCTCCGCGGCGACGCTGCTGAGCGAGAATGGCAACCACACCCCCGGCGAGAAGAAAGAAATGGATGATGATATGCGCTGGCACCGGGACCGGACCGGCTGGGCTCCGCAGTTCGCCAAGTCGGACGAAGAACTCGAAAAGGAGCGGGAAGAGGGCACCCTCCTCGATCACCAGGATCTTCTCGAGTCCCGCCTCGATGATAAATTCTTTGGAGGTAAGCTAGGTGTCTCCCGCGCCCCTTGATACCCCACTGACCAATCCAGACTGGTACCACAATGCCGGCATCATCGTCTTCGCCTGCCTCATGTCCTGGGTCGTCGCCGTCCTCGGCGGCGGTTTGGCCTGGGTGTTCATCGTCATGGCCGCCTGCAGCACCTACTATCGGACCTCCATCCGTCGCGTTCGGCGCAACTTCCGCGACGACGTCAACCGCGAGATGGCCAAGCAACGGCTGGAGACCGACACGGAGAGCCTGGAGTGGATCAACAGTTTCCTGGTCAAGTTCTGGCCCATCTACGCCCCCGTGCTCTGCGACACCCTCATCAGCTCCGTCGACCAGGTGCTCAGCACCTCGACCCCCGCCATGCTCGACAGTCTGCGCCTGAAGACCTTTATTCTCGGCACCAAGCCCCCCCGCCTCGAGCACGTCAAGACCTACCCCAAGACCGAGGTGGACACCATCATCATGGACTGGAAGTTCAGCTTCACCCCCAACGACACCATGGATCTGACGGCCCGCCAGCTGAAGAACAGGATCAACCCCAAGGTCGTGCTCGAGGTGCGCCTGGGTAAGGGTGTTGTCAGCAAGGGTCTCGACGTCATCGTCGAGGACATGGCTTGCAGCGGCCTGATGCGCGTCAAGGTCAAGCTGCAGGTCGCCTTCCCCCACATTGAGCGCGTCGACGTCTGCTTCATGGAGCGCCCCGAACTGGACTACGTCTGCAAGCCCCTGGGTGGTGACACCCTGGGCTTCGACATCAACTTCATCCCCGGCCTCGAGAGCTTCATCAAGGACCAGATTCACAACAACCTGGGCCCCATGATGTACAGCCCCAACGTGTTCCCCATCGAGATCGCCAAGATGCTGGCCGGCAACGCCATGGATCAGGCCATCGGCGTCGTCGCGGTGACCCTTCACGGCGCCCGCCAGCTGAAGAACCCCGATCGCTTCGCCGGCACCCCGGATCCGTACGCCGTCGTCTCGCTCAACAACCGCAACGCCCTCGGCCGCACCAAGACCATCCACGACAGCGACAGCCCCCGCTGGAACGAGACCATCTACGTGATCATCACCTCCTTCGCGGACACGCTCAGCATCACGCCCTACGACTGGAACGAATACCGCAAGGACAAGGAGTTGGGGATTGCCACCTTCGGCCTGGACCGGCTGGAGGAGGAGCCCGAGCACGAGGGCCTGTACCTCGAGGTCATGGCGAGCGGTCGGTCCCGCGGCTCCGTCCACACCGACATCCGCTTCTTCCCCGTCCTCGAGGGCCGTCAGCTGGAGAACGGCGAGGTCGAGCCGGCCCCGGAGATGAACACCGGTATCGCCCGGTACACGGTCGAGCAGGCCAAGGACCTGGATTCGAGCAAGAGTCTCGTGGGCCTGCTCAACCCGTACGGCGTCCTGCTGCTGAACGGCAAGGAGATCCACATCACCAACAAGCTGAAGCGCACCAACAACCCCATCTTCCAGAACGCGTCCAAGGAGTTCCTCGTCACCGACCGCAAGAACGCCCGCCTGGGTCTCCTGATCAAGGACGACCGCGACCTCGCCCGCGACCCGATCCTGGGCAGCTACCAGATCAAGATGAACGACATGTTCAAGATGATGGAGAAGGGCCACCAGTGGTTCCACCTCCACGGCGCCAAGAGCGGCCGCGTCAAGTTGACCCTCGACTGGAAGCCCGTGGCCGTCGGCGGCATCGCCGGCAGCTCCGGCTACGTCGACCCGATCGGTGTCATGCGCATCCACTTCAAGCGCGCCACGGACCTACGCAACCTGGAGAAGATGGGCAAGTCGGACCCGTACGCGCGCGTCCTGCTCTCGGGCTACCAGAAGGCCCGCACGGTCACTTTCCGGAGCAACCTCAACCCGGATTGGGACGAGGTCATCTACGTGCCGATCCACAGCGCCCGCGAGAAGCTCACTCTGGAGGTGATGGACGAGGAGTCGGTCGGCAGCGACCGGACCCTGGGCGCCGTCGAGATCTCCGCCTCCGACTACGCCCGGGAGAACGAGCAAGGCGAGTTCGAGATCGACGACGAAAAGCAGGATCTCACGAGCGGCCTGCGCATCGGATCCGGCCCCGTCAAGGGTAACCTCCACTACACCGTGGCGTTCTACCCCACGATCCCGGTGGTCAACCCCGACGACGAGCAGGAGGAGGACGATCTGGAGGACGGCCTCACCGTGGACGGCGAGGGCAGCGAGGTGGCCCGCAAGAGCGTCGAGTCCCGACGCAAGGGCTACCACTCCAAGAACGCGAGCGTGGATTCCAAGGCCTCCGCCAAGGACCTCAGCGCCAATGGCAATCTGACTCCCGAGCCGCGGGCTCTGAGCCGCGCGCGGAGCAACGAATCGCTTGGGTCAAAGGCGCTGGCGTCCCCGACTACGGCGAGGGACTCGGAGACCATGTCCGTCCGGTCCATCAAAGAAGTGCCCAAGACATTTATCCCCGCGGAGGATCTGGCCCAATACGGTTTGTTCCTTGCCCTGTCCCTCTTGTCGGCGTGTACTGATCGGTTTTCCTGCAGAGTCCGGTTTCTTCGTGTTCAAGTTCCATGAGGTCCACCTGGCCCATAGCAATGTGCAGGTGGAGGTGCTGATGGACGACCATATGTTTGCGTCGTACTCTACCGGCAAGATCCGCACTAAGGTTGCTCAGATCGAAGATAGTATGTCTCTCTCTCTTTTTCCGTCCCCTTTGAATGCATGCTAACGGCCATAGTTGGTGACGCGTTCGTTCGGGAACTGGAGTTCTCCAAGGTCACCCTGCGGATCGTGGACAAGGATGACCACGAGGACAACAGTGATGAGCACACAGTGTCGAAGTTGACTGGCGACACCCTCAGTACGCTGCAGCGCATCTTGTATACCCCGACGGAGCTGAGCCTCCGATCCAGCGACGGAGAGGTCAGCAAGGTCACCGTCAGCGCGCGGTACATTCCGGTAAAGATGAAGCTGGACCCGTCGGAGAGCATCAACAACATGGGCACCCTGCGGGTCAACGTCATGGACGCGGCGGAACTGCCGTCGGCGGACCGCAACGGGTTCAGCGACCCGTACTGCAAGTTCCGCCTGGACGACAAGGAGGTGTACAAGACCAAGGTGCAGAAGAAGACGCTCCACCCGTCGTGGAACGAGTGGTTCGAGGCGCCCATCAAGTCCCGGATCGGGGCCAACTTCCGCTGCGACGTCTACGACTGGGACTTTGGCGACAAGGCCGACTACCTGGGCGGCACCGGCATCGACCTGGAGGCGCTCGAGCCGTTCCAGAACCGGGAGGTGTCACTGCCGCTGGATGGCAAGTCTGGCGCCATCCGCCTGAACCTGCTGTTCAAGCCCACATACGTGATCCGATCGCGACAAGGGTCGTCGACATTCTCGGGCACGTTCGCCACGCCCGGCAAGATCGTCGGCGCGCCCGTCAAGGGCGTGGGCTTCGTCGGCGGCAACGTGATCAAGGGTGCCTCGTTCCTCAAGCACGGCATCATGTCGCGATTCCGCGGGGACGACGGCGCGAGCATCCACGAGGGCGACGAGGCCGAGGAGGGGTCATCGTCGGCGGCGCCGCCGCCGGCGCCCTCGCACCAGCACCAGTCATCCACCGACACGGTGCCGGTGCCGTCGGCGATCCTAGTGGACGGCGCCGCGCCAGCCAGCAACGGGCTCCAGCACGGGCGCACGCGCAGCCTGGTGTCGCACTACGGCGACCGGCTGGGGATCGGCAGTGGTGGGGGGCGGGGCGACAGCGGGACGGCGTCGATCTCGGTGGTCTCGGCGAGCGGGTTCCCGGCGTCGGCCAACTTGCGGGTGTCGGTGCGCGCGGTGGGCCCCAAGGGCGCGAAGGAGGTGTTGAAGACGAAGGCGCAGCGGGCGGGCGAAGGCGACGGGGTACAGTTCGAGGGATCGCACGCTTCCTGCCGGGTGCACAACACGACGGCGGACGCGCAGTACCAGTTGCGGGTTGTGGACCACGCGACGTTCGGGTCGGACACCGGGCTTGGCGAGGCGATGTTCTTCGTGGACGACCAGGGGTCTGTGGCTGGGCAGGACAAGGCGATCGCCGTGGGCGAGGGCGCGGTCGTGGTCCGGAGCAGTTTCTCGGTGCCCGACGGGGGTGCCGCCGGTGGGGGTTGCGACCCGGGACGGCGAACTCGAACGGGGGCGGGGATGGGTCGTCGGATGGGGGGGCGGATAGTCCAGATTCGAAGAAGATGCGACGGAGCTTTTTGAGTAAACGGAATGTGAGTGGTGCTTGATTTTTACTTTTATTATTATTTTCCTGTTACTGGTGATGTTTTGTATGGTACATGGTATATGGTATACATGGGATGGATGGATGGATGGATGGATAGGGGGCTTGATTGATGCCTGATGAGTTTCTTTTTTTCTTTTCGTTTCTTTTCTCTTCTCTTCTCTTCTCTTCTTTTCGTTTCTTATTTGTTAAAACGGTTTGTTCTGTGACTGCATCTATGCATTGCCATTGGGCTCGAGCGAGATATCCGATCTTGAATTAGATTATTTATAATTGCGTACCTCCAAACCAATAGAGCGTATCCTCGATGGTGTTCCGGGTAAAGAGAGACACACCGCCTGTTGACGTGCCTTAGTTAGGTAGTCACCGAGGCAGGTCGTTATATGTCTGTAACTGCAGGAAGGCGCGTGACGTGGAGATATTGAAGCTGGTTGTAACTCCGGCGGGGTTTCAAAATGGATGGGTAGGTTTGAGATGGTTTGATTGACTAGTGGGTGTTCCACTTTTCTTTCTGTACTTTATATAATATTATTGTCAGTAGGATGTATTTTATATGTTATATATAGACGGATAATATAAAGATGGATATAGCCATGGATCTAGAATACCTATCCAGAGTAGACATGGATATACAGTAAAAATAAATAAGATTAATATAGCATACTAATACCAATACTAGTAGTAATAGTTATAGTTGTGAACCCACAAAACAGGGTCGACCACGAAATAGATTAAGATAAGCTGCTGGTGACGAGGCCGAGTGGAGCCGTCTGGACTGTACTATGGAAATTGGGAAATAGGGGCTGGCCAGACCTGGGACTGGAGTCGAGGATTTGTGAGACTTGGTTGGCTTCATCTTTCCTTCTTGATTTTTCTTCAGTTTGATCTTGTTGAATTTAGTGGGATCTGTGAATAGTACATAGTTGAATTGAAGTTCAGCCTGTTGGGTAGGGAGTGAGGTACTGGTACCTGATGGTATTCATGTACATGTACCCTGGTGCCTAAGGTTGGGTAATGTATACGGTACGGTCAGGTAATGTGTCAGGACCGGAACAGGAACTTTCCCCACTCTTTGTCCGTTTCTTGTTATTATTATTGATGCTCCTGTTATGCTGAGGATTCGGGGTATTTATGGTTATCGTCATCGCTGTTTTCATCTTCCTTTCTTCTCTTCTTCTCTTCTTCTCTTCTTTTTCTTGTCTTGTGATTCTCAGGTCTTGCTTCTTCTCTCAATCCTCTCTATCCTGGTTATAGCATTCTATTGTTTTCATCTCGATCCCAGTCAATCCCAGGTATGATGACGCACCCAAGAGATCGACACTCTGGCGTGGCAACTTCCCCTCCTCCTTGGTCCTCAATTAAACCCAACCCACATCCCCTCTTCTCATCCCTCTTCCTCCCTCTCTCCCTCTCTCCCCCTTTTCATCCCTCTTCTACCTCAATTCTCCTGCCTTCTTCTCTCCAAAGATTCTCTTTTCCCAATTCCCCAAATTAACCTATCATTTCCAATATAGTCATCATGGCAACGAAAGCTTTGCCCGCTCACCTGCGAGCCCCCGCCAACGATGCCGCCGGTGGCTTTGGCAAGCATCATGGCAAGTCCCAGTCTCACATGGTATGTCTTCATCATTTACTCCTATGTGTCCAATCGTAGCTAATAATGGAAGGCCTTCGAGAATGCCTCCACCAGCGTCGCTGCCTCCCAAATGCGCAACGCCCTCAACGCCCTCGCCGAGACCGTCCCCGACGACTCCGAACGCAAGCGCTTCGAGGCCGAGACCGACAACTTCTTCGCCCTCTTCCGTCGCTTCCTCAATGACAAGGCCAAGGGGAACGCCGTCAACTGGGACCGCATTGCGCCCCCCCAGCCCTCCCAGGTCGTCAACTACGACGACCTGGGCGGTGACGCCGCCGTCGAGTTCCTCAACAAGCTCGCCGTCGTCAAGCTGAACGGCGGTCTCGGTACCTCCATGGGCTGCGTCGGCCCCAAGTCCGTCATCGAGGTCCGCGAGGGCATGTCCTTCCTCGATCTTTCCGTCCGCCAGATCGAGCACCTCAACCGCACCTTCAACGTCAACGTCCCCTTCGTCCTGATGAACTCCTTCAACACCGATCAGGACACCCAGTCCATCATCAAGAAGTACCAGGGCCACAACGTCGACATCATCACCTTCAACCAGTCCCGCTACCCCCGCATCATCAAGGACTCCCTGCTCCCCGCCCCCAAGAGCTACGACGCCCCGCTCCAGGACTGGTACCCCCCCGGCCACGGTGACGTCTTCGAGTCCCTCTACAACTCGGGCACCCTCGACAAGCTGCTCGAGCGCGGCGTCGAGTACATCTTCCTCTCCAACGCCGACAACCTCGGCGCCGTCGTCGACCTGCGCATCCTGCAGCACATGGTCGACACCCAGTCCGAGTACATCATGGAGCTGACGGACAAGACCAAGGCCGACGTCAAGGGCGGCACCATCATCGACTACGAGGGCAAGGCCCGCCTGCTCGAGATCGCCCAGGTCCCCAAGGAGCACGTCAACGAGTTCAAGTCCATCAAGAAGTTCAAGTACTTCAACACCAACAACATCTGGATGAGCCTGCGCGCCATCAAGCGCGTCGTCGAGGAGAACGAGCTCGAGATGGAGATCATCGCCAACGAGAAGTCCATCCCCGCCGACAAGAAGGGCGACGCCGACCAGGCCATCTACCAGCTCGAGACCGCCGTCGGCGCCGCCATCCGCCACTTCCGCAACGCCCACGGCGTCAACGTGCCCCGCCGCCGCTTCCTGCCCGTCAAGACCTGCTCCGACCTGCTCCTCGTCAAGTCCGACCTGTACCGCCTCGAGCACGGCCAGCTCGTCATGGACCCCAACCGCTTCGGCGGCGTCCCCGTCATCAAGCTCGGCTCCGACTTCAAGAAGGTCTCGGACTTCCAGAAGCACATCCCCAGCATCCCTCGCATCGTCGAACTCGACCACCTGACCATCACGGGTGCCGTCAACCTCGGCCGCAACGTCACCCTCAAGGGGACGGTCATCATCGTCGCCACGGAGGGGAGCACCATCGACGTGCCTCCGGGGTCTGTTCTGGAGAACTGCGTGGTGCAGGGTAGCTTGCGGATTCTGGAGCATTAGTTTTGGACCTTGTGTTAACGGGTAGATTGCATTTTCTTTCTTCTTTTTCTTTTCTATTCTATTTATTTATTATTTTTGGTTGTCGGTCGATCTAGTTTGACTGGGATTGGTTGAGGCGCATATTCACGGATTCGGATCCATGCGAGGGGAGAGAGAAAATGACTGTTGGGTGCATCCAGCGTTATCTTGTTTAACTTTTCTTGTTATGATTGGTGTTGATTATTATTATATTATTTTTTATATCTTCTTCTCTAAGCTGTGTGTTAGCTGTGTAGTGTCTAGCTGTTTAGCTGTCTTTCCCTTAAGCTTTCCTTAAGCTTTTCTTAAGCTTCTGACTGGGATAACTAATCGGAACCATACAACCATCAGAACTATAAACCCACCAGAACTATATCCGACTGAACCCGACTGGTCCCTCTGGTTGACGGCACTCTCTACCGGGGCTGCCACTGTCAGGTGAACCGGCTACCTCAGGCGTCATATCCATCGGCCCCTCACGCCGCCCGCGTCATTTCCCCCGATGGATCAGGTCTAGACGCGTCTTTCTTCCTCCTTCTCCCTCTTCTGTCCATCATCTTAACTCTGATTCCCCATATCCATCAGTGATTCCTCACCTTCATGATTTATAATATATCTCCTTCATGGAGAGGGGGGGAGGGGAAGACGGAGAAGGAGCCCCCCTTCCCCCCCTCAGGCACATGAACGGAAAAATCGGTGGAAATAGCATACCTACATAAATCAACCAGCTGCAGTTGCAACCACACAACCCCACCCCCCCCCCCTCCTCCTCCTTCCACTCTCATACAGATGTGATCCGCATCTATACTATAAACTAGGTGGCCCACCTAGACGATGTCGCTCGATCGCTCCTTCCGTCTTCTATATACTGTTGAACGCTCCAACGACTATGATTGATTGAATCAATCGCCTCCGCTCTTCCATGTCAGACACCACTTTGATTAACATCAACGCTCTAACCACCATGCCTAAGTCGCCTTCGTTCGTCCGTGCTTCGCCCCGTGCTATCGCGCCTGGTCCGTCGCCTACTATGGACGTCGGTCAGGGTGAGAGTAGCGCTGCTGGTGCGAGGAGTGGGCGGGGTAGCTCGCCTAGGAGGAGGGTGTCGGTGGCTTGTACGTGCTGTAAGAAGTCGAAACGCAAGGTGTGTATATTGATCGTCAATCATCAATCATCAGTCGTGGCTCTTGATGAAAGGGATATTGACGGAATAGTGCTCCGGTGTCAAACCCTGCGATAACTGCGTGGCCAACGCCCGAGTGTGCCTCTTTGACGAAACCCTCGACAATCGTCGTCGCGTGGCCGCCAAACGCACCTCCGACAATCTCACCTATTTCCTGGAACTGTGCCATGATTTGTTCCGCATCATGCGCTCCGACGACAAAATCCACGGCCGCCGCCTCATGCAGTTCCTCCACGATGGGCCTCCCATCAATGTTGCCCGCGACCCTGGTCGCCCCGATGAGCAGCCCGTACGCCCTGAGTTTCTCCGCGCTTTCCTCGACGAGGTTCTCTTCGACATGGGTCTGGATCCTGCTTTTCCCGGTGAGGATGGTGGCGTCCGTAGTGGCAGTGGTGGTGGTGGCGGCGGCGGCACCGGTGCAGCCGTCGCCCAGACACAGGAGATGCCCGCCGACATGGACGTCGAGGGCCCGACCCCAGGCCCGACCCCGACCCCCGGCCCCTCCTCCCATCCCCAGGTCATGGATATCCACTACCTGTGCAACGAGTTGCTGTACCGCGTGCCTGCGGCTCCGTGGACTTCCGTCACCGACAACGCTGACCTTGTCTCTCACCTCGTTTCCCTCTACTTCACTTGGGACTACCCCTTTAACCTCTTTCTCGACCGTGACGTCTTCCTCCGCCATATGGCCAGCGGCGATCTCCGATCGGATCTCTGCTCCCCGTTTTTGGTCAATGCTTTGTTGACTAACGCCTGTGTAAGCTGTTTTCTTCTCCTTCTTTCCTCTCCTCTTCCGCGTGTGTCTCCATGTCAATACGTAGGGGGCGTGTTAGTGGCGCGGTGAGAACATGGCTGATGACCTCTAGTATTACTCGGATTATTCGGAAACTTATGTCAACACCCGCGATGTTGTCTCCAAGGGTGCTCGTTTCTTGGCTGAGGCTGAGCGTCTGTGGAAGGATGAACTCGCTATTATGAGCTTGCCGTTCTTACAAGGAACGTTGATGCTTTATGTACGGTATTCAATCGCCGGTGCCGACGACATGGGCTATCGCATGCTGCACCAGGCCATCTGGACCGGCGAGTCCCTCGGTCTGATCGGCCCTGGCAGGCCCATGCCCAACCCATCCTCCGAGGATATGATGATTTCTTTCCAGAAGACGGCCTGGGGGCTGTTCAACATTGATGCGTATGTTTCTGAACCCCGTATGTAAAAAGAAGTTGGCCGCAGTGACTCACAATCCAGGATCGTGCACCCCAATCTCCTGCGTCCCACCATCGTTGGCAGTGTCAACGTGCCGCGTCCGCCGGGCGCTCGACCCGACGAGGTAGGCACGTGGAAGCCCTATCCGTCCGATCGCCCGGCCCGGCCCTCGCATTTCGACCGGTATTTCGAGGCATCGTGCGAGCTGTCCCAGATCGCCCGCGACATGTCGCAGGCCCTCTTCCCCGCCAACAGCCCCGGCCTGGCCCCGGCCTTCCGGTCCCAGGCCCAGGAGACCATCTACGACCGCCTGCAAGCGTGGCTCAATCGTCTGCCCGAGGCCTTCCATCCGGACCGCCGGCCTCCGCCGTATATTCTCCTTCTCAGGTGCGTCATTCCCCTTCTCCTGACCCAAGGGCCGATAGACTACAAGATCAACCGAGAACTGATACATGAACGATAGCATGCGCTATCACTGCCTGATCATCGCCTTGGTCTCGCTACGGCCCCAGTCCCAGCCGTCCAGCCACGCGTCGGTAGGACCCCAAACCCCCGTGAGCCCTCCGGGTCTCAGTCCGCTCTCCACCGTCGACCCCGGCCAGATCATCCAGGAGTCGGCGCGCGCCATTTCCATCCTGGCGTGGTGCTACCGACGCGAATACAGCATGAAGTGGGCGCATCACTTCGCGCTGTTCGCCCTCAACTTGGCCCTGTTCGTCATGGCAAACGGACCCGCGTTCGACATCCTCGCCCCGGAATTTCTCTCCCTCGCCAGCTCCTTCGCCGACGTCGCCGGCTGCTCCCAGCTCGGCCGCAACCTGTTATATCTCTTCCATGTCTTCGTCTGCAGCCGCGGCCAGAGCTACCGCATCCGCCATTCGGGCGACATCTCAGACGAGCTGAAGATGCTCCTCGACGATGAACCTGGAGTGCCCTCCCCGTGGGGTCCCTACACTGCTGGTTTAAACAAACTTGACGTTGGGCATTACGGTGGTGTACCGCCCAGGGACGGCGAGTGGAGCCTCTTACAAATGCTCGATTGCTACGAGAGCTTGAGTTTGGGGAAGGATGAGGTTGCGCCTGTGCGGTTTCCAGATGGATTTTAATTTGTCCTTTTTCCTGACTGTGTGTTCTTTTTTCTTTGCTTATGTGCTGTTTTTCAGTTGCTTTACTATTTTTGCTGTCGCTCTTTTCGTCCTTTTCTCTGTTTTCATTTAATACGTCCGCTATCTAAATGCGCCGATCGCTGACTGGTCTCGTCATGACGGCATTATGACTCTGGCGTGCCCTATTCCCCCGTTAATCCTGCTGTTCCTTGTTTCGTTGCTCCGTCTCCTTTTGTTTTGTTGGGTACCCTCTCAGTTTGACTTTACCCGGGATACAGTTTTGTGGTTGCGCCGAATGTCGACTCCCTTGAAATAACCCGTCCGCCGTGGTGCGTGGCCTTTAGTGACGTCACGGCCCGACTCAACTGACTTCGGTCTTCATCCCATGTCGAACTCTCCTACACACTCCTTTTCGCCGATTTGCCTTCCTTGTCATGATTCTCGAATTTTCATTCCTAGTCACGATTCCCCGGTCTGTGTAATTCTGTATATCATGTTTGGTTTTCACTCCGTTCCTTCCTTTTATCTACACATGTTCTACTGCTAGCGAACCCCATCCCGCCGTGACTATTGGAGATGGATCATAATCCGCCCTCGCCCTACCTCGTCAACGTCCCCCGCGATGACCCCTTCGGTGGAACAGACCCCAACGTTGCCTCACCCTGGCGTGCAGGGATGAGTCCGGGCTCGTGGGCGCCACCCTCCGTCGGGCCCGAATTCACCCCTTACGCGATGCCGCCGCCGCAGTTCTACGAACCGTCGATGCTTCATGCCGCTCCTCCGACGCCGTCGTACGACTTTCCCATGTCTGCCCCGCCCCCGAAGGTACCTATTCCGCGCGCGTCGGCATATAGCACCCATTCGCAGCGCCGCCGCTCCGCCCGCGCCTGTGAGCCGTGCCGCCAGCGCAAGATCAAGTGCGATGGGACCCGTCCGAGTTGCAAGCAGTGCGTCGAGAACCAGGTCAAGTGCTTCTACCTGGACGTCAAGCGGGTCCGCGAGCAGAAGGAGCTGGGCGCGCTGGCCAAGAAGGTCGAACGGTATGAGAGGTTGCTGGAAGAGTTGGAGTCGGATGTCGATGATGCTAATGCCCGGCGGATTCGACGGGCTTTGAGTGTATTTCTCTCCTCTCCTTTACTGAATCTATTTATATTGCACCCTCCGGATAATGTTCTCTATTTGCATGTCCTTTATATTGGATGCGCTGCATATATGGATACTCTCTATACTGGATGCCTCTGTATATTGGATGCTCCATATATTGAATACCCCCCATATACTGGACGCCCTCCATACGTGCGAGCTCTTCATATATGAGATACTTCTATATACTGGGTTGCCTCCATATAGTGGATGTTCTCTATATATTGGATGCTCTCTATATCTTGGAATGCCCTATATACTGGATGCTATTCGTGTATTGGATGCTCTTCACATATGGAACACTATATGTGGGATGCTCCCCATATACTGGATGTTTTCCATATATTGGATGTTCTCTATAGTGGGTGGTCTATATATATGTGATGCTCTCTGTATATCAGATGCTATCTGTATATGGGAGCTCTTTATACTGGATGCTCCATATATTGAATACCCTCTATATACTGGATGCTCTCCATATATGAGATAATTCTATATACTGGATGCTTTCTATATGTGATGCTCTATATATTGGATGCGTTGCATATACGGATGTTCTTCATATATGGATGCTTCCTATATACTGAATGCTGTCCATTCATGGAGTGCCCTTGATAGTGGATGGCTCCATACACTGCAACACATACACTCCTTGCGAAATCGCGACAAATACTCACATCGAACAGGCAGACCCCGTCTCCGTCGACGACCCCACCTCCGAATCGGAAAAATCCGACTCCTCCATCGGCTCCCTCGACGACATCGACCTCGTCGACGAGGACCTCAACCGCAGCGAAAAGACCATCGCCATGGGCTTCTTCGGCAAAAACTCCGAAGTCTCCTGGATGCAGAAGCTCGAAGACGAAGCCTCCCGCCGCAGCCAGGACGCCACCCCCTACAACGCCCACCCAGACCAGCAAGCCCCGGGCTCGCCCCACGAGCACACCCACCCCCACCACAAACCGGGCCCCTCCATCGCGACAATGAGCTACCACCTCGACGACCTCAGCATCCCCTTCCTCGACCACGTCGACCCCCACGCCCTGCCTCCCAAACCCCTCGCCGACCGCCTCTTCGCCGCCTACATCGACTCCGTCCACCCCGGCTTCAACGTCATTCGCAAATCCACCTTCCTCGCCCAGTACCGCCAGTTCTACCGCCGGCCGTCGAACCCCCCGCGCCGCTGGCTCGCCATATTGAATATGATCTTCGCGATCGGGTGTCGGTATTGCTGCTTCACAGATAGTGCGGAGGACCCTGACTGCGACGATCTGGTTTATTTGACGCGCGCCAGAAAGTTGAGTCTGGGGCAGAATGTCCTGTTTGAACATGCCGATTTGCAGCAGATACAGGTGGAGTTTTTGGCCGCGTTTTATTTGGTCGTTATGGGGCAGGTTAATCGGTATGTCTATCTTTTCCCCGCCCTCTTGGTTTGGTATGCGTTTCTCCAGAAGTGTGGTGCTCTTCTCTTACGTGTTATGCTCTTCTTGTGGTTTATTATGCCCGAGGGAACCTGGAAGAGTTTGTTGGGAGTTGTTATGTTATGCTCTTGTCACGATTGTTGTGCTCTTCTCTCCTGATTTGTTGTACTCTTCTCCCAATTTGTTGTGCTTAAGGGAATCTGCAAGGGCTGGTTGGAAGTTGTTATGCTCTCCTTTATTTTGATGCTCTTCTCTCATTTGTTATGCTCTTATCCCCCATCATGCACGGAAGAAAGAAAAGATAAAGAAGAAAGATACTGACAATAGCAGGGCTTTCAAATTCTCTAGTGTCGCCTTCCGATCCGCTCTCTCCCTAGGGATCAACCTCCGTTTCGTTGACGACCGCACTCACCATGCTGCCAAAGAAGCCCGTTCCCGCCTCTGGTGGTCCATCTACCTACTAGAGCACCTCCTAACCACCATGACCGGTCGAGTGTCCTGCGTCGGGGAAGACCTCAGTGCAACCCCCCTGCCCATCCCCTTCGAGGAAGAAGACTTTGGGCGCGCCGATGTGCAGCGGCTCTTCCACCACCCAGAGGAGCGCGCCCACCGCCTGAAGCTCACGCTCCTGCAGTCTGACGGGGAAGCCAAGGTCAGCGCAGAGTGGCTCGCGCAGTGCGACCCCAGCGCGTCGCTGTTCTTCCACTGCACGGTCGACCTCGCCACCATCACGCAGGCCATCGTCACCAAAATATACAGCATCCACGGGCTGCGCGAGCGCTCCAGCAAAGTCGAGCGCCGCATCCGCCGCTACAGCCACACGCTCGACCTCTGGCTCGCCAAGCTGCCCCCAGCCTACCGCTTCGACCCCGTCCCGCCGTCCTCAGAGTCCGCCACCACCCACCCCACCGTCGGCCACACGTCCGCCAACGAGCGGGAGCGCGTCTCCCTCGCCATCAACTTCTACTCCTCCCGCCTGACGCTCTGCCGCCCCTGCCTCACACACACCACCTGGCGTCCGGGCCCGCAAGACTCCGGAATCGAGCCTCCAGGACGACTGCCCTCGCGCGCCCAGCTCCGCTACGGCCTAGCGCGCACCTGCCTCCAGTCCGCCTGCAGCCTCATCTCCATCCTCCCCGACACGCCCGACATGGAATGGCTCGCGCGCACGACCCCCTGGTGGAGCATCCTGCACTTCGTCATGCAAGCCATCACCGCGCTCCTCCTCGGCCTCAGCTGCTGGCCATCCCACCGTCACGACAGCGCAGGCGGACGAAGCAGAAGCAGCAGCAGCAGCACCGCCCAAGGCAGTCGCAGCGACAGCGCCTCCCGACAAGACCGCACCAACCATGGCATCCCCCACCCCTTCGGCACGGCCGCGTCCTCCTCAACCGTAACCCCGGGCTCCGGCCCACCCTCCACCCTCAACACCAACACCGGCACCAGCACCCCCAACACAAGCATCAGCAGCATCAGCGCCTCCACCACCCGCCCACCGGGCCCAAACAACCCCCCCGCCGGCCCAGCTCCCTCTCCAACGCACCCCCACCCCAGACCAACACCAGCACCAAGCTCAATACCACCAATTCCAGCCCCCCGGCGGAACAGGCCACTCAGGCGACGAGCTCTCCATCCCGAGCCTGACGAAACACACCAAAAAGGCCTTCATCTGGCTCCACGAGATGGGCCGCACGACGGCTGCCGCGCGCCGCGCCTTCCTCCTCTGTGATAGCTTTCTGAGACGCATTGCGCCGAGTATGGGCCTTGATGTGGGGGATTGGCCTGGGGCGGAGTCGTTGCCTGTGCAGCCTAGTGGGGCGGGGGAGGCTGTGGGGTTGGGGGTGGGGGTGGGGGTGGGGGTGGGGAGGGGCGTTAGTGTTGATGTTGATGGGGAGGGGGATGGTGGTGGGAATGGGGATGGTGGTGGGAATAGGGATGATGGGTGATATTTTGTCAGTATGGGTTTTGTTTAGTTTTGTTTGGGGTTGGGTTAGATTGGGTTGGTTGGGAGGTATGGAGTATGGTTATTGTATTGTATTGCTTTTGGGTTATTTTATGAAGTTCCATGGTTTATCTGTTGTTGTGAGTTGGTGGTGGTGGTGGTGGTGGTGGTGGTTAGGGTAGGATGTAGGGTGTAGGTGGTAGTAGTAGTAGGTAGGTCGTAGGTTGTAATAGCAGTGGGTAGTTGGTAGTAGGTGCGAGATAGTAGTTGACTATCTGAGCAGTATGGCCATTAGTAGTAGCGGTTAGTACTATGGGATTATGGAAGTATCGAGTATCAAGTATCACTCACGTGTAGAGTGTAGAGTGTAGAGAGTAGAAGCATAGCAGTCGTAGTAGTAGGGAGCAGTCAGCAGTCAGCAGTCAGCAGTTAGCAGTATAAGCAGTATGGTACTTTGTAGTTTACTATCTAGTAGTAGGTAGTATAGTAATAGCAGTTAGATGTCAGCAGTTGATAGTGAGCAGTGAGCAGTGGGTAGTGAGCAGTATGACAGTGTAGCAGTAGCAGTAGCAGTAGCAGTAGCAGTAGCAGTAGCAGTAGCAGTAGCAGTAGCAGACAATATACTATATGTCAGAAAGAACAGTATACCGCCAGGCTAAAAAAGTTATCATGACACTGGCGCTTTGTGAATAACCAACTTTTCAAGAATCTTATATTGCGATATAGTATAGTAGTGCAATAGATACGGTCTACCTTAACCTACTACGTGTATACTACATGTACGTTTACCAGGTTATGATGAACTGTAATATAATCAAGTAGGGATAATATAATAAACCCTAATAATGTGTAATATAGTATGCCGTATGATATATGATATATGATAAAAGATATAATAACCAATCACAAATAATGATAATAATCATATAATCATATAATAAGATAATAATAATAATAATAATAATAATAGTGATATAGATCAATAATAGACAGAGAATTGGCAAGACAGACAACGAAACCATATCAAGCAATAACTCGAAACCAAACAAAGAATAAATGATAATGTTAAATAATGAAACCACCCGCATCGCATCCCAAACGAGAGAAAAAAGATAAATAAAAAATAATAGATAACTACAATGAACTACTGCATCTGAGGCAAGATGAACCCCCTCTTTCGCGGATCATCGTCCATTCCGCCCTTCTGGCCCCGGTTCAGCATCATCGGGTCGTGCGGTGTGTGCGATGCTGCCGCGGCCGCGGCGTTGTGGTGAGTCGCCTGGAAGGGCATCTGCATGTGCATGTGCATTGGGTGGTGCTGCGCATGCGTGGGCGCCGTCGCTCCCTGCGCTTGGAGGTGCTGCGGGTGCTGTTGCTGGAGGTGTTGGAGATGCTGGAGGTGTGGCTGTGGGCGCTGGAGATGGGCTTGAGCTTGAGCCTGCGCCTGGACGGCTGCGTGGTTGTGCTGATGCGGATGCTGGAGTTGTTGCTGATGCGGGTGTTTCTGCTGATGCGCTTGATGCTGATGCGGATGCTGTTGTTGCTGCTGTTGCGGTTGTTGGGCCTGCTGCTGCTGCTGCTGGGTATGCTGGGTATGCTGGGTATGCTGGGTATGCTGGGTATGCTGCTGATGTTGCTGGTGTTGCTGATGTTGTTGCTGTTGATGCTGCTGATGTTGTTGATGCTGCTGATGCTGGGGATGCTGCATGGGTAGCTGCATCGGGGTCTTCTGCACATGAGCCTGGAGAGGCATCTGGTGGTGCTGCGGCTGCGGTTGCGGTTGTGGCTGGGCCTGAACCTGGGACAGGGCCGGCTGCGCCGACAGCGACCCCGCACCTCCATTAGGCGTCGCCTGGGAGGAGCCCTGCGTCGCTCCCGGGGTGGGCGTGGGCCCGTGGCTCCCGGGCGCTTGAGCCTGAGCCAGGCCCGGAACCTGGCCTGGCGCCTGACCCGGAGCCTGACCCGGAGCCTGACCTGGAGCCTGACCCTGGGCTTGGGCCTGGGCCTGGGCCTCGGCTTCCTCGGCGGCCTTGCGCGCGGCCACGTCCGCCTTGCGCGGTCGCCCCTAGGCCGGCCGGTCCCCGGCTTGGAGGACGGCTTGCGTGGACGCTTGGGCCGCGGGGGCGCGTTCGGGTCGATCTCAGACTTGCGGGGGCGACCCCGTCGGCGCTTCGCCGGCACGACGGTGCCATCCGGGTTGGTGATCATCAGCGGCGCGGCTGGGGCGGAGGGGCCGGCGGTGGCCACGGCGCCCGCCGACGCGTCCGGGACCGTGGGCACCCCGGGCACCCCGGGCATGTGGGGTTCTCCGGGGCCGATGGGCGCGCCAGGGACAGCACCGTCTTTGGGGGGCTTGGGCTCCTTGGGCTTGCGGGGCTTGCGTTTCTTGGGCAACGGTTGGCCGTCCTCGCCGAGGACCTCCGACTTGCGGGGGCGGCCCCGTTTCTTGGGGGTGGCCGTCTTGTCCGCCGCGGGCGGATTCTGGCCCGGGGTCTCGGTGTAGAAGGCGGGCACGGGTCCCGGGGGCGGGTCAGCGACGCCGAGGGTGGTGGCGGTCTGGAGGGGATGGGGCTGCTGGGCGGGCGACGCGGCGGCGGGCTTGGGCGGCGGCGGCTTCTTCCGGGGCTTGGGGGCCGGATCGGGCTGGGTGGGCTGGATGGGCTCACCGAGCAGATCGATGGTACCGGTCATGGCCGACGCCGGGGTGGCCGTCGATGGCGGAGCCCGTGCGGGCGGGACCGCCGCGGCCGGCTGGGACTGGGCGGCCGGCTGCGGGGTCGAGGTCGCCCGGGGCGCCTGGGAGACGGGCGGCTGGACGAGGGACCGGGGCGACTGTTGGGCCTGCTGGTAGGGGGAGGGCTGAGACTGCGGGTACGACGCCGCCGGCTGCGCGTGCGGGTACTGGCGGGAGAAGGCCTGCGGCGGCTGGAACTGGGCGGGTTGCTGGGCCTGAGCCTGATAGGGCGACCGCTGGGCCTGCTGCTGGTACCGGGGGTGTTGCTGGTATTGAGCCTGTTGCGCCTGTTGCGCCTGCTGTGCCTGCTGCGCCTGCTGCTGCTGCTGCTGCTGTTGTTGTTGTTGCTGCTGCTGCTGCTGCTGCTGCTGATAGGTCTGCTGTACGTGGTGCTGGTAAGGCGAGGCCTGGGCAGCCGCCTGGGCCTGATAGGGAGAGGCCTGAGCTTGAGATTGGTAGGGGGAGGCCTGGGCGGCGGTGTGGGGTTGATACGCCTGCTGAGCCGCGTAAGACTGCGGCTGGGTGGAGGCGAAGTGGGCCTGCTGGTGCTGGGGTTGAGTAGTGGTGAGCATGGGCGAGGCGGCGGCCGGAGAGGTCCCAGCAGGATGGGTGGCCTGGCGATGCTGCAGGTGCGCATGTTGCTGTTGCTGCTGCTGCTGTTGCTGCAGACGCTCGAGCGACTGTTGCGGGGACCCCAAGGTCATGGCGTGGGCGTGAGGGGACAGGGTGGTGGCCTGTGGGTTCATGGCGTTGGGGTGGGCGCGAAAGTTGGCCATGGGGTTCATATTGCGCTGCAGGTTCTGCAAGGACAGGTAAGGATCCTTGACCTGACCGACGGAGTCGGGATTGCGCGACAGGAGATCGGAGGAGCCCTGCGGGGGGAAGTGGTTGGAAAAGGTGCCGAAATTGCCGCCCGTGGGGAGACCGACCAGCGGCGCCGACGAGGCGGGGGTCATCTTGCGGAGATCGGGGGAGTGAGCGGCGGCGACGTCGGCGGCGGAGGGACCGCGCAGAAGACTACCGGCGCTGATATTGGACCCCTGATGGGCATGTCCCGCGGAACTCATGGACGGGGATTGCAGGGAGTGTTGCTGGTGTTGTTGTTGTTGATGTTGTTGTTGTTGTTGCTGCTGCTGCTGCGGGTGCTGCTGGGCGGTCTGCGGGGGGCGAGGGTGGAAGGAATGACCACCGTAGCCCATCATGATGGGCGAAGGGCGCCGTCAGAATCCGGGCGCGAGGGAGGATATAGACAATGGTATAGACAATGGGTGGATGGAGAGGGTGGAATTGGATGATGGGATGGGTGATGCGTGGTCGCGCAGGATCGGCGTCAGACGGACATGTGACGCGTGGTGGATGGATGAATGGATGGAGGATAGATGGGAGGGGGGGGAGAGAGCAGGAAGATGCAACAGTGAGTAAGATAGAAGAGTGGGGAGAGTGAGAAGAGGAGAGTGAAGAAGGCAATCAAGAAGTGAGGTTGAATTGAAGACCAAGAGAGGAAGTTGAGTCGAGATGAATTTGCGGTGTTTGTCGATGCGCAGCCTGAGGCGCGATGCGGTCGGGCGGCGGACAGAGACCAGGAGCGCAGTTCCCTTTTTTTTCAGGCAGCGAATTAATGATTTAAAAATAAAAATAAAATAATAAAAAATCAAAAATAAATAATAAAGAAAAAGGGAAAAATCAGGAGAGAAAAAAGGGAGACGAGCGAGGCCAGACCCCTTGAACCCCGGCGGTCGATGGGGCACAATCACTCTGGACAATATTCTGAATCCCGTCCAGTCCACCGGATCTCAATAGCCAAGATGAGAGATGACCCCGATGATGATGGAGACGATGGAGATGGCGATGGAGATGAAGATGATGGTGGTGGTTAATTATTTTTCAGAAAATGATTTTTTCCCGGCGGGTTTGGGGGGGTTTTCTGGGTCGCGGGCGGTCACGTGGGATTTCTGTATCGTAGTACCGTCCCATACCGGGTATCGTGGAGATTCCCTGCTGTTATTTAGAAGGAAACACACCATTACATACCTCCCATCCATAATCCAAATCAAATCAAAATCAAAATGAAAAGAAAAGAATAATAATAAAGAATTATCCAAATATGTCGATCCATGATGCAATTAATCATTAAATAATAATTAAATATTGGAATTACAATATTAAATAAATACTACATAGTAGAATAATGAATTTGATAATCAAGTAAAAGTCCAACCAGACGATGAAATCCCACCTGTCATTCCCTTCAAGTTTCACGACTCAACAGTAGCCTTATCTCTATTATGGAATAAAGAATACTTCCACTTGGAGAATTACTATCTATCTCTCTCTCTATTATATGATGAGAACACCAGTACATCGAGAATATTGATGTCAACAATGATGATAATGATTTTACGGCGAAGGCTGCCATTTATCTGCCTGAAAACTCTGCGTCAGCTGACTTGCTTCCACATATATCTGTAACACCATGATAGACACATCTCTATCCAATATAACCATTCATCGTCACCACACTGGAGGTAGTGTAGACTGTCCACTGTATAGACTATAGTTCATAAATAGCCAGCTGTTCGTTCTTTTGTACCGGAGAGAAACAGTATAATATATCAATATTCCACCGCATCAAGGCGATTCACTAGCCTATACTGGGTACACTCCATACTAGCTGTAGAATATTACTGAGTAGTCTTGTATGATTCAAGGGTCGGGAATATTAGAAGATGCAGGGACTACTATAAGTAGTAGTCTACTGATGATAGAGGTGTGGAGGACTAAGAATTTAGTCGAGCGCTATCTACTTGATATATATAAAGAGAGAGACAACATGTCAGCTGACCTGTCAGGTTCCCCTCACACTTTATATCCTGAGTCTTCTAACATCTTACAACCATTAACAACATTTTAAAACCCTTAGAATCAATGAGTTCATCAATAGTTGACTGTGTTATCAGTCCTACATGATAGAAGAGTGTCCTCTATCCTACACACCCCACTAATTCAAATGAGACAGATCCATCCTTTCTCTTTCATTAAGAAGGTCAAATATTACTATCATCATGATCGCCAATCTATATCGATCAACTTTATAGACTCACCCTGACTCTAGATCAATCTAACGGTCCCTCCGAATCCCACCGTCGCCTCACCAGCTGGAACGACCCCGCCTCCCATCCTAATACCGTCTTCCCTCCCCTCTCCATCCTCTCCCCCCAGATACATCCCACCGTCTATCGCTCCGACAACGGTATCAACCAGCCCAACTACACACGCGGACGGTTCAGTTTGAGGTGGTGGCGTACGAGGTCGATAGCCGCATGACGTCGTCTTCGCTGGTGGCTTACACGATGGCGTGGGAAGTGTGCAGGTAGGTTGTCGAGCGGTGAAGATGTTACCGATACGGACGATTCGTAGGACTCGATGGGATGGAAGGGATATATCTACAAGTGTAAGGAGTATAGAGTAATGGTTGAATTCATTATAAAATTGTAATGGAGAGTGGGGAATCTGGAGTGGAGATACCCCGCAGGATCTTGTCTTGATCTCGATCTGTGGTTGAAATAGAGTTCATCCACTTGTCTCAATTATCAGCATGTCTATATCAGACAGTATCTTTATTGAATCATCTGAAGCCATTCTTACTGTATAATAATCTCGATTTATTCTAAATGGTCTATCTCTGTTCCTCTACACTATACCGGGAGATGTTTACTACCTTCCTAAAGAGGACAGCTCCCCCGGCAACCGTCACTTGACCTCCTTACTTCATCTTCTTCCCTTCACTTCTTCTCTTCACTTCTTCTCTTCACTTCTTCCCTGTCATCTCAGCCTCTCTTCAACTTCATCTTTCTGCACCTTCCTTGGGCTGACTCCACATCACCAATCAGATCTGCCCACCATGCGGGGTTTCCGCCAATGGTCTCATTCCCTCCCCGAATGGCGTTATCCTGCAGCCTCCGGTCATGATCTTGACGACCTCGAGCGGCGCCCGCTCGCCTCGCCCACCGCCCGTTCTCCCTTTCTCCCTGCCGACGGTATGATCTCGTCGATGCAAATAAAACCCCACTGACCCTCAAAGACGCGATGGACGCGCCCCAGAGCCCCAAATCCGACCCGGAGGGGGCCTCCGGGGGTACTAGCCGCCCGGATGATCCCCCGGCGCAGTCTCCCTACGAGGCCCGCGCCGCGGTCCTCAACCGCGCCATCCAAGCCATCGGCATGGGTCGCTACCAGTGGCAGCTGTTCGCCGTCATCGGATTCGGCTGGGCCAGCGACAACCTCTGGCCTATCGTTACCTCGCTGATCCTCGTCCCTGTGTCCTACGAGTTCCCCGGCCCGGAGCCCGAGCTGCTGACGCTAGCCCAGAATATCGGACTGCTGATCGGGGCCCTGTTCTGGGGCTTCGGATGCGACATCTTCGGTCGCCGCTGGGCCTTCAACCTCACCATCGGCATCACGGGCCTGTTCGGCCTGATCGCCGCAGGGTCACCGTCCTTCCGCGCCATCGCCACCTTCGCCGCCCTCTGGTCCGTCGGCGTCGGCGGCAACCTCCCCGTCGACTCGGCCATCTTCCTCGAGTTCCTCCCCGGCTCACACCAATACCTCCTCACCGTGCTGTCCATCCACTGGGCCCTCGCCCAGCTGCTAGCCACCCTCGTCGCCTGGCCGCTGATCGGCCGACAAACGTGCGCCTCCGCCGAGACGTGCACCCGCGCCGACAACATGGGCTGGCGATACTTCCTGATCGCCATGGGCGGGCTAGCCGTCGTCATGTTCGTCGCGCGGTTCCTCTTCTTCACCCTCTTCGAGTCCCCCAAGTACCTCATGGGCCGGGGTCGCCACGCGCAAGCCGTCGCCGTCGTCCACGAAGTCGCCCGTCGTAACGGCCAGCCGTGCCATCTCACACCCGACGCGCTCGACGTGCTCGCCGATGACCACCCAGATCGCCCAGCACCATGGTCGCAGCGACTAGGCCGACACCTCGAGCCGCTGGCCCTCCCGCACGTACGGGCGCTGTTCCAAGGGCGGCGACGCGCGCTCGCGACCACCCTCCTCATCGCCATCTGGGGGCTCATCGGCCTCGGATACCCGCTGTACAACGCTTTCCTGCCCTTCCTGCAGCAGACGCGCGGCGTGCAGTTCGGCGATGGCTCCATCGACCAGACCTACCGCAACTCGCTGATCATCGCGGCCGTAGGCGTGCCGGGCAGCCTGCTGGGCGGGTACCTGGTGGAACAGCCACGAATGGGCCGACGGGGATCGCTGACAGTCGCAGTGCTAGCGACAGGGACATTCCTCCTTGCATCAACGACAGCGCGCACATCAGCCGCCCTCCTGGGCTGGAATTGCGCGTTCAGCTTTGCGAGCAGTCTCATGTACGCCGTGCTGTACGCGTACACGCCGGAGATATTCGACACGCAGCACCGTGGGACGGGCAATGCGCTGGTCAGCGCGGCGAATCGGGTGGGGGGCATCCTGGCGCCGATTATTGCGCTCGTGTCGGATATGCGGACCAGTGTGCCGGTTTGGGTGAGTGGGGGGTTGTTTTTGGCTGCTGGGGGGTTGGTTATGTTGATTCCGTATGAGACGCGGGGGAAGATGGCTAACTAGTTTCTTCTGTATTACCTTTTTATCCCTTCATTCTTGGTATGAAAATATGGTATTCTTATCTTTATTAATCGTGTATTGTTTGATTACCTTGCTGGAGTAGACACTGTAATGACAACCTGCAGTACCTTGCATGGATAAAGTCTAGCCAGTACTCCTACAGGATAGACTAATGTATAGACCCCATCCAACTAATCAATCAACACTGTCCTCATCCGTAGGTCTCTATACTATAACCAGACTGATCCATCCCTGTAGGGTTTATATCATCCAAACCATCAATCAAATGATCACCCCTTACAGACGCCTACAATGTCTAAGACATACATGAGTTGCTATGGTTTTGATTTGTTGATACCGTATGTCGTATGTTTGACATCAACATGAGGCATATGTGGTGTAGGTAGGAGGTAGGAGGTAGGTGGTTGTAATTATGATCTAATATGGGATTGCCTATTGATGGGGAGGCATAAATACTCTTTGATCCTCTCCTCCTCTTATCTTCTTGAGAATATTTTTCATCACCTTGATAGTACGTGTTGAGTTCATTTGAAAGAATCTATCTAGACACAGCTGGTTCATCTAAAGCCAACTTACTGTGCAAGAAAGACGAAAGAAGAAGAAAGAATTAAACAACAAAATGCATCTCTCTACTCTCACCATAGCAACTACCCTCCTCTCCCTCGTCAGCGCCTTCAACACCACTCATTCTCTGGATGCTCGCTCCAACACTACCCAGCTTGACCCGCATCGTCATATTGCACGGGGCAACACTGCAGGCAATGTTACCACCCGCAGTGTGAGGGTCCGTCGGAATGATTCTGTTCCTGTTGATGCTGTATGTATCTTCTTTTCCTACTTATAAACACTTGTATATATACCGGTATATGTGTATAGCTAACAGGACCCTAGATAACGATTTACATCCACACTCCCGATTATTCCACTCCCCAAGAGTGGTTCGTTCCGCCGACTATATGCGTGCAGCCTGCGCCTATGTATTCTTCCCTTCCCTTCCCTTCCCTCCCCCCTGATAGTAATGGTTTGAGACTAATGATGATGATGATGATGATGATAGGAAAATCCAAGGCTTTGACCTCTCCCACGGATCATGCTATTTATACTCGTATGTCCCCGTTCCTTACTCTATCAAGCAATGTATTGTGGATACTGACGTAACTACAAGGCACCCACTGTGTTATGGACCGGCCGTGTTGGTTTCATCCGATGTGAAGCCCGTGTTGGATGGGGTGGATGTGTTGGGGGTGAAGTGCGATCATTGATCCTCCTTTTACTTGGTTTACTGTCTTTTATGATCTTATTGTTTTATGATGCTCTTAAGTTGTTAGGATCGTTCTATTAATTCAATGAATTCCATGATTTGGATAAGAGTGTTATCGATAAATGATAAGATGGATTAGATAGTGGATGACGTCATGACGTCACGGCATCATCGTGATGTCGTTTATACAACCTCGATTGTATCTTTTATCTTTCTATATCTGCTCTTCGTTCTCTTCTATTTCTCTAATCTGCTTCATCTCTTTCTATTCCGTACATTCTACTTCCATTGATTGTATATCTTATATCTTACTGTATCATATTCAACATGCCTGCTCATCACTCCCACGCTCCTCGTCTGCATCAGTATGTCCCTATCCGACTTCCTGTCTCAAATCTCATATTCATGTCCCCAACATCAGAACAATTCATACTAATACCAAGTAAAGTATCGGCCGGTGGATGCCCTCCACCAACGCCGCTCACCACGAATGGCTCGGCGGCGTCATCGACCACGTCGACAAACGCAAAGCCCACCCCCTCCACCCCGCCATCGAAGACTTCAAACAGCTCATCGAGTCCAACACCCGCGTCTTCATCCTCGTCTCCTCCATGTTCGAGGAACTCCCCCGCAACCGCACCTACTCCACCGACCCCACCGGCACGCCCCAGATCAGAGACTACCACCACCTCCTCCACGTCCTCAACTACCTCATCACCACCGCCCCCACCTGGTCCGACATGTCCCACCGCGTCGGCCTCGTCGGCCTCCCCATCAACGCCGTCCTCGACTGGTCAATGGGCACCCCCTCCGGCTACGCCGCCTACCTCGATCCGGACATCAACGCCGCCCTCAAGAAGATCCTCGACGCATGGGGCGCCTTCCTCTCCTCCCCGGCCTCCGCAGAATGCATCAACCCCGGCCCCCACGGCTGGCTCGGCCCCACCGCCAAACCAGACCTCTGCGCCGTCGCCAACGAGCCCACCGCCTCCTCCCTCTCCTTCGAAGACCTCTACGTCTGCGACCCTGCCGCCCCGCACCACGGCTACACCTCCTGGGACGACTTCTTCACCCGCCTCTACCGCCCGGGCATCCGCCCCGTCGCCGACCCGCACAACGAAGCCGTCATCGCCAACGCCTGCGAATCAACCCCCTACAAGATCGCCCACCGCGTCAAGTCCCGCGACCGCTTCTGGATCAAATCCCAGCCCTACTCCCTCCAAGACATGCTCGCCCACGACCCCCTCGCCCACTCCCACTTCACCCACGCCACCGTCTACCAGGCCTTCCTCTCCGCCCTCAGCTACCACCGCTGGCACGCCCCCGTCTCCGGCACAATCCACAAGGCCTACACCGTCCCGGGCACGTACTACGCGGAGCCCCTCTTCGAGGGCATCGCCGACCCCGACTCGCAAGTCGCGCCGGCGGCGCACCGCATCGACCTCGCGGGCCAGGTCACGGCGCAGGAATACAACAGCGCCACCGCAACCCGCGCAATCATCTTCATCGACTCGCATAACCCGGCCATCGGGATGGTGGGGTTCATCGCCGTCGGGATGTGCGAGGTGTCGACGTGTGATATTACGGTGCGCGCGGGCCAGCAGGTCCACAAGGGGGACGAGCTCGGCATGTTTCATTTTGGCGGCAGCACCCATTGTTTGGTGTTTAGGGAGGGCATTAAGCTGGAGGGGTTGCCTGTGCCGGGCGAGGTGACGCATAATGTGCCGGTTAAGAGTAAGTTGGGGACTGTTAATGGGTGATTATTTAATTTTTTTTTTTTTGGTTTATTGATTGTGATTTGTGGACTTGGTGTACATTGTTTGATGTTAATATGTGATTGTATTTGATGTAATTCTTCATGTATAAGGTAGACACCTGTACATGATAGTACATACAGGTGTAGATTTGTTGCTTGATATTGATATGCTGCCGTTTCGTACGGTAGATGTATCATGTAGAACAGTCTCGTAGGCTGTGATGTACATATAGAGGTTAAATAGAACAATCGATTGCTGGATATCGAACCCTACTACTCGCCAATTGGTGCGTTTGGTCGAATGGTCAAGACAAGACATGCTAATTGAATGAATATACTTCTACCAAACTCATTTCAAGCAACACTACCATAGATCCATCCAACATACCAGTGCAATTTATTTATCATCTGAATATCTCCAGACCACGCATTGGTCGCTATATGGCTGACGTCTCAAGACTATCCTATGTAGATGCATCAGTGTATTCGGATTCACTCTCATACTCACCCAACTCAATCCCATCCGAATCAGAATCATCCGAATTAGATATGTTGTCGGGATAAATTTCATTCGTGTTGACTTGATCAAATTGCAACCGTTGCATCGCATCGCGCGGATCAGAGGTCTTCTCCTCCTCCTCATCCTCCTCCCAGTCCTCCTTCGGCCGCTCCCACCCCCGCTCCCCCTCATCTTGCCGCACTGCCAGCCGTTTTATCACCTCTTTCGCATCGTGCAGACTCACGAGCTTGCGCTTCCCCGGGTTCTGCGCTGCCCGCGCCTGACACACGTCGTACGTGATCTGTCGGTTGCTGCGGCACTCGGGGTCGCACTCGTCCATGTTAGTGCTCGTTGTGCCGCGCTTCGAGAATTCCGTCCACGGCTCGTTCGCCGTCACTTCTCCGGTCCATAGCTGCTTGACGACTTCCAGCGGCGTCATGCCGTTGGCGTCTTCGCGGTGGATCAGGTCTGGCCGGATGTCGAGTATCAGCCCCAAGGTCTGGCGCAGTTGCAGCTTCGCCACGTGGTGCACCGGCGTGTTACCCGTGCCGTCGATGAGCTCGAGCTGCCTCTGTTGCCCCGTTGACTGCGACAGTTCCAGCACCTTCCGGAACACGGCCACCTCGCCGCTAAGTTCCGCGTAAACGTAGTCGGTGTACGGGTCCGACCAACGAGAAAACGGGTAAGATGTGTGCATCCACCGGGCGAGCGGCGTCAGGGAGCCAGGCGCGTCCTTCGATCTCTCCGTCAGCAAGGATGGAATCAGCCTGCGGTCCAGGAGTCCCAGCAATTCGTCCATGTACCGCGGCCCTTTGCGCTCTCGCCCGTCAAAGTCGCAGAGGAGCAGGTGCAGTAGATTGTTTCCGGTGACGCCTCGAACCGTCTGGTCTGCTCCGGCCTGGACTAGCATCTCAGCCGCTTGTACCCGCGACAAGGCGAATGCTACGCCTAGCGGCGTGTAGCCCCGGCAGCATCTCGTCTCCAGACACCCTGGCATTTCTCTTAGTAGGTATTCTATCAGCTGCCGGGACTCCTCGGTCGGTTTGCTGCCAATTGCACAGTGTAGAACGAGATGTTCTGCCTTTGTCAGCTAACGTAAGAGAAACGGGATACCGAGAAACCTACTGCCCGCGTTCAGCCACCCCATCAGAGGACGCTCAATGCCTTTCTCCGACTGCGCCAACAAGCCAATCCGTTTGTCGTCTGTGTGTCTCTGCACGAACTCCAGATAGTAGCGGGCCGGCGCCGTGCTGAGATACCACTCTGTGCTCTTCAGGCTCCCTTTCCACGCCGCGGTCAACAGCGGGGAGACCCCCATATCCGTGTTCTTCTCCTCGCCTTCGCGACCCGCCCAATCCGCTCGCTTCGTCCCGCGGACCGAGAGTCCTTCGTAATACTTGGGCTTCTCTTTGATCCAGATCCCCGCTTGGTGGACCAGGGCGTCAATCGGAAGTTGCGCCCCCGTCCGCTTGATCAGCTCCTCGAGACATCCGAGTCGGCCTTTCCGAATCGCGAGGTCCACGAGTGATTCCGGTACGCTGAAGTAAGTGGCCTCGCTGTCTGGGCCACGGCGTTGAGCCTCTTCAGCCAGTTCCAGCAGGAAAACGAGCAGTTCCACATCGTCCCTTTCAACGGCGTACTCAAATACATCCTCGTGTCCGCGCCCGGTCGAGTGTCTCAACTCGTCGACGGTTTGACCTCTCGCAGCTACATCCGAATGCTCCTGGGTAAACAAAAATCCATAGAACCGATGTTGCATCATCGAGATGGCGGTCTTGTCGCACTCGATCTGTGTAACCGCCTCGCCGATCTCCTCGACGGTGAATTGGTCATCAACCACCTCACTGCATATCTCAAGGTCGTCGTTGATCCGGTATCGCACATTTGTGGCTTCTTCTTTTCGCGGGTTGTATTGGATTTGGCCAATTTCGAGCATGGCCCGGGCTAGTGCGCGATGTCCTCGTACGATGGCAATGGTAAATGGCGTCATATTCATATGGTATTCGTAGCCTGAGATCAGAAGAGGGTCTTTCTTGCCACCTTCTCCCCATTTTGCCAGGGTGAGCTTTTTGACCGTATTCAGGTCACCCCGCCACGCCGCCTCGAATCTTTGACGGGTTAGTAGCCTATTACAAAAACGGTTGGAACACATATTGTGGACTTACAACTCGAAGTATCCGCGTACCTCCTCCTTATCCATGTGTGGCGGCCTGAAGCTGAATTGGCTTTGTTGCCCCATGAAGAGAAAGTTTGCCTGGAAGGGCTTTTTAGGGGATTTCTTTTTGGTCTTTTTCGAACGACGCGTTTCGTAAACCGTTTCGGTGTTAGGAAAGAGCTCAAGAAAGGTCTTGGCGCCTCTGTCCAGCAACGCGTTCTCGAGCTTTTCGTACAACTCGAGTTTCTGTTTGAAAATGGTACGTTGCCTCACGTAGCTCTCCCAGTTATTCGCTTTCATCATCGCTTTACATGCTCCGAGCGTTCTATTGTAATTCAATCGCGCATCTTTCAGTTTGTGCACTGCGTGCCACCTCTTGTAGGAGCCCATTAGAAAGTCGTCTAAACAAACCTCGTCGGATGGAAGCGGACGAGGGAGCTTGCTGTTTCCTGGCTTGGTTGCACGGGAGCGGACCTCCTGGATCTGTTCTCGCACGACTTCTAAAAGAGTCCGGGGTTTATAGAGATCTTTTTCGTGGATGGTCTTCTCGGGTTGATACCTGGTTTCATGGCCTTCTTGGGTCAGCGTATTCGGGTCGCAGCCTCGTGTCACCATCTCTAGGGCCAGCCTGGGTAGATCTTTCAAAACGGCAAGGACGATAGGCTGAGAGCATTCGCAGGCGAACGTTTTTTCGGGTTCACTCATCCCCAACTTCTTCACGTTATATTGGGCCTCTTTGGCGAAGTCGACTGAGAGGGCGGCGCCATTCTCGAGCGTCCTGATCGCGACATCGGTATTTCGGGCACTGATGGCTACCATCAACGGTGTAAACGCGGTGACATCCCTCCATCTGCATCTGGTAAAGGAAACATAGTTGATGGCTTTGAGGGTGGCAGATGGGCTGAGCCGCGTGAAGACATCCAACAGTCCCGCATGCTTAGAAGCAGCGACATAATGTATAGGGGTCCTGTGCCCGAGATCCGCTTGGGTTGGCGTCGCTCCCAGTTGCAGCAACTTCTCTACCATTGGCATTGCCTTTTCCGATGGCAGAGATAGGGCCAGCACTAGAGACAAGATGGCTCCTCGTGGACTGGTCCCGTAGTACCCATGCTCGAGCAATTTTATGGGCAGCAAGACGTCAGCGCCAAAACAACTGACCAGCTCCTCGACCATGTCCACATGCCCGTTTACAATGGCCAGGTGGAGTGGCGAGGAATTGGTGTCCCAGGCGAGCGCATTTACATCGTAGATGTCGGGTCCGTCCTGGTCATCGCTCTCAGACACTTCCATTTCGCCATCCTCGTTCACCTTCACGAAGGATCCAATAGTGTCCGAATCATTATCGCTGGTATCAACCACGTCGTCGTCGGGCCCGGCTCGCTCGGGATCGGCCGGATCGGACTTGTGCTGTTGGGCACCAGCCGGATCGGATTCATCCTGACCGGATTCGTCATGTTCCTGTTTGACTTCTTGAATCTGTCCTAGGCAGTCTTTCTCTGCGGCGGCTTCGTTTTCTTTGCTCTTCGTCATGAGAATGCGGACAATTTCGAGACTCCCTCGCTCGGCGGCTATATGTAGTGCGGTGCGTCCGTCTACAAGGCGCGGTGTGATCCGCGCCCCGTGATCGACCAAGGCTTGCACGATGGCAGGGGTGGATGTCAAGCTGGCCAGATGCAAAGGCATGCGGCCGGTATAATCGCGAGTATCGGGGTCGGCACCCTCCTGTGCCAGCCATTCCTTCACCCCCTCAAGATCGAGGTTCACGATCGCATGGCAGAGACTCTCGGTGCTGCCAATGTAGGCCATTTCTATCGTGGTCAGTCATTCGCACACAGACAAAGAGAGGCACGCCCCTACCTGTCCAATCGAGATCGGTGATCGGGTTAAAGCTTCCAATCTCCTGGCGGCCCGGATTGTCCTTGATGAAAGAGACATCGCCAGATACATGCGTCTTCCCTTCTTGTTCGGCCACCTCCTTCTCTTCGTCCGTCACCGGAACAGGGCAGCTACCACAGCAGTCTTGAAGGATATTCTCGACATCCCCGAAAAATACAGGATGCCGGTGGAGGTTGACATCCCGGTTTTTATTTTCATTCCATTCGCTGTTGAGAAGCAGGTCCTTCTGGAATAACAGTCGCTCGACCTTGGCTGCATTGAATTTCGGGCCATATGGGATGGTCTTGACGGTTAGGGTTCAGCCCAGGTTTAGGGGGCGAAAGACTTACGAAGGTGTTATAATTCGACACTTCATCCCCGTCCGCCCAGTCGGCAACCTCATCTTCAAAGTTATCTTTAATGTTGTCCCTCATGGTGCTATTTCGGTACCGAGATTCCTTTGCAGGACGGCCTCGCTCCTTCCTTCTCTGGTCGAGATACGAATCACGGTCGGACGAAGTCGGCAGGTGCTCCAGGATCAGGAGACGGGCAAGACCGAGGGTCCGTGAAAAACTTCGCTCGAAAATCGTCTGTCCCTGTTAGATCATGGGTGGGATGGTATTTAACAAAAGACTTACCGGGTCGACGCGTGACCGCTCGAGTTCTGACCAGAAGATCTCGAAGCCACGACGGGAGTATTTCGAAAGACGATTCTCATAAGATGGCGACCGCCGCGTCAGATCAATATGATTGGCCTGCGTGATATACGACGCGAGGGCCCGCGGAGCGAGATAGACCTGCTTGCCATCAAACGCGACACAGGAGCAGTCCACATCGAATCCCGTCAAGATCTCGGACACTGATTTGTAAATGCGCAGAACAATCTGGACATGACGGGTGGGATACTGCGACACAATCGTAATGGCGTTCTTGGTGCGGACCGATGTGGTTTCGTAGATGATAGCATCCTTGATCTTGGTTTCGATCTGCTTGATCTTGTCAATGGCCTGCTCCTCCGTCAACCCGTAGAGAAACAGGTCCACATCCGATGCTGGAGTAAACTTCTCGTGATAGTATTCCCGCAGTAACCGCTTTGATCCGCGGTACTTCTCGGGGACAGGCAACAACGAGGTCACCACGGCACTCCCCGCAACCACGACGTTACTCCAGTCCATCTCACTCAAGGCGGCCTCGGAGAAGATGCTGAGATTGTGCCGGAATTCCTCCAGTTGGGGGACCACTGCGGGCGAGCCATGAGGCTTGCGCTGATCCGCCTTCAGAGGAATCATGTACTTGTCCCGAGTCTCCTGGGTCTCCGCCGACGGGTTGCGTGCTCGGATACGAACATCGGTCGAGCCATCATGTCCATAAAGAGGGACCACGTTCAAGTCATTGGTCTGCAGGATGGGGTTCGATGGCTCCTGAGCGAAGAGCTTTCGAATCTCGGCCTCATATTCATTAAACGGCTGAATTAAGTCGGAGATTGGAGTATCCGGATAGGCCTGAATCCACGATGGAAGACGAGAATGGCTTGTGGGGAGTTTGGGGAGATTGTCTGCCATGATGATATTGCCTTAGTATGAAGCTGATCGCAGTAAACCTCTACCAGTAATGGACCTTGATTGGCAGTTGCATCAAAGTCCGAGAGGTTTAACAAGGGAAAAGCGGAAACAGAAAACAGGGAAAATTTCAATAAAACTAAAGACACATCAATGGGGTGATGTGAAAGAGATAAAGAGATTCTGAGGCTTGGAATAGTTGCAGAAACAGTTCTCTCCGTCTCTTTAAGTCCTGGGGCAGCATTCAGGCTCCAACGCAGCCTTGTATCGGAGTTTCCTAATCCGGTTTAGCTCCAGGCGACAGGCCAGGCAGCTCCAGGCAGCTCCAGGCCGCCTCAGGCCAATCGTTGCCTATCGTGGAAATGAACCTCTTTTTCATCTTCCTCTTCTCCACTTCCGATCGCTACATCGATTCGCGTGCTTGTATCTACGCACGATGGTTTTATGATGATATGGCGAGAGTCAGGGGTTCTACGCTAGTGCTCGTCGCTAGTCAGTGCATTTCCTGTCCAGCATTGAGCGGCCAAGGATGATATCACTCTAGATGTGGTCTCCTATTGGGTTCATGACCACAGAACTCACATCGCAGGCAGTCTTTGGTCCGGATATAATGCCGTTCAGGGATCAACTTGTTGCACTGTCTGGCCTGTGTTGATAACGTGGTTGCACTGGTGGCGCTGTTGTGATGAGCTGTATAATAATACCACCCCATAGGTGGAATATATATCTCCTGCCCCGGCATTTCCCCGACGGGTTATACAGATATTCTCCGAACTGGTGTCATCTCCACGTATAAAGTTCATGGAATCTTCAAAGAGGCACCATGGAACGTCCTTGTGGGACCATGACAGTATGACAGGCCTGCGCCCTCGATCACATCCCCACATTATACAACACTTGTCAACAGACTATGATCTGACAGTCGATTCAACACCAATAAATCCCCAGCGCAGAAAAACTGCTGCAGGGCCCAGTGCCATTTGAAATCCCCGTGCTGCCGTCGTCTGACTGACGCCGAAGAATACCGGCCATGCAGTGCCACCCCGATGTCGGCTGGCAGCGGCATCCCGTCTAGACAACCTCGGCCATCGTTTCACAAAACACCGAACAGGTTTGCGCGATATTGCCTCAATGGTATAGACAGCTACTAAGAGCCATTGCCAACCGACTCAATTCCACGCCAATATGGCGCGTTTTTGCTCTCATGACAGTGACGACCCTGGCCGCGCCACGCAACCGCTATACTACCGTGGTGTCAGAACAAGATTCAGTGCGACAGGAACCAATCGCTCCGCGTCACTTTCTATCCCAATGACCCTAGAGCTAGCAGTTTGAAAGGTTGCAATGGATTGATATAGTTACATTAGCCGAGCGCCACTTCTGGGTTGGGGGCCGGTCAGCACTGGGAGGTCTACTACTTAAATACCCCTTTGTTCATTGCAAGGAGCGGGTGGGAGTTCATCGTCAAGATCGTTCCATTACTGGCACAATCCATCATGAAGACTGTCAATCTGTTTATGACTATCTTGTCGACCTTGGGTCTGCTGGCCCAGGCTCTTCCCAGCTCCGATGCCGCGCTGGACACCATGGCCGCCTCAAATCGTTTGGTCTTTGCGCATTTCATGGTATGTCCCTTCGTGCCCCTGACTTTACACATACTGACCGGCTTAGATCGGCATCGTCAGCAACCGCAACAAAGCCTCGGATTACGATTCTGACATGCAGCGTGCCAAATCCCTGGGCATCGATGCCTTTGCCTTGAATATCGGGGTCGATCCCTACACCGACCAGCAGCTGGGGCTAGCATACGAATCGGCGGCCAAAAACGATATGAAGGTGTTTATCTCCTTCGACTTCAATTGGTATCACACAGGGCAAGGTACCCAAGTCGGACAAAAGATCGCGCAGTATGCAAGCAAGCCAGCGCAACTCATGGTCGATGACAAGGTGTTTGTGTCCAGCTTCGCCGGAGACGGTCTGGATGTCGCAGCGATGCGTTCTGCGGCCGGTCGGCCAGTGTTCTTCGCGCCCAATTTCCATCCGTCATATGGGACGAATATGGACCAAGTAGATGGGTTGCTAAACTGGATGGCTTGGCCAAATGATGGCAACAACAAAGCGCCCAGGCCGGGTGCGAATGTCAGCGTGCAGGAAGGGGATCAGGAGTATATCAAGGCGCTGAATGGAAAGGCATATATTGCGCGTACGCTTCCTCCATTCTTTCCTTATTTTTTCCACTCTGATCATGTTCAGCTGCCTCTCCCTGGTTCTTCACGCATTTCGGCCCCGAGGTTTCGTACAGCAAGAACTGGGTCTTCCCGGGAGATCTCCTGTGGTACGAGCGCTGGAACGACCTACTGACCATGGGATCTCGTTTCATTGAGATTGTGACCTGGAACGACTACGGTGAATCGCACTACATCGGACCGCTGAGTTCGCCACACACAGACGATGGATGTTCCAAATGGGTCAACGACATGTATGTAGTAGCAGATGTGATATCTACGCCATTATAGGCACCATGCTAATGCGAAAATAGGCCCCACGACGGCTGGCTGGACATCTCCAAGCCATACATCGCTGCATACAAGGCGGGGGCTACCTCCGTCGACAGTTACATCAAAGACGAGGAACTGGTATACTGGTATCGACCAGCCCCGCGTGAGGTCAACTGCGATGCCACCGACACGTGCATGGTGGGAGCCAACAACAGCAGCGGGAATTATTTCATGGGCCGACCCAACGGTTGGGAGAGCATGGCAGATGCCGTGTTTGTGGTGGCGATGCTCAAATCGCCGGCGACCGTGACCGTAAACTCCGGCGGCAAGGTTCAGACATTCGAAGCACCCGCCGGTGCTAGCGCTTTCCAGGCACCCATGGGCGTGGGATCGCAGTGGTTCGCCCTCAGCCGCGGGGGACAGACGGTACTGTCAGGGACGAGCCTGCTGCCAATTATCGATGGGTGTGTCTGTGGGCTGTATAACTTTAACCCCTACGGTATGTACTCTTGCGCTAGTAGAAAGGAGTATCAGTCTAACTTATAACGCAGTCGGCACTCTGCCTGCCCAGCCTCTCGACGTCCTGCAGCCGGACGGTCTCGCGGCCTTCACCTCAGGTCTCAAGGTCAGCACCTGCCAGGCGACGCCATCCTTAGGCAAGTCCACGCCAACCCCACCACCATCAGCAAGTACCACCTCCGGCGGCACCGCGCCACCAACGACAACCTCGAAGTCTTCCAGCACCAAAACCCAACCACCAACCACCACCTCTCAGCCTACAACCACCACCAAAACCACCACAACCACCACATCCTCCAAAACCTCCACAACAACCACTGGCGGCAGCCCCCCCGGGACCGCCTGTATCGGAGGCACCGGGCCAGGAAACTACCTCGGCCTGTGCGACTTCTGCTGCCACTACGGCTACTGTCCCCCGGGGCCGTGTACATGCACGAAATACGGCGCGCCGGTGCCCACGCCGCCTACGACGGGTGCAAACGGGGTGCCGCTGGCCGGGTTGGATGATAGTTATCTGGGACTGTGTAGTTTTGCGTGCAATCATGGGTATTGTCCGCCGACGGCTTGTACTACTCGGTCTTAGACAATACGAAAGAGAGAATCATTAGGGCCGGGAGACCAGGGAGATTGCTATTGATTCCCTGTTTGTGATGGTGATATGTGTTGTTTTGGGATATGGTCACTAGGCTGTGAGGGTTGTTAAGGCTTTGTATGTCGGTAGCGAATTCACATTGCGTCTACCAATTGACCTCTTTATTTCAACACGGCAAGGGGGATGAAGAAGATGACAACCAAAGTATAAAACAGAGAAAAAGAAAATCAACAAATCAACAAGTGGGTCTTATATGTCTACTATATAGAGACTAATTATAGAGTTTATGCTTTATAGTGAGTGGAATACCGTTATACCTTAGGCACCAATACACGGTACATACACAAATTTCCGACACCCAAGTCATGTGTTAGAAATATCCACTATATAACCCGGTGATAACCTCCATTACCCCGCAGAATAACGATACCCTAGTATTGACCGTACAATACCCTACATATCCAACTCTATCAATCAGTCAAACCCTCGAAACTCGGTAGTTTCATCCGCCCCGAGTGGATCCGACCCATGATGATATCACCGCCATCTCCTCTTCCGGAAATGCTTCTTGCCTTACAACCTCGGCTGAGATGTGACTCTTAGTCTCTCTTTAAATATGAAACCCATCTCACCTCATCTATATCTTAACCACCCCGCCCACCCTTATACACAGCCACCCACCCACTGTAGGATTATCGAAGAATGAGCCCCTCTTATCGCCAGGCGATCCCCGTCTCTGTTGTTGTCGCACGCCACTCGATAATCTCCCCTTGCCACCCACGATGAAGATTCCTTCCGCCGTCAGACTGGTGGAGGTCAGTCCTCGCGACGGCCTCCAGAATATCCACCACCATATCCCGACCGCGACTAAGACGGAGCTTATCCGCAGACTGCATGCCGCGGGGCTGAGGACGATCGAGGTTACTTCTGTGGTCTCACCGCGCGCCATACCACAACTTGCGGACTGCAGGCGCGTCCTGGGTGATGCCTTTGTTCAGTCTTTGTTGAATCGGGATGGCGACGACGAAGAGAAGCAGGGGACACTGCGTTTACCGGTGCTCGTCCCGAATAGGAAGGGCTTCGAGGTCGCTGTGGAACAGGGAGTGCGCGAGGTTGCTGTCTTCGTTAGTGCTAGTGAGGGATTCAGCCGTGCGAACGTCAACTGTGGTGTGGAGGAGGCGCTGAAGAGGGCTCGGGATGTTGCTCGGAGGGCTTCTGCGATGGGTGTAGCTGTTAGAGGGTGAGTTACTACCCTCCACGGCTGTACTAGTCTACTATGGTCTTGTCATCACTCTATCGGATTCGCAAACTGACGGGGAGCCTGAACAGATATGTATCATGCATCTTCGCAGACCCCTTCGACGGCCCTACGCCACTTACATATGTTCTACGATGCGTTCGGGAGTTATTAGCGATGGGATGCTACGAAGTCAGCCTAGGCGATACCCTCGGGGTCGGCACCCCCGATCAAGTCCGCTCGCTCATCACATATCTCGTGGAACACGACATTCCCACCTCGCGGTTGGCCGGCCACTTCCACGATACCTACCACACTGGCGCGATGAACGTCTGGGAGGCGTACCTCTGTGGGCTGCGCGTGTTTGATAGTAGTGTTGCTGGACTCGGCGGGTGTCCGTATGCGCCTGGGTCGAAGGGAAACGTCGCGACGGAGACGCTGGTGGATATGTTTCATGCTGCGGGGGTAGAGACGGGGGTTGATGTGGCTCGACTGCGCGAGACCGGGAGGTGGATTGCCGGGAGGGTTTCTGCGTCTGCAGCTTCGTCTGAAGAGTTGAAGGAGCTGCCCCATGTGCAGTCGAGGAAGGAGAGAGAGGATAGTAATGTGCGATCTGAGGGGATTCTGCAGTTTGATGGGGAGGGAGGCATGTCTATGGCGGCTCGTATGGGGCGCGAGGTTGATTGGATGTGCGTTCTTAAGACGGTGCTTGGACGGTAGATATGTGTACAGTTAGAGTTAGATTTGCATAGCATTGGCTTATTTATTACATGGTATTCTGGCATGACCAGTTCATACTACTCAGGATCCTCCCAGGTAGAGAGGTTCATGCTCTTCTTAGTGACTGTTCGCCCGAAGGATCAAAGGCACCCATGGATGGACTATTATTTCTTGGAATATGGCATTGGCTTTCAAGAATGGTTTGATATATCCCAAGAGTTCTGTTCTTGATGGGCTAAATAGTCTCGCTCCTAGAACCCCAATAATATATGTATATCAGGTGATTGCTACCCTGATTACCACCTCAGGTCAATGTGGATTGATTTCTCTCCGTGTTGGTAATTCTCGAATTCATTCTTAATGTCCGCCCATCATCAATCCAGACATATAACAACGTCTCAGCCTTGCATTAGTTACTCCAAACAGGGATTAGTTACTAGTGACAAGGCTCTAGGTACACACCATTTCAGGAGCAACAAGGCTGAGGTGACTACCATTTATTTGCACTGGTGTCCCCTATATCAATCACCTTTCATTTCGGCTTCTTTCACACCGTACGGACATGCCCCATCTTTGCCATGACCTGCCCCTCAGAACAAAGTACCAGTTTATCACAGATCCCTCTAATCGACTTATCCACCTCTGAAACAGAAAGGATTAACATAGAGAGTGATAACCAGGACAGTCATAAGTTTCTACAATGGTTCAGTCTCTTAACGCTCCGCCGTCTTATATTCCGAATTCGATATTCACGCCTCCGCGACTACACCCCTAGAGGAACAAACATCCTTCACAAGGCCGAGTCACTTGTTAATCTCAATCGAATCCCCCTCCCTCTGCTTGATAAGGAAACAGATCCCGGACAAGAATGGATCAAGGGTGTTCTGCTCTGTGCCTGGGGATGCAGTGCAATCCTGGCCCTCAACGTGATATTGGCCATCATTGCGATCGTCGTCGCTTACAAGAGACCTTCCTACAGCGACAGACATTTTGAATATGCGGAGCTCTATCGCGGAAGCTGCTCCACCACAAACGGCTGGACGACTGGGATGCATCTTGTTATCAACGTCCTTAGCACGGCTCTCCTTGCCGCGAGCAATTATTCGATGCAGTGTCTTAGCGCGCCGTCCAGAGCAGATATTGATCAGGCTCACTCAAAACGGACCTGGCTCGACATTGGCGTTTTCAGTGCTAGAAACCTGTGGGCCATGGATGCCAGGCGAAAACTGCTCTGGGTGATCCTGTTTATAAGCTCAGTACCGGTCCATATGATGTTGGTCTGCCTTTTTATGGGCATTATCATTGCTGCGATAACTAACATCGTGACTAAGGTACAATTCAGCCATCTTCCCGTCCATAACCACAAGAGAGTATGGGCTCGTTGTCATCCCAGACGATCCTGGGATGAGCGAGCCCCTTACCAGAAGCGAGGATGCACATCTTTCATTTACGCAAAGAGTCGGTTATAGTCCGGAGGATGTCCGCGCTGAATACTTGAATAGAACATTAAAGCCACATATTGACGTGTCCGAGTGTTTAAAACCATACGACATCGAGTATAACACCAAAAAAGGCACACTGTTGCTTGTGGTGCCAGCAGAACACATCGATGGATCCCCTATCGTTGGAAGTTTTGATTGGGATACGCCCTTCCCATTTCATATTGGAGCACGCAGATTTGGAGGTAACTTGAACAATCTGACATACCCGGGCTGGTCCTTGCGAGCCCCAGGGAACAGTACCTGGCTGCACCTCAGGGACTTCTTCGATGATCATTGGTTTCCGTTCTCTAGTAACATTTCTGATGTCAGTACCGACATCAGCACACTTTACTCCGAGATGATCTGCACCAACGCTGGAGAAAACCAACTGCGTGATACCCTGAAGAATTCCATGACCACATGGGTCAAACATGTTGATTTGCGGTCCAATGGCCTTGGAAAGCCCAACACACTAGGGGGCCAAGTAAGTAAAATGCAACTGCAGCTAGACCAGTTGACTATCAATAAGTGTTTCAGCAAGGACCTCGAAGAACAATGTCAGTTCTATTTCAGTCTGCCAATCTCCCTTACGGTTATCGGTTGCAACATTGCGAAAGTGATCTGCATGTACTTGACAGCACGGTGCGATCGCAGGTCGGTTCTTTTGACACTGGGCGATGGGCTCTCTTCCTTCCTCCACAAGCCCGACATAACGACCAAGGGTCGCTGCTTGATGTCCAAGTTGGATATGACGACTGGGGAGCTTCCGTGGTGTCGGGATCCCTACATTTCTGATACCCTGGATACTACGCCTCTGGGCGAAATGAGAAACTCTCAGCCCGTCCAATTGAGGAGACTTCCCCAGCGTCTTCCTCGGAGAAGCAGATGGGTTCGTTCACCTGGTTGGAAGCCCTGGACCTTGACGTTGACTTTGTAGGTGACAGCGCGACAAATGCGGTACTATAAACTAACAAACCAATCTAGCTTCCTTGCTTGTCTTGGGACAAGTATCTTCCTCTTTCATCTCGGTTTTCTTGGGACCACGCCAATGTGGGCCCAGGAGATGGGCAAACCGACCGGTGACACGGTCTTCTACGATGGAGGGAATGTGATTTTGTTGATCCTGCTGGCCAACTCTCCACAGCTCACATACTCATTCTTATACTTCCTCTGCAACGGCCTGCTCACGAATATGCGCCTCGCAGTGGAATTTAATGATTTCGCCACCAATCGCAAGCCCCTCCGCGTATCGTGGCCCAAGGGTCAACAGCGGTCGGCCTACTACATCAGCCTTCCGTATCGCTATGGGTTCCCACTCATCGCCGTATCGACCATCATGCACTGGCTTCTATCGCAGAGTCTCTTCGTGGTCAAAATCCGCGCCCTTGACGTTTATGACAATGAACTAGAAGAAGAATCCACGACTGCCTGTAGCTGGTCATCGAAGGCGATTCTCTGGACTATTGTGGTTGGGTCACTTGCCATGGGGGTGCTCATTGGGCTGGGGTTTCGGCGTCTTCCCTCTGATATGCCGTTGGCATCATCGTGTAGCGCTGCGATTAGCGCCTCTTGTCATCCCCCACCGGAGGATACAGAAGTGTCACTGAAGCCAGTCAAATGGGGAGAAATCATCAACCGCCCACGGACCTCAACCGGGATTGAAGAGGCTTCTGAACATATATCAGAAAATGATCACGCAGAGGACACACAGATCGAGTATGCCCACTGCAGTCTCACATCGGAACCAGTCATGAGGGCGAGTCCGAATGTTTTATACTGTTGACCTTTGTTGATTGAAGGTAAACTCAGATGGCCAGACTCAGATGATATTCAAGCACTGTCCTGGTAATAAGGTATCTATAATTCAAGCTCGCGACATGGGTTCTGCAGTAGTTACCAAGTCATATACCAGTAGTAATCATAACTTAATTGGTAAGTTGGTGGTATTACGAATACACCTCTTTTGCCAGGCGGCCAACCGGGCCATACCCCGAGCCCTAGTTATCATCCAGGACATTTCCATAATTAATCTGCCTAGTATCACACTATCCTCAAATGGGACGTGCACGCGTGGGGCTTCGAGCCTTTTCCCATCAATCAACATCTTCTCCCTCGATCCTTCTCTTCATTTCTCTGTTCATCGATCTGCTCGAGCTGGACTCCCTCTGATTCAGTGCTTACCCACCCTGTCGTAGCGCGACGGAGCCATTGCCGTCCGCCCAGGGATTACCCTCGTTGGTCGGTTCGACCATACCTAGCTAGTCATCTATACTATTATGGGAGTGGGTTCCTGCTAGTCAGTTCACCACGGACACGATGTGCCCCACAAATATGAATCGACATGTTCGCCAGGACGTGGCTCTGCGTCTGGTATTGGATCTGACTTCCGGGATGTCCGGCGCTAATTCCAGCCTGACTCTGACAGCTGAACCTAAGGAATGCTGCTCGAGCTCGCTTAAATACCAGCGCATGTCTGCGCTGCCTAGGTCAGGGATGAGTCGGTGCCAGCTCTTAATCGTCTGTCAAGATGCAGCTGTCGTCTCTGTTGGGAGTTTTGCTCGGGTTAGGGCTCGCGTTTGCGGCTCCTCATGGCCCAGTTGCGCCTGCGAAGCTTCCCTCCATTAGCTCGCTGGGAACGCTGCAGGCTCTCAAGTACAACAATCTGGGCCCCGAGAATAACGGCACTGCTGCTGTCGTGGTTCACGATCGGCTGTCTGCAGAGGGAGCTCGCGCTCGCTGTGCCGCTATCGGAGAAGCTCTCTTCCCGCTACAGGATGCGCCCAAGGCCAATCGCACTGATATAGATTACCAGCTGGACTATCTAGTCTTTGCACACGACCTACAGCCGTCCGACTCTCTCTGGATCGGTGGTTCGAAGTCCAAAAAAGCCCGCCAATGTCCGGCCTACTGCTACAAGCGCAAGGAAGTCGTCCTCAAACCGTGCGACGCGAAGCTGCCCGCCCTCTGCACCTCCAACGTCCCCCCCACAACCGATCTCAACCGGGCTGCTGTCCCCTCGTCGCGTGTGTCCGTTACATCAGAAGACTACACTATAACCGGATACCGCGATGCGCGATCGTTTCGCTTTTTGGGCATCCCCTTTGCCAATCCCCCGGTCAAAGACCTGCGATTCGCCCCGCCGCAGCCGTACTCCGGGCCTAATCGCATCGACGCGACCCGTCTGGCGGACTCGTGTATCCAGTCTTCGTCCGACTACGAATCGCTTGGCACTGGAATCTCGGAAGACTGTCTGTATCTGAACGTATATACACCTGTTCTCCCCAAGAACAGCCACAGCCGGCCAGAAGGCCGCCCCAACACCGCACGACGCCCCGTCGCCGTCTACTTCTACGGCGGCGCCTTCACCTCAGGCAGCGCCAGCATGGTCGACTACGACGGCGGCAACTTCGCCAGCCGCAGCGACGTCGTCATCGTCACCGTCAACTACCGCGTCGGCGCCCTCGGCTGGCTCGCCACCGGCAACCTAACGACCGGCAACTACGGCACACGCGATCAGATACTAGCCCTTCGCTGGGTACAATCGCACATCGCCTCCTTCGGCGGAGACCCCTGCCATGTCACCATCTTCGGCCAGTCCGCCGGCGGTCAGAGCGTCGTCGCACTCCTGTCCTCCACCGCCGCGCGCGGCCTCTTCTCCGGCGCCATCGTCCAGTCCGCCCCGCTCGACCTCCCCTGGTTCACGCGCCAAGTCTACGCCGACATCGTCGCCCCCGAAATCGCCAAAGCCATCGGCTGCGACGAAGACAAGCACACCGAGTCCGAATCCGCCCTCCTCTCCTGCCTCCGCGCCGCCCCAGCAACCAGCTACCTCGACAACTCAACCGACATCGGCGACGCAATCGACGCAACCTCCAAGGCCCTCGGAACCGACTACCTCCACGTCAGCAAGCTCCTCGCCTCCATCGAGCCCCTCATGCCCATGATCGACGACACCGGCTCCGGCGTCATCGACGACCAATTCCACATCCTCCTCGCAAACAACGCCCTCCCTAACCGCGTCCCCACCCTCTTCACAGCCGCCACAGACGAAGCTGCCCTTTACATCGCAGGCTCCGTCCCCAACCTCGGCGCCACCCAAACAGGCCTCAACCTCCTCCTCTCCATCGCCTTCCCGCCCGACCTCGCCAAAGCACTCATCAAAGAAGACGTCTTCCCCATCAACCGCTCCGACCCAGACGGAATCCGCAACCTCGGTGCAGACGCCCTCACCCACAGCGAGTGGTCCTGCCCGCAGTCCCACCTCCTCGACATCGCAGCCAACAACTCCATCTTCCCCTCCCTCTACGAGTTCCAGATCACAAACGGCCACGTCCAGTCAACAGACGATACCCCCGAAGTCTGCTCCCCAAACGACAACTTCAACGCGACCTGCCACACGGCGGATGTTCTCCCCGTCTGGGGAACCCTCAACTCCAAGACCCACAGCGTCGACCCTTACTATGACGTCCGCGATATCCTGCACTCGCAGCTCCTGCATGATGTCTTTGGCGCGTTCCTCAGAACGCGGAACCCGAACCCTGATCCTCAATTCCTCCGTATTCGTGGACCTGCTTACGCTGCTACCCATGCTGTCTATGGCGCTAGCGATAACACACCCTACTCCGTCCCGGAGTATACAGCCGGCGCGAAAACCGTCAGTCTGCTAGGGTGGGACCCCTCGTCGGCCGAGAACCCCGGCCGTACGGAGAAGTGTCGTGTGTTTAGGGAGTATGGGTTTACGTTTGAGAATGCGGAGTATACTGGTTGATTATGGATAACATACCGGGTGGGATGTCGCCTGTGTTGTTGGTTATTTTGAGATTAATGAGCGGGAGAGAATGATATAATGCTAGGGCGTTATTGCTGTTTGATTCGGTTTGCATTGGGTGTCAACCCTAATATGGGAGTTATATGGTAAATTCATATTGATATAATTCTGCTATACATACATTAAGACTAATACTGGGTACCTACAAATTGCACCCTATCCTGCAGTTCATCCAACCTCATACATTGGACACAGGCAGCCGTAAACACAACACCATAACCTCCAACTGACCAATCCTGTCCGCCTATTGAAATGATAAAAAATAATTGCCAAAACCTTAAACCAAAGCCATTGCGCAAAAACGAAGACAACAACAGGTGCCGGGTATGTTCATCAATAAACGTAGTCAAAGTGAGCGAAAAAGAAATAAAGCAAATCCAAACCTGAGCGCCGGTGTACATAGTTGAGCCTTTTTTTTTCTTGCTTCTTTCTTTCGGTTTCTGCCCTTCTTGTAACCCACGCTAGAAACGATAAAAAGGTAAAAGAAAAATGAACTGAAGATGACAATAGGTACCTTCATCCCCTCATCCAGTTATGCCTCGACAACCACCACAGAACAACCACCACGACAATAATAACAGCCGCAAAGACACCAATTCCAATCATTCCACGAATGATACTTTTATTTCGCTTGCGGCGCTGGTTCTGTAGCCATTCATCTCTGTATACCCATTCTTATATTAGCCCTTTCAGTCCAAACCCCACATATACTGTGGACCGAGTAAACCGGAGCAGACAAAGAAGGAGTAAACATACGAACACATAGCAGACTTCTTCATAGAAGGAAGCTTCTCATGGGTTGCGATTTCGGCTGACGACGACGTTATGGAAGAGGTGGTTTCGCCTGATCCGGCGACGGGTTTGGGTTCGTTTGGAGGGGAGAGCCCTTTGGCTTCTTCGTCGAGGTGGATCGCGCGCGAGAAGCGCCGCCAGAACATGGGGTCGCGGACGAGGGCCATCTTCTTTTCTTGTCTTTGGTGTCCTTCTTTCTTGGTAGGTTTTCCTTCTGCCCAAGTGGTCTTTTTGCGATTGGGTGATTCTGTTCGATCTAGGGATACGATATTTGAGGAGTTGAATGCTAGATCATCGGCTATCGCTTTGGCAGGGGTTTGGCAGGTCTGGATTTGTTTCAATCTCCGTTGATAGGATCGTTCTGTCACGATAAAAGTTCAGAGTCATGAGAGAAGTCGGTGTAATCGAGAAGAAAACGAAGGCCCAAGAGACATCGCGCTGTTTGGCCGTCGTCACGGTAGTTGGATTCCTCGGATGCGTGGTATGTATGCTGCTGCGCCAACGCGTTGTGCTCGAGCTGTGGAATGTCGGGGTCTGGTGGTCGTTGGTGGTTGTACATTATGATTGGCGGTTTGAAGGGGTCTGTTGTTCAATTGTCACTGTCGTAGCTGATACAGATTGATAGAAGCTATATCTAATATGTGGTGTTTGGTGTCGTGTTGGTATAGAATCAAAGATAGAGCGATGTGGTGGGATGGTGGCTGACTCATCCGGTGTATTCTCTGCTTCATCGCCTCTTTAACCATTATAATTCTGTTTCTCAACTATTATTCTATTCAAACGTCTTGTCGCGATATCTGCCTTCTATATCATCTGATAAACTCGGGTCTACCTTCCTAGTCCTCCATGCCACGCCATACCTACATCTAGGCAAACATCGAATATAGTATAGTACCACGGTCCGACAACCCAACAAAGCCATTATCCAACAATCGCACCAATGACCGTTGACCCAACCACCGAGGTTGCCCCTCAAATACGCGACCGTGGCCTCCTGCATGGTGATTTGCAGCGGTCAAAGTGGGGACGCGGGGGCGGCAGGTGGGGAGTGCGGAGTGCGGAGCGCCCCGACGCTTTCATTCCATGGTCACGATGCTATCCCCGTTCCCTTTTCCCTGGTGTTACGAAAACATTATTTTTTCCTGTTGATCCATCGATACAGGATGTCTTCTACTGCGACGAATCTTACGGTTGATGTGCTTGACTATATAGGCGTGATTAAGGTAGGACAAACTGGACCTTCCTGGCTTAGCACTAGCCTACTACGAGGGGGGTTATGAAAACCGCTGCTGATGTGTCTGTTTTCCAGCTCCACGCGTCCAGTGCGACCGAACCATGGACAGAATCTCTTCTGACGGAACTGATCACCGCCCTTCGAGAGCTCGATGACCACCCCCGAACCGTCTTGACCGTCATTACCAGCGAGGGGCCGTTCCGGGCGGCGGCGACGCGCATCCGAGGTTAGTCGTGCCATCCCTTCGGCGGCGAGGACAACTTTTGACCACCAGAAGAGTACATTATAGGTCCCCTACTCGGCTCCAACACGGTCAAAATCAAGCAGTACTATATGCGCAAATTCTCCCGCGGTAGGACACCGACCGAAGATAGTAGGACCCTGTACAGCGACTGATCCCGCGTCAGAACTCCTCAACCTCATAATTAGCCACCACAAAGACCTCGCATTTGCTCTGGACAATATCCCAGTATGGGGTGGTCCCGCGTGGGTTCAAGGCGCGGTTGATCTGCTTGCCGTTGCCTCCCGTACTTATATCCGGTCGGGTGAGGCCAACACAGCTTTAGAGAGCCACAACCCCCATGGCTTGGACACCCTCGGACCGGCGTTACGGCATCTACTCGAAGATATCGACCGACTGTCGGATATTGCGTTCAGCGGGGAAGACACGATGGCTGCAGCGGGCTGGGAAACGGGGACGGTCCTCACGACGGAAGAGCTGCGCTGTGCGTTGGATGCGGCGACGGCGTCGAGTGAGCGGTCGGTGGATTGGGTAGTGCTGGATCGCTTCTTAGGTACCATGCAACACATCGCCAGTGGTATGTTCTCCTCTTCTGTCTCATGCTGTCGGTGGGATTGTTACTGATATGATCGCAGCTGGCAAGGCACGGAGCGGGCGCATCAAATCGTCATTGTAAGGTGGATTGGGTCTGTGATTGAAGTTGCTAATGTCTCTGGGATGTATCGAATTAATCTTGCACGCAGTAATGGCAGGGCGTAGTCAATGAATGGGATGTAGGGAATTGTGTGTGGTTGCATGTATATAGGAAGACCATACAATTGCCATTGATACCTTTCAGGATTGTCGACCCCAACCAGATCTAGGTACCTTCACAGGAATAGAACTGCCAGAGATAATAGCCATTGCAAATCGAACAAAAGATTGTGCACGAGAATTGTTTGAAAACATCCATGACTGGTCACACGCGATCACGTGGGTCAGGTCCACCCGTGTGTCACTCAAGGCTCCCTTGAACACAACCTCGGCATCGTCACATGTACACCCCTGACCATCATGAGAGATGACACATTTGTTGAGTGCAACTCTCTTGCACCTCCAAAGAAGGCAACGTGAGAATCCTTCCATTATCCTCCCCTGTCCCAACGCCAGGGGTCATTTCATCGTCAGCTGCGGGAGTCAAGATCGGCGATGAACCCGGTCGAGATGTCTCCACGGTGGATCCCTCTGGGACACCGTGGGCACTAATCAAGGATATCTAGACCCGCAAACCCGGAAAATTTTTGCAAGCGGCGTTCGATGGCTGCAGGGCGGCTGGCAGGGCGACATATCACGGCACTGGGTTGGTTGCGTGGTCGGGGTCTGGGGAGGTACCGGTCAGAGATGCTGGCCAATGATACCACGGAAGAAAAATTGAACTGGGGGTTGTTAGTTTCCTCAGATTCGTACAGTCATTACAGTGGGATCTGCGTCGGAAAGGATCTGCGGCATTTCTTGCTTGCTTGCGGTGCTGTTCGGCTGATGATGTGTTTCTACATGGCTGTCGAAGTTGCTTCATACCCCTGGTTGCACTTGGAGTCGAACGTGCATAGTGCATGGTATATGATGTTCCATGGTTTGTGTCTTTCCGTGGGGTTCGCCTGGATCTCCACATCTAGGAACTCTTTATTCCTGAACTCAAGCTTCTCAAGCCTCTTGAAGATGTGGACACATCTGTCGGTCAAAGGCTGGTATCCGTGCTCAAGCACACGCCGAGGCACCCAACAATATTCGACGGTCATATGATGACGAGAGCGTATCTCCTTGAACCGTGCTCCGCGAGTGGTGTCTAATCGGTATCAAAAGAAAACCCGACCTATTTACAGATGGTACGGTTGGAACCTTGGGTCGCTGACGACCCGAAATATGGAGCATACTTCCCCACACACGCTTGAAGGAAGATACCGAATTTCCCATCGCGATCTGGCGACATATCGCCCCTCGGGGTGACTTACCCTGATATAAGCTCGACCATCAGTGGCAAATCCCAACGCATTCTATCCAGTCTGCCATATCAGACTTTGTCGGGCCAGTCTCGGCCAATACAACAGCGCGCCTAGCCCTAACTCGGAACCGATCGCCGCAGGGATCGGCAGCCTCGGCGGTGGATTCCTGGGACTGGTATTACCATACAGTTACCCAATGGGGCATCGGAGGTTATTTATTAAACGGCTAGTCCGTCGGCGGTGATAGTCGCCTGTCATTTCGCTTGTCATGGGTTACTGATTGACTTGACCTGAATCCCGGGATTCCTGGGGAGGAAACGACCAACAGCAATATTGGATTGATCATCCGCAGACGACTACTAGTCCTTACAGCACAGGAACAGGATCATATGTGACGGGTCCATTTTATATCGGGCAAGTTACCATGTTACCATGATCATGGTCCATGAACCGTCGTGAGCCTGTAGACCGTGGGTCCATCACGGGAAGAAGGTGAATGCCAAGCCTAGTTCTTCAGGCATCTGCCTCCTTTCGATCCCTTTTCGTTTTCCTTCGCTCCCTCGACAACTTTCTTCCCCCTCTTCTGCTTCGTCGCTTTATTTTGAGATTGATTTTTTTTCCTCTTTCCATTTTCTCCTCTTTCTCTCTCTCCTCTCTCTCCGATCCTTCCTCTCGGTTAATCTCTATCAATCGTTCTCTCCATCACTCTCGTCATTCGTCAGTTCGTCAGCCTCTTGCAGCCACCATCCCCATACGTTCTCCCCCAGTCTATCCTCGACCCGCCTTTAAAACACCACCGGTCCCTACCCAACTCCCCCGATCTAGTGGACGCCCTGCACCTCTCCTCATCCCCTCTCCCCAGAATGCGCATCGCTTTCACCCTCCGTTGACCCCCCGAGTAATGCGCCTTTAGCGATCCATGCCGCCCAAAAAACCCGCCGGTGGGCGGAAAAAGGACGCCATTCACTTCGTCAACGCCCGTCCCGCCTCTGAGAATGAACGGCTCCGGATCCAGCGCCTGGTGCGCGCTCACGTTGGCAAATGGATCTCCGACCAGACCAAGGACCGTGGCGAACCGGGCGAGAATGCCCCAGTCCCCTCCGGAGACCAACCCCGTCCCGCCGACCCGCCCACAAAACCCGAGCTGGACGATGCGCTGGTGACGGTTCCCTCGCCCTCCTCCGCCCGCTCGTCCCCGTCGACTCAATCGTCGGGTTCCTCGAACCCACCCAGCTTCACTCTCGCCGTCCGAACATCACCCAAACCGACCAAAGATCCCGAACCTCAACAAACCCAAAAGCACTCGGTCCACACCGACTCCCAGGACGCCAGTGAACAGGAGAAACCGGTGTTGGACCCTTCCAGTCCCCCGCAGCAGTCGGTGGAAGTGATCGGGGCCAGTGCCATGGACCCGTTCGCGACATATCCGGTCACCTTGCATTACCCGCCCGAGTTTGTCTCTGCATGCGAATCTTATTGTTCGTCTTCTTTCCCCTTCGCGACCCCTTTTTCCCGCGCTAACGTCCCCAGCTGTGCAAATTCTCTGGCCCGGCCTGACCCCCGGAAACGGCGTGTCGGCCGTACGAAGCTGGTTTCCGCTATCGCTGTCGGAACCGACCCTGTTCACGACCTTCCTCTACGGGTCTCTGTCGCATCAGCGCGTTCAGTGGATCAACCGGTGGATCCCTGAGGCCGCCTTCTCGCCACGCGACCAGCAGCTGCTCCATTTCTGCGAGATGGAGTCCATCAAGCTGATCCAGCATGATATTAGCCAGCCGGACCGTGCCGTGCAGGATGCCGTGATCTTAAGTGTCATGTGTATGGCGCACAATAACGCCGACATCAACGATGCGCGCCGCCATCGTCGCACCCCGTTTACTCCGCCCATGCAGCGGCTGCAGTGGCTGGATATCTACGGCAGTCTCCCGCCGAATCTGATCCACACCCGAGGGTTGGCCCAGCTGGTCCAGATCCGTGGGGGGCTGAAAAATATCCGTCTCCCAGGCCTGGCGCCGATCCTGTCCTTGTAAGTTTTCCTGTCTTGGTGCATCTCTATAGCGATAATATCCTGACCGAAACAGTTCGGATATCATGACTTCCAC